AAATATTGTTTCTTCTTTTATGTTTAAAGGTGCAGGAATGAGAAAGTGTTCACTCAAAGTGTCACTGTGAATCCATACAGAGACAGCACATTATTCAAACTCTCAGCGGTGATATGCAAAAAAGACTGGGTTTTTACGAGTCCTGGCTCTTACAAATCTCTCTAAGATTAATAGAACAGTCCAGTAAAAATATATTTTTTTATGTTTTCATCACGGAAAACATTGCAGGTTAGTAAGTTACTCACTCTTAGATACAGATATAGGAGGTTTTTTTCTGTTTAAGTAAAAGTTGCTTTTTCTGCTGTGGAAAGGGCTAAAGTCGAAGTTTATGTAAGGGAATAAACTCACTCAAAAAGCTATGTTTAACAATATATACTTTGAATGCATATCAGTAATTGTACAAAACAGATCAAAATAACAGCAAATACAGCATAACTGAGGTTACCACAGAATCTATCTGTGGATTTACAAACTACTGGAGATACATAAAGATGTTGTATTTACCAGCAAATGCGACAGAGATCACATTTTCTTCTAACGTTTCCATTAAAACCACAACACACTATAGCTAGCTGGCGAGCAAACAGTTGCGTGCTAGCGGTTGGCTCTAACAAGGGCACAGAAATGACATTAAAATCCGATATTCACGACGTTCACTTACAGTTTAAAGTTGTTGGTTCACACAGTCGCCCTCCTCCTCCTCCCTCTTCTTGCTCGGCGCTTTATTCTTCATCCGGGGTAATCCATCCATTCCCCAACACGTTAGCAGTTAGCATCCACATTACTGGAATCGTAGCGACTCAAACGACTTTTCCTTATTGCGAAGTGATAACATGAGTGACTCAGTTCATTACCAGCTGGTCAGCACGAACTTATTGATCTACAACAAAGTGTCGCTCAGTCTTTTATACATACGACAGTGAATAATGAAAATTTAGGTTTTGCGGTCCCACATATTCAAACACACTCCGGCCGTTAAACAGTCGGGAAGAACACTAACAGCGGAGTTCGACGGTCTTTAACTGTTACGTCGCCATAACGTCATCACGTAAATTTTAAAAAATATATTTTATTCAAACACAATCCAGACAAGCGTCCCGAAGATAACTGTTGTTTCCCTAATTTTATATTTTTACAGATATTTTTTTTTGATTAAAATCACTTTAATTATCTTTTATCATGCTTTTCATATTCAGATGGTTACATACTAATGAGGTAATTCCATTTCTGTGTACAAAGTTATATGAAATGAATAATAAAATCAAAATTCTCTGTAATGATTTTGGCTGTTGAAGTCATGGGTTAGTCCTTCTTTCACGCTACCATTTGTTTTTGCAATAAAATGCCAGGAAGAATCCCCTCTTTGTGCACTTGGCCATAAACCTGTTTGTGATTCTGATTTTTAAACATGAGGGTACAAATGGCAGAAAAACATTGTGACCCCTGCTGTGTCCCGGACTCATATTTTCTCACTCTTCTGTCTTGTGTATTTTGTACATTCCTCTCTGCTGCTGCCTGGCCACAAGGCTGCACAGGGTCACAAAAGGCCACAAACAGGGAGACACTGAGGACGAGTGGGGGGCCTTGTCTGTCTGAGTGAGGCACCGAGGAGGGTGATGTTGGGGGTGGTGATGGTCCCATAAATCTTCCAGAGCCAGTTTGTTAGAGTTTTAGGGACAGAGTTTCACAGGCAGCAGTGAGGGGCCTCCTCTGCCTGGCCGGACAGCACAGAGGAGCTTTTTGTCAGACCAACACCTCCTGCTTCTGTCCATCCACTGAAACCTGCAAAAAGGGTCCCTGCTCCAGGCAACAGAGCCCTGTGATCTCCACTTATGGAAGACATATGACTGCACTGCCCTCTGTTAAACCTGGGGTCAGATCTGCAGGGGCGCTTATGTAACCCAAACATCACAGACACCTGGCGGAGATGAAAGGCTGCTGGCTCATTTTTCACTCTGCGCTATTACCAGGCTATTTCCGTGTTGAAATGTGCTATAATACTGCTGAAAGACCTCTCTGCACCTCCACTGGAGGCCCTGTTTCTGCTCATGTAATACAGTTGGTGTGAGCCCACAAATACGGCGGGTATGGTGGCAGTTGTCATGGCGACTGGGGCTTGCTCCTCCAGCTGAAATGCCAATACAAATCTTCCCCAAGCCAGTGATTGTTTGACTTCTCCACTGAGATTCAAAAGGAGGATTTGAAGGCTGAAACTCAAGCTTGCAAGGATGAATTTCCTGAAAACCACCGCCGTCTACGAGCTTATAAGAACGCACATCAAGCTTTAGTGGAAACCAGCAGAAATGACACGCCACTAGAGACTCAAGACTGATGGACTCATTCAATCCAGCCAAATGCTGTGAAGCAGGATAAACAACCTTTTTGGCTGATTTTAGTCTCTTTTCCTCCAAACAGATGGGGAAATGAGTTGTGTTTGTCGTAGGAAACAGGTGCTCACATGCATATAATCGCATGCCATACACTGCAAAGAATACCCCCCTACTTCCCCAGGCCCACTTGTGGCCCAGAGAATAGGCTCCAGCTGGGCATGGTGTATGTTACACAAATGAGTGTTTTGAGTGCCCTTACAAGAGGCATTCATTCGAGGATATGACTGTTCAAGTGGGACAATGAGGGTCGCTGTGACTGTGATAAACGAGCTGAGTCAAATTAAAACATTCACAAGCACATACTGTAAGAGGCGGCTAATTACAGGAGATTTTTCCCCTCTTTAATACTCCACATTAAACAGTCTGAACAACAAACACGCACGTCACGTTTGCATTTATGAGTGCAATTTCAAAGAAATAAGTTTTTTTCAGTGCTCACAAGATGCCGATTGTAAAAGTGATAACTCCTCTGCAGAGGCGAGCAGCAAGTGCAGAGGAGGTGTGAGTAGAAAGAGGTAGAGAGACGAGCAGCCTTCCTGCCACTTTGCCATCTTATCAGAGATCAGCCTGGGTGTTTCTTGTCACCTCAATTAAATTCGAGACCAGCAGTGCGGGGGTGACATCTCTGCCGACATCTGCACTGTTTCCACTCGAGTTATAAGGCACAAAAAGAATAAAACCCAAAGCTAATGTCAGATGTCATTGGGGGATCATCCAAAACTCATGTCTGGGCTTTAGGTCTTTATTTATCTATTAAGGGTTCCTGTGTTTCCTTGTGATGCTCTTGTCTTTCTTTTCTTTTCATGTTGTTGGATTAATTTAAATTTTTCATTTACAGCGTTTTTATAAGCGCTGCATAAATAAAGTTATTACTATTATCATCATTGTAACATAGTGAATCTGACTACATAGGGCTTCAGTGGAGGAAGGGGGCTCTCAATAGGCCAGAATGCAAACTTAGTTTTCGTTTGAATTCATTTTTCTCTCTAAATCATAACTTTTATTGGTAAATTTGTCTGAATAAATCCTTTAACAATTTATTTTAAAAAGAAGGTAAGCACACATTGAAAATGAGAGTGAAATGATATTGAGATGAGCCAACAATCCGACTTGTATCATATTTGCATTGCAGCCTTAAAAACAGTGTGCTATTGAATAACAATAAAGTCCTGTAAAGATAATAAACCTGACTTAAATCTTTATTTATATAGTGCCAATAAACAAAACATAGAGACACTGCACCAAAGGAGTTGGTTAATGGGGGATGGAATCAGAACAATTGAAAAAGAGAGTCAAATATTTTAAAATTAGCTGTGAAACAGTGACACTAATAGAGGGACTAAGGCTGATAAGATTTGTGGGTAAAATGGTTACAATACTTGGTGTTGCAACATCCTCAACCAGCTCACACTTTCTCTGAAAAGAAAAAGTACTACATAGTCACACTTCCTTACAGTTTTGCTCACACTGTTGCTCAGAAAAAACACGTTTGCATTGCAAGACACTTCCTGAGTCGCAACAAGTCAAAGACTGTAAAAAAAAAAAACTGTGAACTGCTGAAGTAATTCCAGTTTACAGCCTCTATATTCCAACAAGATGCAAAAATGTGTAGGATACTATATGTATTTATTTGTATGTAGTTAATTGAAATAGCCATATCAGGTATTTTGTGGGAAAATAAAGGCTCTTAAGTCCTGAGGTCCTCTTTTATTTGATGAAAATATTGCCACCCTCCAGTTCCCATCACTGTATACAGTAGGGGAGAGTGGGGTAAGTTGAGCCAGAGGGTAAGTTGAGCCACCTCCTGTTGCTTGGAAATGGTCAAAGAAATTGATCATGTGACCAAATATTTAGGAGATGGGCATCAATTCATGGAGTCTGTGAAGGTTAATAGCACATGGGTGAAGAGGTTAGACATTTATTTACAAATAAAAACATTTTTCACTCTTGAAAGTGAATTTAGTCTGTTACAAGTTTTATTAGAATTGTGTTCAGACCAAAAAAGGTCATTTTAAATTTGTGTTACACATCAATTGTGGTATCTAATCGCACAACAGAAACGGACCTGGTGTGTAATGACCTTTACCCCACTCCTATCGTCAACTTACCCCATACACGGGGTAAGTTGACCATAGGAGACCACTTTATTTTGGCATGCTATATTATCAAGACAGTTATGTTTACACTCATTCTGTTGGTTTGCAGGGATGCACAACACCTTGAAATATGTGCAGATACACTAGTTAGAGACAAAACTATGATTGCCTCGATGCAGTGATCAGAAATATGAAAAATGGCTCATCTTACCCCACTCTCCCCTACATAAACATACGTCCAAACACTGTAAAACACACTATAGCCCTTGTACTAATGCCACAAACATCAGAAAAAATGAATGAATAAATAAATAAAAATGCAAATTAGTTTTTGATTAAATAAATATCTCTGTTTCCGGATTTCATCAGATTTAAAGTGATTTAATCTGAACCTTAACAATGACGTCAGTTTTTGAACAGAACAAGGCGCGCGGGTAAGGGGAGGGGAGGCGGAGTTAGGGGCGGGACCGGACGCCCCCAACGTTCAGTCCGACCAATCATTAGCGTGCTATGCAGATGAGCCGTGAGTCCGTCAATGTGGTGAGCAGCAGCAGCAGTCTAGTGTAGAGGAGTAGAGAGTGAAGCGGTGTGGATTCAGAGAGATTCCTACGTGTTTCTTCAGTCTGTGAAGCTCTGGATGGCTGGTTAACCACAGCGAAAACACACGGCAGTCAGTCCACAGATGTGAAGCTCTCTGCTGCGATAATACGGATTTATTTCTCACTTTTACTGGAGTTAGAGAGAAGAGCGCCGAGATGAAATACAAAGTAAGTGAAGCGGCTCAGTTAAAACTCAACTGTTTAAAACCACATCTCTGGTGTTTTTGTCACTGAAACAAGTTCACAAACTCGCTTTGGGATTAGATTAGAGGACGAGTGTGCTTTGACAGTGACACATGATAACTTTGGTTTCATAACATAGTAACGATCTTCCGAGCTTTCAATGAGTGTATCCGGGGCTGTTTAAAAAAGGGAAACTGTCTGGGTGAGAAAAGTCACTCCTCGCGTGAGATGTGTCTGTTTTGTGCGTGTGAAGTGCGTTTGTGGGTCTCTTATTTCCAGCCTGCTGCTGTTTCCATGTAACCTGTCTGTATGTGTGTCTTCAGGCTACGTTTACTGCCATCACAGGGGCGTAGAGAGCTCAAACGCGAGCAGTTTAGGGGCCCATGGCACCTCGGCCCCCAGTAGTCAAAATAAAGAAATTGACTTCAAAATGATGATGTTTAAATGTTCTTTTACTTGTTGTTCTGGTTTGTATAAAGATAGTGAGTACATGGTGGTAGACAGTGGCTGTGTCTGAAATGAATCACTCAATCCCTAACCCCTATATGGGATTTCACTATATAGCTGACTATGTAGTGAGCTCAACCACCGAAGGTTTCGGACACTACATGGCATGACGGGATGCCCACCACCGGTGAGTGACCATCGGATGGTCACTACATTTTGCAATGCTCTATGGGAAATTTTCAGTCGCCTATATTGGGCATTGGAATTGATCACTCAGGTTTCGGACACTCCTTTCTTTTTGCTTTTAGACTTAATTCTACTCAGATTAGCTGATTTGGTGAATCACTGTGTCATATATTAGTTTTTTTTTTTATTTAGTCAAGGTTGGATTTTAAAATGTCAAAAATAACAACAACTGAGACAAAATATTAAAGGGTACTACAAGATATTGAACCTTTAGGTATTGGAGCTACTGCAAATGTATTGTTGTGTTGTTTTTGGCGCCCCCTGTGGCCATGAAGGCATGGGTAATCTATTTGTCTTGTACATATGTGCATGGGAGAACGATTGACGTCGCTGATGATGTGGTTGGTTTTGTTGGTTATATAGTCATCACTGTTAACATGTCTGCATCATAACCAGATAAAAATCTACACAGCTGCTTTTAAATGGAAAGAGATGACAAAGCTAACCTGATGGTTGACAGGAAGGTTAGATGTTTTTTCTGTTTTCTGAAGAAAGTCTATTTTGGGTGGCTTCCCAATTGAGAGAAATGATGAAACCATCATCACACTGACGCAACAATCCTGCAACCACACCATATTAAAGGGAAGCCCACAACAGCACAAAGAAATCTGAGGTCGAGGCACTTTCGCTTCAAAAATTAGATTCTTATTCAACTCTGATGATATTTTCCACTTTCATTGCACATGAATCATGACAGAAAAACTCCCTTCCTGCTCTGGTCAGCATGTCTCCAATTAGATTATCTCTTTCATGTGTCATTGTTAGTCACTGAGGTTCATTCATTTGATTGACAGTCACTTTCTGTTTCAGATGAAGCACTGAAAGCTTCGCCTTAGCTCTCCTGGATGCTGACATGTACTCCCCCCTCTTTCGTGAATGTTTTTGGGAAACACAGTTTGCTCTGTAAGTCAGACTCACCATATAAGGAAACTGTGCTCCCTCATGCAAAACTGTGCTAAGTGTTTGGATGATTCAGGGCTTTGGAGGGCCGTGGCTTCATCTCCACACAAGCTGTTTTTTTCAGAAGTGTAAAGTAGCCTTTTCTCCAGACTTTTTGGCTCAGACGCTCGACTCGACGCAGATCGGTGTTTGGGTCTCTGGTGTCACTGTTTAGGAGGGTGTGGTAGTGATTGGAGGGCGTCCACGTTGTGTGTTTCTGCGTCATGTTCTTAAACTGACTCATTGTCCTGTTTAGTACACAGCTGACAGAGTGGAGAAGGAGAGAGTTAAGGCTGGTGATGATGTGTTCAGGGGCATGGCAGTGATTTTTCATCTTAGCTAAAAGACTTATCAGCATGTCTGTTTGCCTCGGTGACATACTGTAGATATGGAGGACATAGGAACCATGCAGGGTGCTCTTTGCTTATGATAAACATCTGAATTATGCAACAGCATCCAAAGAGCACAGGTTGGCAGGCAGAAAGAAGAAAGACGCAAACATGCTGCAAAAGAGGCCTCATCGTGCGTCACACTGTGTTTACCAAGTTCCAAGGTAGTCATAAGTCTGCGAAAGTGTGTCGGAGATAACTACGTCCCCTATCAGATCTGAGCATCCACTAATCTCAGCCGCTATGAATAATTCACAGATACATCAACTGTGTCTGTCCTCTCAGGGTGCTTATGTTGCAACAGGAGCTTAAAAAGGTCGCCGCAGAGGTTGGCGCGCCGGCTGTCACATGTCTTAAAGGTGGGTCTGGCCTCTCTGACATCAGAGGGTGGTTTCTGATGGGTGCTCAGGTGTGAAGGGAAAGCTTGTCATCCAAAGGTCAACTAATTCAGAGAAATCCCACCATGGACCAGCACACTGAGAGAGATCTCTTACAGTGTCAGCGAAGACAGTGAAGAAAGAAATACCAGAGGGAGTTTGAGGGAATAACACAGGTAGCTTAGCTTAGCTTAGAAGTAAACTAGGCTCGCCATGCAGTGTCTTGAAATAACAGATCTAATCCAGCATGTCTGAAGCTGAAATATCTATCACAGTTTGATCCATTAGAAAAAGGACTTCTGCCCTATCTGTTAAAGCTCCCGTGAGGAGTTTTTTGATGTTCACGAAATACACAAAAAATAATATAAATGGGTTTTCATGATATAAATAAGCAAAGAAAAACCATCAGCAACAAGATTTACTACTTTTATTCTGTCATATTTAATGCCTGAAGCAGGTACGAGGGGGTAGGTGTCAGCAAAGTAGGTGTAGAAATATCAATTTTTTTACAATTACCACACAAAATATTCAAAACTAATGAAATGTTACCCTGTGAAAAGTCAGTATGATGAGATTTTTTTGTCTGTAGAGGACAAGGAAAGCAAAAGTTTGCTTTTTATCATGAAAGGCACTGAAAATGGCACAAACTGAAAATTCCTCACAGGAGCTTTAATATAATGCTTTAGTATCAAACAGTATCTTCTGACAAAAAGCTCAACTTGCTGACTTTTTGCAGTTAAGTGTATCATGTACTTTGAATTTTTAATGTTTAAAATGTAGAAAGCTTTTATTCTCGCTGCTAGGCCAACACCTACCCCCACCTTCCATTTTCAGACATTTGAAAAACTGTATAAACGTCATCCACTCCATCCACTGTCTCTTATGGTCTTTTTTGCCTTTGTACATAATAAAAATGCATCCATACAAATTTAAGTCTATTTTGTATAAGTCAAAAAACACCTTACTGGAGCTTTAATATAAACTTACAGCCATAGCAACCTGGTGGCTTTGACTAATACATAAAAATAAAGATTAATGTCACATTATAAACTCACTGACATCTCAAATGTCGTCAGACTGTTGCAGTCATATCGATTTAATACGACCGTCTTTGCCAAATTAGGATTTTCCTTTTTACATTCTTGCTCAGTGACTTTCACAACCTTTAACTGATTCCTTTGGAGCTGACGTAACTGTTTCAGAAATAGCTTCACTACCACAAAGAAGAGTGATTAGGTGAACCCGAGTTTTAGCCAATATGCGTGTGTGAGTGTGCTCTCCTCAGTGTTTCTCTTTTTTATGGGTTCAGGTTCCAGGCGCTGGTCCAAAAAGTAAAGAGTGGCTGGAGGAGAGCGGGGCAGACATTGTTCTGAGAGGGAGGAGGAGGAGGAGGAGGAGGATCTGTGATGCTGAAAGAGGCCTGCGGAAAATGAAAGAAAGAGGAAGTTGTGGGGGGAACTAGAGGGCAAACAGAGTTGGGTGGATTGGGTGGAGGGTTTTTGGGGGGATGGGAGCAGGGAGGTCGAGGAGCGCCCCGTGAGAATGGGAGCATTCCAGGCGATTGTGCGTGGGAAGGCTGTTTCGGAAGATGCACATGATTGTTTCAAGGTGCCCCTTTAGATTGGTAATGAGCCTGGCGGCAGGGCGCACCGGGATACTGCAGCTTTTCTTCTCTGGGGTGTGTAGCGGGAGACATTTGTATTCTCCTGAAAGAAAACCAGGCGAACAATCCCCTTTCCCCCTGCTTGTTTAACCTTTCCAAAAGCCTTTGCAGGTTTTAAGCACGCATTTAAGCTGTAAAATAGCTTTTCCAAGCAGCTTTTTCTATTTTCACAAGCTGTCCCATCGACCGTTTAACCACCACGCCGCCTGTTAAAGAGTCGTGGTATTTTCATGCTGTGATTTCGACTTATTTCAGCATCTTTCGGAGGGCAGAATTACTTGCCTCTGTGCCACATCTTTGCTCCTGTGCAGGATTTTCAGTCTTCTCCCCCAGCGAGAATGAATAGCCTCCCCCCTCCGCCCTCCCTCATCCCCCTGCTGCGCCCTCGCACCATGAGCCAGCCATTAACATTTGAAAACGGTCAGCGGGGAGACAGACTTTATTGTGTGTTCATTTCAGCCAAAGAGACAAATAGAGAAAGAGAGAGAGCGAGAAAGAGAGAGAGACTACCCTGCATCAGCAACAATGCACATAATCATTTCCATGTTTGACCTTTGGCGGAAATAATTCTCGCCACCCTGTTTCTTCCCCCTGAGGAATGCCAACTATTCTGCAGGGTCGTCTCTGAAGATGTAGCAGGCCTCTGTCAGCTTGAACGAGCCTGAGGAGAGTGTGCCGTCGTGGCAGATAAGAGGAGGCGCGACAGCTGGGAGCACTAGGGCAGAAAAGCAGCGAAAAACCAGTGGATACAACCCAGAGCATGATGTTTGTTTGGAGGACTGCTGGTGATAAAAGCTGTATCTGTGTGTGTAATGGCTTTTTAAAACAACAACGAAAAATACATCTCCATCCATCCAGTGACTACTAACATTGGCAGACTCCCAGAGTACATGTACTGCTAAAAACAAGGTAAATTTAGTGATGGGAAGATCTTTTCTTTTGACTGGACTGAATCTTTAGAATCCGTTCATTAAAATGATTCGTTCAAAAGATTCGTTCACTGAATTAGTCAGTGCTTTGGAGCCCCGTCCTGCCGGGTGCAGTACACAAGTGAGTGACATGCAGTTACTGTAAGACTGGTTTGTGCTCAAGTCCTCTTTTTTCTGTGAAGCTCCATTTTAAAAGTTATTAGAGGGTTCATGTTTTCTATGATTGACACCTGATACAGCCTATTGGTGTTCAGGGATTGCGTAGCTCACCCGGGGGATACGCTGTTTGAGCCGAGTTTCATCACAGCAACTTTCCCGCCGAATGCGCACAATGCTACTGCACAGCGCTGGTTTCAGGAAATGAAGAAAGATCACGGAAAAACCGAGAGCTATTTGGCTTCAAATCCGTATACAGGTGGGAGGCGGAATCAAGTTGTCCATAGTATATAAAGTCTATGGGTGAAACATTTCGTTCATTCGCCAGGTCATGAAGGAAGAATCACTCCCCTGCCCTAAAAAAAGTTGTTCTTTTATATCGCGGAAAAGTGGAGAGATTAAAAATAAATAAACATCGCAGCTGTAGCGGGGATTCTGATACTTTTAAAGATATCAAATAGTATATTGCTTTAAATTGGCTGAAATTAAATCCTTCTTTCAGGAAAGTTTAAAGATCTGTATTAATGTAAAGGCACTATAATGCACTGTTTTATCTTAGCCTATGTTCATCCTCACAGTGAACGAACCACTGCTCAGCAGTTAGTGAACGACGCTACACCCCTCCCTCCTCTGCCTGTCTCAAATCGTTAGGAAGTCGTTCATTTCGTTCACAGTCTGACCAATCAGTTCCACTCCCGACCGACATGACATGCTCGCAGCTGAGCTCAACTGAACTAAGAAAAGAACAAATCAGGTCTTGAGGTGATTCCATTCAGCAGTTCCGTTCTTTTGAGCGAAACATTCAAACATTCATGAACGACACAACACTAGTAGAATTATCCTATGACCATTGGTGGAAACCGGAAGTTGTTTGGTGTTTTTCTGGTGGCTTAGATGCAGAAAATACTACCAACCAAAACAGGCAAGAGGTTTAATGTGCTGGACAAAATAAATCTGACTTAAATGATGGAGCAGCTGAACAAAGACAGGAAGTTTGAATCATTGGGGATAAGCGCGTTGAGTTGATACGATGATGACACGCTGTTTTACATCAGTATTGATGGTTTTAAGAGAGTAAATCACAGCATCTTTAAAAGGTAAATGACATAATTATTAAGATTTAAAACAATTCATATGAAAAACTGCGACTTTACGTATTCAAATGGTTCAATCAGAGGATAATATAAAGACTAACCATCCTAAATGGATTTGAAATGAGAGTAAGATTCGTCCCTTATCTCCTCTGACCACAGGAAAAAAGAAAATAGACTCCATCAGTGTCCTCAGTGGATGTTTCCAAAGCACTTAAGTATTAAAAAGGGGTGGATCCCCCCCTCTAATAAACAAAAGATTCCTCTTTTATCGCTGATACCCTTCAGGGTAGGATAGCGGCCGTCATTGTTTCGCCTTTTTGTATCAATGACATCTTTGCGTAGCGTGAAATCAGGAGGACACTGAAGTGAATCTCCATCTCATTGGCTATTCCTATATGTAAAATCATTCAATGTGGCCCTGCAGAGATACCATGAAACATATTTCACATCTCAGCTATTCCCCCCCTAGAGGGATTAGCTCCCGTCTCCGGGGGTTACCACCATGCACTCATGTACCCCCATTTGGCATCAATGCCAGGTTTGGAAACAATCCATCGCCCGTCTCTGCCAACACTTCTTGGCCGGGGTCCCTCGAATACCATCCATACTGTTGTTTTTGTGTGTTAGTGATGTTTTTGTGACCCCTTGGGTGTGGTAAATTGCTCTTTTAGGCAGAAGGTCGGTGTCAGCCGCCAAACAAAGTCTCCGGAGATGGCAGGGGACTCAAATCTCTGCTCAGAGACTCTTCAGCAGTCCTCAAAGTGAAGGACAGTCTGTCTCCCCGCTGCTCCAGAATGAATTAGCAGAATATGAGAGGCAATGTAGCACAATATGTTTTCCCAGCAGCTCTTTTGGCTCACAGAACTCGATACACATTTGACAGAGGATCTCCAGTGTGGTTCTCACCTTTAATTATAGGCTGAGGAGGGAGTCTAACATGTGAGAAGATAAGACAAGGTCAGTGTTAGCCTGGGTGTCTTTGGGGTCCTTCAGGAGGCAGGAAGTGCTTCAGGCTAAGGAGTGGGATGGAAACAGAGAAGGGCATTATGTCAGGTTACCTTCTAGTTAATGTGACAGCACAAAACGGAAACAACTGTGATCGATGCGGTGAGTAAGGAGGAGCAGGAACAATCATTTCACCAAGAACTTCCTTTAATCACTTCCTTTGTCTTGTTTTGTCTTGTCTGGTTTTATTCCACAATCATTTACCAGCAGCTATCAGATAAAGTGAAAATGAAAGGTATGCATCATTTATCACCTCAGGTTATGTCTGGTTTGGAAGACGTGTGGGCTGATATTACCAAATATGAAACAATCAAACACGACTATTGAGTCCAGTTTTTCCCACACATAGACGATACCAGAACAGGTAAAAAAAGAGGGTAAGAGTGGCTATTGAAAAGCACATTTAATATAATAGATAATAGATAATTGATAATCAGACAGTACAATACAATATTTGGCACATTTATCAACAGCAGAGACAAGCCAATGCCACACTGATGTAAGTTAGTTATTTGTGAGCACTTTTCTTATTTAAATCCACTCAACAGGAAGCAATAAAGAATTTATCTGGAGCCACATAACTATCTTTATAACAAATATTGGCTTAATTATGCAAAATTTTTCCTTTCAGTTGCCTTTTTGTCTCTTAAGACGTGTCTCTTGGTTTATTAGCCAGTTGCTAACTATGTCCGATACTTGGAACTGTCCTCAGAAAGAAATATAATCTTAGCTTGGCACTGATGGCGACTCTCAAAGTTTGTTTTTATACTCTAAAAACAAATGAATGTTCACGCCTGCTTAAAAAGTTTGTGTAAATAGGAAAGATTTGTCGTGTTATTGAGAATGATGAGCTCAAGAGTGACTTTCTCGCATGTACAGTTCAGCAAAGGTTATCACAAGTAGATGTTTGATTCTCTCTGTAGGGAAAGCTGCTCAAATCACATATTTTAAGAACATTTTCATGACTTTATATCGTCTGGATAAAAGCGATTTTAAAAGTATTTCAACGCAATCAGACATAAACTTAAACAGAAAGCCTTTAGGCCTTAATATTTGTTCACTTCCACTTTTGTTTCTGGGGGAACTCCACTATTTTGACTCCGGTTCAATCATGCATACCTCCTGACTTCACAAATATCTTGGCTCGAGGAGACGTTTTTGAACATCAGCGGTTTGTCACAGCTCGCGCTGAGTGTGGTTAGACGCAACATGGCGCATCATTTCCTGTCAGAGTAGATGGTTGCCCAGCCTCTCTGTGTTTGGATGTTTTTCAGGGTGTGGAGATTTCCTCGCAGAGCTGCACCTCATGAATCACAAACAGGAGAGGGAAGGCGGTGGGTGTCATATTTACACTGGGGACACAATAGGCTTTTATTCAGCACCCAGCAGAACGAACGGAGGAATTTCAGTCTATTTTATAAACATTTAAACAACATAATTAATCAACTTTTGAGATGGTTTTTTAATGAGCAGTTTCGGCTGCGGTTTTAAAACTTTGCTAAATGGTTTGACATGTTTACTCGTTTGTGCATCACTTTCATGCCACTGAAACTGTGTCATAAAATTGATCCACACAGCTGCCTGCGCAATAAATCAATCAACCATTGTGTGGTAGTTGCGGGTCATGTGTTTTTTCGCGTATAGGCTTTAAATAAAAGCGTCAGAGTCGTGACATTTTTTCCACCGGACTCTTTCAGAAGTAGAAGGCGGCAAGTTTCACTGTGCCTGCTGTGTAATTATGTTAATACACGGCCACTGGCTCGCAAAGAGGCTGTAATCAGAGGGTCAGCCTCCCTGAAAACTGTCCAAATGAAGAAATTACCGTGCACTCTAAACCCTGAACCGCTTCCCATGAGTCCTTCACACGGCCCATTTATTTGAACTGGCTCTCACCCGCAGCAGGCCGCACTCCCAGGAACGGCTCGTAAAAGTCATCAGGTCCTCATTACCGTCATTACTATAATTATTTTCTATATTTAACCACGTGAAATGAGGCCAAATGAGTGTGCTGGTTCGCCCCTTTTTCCGTGAACCACCCCGGGACATGTGTTGCAGTGGTACAGCCCTCATTTTCACTCATCGAGGTACTGCGTTATGTTCTCACAGCCGGAGCGTACCACCTTTTCCAGGAGAAGGTTGTGTTTGTTTATGAAAAATCAGAGCCACTTTGGGGACGCCGTGATTAATGTGCGGTGGTGCTTTTGGGAGAATTTGTGTATTTGTGAACTTTGTTTTCCCAAAGCCAACTCCATTATTACTTAATTGATGCAAATCCCAAAGTAGAGGGGCTGAAACCACCCAGAGAGCTCGTACCGAGAGCTAAGGTGGGACCTTTCAACAGGCAGGCGGTGGAGTTACATAAGTTTTTATTTTTGGCCCCGGTCAGCACAGGCTCTACACATGAATGAGGGGACGTTTACACTGTTTGTGTTCAGGCGAGACGCTGGTAGGGGGAAAAAAAAGTGTTGTTGACGTAGAGGTGAGTGAGTCAGAGCAGAGAGAGGGGCTCAGACAGCTGGGTCTACAGGCTGGAGATTGGGTCCCAGGTGCAAATGTGGACAGCTCAGCTTAGCACGATTCCTCGCTCACTAATGACAAAAACACACAAGGCTGTGAAAGGAGCTCTTATTGCAGAAACCCAAGAGAGCCCACATGGTAGATTAAAGTGGGTTTTTTAAGAGTTCAGTGCTTTATTTTATCTCATCAGCTCCGCTCTGTCTCGGTCTGATCTGTTTTTACAGTTAGACAGCCAAAGATGATTAATTTTACACGGATAATTACGATTAAAATCTCATTATTTTCACTTCAAAACTGTTTTAAGTTAACGTTAATTATATGATGCAATTCTTACTAATGTCTTGCAAAGTCTAAAGGAAGTTACCACCCATTTAGCAATCACTGGAATCTTCTTCTGTTAAGTTTTCTCTCTCCACAGATCAATAGTGATTCACACTCTCCAAATGAGTACTCTGCTGGTTTTGTGTTGCGGTTTCCTGCTAATATTAGTCTGATTAGCTGCGTCTCTATACTTTACTCTAAACTATAAATACTTTATGGTCTAACTACAGTATGTTTGACCAAAAGTTATTTCTGATTAATCAGCTAAGTCACCTTTAAAGCAAAATGTGCAGCGGTGTCAATATTTTCACCAGTAGGATACCGCAGCAGCTTTACTATGGGGGGCCAAAAGCAGACAAAATGGCGGCCTTGTGTAGTTTGCTTTAGGAAGCAGCGGCCTGGTGGCTGTCTTGCTTGAGTCTGGTTCTACCAAAGGTTTCTGCCTGTTAAAAGGAAGTTTTTCCTCCCCACTGTTACTCATATTAGATGAGATGGGCCAAATCCCATCTTAGGTTGGTTCATCAAACGATGAGCGTGGTCTAGACCTGCTCTTTTTCTTTGGAAAACATCTTGGGATGACGACTGTTGTGAATTGACGCTTTATAGATAAAATTTGATTTTATTTGATATAAATCATGTATTTTCGATCTTGATTGTAAAGAAGTGAAAGTGTGGATGCTAACAGTGTCATGGATCTGGGTGAGACAAAAAACTTACTTAGAATGTCCAACAGAAAAATTCCCAAGACAAAAAAACACAAGAGGGAAAATCCAAAATACAGCAAAAGACACAGGGAGGAAAAAATCACAAGGAGAGACTGGAGACACACATGCATACATGGAGAGGTGTCGACATACAACACAAAATCTTGAGACTAAAATCTGATGAAAAATGATTGAATACTCCTCCAGATAATAACACTTTGTTCACCAAAGTAGCAAGGAAGTTTTCAATTCCCTTAAAATTTGCTGCATTTCACCTTTAAAAAATGTTTGAGGCAATTTATTTACTGTAGCTTCACATCAGATCAACACAAATGACTAAAATTTACCTGTTTTAAGTTTAAAAGAGCTTTTTAAAACTAAAAACAAATAAAAGACTTGAACCAATTAAAAAAAATTGACTTTTAGGCTCATATCAGCCTGATAAATACAGAGGAAAACTGTTGAACTTCCTTTTACCTCACTGAGAGATAATATCTTGTCTATGCACTCGCTTTGTACACTATTGCCAGTCTGTTATTTATTTAGATTTGAGGTCAAACGCTTCCAGGAAGCAGCCAAACGCCTCAGTGGCTCACAACGGATCACTTCCTGGAAGCTCATCTGTAGCAGCAGCAGAATGGGCCTCGTCTGCCTGTCAGCTGACTGACAAAGTACAAACACGTGTGTTTAGAGTGTTTAAAGGAGGATCAATGATGAGTGCTCGAGTCACTGGGCTGTGGATGAACTTTGTTTACACCGTGAGATCAGAGGCTCAGTTTAGTATTCAGTTTCACCTGCACCGACAAAAACACGACAACAGGAGCTTCACTTCAAAAGCATGTTAGCATTCACAGCTAACTTTTAACTTCAACACAATCCCTCAGATTTATATGGTCACTCATGTTTAAATCTCCCCTGTGACTCAATCTATATGGGGCGTGGCGCCATGCGTGCGAATGTGGTTTCCTTCTCTGCACGTCCATCTTCCCTTTAAGTTCAGCAGAAATAAAACCAAACCACAATCAGGACAAATGTGTGAAAGTGTGTCAAAGAGGCCCAGACTCACTGCAGCAGATTATGTTTATGTTTATTGTTCACACAAACTGGGACTGATGTCTGACAGCTGGATGCAGAGAAGTGTGCTCATAGACGGATTGGGTGAAGTTACCTTCAGATGGTGAGAAATCACGACAAACCATAAAGGTGTGACTTCGTAACGGTGATGATTGTAAGGTTTTAGCTATTAATAGTAGTCAGTTTTATTCCTCATCTATTTAAGGACCCAAACATAGGGCATATATCGGGTATAAACAGTCAGATTGCAGCTTTAGTTGTCGTCTACTTCCATGATACTTTAAAGCTCTACTACCCGGATGTAAACAAGCACAGGTGACATAGTTTGCGTTCTTATTTCTGGAGGCATTTGTGTCTAAATTCTGCTGACTGTCTGATTTCTGTGTATGTTATTGTGTCTCTAAGGTGCTAAATGTTTCTCTGAAGTGAACATGCCATTGTGGTTGAGAGGAAGGATGCTGGGTCACAGTCTCTCTTATGCATCTACCCTTCACCAGCTCGCGTCCTCTGCAGAGCGTGCCGATGATAAAGTGGTTTAACGGAACCTTTTTTTCATGCCTGTAGGCGTGCTCGAAACCACAATGGTTTCATGATGGTGTGGTTGGTGAATTCTCGATTTGACAGCTGGTTGCAGATGTGAATACTTCACAATAAGTGGAGACAAATGAGCCTGTTTTGTGTGCTGCTCTTCGTCTGAGAGGTTATTTAATTTCTGTGCTGAGCTTCAAACACTGAGCAGGTAACACCAGCTGGACAACTGGACCTTTCAAACCCGCTCACATAAACAGGTTAGTGTTCAAGTGGCACGTAGGGAGCTGCCCCCATTTTTGGAGGATTTTTTTATCTGGTTCCTCTGAAAAATTCTGCTGATGGATTGAGAAAAAATGTACTTTTCAAGTTTTTTAAAAAGCTTTAATCTTCTCCTTTTCTATTAACGGTCTTATTTTCTACTTAGTACAGGATATTTAGGTCGTATTTTTAGTGTTACATCCTGAAAGGAAGCATTTTGGGGGACTTTCCAGGCAAATGTGGCTAAAATCAACATGTCATACTGAAAACAAGACAAGCACGCTCACTTGGATTTGAGTTTTGCAGTCTTTTCTTTTTTAAAGTATCAGCTGATGGTTGCATGTGACGATAATCAGAAAGGTTATTGTGTAGTTTGCTTTCGGTAGCAACTGGAAAATTTGGCATTTTAAACAAACTGTGTTTTACGGAGATGTATTTGGTGAAAAAACTGAGGATAGCCTTTAGATGTATTGTGTGTTAATTAAATAAAATTGTTAATATTAAAAAAAAAAGAAATGTCAAGATCATATTTGTTTGAGGATCCTCTGAGGAGTTTTTGACGTATATGGAATTGACTTTTTATGATATCCAAAAGCAATAAAGACCATCAGTGGCATGATTTATGATTCTTATTTTGTAATTATTAATGCCAAAAACTGGTGGGAGAGGGTAGATGTCAGTCGGGGAACAGAAAAATCAGCTGTATTTTCAAAAATTTTCATAAAAAATATTCACATCTGAGCAAAAAAAAGTTGAGATTTTTTATCAAAAGACTATCTTAGCATGTAAAGTTAAGCTTTGTCCAGAGGGGGCGCCAAAGTTAACACAAATTGAAAGTTCCTCACTGGAGCTTTAAGCAAACATTTCAAAATCAGACTCCAGATTAAGATTATAATAACGTCCATGCATTAGCTAACACCTATTTTCTCAGACTAAATCCTCTCAAACTTTAATCAGAGTAGTCATCATCCAGTTTTCTCACGGTTTCCTCTCCCAGCCCTGAACAAATTACTGGAATAAGCAGACATCCAGGATCGGCCCCCATCAGGCGTGTTGACCCTCGAGGGTCACAGCCAAACTCGTCGCAGCTAGCCTAGCTGGTGGCCCTGGCAGGGTTTGATTGTGATGGTGTAATTGTGCGTTGGGTGTTGCTGGCTAACGGCCCTGACAGACAGTGTACTCAGACAATAGCCAGGGAGCCCAGGCCCTGCAGAGAGAGATAACGATGTTACTCGCAGAGAGAGTTTCACATGGGAACTGGACGTGTCAGAAAGAGGAAGGCCAATGAGGGTTCAAGAAAGCCTCAAACCAGCAGCAGCCACATGGTGGGCTTCCTGATTCCCACACTGAGCTACTGCAGGGTGAGGCGGCGATGACACAGTCTGAAAGATAAAGTCCTTTCAGCCGTGCAATGTTTTTTTTTTCAAAGTTCTCACTGGGGATCTGCGTCTGCTCGGCTCTTTTCATTCGACCTTAAAGGATTCATTCTAGTTCACTCTCAAAGTCAGACTTGATGAAGATTTAACGCCTGGTTCCTCCTTGCTGTTTCATCTTTATTCTCGTACATTCTTCAACCATTTATTGCAGAGAAAGAGGAAATAACAGAGCGCAAACAAAAAAACGTGTTACTTGTTTTAAACTGTGTTTACAAGAACCCATCTGACCAGGAAGTGGTGCTTCAAAAATAAAGCAGTGTGGTTGTTTGCATGAAAAACAGACCAGCTTAGAAATCTGAACAACATCCTCCATCCTCCCTGAATTCTAACAATAAGGTGCCCTTGAGCAATGCAGCTAATCCCTTATTGTGTTAGTAGAGCTTATAGAGTTTACAGTACAGGACTGTTGTTGTGTCGGGGAGCTCCCATGAGCTGAAGTTCGTTATCATTTGAGTATAAAGCAGCTGAAAAGGAGTATTCATGCTCAGTTAACTCCCTCCCTGGGTGAATAAAGGCAAAAAGGAAAAGATTGATGCATTTACTAAGGCAATTAGTCTAAAATGCCTCTCTCAGACTCACAAGTGGCACACTCTGGGGCTTTTCCTATCGCCAAAATCTGCAGTTCAGAGTCATTATCCCTCAGCCTTTGCAGGCCCTTTAGATAACTGTGCCCTGGAGCAAGGCGCAAGCTGAGAAAATCCCATCAAGTTCAGATTGGTTTGAAAGACATCTGGTGTGGAGCCGGGGGCGAATGCAATCCCGCATGCTAATTCGAAGTGAAGAGAGACGTTCACCAGGACGTCAGGACTTTGACGACTGTCGCTGAAGCTTGTACACATTATTTTTTCCTTCTCAAATGTCTGTGTTTCCCTTTCTGCAGAACCTGATGGCTAAAGCGTTGTACGACAACGTGCCGGAGTCCCCCGAGGAGCTGGCCTTCCGTAAAGGGGACATCCTGACCGTAATAGAGCAGAACACAGGAGGCCTGGAGGGCTGGTGGCTCTGCTCCCTGCACGGCCGCCAGGGCATCGCCCCTGGCAACCGCTTGAAGCTGCTGATCGGACCCATGTTTGAGGCTCAGTCTCCGTCTGCTGGAGCCGCCTCGAACGCCTCCTCCCCTCAGAGCTCAGCCTATCAGCAGAAGCCTGGATCAGGGTCCCAGGGGATCTACCAGGTGCCCCCGACTCTGCAGAGCCCACAGCAACAGAGTCAGCAGGGCATCTACCAGGTTCCTCCTTCACAAGACGTCTACCAAGTGCCCCCGAGGAGCACGCTAGCGGCTGAAAACACTCCGAGCAAGGTAAGACAGAAAAAGGAAAACCACTACTGACTTTTTTTATCATCATTTCTTAAAAGGGATATTTCGGCATAAAATAAATTTAGGGTTAAACACACTGTAACACCGAGAGATGAATGTTGTCAACCGCTTGCTTCTCTAGTTATACCAACTTTAGTAACGACCGCAGGATAGCAATACACAGCGGTCTGAGGAGCCATAAACAAACCTCAACCAAAACACCACTCTATAGCCACAAATAATGCTCAGAACAGCACCTAACTTCATCACCTACTGTCTTTCAGCAGCCGTTTGTTTGTAGCAAGACCTCAGGCCAGTCCATTTACGGGGTTACGCAGCTCAAGGAAGAACATTTATGATCATTTCTTTATCATACCTTGAAGTAAGAATCACCGTATTAATCAATTTGCACCGCAGACCCAGTAGTTCTTCTGCCTTAGCGTCTCGGTATGATTGTATTTCCATGAAGAATTGATCGTAAATGTTCTTCCTTGAGCTGCGTCACCCCACTGTAGTCCATAATGGACTGGGCTTAAGTCACGCTACAAACAAGCGGCTGCTGGAAGAGAGTAGGTGAGTTGTGTTTAGTCTCTTTGTTAAAGAAATCAGGCAAACTTAAAAAGATGTTTGAGGTTTGTTTATGGCTCCTGAGACCGCTGTGTATTACTATCATGTGGTCGTTACTAAAGTTGGTATAACTACAGAAGCAAGCGGTCGTCAACATTTATCTCTCGAGGGGGTCTCTAACTCGATGTTACGGTGTGTTCGACCCTAAATTAATTTTACATCAGAATATCCCTTTAACAAGGCTGGACCTTCTGATTCCCCTGATTACTATCTCTTCAGATTTAGTAAATCCTAATACAAAAATGAAAACAATAACTGTACAATCATAAAGCTTTAATTCTGTGTGAGTGTATTTTCTGGCATGCGCTCTGCTCATGGTCACTGTCGTGTTTAATGTGCGTGAAGCTCTTACTTGCAGTGATTTAGACAGGTTAGAAACAATGGTGGAGCGGGTGGTGAAAGCATACATTAATAGAAAGCGTGGGCTGGGCTTATAGACAGAGAAAATAATGGAGAACTGACCCCTGGAGACCGGTCTCTGGGATCAGGGCGGATTTAAAACACAACCTCCTCTCTGGTGGGTGTGTCATTTGCCGTTGAGTGCGGGTATTAGATGTGATAGGACATGGCATTTATGCATTTACACCGTGACCTGTTCCCCTGCCAACCTGCCACGACTCCCATTACTGATATAACACAGAGAGAGAGGGAGAGGGAGAAGAAAGGCTGAAGAGATTGTGGGTCTGCGATGTGAAATGTGGACAGGGTGTGCCGGGCCTGGCGCTCACCACAGAGCAGGGTAGTGTTTTTGTGCAGGGCTCCCATTTGGCTTTTCTTGTATTTTGGCACAGTGTGTGTGTAGCAGAGCCGGTCTGAGCCACAGAAGGGCAGTGAGCATGGGAAAAACCTGCGGAAAAGCAAACAGCACAGGGCTGTTTTCTGGGGTTTGGTGGAGCCCAGCTGCCTCAAAGTAGGTTTTCTGTATTTAACTGCTGTAAACAGGGTGGCTGGTAGACCCTGGTCCTTTACAGTGCAGATATAAATACAATCACCGAGGCAGTGCGTCCATTATGTGTAATGTATTGTGTTTTTATTGGCTGGATGGTGTATCATTTGGAACATATATATCTTAGGCTGCCCTGGAAAATATAGTCTGCTGTTGCACAGGGGAACAAACGGTTGCTCTGTGTTCAGGTTTGCTCTGATTCATGGGTGACCATATGGACGAATAATGTTCTTTGTTGTATTTATATTCAGCCGAAAGTCTAAGGAATAACATTTTGAAGCGAGTGTTGAAAAAGAGGAGTTTTACGCTGTGATATAAAAGTAACCAAAGTAAAGCTGGGCGATAAACCAAAAATTTATAGATACCAAAATTTACGACAATAACTGATGTCATTTTGCCCATATTGGTATATTCGGTGTAGGGCTGGGCGATATGGAAAAAAGTTTAGCACAATATATTTTTTCATATCAGTTGATATCGATGTAAAAAATAAAGTGTAATAGTGCTTATCAGTGGCATGTCTTTTGCAATATAATAAGCTACTGTATCTGTGAGGTCTTTGTGTCTCTTTGACTTGTTGTCATAAGGCGTTGTGCTACAGAAAGCGGCTAAATGGTTGGCTGTTTAAGTGTTAAAGTGCTATGGTTGCGTGTAGCTGCAGCCGGCTACTACACTGTTGTTTGCTACTTGGTTGTAATTCAGCATATGATTGGTCGGACCTGAAGGAACTCCCCTTTTCATCGGCTATTCGTATAGTCTACCAAAACATGGCAGAATGACGACTATCGAAAAGCATATTGACCATGTTTTATATTGAAATCGAGGGAAATTACTTTTTGATATATATCGTTATCGTTTTATCGCCCAGCCCTAATTCGGTGTCAAATAAATAAATAAATAAAAGTTGGTTTTGGATGTGTGTGGGTAGGCTATGGTCTCATGTCCGTTTAAGGCACTGTCGTACATCAGAGACGTGACTCCACCCCATCCAGTCCATAACAAAGAGAGAAAGACAGGTGAGGAGATGGAGGACGGTTCAAAAGTTGTAGCGGCTGAAGTAGATGAAGTTAATGTGGGAGGGGGTGAGCAGCTTGTGGAGTAGTTATCATCCATTTATCATTATCGATGTGAACTGCTCAATATATTGTGATATTGATTTGAGGCCATATCACCCAGCCCTAAACCAAAGTAAAGAAAAATAAAACAATTTTTAGAAAAGGAAATATTACTGCTCAGGATCTTTAGCACCAGTTTGGATTAAATTTGGATAAAAACCTTAAATATAGTCTGAGTCTATGAGGCAGTTTCAGAGAGAAGTCAGAGGGAATTTTCTCCTTGAAAAGGGAGGAAGAATTTTCCCGTTTATTCATCCGTTAAAGTAGCGCCGGCACCTCAGACATGATCATCCCTCCAGGAGACGGAGAGTAATTATATGCTGGATGAGCTTTTAATATCCTAAGGTGTTTTTTTTTTCTCCCAACAAATCAGCTCCTGCAATCATAGAAATGAGCGAAGGTGTGCATTTTTCAAGGTAAATAGGCAGCAGCAGGCGCCGAGGGCTTAGAGGATTTCGTGTGATTCAGTTTGTGATAAAGTCAGCCGCAGCCGGGGATCTGCGAGGAGAGAGCTGTCAATCAACCTGCACGCCGCCGCTCTGCGAAACAACACCTTTATTTTTCCGCTAACAGGCCTGAAGGATCTTAAAGGACGTGATGATTACACGGAAAATTAAATGTACTTCTATTACAAGTGCTGTTATCGTGTCATTGACGAGATTGGGTTGAATTCTAGACGTTTAACTGCGGTTTTCAAAAGTGGTGCAATTTTCAGCAGTTGTTCCTGTCTGCGAAATAGAAAGCTTTTCACTTCGACGTCCAGCTCAGGAGTCCAGAAAGAGCTCTGTTGTTTTCCAGTGACGTCCGACTGCTGGACAGACTCGCCATCGGTTTCTGTGGCCGCGTTCATTTCAAAGCCAAACTGGAGTTCAGACCAGCTTCAGGGAAGTGTTTTCTACTAAAACAGAGGATGTTTGAGGAGTTATTCTTGGCATCCGAGGCTGAATTCGCCCTTTCTGTTTTTACATAAAGACTGTTAGATAACTAAACTGTTTTGGTTTAATCTTACGGGAGATTAAAGCGGGGCCCAGACTCCAGGTTTGGAGCCATTCATAAACTGTGTTGGTAAATCCGTAGCAAAGTCAAACTGGACAACCACCAGCTCTCTCTCCTCTTTGAAACTCTATCAGCGGGAGTGCGCTGCACCGCAGTATTTTTAGAGATTATTTTTGTTGACCTGAAATCCAAAGCCTTGACCTTTGACTCCCGGTCCTCATCTTGTTTACTACAGCTCGTCTCTGTGGAGCAGATATTGATGACAGACTGCAGAGCGTTGACTCACGCTGATGGAGCTGAAAGGACACAGATATTTTCTTGTCTTGGAGTGTGAGCGCACAGACATGCACGCTTCCCTAAATGATTATGGGGACTGATGCGGCTTCCTCGCCTGATTATCCCCTCTCGTATTACTTTTAAGCCTCCTACAGAGAAAGGTCCTTGCATGGGCTTCACCATGCAGAGTTTCAGGGTTCCTCCAGAGTGCGTCTTCCTGTTTGCATGCCAGCCCGGCAGTGCAAATCCAGATTGGCGACTGGTTATTTTCTCTTCATGTGGCGTGGCGCTCTGGAATAAAAAAAGGCACACTGGGGTTTGGCGCTCTCCGCCTCTCTGGATGTTTGGTTTGATGCTGAAGCCTTGTCCCTGGGTGACCCTCGAGGGAGGGTGTGCTAAACAGCTGCCCCCAACCCCCTCAAACCCCGGTTCAAGGCCTCCGAGCTGCTTTGAGCTCTCGGCCACACAAAGGGCCTCCTCACATGGACGCCGAGCGAAGCCTCGCACCGTCTTTTATCATTCTGCTCTCAGAGGCTCATTTCTCATCTCGGTCTTGGTTCCCTCTTTCTTCTTCTGCTCTGAAAGGTGTGTCTGTTTCACCGCTTCAGTTTCTCTTCAGTACTCACGTTTCCTCTGTGACTCAGGCTCCGGGGTCACGCTGTTTAAAAGATGAGTTCAGAGTTCAAAGATCTCTGCCTAGCGTCTTATCTTCTCATACCAGACGGCCCTTTCATTCCTCACTTCCTGTTTTATAAGGTCTCCTCCATGTATGGGCATTTCCTGCAGTCACTGTGTCATACCCATAGATACAATCTGCTCATTGGTGCCATAAAAAGAGGTATAGCTGCAACAAAAGGCTTAATAAACTCCAGACAACTCCAGGAAGTGCTCTGATAGCTGTTTATGGGCCTTAAAGGGTGTGCCATCTACCTTGATAAAGCCCCTCATGGGAGAAACCAGGTTGCGTGTAATGAATGGCTTGTTTGTTTGCCTCGGTCATATTTTCTTTGCCTAATCATGCACACAACAATCTCAGCAGCAGATAAGTGAGTTATTTCTTCCTGCAGCAGGCCGGCTCCTTCAGACGCTTGTCCGCTCGCCATTGTCGCAGTTGTGATGAATCGCCGGCCCATGAGGTTTGACCGAGGGGGCGAGGTCATAAATCAAGTCCCACCGAAAGTAATCTGCGCTGCGGTGCGCATACTGAGAGGACTTTCTCCCCTTGAAAGTTTAAAACCAAGAATGTGATAAATGAGCTGAAGAGTCGAGGAGGGAACGGCAGGAAATGCTTTGCTGAAAGTGAACATTTAAGCAATAGAGGTGGCAATTATAAAAACCAAAGTTGACTTTCAAATCCTCTTTTTTATCCAGCCGAGAGAAAAGGATTTGGTTTCATGTAGAAGAAGACAAAGAAAACCAGGATTCGGTCCAATTTAGAGCCTAAAAAAAGAGAACGTTTGACTTTGCGTTTGTACTCGCTGCAAACTCGGCGGTTGAGGCTGAAAGATCCCGGCGATAGTTGGATGGATTGTCATAAATTTAGGTTGAGGTTCACTTTGGTGACGAGCCGATAACATCGCAGAAAACACTCAAGCAGGATTTATTATTTCAAGTACGACAAAGACAAACGAAAAACATGAAATCCCTGATGTCGAGGCTGAGACACAAGTCACCCCCACCCTAAAAGATTCAGCACTTGTATTTGTGTATAAAAACAACCGAGTTTGACTTATTTCCAGTCATTAGAGACACTTTGGCGAAGAAACGACTTTTGAGTGGGAGGATTGATTTTGAATTTCAGCACATTATTTGCCCTGCGGTGTAAAAGATGGGCAAAGAACCAATCACAGCTAAATCAGGAGCTCCTCACCAGCTGGATGAATTTCTGGCATGTCAGAAATTTTGATCAGCTGACTGACTGCACCCTTTTATACACAACTGACTTTACTTACTTCTTTTCCTGATTACTGCTCAGTTTTTATTTACCTACAACTTCCCGCCGTCATAAAATCAATACATGCTCAGTCTTACAGGAACCTTCCAGCTCCAATAAACTCAGGGCTTCAATTTAAGCTCAGCTGCACTTTGTTCTCGATGCTAATCTAGTCTGAAAGTATTTACTAAGACAAAGATAGTAAATAGGGAAACAATGAAAACATCAGTCTAGTTGTCCGGGGTTTGTGTCGTGTGGACTAGCTGAATTAGAAGCACATAAAAAACACTCCACCCGACTCGAAAAAATCAAAATTTACAATGCGCAACTCTGTGACTCCGCCCCCGCATAGTCGTGTCCTCTTTTTCGGGGATTTAGAATATGGTCACCCTATCCCTGATAGTCTTGTTTGCTTTTGGATAGCATGAAAAGACACCAACATGAATCTCAGTCATTTCATAAACTCCTCACAGGCGCTTTAAGACGACCTTGTCATCAATCAAGTTAGCATGTTAGCATTCAGCTCTAGTACGTCCCAGCCTCACTGAGCTGTTAGCCCGACTTTGGACTCTTTGTCTCGTCTCTTATTGGTTACGAAAGACAGTCCTCATTTCATATAACCCTCCTCTTTTCCCCGAGGACTGCCTACTATGATATTGTTTTTGCTCAGACAGTAAACAGTGAATTTCAGAGCGTTATTTCTCTCCAGATAATCACAGCTGCAGATTACGAGCTCCGCTTTGATTGGGGAGGCTGACGGATGATCCTTATTAATGCTAAAATCAGTGTGTTCTCTTTTAATGCTCCTCATTAAGCCCGCTGTCTGTTTGGGTTTAGCCACTTGGACGTGTTATGGAGATGGCCGTGAGCCTCTCGGGAATCAGGAGTTAATTACCTGCATTAATTAGTTTGGCACTTTAATAGGCTGGTGCCGCTCTGAGTGGCTGAGGGGAATGTTATTGAGCAGTTTCGAGCAGCGGAGGAAATGGCCCAAAACACTGCGAAGGCCGTTTTTGTACTGTGATTCAGCAAAGCAGAAAGGGCACACCCTACATTTAGAGGAAGCAGTCATATTCAAGTACAGCTTTTACCTAATATATGACCGATTACATGGCGTGAAGGCACAGCTGGTGGCGCTGATTTAATTTCCCCTTCGCCCTTGCTCTGGTGAAAGAAGAAAAGTAGGTGAGGTCGACTTTTTCAGCACCCAGATAGGTGAGCGGGAGAACAAGAGAGGAGATGAGGAGGTGTGGACGAGGACATGCATGGGCGACATTCAATAGGGTGCCACTCTGGCGACGCTGTCATCGTCACGTCTTCTATAAGCGAGTGAAAAAGCCTCATTAGGGTTGTTGATTCGTGTCAGCGGGCCATTAGCGGGGGGAAGTGGTTGCTCTTGATGAATGTTATCGATGAAAAGGTGTGAGGTGATGATTTCCTGTAAAATCCTCTCACACAGAGATGAAGCGTGCCGGGGTTGGATGACGAAGCTGAAAACATAATGATGTAAGAGTCAGGGTCAAGAAAGGTCCTCGGCGTCGGCTCTACAAGTTCCTGAATTAATGAATCGGGACAGAACTGACATAAAAACGACAGCCAGTGAATGTTTTAGGTTTGATTTGCTGCCAATTAGGGATGGGAAAGAGTGTTTTCCATCTAGAACAGATGGCTGTGATATCAGCCGCGTGAGGGCAGATGCCAATATGATACAGATCATGTGAAAATGTCATTAAAAGGCCAGATTGATTAGCCAACGGATAAATAGGTCAGTGTCTCCTCTTTGCTCTCTGACAAAGAAATGAAATGAATGAGAGTGATTAAAGGCTGACCTTAATCAATCAGAACGTTTACATAACACTCGAGAAAACTGAGTTATCGCCTTATTCTAACCAAGACCGGACAACTGAAGTGCATGTAAACACCGAAGTCCGACTATAAACGGAGTTATAATAATGCGATTGGAATGCGATTTTCTCAACCAGGTAACCAGCGTAGTTGGAGTATGATCAGACAGTGAATGTTCGCATGAGCCATGCCCCGTAACTCCGGAAATCTCATCTGCAGAAAAAGTAGCGTGTACATCATGTACGACAAAAACAACGCTGTACGATGCTCCATCGTCTTCATGAAAAAGCCCAGCAGCAGTTGTAGACACTTCTGACGTCTGGCACGGACCTGCTGTTGTTGTTGTTGTTGACGGTTGTACGGGGTTGAAAACAGCGCCGTTATCGTATCGCCCCCTAGTTTTGGGGAGGAGGGCACAATCACGTCAATAATTTAATTTTCTCAGCTGCATGTACAAAGAGAGAAGTCCGATTTGACAAAAAAAACGAACTACTAGCTTAGTCCGATTAATGTGAAAATCAGCATTTAACATCAGAGAGTCAAGCTGCTTTTTGATAAGTCATTGGAGAAAGTTAATTGATTAGTAATGCCTGCTGACGGGCACATACTGCTCTTTACTGATGCATCGCACTGTGCCTCTCAGCAGGCATCACTAATGGAGCACAGGTCAATGCATTGGCGGAAGTTTCAACACAAAAAGTTGCACCATAACAACTTTTTGCACTTGCATAAATGTTCCCTAGTTTAGTTTGAGGTTGCACTGATTGAATTATGGTTGCGATTTCAAGCCGTCTGTTTAAAGAATTATCTTATTTACAGGTTTTAAAGAAGTGAACAGAAAGAAACTTAATGTTTATGAAAAGGTCCCCAAATTTCATTCAGTTGAAAAAGAAAGTCGAGTAATTATCTCAGTTATAATGAAACACCTCCAAATTTGTGGTTTGAGGCCGATTTTAAAATGTTGACCTGGCGTCCAACACTCCCTAGTTAAGAGTCTTGTTTTTCACTTTTCATGATCAGAATTAGGTCATACAATAATCAAAAGCAGTAAATCTGCCGAACTGTAGAGAATATCCTCAAAGGAAAGCATTTATCATCATTTTACGAGATCATCCAGAGAGTATAAAAAGGTCATGAGGTAGTTGTTGACGTTATGACGACACCTCTCAGATGACTCCAACGTTAAGCTGTAAAGTCCTACCTGCCAAAACCTGAGCCTGCCAGGATGCAAAGTAAACACAGAGTCGCTGAAAGAGCCGTGACTCACTCAGCATTACGCACAGGAGCGTTAACAAGGCATCTATTTGTCTCCTCGGGGCGCTAGTTTAAACCTGATCTCTCTTTAGTCACCACGTTTGCTCTGAAGGAATCCTTACAGCCTCCTATCACCTGAGCGGGAACCAATGTTTGCTCGAGCACGCCTCATGATGTCATCGCTCTCTAAAAAGGCAGCCACCTCCGCCGCCGCCGCCGCCTCTACCGCCTTCCAAGATCCAACCTCATTGGTAGCGGTAAATATTTACCCCTCAGCAATTACAGCAGCGCCGAGCAGCCTCAGAGCAACAGCCTGCTGGGTAAACAGAGGGTGGAGATGGGAAATAAATGAGCAGTGTGCATCTGGCAGGAGCTGAGAGGAGCCGCTGACGGGGGAGGAGTGCAGCTCAAAGCGGTGACATGTACCTGCGGAAAAGGTCACCCAGGTTTTTGACAGACACCCAGCTGCCATCTGCATGAGACAGCTGAGTCCAGACTTCCACTCATCCTCAGCACAGAGGCTCAAAACCGCAAGAGACGGCAGCCGGTGTGTGGAGTGACCTTTACCTAGCATCACTTTTTTACTACTTAGTGAAAGGCTGGCTGTGTGTCTGCTGGCTCTGGTTACACTCTCTTCCTCTTTTTTAATTATAACACACTTAAATCCTGAAAACAATAAATATATTATTGAAGACTGACCTTTGGGGTTTCTTCATTATCGTTGAGTGGGTGTGTTGGAGTGCTAGTTTGTTATTGTTTTTTCTGAGGTCTTGCCTACATACTTTTGGATACGGGTCACTAAAAACAAAGTTTAATAAAAGGGATAATGCTGCGTTCCAGTTACCAGTGTTTCAGTTACGAAGTTGGAAAACCAAGAAGGACGCCTAGATTAGCTGTGGTTAGCTGTTTTTTTTTTTTTACAATTGTTAGCTTTTTATTAGCTGTTGTTAGCTGTTTTTTAGCTATTGTCAGCTGTTTTCTTTACAATGGTAACTGTTTTTTTCAATAAGTAGCTGTTTTTTTCAATTGTTAGTTGTTTGTTAGCCATTGTTAGCTGTTTTTTACTATTGTTAGCTGGTTCTTAGACGTTGTTAGCTGTTTTTTTCTGTTGTTAGCTGTTTATTAGCCGTTTTTAGCTGTTTTTTACAACTGTTAGCTGTTTATTAGCCGTTGTTAGCTGTTTTTACAATTATTAGCTTTTGTTAGCTGTTATTACAATTGTTAGCTGTTTGTTAGCCATTGTTAGCTGTTTTTTTTTTTACAATTGTTAGCTGTTTATTAGCTGTTGTTAGCTGTTTTTTTCTGTTGTTAGCTGTTGTCAACTGTTGTCAGTTGTTATTAGCTACACCAGTTGTAAACAACGCACTCTTACAAACACCATAGCACCGTGTTCACAGTTAGACGTTGGTTAGTACAACATATACCACTTGTTGAATCCACAAAAACAAAACAGAAATGCTAATAAATAATACATTATGAGAGCTTTCACTGTTACTTTTTACTGTTGATACACTGCGCTGCCATCTTGAATTATGATGTTGTCGTCAAGTCTGGGTTGGTGAGGATCGTCTGACTTTTCGAGTCGGATATCCCACTGTAGGGGGGCGTTCCAGATTCATTTCAGACTCGGAGCTTGGAAATTCCGACTTCAGAGTACAACTGGAACGCAGCATTAATAACTTTTTTATTTATTTTTTAACCATTCCTGTGTTGCTGTGTGGATAAAGTGATATTGAGAAACCCCTCTGGTGAAGCCGTGGAAACAGCAGTAAAACAGAACATCTATATTTCAGTGTAAATCTGTGTGCGATTGTGTCTATTTATTCCTTCAGATTCTGCTCGGATGTGTTTTCGAGCCTTAGGTGTTCACTTCAGCTCTGACCCCACAGGCCCTGTTGGGATGATGTACGCTCGGACAGGAATGCCAACAATGAACACCTTAAATCACCGCGCTCTTGTTCAAATTGGACTTATGAAAACCATATGGACTACTGTTAGTCAGACTCCAGCTCACATGAATGGCATTCCTTCCCATACTAGGAGACGTACTCTCATTTTTCCGTTCCTCTCACTTTCCACCTCTGTTACCCTTTTTCATAAATCTCTTTTACAAACCACCTCCCCTCCTCCTCCTTCTCCTCCTCTTCTCCATCTCCTCTCCTGCTCCAGAAACATTAATCCCGTTCTTAGCTGGCTGAGGTTACGGCTCCTGCTGCTCACGCTCCGATTAAACGTCTCCACAGTACCAGAAATGTAATAAGGATATTAACTCAGCTATAGAGCCGCTCATGAGTGGATTCTGGGACTAAAGTCTTATACTTCCCCGGAGACTTCTCCCTCTGCCAGTAAGCCGTGCGTATGGTTCTTATTTTGGAGACCCGTTAATGAACCCTGCTCCTCGTTCCAGTGTGGTGATGGTGCTACGTGAGGGCAGAGGAGTAGCGCGGGGCTCTGGAGGACATTCTCGGCATTCCTCTGTCTGTCTTACGCAGCGAGGAGGTCTGCCGCTCTGCTTTTAGGGACAACACGAGGGGGGAGGGGGCGGAAAGATTAGGATAAGGAGGTGTGGATGAAATGATTAGTGCTGAGGATGGAAAATGTGGTTGATAAATTAGCAGGGGGAAAAACGGCCGAGGCGAAAGGGAAACCAGCTGAATGGTTTTAGTTATTTAAGCTATAATCACACTTCTTTGTGGCTTTTGGACATTGGAGCGTGAAAAAATACTTAATAAGTGTATGAAATCCTTTGGAGCTACATGGTTTTGTCCGTATCGGGGTTATTTATCAACACCAGAGTCCAAATGGTTCATTTCCTGGGTTTTTATTTGATACCGATGTCCAACAAAACTGCAAGAAATCACTTAAACTATAAGAAATATATAAAGTATATATCTCTCGACAAAATAGGAATTTCGAGTCTTTAAGAACAGACTTATATAAAATTTAGTGCACTCGGGTCATTTTATACCATTGAATCAACAAAACAGGCTGATTTTAAGAGTTTAAATCATATTCAACAGCTCATACTGGTATAATCCTTTTGTTACAGCTCTTTTTGTTGTGTTTTTCACTTAACCGGGTGTTACAGCTGACAGGAAATACTTCCTGGTTCTTTTCCACATCAGCAGATTTCTGTTTATCCCCTTTGCCCCCTGTTTACAATTACACTAAAACAAGGAGGATGTCGATCTGTCTCTCGTGCAGGACAAATCACATCCAACTGTAATCACTTATTGTCCCGGGTCACTCAAGGATGTGGATTAAAAACACGCGACACCAATGGAGGGCATGCTTTTTGTGCAGCTGGGTGGTGAGGGAGATTGTGTTTGTGAGTGACTGAGCGGTGACTTTTCTTGACAGCAGCTCTGATTGTTTGTCTTTCTCTCCCTCCTCCTCCTCCTCCTCTTGGCTGTGATCAAACAGGTGGTGACCCCGACCAGAGTGGGACAGACTTATACCTACAGTCCTGGACAGCACAACCAGCAGGACCTCTATGATGTCCCACCCAGCAGATCACAGGGGGTAGGTGTCTCATGTTCTCAGGGCAAATACATCTGCGTGAATCTGTCCACTTTAAAACCTTATAATAAAGTTTTATTCACATCTAAGTGTATAAGAAATAACTTTGCTTTAATTCACAGAGGATAGAATAAAAATGAAACATTGAAACTCAAATGTCAGTGGAGTTTAGAGTGAACAGAGAGGTTTTTATTTGTCAGGGTGAGAAAGCTGCTTGTTTGATCTTTAGTTAGTTCTGTTTTTTTTTTTACACCACACATCCTGTTCTGTGCTGCAGTGACCTTATTTTCTCAGAAAGGATCTTTCACAGTTAGAGTTTCGTCCTGTCATCTCGCCTCGGGCTGATAAACCCGCTGAACAGACCTAGTTACTGTACGAAGAAGACTGCGCTATCTCGGGGAATAACGTTTAAGGTTTAGAGTTTAAAAAGTGGAAAAAAAAGATCTACAGTGTTCCCAGTGTGTGTGTCCTCCACTGGTGTATGACTGTGAGTGTTGTGTGGTGGTGGTCGGAGAGGCCGTAGGCGCAGAATGGCAGCCACGTCTCCACCACCACCAAAGTGTGACTGTGTGAGCGAATGAATGATGTATCCAATGTAAAGCGCTTTGAGGGTCTCTGATAAAGCGCTATATGAAATCTGATGCATTATTATTATTATTATATTCTATATGTTGTTTAGTCATGTATCAGCTGTATCCCAAAACATTTCAACATTCATTCAAAGGATATGATGTGTCATTGTTTTTAAAACCCTTTTATCTGAATTTAAAGCTCCTGTGAGGAACTTTTTGTTCATGTCAAATTTGGCGCCCCCTGTGGCCAAAACAGTCATAACTTCATGAAAGAATCTCACTCTGCTGATTTTTTACACTCAAATAAGTCATTTATCGGTAACGTTTTGAGCTCCTCGAGTCACATCTATCCCCTTGGGCTAGTTTCAGGCATTAAAAATTAGGATACTGATCATCAATCATAAGGGGTGAGAGAAAAAATTGATTCACATAAGTATCGCGATTTTTTGTTTTTCAATTTTCAAATCGATTTTTATATTCAAAAATCTTTTTTTCTTCTTTTTCTCTTTCAAGTTTAAGAATAAAACTTAAAAACTGACTTACATGTGTTGTGTATTTTCAGGGAAATATGGTTCCTGGAATAGTCGGTAGACAATCAGAATCATTCGACTGTTTCACTGGTGTTAAAAATGCAGCCTAAAGATTGCTGCGAACAACCCTAACAAAATAAAAAACAATTATACACTTTATTTCATCACTTTACAAAAGGTGAAAAATTAAGCATTAAAACAATAAAAACCCATTTTTATTAATCGTCTTGTGTTGCCTCCTACTTTCAGGTCTACGATATTCCTCCCGGTCAGATGTTTCCTGCTGCCAGAAACCAGGGCGTCTACGATGTCCCCCCTCCTCAAATGGACCCGAGGACACAGGGCGTCTACGACATACCTCCATCTTCACAAGGGGTAAGAGACCATGCCCACACTGAGCTGGTTCTCCTCCATGATGACAGGAAACATCGCTCAGACACTCTATTTGTTTCGAATAAAAAAGAGAGACCGAAGGAAGCGGAGGCAGAAAGTATTATTTTATGTTTATTGATACAGTTCCTTGGATTTCTCTTAATTGTCTGCAATAAATGAATAAAACGTCAAATGCCGTATTTATGACATTCTTGCGGGCGCTCTTAATGAAAGCTTCGCCTGCCAGGAGAGTTTAACCAAAACTCCCAGAGTATGGTTCAGTGTCAGGGACATAACTCTTCTCCTTCCAGACCCTCTAAGATTTCACCAGACTGCCAGACCCGACCGGGCCCAGCGCCACCAGTTTGTTTGTAATAACCTGAAATATGCCGGGACCTGTTATTTGCGTCATTCCTAATTACAGTTTTGGGGTAGGCCTGTCTAGCTGTAAAGAGTGCATTTCAAGGCTGATGGAAATCACTTACAGGCCACCGTTTTATTCAGCCCACTGCGCTCCCATCATGCTCTCTGCTCTGTGTCGAGTTAGTGGGAGGTCAGAGCTTGGACGGGCTCTTGACTTTGCATCAGAGGAAGGAATCAGAGTCTGAAAGTTTGAGGTTTTAAATATAGTATCGACACAAGCCAGAGGGTCTTTCACTTCCTAAATGTCTAACTGCTGCAATTCAGAGCTGTTTATCCGATGAAAACCCGCAATAAAGTCGACTTTTTCCAGTAAGCTGATTTCTTAAATGTCAGATAAACAAGAGCGATGTTTCCCTGAGGGAACAATTGATCTTTTGCAAATTTCTGGACAACTATTGGCGATCAAAACAGCTCTAATTTCAACTGGATGGATCTACCCCCAATTCCACTTAAAAATCACATGACATTTTTCTTGTTGTCTACATGTTCATATGGCATTTTTTCTGACGCAACAGAGCATATTATGAGAAAACTAAGTGCAAAATTGCATTCCTGAGTATTTCTGTATTCAAATCGGACACAGAGAGATTTCCTATGTCACAACTCCAACCTCCGCCCATAAAGCCCCACTATGTAGGCCAGACTTGGAAAAATAGAAATTGGAACAAGCGTGTGCGTTAACGGATTGAGCTTGAATAGCTGCTATGTTACCTGCCACTTCTACTACACCAGCAATGTTAGGCTGCAAACTAGCGTGAAGACGATTGAGCAGTCCGCCCACGACTCAGAGGTGAATTGTTAATGATCCACTGGAGCTCTGCAGAAGCAAAGCCCTTAAAAATGACACGGGTAATGCGGTTTGGGCAAAAAACGTCAATATCACCACTGAGAACACTTTAAGTAGTAAAAAGAAACGATCGGATGGGACTTAAATTCATTTTAAATGTGCTTTAAATACAAATTTGGACTTGATTAAAATAGTTTGAAACATTTTCCTGCTGAGGCTCAGGTTGATCTAAAATCTGTCTGAGCAGCGGCTTAGATTTTTGAGGAGGAGGGACATTTAACCGGCTGTCTAATTGAGATTCTTAAACTGACTATCAGCGAAAAAGAAATGACAGAGTGATGTGTCCCTGTATTTAAGATCAAATCCAATTGAAGTGGCCTGTAAACGTCTAACAGTTTAACTGCTGAGCTGAAGCTCCTCTCTGTCTGTTAAACTTAAGAGGCTGTGGTTTTCTTAAACGAGGTTTGGACAGAAATCTGATTACTGCCGCATGTATACATGTGTTTACAGTAACCACACTGTATATAACAAGTGCCCTCGGGTCACCTGCATCACCTGCTGTCCCTGATTAGACTGGTAACTTTATGTTCCTGATTTAGGAGGAATGATGGTCTGTTAGTGTTTGAGAAGAGCTTCAATGAGGAACACACTGTCTGATGAAAAACAACTGCAGTGGAGAGTTTTATGCCACGTTGAAGTGCTGCAAGCAACAGGAACAGGCTGGTTTACTGGTGTGTTTGGAGAGAAAGGAGTTCAGATCAGTCAAAACATTTCAAGACTTTTATGCAGGAGTTATATTTGGTGGTACAGCTGTTCTGAGAGCTCCTGACCCTGCAGCCTTCCCTCTGTTTCACAGGCATACTGTGACGGCCTCCTGCCTGTGATGGCCTCCGGCCTCCAGGGTTTGCTGTTGTTCTTTGTCTTTTCTCTCTCCCTGGCAGGTTGGTGAGTGGGCTTGGCCACACCTGCGTGGATCTGGCCATTCCACCAGGTGTTAAAAGCCCTCATCAAGGATTAGTGTCTCTCTCTCCCTCCTCCGCTGCGCACCACGGCAGTGATCCTCGTGGCACAATGTTTTGTTTTAGTTTAGAAGCTTTGTTAGTTTAGTTCTTTTCTTGGGTATTCAATTATTTACTTAATCTTTGTTGTTAATAAATCTTCCGTTTTAAGTTTAAACCCGTACGCCTCGCAATCTTTTTCATGGCCTTTGAGCCGGGTCATGACAAAATGGGGGCTCGTCCGTTTGTTGCGTTTTTTGACCTCGGTAGGTGTTGATTCACTCGATTTGTGAATGAACTTAGTAAGTTGTGAATTAGTGACGTCACCGCTCTTACTACTCGGAGGTTTCGGAACCCAGAGGTTGTGCTTTGTGAAACAGGTTTGGCACTTTTACGTGGGGTGATACGGGGTTTAAAAAATTGTTTCACGATTAAAATAATAATAATAATTTTGTTTATTTGCCGTAGCTGCTATGTTGGTATTTTGTCGGTTTTGTTTTTGTTTGTATGTTTTGAGCACCCTGATGAGTTTAGCCGTCGGACAAGCAGGACTTGTCACTTTTTTGTTTTAGTTTGTTGTTTTTGCTGGCAAATCCTGAGGAGGGAGCGCGCAAGGCTCGGGATATCACGCTCTACCGAGCCATGGTCGGGGGTGTTATTTTGGGTCTGGTGACGTTTCGAGCTCGGCACGCCAGTGAAGACTAGGATGAGGTCCTAGTAAGATATGGGGTAGGTAGTTAGGGGTTCGGGGTGTCTCAACCTTTTTTGTTTCATAAGCAGCTCGGTAGGTATTTCTGTGGTGTTGGATAACACCTGATGTGCGCGAGGTAGTTGAGTAAGTAAATTTCTTTTGATTTGAAACCGCGAGTGATTGAAATGTCGGATATTTCTGACTTCGTTGCGGCTCCTTCGAGCGAGTTATTAAATAAATGCACCAAGGAACAGCTGCTTAAGATTGCAGATCATTTTGAAATCGAAATATCCGACAGGCGGTTAAAGGACACAATTAAAAGTATTTTAAAAGCAAATTTGGATGAGATGGGTGTTATGGCGACCGATCCTCCCGGTGCAGTTGATTCTCCATCTGTTACAGCGAAGAATTTCACCTTTGAGCAGCAAAAAGAAATGATGATGTTGCAATTAGAGCGTGATAAATTAAAACAAGTGGAAACGGATACGCAGTTGGCAATTGAGAGGTTGCGATTTCAAACTGAGCAGACAAAACTCCAACTACAGCAGAATCAGATGGATTTAATTAAAAGCGGTAGGTTAGTCGGAGATGGTTCTGCGGGTTTGGATGCCTCCTCGTGTTCTCCTGATGGTTTTGATGTTTTGGGAAATTTGAGACTGTTGCCAAAATTTAATGAGAGAGAACCGGAGACATTTTTTTCGTTATTTGAGCGCGTTGCCGAGTCCAGAAAGTGGCCGGAATCTGTTTTTACGTTAATGTTGCAGTGCGCGCTGACCGGCAGAGCACAAGAAGCTTATTCAGCCCTGTCCGCGTCAGACAGCCAAAGTTACCAATTAGTAAAATCTGCTGTATTAAAAGTTTATGAGCTTGTCCCTGAAGCCTATCGCCAACGTTTTCGTTCATGGAAAAAGAATGATAAACAAACATACTTAGAGTTTGCTCGTGATTTAATTTGTCACTTTACTCGATGGTGTTCCGCGTTAAAAATCGAGAGCTTTGAGGAATTATGCGACCTGGTAATTTTGGAGCAATTTAAAAGTTCTCTTCCAGAGAATATTGCGCAGCACATTAATGATCATGAAGTCGAAAATGTAAATAAAGCCGCTAGGCTCGCTGATGAGTATGTGTTAGCGCACAGACGCTCTTTTGGAGAGATGCGCGCTCACAGGTCCAGTTTGAGTGAGCGCACGGATGCCGGTGCGGGGAATTACAATCTTCCTGTAGGGAAGTTAGACTTTAAAGGCCATGAGGCAAACAAGTCGGATAAAATATGTAACTACTGTCACAAAAGAGGACATTTTAAAGTGGACTGTTTTGCACTACAATCTAAAAACAAACAGAGTGGAGCTGCGGGGCAGCCTAAAGCGGCATGTCTCGCTGTTTCGAAGCCAAGAATACTTACGGGGCAGTTGGGAATCTGTGACAAGGGTAAAGCTGTACCTGGAGAGCTCGAATCATTCTTGCCTTTTGTCTCAAATGGTCATGTCTCTTTGGTGGGAAGTGATGAAAAAGTTCCTGTCAAAATATTGCGTGATACAGCTGCCTTTGATTCGTTCATTCAGGCTTCTGTGTTGCCATTCTCTGAAAAAAGTCACACTGGGAGTTTTATTCCGGTGGTGGGAATGGGAATGACTGTAATGAAAGTTCCACTGCACAAGATGTTGCTTTATTCCGATCTCTTTCAGGGGCAGATAACGGTCGGTGTGCGACCTGCACTTCCAATTGAGGGCATCACCCTGATTTTGGGTAACTGTGTAGCAGGTGGACGTGTCTGGGCTGATGCTCCAGCTCCGCCGCCACCAGTAGTATCTGTTGTTCCGCTGGTGAAAAGACAACCAGATGAGAATCAGAGCAGTCTTCCTGAAGTTTTTACAGCGTGTGCAGTCACTCGTTCAATGACACGTGACACTCCCGAGTTAAGCTCGGAGGCTGCAAAGAGTAGAGGTGAGAAATCGAAGTTTGTGCCGTTTTCTCTGTCTGATGTCCCTCTCTCGGTCTCGCAGGAGGAGTTGAAGTTGGAGCAGCGGGCAGATTCTTCTTTGAAAGGGTTGTTTGACATGGTGTTGCCTGAAGACGAGGTAGAAAATAATTCCTGGGGTTATTTTTTACACAATGAACTGTTGGTCCGGAAATGGATGCCTCATGGGAAAGATTTCGTTGGAGATCCCGTTATTCAAGTCGTTGTGCCTGATAAATTCCGGGAGTCGGTGTTAAAACTTGCTCATGACCAATCGGGACACTGGGGAGTGGGAAAAACATACGACCGGGTCCTGAGGCAGTTCTTTTGGCCGCGACTTAAGACAGATGTAGCGTCTTATATTAAAACATGTCACACCTGTCAACTCACGGGAAAACCGAATCAGAAAATTACACCTGCTCCTCTGCTCCCGATTCCTGCAGTAAGTCAGCCGTTTGATCACCTCATCGTTGATTGTGTCGGGCCACTCCCTCGCTCTCGTTCTGGTGCGGTATATTTGTTGACTGTCATGTGCCAAAGCACCCGTTACCCTGCAGCGTATCCATTGCGCACGATCACTGCGCGTTCAGTAGTGCGCGCGCTGTCACAATTCATTTCCATTTTCGGCATTCCAAAAGTGATCCAGTCTGATCAAGGGTCAAATTTTACCTCCAATCTCTTTGCTCAAGTGTTGAAACAGCTCCATATTAAGCACAACAAAGCCTCTGCTTATCATCCTCAGAGTCAGGGAGCTTTGGAGCGTTTCCATCAATCATTAAAATCATTGCTGCGCTCTTATTGCGTTCAGTTTGATAGAGATTGGGAGGAAGGATTACCATGGTTAATGCTGGCGGCCAGAGAGGTAACGCAGGAGAGCACTGGTTTCAGTCCCAATGAGTTAGTGTTTGGTCACGTTGTGCGTGGTCCACTGAAGGTTCTTTACGATGAGTGGAAGGTTGCAGATGCACCGAAAAATCTTATCGACTATGTAAATGGGTTCCGTCATAGACTGTATGCTGCTGGTGAATTGGCAAAGGAAAACTTAACCGCAGCTCAGGACAAGATGAAAAGGCTCTATGACCGGCGTGTTGAACATCGTGTTTTTAGTATGGGAGACCAAGTTTTAGCTTTGTTGCCGCTGGTGAATTCGCCACTTCAGGCTAAGTATTCGGGGCCTTATAAAGTGACGAAAAAAGTATCGGAAAACAATTACCTTATTTCGACACCTGAGCGAAGGCGAAAAGTCCAACTGTGCCATTTGAATTTGTTAAAACCATATTATGCTCGTGTTTCAGGTGCTTCCCAAGAGCCTGTCCCAGCTGGTGCGCATCCCGCTTGTTTGGTGGGGAGAGTGTCCACTGTTTATCCCCCACAGTCGGTGTCCGCTGAGGTGGAGGATGGTTTGCCGTGTGTTGATACCGCTGTCCTTCAAGGCCGCCTAAACAACTCGGAGTCCCTGAGGAATTTACACGTCCTCTTGGGGCATTTAGCAGAGTCAGAACAGGCAGATTTGTGTCGGGTAATAAAATCTTTCCCGGGCTTGTTCAGTGACGCACCCACACAGACGCACTTGATTGAGCACGACATCGATGTTGGAGATGCGCAGCCAATCAGGCAAAGATTCTATAGGGTGAACCCCGAAAAACGTAAATACATGGATGCTGAAATAAAATATATGATTGAAAACGGAATAGCTGAACCCTCCTCTTCAAGTTGGGCGTCGCCTTGCCTTTTGGTTCCAAAATCAGATAACACGCCCAGGTTTTGTTCTGATTTTAGAAAATTAAACGCTGTTACAAAGCCGGATTCCTTCCCTCTTCCCCGTATGGAGGACTGTGTCGATCAGGTGGGCCATGCCAAATATGTGAGCAAGTTTGACCTTTTAAAAGGTTATTGGCAAGTCCCTTTGTCCAAGCGTGCGCGTGAGTTATCGGCATTTATCACTCCGACTGGTTTGTTTTCATATAAGGTAATGCCTTTTGGGCTTCGTAATGCCCCTTCAACCTTCCAAAGGCTTATGATTAGAGTCTTAGGAGATTTGGAGGGCTGCACAGTCTACCTGGATGATGTTGTGGTTGTTTCTGACACGTGGTCTTCGCATGTTGAGCGAATTGAGAAGTTATTTAGTCGTTTGGCTGAGGCACGTCTCACCGTCAACCTCGCCAAATGCGAGTTCGCCAAAGCGACAGTGACTTATCTTGGTAGGGTTGTGGGGTAGGGTACGGTACGTCCTGTTGAAGAAAAAATAAAAGCAGTGGCAAGTTATCCGGTACCCTCGACTAAAAAAGAGCTTATGCGTTTTTTAGGTCTTGTAGGTTATTACCGATGTTTCTGCAGAAACTTCTCGGAGGTAGTTGCTCCATTAACCGACTTGTTAAAGGCAAGCGCGGTCTTTGTGTGGTCTCCCGTGTGTCAACTGGTGTTTGACAGGGTAAAATCAGTATTGTGTAACACGCCTATCCTTTCTGCCCCCAGGTTTGACCGTCCGTTTGCGCTTCAGGTTGACGCGAGTCACGTGGGGGTGGGGGCGGTGTTATTACAGAAGGATGATTTTCGGATTGAGAAGCCAGTGAGTTTCTTCTCAAAAAAGTTTAATTCCTACCAACTCAATTACTCGACCATTGAAAAGGAAGCCTTGGCCTTAGTGTGGGCTCTGAAACATTATGATGTGTATCTGGGGTCCGGGTTGGTGCCTATCGTGGTTTATACTGATCATAATCCGCTTGTTTTTTTAAATACGTTACAGTGTCCAAATCAAAGATTAGTCCGGTGGTCACTTTATCTCCAGTCGCACTGGCTGGACATTAGACACATCAAGGGCTCTGACAATGTGGTGGCAGACGCCTTGTCCAGAGCACCTGTGTAGTGTTGTAGCCGTGTGAGTTACCCATGTTTTTTGTTTTTTTGTACTCTTTCTGCAACTTGTTTCCCTCGTTTCCCCCCTCTTAAATTGCTCCTAGGTACCAGGTTGCTGAGGTGGGAGGGGTGTCATGCAGGTCAGGATGGGGATATAAATAATGAGCATTGGGTAAGTTTTCTTGAAGAGAGTAAAATGATATTGTGAGCCTGGGTAAGTTTTGTAAAGTAATGGTTAAGTACATAGTATTGATAATAATGATTAAAAAAAAAAAAAGTTAAATGTTTTTCTCTTGTTTTGCAATCAACTAGTAAGTTACAAGTGAACCTTGTTTTCAGAGGGATTGTTTATGGTTCCGGGGATGGGAGCCCCGTTTTTATGGAGGGGGGTGTGACGGCCTCCTGCCTGTGATGGCCTCCGGCCTCCAGGGTTTGCTGTTGTTCTTTGTCTTTTCTCTCTCCCTGGCAGGTTGGTGAGTGGGCTTGGCCACACCTGCGTGGATCTGGCCATTCCACCAGGTGTTAAAAGCCCTCATCAAGGATTAGTGTCTCTCTCTCCCTCCTCCGCTGCGCACCACGGCAGTGATCCTCGTGGCACAATGTTTTGTTTTAGTTTAGAAGCTTTGTTAGTTTAGTTCTTTTCTTGGGTATTCAATTATTTACTTAATCTTTGTTGTTAATAAATCTTCCGTTTTAAGTTTAAACCCGTACGCCTCGCAATCTTTTTCATGGCCTTTGAGCCGGGTCATGACACATACATAGAAAATAAGGCAGGCAGAGCAGCAGCAAAAACACAGGAAAAACTGAGCAGACACCAGTGACGATACATATGACATGGCGTGCAAATAATGCTGCGTTCGAGTTACCTCGGACGTCGGATGTCGGAGCTAGGAATGACGTTACACCCGAGTTGACAGCGTTCCAGTTAACAAGTCCAAAAACCAAGTTGAACGCCTACTGTTAGCCGTTGTCAGCTGTCGTTGGCCGTTGTCAGTTGTTGTTAGTCGTTGTCAGTTGTATATATACCACTTATTTAATTTCACAAAAACAAAACAGAAGTGCCAATAAATAATACATTACGAGAGCTTTTACTATTACTCTTTACTGTTGATGCACTGCGCTGCCATCTTGGATTATGATGTCGTCAAGTCGAGGTTGGCGGGAATCTGACATTCCTAGTCAGAGATCCTACTTAAGGGGTGCGATCCAGTTGAATTTCCGACTCGGAGCTCAGAAATTCTACTGAACGCAGCATTAATTCTGGTCCTGGTTGAATTTACAGGAATCTCCCGTGCTCCAGATATTATTGACAAGTCTGTGATAAGGGTCAAAAATGTGCATCATGGCACTATTTTCCTAAACCTCCCTTTTCTTATCTGCAGGTCTACTCGGTGCCTCCCTGCAGGACCAACCCCGTCCTCCAGGAAGGGAACTATGACTTCCCTCAGCCTCTCAAACACGCACAAGAAGGCATCTACGATGTGCCGCCGCCCGCCCTTACCAAGCCCACCCAGAGCCCCCAGTCCCACTATGATTTCCCCCCTAATGTGGAGCCTTCTGCCCATCACCAACACCCCAGCACCAACGGCAACGAAGGTATTTACGACGTTCCTCCACCCGCTCTTCACTCAGGGGCGGGGTCTCAGAGGGACGTGTACGACATCCCTCGGGGTATGCAGTCCTCCCAGCACAGAACCTCCCCGGCAGACAGAGACGGCAGCAAAGGCATCTATGACATCCCCGCTCAGGACGCCCGCGCTGTCGCAGACGTGACAGACGGCGTGAACCGTCTGTCGTTCTCCAGCACTGGCAGCACACGCAGCAGCATGTCCACATCCTCGTCTTCCACTGGGTCCAGCTCAGAGGGACGACTCGCTCTGGATTTAGACACAGCTGTGCAAAGACTGCACCGCCTGCAACACTGTGTGGACGCCGCGGTTGGGGCTTTACATTCAATGGCAGCTTCCCCTCATTGGAGGACTTTCCCCTTCATGGAGCGTCACGCTAACGACGTCCGCACGGTGCTGGACAGGGTGCGTGCTGCTCTTGGGGACTTTGTCGTGTTTGGCAGAGGGGCTGCAGCAAACGCCACCGCTCTGTCAGACTCCAGCCTGCACAGCAAACTCAGAAGACAGCTGGGACGCCTGGAGGACTCGCAGCAGATCCTCCTGCAGATCTACCAAGTCCTGGAGAACTGCAGCTGGGCCCTGAACGCCTTAGCATCATCTGGGAGGCAGCACAACAAGAGCGACGACCTGGATCGCTTCGTCATGGTCTCCAGGACGGTCCCTGATGACGCCAAGCAGCTGGCGTCCACAATAGCCTGCAACGCGGAGCTGCTCTTCAGGCGGACGCACATGGACGGGTCTTTCTCCATCGGGAGCTCACCTGACGAGAACATGATCCACCCGCTCACCTCCCCCTCCTCGGATAACGACAACTACGGAGGACAGACCAAGCCGTTCCCTGTGTCCTCCAGTCAGGACAAAGACAACATGAACAACAGCGAGAAGTGCGTGAAGAGCTGGATGGAGGACTATGATTACGTTCATTTGCAGGTAAATAGAAAGAATGAGGAAAGTCTCATGGGGCGCTCACACCAGGCATGAGTAAAATCCTCTACTCGCTTAATTCGCTCGAAAAGGTATATAATTCAGGGCATCCACACACCGACATGATCGGTCTTTCCTCCATTTTAGATGCCAGTGAACAACCGTCCATTTTCATACGTCACCTGGCAACCTTTGTGCTGATTAGTTATCGTGACATTTTAGCTCACGCCCAATTCGCATCATTCGCGCTGCCAGAGTAGTATGAGCGTGTAATCGCGTCTTTGCATTGACTTAACATGTAATTCATTCGCGCGAATGATTTTACTCGCGCTTGGTGTGTGGAGACGATCGGAGAACTTTGCACCAGAATCCAATTCAATAATAATTAACGATTAAACACTGTCGTTTCTAACTCCTTCTCCTCCTCTTCCTCCACAGGGCAAAGACGACTTTGAGCGTCAGCAGAAGGAGCTCCTGGACAAAGAAAACATCATCAAGCAGAATCAAGTCCAGCTGGGACAAGAACAGGTGAGACTCTCTCTCTTTCAGTCTAACTCCCGTGTTGTTGTTGCCTAAAGAAGCTGCTGGAATTGTTTCCTCTGTAGGACCGTCAATCATGAATATTAATACATATTCATACTATTCTATTAGATGCACACAGCTGGTGGCATTTGGTGAATAATAGATGCAGAGAGTTAGCGTGACAAAGGCTACACAGAGGGAGTCGAACATTGGGAGCCTTTCTCTGCAAACAGATGGTGTCTTGTGGATTCACATACAGTGTGGAAACTCATTTTTGAAGCTATAATGTGTAAACGTTTGTGATTTTTCTGGGAAATAACTGCAACAGCTGATTAATAATCAAAATATCTACAGATCCATATCTCAGTGTAATTTCTGTTGTTGAGGATCATAACAAGCCGGGATCGTGAAATGATCTAAAACTAGGGGTGTCCTGATACAACTCTTTGACTTCCGATACGATACCGATAATGTAGCCTTCAGTACTGACCGATACCGATTTTCGTCTGATATTGGCACAAAATAGTAGTACACACTGTTGTTGTGATTTTGTGGGCTCAGTTTGCTGGATCAGGGTGCTGCTAGCTAGAGGTGCTGGAGCGGAATCTGGAATGGACTGCTTGTATCAGAGTGCTGATATCGGAGATTTTTGATGCAGGCTGATATAATCCGATATTTGTTTTTTTGCCGATATCGGACCAATATCCGATATTAATATCATATTATATCGGCAAACCCCTAATCTAAACCCTCTTCACTCTTTTCTTCCTTCATAGATCAATCAGTTTAAGAAGCTGGAGCAGGAAGTGATCAAACCCGTGGAGAACGACATCACACAGTGGATTTCGCACTCTGGGATGACCTCCACTTCCCCTTCAGACTCCTCCTCTTCCTCCTCATCCCTCTCCCCTTCTACCCACGTCTGCGCCAGAGACCGCCAGCTGCTGGGCTTCTACTCTGAGCAGTGCGAGCAGCACTTCGCCACGCTCCTCAGCGCCGTGGACGCCTTCTTCGGCTGCGTCAGCGCCGGGCAGCCTCCGCGCATCTTTGTCGCCCACAGCAAGTTCGTCATCCTCAGCGCGCACAAACTGGTCTTCATCGGGGACACTCTGTCCAGGCAGGCGACGGCGCCCGAGGTGGCCAACAGGGTGATGAACTCCAGTAACGTGCTGTGTGACTTGTTAAAAACGGTAGTGGCGGCGACAAAAACGGCAGCGCTGAACTACCCGAACACGGCCGCCATCCAGGACATGGTGGACAGAGTCACGGACCTGTCACATCACGCACAACAGTTCAAAGAGCAGCTGCTGCAGTTGGCCAACTTGTGATCGTCAACCATGTTGCTCAGACTCCATGTGTACAATACTTCAGCATAAATCTATATATTTACAGTACATTTATATATATATATGGCTCCTCCTCATCATCTGTAAGCTCGTCTGGATGTTGTAAATAGTCTGTTCTGTAAATATTTGCTCTATTTTTGTTTAGATTGTTTTATATTATGGTATGAATATACATGTAGAAGCAGTTTTGGTGTCTGTAGGATTATGTAGACGTTTTTCCTAACATTCCTGTCGCATATTATACATGAAGCACCTTATAAAACGAGTCCTGTAATTTCATTTTTACCTGTATAATGTGGTTGACGTGTCCTACTGCTGGGTGTGACAGTAAATCTCCATGTAAATCATGTTAATGTGGAAATAAGTGTGTGTGTGTGGAGCTCCTCCACAAAGTAAAGGATTGTTCTTAACCGTGGGACTGTGTCGTTTTATTTCCTCTGACATAGCAGATCTGTCACACGAACAGAGAGATTCCCAGGAGAAGGGAAAGAGGGCGGAAATGTTATGAAACGAGAGAAGGAAGCGTTTTATTGAACAAAAGTGAAACTTAGTTTGGATGTCAGGAAAAATCAAAGTGGTTTGGTATGACTGGAAAAAAGCCAGATACAGTTTTAGAGGCAAAACTGATGAATGCGATAGATAAACTGAAGAAAGAGGCCAATTTTAGACTGAGAGTGTTAATTTCACCACATACTGATAACTTTACACCAAAACTGTAACATTCCCGAAAAGACATTCAGTCACTACATGGATAAAGTATTCTTAAAACACTACAAAGTCTGATTAATCACAATAAAACTCTAAATAATACACTGATCTCCACTTTTTAAGAAGTTTGTTTTCTCCTGTTGAATCTAACAGTGTTCATCAGTGTCTACAGGTTACAGCATGTTTTAGCTATAACCAACAAATAAAGAAAAACTTAAATACAAAAACATGAATATTTATTTTTTGTAGCTTTAAGCCACATCTTAAAGTTACGAAAGAGGATTAGGGCTACATGAAGAGAAATTAAAGTTGAAATTTCAGGATCAAAAAATCGAAATTACGTAATTATATCAATGAAGTGGAAATTTCGAGATTAGAAAAAATAAAAATTTTGAGATTAAAGTCGACATGAATAAAGTCGAAATTTCAACTTTTTAAAATTTCTACTTTAATCTTAAAATGAAAATTTTAAAAATCTCCCTTCCATAATTATTTTTTTCTCTTCTTGTGGCCCTTAATCAACCAATATGAAACCGATAGTTGATCTTTTTCTTAAAGTAGTTTAATAAAATTATTTTTTAAATTCCTTTTTTTTTTTGCTTTATTTTGAAAGGACAGCTTGAAAAATTGAGAAGCGATGTTGGTTAAGTCGTGGTAATCTTCCAAATCTAGTTTTGGACCAGGATAAATCCTTCTAACCCTCTTTTAAGGGCTTTCTTACAATTTTCAAACACATCTCATGGTTTTAAAAACATTTTTGGAATTGATCGAGTTGTCGTGTCAAACTCCAGAGAGGATAAACGTGAACTATTAGGCTCTAAGTGAGAGCTTTTCTCAAACTACAGTTATTCACCTGATGCATATCCTAGTAAGTGTTAAATTTTGCTAGAATTCAATGCCACAAAGTGAATTTCATTGTATTTGCGTAAGCAGTAACGACAGAGTATCAGTTCAATATTTACAGCAGTTTGGAGGCTTTAAAAAATCTCTCGGGCTTCATTTCCATATAAACGTCTGAAGTCAATATAAAAGTGAAAAATCGCCCTTTAAAAAGTTCCAGTATCGGGATATTTCAGTGGAAAGAAACAGACTTTACAAGAAAATCTGAGCAAATAAAAATAATAAATAAAAAGATACATTTACAGATAGAGTGACATTGCAGGTTTTTGGTTTCTTATGTAACCGTGGCTGCCCAAAGTCTCGTCAGATTCAATCAGTTTCTTGTGCGCCCCGCAGGATATTTCTGATTTGAAGTCATAACTGATCAGAGTTATTTGTACCCATAATCTTTAAAAGGCATCTAAGAGCATGAGGACTGAAGGGATTTCACAGTAAGCCGGACAGGGTGGCTGGATGAAGATTCCTGTGCCAAATTCCCCCTTCACTGTGTTTGTAGAACATTAGATATGACACACAGAAAATAATGAGGGGCAAGTTAAGGACGAGACACTGCTGCTTCGACCCTCTGGACCGTGAGAATCATGTTTTTCAGAGTGACCTGATCAGCTGTCCTCTCTGGCTGAAGTGTAGTAAATCGGTAAAACGTACATTATGAGCGTCTTGGGTCAAAAGGGGGAAGGTTCGGTGTGTGAAACTGCAGTGAAAGGCAATGAAAAAAACACAAAACCCAGCTCTAATGTTTCTACATCTTCACATTAAATCACAGGGAGCAACGGCGGACACAAGCATATGCATTGACAAACATACATACAATGAACCAACCAGGATAGAGAGAAGACAGAGACTATATACACACACTGGGAAACGAGCAACAGGTGAGGCAGACGAGACACAGGTGAAACTCATGGGTTATTAACAAAGAGGGGAAAATTAGGGATGTAAAACAACAACTACAAAATAAAACAGGGAGAACTGAAACTAATCTACAGAATAAAACACTGAGAACATGAGGGGAACCGGGTCAAACACAAACTGAAAACTCAAAAGACAGGATCACAGGAACAATAGAGAACAGAAACACTAGAAAAACACAAAGAAAATTCACAATCAAATAACAAAACCAGTGTAAAACTAAATCAACAGAACATATCATGACGTTTTCCGCTCTCTCATTATAGCCTGAGTGAAATATAGTGTCTCCCTGTGGAGAAGCTGCTTTATGGACGGATTGATTGGACTGTGTGAAGAAGACATGCCCAGCACTGCAGTAAGACTTCCACCCGTCCCCCCCTTTAAGCTCCCAATCAGGAAATCTCATTAAAAATCCTCCGAGCTCACACAGGCTGGCACTTAGAAGCAATCTAACTGTTTTTATTATTCTCTGCATTCCTCCACAAGCTCTCCGGGGAGATGAGAAAGAAAGGAATCCGCAATGACTTCTTTAAGAGTTCCTATTTAACACAAACTGCACACAGGCCCGGTAAATCAGGAGACGTCAGGTCGTACTAAAGACTGTTTTAAACACACATTCTCAGCTAATCTGCCTTTAAAAGCCTGGCAGCAAAAACTACAGAAACTGAGAAGTTGAGAAAAAACATTTTCAGGCATTTGTAAGAGTCTTGCTTTTGTTTAATGCCTCCTAGGCTGAATATCTAAACCCAAAAAGATCATTTAGAGACAACTAGAATCAGCTTTGCCAGCAGCTCTAAGCAGAAAGAATTATGCAATCCCTGCTTATGTAGATCTCTTTCAATAGAGGGTTTAACGTCTATTCTGGAATGCAGGAAAATTTCAATTAACCCTAGAACAATATCGCTAAAATTAGTAACACCACCACTATCGCCAGGTGATTTTTACCAGAGAACCAAAATATGGCAGATTTTGAGTGAATAAAAATGACCAGCTGACTAAAATATTTCTTATCACCGTATGAATTCCCTTGAAAATCACTACTTTGTGATAGTTATTCATAATCACTGCGCTAAATAAAGATAGCATGCAAAGTCCAGGACCACTCTTACTGACCTTATTTGCCTACATGCAGCTATCAAATCCACCTAAACCTACTTTACCCTCTATTAATATTGAAAATCACCCTGTGAACACGGGCCTGTAGGAAAAATCTGGTTTTAGATCAGGGAAACAAATATGCCTTCAAAGCTGTCAAAGGCGATGCTGAAGCTACGCAGGGACCCATGATACTCAGACAAATGCAACATAATGAAAATCACATGAACATGTTTTGTGAAAATCACCCGGCGATAGTGATAGTGTTACTAATTTTAGTGATAGTGTTCTAGGGTTAGGAATGTAAAAATTTCAGATATGTTGGTCAAACCCCATTTATTTTCAGCTAAGACGACCACTAGTTATATTAGCACATTTGCTAACAGCTTTCTGGCCATGACTAGGTTTTTCTAAAGCTTGTTTATTAGACTTTACTTTCAGATATGTTGGTCAAACCCCATTTTTTTATGCTGAGGCTGAAGCTAGTTATGCTAGCACATTTGTTAAGCAGTTTCCTGGCAATGACTGGGTTTTCTACCGCTAATTTAGTAATATTAACAATACAAATTGATATTGCATATTTTTCTACGGCTTGTTTAGTAGACTTTACTTAAACTTTATATATGTTGGTCAAACCCCTTTTTTTAATGCTAAGGCTACTGGTGGTTATGCTAGCATATTTGCTAACGGTTTCTTTGTCATGACCGGGTTTTCTACAGCTTATAAAGTAAAATTACCAATAAAAATTAATTTACAAGACATGGCATTTTTTTCAACAGATTGTTAAGTAGGCGTTACTTTCAGATATGCTGGTCAAACCCCATTTATTTTATGCTGAAGCTAAAGCTAGTTGTGCTAGCATATTTGCTAACAGTTTTCTTGCCACGAGTGGGTTTTCTATAACTTATAAAGTAATATTAACAACACAAATTAATTAACAAGATATGGCATATTTTTCCACAGCTTGTTAAACAGGCTTTACCTTCAGATATGTTGGTCAAACCTTTTTCATTTTATGCTGAGGCTAAAGCTAGTTACGCTAGCGTATTTGCTAACGGTTTCTACAGCTTTGTAAGTAATGTTGAAATAAAAATTACTTAACAAGATATGGCATATTAAAACGCTTTTATCAACCAAAGAATGAAAGGGGGAACGTTGTTTAAGCTTTTGGCTAGCTGCATCTATGCGCCTGTTTGCTTGCGCTTAGTCTAACCCCCATTTTTCTTACCCAACCGTTAATTGGCGGTTATTTGGTGGTAATTTGGCCGTGTTGTGGCACGGCGCAAAGAAGAAAAATAGCCCCTGGCTGATAAATGCTTGAGACTTGGGGAGACAATGGTGAATCAATGAGTTATTTCAGTCCTGGCAGCTCTAATACTTCCACTCAGTCTTGCTCCGAACAGCAGCGGGAGCTTCTGTGTGTGTCTGTCACCAGGGGCAGCCTGCCAAACATCTCGTAAATGGCTGTCTTCGGCTCACCACAATTGCACACAACTACGCAAGGTGCTGCAGAGACAGAGGGCTGAAGCTGCATTTTAGCTCAAATCCCCTGGAGCTGCAGTCTCTGCGCTCCCGATGAGATACTGTCTAGTCGAGCTGGAGAAACAGCAAACAGGTGTTGGAGTGCTGAGACGGAGATTTGCAGGAGAAGTCAGCTGCTCACCTGTCTGTCGAAAAAGCACTGACAGTTAAAGGTCACCAGGGAGGTGAATGTGCATTACCTCCTGCCAGCAACAGGGGAACGGAGGGTGACTTTAGCTGTAAATAAAAAGAGAGAGGGTTAGAGGAGCGCTGGAGAGTCGATGTCATTTCCTTGGCTTACCACAATCATTTCCTGTAAAGTATTTGCAGGCTCTGAAATTACAGCTTTGGAGCTCCACGGGGCCTCGTTTTGCTTTCAAAAAGGCACAGCTGCAGGCAGAAACAAACCGATCCAGATCTGAGGGAGAGGTGGCATCATTAGGATGAATTCAACCACCACTGAAGGTTTGCCTCAGAGTCAATTTACTGTAAGAGGAGTTTCTTAATTTTCTGCAGATGATGAACGCAAGATATGCATACTGGACTTTTGAGTCATACCACAGCCAGATATAACCATCTCAACACTTTAATTTCTGTATTACATTTAATCAGATTTATGTTCTTGCAGTGGTGGAAGAAGTAACCTGATATTTCTCTAAAGAAGAAATAAAGCAGACTTTCAAATTGGCATAATGGGCCTCTTGTAGCAGCAGATTTGAGTTATTTTTATATTAAAACGCTCTTTTTAACTGATACAGACTGAAGTAGATTAATTCACAAGGTTTAAGGAATAAATTAATGCCTGAAGCAGCTGGAGTAAACAGAAAAACACCAGGAGATGAATCCACTGAAGTTCACACATGTGTTTTGGGTTTTATTTTTAGCATTTTATTTGTTTGAGCATGTGTTTTTCTTTGTGGATTCCAGTCGAAAACAAAACAGCTGCTTTTCCCCCTCAGAGTGTGAGACAAACTTCACAATCTCTCGACCAGAATTAGGAAAATAAACTTTAAAAACAACTTTCATTTATGGACACACAATACCTCTTCTAATCTGAGCATTTTCCACAGACCGCTCTGTCTGCTCACACTAGATTTACTCTACCCCGAATGTGGTAATATGCTGAAATACTGAACAGACTGCTGATAAATACACTCACTTTACTGAACAAATATACAATCCTCTGTTCTTAAATGTATGTCATTTGAGAATGAGATACTATAGATTGTCATGGTGCTTTTTTCCCCTCTATCAGTGCCATACTGCCACCTTGTGACAGAAATGGGTTGTTGTTACCTGCAGTTTCCAGAGTTTCCTCTGTTGCTGCTGTTGTGCAGAGGATTAAAACTTTGATTATTCTGTGTTGTAAATAATAATTGTGTTGTGTGGAGTGTTCGCACTTATATGCACTGACACAGACCGTCACTTATACCTACTCAAAGTGTCAAATATTTTTGCATTTTCAAGATTTCTCCACTAGATGGGACTGCATGAGGAAGTAATCACAACTTTGGGTTTGTTTGACATTAGAATTAAATGATCTTCCTCAAAGTTCTCCTGTACAGTTAAGATAAAGTTAATTTCTTAACATCTCTCTCTAGGTCGTCCTCAGACGAGCCTTCCATCGTCGCTTCTAGTCATCCAGATTCTCCATACATCTCGCCAGTTTGTTGGTACTCTGAGCTCCTGCATCCTTCTTGACTTTGTCCATGTATGTTAGTGTAGGACGTCCTCTTGACCGATGCCCATGTGTTTGTTCCCACAGCACCATTTTGCTGGCTGGCAGTTCCCAGTGCCTTTGGTAGTGTCCTGCCAATCTTATTCTCCTTACAGCAATCTTGTCACTCACCCTTGGTATTCCCTCGTACAGTGTTCTGTTGGTTACATGTGTGTTCTTGCTGATGTTAAGCACTGCACACAACATCCTGGTGTAGCACCCATCTAGGGATTTCTCCAGGGTTGGCTTCAGGGTCCAGCATTCACATAGAGGAGAACAGACTCTACTGTTGCGTAGAAGAAGCTGAGTTTGATTTGGCGGGGGAGGTTGGAGTGCCATACACCGGTCATGCCGTTCAGGGCTCTCCATGCCAGTGCCTTCCTCACTTTTAGATCTTGTTCAGTTGAGTTGACCCATGAGCCCAGGTATTTGAAGTCATCCTACCATCCCAGATGTGGCGGCAGCAACATATTTTATGAACTTTTCTCCTTTATTATGACAAAATCGAGCATCAAAAGCAAATGTCGGTATTTCCTTACGGTCAAGTCTTCCGTTGTAGTCAAACAGTAAGTTAGGCCCTATTAAAAGCTAATAAATGGATATATATTAATGGATAGATTGTCCTTTTTAATGAGTAGTTTGTCATCTAATTTTGAGACATACCTTCACTCATCATCATGTCTTTCCAAACAAACAGATCAGGGCTCCAAGTGATTATCTCCACATTTTTATTTGAAGCTTTTGGCTCCACTGAAGAGAAAAAAAAAACACTTGATTAAAAGGTGCAACAATTACACGAGTTTAACCTGGAGGGAGGATCTTACGTAATATCGACGAGGCCCCCGGTAAGCTGTGATGATCCCTGTAATGAGAACAGTCAGCTGTACACAAAAAAGGAGGCCATGTGACAAACAGTGGATGCCGTGTAGACAGGCACAGGAGCAGACAGAGGCACAGGGAGCAGGAGGAGGTTCAGACGTCAGACAGGCAGCAGGGAGCATCATGTCATAGCCCCCCCGAGATCAGCCGACATCAAGTGTTTTCAGACGCAGTTCTGGGAACATTAGCAGCACCTGGCCTCTTTTTTTCTGTGTGTGTTTGCACCGCACAGACTGCAACTCTTGCTACAAAGCATGAAGAGGTCCGGGGAAGACGTACTGCACTATGACTGGACCAGAAAGACATATATGTTCATTTGTCAAACATACGACATCACAGCCAAACCCCTTTTCCCCCAAGGCTACTGGTCACGAAGCATTTATCTACATGATTTATCTTTCAAGATTGATTGGAAACTTTAAGAGCCCTTATTTTAGCATCAAGTCCTTAGGCTGCTTTACATGAGCAGTCTACTTTGTAAACTCATGAGGGTTGGGGGCACCAGTACACTAACTGCACTTTGTCCTTGGTGCAGAAGTTCTCTGTCTATATATCTGAATGGAGTCGATGGATAAACCGATTCAGAAACATAACAGAGATCTGCTTTCTCCTCCGTTTGTGTCGTTCAGGCGGTATGACTCAAACACAAAAACATGTTTAGTGCCCCCAGAACCACACGGTCCGAAAACGCCTGATGTGTCGAGCTGCTTCTGAACCCCAACAGTCATGTACTCAAAACTTTCTCCTGACTCTTCAAGTACAAAGTAAGTTTTCTACCCAAAAAAAAAAAGAAAGGGTGAGGGAGAAGTCGTGGAACATTTTACACGACTGGAATGAAGTCGTGCCGTTTGTAATCCTTCCTTGGAGGCTTTTCAGCTGTCATGAGACTGTCTCCACCTCCTCTGTAATAAGTATACTGTGCAAGAAAACAAGAAAATGACAGCCAAGACGTTCCTTTCATTGCACTTTTGTTACGTAGTAAAAGGAAAATAAAACTGTCAGTTATACAAATCACTGTTTCAGTTTTTGAAATGATGTAGACAAACTTATCATTGACGTTAACCTGGCAGCTTTCTTCATAAAAGGACCGACCTTTGTTAAACAATCAAGATCAAAACGTGTAAATGAACAGATTTAACACACATGTCTATACGATGGAGGATCTTTGTTCTCCACAGTGTGGCAGGAAGCAGTTTGGGCTCGTGAAAGCAACTAGAGGAGCATGAGAGGAGCCCCCAGACTCACTGCACAGTACCCATACATCTGTACACCATCAAACGAGAAGAAATGGACAGTAATGGCTTTTCCCTTTAAAACCAGGAGGTCTGCCTGGTCAGTGTAAAGTGTCCTGTAGACGACGAGAGCTGATAGCTGAGTGTCATGTGTTGAGGGCTGATGAGCAGTCACAGTGAGAGAGTGGTATGTGTCTAAGTGCCTTCAGCAGCTGTGGCTCTTTGGCGTGCGGTCCTGGGCCGATTTCGTGTCGGGGGGTTAGCAGTGCGTTCACTCTTGGTTTCGGACGGCTGGGACTCGGCCTGTGGGGTGCTGGCGTCCCCGACAAGTTCACGGAGGAACTTAAACTTGGACAGGAAGAGCTGCCAGACTACATACCAGCCTGAGAGGAAAAGACAGGGGACAAATTTTAAAACCAAACCCTTTTTTTCTTAAATTTGCTGTCATTACTCAATAACCTCAGAGACACGTGGCTTTATGAAGAATTTACTCTCTGGTTGCTGCAAATGTTGAGAGTGTGATCTAGCTGCCTGAAATCATCCAGTGTGTTTTTTCAGAGTACTGTTATGTTAAAAACTGGCCGAAACTGATGGCCTCGAGGTCTAAGCACAGTGTCTAGGTTTCCTGCATGTCCTTCTCCACCCTTTCCTGTTTCCTGCTCCATCCATCCTCCTCTATCTGTCAATAAAAGCCAAAAAATAAATCTAAAACAAAGAAATTGTAAGTTGAAACTGTCCTTGTGTGTTGTCTCTCTCAGTTTCATCATGAGTTCAGATCTAAAAGTTGTCTAGTGTTAAAGTTACAAGTATATCTTTAAACCAATTTCCAAAGTTTCAACACTGACAAAGACATCAGACAGTGAACTAAATTTGACATTTCATCGTACACATAAAAAAATATTTTATATTAGCGTGCAAAATTTTCATTTCTGGATCTTTACCTTCAGTAACCAAACATTCAACCAGACAGTATGTAGAAGCTGTGATTATTCCATCTTTACAAAGCACAGTTGTACATTAGTGGTTATACCTACAGGGTAATAATCAAAAAAAAACTGTCTGTGTTATCCAGAAATATCTGTGTTCTTTCTTCTGATACTCTATATTGTTGGTAATTTAATCTATTATTAACCCTGCTCTGAATTTCCTGGTCAATTTTTTCCAACCAGAGTGACTGTATAAAACTTTTATTTATTTATTTTTATCAGGCAGAGGAGGCATAGTTTGGTAAATAACAGAGCTGGAGCTGCACCTGCAGACTTTCAGAAAGAGCAGCCATGTTTCCTTACCAACACATGCCAGACTCCTCCTGCACATGTTAAAAATAGATCCCCAGGATCAAAACTTACTGATTTGAGAAATTTAATACACTCTGGCCTTTAACACAAGAATACTTTGAGGTAGTGAGTCAGGAAAATGTGGCTTTTAAAGCTTTTTCTTGGTCGTTTACTCATGTAAGACAGCCCCTTAGATCCCCACACTGATGACAACAGTCAGCTAAAGCAGCTCCAGAGGGAGTTAGCTGGTTATATAAGTGAGTTATCAAGGTTATGTCCTGAAAACTTACCAAAGAGCATGAAGAGCAGCGCGCAGACCAGTGTGGCCACAATGACCAGCAGTGTGAGCCCGACACTTTGCCACATCTTAGCTGAACACCCGCTGGAGACAACAGCATGAAGAGGGGAAAATTCAGAGTGTTTTCTTCACCAAACTACACTCAAAACAAATGTAGTCCGGGTTTATCAAACGGCCAGACGAGAAAACAAACAGCAGCTCATCGCAGAACTCACAGCAGCTTGTTTGCTAGCCTAACTAGCTAGTTAGCTAGCAGGTTAAAAAAAACATAAGGCCGAGTGAAACAAGCCGAATAAAAATGCTGTCAGGTCGGCTGGTGTTAGCTGCTCCCAGCGGGGTAAAGTCCTCCTTCTGTGTGCTACATAACTGCAACATAAATTCACTAGTTTTCACGAACAAGCCGGAGCAGTAGCTACAGTAACTGGGTTAAGACAACAATATCAGCGTCATGATACCGACTCCAAATTGCGCACGCGCAACATCGATTGGGCTTCTGGGTATTGAAGTTTCCTGAAATAAAATGCTGTAAAGCAGCTTTGCTAGCTTTTGAAATTAACCTTACGACTTTGACTTTATGTAAAGTATTAAAATATTCAACTTGAGGAAAAGTACACTTACCTTCACGGCATTAAATGGAGGTTTAACTACTTGTCTGTGTATCAATTCATGTTGGTTAAAAGTGATTTTAGCTCTGCACCCCTCAGGGTAACCTTATTTCCCGAGACTTCACAAGAAAGATTTGGCCTGAATTATTTCAAAACAAGACTTATATTCGACCTGTCAAGTATATGTAGTTTATATTAAGTGCAATTCTTAATTTAGACTCGAAAATAGACAAATTTGTTAGTTTTTAGGTAGATATCCAATATCCACGAGTGACTGTAATTCATTTCTTTCCACCCCTGCTTCTACTGTTAATGCTGTTAGAGATACATATGTAGATAAATCCAGTATTTTTTATTCATGAATGGGTGACTTATGGTGATATAGGCCTACTACATTTAATAATGTTTTTTTTTCAGTCAAGGAGGTAGGGGTTGACAGTAAATTATGAGACCAACTTCTATTATCCATGAGTCTCTCGAGCTCAAAAGCAGTTACAGGTGAGCATATATCCAGCAGGGGGCAGCACCATTACATTATAAAGTGTACATTACATCACATTGTGAAGTGGCAGATCTCCATTTAGAAAAAAAGATGGAGCTCATGTGAACCCTTCATGATACATAAGTAAATAGACAATGTTTATACAGCATTTTCTCAAGTCTTCTGACCTACATTATTTACTACATTACATTACTACATTATTATTTTCTACATTATTTGTCACATTAACACACTGATGGCAGAGGCTGGTATGTATAAAGTCCATTAACATTTACCATAGTCACACACTGACTGTGTGGGGTCAATGTTTTCTTGCCCAAGGTTACCTCGGCCTGTTGACAGACCTGGGATTGAACCCCCAACATTATGATTGGGAGATAACCAACTCTAACACTGAGCCACAGCCACCCTACATGATCACCTCAGGACTGTTCGTAGATGGTCTCTGTTCAGTTCCGGTCTCATTGAACAAAGTGAAGTTATATAGCTACAGTGAGACAGAAAAAGCTGCTTGAAAAAGATGTAAACTGATGCAGAGATTTGGCATAAAAACAGATGAGATCTATGATATTTAATGTCTCGATGTATTTCACTCAAATCTTTTTCATACTAATCTGATATTTTTCTTAGGACACTCAGTTGTGACAGAGTATTTCTACAGACTTTTCACTGCAGTCAAAAATCTTATCATTCTTCTAGCACTGAACTGAACTCTAGAAACAGCACGCCACGTCTTGACTTGAGCATACTTGCAGTCAAGCATATCCTGTGAAGTATTCCAGCCAGAGAATTTGCATATTATGTTAAGGCGCAGACAGAACATGAGTCATTCTTAAGGTTGGCATTTTAAACAAATGTGAGCGGAACAGTGTGTCCAGCTAGAGTATGTCAGTCCAGCCCTTTTACCTAAAAGCCCTCAAGGTTATCTGCTGTGTGTCAGGTGAGGTCAAAACATCCTGGACGATTAGTTTAAAACAATTACAACTGATATTTAAGAAATGAAAATATGATTTCGGCTAAATGTACAATGAAGGGTTATTCAGAAACATGCATATTGTAAACTTGAAAACAAGAGTATAGATGGACGACAACATAAATGTTATTCCAAGGATTAATATTCAGCGTTTTGTCCCTTCTCAGCTCAGTTTAAGGGTTTACAGGTGCTTGTTTTGAAAAACAGCCAAAGTCAGGCTCGGAGGGTTGCATAAAATCGGGTAACGCCTAAACATCATGTTGTGTCCTGTCACTCAGAGCCGTCCTGCCTCTGTTAATGCTTTTAATCATGCAGCTACACAATAATTTCATTCACTGAGAGTTACGTAAGAATTCAACCCTGAACATTCGCGAATGGGTAACCAGAGGTTATATCTGTTTTTTAATTTTTTTTTATTTCTATCTAATTACTCATTTGTTTTTGTTTTTTAATGTTTATTAATTTATTTTTTCATTTCATGATTTATCTGTTGCTATTTTTTGTTTATATATTTGTTTTTATTTATCTTTTATTTTTGTTTTCATATTCATCGATCTATATTTATTTATCAATTAAATTTTTTTTAATTAATCAGTTGTAATTTTTTTATTTATATATATTTACTTATGTTATTTGAGTTTTCCATATATTTTCTTTAATTTTCATGTACTTTTTCTGTGATTTTTAATATTTAATTAATCAATTTTTTACTTATGTATCAAACAATTAATTATTGCATTTATGTATTGATTCATTTACACCTGATAACAATATTGAAGCTTCTCCACCTTGACTGTGACTCTCTGTGATGTATAACATTTTATATTTATAACCCTGTATATGTTTTTTTTTCTGCTATTTTAAAATTTCAATATCTAAGGTAACTTTTGAATCAAACTAGACTACATTTAATTTGGACATAGAGTGGAGGGGTGTGATGGGTTACACTGTTGTTGAACAACAAACACGTCTTCAGTTTAAATCCCAGCATCCACCCTCACTTTTGAACGTAAAACGAAGAGTTAGGCGTAGACCTGGTTTTATACTTCCACTGTCAAAAACTAGAAGAAATCAGGAGTCAGAGACCCACGCGGAGTGGAAATACAGTAATCTTTGTGAAGCACTTCAAGGAAGCACCTGGTTTATTCCGGATCTGTTTTTTCCCCCATAAGGTCAACGGATAATCTTTCAAGCTAAAAGTGCTTTGTCAGGTTTTTCCATTTTCCCAGTGTGACTTTGATGATGCCGCTGACATTAAAGAAAGAAATCACTTCCTTGTTCCACGCTCTATTTAAGGCGCTCATATCTGAGTGTGTTGCTTTGAGTTGAGTCATTAACAATTCGCGCCTAATAGGGGGGAAGTCTAAGACGAGTTCATGTGGGAGAAATGTTTCCGTGAATGAGTCATAAAGCTTTGGACTCAAGCCGTTTCAGTTTATTTTGTCTTGCAGCTGCCTGTTGTTTGTGTTCACTGAGTTCCCTGCACGTGTAACACACTGACCACACAGCTTACAACGTTCAGCACCTACCTCCTACAAACAAACTAGCTGTTAAGTTATGATATGTAGGTGGATGTCACACTATCTCGTGATGATTTACAAATGTCACCTGCTTTTCAAAATAAACTCCTCTTGTTTTTCCTTAGTCATCTGACATATTTTCATTATTTGATCCTGCTGCAAACACATCTGACCTCATTTAGGGCACATGACACTGAAATTGATATAGCTGTGTGTGCGTATGTGTGTGTCAGAGAGCGAGTCTTTGTTTTCATCTACACCTCTGATGACCTGGAGTCTCTGTGTACAGAACAGATGTTTTACAGACAACATGCATCACTGTTATGCAAATGCAACAAACCGGTTAGTACATGCACACATTCCTCTACTCATTTGCATGTAGTCAGAAGGGAAATGACTACACATTATGTCTAAATACACATGTGAGGTCCCTGTTATTTGCTTAAGTAATTGCAAAGCCTTTTGTTTCATAATAAACTGTTGAACCCTCGACTTATCAGCAATTATGTGAGTCTTTTCTATGCAAAAGATATAATTACTACTTCTGCACTGCTGTGGATGAAACCACCCAGCATTTTTAAACGTGAGCTGCACCTTGATCGACCTGCAGTAAAATGATACGAACACATCCATAAATCAGTTTTATTACTTTAAGAAATATTTCTGCGTTTTCTGAAGTGATTTTGGTGAAACTTCTTCAGTCTTGACTCATCTGCGCCATTGACCCACTGATCGGTGCGACAGGGATCACAGCCGTTATCAAACTGGCCCTTTAGAAACAACCTTAAAGGACACACCTCACTACCCCTCTCTCTAAATAAACACTCAGTTTTTGTTTCCAACTGGTCAAACAGGCTTCGATTATTTTTTCAAGGATGCGTGTCTCCAAAAAGAAGGTCAAGTCCAGCTCGCAAATACGCAAATGCACACACGCGACGCACACAGTGTCTGTGATGTCAAAGGTAAGAAGTGAATGAAAAATCTTTATTTTGATATCTCATGAATGATACATGAACACTGCTACACAACACTGAAATCAAAGTATTACAGGCCTCTGAAGACATAACAGTATTTAAACGATAAATAATGGAGCACATTGGATTGTTGCGGGCAGCTGTTTTTCTTCTGTAAAATTCTCACACTCTTATCACAATATGGATGAGTATGAAAATAAAGCAAAAACACATAACATGAACAATCCTGGAGGTATAAACCATTATAAAGAGCATTTTCAGCTCTAACTCTCATTTTTTCTGAGTTATCAACAATAAAGAGTACGGCGTTTATTAAGGTTTATCACCATAACTCATTAGTTACGACACTTAAATGACGGGTTGATGCTCTGTTACGCCCAGACCTGCACAACACTTGGCTGTAAACTCAGCGCACAGTGCCAATATGACACAAAGACTTTTTATATACAGCCTTCAGCTGGTCTTAAAAACAAATAACACATAATTAAATTATCATCTCCATGACAGCGTCAAATAAAAAGTAAGCACTATGGGCGTCGTTAAAACAGGTCTTACAACACACTATCGCACCTGATAAATTCAAAGCAGGTAATGAGTATCAGGGTGTAACTGCCTCAATCCGATGTGGCAACAAAGTCCACCCTTTGTATATTCACATAAAGATACAATTTGTATCAACAGCACAATAATAACTCTAACAAGAGTTCGTTTCATTAACTCAAACTTGGCCACATTGACACAGCAGCCATTTTCCTCCGATATTAGCTCAAATGCTACTAAGTTGCTCTACCGCTAAGTCTGAAAAATCATAAAATATTGGGGAAATTATTATCATTTTAAGATACCAAGGAAATTGTAGCTATTCCTACAGTCATTTTTTTTAATGAAACTGGAAGGGTATTATCAAACTCGACTTTTTAAATATAGAAATAAATATGTTGGAAGCATAGACTGTATATACCATGGACGATTTGGTTCCGCCTTCCGCTAGTGTACGGATTTGAAGCGGAAAAGCTCTCTGTAATTGAACAGCGTATCCCCGGGTGAGCTACGCAATCTTCGTACGCCTTCTACGTTCTCGGAGTGGCTTCACCCAGTGAGGAGGCAGATGCTGTCCATTCTATAAACAGTCTATGGTTTGAAGACGTTTAAGCGAGCACCAGGCAACAGCTAAAGCTAGCTCATAACCACTCCCTTACTAACAATATGTTGTCTCTGAGATCATTCAAGGTACTTGAACACTCATCCGAATCCCATCCAACAGTATTTTAAAACAGTAAGCGGCACAATGGTAGTTTTGGCTGTTGGCTAATAGTAGCTTTGATGGGTTGTATTAAATATCATCAGATGTTTTCCTAAATTTTCAGTTTGATTAACGGAGCAGATTAACGGTTTAACTGGATTGGAGTTTCCTACTCTGAACATGATCACATCATGAGAACGTGGTGACTCTGCATTCAAAAACACTGTATTATCCAGATGGATACTACAAATTAACACCAACACATGCAGTCTTCATACTCTAAGACTTGGTTCTGACAGGTTCTACATTTTACCTGTCCTGACTCTGCAGCACGAGGATCTCGGCCACGAGTTTCTGTGGATCCAGCTGCTGAGGAAACATGCTCATAGCTGTGTCCACCAAGTGGGCACTGAAGATGGCGAGAAGCTTCTTTCGGACAACTTCCCTCGCGTCGTCGGCGTCATCTGGACTTGGTTGAGTCCTCTCCCAGTGAGAGTGCTCCCTTGGTGGGTTGCAACCCGCTGCAGGATGAGCCCCGAAAGGATCCGACCAGAACTGCTGCTGGCGGCCGCGGACTCTGCATTGCTGGTATTCTACTGGCTTGTTGTACGTAGGCATGCTGACCGGATAGGTTTTGTAGCTAGCATAAAGAGGTTGACCGTAGGGGGTCAGGTCCGAGGCGCAGCGCTGGTTGTGGTGCTGGAAAGCTTGTGTGGTTCCCTGAGAGGCAGGGCCATGAGAGCAGCAGCTACAAGGCGCACAGTACTGCTGTCTGACACCGAGGGGATGATGAGGACTTCCATACTTATCACACATACTCCATGGAGCCTCCATTGGCTGACTGTCTATAGAGCCTAAACCAGAGTCCAGCTGCTCATGAGACCCACTCTGCCGCAGCGAGCCCTGATCAGAGGACGACTTATGACTGTTTTTGTCTCTTCTTGATGTGGACCTCTTGCCAGAACGATGATGGCTCCCCTTTGAGTGAGCCACGTGTTCATGTTTGTGATCTTTCTTTGAGGGGTTGCTCTCATGACCCAGAGTCAGTTTCTTCGCCATATCCTCCACCAAAGAGAGGCTCTGTCCAGGAACGGGGCTGACACGAGGGGAGGACTGTTTCTGGGAAGAGGAGGGTTGCTTGGCAGAGTCTCGAAGCTCGTCGGCCACAGAGCGGTTGGACTGGTTGGCTCGCTCAGGGTGGTGAAATTTACACTTGATTCCATACGTACATTTCTTTCCTGAGAGAAAAACAAAGCAGAGGAGTTTTACGATGAGTAATCATGGTTATAATGTAACCCTCAGGGGTCCTTAAAAAAAGTGACGCTCATGTCCTTAGATGGACAAAAATGTCCATCACCTAAAAGTGCTATAAAATATTGTACATTAATGTTTTTTTCACTTTTTTTGCTTAAATCTTTTAATCAACTTCATTCCTGATCATTTCTATCAAATCTTAATTCATTTTCAGAATTTTAACTCTTTAAATGCCAGTTTGACTATTTAATGTCACTGTTATTTTTAATGGGAAAAAAGGGAATTCAGAGTTATTTTCCATATATTTGATGCTGGGCAGGAATTTCTTTATTATTATTTTTTATCAAGGTCTATGATGAGTCAATAATTAACAACATTAATTTTGATGCATTATCATGCTTGATGTATTGTTGATTTCTAAAAAAGTTACGTTCAGGTCCTTAGATAGACAAAAATGTCCATCTCCTTAAAGTGCTATAAAAATATTAAATATTAAAATTATTTTTTCCACTTTTTTTGCTTAAATCCTTTAATCAACTTCAGTCCTAATAATAACTACCAAATAATTATTGATATTGATATAAAATATTTTAAAAGCACTTTTAGGAGATGGACATTTTTGTTAATCTAAGGACCTGAATGTAAAGTGTTTTTGTCTCACAGTGAACATTGACCTGATATAATAATGGGTGGTCATGTTTTAAAATTTGGAAAAAAAAAAAAAAAAAAAAAAAAAAAAAGAAAACCCTGAAAAAAATCTTCCCATTTGCATTAACACAGCCAAAATGAAAGTTAAAAAGTCACTAAAAATGTACAAACATGTCCTAAGAGCCCCGGAGGGTTAACAGTCCAGTACTTTGACGGTATATGCAAATGTGTTTCACACTTTTTCTCACCATAAGGGCACGGTTTTCTTTTCTGGTTCTTTGGAAACCTCCGCAGGAAGTTCTCCAGTGTCGGTCCGTGGCGGCCCAGAGGATCATCAGGAGGCATAAACCTGCAACAACACGAAGAAATTCACACTCTGAATAAAATGACAGCCTCAAACAAAGTAAATGAAGCTCTACATCAAAAGGAAGAACTTACTTGTTATTGACGAAGGAGTACATGAGCAGCCTCTCCTCAATGAAGCGCTTCCAGTTCGGCTTCTCCACCTGCAGGTCCCGGTACATGTCGTTGGACACGATTATGCCGTCAGACTCGAAGGCCTCCTTGACGATGAAGCAGTCGTCATTACAGACCACCCGTTTACCCGCGACACGCCGCGATGGAGTGAAAACCAGGATCTTCTTCTTCTCCAGGTCTCGCAGAATATGCTGATCTGAAGAGATAATTCATAGTGTTGACATTTAAAGCTCCTCTGAAGAGTTTTTTCACCTCTATGACAATAAACTGAAGCTCATACTGATGCATTTTCATGATATCTACAAGCAAACAAGAACATCTGAGACAAGACTGACGAGTTTTCTGATGCAATATTTAACGTCTGAAACCGATCAAAGGGGAGAAGGCAAAATATGCAAGACTATTTTTGTCCACAGGGGGCGCCAAAATTGACACAAACAATAAGTTCCTTACAGGAGCTTTAATCATCTGTTAAGTTTCTACGATGGTGAAAATCAGGTCCAAAAATGATGTTGTATATTATGATGTGCTAATGTCTGTCAGCGAGGCCAATATCAGTCTAAACCAGTGTTCAACAGGTGCATCTCACCTGCTGGCAAACATTGACACGCTACATAGTTTTCATCATGATTGATTTACACTCTGATGTTCAATCTGGTTTACTTTATTTTCATACTAACACCTGAGCGAGTCTTCACTCGGCTTACCCGTCATCAGCTAACTGATTAAATCGGATTCAGGTGCCGAGAAATGTGTTGAGGTTGAACTCAAACAGTGAAGCTGCTGGCAGATATATTCATGAATCAAATTTGTTTAGCTGCAGAAATAAAGAGTATCATTCTTTCTTTCTCGTTTCATGTCTTTCCTTTCTGGTAAATCACATGAAAATAATGACATTTCAATTCAGGAAGCCACATTTGCATTTTAATTTGGGTCTTTCCCTGAAGACGTGTTTAACATGATTAAATATCAACCAGAGGCCCCTGAAAGTACTTCCTGTAACAAAATAATTTATCAGCATGAGCAATCAGCTCATCTGGAGAGAGCAAACATGCAGTTAGCAGCCAAAACCAACCTCCAAATGTAGGCCACCAACGGCTCTGAGAACCACTGACGGTCGCAGTTTGAATGGTTATCTCTTGGCATCACCAATCATTGGAAAAACCCTTTGACTTTATCTTTTGTGTTACAGCGACAGAGATTACGGAAAAAAAGATTCATTTACTGAGCATTTGGCAAGAAAAACGTCCACAGGGTATTTCCCATCTTAGGCAAACAGCGCAATCTGAGAACAAGCACTTGCATAAGAGGAAACCATATCCTGCTTATTCAGAAATCAGCTTTAGCCGTCGGTCTATGAACCAAACACCACTGTAACTGGGTCGGCAATTCATTATTATTGTAAACATCTCTATTCTGTCGTAAGAAATGTTAGTTTTTATGTCTGTGGGACGTATTTTAACGTCTTTTTTTATCTGTTTAGCTTTAAGTTCTGCAAAATTATATTTCAATCCAGTGATGAAACACTAAATCACAATTATGTGAAGCCAACCCTTTCTTTCATTTCTTTCTCATCATGAATAAAATTCCACTTCCCCTGAACTCAATCTGAAATGAGGGCAGGTTCGTGTGATCCACATCGCCGCACCACGCAGGAAACACAACCCGCTGAAATCCTCGTCTTTCCTACCTGTGATTGGAACATCTGGTCTGGGCTGCTCCTTCCTCCACGAGGGCACAAACACTGTGATTTCAGAGTGGCCTTTTTCGAGAAAGAAGTTTACGGCCAGCTGGATTCCCAGACACGAGAAGACCTCCTTGTTCCCGTGGCTGAAAGAACGAACAGAAAACAGAGAAAATGGATGAGGAAATGGAAAAAAAATACACCCAATTCAGTTAATGATCTTAATCTCCTCTGTTTTTATCACTAATAGGCATCCTAAGAGTCATTTTCATTGTGAAATGATGCAATATCTTCAAACATGTCAGGAGTCATAAAATACAATAACAATGTGGCATTGTGGAATTTCCTGATTGGCTGCCAAGAAAGGAAAAACCACAATAATTCGAATGCAAAATCTTAGAAAGCAGTTTTATTTGTAGGGAAGCTAGTGCAGGATTTAGGATTGGGCTGCCTAATTTTATTTTTAAGGTTGCATATATCCTCAAGTTGCAAGATGTATGAAAGAAAATCCTCTCTGCAGGCCTTCAGAAGGACACAGTGTAAGAAAAACAACAGGAAAGCGTTTTTTGCATGTAACAAGTGATGAACGCAGCAACAAAAAAAAGCGCCGATTCTAGTTTGTGGCTATAAAACAAAAGCTTTCTCTGCAGCAGATCATTAAAATCCACTTTGTCCTAACAAATCAGTACCAGCAGCAAACAGTTATTTCAAACATTTGACCTGAGGTACAAACACTGACACGCTGAGCATATTTACTGTCGCAGAGCTGTTGAAAATATGACAGTCTGAGGTGTTCACAGGCCCCCGGGGAATGTTGGTTTTGCCAAGTTTGAAGTCAGGACAGCGACAGGATGAGGAAAGCAGAAAGCTAATGAGAGAGAAGGGGGTGTGAAATGCTGTCAGGCTTGTTCCTGTTGAAGTCGAGTCTTTTCTCTATAAGCAGTATTAATTTCAAGGAAATAAGGCGCACATGCTGATTTGCATACTCAGGCTGCCTGTCTGCTACGTGCCTGAACGGGCGTGCCCGGCTGGGAAAGGTAAGAAGACAGAGGGGTGTGTGTTCTCAGAGCTTACACACTGTACTTTGAGGGCTGTCTCACACTTTAACCCATTTCAAACTGTGTGTGCTTGTCTGGGTGTGAATGAGGGAAAAGGTCAAGCGTATCCAGAGGCTGAACTCCTGAAATTGTTGTCGATAAATCAGTCTAAGTGGTGCTGGAAAGCCGAGCAGGTAACAAGTTCCTGCTCAGGATTTTTGCTCGATAAATCCCTGAAACCTGACAGACAGTGGGAGAGGCTTTGGCGTACGTGCTGCCGGTTTCTGCGAATAATGTTAAAGACAACCTGGTGGATAGAGAATTGTCAACAGAGTAAGAATCCTTTAAACGCATAAAAATCGTCTTAATGGGCCCAAATGAGTAAATCACAACACCTCTAATCTCCATGAACAACTATCTACTACACCAGTGCTCCTTCAAGATGATTTCTTACTGTTTTGATGACATTTTGGAGTATCTTGAGGACACCGTTAAAAGTCTAAAGAAAAAATGAACATGACGACGCCAGCCAAGTTTTACTCGAACATTTTGTTCATTTGTAATACGTCAGTGTGTTTGAACATGGAGAAATATTGACATGATGAAGATGATGGATTATTGAACATGAGCTCTGATAGCAGTGATTCCCTCTGGGGGGATCCTAAAACAGTTTGAAAACTGACCGTCTTATAAAAATGAATAAACTCTGCCTCTCTAATGTCGCAAACATCGGAAAACTCCTCACAGGAAATTTAAAGGGAAAAACACACCTTGGGGTTCCTACTTAGATCAGTGTCTTCGCTGAGAAAGTTATCTTAACTATTTTATGTTTTTATTTTGGCCCTCATGGTCTCATTTTATGTTGTAGTCTTCTTGTATTGTCTGGGTTTCTTATGACAAATGAAACTGGCCTTCAGTTTGGAGGCCTTGTTTTTAACTGAGATGTTGTTTTTTATCTGTTTTTATTTCCATGTGCTGATGTTCTGAGCTTCATGACTGTTTGTCAAAACACTTTGTAAACTTCTTTTTTAAAAAGTGCTATAAAAATAAAGTTATTATTATTCTTATCATTATCATTAAAGTGGTTTAAGAACTTGATCTATCAACTGCCTTTTGTATCATATTTGAAAAATACTTTTATATACTTCTATCAAATAAATATGATCAACAAATTACTAAAAAACACCTGAATACAGTCTGATAAATGATAAAAATGCCCTCTTGTGGTTTATGTTTCCAAAAACATCTAATGTATCAAACGAGATAAATAAATATATTTGTTAAATTTTAAGGAAATTTTGGTTTTCGAAAAAAAAAAAAAAAACAGTTCAGCTCCAAAACATTTTAATTTTCTGGTCATAATTTGTGGTTTCAGGCATTAAAGGGTGAGAAGTTATCAACCGCAGCATGTTGTCCATGTTAAAATATGGGCAGCAGTGGAGGTAGTGTGAGTGCAGACAATAGACTTTATATAGAATAGAAGCTGTCTGCCTCCTCGCTGGGTGAAGCCACTCCGAGAACAGCACCCTCTGTTAAAAGGGCTGCAGTTTAGGTCATAAATCCCGCCTCCGCCAGCAAAGCTTATGGGGCTGTGAACAAACTTTAGAAATTTGTTACTCAGAACATAAATTTTTCTCCCCCCGTTTGCGATGTTGACATGTAGTTATTGTAAGACTGGTTTGTACTTGAGTCCTCTTTTTTATCTGTGCAGCTCCGTTTTTAAAAGTTATTTGGGGGTTCATGTTTGCTATGATTGACACCTGATACAGCCTATTGGCGTTCAGTGGTTGCGTAGCTCAACATAGAGCAATATTGACATGACGATGAAAAATGCATAGTGAAGAAAAATCGCGGAAATATCGAGAGCTTTGCTAATCTCAATTTTGTTTTTTTTTGAGTCATATTTTTGTTTTTTTGCCTTTATTAAGGGAGTATAAGACAGTGGATAGAGCAGAAAACCTGGAGAGAGAGTGAGGAGTGAAAAACAAGAGAGGTGCCATGGGTTGGAGTTGAACTCGACCTACAGCTTTTGTGCATGTGACTTAACTACTTGGCTAATTAGACACCAATGGTTTCTATGTATAAATCAGTCACTCTGGGATATTTTGATGTTGGGATTGTGACTATTAAAACACAAATTCAGGCGTCAATTTGTCCAATCATCGCAACTTTTTCTTGACAGATCACCTTCGTCCCCTTGTCCTCCCGGACCGTGTTCACCATCACGTACGCTCGCTTCCTTGTTGAGAAGATTAAGACACGTGCGACGTTAAACGCTCTCATTTAGCGATGATTACAGTCAAAGTTTGTTCACGTCAAGTTTTGTTTGCACGCAATACTGTGATGGAGCTCTTTGAGTCGTCAAAAGTGTGTCAGTCTGTACAGTTGATTCTGTTTACAATGAAAACACATGAACTTAAACGCTGTAGAACAATCAGATCAGTCCGTGCTGCTCGGGTTAGGTAGCCGCCTTTAGCATACATACATACATACATACATACATACACATGAATGAGGAGGAAGTTGTTCTGTTAAACAAACTAAACAAGTGAGCGAATCATCAGGTGACATGAGGTGATATTAATTACCTAAAGACAGGTCATGTTTGTTTTGATGTTACTTTCACTGCCGATGTGAGTCACTTTAAGCGTACAGGAAAGCACAAGCAGGAGCTAGTTTCCCCACTCGATGGACACGTGTAAAAGAGCGTGACCTGAAAATCATCCTTCGGGTAAAAATGACTTCTGATCCACAACACGGCGGGAGGAGGGACTCTGACGGCGACTGACTGTAAAATGCAAATGACTGCAAACAAAGAGCCTGAGGTTTTCTTAAGCAAATAAAGCGACAAAAGGCTTCACTTAACACGGCTCAACCTTGTCCTCAGGCGGTTAGTGTTCCCCCGGAGCCATGCCAAGCATCGCCATCATTAGCAATAAATGAGTTAACTATTTGGCTTCATAAGTGAATAAATTATACATCAATTAAAACTGGAAAATGAAAGTTAAGAACACAGATTTATAAAGTAGTCTCAAACTCAAGTCAACTAAAAGCACAACACTTTTTTGGGGGGAATTATTAGAAGATGTATATTAGGTTTCAATGAGTCTGTTTATTTCTGATTAACTGGTTAATGAGGAGATAGTTAAATACATCTGTTACATTTGAACACAACTGAGAGTGTGTTTTTGCTTAAAATAACTGAAAGACAAAACTTAAGTTTAATTTTTAAAAAAAGTTCTAGAGATTTTGCTCCAAATCGATAAAAAAATTAAAAGACTTTGTAATAAAAAGCAGAGAAAAGCTTTAACTTCTCTTTTTTTTTAACGGCAGAAAGTTTAAAAATGATTAGTAGTTTGATAACTTCATCACCATAGTTTCTGGGAGGAATTTTGCTTTTGCTTGTAAATGACATTCAATATTGACTCTTGACTATTTTTTACATAAAGTAGTCATTTTTTTATGGCTGACACCTCTGCTGGGAGGGTAGATGTCAGTCTGAGTAATGAAGTGCACGCTGCCAAAAAAAAAGCCTGTATTTATGTTTCCCTCAGCAAAGTATTTCCATCCCTTACAGTCTGGGTGTTAAAAAAAAGTGGGAGAGATTTTTGCTAATCAAAAATCAGAACTTCGGAGAATGTCGGTGTTTCTCTTTCTCCAAAATGTCTCCACGATGCAAATTTATTTTTTAAGATTTCAAGATTTTTCTCACAAGAATCAAGTTGCTATAAAATCATATTCGAAGTCTTGAAGGAGGAACTTAAAAGCTTTACATTTTAGAGATTATCCAAGTTATCATTTGTCTTTTTTTAAATTTACTTTTACTAGAGAATTACTAATTTTCCACCAAGATACAAAGAATTTTAGAGAGTTGAAAATAATTGACTTGAGTTTCTCACCTCATGGCCACATTGCTCCCATCTATCACAATCGGTCTGAGAGCATCTTCATCCTCTCCGCTCTCCTCTTTCTGAGGAGACGACACCGTCAGAGGAAGCAGCATCATGGGCCCCCCAGCGTGTGTTTCCCCTTTGGGCACCAGGACCGACATGGTGGTCACTGGCCCCTTCTTGGCCTCCCGCCTGGCCCCTATCCGAACCAGCTCGCCAAGGACTTTATCAGTGTCCACACTGGGGCCGAACTTCTGCTGAATGGCCTGGACCTGAGTGGTGGAGTACCCAAGTTTGTGGAAGAAGTCCAGTTGAGGGTCCAGGTGCTGGGGGTCTGAGGAGGGGTCGGCCTCAGCGGAGTACATTCGCTCACAGGAGAGACGGGCAGAGTTTGGAGCCCTGAGGAGTGAAGGGAGGGTCCATGCAGAGGAGTCAGAGTCTGTGTGGATCAGAGAGGAGGTGTATGTGTTTTTACTCCAGGGGTGGACGGCTGAGGCGGTGGTGAGATCAGTGTTCATCTCTGCTCAGACCCTGAAGACTCATCATGTTATTCCTGCTGTGATAAAAACTTCAGCTGTGAAACATTTGATATCCTGCAACAGAATAAAAAACAATTAATCATTTCAGACACAAAAATGACTTTTTTTTTGTTTTTTTACTGTCTTAAATATAAAAATCTCATTGCTTTTCTCTGTCATAAATGATAGTAAGGTGCATATCTGTGAGTCTGTTTAAAAAAAAGCAGATCATTTAAAGTTTTTCATATTTTATCGACTGCTTTTCAAAGAAATTTGAGCCTAAATTGATTATAATAAAAATACACAACTTGCATTAATTACTTAATATAAAATCCTTTGTATTAGCATGTCATTTGCTTCCATTTTTTTAAGGCTTACACCTTATTATACCTAAAATCAATCTGTCACTCATTTCTAAAATCATATCTAATAGTAACTAATGCTTAATTGTACTTAACTGAACATGATCAGCTGAAAAACTGCAATGATTTATTTAAAATTAAAATTATCATTGTCACCTTATTTGGATTTTTTTGGACAATACACAAGCTGCGAGGTGGAAATCAACATACTGTGCCCATAAATGTATCAACAATAACATCTTTTGAGGAGAAAGTATAAAATTTGATTTCTTATAATGGGTTCTTTTAGTAGTTGTATATACAGCTGCTTTTATTTACACCACATTGCAGTGCTGTAGTATTTGCTCCCTTTGCTTGAGTGAAAAATCTGATTATCTCTTTCATGAACAACTTAAACTGTTAGTTTATCAGCAGATTATTAATTAAACTGGTTACAGCTCAGTAAATTAAATTACTTAACTATAATTAATCGCTTGATTGCATTACTAAACTATTATAGAAAACAAAGCAGTTTATGCCAACATTTTCGACATTGAAACCCCTGATTTGGTGGCTGCAAATCATCGGTCATTTGTCCCTTCTGCCCACCCTTATTTTTGCCCTCAGCAAAATGAACACCAACGTAAATTCTGCATAAACACGGAGGGGTAAATGTGTCGTTTTTTCCGACTGAAACCGTAAAACTCTGGCGGTTTTAACTTCTTTTCACAGAGAAATCAGGGCAGCAGTGTTAGCGAGTAGCCACATTAAAACAAGTCGCTCCTTCCTGAACTTTAACAAACAAGTAAAGCCAGATAAACTTACCTTCAGCCGCCTCTTCGCTGCGCTGTCTGAACCTCTTCTCGTTATGGTTAATGTGCATGTAGCTCTCACAGCTGATGACTGAGGCGACAAGAGGCTTCTGTTTGAGTTTTTGAGCCGGTAAGAGGAGGAAGTTGGGGTTTTTCCTTTTTCTTGACATCAGGCAACAACCACCAACGTGGAGGTTCGGGCGGGTCACATGCTGTCGAGCCTACGGTAAATAAATACAATCTGTCCCCGCCTCTCTGCAGCCCGGTTAGCTGCTGGTGAGGGAACTTTATATATCCAAGACAACCAAAAACACATCAAATATCAGACCTCCTTTCTTAAGTAGCCCGAAAGAAAAAAAAAAGTGTTACTGAATGGAAAAGCTGGGGAACTTTACATAATGTTTACCAACCTAAAAACAATACTTTTACTTTATTATAACTACTGGTGCATTTACAGATTAAGATGATTTTAGTTTAGTTTTAGGTTAACCGATATCGGTATTTCAACGGCCGATACTGGCCGATATATACTGCAGATATCAAGTTGTTGTTGTTGCTGTTTCATAAGGTGGCCGAGCACCACCACTGCTGCAAATAAAAAAGAATGCAAAAAAAAAAAAGAAGCCAAGACTACGACAGAGTTCTAGGGCCATATTAAGAAAAAAATAAAATAAAATTAGGACTTAGTATTTACATACGAGAATAAAGTCGTAATAGAATCATTACTTACAAGAATAAAGTCTTAGTAAAATCGTAACTTACGAGAATATTTTTTATTTTATAATTAATAATAATTACTTGATCACGACTTTATTCTTGTAAGTGATTACGAAGTCTTGGGCTGTGTCCGAAATGGATCCCTAACCCCTATATAGGCAACTATATGGGGGTTTGCGCCATTTTGAGGGGTGTCAGAAACCTGAGTGATCAATTCCAGTGCCCCATATGGGTGACTCAAAATTTCCCATAAAGCATTGCAAAATGTAGTAACCATCCAATGGTCACTCACCGGTGGCAGGCATTCCGTCATGCATTGCGTCATGCCATGTAGTGTCCGAAACCTGCGGTGATTGAGTTTACTACATAGTCAACTATATAGTGAAACCCCATATGGGAGTAAGGGGTTAGAAATCTGCACCATTTTTTTTTTTTTTTTTTTTTTGTAGCTGGCTTAGCACATTAGTCAAAGCTTGACTTCAACATTTTGCTGCCTTCAGACTCTACCAAATATCTTTTTAACACCATTGTGTTGTTTTGGAAGGAGTCATACCCATGTCCACTTCTATTTCTAACTTCTTAATGTAAGAGAAGGATGGTTTAAAAACCAAAAACAAGAGTCTTAACTTTTTTTTTTATTTTATTTGAAATTTTGAGACAGGATCCTTTTCAATTTTTAAAGAATTGAGAGAAGGTATGAAAAAAAATGCTTGTGACACCTTTCTGTCTCCATTTATCCTCTCCGACAATTACGTCTTCTCCATGGCTGTTCCAGCTTGTGCTCTATATGAGGAGGAATGATTGGAACAACAGGAAGATGTATGTCAGGTATGACTGTCTGAAAGGGGTTAATGGGAAGAACATGGGGATGTATGTCAGGTATGGCTGTCTGAGGAGGGATATTGGGAAGAACATGGGGATGTATGTCAGGTATGGCTCCTTCCATTGTTGTAGAGGAAAGGCGTAGTTGTGTTGGTTCTGGTTCTTGTTGTTTTGTTGTTTGGTCTGGTTCTTGTTCTGATGTTGTTTGCCCTCCATTCTCCAAAGTAGACTGTGATGGCTGTGTTGGTTCTGGTTCTTGTTGTTTTGTAGACTGGTCTGGTTCTTGCTCTGATGTTGTTTGCCCTCCATTCTCCAAAGTAGACTGTGGTGGTTGTGTTGGTTCTGGTTCTTGTTGTTTTGTAGTTTGATCTGATTCTTGCTCTGATGTTGTTTGCCCTCCATTCTCCAAAGTAGACTGTGATGGTTGTGTTGGTTCTGGTTCTTTTTGTTTTGTAGTTTGGTCTGATTCTTGCTCTGATGTTGTTTGCCCTCCATTTTCCAAAGTAGACTGTGATGGTTGTGTTGGTTCTGGTTCTTGTTGTTTTGTAGTTTGGTCTGATTCTTCCTCAGATGTTGTTTGCCCTCCATTCTCCAAAGTAGACTGTGATGGTTGTGTTGGTTCTGGTTCTTGTTGTTTTGTAGTTTGGTCTGATTCTTGCTCTGATGTTGTTTGCCCTCCATTCTCCAAAGTAGACTGTGATGGTTGTGTTGGTTCTGGTTCTTGTTGTTTTGTAGTTTGGTCTGATTCTTGCTCTGATGTTGTTTGCCCTCCATTCTCCAAAGTAGACTGTGATGGTTGTGTTGGTTCTGGTTCTTGTTGTTTTGTAGTTTGATCTGATTCTTGCTCAGATGTGGTTTGCCCTCCATTCTCCAAAGTAGACTGTGATGGCTGTGTTGGTTCTGGTTCTTGTTGTTTTGTAGACTGGTCTGGTTCTTGCTCAGATGTTGTTTGCCCTCCATTCTCCAAAGTAGACTGTGATGGTTGTGTTGGTTCTGGTTCTTGTTGTTTTGTAGTTTTGTCTGATTCTTGCTCTGATGTTGTTTGCCCTCCATTCTCCAAAGTAGACTGTGATGGTTGTGTTGGTTCTGGTTCTTGTTGTTTTGTAGTTTGATCTGATTCTTGCTCAGATGTGGTTTGCCCTCCATTCTCCAAAGTAGACTGTGATGGCTGTGTTGGTTCTGGTTCTTGTTGTTTTGTAGACTGGTCTGGTTCTTGCTCTGATGTTGTTTGCCCTCCATTCTCCAAAGTAGACTGTGGTGGTTGTGTTGGTTCTGGTTCTTGTTGTTTTGTAGTTTGATCTGATTCTTGCTCAGATGTTGTTTGCCCTCCATTCTCCAAAGTAGACTGTGATGGTTGTGTTGGTTCTGGTTCTTGTTGTTTTGTAGACTGGTCTGGTTCTTGCTCTGATGTTGTCTGCCCTCCATTCTCCAAAGTAGACTGTGATGGTTGTGTTGGTTCTGGTTCTTGTTGTTTTGTAGACTGGTCTGGTTCTTGCTCTGATGTTGTTTGCCCTCCATTCTCCAAAGTAGACTGTAATGGTTGTGTTGGTTCTGGTTCTTGTTGTTTCGTAGTTTGGTCTGATTCTTGTTCTGATGTTGTTTGCCCTCCATTCTCCAAAGTAGACTGTGGTGGTTGTGTTGGTTCTGGTTCTTGTTGTTTTGTAGTTTGATCTGGTTCTTGCTCAGATGTTGTTTGCCCTCCATTCTCCAAAGTAGACTGTGATGGTTGTGTTGGTTCTGGTTCTTGTTGTTTTGTAGTTTGGTCTGATTCTTGCTCTGATGTTGTTTGCCGTTCTTCCTTATATGTTGTCTGCAATGGTTGTGTTGGTTCTGGTTCTTGTTGTTTTGTAGTTTGATCTGATTCTTGCTCTGATGTTGTTTGCCCTCCATTCTCCAAAGTAGACTGTGATGGTTGTGTTGGTTCTGGTTCTTGTTGTTTTGTGGTTTGGCCTGATTCTTGTTCTGATGTTGTTTGCCCTTCTTCCTTAGATGTTGTCTGTGGTGGTTGTGTTGGTTCTGGTTCTTGTTGTTTTGTAGTTTGGTCTGATTCTTGCTCTGATGTTGTTTGCCCTCCATTCTCCAAGGTAGACTGTGGTGGTTGTGTTGGTTCTGGTTCTTGTTGTTTTGTAGTTTGATCTGGTTCTTGCTCTGATGTTGTCTGCCCTCCATTCTCCAAAGTAGACTGTGATGGTTGTGTTGGTTCTGGTTCTTGTTGTGTTGTAGTTTGGTCTGATTCTTGATCAGATGTGGTTTGCCCTTCTTCCTTAGACGTTGTCTGTGATGGTTGTGTTGGTTCTGGTTCTTGTTGTTTTGTAGTTTGATCTGATTCTTGATCTGATGTTGTTTGCCCTTCTTCCTTAGATGTTGTCTGTGATGGTTGTGTTGGTTCTGGTTCTTGTTGTTTTGTAGATTGATCTGATTCTTGCTCAGATGTTGTTTGCCCTCCATTCTCCAAAGTAGACTGTGATGGTTGTGTTGGTTCTGGTTCTTGTTGTTTTGTAGTTTGGTCTGGTTCTTGCTCTGATGTTGTTTGCCCTCCATTCTCCAAAGTAGACTGTGATGGTTGTGTTGGTACTGGTTCTTGTTGTTCTGTAGTTTGTTCTGATTCTTTCTCTGATGTTGTCTGCCCTCCATTCTCCAAAGTAGACTGTGATGGTTGTGTTGGTTCTGATTCTTGTAGTTTTGTAGTTTGATCTGATTCTTGCTCAGATGTTGTTTGCCCTCCATTCTCCAAAGTAGACTGTGATGGTTGTGTTGGTTCTGGTTCTTGTTGTTTTGTAGTTTGGTCTGGTTCTTGCTCTGATGTTGTTTGCCCTCCATTCTCCAAAGTAGACTGTGATGGTTGTGTTGGTTCTGGTTCTTGTTGTTTTGTAGTTTGGTCTGGTTCTTGCTCTGATGTTGTTTGCCCTCCATTCTCCAAAGTAGACTGTGATGGTTGTGTTGGTTCTGGTTCTTGTTGTTTTGTAGACTGGTCTGGTTCTTGCTCTGATGTTGTTTGCCCTCCATTCTCCAAAGTAGACTGTGATGGTTGTGTTGGTTCTGGTTCTTGTTGTTTTGTAGACTGGTCTGGTTCTTGCTCCGATGTTGTTTGCCCTCCATTCTCCAAAGTAGACTGTGATGGTTGTGTTGGTTCTGGTTCTTGTTGTTTTGTAGTTTGGTCTGGTTCTTGCTCTGATGTTGTTTGCCCTCCATTCTCCAAAGTAGACTGTGATGGTTGTGTTGGTTCTGGTTCTTTTTGTTTTGTAGACTGGTCTGGTTCTTGCTCTGATGTTGTTTGCCCTCCATTCTCCAAAGTAGACTGTGATGGTTGTGTTGGTTCTGGTTCTTGTTGTTTTGTAGTTTGGTCTGGTTCTTGCTCTGATGTTGTTTGCCCTCCATTCTCCAAAGTAGACTGTGATGGTTGTGTTGGTTCTGGTTCTTGTTGTTTTGTAGACTGGTCTGGTTCTTGCTCCGATGTTGTTTGCCCTCCATTCTCCAACGTAGACTGTAATGGTTGCGTTGGTTCTGGTTCTTGTTGTTTTGTAGTTTGGTCTGATTCTTGCTCTGATGTTGTTTGCCCTCCATTCTCCAAAGTAGACTGTGATGGTTGTGTTGGTTCTGGTTCTTGTTGTTTCGTAGTTTGGTCTGATTCTTGCTCAGATGTTGTTTGCCCTCCATTCTCCAAAGTAGACTGTAATGGTTGTGTTGGTTCTGGTTCTTGTTGTTTTGTAGACTGGTCTGGTTCTTGCTCAGATGTTGTTTGCCCTCCATTCTCCAAAGTAGACTGTGATGGTTGTGTTGGTTCTGGTTCTTGTTGTTTTGTAGTTTGGTCTGGTTCTTGCTCTGATGTTGTTTGCCCTCCATTCTCCAAAGTAGACTGTGATGGTTGTGTTGGTTCTGGTTCTTGTTGTTTTGTAGTTTGGTCTGGTTCTTGCTCTGATGTTGTTTGCCCTCCATTCTCCAAAGTAGACTGTGATGGTTGTGTTGGTTCTGGTTCTTGTTGTTTTGTAGTTTGGTCTGGTTCTTGCTCTGATGTTGTTTGCCCTCCATTCTCCAAAGTAGACTGTGATGGTTGTGTTGGTTCTGGTTCTTGTTGTTTCGTAGTTTGGTCTGATTCTTGCTCTGATGTTGTTTGCCCTCCATTCTCCAAAGTAGACTGTGATGGTTGTGTTGGTTCTGGTTCTTGTTGTTTTGTAGACTGGTCTGGTTCTTGCTCTGATGTTGTTTGCCCTCCATTCTCCAACGTAGACTGTAATGGTTGCGTTGGTTCTGGTTCTTGTTGTTTTGTAGTTTGGTCTGATTCTTGCTCTGATGTTGTTTGCCCTCCATTCTCCAAAGTAGACTGTGATGGTTGTGTTGGTTCTGGTTCTTGTTGTTTCGTAGTTTGGTCTGATTCTTGCTCAGATGTTGTTTGCCCTCCATTCTCCAAAGTAGACTGTAATGGTTGTGTTGGTTCTGGTTCTTGTTGTTTTGTAGACTGGTCTGGTTCTTGCTCTGATGTTGTTTGCCCTCCATTCTCCAAAGTAGACTGTGATGGTTGTGTTGGTTCTGGTTCTTGTTTTTTTGTAGTTTGGTCTGGTTCTTGCTCTGATGTTGTTTGCCCTTCTTCCTTAGATGTTGCCTCTGATGGTTGTGTTGGTTCTGGTTCTTGTTGTTTCGTAGTTTGGTCTGATTCTTGCTCTGATGTTGTTTGCCCTCCATTCTCCAAAGTAGACTGTAATGGTTGTGTTGGTTCTGGTTCTTGTTGTTTTGTAGTTTGGTCTGATTCTTGCTCTGATGTTGTTTGCCCTCCATTCTCCAAAGTAGACTGTGATGGTTGTGTTGGTTCTGGTTCTTGTTGTTTCGTAGTTTGGTCTGATTCTTGCTCTGATGTTGTTTGCCCTCCATTCTCCAAAGTAGACTGTGATGGTTGTGTTGGTTCTGGTTCTTGTTGTTTTGTAGTTTGGTCTGATTTTTGCTCTGATGTTGTTTGCCTTTCTTCCTTAGATGTTGTCTGTGATGGTTGTGTTGGTTCTGGTTCTTGTTGTTTTGTACTTTGGTCTGATTCCTGTTTTGATGTTGTTTGCCCTTCATTTTCAGATTTACTGGACATGGATGGTTGTGATGGTTCTTGTTCTTGTGTAGTTTCAGGTAATCCTTTTCTAGGTGTTGGCTGCAATCCTACACCAGTGGTAGAGAACTGTGGTCGTTGGGTTGGTTCTGATTCATCATCTTCCTCCTCTCCATCGTCTGACATGGGAAATGTTTTAGACTTTCTCGCATCCTGGCCTGTTCCTTTTCCTTCACCTTTTCTACATTTGCAAGGAGGGATTTTAATTATTTCTTTTATTAGACTTGCACTTGGGAAGTCCATGACAAAGACACCTAAGCACCCCTTATTCAAGGACCTTTTTCTGTGGCGCTTCACAAAGTCATAAATCTGTAAGTTGATTTTTTTGGCCACAGTTTTTGGACTTTGATGTGTCATCGCTGCTTTGTTAGTCAGAACAATATGATGGTCACAGATGAGAGGTTTGATTTTTTCTATCTTGTCTTCAACATTTTCAAGACTGTTATATTCCAAGAAAAATGATCGATGGTTCACAGTTCCAACGTGGAATGAGTTACTTCGCAGAAAAACTATCTTGCCCCTTGCCTGTTGCATGTTTGGTACTGACCATTCAGTCAATATTTTATTTTTGAAATTTTTAACAGATTTTTCCATCAGTTTTACCACTTTGTCTTTAGCAAGTCCATGTAGTTTCACTTTCAAGAGTACCGTCTCACTCCCATGGGCTTCTAAGAACTTGAAAATGATCTTCAGTACATCATCAAATGTAATCAGTTTAAAAAGCAGCCAGTGACTATTCCTCACATACATGTGCTTATGAGTGGGCAACCAAGGAACAGCATGCAAATCAAAATATCGGATTCCTGCATTAAGTTGCTTTTCCAGTGTCCAAACTTGACATTGAATCAGTGGTCCTCCATAAAGTGATGAGCTGTCGTGTGTACCAGGAATGGCAATAGCAGATACTGGAGTCTCATCAGGTATAGACTTCATCCAGTTCTGGTTGTAAAATTTGGTATGTAAGGCTGAGTCATCATTCACACCTGTCTCTGAACTTGCACAGGAGGTTAATCTAAAATCAACACAATATAAAGTGAAGTCAGTCATACTGAAGAATCATGCTGTAGAGAACTTTACAGATGGACAAACAATAATTCTTACAAAATACATTTACCCTTGTTAAACTGAACTTACATAGAGAGAAGCCAGGCATAGTGATAGATCTTCATTATTGGTTTGCTGATCAGTCTTTAATCCCACAAACTCAGTCAGGATTAATCCACTCTCTTTTCTTGGTTGTCTTTACATTGTAGTCTCAGTTTTGTCAAAATATGTCATAAGCCTCTCAAAGCTTTTACCGGTAGACATGACAAAGAAAAAGGCAGTTGTCTCTCTTCAAACTAGTAGGTGTGAGTATAAAGATAAACTCTCATTTGCATGTTTGTACTCTGTAATCTCATATTTGCTGTCATAGTTGATAGGAGGGCAGGCTGAAGGAAATTTCAGCACTGTAAAACTGCTTCATATCATAGCTCCTGCGGTTGTAAAATGTGCCTTTTGCACAAGTTATTCATGGTAATGTCAATCACCTGCTGTACTTTGACAACAGGTTTTCCTTCTTGGTTTTGTTTGTTGCTCTTGCAAAGATGGGAATACCATCCCTTGGGACTGTGCAGCAAAACTGCCTGGGAAGAGGGACATTTGAGGAGCAAGAGGCTGTTGATGACAGTGTGGAGATAAGAACAGTCAAATGGGTGATCGCTGCCAGCACTTTTGCCTGTGCCCAGCCTGTTTCCAAAGTAGAGAGATGGGATAGGAAATTGAAACAGAAAGTGTTTGTTAAATGGCCAAACATCATCAAGTTCATGGGTGGTGTTGATGCTCTTGATGCACGAATTGCGTCATACCACATCCACATAAGGGTCCTGTCACAGAAGACCAGGTGGCCCCCACTGGATGTTGAAATGGAGTTTGAAAATAAAAAACGCAGAGGTCCAACTAAGACTATTCCAACACAGGAGATCCAGTTTGATGCTGTGGCCAGTGGTTGAAATTGCGCGTCAACGCTGCAAACTCCCACTTTTTAAGAGCCACACTGCTTCCAAAACTGCTTCCATCAGTTTCATGAGTAAAGCTGTTTCAAGTCACATGCTTCTCTGTCCACATGGACAAAAACAAGGACAGAGTCAAACAGACAGAAAGAGTAGGAGTAAAATTGTACTGATTTGTTTCTTGCTGTTTTTATAATCTGTTCATTATTAAATTGACGTTTTTAAGTGTACAAGTCTGAAGTAAAAACTTGAGTTCTGTTTCAAATTGTTTTACAATAGTTGGTTTTATAATGTATGGTGTTTAATTTGACATTGTAATGTATATGTATATGTACATATTGAGTTTGTATTTTCAATAAATGTTTTTGTAGTTTTTGTATAAAATTTCACCCATGCACAAAGACTTGTCCATAACGAAATGGTTGTCGTAGGTCTATTTAAAAAACTCAACGGGTCACATCTTCACCTTAACTCCACTCGCCACAGTTGATGTGAACTGGATCAAGCCGTGCTGTACCTGCCAAAATCACTTCTCAACCTCGCTAAGTCTCCCGTGGCAGAATGGGAACAAATCCCTGCAGCTCGGTTTCAAAATCTTAAATCAGGGGATGTCCTCGCACATAAAAGAAATGCAGTAATGAGATTTTAAACTATCACAGAAGAGTTAAATGTATTTTTACACTTAATTACAATTCGTATATTATTTGAGCACTAAAGCCTTGTTTCTAGTCTGAAGCATTATGAACATTTTCAGTCTGAATATAAGAAGAACAACCTCTTGTGATTTATGACAGGTTAGACTGACTTTTTAAACAAATGGAAAATAAACATATTGTAGCTGCTGTCCTTCTGTGGTTGGGTGTACCATGCTGACACGTCTTTCTATCCTGACCAATAAGCTTGTGTGTGGCCTTGACTGATCCTCTTCCTGGCCACCTGTTGCATCTTAGTGCTACAGGTTATCTGCAGAAGCAGGATCAGATAAGACTTTAACATGGACGATTTGTTACTACGACAGACATGGTTAGATAACGCCTCTGAAATGACAGGACGGCTTTTGATGGGAAAGGGACTTAGTTGTGTGTGAAGTTGAATCCCGCACCAGCTTTTACCTCCAGGAATTGATCCTGTCTTTGCATTTGCAAGATGTCTGTGAGAACTCTCCCGCTGGTTTTCATTAATCTGGGCGGAGAAATGCTTTACATACTGGACCAACGCCTGCGAGCTCAGAACACATCTGAGGACAATTCAGAAAAAGGTAGCGGTATAAAGACTGACAGGCCCTGATCGGTGTGTAGGCCTACGTGTTTAGCCCCAAGTCATGCCTCTTCTTGACAGATGTAGCTGTCAGACATCAGCTTTTAAACTGAACATGTGCATTGTATTTGTCATGTGCAAGACTGAATGACATGCCTGCCTCTTCTTTTTTCTTGGAAACCCTGTTTGGATGAAGGAGTGTGGTCAGAGTACGACAGAAAAAGAGGTATCCATGCTGTACTTAACACAACAATGTTCACAGCGTCTTTTTTTGGCTGTAATTTATGTAATTATTTAGTCTATTTATGTTCTATTTTTTGTTAATATAATGTAAATATGTTGGAGACCGACTGTTTATTGAGTAGCAGAGAAGGGGTAGGTTCTTTTCAGACATGTTGGGTTCACATTATTAGTATTTTTTTGCTTTGATTGTTATTGTTGTTTTGAATATTCTCATTGGTTTTGTTTGCTTGATTTCGGTTTACTTTCTTGTGTTGCACGCACATGTCCAAAAAAATATATATAAATAAAAACAAAATAAAATAATGAGACATTGAAGTCAGCTGTTAGATGATGATATGTCTTATTTTGAGTGAAATCAAGATAGTTTCAAGACGTTAATGTAGGTAAGAAATGTGTGAAGTACGGAGTAAAACTTTTGCATTTCTTCTATTTCTGTTGTCTGCGTTCAGGGATTTCACCACCTTTCTGTTTCTGCTTGTTTCTAGTCATGAATGATATTGTTGGCACCATGTTTAATAAATCCTTCATGGATGAACTTCTCAAACCTCAGCAGCTGTATTCCCACAGGACACTGAAAACAGTGTTAACCCGTATAGCACACGCCTCAATCATGAGGCTGAACCCGGCCAGCATGGACAGGGTGAGTACAAGATAAAAGAGAGCGATGTTATTGAGCGTTTTTGGGCGAATCCAAATCAAGACTTTCTAGTTTTTTGGTTATGAACAGCTCAGATGAAGTTATATGACGTAATGATTGCTATCAAAACACTCAAGGGTGAATTTACTGTAAGAATATATATAATAATCTAATCTTCTCTCTTTTTTCCTTACAGCTTTATGAGCTGATGATCATGGCGTTCAAATATCAAGTCTTCCTTTGTCCACGACCAAAAGACTTGCTCCTTATCTCCTACAATCACATCGATACCATCAGGGAGTTGGTAAAAGAGACTCCTGTGGCTCTGAATCAGGTGGAAGAAGCTCACAGGAAAATCATTGAGGTACGCTTGAAGCTAGACTGAGTAATTCTTGTGAAATGTTCAGCTGTGACGCGTGTAAACCCAGTAGTAAAAACAGTCTGTACTGTAGGTTAGGCCATAATGTCCAGATTCCAGCTGTCAGTTTTTATCACCCGTATATTTATCCTCTATCCTGTGTGACCAGTTTTTCGTTTTCTTTCTCTCTGCTGTAGGTTTACACGTCGTTATCAGAGGGTGAATTCCAGCTGCTCCGACAAACACTGCTCATATTTTTACAAGACAGCCACATTCGAGTGAGTCCTTTTGGCATCCGCTTCTATACACATGAGACGACAATACGTCAGTCATAACATTTCTTCAATTCTTGTCTCAGGTGTCGCTCTTCATGAAAAATAAAGTCCAGAATCCGAATGGGCGCTTTGTGCTGTCCACATCAGGCCCGGTGCCTCATGGGATTGAAGTTCCTGGGCTCATCAGGTCGGCAGCTGATGATTGAATAAATTAAATTTCACATGTTTTGATGACTTTGACTCACCTGACCTCTAACTTGTAACCAGAGTGCTCTAGCTTTCTCCTACTGGACTGTGATCCTTGATTTTGAACGACCAGAATCGAACCTTTAAGAGACCGTTAATAAATAGCACAGAAGTGGGCGTCACTAAAGGACTACTGGTTTTAGGTTCAAATCCAAGACAAGAGCTCTACGTATCTTGCTGGAAATGTTTTACATCCACTAGTCTGAGCTGTGCTTTTGAACAGCTGTAACGAAACGGTGGATTAATAGAACCAAAAAGGGCAAACACGTGGAGGCAGGCCTATGGTGTGGTGATCGGTCAGGTGATTCTGGGTTTAAATCAGGTGAATGGGAAGTCTACAGTTGGGGAACAGAGAAGAGAGGAGAGAGTAAAGACAAAGGAAGGGAAAAACCAGGATGTGTCATGCTCAAATTTAGAAACCACAAAACACCACCAATCGAACCCTTAAAGGGATATTCCAGACTACAACAGGGTGACTCAGCTCAAGGAAGAACACTTAGGGTCATTTTTTAATCATTTCCTTGAAGTAATTATCAACATATTAATCATTTTGCAGTGCAGACGCAGTAGTACTTCTGCCTTATCGTCTCAGTCTGATTGTATTTCCATGAAGAAATGATCATAAATGTTCTTCCTTGAGCTGCGTAACCCCGCTGTAGTCCGTAATGGACTGGCCCGAGGTTTCGCTACAAACAAGCAGCTGCTGGAAGAGAGTAGGTGAGTTGTGTTTAGTCTCTTTGCTAAAGAAATTAGGCAAAGTTAAAAAGATGTTTGGTGGCTAGTGCTATGGCTGGGACCCTATATGTACTGTTGATGGAGTTAGATGCTATTTTTAGCATTATTTGTGGCTATAAAGTGGCGTTTTGGTTGAGGTTTGTGTACGGCTCCTCAGACCGCTGTGTATTGCTATCGTGCGGTCGTTACTAAAGTTGGTATAACTAGAGAAGCAAGCGGTCGGCAACATCCATCTCTGAGGGGGTGTCTAACTCAGTGTTAAGGCATGTTTGACCCTACATTAACTTTACGCCGGAATATCCCTTTAACCTCCAGGAGCAGCTGCGTATACTGTAGATGTTTGACATAATTCTCAGCTGACAGGTTTCGATGATCTAATTTTAGAATTCTAATAGTTTCAAAATCCCAGAGTTTCATCACCTGTTTCCTTTTTCTGCAGGATGTTTGATGACAAAGGGAAAGAAGTGACACGAAGCGAGTTCCCCACAGGAGGAAGTTACACCAGCCCCATCAGAGAGGGATCGTTTGAACTGCATGGAGACAGAGTCATCAGACTGGGGCTGAACATGTATGTGGAGAGAGCATGCTGCAAACTTTATAGTTTGTCTTTTTCTAAAAACAAAGATCAGATAACTCTGGTGTGTTTTTGTGTTTCGTAAACTAAAGGTACACAGTAAACCATCCAGAGGAGACACACACGTCCAAGGCTGCTCCTGTCAAGGTATTAAAGGGTCTTTAACTTCACGTGTAGTTTAAGAATTTTTAGGACATTTGTGGGAATCTTACTGCGCCCCATTGTCTCGTTATGTAATCTGGCAAGAAGCACGAAAGAACTTTTGATTTAAAAGTGTACAATCACGTCTTAATCAACAGTTTGAAGGTTAGATTTAAAATTAAAATGTTACTGACTGATTTCAATTATAATACTTTTGTTTCATCTCTAATACACGGTTGCATTATTCCCACAGGCAACACTTCACCTACATTAGAATTAAATATAGACACATGCACCGAAAAATACAACCTGCATCACATTCGCCTTTTGATGGTTGCCAAGAACATTTTTTATTTGCATAGTGTCCCTTCGTACCAAAGAAGAGGTGTGGCTTTATAATTAGAAGCATGAAAGATTTACAACCCTGTTCCTCAATCGCATGACCAAAACATTAAATTATTTAATTAAGTGAGGTTTGGCTAACTGAGGCTGTTGACTCATAACTCATAACCGGCACACCTGTATGCAAAAGAGCCCTTGTTTAAAAATGCTGTATTTATTCAGAAACTTAATTATTTGGAACAGCAGGGACAAAGTCTTGGTGCGTTGGGTCTCATAGGGGACTCTGTTATTGCCTGATGGCAGGTGGGTGTGTTGATTGTGTATCTTGAGCAGGTGAGTTTGGACAGAAGGTGACAGAGCAAGAAGAGGAGGATTAGTGAAACACTGAATGAGACACAAAAATATACAAACAAGCAAAAAGTTAAGATATAGGAGAAACCAAGGCACAGGGATGGAAAATGAGAAAGTGCGTTTAATGTTCTTAACTAAACTGTAGCAGAAAATGTCGCACAGTTGCTTCACAAAGTCTGCCATTAGATTACATTCACGGTTTCTTTTACATATGAAAATTTTCTGTACAAACTGCATCTTTTGGAAAATTGTTAGAGGTTGATTTAAACTTTTATCATGTTCATAAACTGGAAAAAAGTTGATTCTCTTTTGCTCAAATATTAATCAACCTTCAATTGAGTCTGTAGCACAACATAAACACTCAAAAGAGTCAATTTTCTGCTTAAATAGCACTTTTGATTTAAAAGTAGGTGTCATTTTCCGGTGATATTTTCTATTTCCTTATCAGTGAGATTTTGAGTGAAAAACTTTTACTTGTTTTTGAAAGTTTGTCATCCTGAGTAGAGGGTCTGAATACCTGTCAATGTAGGCAGATGACACCCCAAACCTGCTGGCCAAAGAGGAGCTGAACCAGCTGGCTCGTCTGATGGGCAGCATGAAGTCCGAAAGCACCCCCAAATCTGAGCCTGGATTCAGGATCAACCTGTTTACCACAGATGAAGAAGAGGAGGAGGAAGAGGCGTGAGTTCTCTCATTTTCTTAACTTCTGTTTTCATCTTTAATCAATTAAGTACTTCAATGATATTAAAAGCATGAGTTTCCTTATGTCAACAGGAGAACAGCAGGTGGTGCTGGAGAGCCGTTGTTTGGAGTGATAAATATTCAGGCAATGCAGGTGCAGTATGGAAACCCTGGCTACAGATAGTTGTAATAAAATATCTGTGTGTAAAACCTGAAAGAGGAACCCCAGAGTATTTACAACAGATCATTCACCACTATAAATAGCTACATCACTGTATTATCGAGCTGACGTGTCTTTGGTTCTGTCTGATTCAGGATGAACAGTTTGCCACCCAGCTGGCTCAAATCGCTGGACAGTTTGCCGATGAAGGAGAGCAGTCTGACAACCCCGGCAGCAGCAGCAACAAAGGAGACGACCTGCTGGACATGATGGACCAACTCTGACTTTTTGTTTTTAGTTTCTATGAGACTTTTAGATGCATCTCAACTTCACTGCCTCACACTGGATTAGTCTTTATCTAAAGGAAAATCCTGTCGTCACTGTGAGCTTTTTCTAAACTGCTAAATACCTGGTGGTCTATTGACTTAGTTCTACACTCGACGGTTTAACATTTAAGTATAATATAACCACGACCAAGGTTTTATTAACAGGTATGAACTCAAAAATTTGAGAGTTTATATATGTATAGTATATATCGCATAAAAAGTTTAATATATTCATTCATAAAAATCTGATAAATATCATTTTATGTTTTCAATAAAGCTCATAAAAATCCACATTATTATCATATTTTTTAAAGTTTTATTTTGGGCTACCTCCTATCAGGACTTTAACTTCTGCACATGTAACCTGCATGTTATCACAGTCAAGGTAATAAAAGTAAATAAAAGTCATAGTAAAATCATTTTTTGAACATGGATATAGGCTATTTTTTGTAGATTATCATTATAGGAATCAATGGAGAGCGTATGGTCAAACTTTAGATTGAACCATGGTTCAGCAAACGTCAGTTTAGCTCGATGGTACTGCACCTGTGTGTATCTGTTTTTCTAATAGCCCGCAGAGGGCGCTGCTGTTCCATGTTGACGCTTCAAAACGTAAGCGTAAACGTCATCACGTTAAGCTACGTCTTGAGCGTTTGTTGCGGGAAGTCGAATCTCATTCAGACTATTTACATCGACCTACAGAGACCGTGAGAGTGTCAAATTACTTCGAAGAGGAGTTTTACAGGTGAAGGTAAATGTTTTAAAGCACATATGTCTCTAACTTTGTTAAATTTGTTGTTTTGATGCTTTAACTGACCAAATTGAGTCGCTGCTAAAGCTAAAAGCTAACTGAATGTTCATCTAACACCTGAATCGTTTGACGCTGTGCCCTTTGCTTTGTCTTCCTGCAGGTTTCACTGAACTTGAGAAATCCTCTTTAATCATCCTCATGGAGTCACAGGGGGCTGAATCCCCTCCGTCTGTCTCAGGACAAGCCGAAGTCCTGAACTCCATCCGGGAGCGCACCATCGTAGAGAACAGCATGGTGGTCCTCCTTCAGGGTCTGCAGGGAGAGGTGACCACCGTGGACCTGAGGAACGAGAGCTCAGCGTGCGGCCGTGTGGTCAACGTGGACGCCTTCATGAATATCCGCCTGAAGGACGTGGTGTACAAGGACAGACGGGGTCAAGTCACACAGCTGCAGGAGCTGTTTATCACCGGCAGGAACGTCCGCTACGTCCACATCCCAGACCACATGGACATAATGAAGACCATCGAGAGCCAGCTGTCCAAGATCCACAGAGTCCGCAACTTTGCCAGTGAAGGGGGAGGCAGAAAGGAGTTCAAGAAAACAACAAAATAGAGGAATATAAAAACTCTGCTGGGTCCTGTTGAAGTGATTCAGTCCACTGCAAACCTTTCTGTTGCACTAAACTGTGAAATGTTGGACACCTTGACTTTGTAAGACCCTGAAGATCCATCAGAACAGGGAAGAATTACTGCTGGAGAGCTGAATCTATGAGTTATTTAGTAAACTGGAAAAATCTGCTTTTTTCTGTTATTAAAAACACTGTAGGATATAAAAGTAAATGATGTTTTGGGTCATTTTTAACACATCAAACCAACTGTATATTTGTTACTCATCATGTTTGCAAGGGGGACTGAAGGTTGGTGGTGCGAGCTCTTTACCCGCAGACTGTGATCCTGAGTACTGCCTGAATTTAAAGGGATATTCCGGCGTACTCTATAGCCACTCCATAGCCACAAATAATGCTCAGAACAGCACCTAACTTCATCAACAGGACATATAGGGTCCTAGCCATAGTACTAGCCACCAAACATCTTTTAAACTTTGCCTAATTTCTTTAGCAAAGTCACTAAACACAACTCACCTACTCTCTTCCAGCAGCTGCTTGTTTGTAGTGAGACCTCAGGCCAGTCCATTACAGACTACAGTGGGGTGACACAGCTCAAGGAAGAACATTTATGATCATTCCTTTATAATTTCCTTGAAGAAATATTCACCATACTGATAATTTTACACTACAGACGCAGGAGTTCTTCTGCCTGAGCATCTCGGTCTGATTGTATTTCCATGAAGAAATGATCATAAATGTTCTTCCTTGAGCTGCGTCACCCCGCTGTAGTCTGTAATGGACTGACTAAAGAAATCAGACAAATTTAAAAAGATGTTTGGTGGCTAGTGCTGTGGCTAGGACTCTATATGTACTGTTGATGAAGTTAGGTGCTATTCTGGACATTATTTGTGGTTATAGAGTGGCATTTTGGTTGAGTGCGTGGCTCTCTGTATTGCTATCTTGCGGTCGTTACTAAAGTTGGTATAACAAGAGAAGAAAGCGGTCGGCAACATTCATCTCCGGAGGGGGTGTCTAACTCAGTGTTACGTTGTGTTTGACCCTAAATTAATTTCACGCCGGAATATCCCTTTAAGCTTGTGTTTGACTATGAGTCACTTGGGATTATCCCTGGTTACCAGTGAGCTTTGCATTTCATTTTATTCTTTAGTTACCACATTGCTGCTCTTCTATCCAAACTGGCAGGTTGTTATGGTAGCACCTTGTCAATCACAGTGTAAAGTCGCTAAAAGCATATATTTAACTTTTTTTTACTTAACATATAAATAAAAGTGAATAAAAAGTGCGTTATTTCTCGTTGAAGAACACATGAAATCAGAATTTACTCCATAAACTCTCTGGGAATCTGCTGATTGAGGAAAATATTTAAGTAAACTCATTCTCTCATACATGCAACCGATAGTCGCCCCCTGCTGGCTGTAGGTATGACTGCAGATTCAGGCATTTCTGCATCAGCTTCACTCTTGAAACAAAGAAGCTACATCCATCTTTTATCGCCTCTGCTTCCAGCACATCCCTGCTGTTAATAATAAAGTTAATAACTGAATAAATTGAGTGTGTGCAGGTGAGGTCCAAAGTATCAGGAGAGTTATCCTGTCCTGCAGCACAAAGTCCATCTGTCTGTCTGTCTGTCTGTGTGAGTGAAATCAGCCCTGATGTTAATAAGTGCCTATACGCAGGAAAACATTACTCATGGTCAGTGCCAGTCTAGTGGAGGGAAAAACAAGCCGGCGTGTTTCCACAGCCTCCGCCTCACAAACATCTCTGCTGCTGCTGCTGCATGCATCAGTGAGCCGTCAGTCACTCTCCTCTGTGACAGCCGGCCGGGCAGGATGAGACTCCGCTGCAGCCAATGAAAACCAGCGCAGCGCGTGAAAGGAAGAGAGTGTTTCGCTTGGAAACTGTCGATACACAAATAGGATGGGGAATTTAAGGAATTTGCAGAGGGGTATGTTATTCCTGCAGAGTGTCAGGAAGAGGACAGGCCTGACATAACACAGGCGGAGGCAGATAAACGGAGTACCACAGAGTATTATCATCATTTTGACTGCAGAGTGAATTAAATTAAGAGCAACATGCACACAGGAATGTCCCTCAGTGGCTGGGTCATTGTTTTGGTTGTGGTCTCGGTGTTTTTAGGGACATATTTTTCTCTTGACCGCCTTAAAACCGACCTGGAGAGCGTCTGAATGGCAGCAGCCACATAATGACTGCTTACTGCTCTGCTAAGAACACGACCGAGCGCCACATCAACACTCACTCAACCCAGAATAGCACTTTACAGAGACGCAACCGCACAAACAATTCTTAAACAATACATCACACAGCTTGGTCCGGTGTCACTGACTCCACCAGAGCTTAAAGAAGCGCTCTGAGAAAAGTTAGAGCTCTCTGTTAAAAGACAAGTCCTGCTTTCTTTGTTTGGAAACTGATGGATTGAGGATTGTAGTTTGTAACCAACACCCTAAAAGCAGAGGTAGAAAGTAATGTTCATTCAAATCTGAAGAAGGATGCCAGAAGACTTTTTAACAACTCCCCGCTGACAAGCGTGGACTCAAAATCCCTTCACACATTAATGCTGTCAGTTATGCTTCAGTTACTGGTTTGGGAAAATATGCTGTAAGAAAATAAAAGGGGGCATATCCTCCTCTCTACACCCTCACCACCACAGGATAAATGTAAACACTCGTCAGTCAGCGCTTTAGGAACATTTCGAATCAAGTCATTTTTACTAAAACTCGAGTAGATTCACAGACCGACACTTGGACTTTAAATAACTCTTGAAAAATAATATCAATAATTATTTGGTAGTTATGACTAGGACTCAGGTTGTTAAAAGATTAAAGAAAATAAAAGTGAAAAAAAATGCATGTGTAATATTTTTATGGCACTTTTAGGAGATGGACATTTTTGTCCCCCTGAGGACCTAAACGTCACTTTTTTAGAAATCGGACAATACATCAAACGTAAAAATGCATCAAAATTAATGTTGTTGTTAATTATTGACACATCATAGACCTTGATAAAAAAATAAAAAAATAAATTCCTGCTCAGCATCTAATACATGAAAAATAACTGAATTCCTTTTTCCCATTAAAAATAACAGTGATATTATATCATCAAACTGGCATTTAAAGAGTTAAAATTCTGAAAATGAATTAATATTTGATAGATATGATCAGGAATGAAGTTGATTAAAAGATTTAAGCAAAAAAAAAAAGTGGAGAAAATATTAATATTTAATATTTTTATAGGACTTTTAAGAGATGGACATTTTTGTCCACCTGAGGACGTGAACGTAACTTTTTTTAAGGACCCCTGAGGGTTAAAACTGATTACAGCTTGATTAGAAGCAGGTGAATAGTGTGTAAAAGAGTGTGTAGAGCGGTGAAGGTTTTAGTGGTCATGAAATAAAAATGCAAACATGAGTGATAAATATGTAATTGGTTAATATCCACTGAAAAAAACAGCACCTGCTGCTCCTCTGTTCCCCTAATCGACCCTTAGAAAGCTCCTCTCTCCCCTCCCTCGATGCTCAGATTAAAACACAAAGAGCTCAATTAATCCACGAGCCCCGGGAGCAGCCCTGCAGCAGTGTGCCCGAGCTATTTCCTGTTCCACCCTCTTGGCTTAACAGTGAACAGACCTCACTGTGGCGCGTTTGTGGCCGCGCAGAGGAGAGATCACCTCCCTCTGGACAGCAGCGGGGCTCATATCTGCACACTGAGGGTTTACTCCTTTAAAGTGAGAGCTGCGGTGTTTTCATTTAGAGGGGCTTTTATTTTGTAATCAGTTGCCAGTGAGTGTGTGTTATCTCTTCAGGACAGGAAACACCTCCTCCTCCTCCTCAGCAGGAGTGTTTGAGGCTGGTCCTCCTCCTCCTCCTCCTCCTCCTCCAGAGAATGACAGGGAGTGGATCATAGTGGAAGCTGCTCTCTCTCCGTCTCTAGACCAGCAGATACACCATCTCCTCTGAAACTAAAACCAGCTCTTAATCTGCTTCTCGGATGAAGTGATGGGATCCCGTTTCTTCTTGAGCTGCTGCAAAACTAAATTTTTATCTTAACTTTGAAGAGGAAACTCTGAGGAGCTCTCATCCAGGACTACGGTGAGTGATGTCTTGACTTTAAGATGATTTCTTCTTATATTTTCCTGCTCAATCCACTAAATTCTCATACTAAACAAGTTTATTTTGCTCAATACAAGATCTGTCTCTCGGACAAACTGCCTGTCATACTTGAGCATGTCCCATTAGTGTCATTTAAAGCACACTGCTGTTGCTCTGTTGTCAGGCAGTAAACAAGTCAACAAAGTAGTTTACTAGCAGCTGAAGGCAGTCTTCTTTTTTACCACAAACTATAAAACTCTAAAGAGGCTTAAGTTGCCGCAGCATGCCCAAACTTAAAAGCGCTCCTTCACCGGTTTACTTCATGTGTTTTCTTGCTTTCTTTGCCGTCTTTCTCATGTGCCGGAGGAAAGCGCTTCTGACAGCAGCCCTTCCTCTGAGAGACTATAAACACAAAGTGGAAGCAGGACAGCCTACTGTAAAATAACAAGTGCTATTTTCACTGGTTTCAGGTTTCATCTTTTAACTTAAATGGGATTATCTAAGCAGGAAATGTGGGAGGGTTGAACGGGAGTGCATTTTATGAGGTTACATAAACAGCTACAGCTGCTGGGCTTTGCATGTGTTTAGTTAAAGTAGACGAGTTATTGGACTTGTCTGGAAATGTGAGGTGTTAAATCTGTCTGCACTGCGACTGCGGCCGCATAAAACGGACATTTGTCTCCCGCTCAGACAAAGTCCACCACAAAACCGTCACGAAGTCACACGGGAATCTGCATTAAAAAAGAAAGATGTCTGATTTTATTCTGTGTTTGAAAACAGAACAATAAAGTGAGTGTGCCTCTGAGATGATGTAATTTAAAACTTTATTGGTACAAGTTCACAGCTCCACCACAAACAAAGTCTCCTTCTTAATCCTCTTGAATATAATTAAGGCTGAAGATCCTTTTTCTAAAAACTTCACCACGTTTGGATTAGTTCACTCTTTTTCCAGATGTGAGTGCCAAGACATTAAAACAAGTCAGGGAGCTGTGAAGGGAGATTAGAGAACTCGCTCTAATTATAGCGGCCCGTTAGCTTGGCTTGGCGTAAAGAGTGAAAACATGGAAACAGTGAGCTTTGCTTCTTCCAAAGCTAACAAACCAGATATTCAGAAGCCGCACAGATTAATTTCTCTTTTGTTTAACCTGCGAGTGCATGCTAATATTTACTGCTTCAAGACTAGAGAGACGCCTCAGAAAAAATATTAAAGCTCAAAACCGACTTAAAAGTGCTAATTTTGTAGTTAATCCTCTGGGGCTCTTCGGATATGTTTGTACATTTTTGGTGACTTTTTACCTTTCATTTTGGCTGTGTTAGAGCAAATATTATTTTTTTCTGTTTCCTTTTTTTTTTTTTTCAAAAATTTAAAACACCACCCATTTTCATATCAGGTCAATATTCACTGTGTGACAAAAACACTTGACGTTCAGGTCCTTAGATAGACAAAAATGTTCATCACTTAAGGTTCTTTCACACCGGGAGCGTTTTTGTCGTGCGATTATTTCAGACGTCAATATTTTTTTCGAACCCGTATCCTGTCAATACAAGCGTTCACATCAGCGACGTTTTCCCGTCCTGCGATATTGCGGCGTTTATTTTTTCGTATCACGGTCGATTTTTCTAAAGTTTCGCATACTGTGTGTCCACTTCTGACCAATCGGATTTCTTGTTGTTGCGACGTCAGATTTACCGGTATATCCAACATGGCCGACCGGCTGATTGTTTACGTGTCGGAGAACAGAGTGATTTTTGATAAAAGACACAAACATTACAAAGATAATAACCTGAAGGACGACTTGTGGAGAGTCAAAGCGTCGGATTTCTCATATGACGATGTTTTGTGTGCTTTAACAGTTTGCTAAATGTCTGTTTTAACTTTCATCCGTGCTAACGTAAGCTAACGGTTGTTACCACAGTTTCATGTGCTTATCTTATCGCCTCTGATTGGCTATAAGTGCTGACTGTTTGGCTTGAGCGTGTGATGACGTTCAAAAGTCTTCCCCGGGATGAGTCTGTGTATAGTCAGGCGCGTCAACATTCGCCTCCAAATATTTCACAATTTCGCGTTCTATATTTGCGTCGGCCTCGGTGTGTAAGGACCTTTAAGAGTGCTATAAAAATAAAATACATCAATATCAATAATTATTTGGTAGTTATGAGTAGGACTGAAGTTGATTAAAATATTTAAGCAAAAAAAGGGAAAAAAAAAAGTATAATAGATTTTAGCACTTTTAGGAGATGGACATTTTTGTCCACCTAAGGACCTGAATGTAACTTTTTTTAAAGACCCCTGAGGGTTAATAACCTGGTTTTAGGATGAAGTTTACCACAATTTTAAAAACGTGATAACTAAAGTTAATGTAGTTAAACACGTGTATTTGTCAAACCTAAAAAACACTCGCTGCACCTCTCTTACAAGCTAATCCAAGCTAACTCGCTGTAGTTTCAAATTCAGCACAGAGACGTTAAAGTGGTATCAATGTTCTGATCTGAGACTCAGCGAGTGCTCATACATACTTCAAAGTCTCAAGAGACTCCAATCACAGAAAATATGCACTGATAAGAGGACTGATAAGTGGGTATGAGGAGAGACTGGGTGTAAAGATCAGTCTGTAATTAAAACAAACACTGTTTTCTTTACACCAACTGAACCAAAACCAAATTGCCCACTTAGGTTGTTAAGGTCTGGGGGCTGCAAATTGAGGGTGCAGATGGTGCCGCTCTTCTTCTGTCTGTGTCTTAAACGTTAGATCCATCGGTTCCCATGAGTCAGTGAACCCTGAGTCAGCCTATACTGGAGTAATTGCTGCCCCAAAAACAACAAGAATTAAAGCTTTTCAGAGTGCTTAGGGTCTGCCAAGAGTCACCAGGATAAGGATCAGGGTGGGAGAAAGACTCAAGCCCCCGAATGGCAGCAATTGGAGCAGGGGGGCATGGTTTCGTTCTCCCTGGAGAGAAAGCACCAGAAAGAAAAACACTCGGCTCCCACGCACATTGTTGTTGTAATGACAGAGAATGTGAGGGGGTGGAAATATCAGTCATCGTGTTTACATCAAGCTTTACTGTAACCGTGGGACCATCTGTGACCGAGGCTTAGACTAAATCCATAAATTTGGCCTCATGTCACCTTAAGTATGTCAAAACAGCTCCCTTAAAGGACTAGTGCGCCAAAATCGCAAAGAAAACCATCTGGGGACTTTCTTTTTTAGTTAGAAGTATTTCAAATAAGGATGCTAGCGTGTACCATGTGGAACATCGTTGCTGCTGGTCTGGATTTTTAACCACCATCCAGAACCCCAACGCCTCTTGGATGAATTACGATAAAACCAGACAAGCATGTTCGCCAGTGGAGACATTTTTCAAAGCTTTCATGGAGCGTTAAAAATTGTTAAACTTATTAAAAGACTTTTTTTCCCTTTTCAACAGTTTCAACTTTGCTAAAATTACATCCTGGTTGCAATATTTTTTTAGTTGGATGGTAGGGGAAGGTCCCGCCTCCTTCGCCTCTGATTGGCTAGAAGTGCTGGGTTCCGATTGGTTATTCCTTATGGCTGTGAAAAGTCATCACACGCTCAAGCCGAGTGCGGGCTGTCCGCTCTGTCCATCGAACCGAACATTACAGAACATCATCCCAGTTCTGAAATTTGTAATCCTAAATCTGACCCAGCAGACGATGACGTTTTACAGCTATAAGGAATAACCAATCAGAGCCCACCACTTCTGCTGCGTTCGAGTTGTCTCGGAAGTCAGATGTCGGAGCTGAAAATGACATCACACACAAAGTCGGAAAAAAGCAAAATCGGAGTCCTGAAACAAGATGGCTACATCTACGAAAGTTATTTTAGCGCTTGCCTTATCGTCAGACAAGGCAAGCGCTAGAATGACTTTCGCAGATGTAGCCATCTTGTTTCTGCTTTTTCCCGACTTGGTGAAAAAGCGTCGAAACTTGGCGAAGGAGGCGGGACCTTCCCCTAACATTCTACGAAAAAAAATATCCCATCCTGGTTTGCATCAGACATATGGTACTTAGCATTAAGTGCTAATGAGCAACAGGCTAACACGCTAAGTTGTTAAACATGATCGTAACTCTTTCCGACCGTTTCTTCACCCATTAAACATCCCTATTTTTAAAAGCAGCTCATGTCACTGCCAAGTGAACCTATAAAGTGTCCAAATATTTTCTTTTCCAGAGATTTCAATCTCAGTTTCTGAGTGAGTTCCAGCTACTATCCCACTCCTCCACAGTTAGTGTAATTATTCGCAGCTGTGAAAGATCCTCTGCTTCTTTAGAGGATTGCATTCTGGGACAGTAACGTCCGTCAACAGCACGCACAGACATCCAGCGTTTTTTCTAAGGTTGTAGGTGCACATACTTTTACAGATTTTTCTCAAAATGATCAAAAGAACTCCAAATTTAACAGCTTTTTTGTTACGAGTTGTTGAATTTGAAGTCCCATCACAGGGGAGTCAGAGTCTAAGAAATCATGTGAGTGTCACTGTTTCTGTGGGAAAAGAAAAACCCCATTTGCTGTACACCGGAAAAGAGTCTCCTCAGGCTCTGATGTGGTAAATATAAACATTCCTATCAGACACACAGGGCCCCATATTGCTGGCCTGACTTTGGGCTCGAGTGTTAAACACTTACAAGGAACACAATGTCCTTGTCTCTTGACCTCTGACCCCAGTTTAGATCACAGGAATGATGGGAGGGTGGGGGACACTCTTGTCAGGCTCGAGGCATCTGCTGGATGAGCTCACACTTCCTTTGTGGATTTATAAGCGAAACAAACGCCAAATATATTCTGAGAGATTTGTTTTCTCATGACAGGGTTTGTCATTGGTGGACGGGTCTGGGGCGGTTCAGGGGGGTCAGCGTGTAAGAGAAAGAAAAAAGGAGATGGCCAAAATCTGATGCAACAGTGAACCAGGATGGAGCCAATTAAGAGAGACATGGAGCTGCTTAGTAACAGCATGGCGACGTACGCACACATTAAAGGTAAGAGCTCTCTTTTGGTACCTAACATGAGACTCAGGACGCCACAACATGATGAGTACCACAGTCAAGGAAGTAGAGATGTTAATGTGCCTCATATTTTCTTCCAAAAACTTAGGAGTGTTTTGTTATTCAGCCTTAAATAATAGTTATGAGAAGACTGAAACTTTAAACACTGTCCTGTTACTGCATTTCAACCACTTCTAACTGCTGTTTTAGGGACTATTTCTCAAACTCCAACCTTACTCTAGTTCTGAGGTAACCTATGTGGTACATCAAGCTTTCTTTTTAAGGTTGTTGTTGACAGTAATTTTACCTTCTGTATGTACCGTACATGAATATGAACGCACCCCAGAGGGAAACGACTGAAACCACAGGTCTTTCTAACTGCAGATCTCAACAGAAGACTTTTGTTTTGTGCTTTCACTGTCTCGTCTGAATCATTTCCAGGGACTTCAGTGTCCTGTTTTCTTTGGCTCAGACCGCTGCGGCGCTCTCTCAAAAAGTATCTGCTCACTAAGTCGAGTTTCTGCCCCTCAAAAGTGGAAGAAGTATCAAGAGTTTCTAACTAAGATGCAGCATCAACAATCTCTTATTTTAGGTGTTGACGTTTAATGATAAAAATCTGCAAAAGATACAAAAAAAAGTGTAAACACTGATGCAAAAATGAAATATAGCATTTAACCATTTAGAGTTTTGGATGTAGTGTATCTACTTCAGGCTCCTGTGAGGAACTTTTAGTTTGGGTCAAGTTTAGTGCCCCCTGTGGATAAAACTGACCTTTTCACCTAACAAAAATAACTCAATCTGCTTTTTTTTCCAATATAAGAAAAAGGTTTTCCTCACCTCAGTGTTGGTCTTCTAGTCTGACGTCGACCCCCTCGCAGACCCCATCAGTCTTTTTTGTTAATGGTCTAACAGAGCCATCACCAGCTCCAAAATCCTCACAGGGCCTTTGACCAGCTTTGAGGTCAAGGGCTCTCAGGGTCATGGGATAAATCTGAGGGGTCCTGAGATGATTAATGTGAAGAGAGGAAGAAAAAACAAACCAATAAAGTTATTTATAGAGGAAGAGTCCCAGATGCATAACAACTGGTAATGTATAAAATGGCTGGAAAAGGTTGGACACTACAAACTTAACCTTTCATAAGTAATCATTAAGATCATTATTTAGTATTTCTAGGAGAAGATAAAGCTCTCAGGCTATTGTTGTTGTGTACAAAGTCCCTGTTTTGCCCTGAAATGCAGTAACCCGGGATTTCCACCACATCCGGAATTACTACGCCAATTCCTACTGGATCCGTTTGTGAGGCAAATTTCGTGGTGGATTACGGACAGCGGGAATTGCGAGAGCTAACAAGAAACCGCGGATTCACGTGCAATCACGCGATAACAAGTTGTCTTTAGCCACAGAGGCTAACCATATAAACAGTAGACTGTGTCCTTCCAGAGGAGGACATCTACTTCTAGACTTCTAGAATCAGCATCTTCTTATCCATGGTGTCATTAGGATGAAATGCTGTCTATAAACCTTTCACTTGTTTGTCCCCGCTCGTTTGCATGGTGTGAAATACAATTCGCCTGAAACACGAAGTGTTTTATTTTGAAAAGAAGCAGGATGTTTTATTTTGTGTCTGTGCCCGACTTCCTTTCCAGCACGCGTTAATCTGTGCTGAATTTATCCAGCATGCTCCGGCGTACTGAAAAAAATAGAAATCTTGCGATCAGATTCGGAGTCCGGCGAACTGCAGCAGAACGGAAAGAAGCCTGTGGAAACTGACACATTAAAGGTCCTTACACACCGGGGCTGACGCAAATATATAACGTGAAATTATGAAATATTCCGAGGTGAATTTTGACGGTCCTGACTATACACATCAAGCCCGATGCGATTTTGCGACTTTCCAGGGGGGAATAGATGCAAAATATAGACGTCCAAAATAATCGCACGAAAAAAAACGGTCTCGGTGTGAAAGGACCTAAACTTGAATGGTTACGATCCGCTACGATCGGCGGATGCGGCCTTTTCGTAGCCGTTCCGGATGCGGTGTAAATTGGGGGTTAGCTCTGGGTATTAAGTGGAAATTGAAAGCTAAGTCAGAAAAACCTAAATAAGTGATTTGTCTTTACATCTACTCTGTCTATATACTGTCATTTTATTTTGTGTTTTTCTACCTACACAGCCAATCCAGAGAGCTTCGCCCTCTACTTCATGATGGGCGTCTGTTTCGGCCTCCTCATGGCGCTCTGCCTCCTCGTGGCCGGAATCGCCTGCAGGACTCGCCGTCCCCGCAGACCTCCACCGTCCCCTGAGAGACGGCAGCTGAAGGAGTCCAGCGAGGAGGAGGAGGACGAAGAGGAGGAGGAGAGCATCGCAGAGGACGATGGAGAGGAGGCGGAGATCCCTAAAGTGACAACAGGGCCCCGGAGCGATCGCAGCAGCCAGTCAAACGGAACTCTGCGGAGCGTGAACGTGTTCGCGTCGGCGGAGGAGCTGGAGAAGGCCCGGCGACTGGAGGAGAGGGAGCGGATCGTCAGGGAGATCTGGAGGAACGGACAGCCGGATATCCTGGTCACAGGGACGGGGACTATTGGACGAGTCCATTACCACTAACAAACACTTTGACTGTGATCAATAAAATACAGCTCACAGACTGTAAAAGAGACAGAACAATGGATGGAAACAGTTTTACTACCAAAGAGTGAATGAAGGTCGAACCTGATCAGACAAGATGGAGAAACTACAATGAAATAAACTTTTACTTTGGAGAAAACTTTTTTTTAAGTCAAATAATAATAACTTTGGGGGGTTCTATACGGTGGCCGAGAACCGCCACTGCAGAAAATAAAAAAGCAAGTGGAAAGGTTATTGTTCAATTTCGCTTCATAAACTTTTCAATGCGTTACTTGGTTAGGCCGTGTAGCGCCTGAGTCGATATGAAGTTGAACTGAAGCTAACACTACACCGGCATCCTCCAGATCAACTTCATATCGACTCAGTCCCGACTCTTTTTGCCGTTGTCTTCTGTGCCTAGACCGGTGCATCATCATTATTGATCCCTGACCGCTCACTTCCATTGGCTTTTTCTATTTTTTGCATCTTTTTATTTTCGCAGTAAAAACTTTTTTTTTTTTTGCATCGCCACTTTTTCTTGCGTCGTTAACTTCCGTTTTTTTTGTTGATGTTTTTTTTTATCTGCACCTTTTCTATTTCTTTTTTTTTGCATCTGATACGTCTGTTGTGGCTTCTTTTTTTTTTTTTTTTTTTGCATTCTTTTTTATATTTAGCAGTGGTGGTTCTCGGCCACCGTAATTCCCTGAGGAAAAATCATGATATGAAAAAGTGTCCAGAGAATAAATACAGACAGAATAAGCAGAGTACCGATCCTCAGGCATCATGAAATCATAAAATAAAAACTGACTTTCAAATAAAAATGTATTTCACTGAATAAATTTATATTTCAAGACCTAAAAAACAGTGAAGAGACAGTTAAAATAACTTACACATGATTTTTTTAATATTGAGCTGTACCTGTAATTCAAGCCATATTATGTCTGTATTTATTCATGACTATTTATTTCACATTATCTTGATCACTGATTTAACACCAATTTATGATCTTAAACAGAGATTTCTGATCCATCTGTTACCGAACCTTTGCAATGGTATCACATAAAAGTTTGACCACTTTTTAAAACTATACAGCAGGGAAAACATTCGTATTTGAATCTGCCTATCAAAATCAAGAATTTGCAGACCAGGTCATAAAACTTTAATGTTCATATTGTCCTTAACTTATTCCAAAAACAGTCTTTTTCTCAGTATCTAGTTTTTCCCAGCTTTTTAAGGTACAAATCATCTCACCAACTTTACAGCAGCAGACAGTAGACCCTATATTATTTTAAAAACCTGCTCCCACAGAGGCAGTTTCACGGTGGGCTAATCTTGGCAGAGAAAACCCCTTCCCACAGAAACCCTCCAGTCTTTTCCCAGTTTGTGTCTCCAACCTCATCACTTCCTGTGTTCCCTTCTCCACAATTCCCATAGCCTCCCCTCTCAAATCTCAGGCCCTACACAGCGTCTCTCTCTCTCTCTCAGCTGAAGACATGCCTGTTTGGAGCCATGAAAAGAACCATTGACCTCAGCTATACTGTACATTTTACCAATGCAGAGCTTCCCTGGGTGTATCCAAGCAAAGTCCCAGGAGACTCTCGATTTTCTGCGGGTTGGTTTCTCCTCCTTCCTCCATGAAAAGGCTGATTATGTTACAAGTGGAGCGTTGTCCATTGAGAGAAAGCAGAATGAGATACTCATGACCTGCTGGTGTGGGCTCATTTGGTGACTGGTTGCCAACTCATTGTCTGTGGACTCAATTAAAACCTGAAAATCAGACGTATTTTTGGAAATTTCAGCTTTTTCTGTGTGACGTTTTCTTTGACATGATTCTGAATGTGTATTAAACAGCAAAAGTTGAGTATAGATGACTCAAAGAGGATATTAAATGGTATCTTACTGTTTTTCTTATAACCCCATATGTTTTCCTAACCAGTGTTTGAGCAGAAAGTCACCACTTCAACATCTTTATACACATTTTCTTTTAATAAGATCAGAAGAAAAGACTCATTTAGCAACTATTCAGGTTTTTTTTTTTTTACACAGGCTGCAGAAGGGGTCCGAACGACCCCAAAACAATGAAGTAAATCACAAACCATTCAACACAGTGGGCCGTCTAATATTTCTACAGTCTGTCTCGAAATTCACTCACAGATTTGCCCTGGAAAGAAAAAAAAAATCTACAGAAAATTAAAAAGACAAAAGTAAAATCTCGTCAGAACAGTAAAAAAGTTTCAGCTTCAGATCAAACAAACAAAAAAAAAAAGACAGTCTGTTTAGTCCATGCAGTATGTACAGTCAAAAGTGGGACGAAGCAGCACAGTGAGATTCACAAAACTAGTTCAGCTAGTTTGTGTCAACTCTTAATAATATTCACTTTCACTTTCTTTTCCTCAGAATTTTAAAGTTTCACTTTCTGTCGTTCAGGTTTTTTCCTCACACTGAAGATCATGTTGTGAGTTTAATGGTTTTATTAAAAAAAGAACATACTCGGTTTGTTGTAGCTCCTCCAGATCTTCACATTACAACTTCTTATAATTCTAGAGCGACTGTTTTACCTAGAGAAGCTTTTACCTAAGCTGTGTGAGGGGATTTTAGAGCCAGTTCTTACAATTTTATGACTTTTGTCTCCACTTTAACACCCCCCAAAAAATGAGAATATACTGTAGCACCCACACACACCTTGATACATACATACAGTTTTTGTTTTGAAATGAGACGTACAGTTAATGTGGCACTATGTGGAAAAGTTCCGATTATATCAGTGACAAATAACCAACCGTTGAAGGGTTTAACAGATGTGTGATGATTTGATAATTGGGAGCCCTGCGCCCGCTACTGATTGGTCCCATGCAGAAGGTATCAATCAAACTTTTCATGCATTAACTGAAGATTTATCTCAGCCCCAAACACAAAGACGCAAACGTTGACAGTGAAATGATCATCTAATGTCTCTCTCCGCTGACAGACACCTCCTGCAGACAGGGCTGTACCTCAAACAGATTACATGTGACCGTATTATTAGTATTTTTTCTAAGGCACAAAGTCTTTAATTTTTTTTCTCTCATGCTTTCAGAGAACTTTTTTTTTTTGTAGCCTCAGTAAATTCTCCCTTAAAAAGTTACATTAAGTCAGAACGAAACTCACCGTGACATTAAAAAAACATACACTCGAGCCGAAACCTCACATAGAAAAAGAGTGCTGCTCTCAGATCCAGTCAGGTCTTTCCTTCACTTTAACTGTACGAAACTCACTGAACGTGTTAAACCACTAAACACAGAAGAGGGAAATATGAAGAATATTAACCCCTCGAACATGGCTGTAACTGCTCTGAATGTAAGGATGACTGAGTAAGTGGTCTACTGCTTCATCGTCGGCCCCTCGGAGGCGCTCTTGGGCTCTTTGTGTTCTACTTCCATGTTGTCGTCTCCCATCCCCCTCTCCTCGCCTCCCTGGAACATGTCGTGGGTCCACTTGGGGCTGCTGCCCCCCTTACGGTAGACGAAGCGTCCTCGTCGAGCCGGGAAGGCGCCCCGGCCTCTTCCACGGTTGTCTACCCAGGTTTTCTCCCCGTCACGGTCGTCGTGCTGGAAGGGAAAATGGGCAGTTTTAGAGGGAAAGAGGCTGATAGGGAAACCAGAGGACCTTTACACAAACAGAAAACTCCGCTCTGGGCCAACTTTAAAATTCTTGATTTATTCACACTTGACTTTTTTGGTTATTTTCGGGGTGTATGTCATGCAGCTAGGAGTCTTTAACGATCTTTATATGAAAGCAGATCTGAGAGGAGAAGAGCTGGGTTTTATGTTCGCTCAAATGCATTTAAAAAAAGTCACAAAACTCTTGTGCCAAATTGTCTAAATCATGATTTAAAAATGAACTGATAAATAAAAATGAATACTGCAGACAGTTATAAACCGCTCTCTTTAGGACGGCTTGTTAAACACCACATTTTCAGGTCATAAACACGAGGAAATGTGGGAAATGCATTAACACTGGCTCTGGTTAAAATGTTGCCCCTCGAACACTGATTGTGTGTCTCTGAGTCGGTAGCTTTACATTATAAATCATTTCAACTTCTGTCTCCCTTGAACCCAGCACTCTGGAAGCCTCCTCCACTGTTGCCATGTCACAAAGTAATGCTTCTCTACTTAAAATGGGAAAACTGCAAATGTGGCTGACCCCAAATCAGACTCAAAAAGTTTGGAGCAATTTAAAACAGAGCCCGATGTTAGTGTTTGGTGAGTGTTGTGCTCATTTAAGCTGTTCATACACTCTAAAGCAGAGGTTCTCAACTGATGGGTCCTGACCCAAAAGTGGGTCGTGGACACGTTCTGGATGGGTCATGAACAGCTGGTCAAAAGAGTAAGTATTGATATTTTCTGTACATGCAACTTCGGTAGTTGTCGTCCTCATGTTGTCCCCTTCATGTGCTCTGAAATGCACTTTACTTAATAAAACAAGTGAATTTATGTTAAAAATTGAGTCTTAAAAAGGTTTTTTTTTTTATAAAAAAATAAATTTGCTTAGTTTGAATTCTATAAAAGTGGGTCGCGACTTGAGGACCATGGGAAAATGTGGGTCCCAGTCTAGAGTGAGACCAGTTGAGAACCACTTCTCTAGAGGTTAATTAAAGTTGGCTATTATCCTTTCATGGTTTGACTTCTACTCAGCAATGTTAAGATTTATTGTATATTAAAGGTTAGAAAAGGTTAATCCATGCTACTGAACCCCTCTTTTTTATTTTCGGAGTCTCACCAGGTAGTACTTCCTGCTCTTAGGGGTGTATTCAGGGTCCCATTCCTCCTCTGGCGGGCGCACTGGAGGGTTCATATTGGCAGGGTTTCCGTTGCTGTTATTGCCCGGATAGTTTCCCCTGTTCCACCCTCTCCCTCTCACTCTGGGGAACTGAAACAAAAACAACAAGTGGATCTAAACTCACAGCCGGCAGAGAAAAACAACATTTCCCATAAACCCCAGGGACGATGGGAACGCCAGAACACACAAAACAAAAGCCATTCTGATGGAAAATCAGGCATTTGTTAAGTGATGGAGTTCCGCTGATTTGCGCTACATTACCTTAATACAAATCAGGTAGTGCATGGAATATGTATGATAGTGTCATCATCATCATCATTATCATCATCATCATCATCATCATCCATAATATGTTCCTTAGCATTAGGAGGAAGGAACAGAGCAGAGAAGCGCAGTCTACTGTGATGCCATTAGGACAGAGAATTGCAAGAAGATGAGATGTCAGTACCTCAGTGAAAAAAGTAAAAAACAAACAAATGCAGCAGAAGAGATGAGGGCAGCCGAGACGGGGAACTTACAAATCCACGGCCTCTGCCTCTCTCCTGGTTGTGGCCCTCGTAATGCCCCGGGCCTCTCTCTTGGGGCCCACCGTAGTCCCGCGGTGGATAACGGGAGTGACTGTAGCCCTCCTCTGGGTGCTCCATCCCCTCCCCCATGTACTCTTTACCTCTGAAAGGGGGATAAGGGGATGGAGAGGAGGAGGAGGAAGAGGAGGATGGAGAGCGATCACGCTTCTTCTTTCCCTTCCTGTGAGGGACACGAAAAAAAACGTTCATCTCCTTCTTCACAGAAACAACGTACAAAATTAAATGACTGAGTCCTCCGACAACAACAGAAGCCCCTCCTCAAACAGACTTCCTTTTTCAGAGGGAACGCTGGACTTTCAAACTCACTTGGATTTCTTGTGGTGTTTCCCAGATTTCTCAGAGGACCTCTCTCTGCTCGGTCCTCGAGAGCCTCCTGGGCTCCTTCCTCCTTCACGCTTGTAGTCCTTCCCTGCAAACCTCTTACGCCTTTCAATATCCAGGCGCAGGTCCATCACATCGCCCTTAAACTTATCCTGCGAAGACACGTGTTTGTTAGCCACTCAAAAATCTGTTTTAAAATACTGACCAATGAAATATTTGAATTAAAGTATGAAGGTTTAAAAATGCTTAAGGGGTGAGACATATAAAAAGCTTGAAGCCAATGCATATTGGAAGTACCAGGAAATATGCACATGTATGAGCATTGTGTACCCTCTAGTGGTAAATCAGACTAAAAGAGTTCAATAGATATAGAGTGTTCTTAATAATATCTGGTGATAATAAAGCAAAAGTATGTGTAACAGGTAAAGACGTTTAACGTAACCCTTATTTCTTAAAATGGCTTTACCCTTCAAGAGTGTGAGTTTGTGGAAACCAGCAGCATGCATGTAGCTGTGGAAAATAATTCCTATTTCAGTTTTTGTGGCTTGTTTTTTTTTTTTTAACCTTTTTTTAGAAAAAAATACTTACAAGGTTAAGGCACTGATAAGCGTCCCTTGAGATGCTTGGACTCAGGATCTTAATTCACTTCCTTTTAGCCTTTTGCTTGGGTTCGTACATACCCAATCAATAACCATATCTCATAGGCTGGGGGGGGCTTGCTTGGCACTTACAAAACACAATTGGGTTCTTTCTGAATTAGAAATATGCATCCTTTGAAAGAAAAGCACAAAGCTGAACACTGCTGCTTTGGATCGTCTCATATTTGCTTGTTCCAGATACGTCAAAATTCAAAAGGGCGGGTCACCTTGTAGCTCGACTCCTCCATATCCTCAAACAGGTGAGAGTGCCTCTTAAAAGCACTGGGGGAAACATCGATTCTCCTGATGGGAGGAAAAGTCACGGCGTGAGCGGGCAGGTGAAAACAAGACGACTCCAGGAGGACATTTTGAACACATAATGAGGAGATGATTGTGTCCTTCATACCTGTGGATTTCTGGGCTCTTCCTTGGCTTCATCATTTCTACCTCTGCTGCTTTTCTTTGGTACATCGCAAACCGCTCACTTAAAGTCATGTCTGAGGAGTGAAAGTGTTGAGCTGCGAAAAGAGGACAGAAAAATAATCGTACAACAAAATAAAGAGGATAACATTTTCAAGTAATTTAAGGACCAGTGGGTCTTATCGGGCATGCAAACTCACAAACTTGTGTTGTGATCCTGAGTCAGCAGAGATTCAGCACAGATCCTACTTTACCTTTGATGTAGTGCACAATTGAGACTATGTGCTGAGCAAAGAGCTCAGAGGGGCTGCGGCGGAGCTGAGCCGACTGAAGGTGCTGAAAGATGGAGCGAAACTCGGGATCTTTCTTAGTGGGGTTAGGCACATCCCGAGGCATGAGGCGATCTTTAGACAGGGAGGCGCTGCAAGAACAGAGGAGGCGCAGGAAATGGATTTAACAAGACGACTACGGCTTTTAAAATCAAGTCTCTTACTGGCCATGAAGTAAGATGATGTAAAATGTAAAATACTCACCCTGGCAGCTCATCTGCAGAACCATATTTGATTTCAAAATCCTCCCTTGTTGAGGACATGCGTCTGGGAGGTGACCCTTCCTGAGGAGGGAAAGCTCCGGGGAACAGAGGCCGCTCCTTCTCTCTAGACGGGACAGGCGGGGACGGACTCCTTCGGGACTTCTCTTTCTCCTTTTTCTCCTTCTTCTTGGATTTCTCCTCTTTCTTGGAGCTGTGCTTGCGGCTCCGGTACATCTCCTCCTCCATGTGATCAAGGGGCTCTACCTCGTCGGCATCTCTTCGGCTTTTCTCTTTGATCGTCGGGTAGGACGTGGAGTAGCTCGGCTCGTCGCCCCACTTCCCGAAGATATCCCTCGCGGTGAGGGTAGGTTGGACCTCGCCCTCTTCCTCCATGTCTGCCTCTTTCAGCCCGTGAGACTTGAGGAACTCCTCTTCTCCGGCATCAAAGAAAGGCAGGGTCTTGTCCTCCTTCGGCTCATTGAAAGAGGAGGATGAGATGTTGAACAGATCTCCGGACTTGCTTCCTTTCTCCAGTTCTCTGTCCGCGGTGCTCTGCTCCTTTTCCCGACCGTTCTCCTTTTCAGCGGCCTGCTTTTTATTTTTGTTCTCCGCCAAGAACCTGAAACGAAGAAGCAAACTCAGATTGAGAGCCTGCAATCCCAAGTACTCAACTATTATGCTTAATTTAACACAACATCTAAAACCAAATTATACAATGCATCGTGAAGACAGGACTACACAAGTACAACATTTCCTCAGAAAACTGAAAAAGAATATGGAAACACAGCAGGGATGGGCATTTTCCCAGAAAACTGAAAAGACCTTTTTAAAAGCACATGAGGCAGAACCCACAAACTCTACTTAGGGAAGTTTTGACTGTGCCAAAGTTTAATTTGTGTGTTTGGTTTTAAGTCTACAAAAATGTCACTGTCTACATTAATCAATTTCATTTTCATACAAAGATTTCTAACTAACTAACGCTGCGTTCCAGTTGAACTCAGAAGTCGGAACTCCCAAGCTCAGAGCCGGAAATTCATCTGGAACACCCCTTAGAAAGTTGGACAATCCTTACCAACCCAGACTTGACGACAACGTCATAATCCAAGATGGCAGCACAGTGCATCAACAGTAAAGAGTAACAGTGAAAGCTCTCGTAATGTTTTATTTTTTAGCACTTCAGTTTTGTTTTTGTGAAATTAAATAAGTGGTTTATGTTGAACTGCCCAACGTCTAACTGTGAACACGGTGCTATGGTGTTTGTAAGAGTAAAATACTGTGTTGTTTACGACTTGTAAAGCTGACGACAGCTGACAATTGTAAACAACAGCTAACAACGGCCAACAGTAGGCGTCCATCTTAGTTTTCCGACTTGTTCACTGGAACGCCGTCAACTCGGGTGTGACGTCATTCCCAGCTCTGACATCTGACTTCCAAGGTAACTGGAACGCAGCACTAGTTACACCTAACATTAGACTTTGGTGAAATAATGCCATTTAGATAATTACTAGGTGTTCTTGGGGGGAAAAGAGGAATTAATTCGGACACTTCTATTTTCTACAGTCAAATGGAGATCAGATCTTGCATCTTATTCAAACATACAAGCTAAAAATGTTTCTGCAGCAGCGACAGACTAATTGCTGGTTTGTATTTTCTTAGCTTTGATAGTTCTATTTTAATTAAATTGATTAATTAGCCCATCCCAAGTGCAAACAGTAGACCAGGACTCACATTGCAGTACTTATACTCACGTAACCACCACCGTTTCATACAACTTCCTCTCAGTGCACAGTAAAGGACAACAGCCGGCTACATTTTCATTGCACTTAAAATCAGCAGTCTTATGTATTCCTTTTTAATCTTTATTCTTCCAAGGATCTTTGAAAAAGGCTAAACGTGTTTGAAAGAAAAATAACGTCCATCACTTGTCAGAAAATCAAAAAAGAGAAAACACTTTGATTACGTTGAAATGATTGAGAAGAGAGCGGACATACTTTTTGAAGGCGGCTGAGATCACAGTCTTATCTCCGGGTTTGACATCTTCCTTTGAGAAGAACCCGAAGCCTCCAAAGGCGGAGGGCTGTGCCGACTTTGTGGGGCTCTTCGCAGGAGGGGATGCGCTGCCGATGGTTTTCCACAGGGGACCTCCAGTCCCAGGTCCTTTACTCTCAGGGTCAGTAGAGGCGTCCTCTTTCTTACAGTCCGGACTGGTTTGTTTGGGACTTGCATCATAGTCAATCCATTTACCTCCTGACGCTTTCTCGATGGCACTGCCGTCTGCAGGCAGCGCGGGTTTCTCTGCCTTACTTTCTACCAGCTTGTCTTTGGAGTCCTTTGAGCCCTTTCCCTTGCTGCTACGGTGACGTGGTGACCCGGAGCGGGACCGGGAGGAGTAGCTGGAACGCCTGGAGCGCCGAGACCTCCCTGAAGAAGAGCGATCAGAGTAGTGAGAGCGGCTACGGCTACCTGAACGCTTTTTTGGTGTGCGTGAGCGCGAGCGTCCTCTCCTGGGCGAATGGTGGTCCTGGTCATGGTGGCGGTCGTGCCAGCCTCCTCCTCCACCACCGCCACCACCCTGCCAGTTTGACTTATAGCCGTAGCCGCCTCCTCCTCTGTTCTGGTAATGGCCGCGTTGGTAATAGCCTCGGTTTCTGCCCCGGTAGTGGTACGGCCTCCGGTAGCCTCGGTTGTAGCCTCTGAAGCCTCCTCTGTTGTTCTGGTAGTCCCTGGTGGGATAATTTCTGTAGGATGGAGAGTGAGAGCGAGAGCGGGAGCGAGACCTAGAGCTGGACGAGAAAACAGAGACCGAGAAAAGACACAAAATGTTATCAAAGGCAGAAACCTCCTCCTTTTGTCGAGACTGCTACAGTTAATACAGCAAAGACAACAGATCAGTGGAACAGCAGATCACTGAGATGTCAAACTAGAGAGACACAGTAGTAAGTTCATTTACTGAGGAGACCAAACAGGGTCATCAGCTAAGAGTGTTAGACCTCCCTCTGTTCAGTCGACATGATCATCCGGGATGGCTGCGCTCATGATGCAGGAAGTGGCAGTCACTTACCAGAAACTACAATGTTTTTAATCAGACATTTAAAACTTAAATGGGCCACTAAAGGGACTGAAAACTGACAATTAATTAGAGATGCTCCGATCCATTTATTCCCCCGATCTAATCCGTTACCGATACCTCGGCTGAGCGTATCGGCCAATACATGATACCGATCCGATACTACTGTTGAATGAATCAACTGTATACCTTGCCCTGTGAGTGAAGGCATCAGGTTTGACATTAGCCTTGTTAAAAAAAGGTAACAAATTAACACAGATATAAATTTACTTCATATTATTCATTAACAAATAACAAACTGAACATTAGCACACAGCAAAAAGAAGTAAGACTTCCATGTATTGTAAGAAAAATGAATGAAAAGAAAAAAAGAGACTGTATTGGAACGCTGGAACAGCGTCATTCATCCGATATCCGATCCAGATATCCAAATATCGGATCGGTGCATCCCTACAACTAATATTCATCCTTTTTGTCTAGCAAATGATTGAAAAACAACAACAGCTCATCCACTTTAAATACTGCATATTAGAAAAACAAACTAATATTTTTATTATCCGATCATCAGATGATGGAGTATAGAATTACTGGTTGCAGCAGTGGTTCATTTGGAGTAGGCTTGCTGAGTGGCAAGAGTCCTAGAACTGCCAGCAGGTGGCGATGTAAGCTCAGTGATGTTAGAGACTACCATCACTGAGCAGGGTCAGTCAGGAGGGAGCTACTCTGACACTCACTTTACTATGAGAGAGGTAAAACAGGAATTAAACCTGATTTCAACTTCAAGACATCAAGTCTATTATTATGACATTAACTCAACAACTGAATAAATCTGTCCGACAAAACTACAACCTCTGCTTTACTTGCAAAGGACTATACGTGATGCCGACAGAAAAATTCCCAACAAAACCTCAAAGTCTGGAGCACACACCAAAACTCCAACAATGCAAAAACACCATCGTCTTTTTCCTGCTTACCCTTTCCCTCCTTTCATCTGAACAGAGTCGTCCTGGATGCTGCGGCGAACACACACCGTACTCTTTGTGATATTTAAAGGTCTGTTTGACAGACAGGCTGCAGCCAGGACACAACCTGCTCTGATCCACAACCACAGGAGGGAGTAACAGGAGGGGGGGAAGGAGATACAGCACCTCTCTTTCTATTTAGACAATCATTGACGTGTGGTGTAGCAGTGCTCTTCGGGGAAAACAATCCACTCCAACAAATCCCATTGTCTGATGGTGTTAAATCTCTAAGCTTAAAGAGCAAACATGGAGGCAGTGAGCGTGGACAGCACTCCTTCCTTCGCATCAAGAAACATTTGAATGAATAAAAAAACAAATATCAATACAAGATTTCCAACATTTACGAGGTTGTTGCCTTCTTGTGTCTGTAACAAATGTCACGAAAACAAATGACTAACCAGAGCAGATGCAAATTCGCCAAAGGATTTGTCAGCCTCGCCCACACAGGAAAAACATTCATGCAAATTAAGAGTGAACCTGGAAGGAACCACGGCTTTTAAGAGAGGGGGAATAAATCACTTAGACCAGCTTTGATACGAGGGCAATGAAGAGCAAAACCTGGAAAGTACTTCAGTACGGATGATAAAGGAGCCCTGTGGTTAGGCAAAGATCTGCTGTGATGTTTTGGGACTTGGTGTAGTAGAACAAAATATAACTTTTGAACCTGACTGGCTTCACAAACTTTACAAACTTCTTCCATTTGCCTACCTACTTCATTTGTTATTCTATTATCCTCACTAACACCCCTCCCACCTAGACTCCTCCTGTCTAAATCAGTCTGCTGCACGCCCTGACAACCCGCCTAGAGTTTGGAAACGATTCACTCGACATTCTCGTATAAAAAACAGGTGAACACGCATGATCGAGTCTTGGTGGAGCACTTTGGCGGCGATCCAAAACAAAGATAGTGCAGAATGGCATCTGCAGCAACCGGCAGCACATAACTTTTGAAAGGGTAATATGAGAGGGTTCATGTATTTAACATGAGACGCCAAACTTCAATCATTGCATAAACAGGACTGGCACACTCTCTCTCTCTCTCTCTGATAAGCAGCAGCAGAGCATGTCAGACTCGACAGCATAGGCAAATTATCACTGAAAGCAGATGGAAGTCTCACATGGATAAAAATAGAAAAATTGAAGATGGTCAGCAATTCCACTTGAGAAACCCGCCTGTGGTTAGGAAACGCTGTAGATGTTAATCAACTGTAATTAACTTAAAGCTCAATCTTGACTTAGAAAGATTCATACTTGTTCAACGTGATGGTGAGTTAAAGGTCTTTGTTGACGCTTAATAATTAAAAACAACTTTTCAAGACTTGATAAATGTAAGTGAAACGCTGTGTCTTACCTGTAGCGACGTTTTCTTGATCTTGAACGTGAGCGGCTTCTAGAGTGAGATCTGGAGTATGATCTAGATCTGGATCTTGATCTGGATCTGGACCGAGCAGGAGAACCCGGAGCCTTTGACATCTTTCCACTCAAGCCAGTTTAGTTGGACTCTCCTAAAACAAATAAGACGGCAAGTTAAGTGGACGTATTAAAAGTTACTCATGAATCAGATGCTTTGCTCACACGTTTAATTTCACAACAGGAATGAACAGGCAACCAAAGGTCATGTTGAGCAATCTTCAAGAGGAAATCTCAACATTCAGTTCAAACAAGGCTCCAATGTTTATTGATATCGTAGAGGGACGTGTTTCCAGACTCGCTGACAGGCTGGAACTGGACAGCATAGATGGCACCCTGCAGGCTGTGATCAAGTTCTCTGCACATATCAGCTTTCAAACCTCCAATCAACAGCCCCGAGATGACCGCCGAGTGTCAGGGATAAATAAATCAAAACTGGGGCAGCGATCACACATATGGTCCAACAGCTTTGAAGCTGTAGGGCACAGCAGAGGCATGTAAACATGTGCGAAGGAGCTGGCAGCAACGTGGAACAAGATGAGCCTCCCTGTGTGGTAAGATGTGAAGGCTTAGGTTTGTCTGTGAGCCAAGGACTTTTTCTTCTGACAGGTGCATCTGCTGCCTCCTGTTCGAATGACATCCATCCTATCTTGTTCAAATAGGACAATCAGAATTGTCCGGTCAACTATAAGGCGAGTTATATCATATTCACACAAGCTAGTAGGGCCCGACCGATATGGATTTTTGGGGGCCGATGCCGATACAGAAAATCCGATTACCAATTTATCAGCCGATTTTTTTAATTTTTTAATGAAATTTTAAAATTTTGTTAATTTAAGCAATATATTTACTTTTTTTTTTTTAACAAATGGCTGCTTTTGAGCCTTTCAAACACTTCTCAGAAGTATTAATCTAAGAAATATTCCACCTATTTATCATGATTTATCATATCAAACTGGGACCAGAAAGGGGTTTTCAACTACCCCCCTCCGTCAATCGGTGCTTGAGCTGCCTGCTTCAGATCCGTCACTCTGCTGTGCTGTGAGGTATTTATTGAATGAAGATTGTCATGAGGTCGTTGCGTCATCTACAGGATAAGTCGGGGGATCTTTTCAAATGGCGGAACATTTTGGAAGTGAAACCGAATCTCATTCTCCGCATTTTATTTCTGAAAATATCGGCGATAATTGGCGAGTTTTGTTCGATTACTGATTAGTCTCAAACAGGCTAGTCTCAAAATTGACCGATTTAATCGACTCGCCGATAAATCGGTCAGGCCCTTCCATGCTCCAAGTCCGCTTTTATGATTGAATGTTGAAATTACTCTGCATAAAAAGTAAGTTTTCTCCCACTTTTGAGCACAGTGAAATCAAAGTGAGAACAGAGGGAGGTCTAACACTCTCAGATGATGACCCTCATAAATCAGACGCCTCATTTAAATTAAAAGGCCATGGCCTGAAACAGCCGACAAAACACATTCTGAGAAAATGTCGTCTAATCTCAGAATAGATACAAATGAATCCAAGGACTCTGGTCAGAGCTGCACAATCTTTCTGAGAAAGACGGTCCTGCTTTGTACATTTCTGAAGGTCATCATAGATAAAAGTGTTCCGGCTTGAGGGCTTAAGGCGAGGAGGGTGAGCACAGCCTTCATTTTATGTCTCTATTTAGCAAAAAAATATAAAGGTACAAAAGCCGTGAAGCACTTTTGACTGAAGAAATCATAATGACCTTGAAGACTAAAACCAGCAGTCCACAAAAGACCCAAGAGGTAGAGCTCAGGTAGTCAGGTTTGATCTGATTGACGGCGATTGATTTCCTCCACTGAGCTTTTGTTACTGTTGTTTTGTTTATACTGTACGGACCCAAATACAGGAAACAATTTGAAGGCGTGACTGTCTTATACTTGGCATTCAATTCGATAACTTATCTGTAGAGCGAGTGGGCCGCCAAGGGGGATAAATGATGAAGAGACAGAGATACTCAAAGAATGAGTTAACCTCTAACTAAGGTGGGGTTATGATGCGTTTATAAATAAAAAGACTATCATTGAGCAGAGACAAGCTGCCAAACAGCCGAGAAACACACCACAGAGTTTACTGTACGAAGAGGAACATCTTTTTGTAAAAATGATTCTTAAAAAGGAGATTTCTTGTAATCAAAATCGTCTTTAATTTGTGCCAATAATGTTCTTCACTCCTGCTTTGCATCATTTTGTGAAATAATTAGATAAAGTTCAACTCGTAGACAAACAAAGAGCCTGTTAGGTAACCACGGCCTTCCAAAGCCAATTACTGAAAATGATAATCTCTTTGTCTTTGTTATACTCCTCTATTTGTCTTCGATTTGTTCTGAGCTTTTTCAAGCTGCCGCCTGTATGTAAAGCTGCTCTATTTATGTCTAAAAGTTGTTTTTATCTTCACCCCTCCTCTCATGAAATGGAGCTCAGAGCATCAGAGTGTATCACAGAGCAGCAGCAGCAGCCCTGGAGCAGGTGCTGCTGCTGCTTCAGTGCAGTCAGGCACAGAGAATGCTTTTACTACTATGGGGACTTCTTCTTGTTGAAGAGGCAGTGTCCCTGCTGCTGTTGACATCAAGCCACTACTCTAATATTACCACCCAAGCCTGAGGCGTTTGCATTTTGTTCAAAATATCCTCAGAGGACCCAGTGAACCGCATTATAGCATTGAGGGGGGGTTTTAACCTAAACTGTGAAACATCCTGTTTCCTGTCGTGTTTGAGGGGACAACAGTTGCTATGCAACAAACGACGGTCGCTAAGTGTTCGTAATCAGCACTCCTAGACTGTGGTTAACTAAGGAGGACAGTTTAATAACCCTTTTTCATCTTGTAGGGCATTTGGGGGTAAATAAGACCCATACTGCCCTTTTGCTAAGCCTCAAACTTTTAATACATGTAATGAGGAAAGGGCTGGGCGATAAAATGATAACAGTATATCAAAAAATAATTCCCCTCGATATCGATATAAAACATGGTCAATATGCTTTTCGATAACCGGCATTCTGCCATGTTTTGGTAGACTATACGAATAGCCAATGAAAAGGGGAGATGCCCTGGATCGCGTCGCACTGAACCAATCATGTGCTGAACTAGAACCAAGTAGCAAACAACAGCAGCTACACGCAACCAGACGACTTCAACACGTGAAGCTGACAGCACTGTCAGAGAGAAAGACAGAAAATGAGTGCTACTCCAGGGAGAATTGCTGATGAAGGCTTGACAGGTGATAACATCGTTGACAACCGTGGCACGAAAATGTCGGTGGTGTGGAGGTACTTTTGTTTTTTGAGGTTGGACATGAAGGAGAGTAACATGCACTGCAAATTATGTCAAGTATGTGTTAAATTTCATTGAAGAGTAACAGGAAACATAAAAAATTGACAAGCGATCTTTTTAACTCGTGATACATATCGATTTAAGGTCCTTTCACACTGGGAGCGTTTTTGTTGTGCAATTATTTTGGACCTGTATCCTGGCAAAGGAGGCGAAGTTTCCCCGGGAAAAGTCTTCCCCGTGATGTGTCTTTTCCCTCTCGGAAAGTCGCAAAATCGCATCGGGCTTGATGTATATAGTCAGGCACGTCAAAATTCGCCTCCGAATACTTTGTAATTTCACGTTCTATATTTGAGTCGGCCCCGGTGTGTAAGGACCTTTAGACTGATATGAAAAAATATATTGTTATAAGCTTTTTCCCTTATCGCCCAGCCCTAAATGAGAGTATCCAGTACTTCTTTGAGTGTCCTCTGTTTGAAAAGAAACTTGACCCCTCACGAACAGGTTTTACCAGGTGGGCTTGTTAGTGCAATAAACAAAACACTACAGGAGAGAAATCTATTGATAATCTGTATGCTGCTAACACTAGGCCCTAGTGTCATCTCTAATTCTGCCCTGAAGAAGCCATTCAGACTTCGTGTTTGTCTTGAATTAAGATCACAAGGACATGCAGTTACGGGTTCACTTTCATCGTTAATATTCATAATAATATATCATTAGTGATACTGAGCACGAATCATTTTAAGTGGAAGTTCCTGTAGTGCCATGCCACATCAACACTTTTTATTTTTCGATTCTCCTATGTAAACTATTTGCTTCATATGCCACCCCTCATTCATCAAACACATACCAGTGTTTGCTCTGATGCCGTTTAAATAGCAGCAGCTCTGGTATGATGCTTCTGAAAAGTAGCTCAGCTGGTTGTGTGGGCTGATGTAAAAAAGGGCCATCCAAGTAAAGACATAAATTTTAACCACAAAGGGAAATGTACGTGTGGGTGAAACCTACAACCAGAGAGGCACCTTACAGCAGATTTAAGTGGGTTAAGGATCCAGTCAATAGCAAATCATGTCTGCTATGTGTGTTTTCACAACAAACAAACCTAGTTTCACCTTTCAAGATTGATCCCTGATCCTCTCAGATGTTGATTCTTTTAACTCCTGTTTTCACAGCAGAAGCAATCTGAGCAGAAACAAACAGAGCTAAAAACCAGCAGATCCTACAGGAGGGTCAGAGTACTTCAGTTTTTTTCCGGACATGTGCTGTAAATCTCTTTTTTTCTGATATCTATTTTGCTCCTCTAGTGTTTTTTTTCCTTCGGTACAGTATAAGAAACACCTCTGAAGATAACACTCAGGCACCACCCAGTGTCTTCAAGAGTACACATGGAGCAAAATACTTATCTGTCTGTTGATGTCAACGAAATCTGAACATTTTAAGCCTCCTAGCTTAATAGGATTGTTGATGTTGTTGATCATGACCACTTACGGCTTAATGCAAAGAGTTCAAGCCTAATGCGCGGCATCGATCAGATGCCAAAACATGCAAGTCAAACTCATAGCAGACTAAATACACTCAAATGTGTTTTTTTTTTCCTTAAAAGGTTGCTTCTTGGAGACATAGCTCTGCAGAAAGTACTTTACTTTAATCAAACTGATAGATCTATCAATAATGAAACCACTAACGTGAACGACATGCTGAGCACGAGACAAAAATAATCACTGTTAGCATGGCAACAACCGTTAGCGTGCGACTATCAACACAAAATTAGGCTGTAATTACCTTCTTTTCCCGTTCGTAACACGCCTGAACGAGTTTTCTTTTAAAGGAGTCCCTCTTCGCAGAAGTACAGAAACCTTTGAGGCCAAGCTGCCTAGTCGTCTGGTCCCTCCTTCCTGGTTTTACTGTACGCTACAAACCGAGCAAGCGCTAACGGATGTTAGCCTGTTAGCGGATCCCCACACTGTTAGCAGCAGGAGCCGACGCACTACGCCTTTAAAGAGGCAACCAAGTGTTTCGGTTACCGGCTACACACACCAGGGAACATGCTTTTCTGTTGTAAAACTTGCCTACTGTATGGTCTGCATGCATCGACACTTAACGACAGCTAACGGTCGGCAGGCGTTATTAGCTCAATGGGCTGGCTAGGGTCGAGCCGAGCCAAGTATATCCAACAAATCCCGCGAGATTTGCTTGACGAAGTTTGGAAGTCCTGTCCGGAGGGAAAGGGGTCAAATTTCAAAAAGAGTTTCTTTAAAAGATATCTTAGAAGAAGCTGTTGTTGCGTTTGTATAACTAATGTAAAAGCTAAACAAGGTATTAAAACAACATCTTTTAAAATCTACTCATTTAGATTGTCCACCAACAGAACTACCGTCGTCTTTGGGACTTGATTTAAACTGGACAGTTGCTTAGCAACCACACACAACATACTTTAAACTCTGCCTTAAAGGGATATTCCGGTGTAAAATTAAGTAAGGGTCAAACGCACCGCAACACCGAGTTAGACACCCCCTCGAGAGATGAATGTTGCTGACTGCTTGCTTCTCTAGTTATTCCAACTTTAGTAACAACCACACCATAGCAATACAGAGAGCCACGCGCTCAACCAAAACGCCACTCTATAGCCACAAATAATGCTCAGAACAGCACCTAACTTCATCAACAGTACATACAGGGTCCCAGCCATAGTACTAGCCACCAAACATCTTTTTAGCTTTGCCTTATGTCTCAGCAAAGAGACTAAACACAGCTCACCTACTCTCTTCCAGCAGCCACTGGTTTGTACGCAGACCTCCAGGCGAGTCCATCGGCTGCAGCGGGGTGATGCAGCTCAAGGAAGAACATTTATGATAATTTCTTCATGGAAATGAAATCAGACCGAGACGCTAAGGCAGAAAAACTACCACGTCTGCAGTGCAAAATGATTAATACGATGATTATTACTTCAAGGAAATGATAAAGAAATGATCATAAATGTTCTTCCTTGAGCTACGTCACCCCGCTGTATTGCTATCATACGTTCATTACTAAAGTTCGTATAACTAGAGAAGCAAGCGGTCGGCAACATTAATCCCTCGACAGGGTGTCTAACTCGCTGTTATGGTGTGTTTGATCCTTACTTAGTTTTACACCGGAATAACCCTTTAACTAGCCGCGTGTTGTTAGATTGTGATACTGTGTTTATGTAAGCCTCCTTCGTCAATACTGAATGAGATCTCAAAAAGTAAATAAGTTTCACATCTCACCCTTCAACCAGGAAAGTTTAAACCTTACTTGCACCCAATCTATCATGGGAAAGCCTCAAAATTTGTGATTCAAACTTGTTTTTCAGCTAACCTTTATTCACATATATACAAAAGGTTATGCCTACTTCAAATTAAAAGAGAAAATACTTTATTAGTGAAATGGTTTGTTTTGTCAAATAAAACAAGAACTCACAAAAAGGAGTATTAATGAGTGTATACTGACACAGGATTTGTTTACAAAATATAGTTTGAGATTTAGGCAACTAGCTGGAAAGAAAAATACACTTGAAGGCATTAGTTAAGGCTCTGGATCATGTGATGTGCATTTTTCACAAATTTGAGACACTAAAGACCGAATGATTAAACATGAAAATAATCTACAGTTTGATTCAAAGAGGGAAAAAAAATGCTGAGCCCCACGTCCTTCACATTTCATGGTACAGCAAAGCTCACAGAGACATTTTTAAGGTAGGCTCATTATTTAGATTAAGATCTGTGGCACTGCATGTACTTGCACTTCTATTTCTATAGGAGCTCTATATTCACAGATCTGGAAATAAGCATGACCCAGCTTAAAGCCTTATCTTGTGAGCTGGTATTGTGCCCGACTGGCAAATATTCCCCTCCCCCTAAAAAGAGAGAACCATATCAAACTTGTCTGCTTTTAATCAGAGAATTAACAAATTCCTGCTGTGCTGAATGACATCTATTGTTGTGTTTGATTCTTTTTTCAACACTTACACAATTTTCCTCAGTTCTTTGCACATGGTTATATTTTCACTGTATCTGTCTCGACTTTAAAATGAGCTTTCTGTGTGACGGAAACACTCTGAAAACAAAAACATCTCGATTTTTCATACAGACTTAGACATGTCTCCTTGTTTATTCAGTGTCTGGTGCTCTTACTCCCCAAACGCACAGTTGTCTTTCAGCTTGACACTGGTGTCAGTAGAGCTTACACCTCTCAGAGTCTTGTGCACTATTTTTACCAGACTGAAAGCCTCATAACGCCTCCTATCGCAGACATAGATTCCGACCTAACACCGCTCGGGCACTGCTGGATATGAGCCAAACTCAAACACACACTTACTGAAGTTGCATTCTGTCTCATCTTACCGGCATGTTTTCTTTTGCAGCAGAGTAAAGTAACTGATAAAGACTTTTTCTGAGTTTAGGATGCAACAATCTGAGGTCCATTAGTCCAAAACTGTCAACATCTACATGATCATGACATAAAACCACTATTCACTCAAACAAAGAGAGATTGTAATTGGATGAGTACCTCCCCCAAAGTGGCCCTCCACCATAATGAACTGGAAAGTCAACATAATTGAATGAGAAGGTAGATTGGTGAGGACTAGACATCAACCTGTTCATGTGGTTCCTCATAGAAGAGGGTGGTTTGGGGTTCAAAGCCAGGTTTGGGCCTCTCTGTGTTCGGATTTTGATCTTTTAATGAACAGGGAAGTAGATAAACTCCTTAACAGGTAAGACCTGACAAGGAGCACAATGTGGTTTTGGTTGCTTCCTTAAAGAGAGATGGTTACCGATGCTAAACTGGTTGTAGTGACTATACTGACCTGAATTTTAGTCTCAGTCTGGGACCAGGAGTGAGGTGTTTTTGACGCACTTCTACCACAATCCAGTGTCCGATCCAAGGTTGTTGTTGAGTTATATTGTTACCATTTATTGATTAAAGGAAAAACAAACAACAACAACAAAAAAGACAGATACATCCAACTTACGACGATGGTGATGTTCATGATGAGGGTGAGAGTAGTGTCGGAGATTAGCAGTAAAAACTATGTGCTCTTCCCGTTCTCCAGATCACTGTTTCACCTGTGTCCCTTTGTAGCATTTACCTGCCCATTCACCTGAAGTGCCCCTTGTGGTGATAGTGCAAGTAACAAAACAAAACCCCCAAAATGATATAGATAAAATGGCTCATACACTGGTTTTGGTTGTGGCTAAGGTGTTGATTGCGCAAGGAGAGAGATCAGACAGACAGACAGACAGATCCTCCATACCTAAAAGAGGCTACTTCCCCTCCTTTTTTTAGTATCTTCTCTTTTTGTACTTCTTGCTAAGGATTGTTTTCTTTCCATATCACTGAAAATAACTAAACTCATTTAGATATGTTTCATTCATCAAAGAAGGACAATAACTTCAAATGTTCATGTAATGAGGTCTAATAACCATGCAGACAGAATCTATGTGGAGGGTGTGGTTTAAAAACCACCAGCTCAGCATGGATTTTTTCACTCGTAGCCTTAAACTGACTTCCTGTTCTTCGATCTGCACCATAATAACATGACATCCGGTCCACAGCCTGTATAAAGACCTGGTTTGAATGTTAACAACTGTAAGGCACGCAGCGATCGAGTCACCCCTCGTTGACCTTCTGACTGAGATATGCAAACAGTCTCCATTAACTTTCCTTTTCCTTCACAGCACAGGTGTTGCACACTTGGTCATGCCAAAGTTAAAATTAGCATCTAGATGAATCCGTCCTCAGGCCACAATGTGAGAGCGAACATGGCTGCTCGTCTGTCACTCTCTGTTATGAGCTGTTTATGGTCTGACTGAGGAGGTCTGAATACCAAGGGGCAGAGGATGACTTCGACGCGGTGAGGTCATGAGACAGACGTGAAATAAAGTCAGTGTGATTAAAGAGATTGTGGTGTGTTTGGTCAGTGCAACACGAGACCTGTGGAGCTTTTGTGTCATGGTTTAGAAAATAGGAACGTGTAAACACAAAGTTAAAGGGGCCACAGCAAAAGAGCGACTTCAAAATGTATGAAACTAATTGGAGCATTCTTTTTAAGTAATGAGCATAAATATTCTTTCACAGCTCAAAAATTTTACTACTTTTTAAGTTTATTTTAGGGATTGATCAGTCATGTCTGTGAAGTATTTGGTACGATGGGATAGACAGTGGCTCTTAAGTTCAACTGCGCAAACACAACATGAAGCAAAGTACATTTAACACAACACCCAAAACATTTTACTAAACACATAAATGTTTAATGAAACACAAAAACATTTTATGTAATGGAAAATCAAAAAAAGAAATGACAAATATCTAAAAAAACACAAAAATATTTCCAAAAAAGGCACAAAAAATGGCATAAAAAGCAAATAAATCACAAAAACATCAAAACATTTTTGTGTTTTATAAATTATTTGTGTTATTTTTGTGTTTCATGAGCGGTAGAGAAGTTAGAGGTTTCCAGGTTCAGTTCAGAATATTGTGCCTTATGTATTGTTTGTGCAGTTGACCTTTAGGGCCACCGTAGAAACACCCTATTTCCTCTTATTTTTGCTTATTATGACTCATTTCTTTGGTTTTCTTTCTGCGACATCTCTCTGGCTGGAGTTTTTGTATATTTATGACAGTAAAAGACTCGTGATAATGATGATCTCATGTCATATCTTAAATTTACCCCAAAGAGGTGACATGAAGGTAATCAATTTCTCTTGTTAGGGCAGTATGTTACAGTTAAAGTGAGAAGATTCAAAACAGCAGGGCAACAAATATTCTCAAAAAGCAAGAAAGCAGACACTGCTGAAGCTTACCATGAATATATATGACATCAATGTGAAGAAAACAACTGTTAAAGGGACAAACTCATTATATTATATCAAATTTTAAAGTATTTCTGAACAGAAACTGTGATAAATAAGTTAATATTACCTCCTCAAATCATAAAATCTTTCTTTCTAAGAGCTCATTATTGTTCTGAAACTCTGCTGAAGCACCAAAACAAACATGTGAGAGTAAAAGAAAAGGCTCACCTTGCAGAGTAAGAGTGGAAGTAAAGCTGAACAGCGCAGATCCAGAAGTCTCAGCCCTCTTGTTTATAGAAACGTTTGGAGAAGAAACCACGTTGGAGGGTGTGAAGAACCTGAAACTGACAAACCGTCTGACAGCCACTCGGTGAAATCACATCTCAATTATAAATAGTTCTCTCTCTGTGGGCTTTTTATTCGAAGGTGGTGTGTGTTTGTTTGAATCTGTGAGTCACGGTAAGTAAAATACAGCTTACAGAGGAAAAGTATCGAAACAAGATACCTGTGCCCCTATTTTATGATATTAATCTTGTTTTATTGACTTTGTAGGTTGGGTGTGTGCAGTCACTCAGCTACCTAAGATATGACTGAGGTGTGTTTTATATTTTAGGTCCGGTTGTTTTTGGCTGAGGCTCAGTGTAAACAGTCAGAGGCATCATGCTCACCACCTGAAGCCTGTTTATTCTCTCAGGCTCTTATCTCCCGCTCCACACGGACTGAGCTACAAAGACACAGTGTCAGTCTGAGAGCAGAGATACCAGCCTAAAGAGAAACTGAAGGCCTCAGTGTACCTGAACTCCTGCTGTGACACAAAGTGGGTATGCAAATTCAGAGCTGTTCAGGAACAGGAAGAGGAGAGACATTTGCAACAGCAGTTTGTGTTTTTCCTCAATAGCTCATTAACTTAAACACTGAGTTCAAACCTCAGGGTGTTTCATACTCGAAAAAAAAAAATTTAAAGCTCCTAAAAAGAGGTTTTTTTCTGCTTTAAGAAATAGACTGAGATTCTTGTTGGTGCCTTTTTATGATGCTCAAGAGAAAACAAGATCATCAGTGACACTATTGGACAACATAAGTAAGGACTACTTTGTCCAAAGGGGGCGCCAAAATAGACACAAACAGAAAGTCACTCACAGGGGCTTTAAAGGGATATTCCAGCGTAAAATTGATTTAGGGTCAAACACACCATAACACTAAGTAAGACACCCCCTCGAGAGATGAATGTTGCCGACCGCTTGCTTCTCTAGTTATGCCAACTTTAGCAATGACCGCAGGATAGCAATACAGAGAGCCACACGCTCAACCACAATGCCATTCTATAGCCACAAATAATGCTCAGAACAGCACCTAACTTCATCAACAGGACATATAGGGTCCCAGCCATAGTACTGGGCACCAAACATCTTTTTAACTTTGACTAATTTCTTTAGCAAAGAGACTAAACACAACTCACCTACTCTCTTCCAGCAGCTGCTTGTTTGTAGCGAGACCTCAAGCCAGTCCATAACGGACTACAGTGGGGTGACGCAGCTCTCGAGGGGTTGTCTAACTTGGTGTTACGATGTGTTTGATCCTAAATTAGTTTTACGCCGGAATATCCCTTTAAGTGTAGATGAACAGGCCTTATGGTTAACATGATAAACTTTACATGTATTCAGTCATTGAATAACTTAATGTTTTCTCCTAAGAGAAATCAGGCTGTTTGTTGGTGTCTCAAAAGTCATGGTTCATCTTCCTGGGACCATGACCGAATGATCCATCCAGTCCATCCAGAAATTAAACTTGATAAAAGGTCTGTACAAAACTTAACAGGAAATAGTCCGGCCAGTGGAAATAGATACATCTGAAAAGAGAAAGGACAAAAAAGTTAGCTTCAAAAGTCCTCAGGGTCTATCACCTGGGAGCCATGAGCGTGGATACAAGTTTTGTCTGACTTAATTTGTTAAATGTGACATTTATAGTGCAAAAGTTTTACCTGCTGTTGAGGTTAGACGAAAAAGCAAGGTCATCTGAGTCATCGGGGTTCATCCTCTGGAAATCATGTTCGATAAAACCCCATCCAACAGTTGATGAGACACGTTAATAAAAGACGAGTAAAATCATGGTGGCACAAGATGATAAGCCAAACCATTGCCAAACACACAAAGATTTGTCCTCTTGTGACCATGAATATGCAATTATCATCTTCTGTTCGACAAATCTTAACGCAAAAGTGCAGAGATGGAATCTCCTGGTGGCGCCGGGTTAGAAGTTGAAAATTCACCCTACATTTAGATGTCTTTCCTCTGGGGAGAATGAAAACCTGAAACAAGTTTTGGTGCATTCCATTCATTTTGAACTGACGCAGTCTAAACCCATGCTGTTGACTGATGTACTGTGTGTATCTGACAAAAATAAGTTTCTCACTGCATCTGTTTCAGGCATGTGGATCAATGTTACCTGATAGATATTAAATCAATATGTCGTTATAGAACCATGTCCAGGACCAAGAATCACTTAAAAATCCCCATTATTGATCCACTGTTTGTGCTGTTTTCTATGGTGAGTAAGCGTTTCTGGCTACAACATCACCATCCCAACCAAAGCAAACACATACCTCTCTGCCTGGTGTCTTTCCAGATTCACATCTCGGCGCCAAATGGCAGCCTGTTCACAGTGAAACAAGGTCCAGTGTATTCTATCAGACATTTGATATGCTAGCAACCCTATGACAGATGTAAACTGACCAACAGCTGCAGCGGCCAGAGTCCATTTGAGGACAGAGTCACCTGGAAGGTGAAGAGAAAGTGACCGCAGGGGCCTCTAATGTTTGATCGCTGGAATAAATCAGGGTGAGAGGACTGTACCGCCAAAGTTTTCTGAGGTCAGTTCTCTTCTCTGCGTCACAAAAAAAAGCCACAGCTAAAGAAACACAAGCTGATGGCAGAAATAGAGACCCTGTTAAAACCTGCACTGTAAATAAAAACCTCTTTCCCAGAGAAACCAGTGTCGAGACATAACCTTCGAATACAGGTTACGGATTTTTAATCATCTATTTGTGTTTTTGGATTTACTTCAAAAACATGTTTTATTTTGCATGGCATCAGCTACCTAAAGTAGAAAGAAAAAGGCATTTGAGTGAAGTGAATCATCCAAACCTCGGAGTAATGCTCTGCAAACAGTGAACACATCTGTGGGAGGATGAAAATGTGATTTGAAAACAGTTATGAATCATCTTCTGAGCCACAGAGGACATGCAACTGTGGATGAATAATGTGTTCGTGTTTGGGGCCTTAAAGTTTTTTATATAGCAGGTTCGTTTTGTACTGTGGGAAACACAGACTGTAAGAGGAATCTAAAATTCTGGGTTTTGTTGAGCTTGAATTAGAGTGGTGATGGATGTCAGGATATTTGTGTCTCTGTTGTTTAAAATTTCATGATCCTCTTTTAAATCTGACCCCCATAAATACTTAAAACAGCAGAGAAACTGTTGATAGGTGGATAAAAGGTGCAGCATCCCTCACATGATGGCTCCTTTCTCTGGATGTGTTTGTTTTACTGCCTTTAATATCTCTATTTCTCATATTTAGATTATCCTTCTTTATTTCTCTGTTTTCCTTTAAAGCATTAAAGTGTATATATTCTCATTAGAAAGTCATAGTTATTTATGAGCTTTAGAGCCTGTGCTGCCACCTCCTGGTCACTTTGAGACACACACACAGAGGAAGAAGTGAACAGATTCTGCTCTGATGTAAAAATAGTCGAAAAAAATAAAATGTATTCAAACCTTTACTTATATGAAAGTGTGTGAGTATTACCAGAGGTTGATCTTCAAGCGTTATTAAAGTGTATACATGACACTTCCTGTTGTAGAAATTGTTTTCTAAGGTAGGGGAGAGTGGGGTAAGATGAGCCATTTTTCATATTTTGGATCACTACATCAAGGCAATCATAGTTTTGTCTCTAACTAGTGTATCTGCGTACATTTCAAGATGTTGTTCATCCCTGCAAACCAACAGAATGAGTGTAAACAGAACTGTCTTGATAATATAGCATGTCAAAAAAAAGTAGTCTCCTACGGTCAACTTGTATAAGGTAAGTTCCACCCCAGCCCTCCCTCACCTTCTCTCTCCCTTAATAACAGTCACTTCTTCACATTCATGTGTATTTTTATCTATTATACGCTATTCAACTGGTACAATAATTCTTTTTATTATTCTTGCATATAACTGTTAAAAAGCTGTTTTGTAAAAAGTCATTAAAACATGCAAATGCTTTCAGACTCCTTTACTTTCTCAGTTGAACCACTGGCTCAACTTACCCCTGAACTACTATTATGACTTTATTAGTCCTCTTAGCTTAAATGGTGGACTTATATGCTCGGTTTCTGACCTCATGTTGTAGCTCATAGATACCACAATTGATGTATAAAACAAATTTAAAATGATCTTTTTTGGTCTGAACACAATTCTAATAAAACTAATAACAGACTAAATTCACTTTCAAGAGTGAAAAATATATATTTTTTGTAAATAAATGTCTTACCCCTTCACCCGTGTTCTTCTAACCTTCAATGACCCCATGAATTGATGCCCATCTCCTAAATATTTGGTCACATGATCAATTTCTTTCCCATTTCCAAGCAACAGGTGGTGGCTCAACTTACCCCACTCTCCCCTATACAGACAGACAAACAGACGCAGACCCTTTCATAAAGCTTTATTTCACAGATCCCCCCGTTAACAGGAGGCTGAGGCAGCCGGGCTCTTTATACATTTACATACACTGTCTGTGGCCCGTCATTACGATGCTCCCCATGTTAAATAACTCAAGAATTCAAGACAAAAACAACAAACACACGCACACACACACGATTCAACTTAAGATAACAACAACAATAATATCTTAACGACGGTAATAATAACAACCATTGTCAAATATTATGTATTTCCAGGGTCTTATACTGTATTTTTTCAAATTCGTTATACACAGTCAGTCATTTTTAAGGTGCACCGTAAAATCTGTATGTGACAATAACAACTGCTGCACCAGAACACGCGGTGGAGAATACTTGTTGTTGCGTTTTCGTATGTTTCAGATGAGTTCATCGTGTGTTTTTTTTTCGCTCCTCCTCGTCCGTCCTCTTGTGGCGGATAAACTGTAGATGTGAAGTCAGCGCAGTTTTTTCGTTTGTTTTGGCACACGTTTTTTTTAATAAGCCGCTGTGGTGTGGGCATGAATCTCGTAGCTCAAGCGGAGACATAAGGCGCTTCTCACACGGGGTTGTGTGGGGGGCTCACAGGACCTCTGCAGGAGACACAAACACAGGTGAGACGAGGTGAAAGATGAAGCCGGGTCTGAATGCTGGATTTTGTTGTGGATTGTCAGATTATTTGGGATTTAGTTTTTGATTTTGTGTGCAGAAAAACAGCTAACTCTCTGCTCACCTGCGACATGCTGAGGTTTCATGGGGCCTGTTTTCATCCTGAAGGGCTCTCCCCCCTCGAAGGCCAGGATGGGCTCGCCGACCAGCCCACTCTGATTCTGAGCAGGGTTACCGCCATTGTTCAGCTGGATGATCTCCTCAAAGTCCGCTGCTTCGCCGTTAGCCGAGACGCCGTTTTGATGTGCGGCAGGCTGAACGCCGTTCACGACAGGACCGGAGACGCTTTGAGGCGGGCTGAGGAGAGCCGCACCTGGACTCTGCATGTTTACAGCTGCAGAAAGACACGATTCAAACAAGTTAATGAAGTTTTTCTACACTTGATTTCTGTTTGAGCAGAAACAGTGGTTACCTTTATTGAGCTCTGTGTCTTTGCCGTTGACCTGTGGAGAAGGTTTGACTTCCTTCTGTGGTGAAAAAGAACAAAAAAACTTCAGCCTCTTACAAAAGAGATTCCCATTTATGAAACGTCATTAAGAGGAATCACACTGACCTTTTCTCCTGCGTCGCTCTTACGAGTCCTCTTCATGATCTCCTCCAGACGCTGTGCAGACCAGACAGAGAAATCACTTAGATAAGGACGAACAGCTGAGGGGGTTTTAGGAAGTACTGAGATGATATTCAGGGTGAACTTGTGTGACTTTCTGAACAATCTCTGAAATCTGTCTCTTTTTTAACTCTGAAACCTTTTTTTAACTATCAAATTTTTTTTATAAATCTGAAATCTTTTTTTTGAAACTCTGAAATCTCTCCTTGTTTTAAACTCTGAACTCTTTCTTTCTTTTTTAACTCTGAACTCTTTCTCTTTTTTTAAACTCTTAAATCTTTCTTTTTTTTACTATGAATTTTTTGAACTGTGAAATCTTTCCTTTTTATATTTGAAAACTTTCTCTTTTTTTCAACTCTAAAACTTTTTTTTTATCTCTGAACTTTTCTCTTTTTTACAGTCTTGAATCATTTTTTTCTCTGAATTTTTTTATTCTAAAATATGTCTTTTTTTAAACTCTTAAATCTTTCTTTTTATTTAAAATCTGAAATCTTTCTTCCTTTTTTTTTACTCTGGAATCTGTTGTTTTTTTGACATCTCTGACATCTTTCTGTCTCCTCACCCTCTTCCTCTCCAGTCGCTCCTGCTCCTCTTTCTGGAAGTGCTTCTCCCTCTCCAGGCGTTGACGCTCGGCCTCTTCACGAGCTTTGGCGTCGGCCTCCTCCTTCTGAAAACAAAAAAAAAAACAGAATATTTTGTTTGAAGTTAAACTTACACAGACCAAACCAGATTATTGATAAATCACTGTTTAAATAGTGTAGGTTTATCATTTCAAAGTCATATAATAAGAGGACTTTTTAATTCTTTAACAAATTCCTGTCCACCAGGGGGCAGCAGACGCTCAGTATACTCTGCAGCCTTCAGGCCGGAGTTGATATCATCTCGGTAACTCCATTACATGGTTCACTGGATATTTAGCCTGGGCACCATCCGAGCAGATGTGAGCAGTAAAAACAGAAATTAAGATGAGGGAAGAATCACGTCTTTTAAGTGTAAAACTCTGTTTCCAGTCTGCCTGATTTAACCATACAGCCACAAATCTAAAATGTCAAACACATTTTCAGACTGTTAACCCTGCAGTGAGTCTAACACTCCAACATGAGGCCCCTTCAGTCTGGGGCGAAAGTGCCGTCCGGCCGAAACAATGGTCCGATTGAGGGGGAAAGGCGAGTGGAGCATGGCTGATAGCTTCAGGCACAGCGTACACTGATGCTGTTTCTCCGACTATCTGCCGACTGCAGAGCCAAGTATGCGAGACAGAGGCAGCACAGGCCTGTCACTATCGCCCTCCATCACAATGGCTCCCTCATCTTGCGCCCATCACCATTATGGAGGTCACCAGCTGGCATCAGGCCGGGCAGACGAGGAGACAAGGACCCTCTGACTGGCCTGAAACACACGGATCGTGACAGCGGCACAAACTCCTCTCCTCTAATCTGCTCAGACAGTCAGGGGGTGAGGCAGGCAGGCAGATCCCGGTCTCATGTTTGGTCTCATGCACAGAAACCCCCCAAACCTGCACCCCCCACTCGGACAGCTCAGGCATCCTCATATGTATTAATCTGCCCAGATGGAAAACGGGCTTACTGCATGTGGGGATTGTGAGGGTTAATGGAAATTTAGAGGGTTAAAGAGTATTTACAGTTAACAGAGAGTGATCATGTGTCTGACAGATAAAGTGTTGTAGGCAGAGGGATTAAACACATGTGCAGGATGACTGATCTATCCATTATCTATAAACATCATGAATTATATCTCTTTAACTTAAAGGTGGGGTAGACAGGAGTCCATTAAAGACGCATCTTTTTTTGTTGTGTATATACAAAAAAGCTTTTAATATCAGTCAATAGCTATAAGTTATTGATGACATTTGGGAATATCACCATATCGCTTTGTTCTGTTATGTCTGTCTAGTCAACATTTAACATTTTTAGAGCGGTCCGCTCTTTCTGACTGTAAACAAAACCATTCTCCGCTTCCCCCATCCTGATTGGTTGTGAGCCGGTCGCTGCTCCCTCATGTCGTGAGGTACGCTCCACGTTCTCAAATAACGTTCACGAGCCCAAACAAAGTTAGTGTGCTACAATATCGGACAGTAGAAACCAACCAGAAAATACGGAAAATTGTCTGAATCCTCCTCTGCCCACGACTGCCGACACAAGCAATAAAACAAGGTAAATACCGGAGACTCTGTTGACTCTGTTGACCTCGGGTCCTGGACTATGTCACTTTATCCTAGTTGTAGAAGTCCTGCAAACATTGTGTTTGCTGATCGTCTGTTGGCATCTACAATAGCACCAATGCTTTTTACTTTCACCTTGACTGGGCCCCATTTGTGATTATCTGAAGTATTAATCTGCATTATATCTGAATTTAATTAAAACCTTTAAACTATCATAGGTTACTACTACTACAACTACTCCTAACTTGAACAAAGTGAAAATATTCCTAATCTCTCTAGTTTCTGGTCACTGACCTGTTTCTGCAGCCTGTCGTTCTCCTCTTGCTCGGCTTTGGCTCTCTCCTGCGCCTCCTTCTCCTCTTCAGCTCTCTGGGCTTCGTCCCTCAGACGCTGCTGCTCGGCCATAAATCGAGCCTCCTCCTCTCTGCGCTTCCTCTCCTCCGCTTCCCGGGCCATCGCCTCCTCCCGGAGGATCCTGAAAAGATAAATCCTCATTACATACAGCGTAAAACCAATCTTATATCACATCTATGCAAACAGATCAGCGATTTTTGTAGCTATTAATCTAACAACAACCTTGAGCTTTTTTCACATTTATCAGAAACATTATTTTCACAGTTTTGGGGTCCGCCGTTATTTTGACAAACTGACTTGTTTCTCTGCTCCTGCTCCAGGCGCTCCTGCTCCTCCCTCTCTCTCTGCTCCCTGGCTTGTCTGCGTTTCTCAGCCAGGACCCGAGCAGCCTCCTCTGGGTCGTTGGTGCCTGCCGAGGGTTTGCCGGTAGGTGCGGCTGGGCTGGGGGCACCGACGGCTGCAGCAGCGGGGGTGGCCGCCGGTGTAGCAGAGGGAGCGGGAGCGCTGGGTGAAGCTGCAGCAGGAGAAGCAGCAGCAGCAGCAGGTTCCACGTTTGACACAGCCGGAGAGGCGGCTGATACAACAGGTGGGCTGATGGATGGAGGTGTGAGAGGAGCAGAGGAGACAACGATGGCGGGAACGTTGCCAGAGCCTGTTACAGAGAGTACAAGGGGAAAAAGGATCCTTAGGTAAAGAAGTAAATGATTGGATTAGCAACCTTAGGATAACACACATAAAATAAGATTGACTGATTGTAAAGCATCACTGTATTTTGAGGAAGTAGATAGATGAACACATGCTCTCTCTGTTCACACTAAATATAAAACTGCACCCCGAATGTCAGCCAAAAACCTCTAGGTCACCTTGAAAAAACAGATATCGTCTCCAAGGCAACCACACTCACTCTTTTTCTCCTCCGTCTGCTGCTGCGGTGGTTCTTGGACCGTTTCCACTGAGACCGGAGTGACCGCCTGAGGCTGCACCCTGGCAGGCGTCTGAGCTCGTTTGGGTCGAGCCTTGGTGCCAGGAGGAGGCGTCTTTTTGCCCGCCGGGGTCTTGGAGGCCACAGCGGGCACAAGGGGGGACAAGGGGCGACTTTTGGGGGCGGGTGACGGCGGTCTGTTTCTGGGTTTTGGAGTGCTGAAGGGAAAGAGAGGAAGGGAGATCACTTTCTAACTTCCAGATAATTAATCAGATGTACAACCACTATATTGACAATATAACAGCAGCATGTTAGCTCTCCAAGCTAAGTGTAGCATCAGAGGAAAATGGCCGCTGTGTGGAAACAGTCAAGTGCGAGGAAAGGTGATGAGGTTCCCAGTGAAGCTAAAACTAGGTCACAGGAGTGAATCTGAAACTCCACAATCAGCTGCCATGATTCTCTGGCTGTAGAGAGGTGTAACGTGAGAGGAGGCGGCAGGGAGCCATCGTTTTTTCCCCCTCTGAGCATCTTTGTGACTGAGAGCTCCTCTCACACACAGACCTGACTGCTGACTGCCTGAACCGAGTCCAACAGTCTCTCTTTTTAAAGCACTTTGGACCATCTGTCCATATTAACCTGCTTTTCCTGCCTTTTTACTTCTTCTGCGCAGGTTTGATTCAACAGTTCAGCTACAGTGTTTGTGTTTTGAGATGGTACCTGGTTTCTGGTCTGGATCTCTGGGTCGTGGTGGTGGGGGATGCCGTCTGTCTCCTCTTCTGGACTTTCTCTTTTGAGAGAGCGCTCTTCTCTTTCTCGTTCTCCCTCTCTTTGTCTTTCTTCTCTTTCTTTTTCTTATCCACCTTGAAGACAAAAGCAACACCAAGACTAAAACCAAGCAGCAGATTTGTGTATTTTAGCTACATATGTGTCCAAATCTGTGCGTACCGGTGTGGAGTTTCTCCGGCGTTGTCTCTGGGTGATGTCTGGCGTGCTGGCGGACGAGACCCTCCAGCGCTCGGCGTTCTGGTGCGGGTGGTTGTGGGAGCAAGTGTTGAAGGGGCTGGCGGAGGCTGAACGGGAGCAGTGGTGAGAGTCTGAGTGACACACGGACATGCGGGGAAACAGAGGGGCCGAAGTCGAGGCCCCACACACACAGAAAAACACACACAAACAAACAAACACAACATGCATGATGATGAAAAAGCTCAGAGGGAGACCACACAGTGAAGACACCACACAGCGAGACAATGACTCAAATCCTGCTGACAGATGACAGCCGAGGAAAGGCGATTTCTATTCAGTCAAAAATGAGGGAAAAATGCCAAATATTTACCTCCAAAAACTTGAATTTTTGCAATTTTTTCCTTTCAACTCATCATCTTTGGTTTGTGGTTATGCATGTTTGGAAAAATCCCCCTTCAAAGCTGTCATCTTTGGATTTGAGAAGTTTCATTTTCCCTCTTTCACAAACTTTTGCCTTTTTTTGACTCAAACATGAATCAGTTTATTTAACATAAAACTAATTCATTTGGTTGCAACCTCATTCCAAATCAAACCAAACACCAGACAGATAAAGATGGAAAAGTGGAGAAAGAAAAGGGCTAAAATATATGATTTTTTGGCGTGAAGAGCAGTAACCTACACTATATCTACAGTTTATATATATATTTTTTATGACTTAACAAAAAAAAATTTAAACATTGGCCGATTAATCGGTAATCGGATTTGTTCACCTCTAATAATCTGCATCAGCCCCTGCGTGTATGTATGTGTGAAAATGCATGTCCATTTGTATGAGTTCATAGACAGATACAGGTGTTTATGTATTTACATGTGTATATGTGCACATGTAAATGGTAAATTTATGTGTGCATGTGTGTGTATAGTGCATGTAGCATGTCAACGTTTCATACTTATAAATTTATTAGGATGATGAGTAGATGGCTGAGCTACAGCCGCTACTTCAACTTTTCTTATCCCACTTTTGTTGTAAACTTTGTTGTTTGTTGATGTGTTTCTTTGTGTACTTCCATTTCTTCTTTGTTTGAAGACATATTATCTAATTTGTGAATTAATTTTTTTGTAACAAGGGGTAGACAATATAAGTTCGCTTCTTTCTGCCCTCTTTTTATTTTATGCTCGATAAATGAATAAATAAACTAAAAAAACGAAAAACTACCAAATATTTTTTCCTCTTTTCACCTTTAAAGAACCAGGTTGTATTTGCAGTTTTTTGACAAATTTTGTATCACTAAAATCTTTTTAAAAATGGTAAAAAAGAGGGGGTTTGAGAGGAGTACAAATAAAAACTTTTACTAAAAGAGAACACCATGCTTGTGTTGAATGTTATATCAAACAAACTCTCTCCTTAAAAGGTGACACTAACAGAGCTTTCCTTCATCCCTGCACACGACAGGCGACGGGGTTTCATACTCACGGGAGTCACTGTTGTTGAGGAGGGTGGCGGCACTGCGGCTGCGGGCCAAGAAGGACAGCGTCGGCGTCATGAGCCGCTCCACGATGCGACTCTCCCAGGGGCTCAGGCGCAGGCTGCGGGCTGACACAAGAGGGCGTTGTTAGTGTCAAGTTACTGTTGAAGCGCACACGCATACTCACCATAAAAACCAGCCTGGTTCTGTCCTGTATGCGGATGAAGTGTCATACAGGTACACGCTCACACTGATGGAGGTGTACTCTCACAGCACATCCTCACACACACACATTTACGACAACACACACTCGACACAATCTGCCTTCGTCTTTCAGAGGAGTGGAGAGTAACATTTCCACTTATGGTGATTACAGGAAGATGCTGTCTGATGAAATGTTACCAGGTTATGATAGTAATAATATATAGAAAGCTTGGTAAATAAACACCATTATTATGTGTGTTTATTTAACAACAATCCCTGATCAGCTCTAGAAGACAAGAAGCAATGGGTTTCCTGCAGCCGACTGTCTTCAGGCGTTAGATAAGGACACACAAAGATGCAAATTTAAGTTTATTTTTAAAGCTTAATGACTATTTTTTAAAAAGTCTTAAAAATATTATCTTAATCTGACCTCACTCAGACTTTTTAGTGCATTAGTGTAGCTAACATCAACCCCACTCTGCTTAGTAAACTATTATTGAGTGTCATAAGATGAAACTTCAGTCTTAATGACATCCAACAATATGTTACTTGTCTTCCAGTCAGAGGCTGTCGCCATCTTGGACCGAAGCAGAACAAATCTGTCTAAAAGTATCTGCGAGAAACTTCAGATGTGTTTGAGTGAATCTTTTACAAGAAAACACCAGAAAGAGGAAAGTGACAGATGAATAATTCAGAGTGAGCGGTCTGATCTAGGAACTCTTTACAGAAAATATCGACTAAACTTCTTCAACGCTGACTGAAAAAGAGGAAATATGTCAAAATTTAAAACCTGCAGAAAATGTGAGAAATTTAATTATTTGGTTTATTACAATTAATGTAGTTGAAGTTCAATATTGCAATCGAAAAATGATTATTTCAAACTGATTAAGTTTTTATAAACAAGAATATATCTTATGTAAAATTTGAAGATTTATCTCAAGTAGTCTACAAAATACCTAAAAGTAGAAGTTAGAGCATCTGTAATATTAATGTTAAACTTTAGTATGTGACTGAAACAGCAGAAAGCAAAAACTTTAAATACACAAATTCAAATAACATATTTAAATACACATTTTTATTCTGTTACATTAATTATATGATCTTAAAATAATTATATTTCAATGACATTTTAAAATATGTTTTGCTTTTTGTTAAACTAAGTTAAGCTGACGATTTGTCGCAGTGTTGTCTCATCTCTATCTCAACTAGAAAGCGAATTAAACTTATAAAATGTGAGACAATTTAAATTCTGTCCCTTATATATGTGGCTTAAGTACAGTCACATAAATATATCTGAAAACATGTTCTTTTGGTCTAATTTTGTAAACATTTGTTAATAGTCGGGGTGAAATTTTATAGTTGAAACTGTGTGGTTGTGGAGACGTACTTACAGTACATTTTACTTAACTGTGCTTTGACGTTATAGTCTGTGGGATATAAACTAGAGGTTTCAGAGGCGTCACAAAGGGAGCAGTTCTTCTAAAGAAAAGGAAAATAACAAAAAGCTGTGCACGCTCGGGTACACAGTTGATTGATGCCAGACGGAAACACTCAGATGAATCAGCTCATCGGCCGACTGAGCTAAGGCAGACTAACAGGCCCGAATTGATGCAGTTATGAGACCAAATCCAGATCCAGTCTTTAAATTATTTACACAGGTGCCTGTGGTGCACTGTGATAAGATCATTTTAGCTGAAATATTTATTGGTTGGTACATTAAATTTGTCATTAACGTGTGTGATAATGAAACAAACAGATTTTTCATCCATGTTTGTGAATGCTTATGAAAAAAATCGTACATATTTCACCCAGTTTTAAACATTTTTAAAAGGACCATGGATGGTACACACATATTTGTTTTTAAACAGACTGGGATTTTTTTGCCTTTTCGATAAGAACAACATAAAAAAAACTGCTTCACAGGAGACAAAAACACTCAGATGGACACAGACTGCACCACCATCAACAAGACTGTCTCTTAAAACAACGTCACCCAACAACGTGGCATGGACACATGTTTTTAATGACGGTTTGGTCATGGGTGCTGCATCTTTTCACGCTCTGTTGTGTTTTTTGACAAACAGAGAGGTCTGTATGACACCCCCGAACAGAAACAGTGCAATCGCAGCAGTGCTGTTGAGAAAACACAGGTCCTGTTTATCTGTACATATAAAAAACTATCATGTTCTGGCCGCCCTTATGTAACAGCTCACACAGCCACCACTGCTGCACATTGGCTGCATCATTTTAACAACATGTTTTATGACTAACTGATAACGCTGCTACCTCTTGTTGCTAGGCAACAATGGTCTGCCTCCTCCAATGCGGCATGAAGAGGGGACCGGGCAAGAGCTGCTGATCGACGGTTCACCTGGAGGCAGATTGATGGAGCGGTGATCTAAAAACATCACCGCCCCAGCACCAACACGTTCACAGAGCGACTCCTAAAGCCAGAAACACGAGCTCGGATATCGATCCAGCTCTGCTCAGAGCCAAATTTATCCTTCTGTGCTCCTGCGGTATCGGAGCATCTGTGTGTGTTTAAGCAAGCGAATCTGAAACTGTACTGTGGTTAGAGAACGAGCCGAGAGTCTGACTGCTGATCGCACTGTGAATGATACCATCTGTAATGACACACAGAATGAGGCGTGATGAATTTGAGATGAAGACAGTGTTACGTCTGGACCAATAGAAACTCAGAATAAATCACTTAAGTTACCTCTCTATCATGATATCATTTTAATATGAAAAATAACCAATTACCACGGCTTCTTATGTGCTGTATGAACTCAATGTTATCTTACTCTGACACGTCTTTCTTGAGGTTACCAACATAAACTCTTCTTTTAAACAACACTTTAGAAATGAGTTGTAATTAATCTTAACCCTTAGATTTTTGTTTTTCAACCTTCAGTTAGACAGAAATGTGTCGATAGCTTTTGGATAGTTGACATTAAAAAACAAGAATATTTGTTTTTCCAGTAAAAATCTCACTAAAACCAAATAGCTTAAATTTACAAACTTCACTTTGACACTGTTGGATAACAAGCGTCGTTTCTGACTCAGTAAGCTAGCTAGCTAAATTGCTTTTATCTGCTTGCGCTATTATATTGCTACAGTTAGCATTTAAATAACGTTTATGCTATCGCCTGTAAAGGCTTTAGCTACATACGTTAATGTTAACATGCTAATATGCTTGGTTAAGATACATTTCATTAGAAAAACGTTGCAAATGCTAGAAACATGAGTAATGTTATGAATGTCAACATGCTGACACTAGCATTTAGCGCAGCGTAGGTATAGCTGTATCTGAGTTATGCTTTGCAGAGCAGCTAGCATGACTTATTTAAGCTAATTTCAGACAACCATTACATTTTTTAAAACTACTGTGGTTTTTAGTCACTTTAGACACACCATATTTATTTGGTGTACTTTATGTGTCTGTAGCATAGACTGTTTATACTATGGACGACTTGGTTCTGCCTTCTGCCAGTGTAAGAATTTGAAGCCAAAAAGCTCTCGGTAATTCTGCGTTTATTCTCCATTTCTTGAAACCAACATTGTACGCATTCAGGCGGGAGAGTCGCCGAGAGTCGCTGTGATGACGCTTGGCTCAAACAGCGTATACCCCGAGTGGGCTACGCAATCTTCGTACGCCCATAGGCTGTATCAGGTGTCAATCATAGAAGACGTGAACCCCCTGATAACTTCTAAAAATGGAGCTGTACAGATAAAAGAGGACTTGAGCACATACAAGTCCACAGCTCCATAAGCTTTGCTGGCAGAGGTGGGATTTATGACTTATACTGCAGCCTGTCACCAGAGGGCGCTGTTCTCATAGTGGCTTCACCCAGCGAGGAGGCAGATGGCGTCCATTCTATATACAGTCTATGATTTGTAGTCTGTATTCAACACGTAATAATAAGTAAGTGTGCACAGATTGTGGGCTGCAGCGATACTCTGCTATAAATAACCAGAGAGGCTTTATCTCTATGGAAACAGGTTACATATGAACAGAGAGCAACACATAAAATCAGTACTTAACACAGTGCATGTGTATCAAATTGATGTAATTTCATTTATAACAATCACACTATAATAACCACCACCATCAATAACACCGCCACACCAAAGCACCGACAGTACAGTGGAGGGGGACAACCGAAAAAAAAGGTGTTGAGACACAATGTGGACCTAAAAACCCATGAGCAAAACCAAAAAGTACCACAGATTATGACGCGGTGATGTCGATGTGAGAGGGAGGCTGATCAAAAATGCAGAGGCGACTCAAATTAATGAACACCACCAACTGAAAGTAAAAAAAAAAACACGATGCATACGAGACCCAGAGCGTGATAAAGAGGAGGGAGTAGGTGGTAAATGACCAGTCACCAAGCACAGGCAGGCAGGCAGGCCACCAGAGACGACAGTTATAATAAATCAAGAAGAAAACCAAAAACCAGATTAGAATTAGGAGGAGGTGGGGGAGGTGGAGGAGGGGGATGAAGAGGAAGGGGAAAAGGGAGGGTGGAGGGAGCCTGGTGGACATTGACGTCGGGTCGTCCTTACTTCTGTTGGGGGAGTTCCAGAGCGTGGCAGAGGACTTGGACAGCCTGTTGTTAATGACAGGGTCCACCTGTCTCGGCAAGTTGACCGTGGAGGCCGAGCATCTGCCTGCACCGGAGAGAACGCAACACACAACAACTGTTCACAAGGCTGCCGGGTGCAAGGCGGCCCCAGATACAGGACTTATAGGGGATTTTGGCTGCCGAATCCTCTGGTCTTGGATCTGGAGGACAGCAGGGACTCACCAAACCCTGAGGTCAATGCTGCATGTTCCTAACACTCAGGAGGAGACTAATCTGGAGTCAGAGTCAGAGTCGGGGAAATGGGAAGGAAATTTGAGGAAAGTGTGGGAGGGGGGTTTGTTTATTCAGATTTAGTGGGACTACTTTTGCATTTCTTCTGCTGCAACAAATTAGCATAAAATAAGACACGCACACTGTCCGTTTCGCACACATTCAGGATCTTTCACACTTTTCTTGACCTCGGTGTCGCCTGTCACATGTCTGACACCAGAAACAGGACGGTCTGAGAGGGAAGATTAGCTCACAGCTCCTTGAAAAAACTCCGCTCACACTGCTAATCTAATGAAACATGCTCTCAACGGCTACCTTGCTGCTTATTTTCTGCCTCTGTGATCACTTTAAAATGGACATAAATCCTTTTTTTTTCCTGCCTAAAACACAAAGAGGGACAACAAACGTTTAACATAACAGATTACTGAGCGGCCCGCCTTCATGACAGCAATCCCTCCTGGAGCTATTTCCTTGAGTTGCATCAGTTTGACCAGTGAGTCACAGAGCAGCGTTCCTAAACATGGATCCTGGAGTTACTGTGAGGGTGCGATATATAATCCACTCCATGTGTTTGGCTTTGAGTTCTCGCGCTGTTGGTATTCGTATGTATTAAACTCACTTTCTCTGCGGGAGGTCTGGTTGAGTCCGCCCGCCCAGGACCACCTCTGCTGGCGGATCTCTGCCCATGTCTTCTTTGTCGACCGCTTGATAGCTGCCTCGTATCTTTCCTGGAGAGAAACACTCAATTTAACTTTTAATTCAAACTCTTAAAATTCTTCTTTTCCTAAAATCAAAGTATTTTATTTGACGGTTTCAAAGCTTAACCCAAAGATGGCGGCTAGCTTTATTGGTAAAACCGGTGAAATTGAACTTCAAGCAGATCAGAACCCCTGTCAACAACAGGCTAACTTTTGCTGCATTCCAGTTGTACTTGGAAGTCGGGATTTCCGAGCTCCGAGTTGGAAATTTATCTGTAACGCCCCCTTGAAGCCGGATTTCTGACTCGGAAAGTCGGACGATCCACACAAACCCCTACTTGACGACAATGTCATAATCCAAGATAGCAGCACAGTGCATCAACAGTAAAGAGTAACAGTGAAAGCTCTCGTAGTGTATTATTTATTAGCACTTCTGTTTTGTTTTTGTAAAATTAAATAAGTGGTATATGTTGTACCGCCCAAAGTCTACCGTAAACACGGTGCTATGGTGTTTATAAAAGTAAAAGAAATGTGTTATACGTTGTTTACAACTGGTATAGCTAACAACAACTGACAGCAGCTATCAACGGCTTACAGTAGGCGTCCATCTTGGTTTTCCAACTTGTTAACTGGAACGCCGTCAACTTGGGTGTAACGTTATTCCCAGCTCCAACATCTGACTTCCGGGGTTTTGTGCTGCGTTCAAGTTACCTCGGATGTCAGATGTCGGAGCTGAAAATGACGTAACACCCGAGCTCCCAGCGTTTCAGTTACCAAGTCGGAAAAAGGCAAGATCGGAGGCCCGAAACAAGATGGCTACATCTACGAAAGTTATTTCAGCACTTGTCTTATATTCGGACAAGGCAAACGCTAAAATAACTTTGGTAGACGTAGCCATCTTGTTTCCATCATTTTCAGCTCGGACTTCTGAGGTAACTGGAACGCACCATTAAAATTGTAAGTTTAAGTTTTAAAGGATCTTGAACTCTGTAAGCAAGAACAGCTGACCTGTTTTTATAACCACATGTTGCTGTTTCTCCATATTTCAAATGCAGCCAGTTCAGAGAAATTAGATCAAGCTTGGGAGCTTTTTTGCTGAACCAACCAAACAGATGTTTCTGCCTGTATTCATACAAAGACAGCTTCATACTCTTCAATCAAATGTGGAAGGGGCATAAAATCAGATTAACTCCTCTGCCAATAATTCATATTTACAGTCAACATCTGAAAGTCAAAAAGGTTGGGAAACACTGATGAGATCAATAACTGTTAGCTCATATTCCTGCCAGTGAATAATCTGAACTTCTGACCTCTGGAAATTGGCTTTAAGCGGCCAATACTTGGCACCAGAGCTGATCCCAGGTACTCAGGCCATTTTCCAGTCACAGCAGAGGTCTTGTTAAGCAGTATGCCATCAAACTGTTGATCATTTCCACCCTGACTGTCATTAACACCAGATAAGTTTAAGAAAAGGATATTTCCATATTTCCTCACTTTATTCTTCTCAAGTTTCTGTCTCTGTTTCTCCTCCAGTAGAGCTCTGCGTTTTTCCGCCTTCAGCCTCTGCTCCTCCAGCTTCCTCCTGCGCTCCTCCAGCTGACTGTCCCTCAGACGTCGGGCTTTCTCCTCCTTCTCCAGCCACTGGGCCTTCTTCACAGCTGTGGGGTCGCCCAAAAGAGAGAGAAGCAAATTTAGACCGAGGAGCAAGACAGGAGGAGTAACACATGAGAAAGGAAGGAGTCAGAAAAAGATAGTTAAGGATGTTTGTATATCAGCGAAATCAGATTATCAAAGCATGCTAGCCTGGCTTTCAGGTGGTGACAATCACCACGTTTCCATGATGTCAGTATTTACAAATGAGCACAAAACACAAAGTAAAGGTGATGCCAAAAGCTTTGCGGGTATTAAGCCACAAAACAACAAAAAACTGAGCTGATGAGGGCATACAATGAAACTATAAGGGACTATAAAAGCTTTTATGGTACATCCTGAAGGGATCAGGTCAGTCTGCGCCAAATCTTACAAAAAACTTACTGTCAAAGTCAACTTCAAAAGATGTTTTCTATGAGCTCAATGTTTCAAGAAAACTGTGATTTCTCTATTTCAAAGTCAAGTCTTCAAATCCAGCTGTTAAAATCACTTCAACTCCTCCACTGACTGCAGACATCCAAACAGCCTGTGCGCAGCAGATGGGAGATGCTGTGATCATTGCACTATAATCCTGATAACAGTAAATAAGCTGAAGTTTCCTGCTGGGCTCTACAGCGGCCTCCAGCAGATGCCAGTTTGTCTTTGCACATACGCTGCTGCGGCTCATTTCTCAGAGGAACGTTTAAACAGTATCAATCCTCTTAAATTAAACCCCCTTTATGTTGAACGGCAGCTGCGAATCCCTTTCCCTTGAATTTTTGGATGTACAGTTTGGTTATCACTTCAGGATAAGCCTGCTTTACAAAACAATGAAAAGGTCAGGATGGAAGATGATGAGGGTGCGTTACATGCCGGATTTGACGAATGTAAAGTTGCTCTTATAATCCTACGACTTGGAGATACATTTGAGTCGATTTAGCTCTGTGAGAATGTCGCTTGTTTGTGTGTTTGGTTCTGAATTCTGCAGCTCATCTTTACTTATGAGTCAAAGCTGTCTTCAATCTTGCATAAAACCAAATTCCCCCCAAAATCCATTTATGTCAAAATAAATTGGATGTGTGTTTGCTGTATCATAAAGCTTTCATATGCATTTTGTTGTTAACATGTTCAGATAGATTTCTGTCTTTTATTACAGACAGAAACCAACTTATCTCAAATCAAGCTGGGCTGAGTAACCTTGGATATCATCGATGAAAAGGCAGCAGAATTCCCCTTTTCACTGCTGACGGTGTGGCTGCAGCATGACCAAATTACCGATGCTAATGAAAGTAGTAATTAAATCTAATCTGTCTGAGAGGCCCGGTCTTGATTCTTGCTAATGACGGCTCATTTTTCACGCCAAGTGCCTCTGGCTCTGTGAGACGTCTCTGCTCTGCTTTGGCCTCCATCCACAGGGAGAAGAAGTGTGTTTGAAATCTAGATTTAGCCTCTCATGTCTTTGGGGTATTTCCTTCAGAGGGGGAAAGTTTCATTCTGCAGCCACGAAGCAAACCCTGATTATATGTGTCGGGTTTTGCACGCTGGGTGGGAATGCAGAGGAACATGAAGCGAAATTTCAACTTAACATGAGCAGGAAGGAAGCGTTTAAAGCAAAAGTGACACTGATGAGGGTTCACAGGGTTCAAGAGCTGCTGCGAAATGATGTTTTCATTGATTTAAAGGCAAAAAAATGGCTGTGATTCCCTTAATCAAGATTGCTTATTCCCAAATGGCATGAGAGCTGCGATGCCAGTGAGGGTTTTAGCGAAGCCGCTTACCTTGCAGCTGAGTTTGCTGTTCTGAAAGCCGTGTAAGAGAAACAATAAGAGACGACAGTAATCGTCAGTCACACCAGAGCAGAGTGACAGAGGAAAAAGAGAAGTTAATACTGCATTAAGTTGGAATTGAAGTGTGCATGCATCAAGTTGGTTGCAGGAAATTTCAACTTCATGCATCAGCGTGAGGCTTTTAGAGGAAAATTCAATTTGTTTTATAAAGTGAGCTCAGCCCAAAACATGTCACAGTGATGTGGTTTCTCACCGATATATCTGGCTCTCTCCTCTCTTCGCTCCTTGGCGAGTTTCTGTCGCTGCTCTGAGTTCATTGAATCTGTAGGAGAAAGAAAAATAAAGCTGAAAGTTAAACCTTTTAAAATAATCATGCTTCGATCTAGGGCTGGGCGGTATACTGAAAATTTACAGATACGGAAATTTATGACAATAACCAACGTCATTTTGCATCAGTGACATTATTATTAATGTGAAGTTTCCACCAAAATTCCCTCCTCTTCTACCTCAGCTTTGGTCTCCATCAGCTTCCTCTAAATACCCAGCAGCTCATCTCTAACTGTGTCTGTCACATGGTTTTCAGCAGCTGGATCCACTTTTCATTTTGAGCCTTTTGTTGAAAAAGTCACCTGGGTAAAAGTTTACAGCAGCTTCTTCTCCAATCAATCAGTTTTAATTGATGCTCACACTGTTACTTGGATCTAATCAAAACTTCTTGACCCCTCTTCAAACCTCAGCTGCTTCACATCTAAGTGAGACAGCTGAGGTTCGAGCGTCTGATTAGGATTCGCTCCAGTCTCTTCCCTCTTGAGGTTTTTACCAGGAATAACTCCAACTGTGAGGAGACCCAGCACACGCTGAGGGGATTACATATCCCATCTGGTCTGGAAATGTCTGAGGATCCCCAAGGACCAAGCAGAGAGGAGGCGAGGAAGGGGATTTAGGGGACCCTGTCCCAGCAACGGCAAAGAGAGGCTGGTTTAATCTAAATTCAGAGGATTTGATAACACCTGAAATATGTCACTGTTGCTTTTATAAATACAAAAATCAAGAATTTTTTTCCCCACTGAAATAATCCAGTTTGATAAAAATAAACTATTCAGTGTTGATATTTTGGAGAAACAAGGACAGTGTGCTGCAAAGATTTTTAACCGTGCTTTATCAGATAAGATATTCCTTTATTTGTCCCACAAAGGGAAATTCCAAAATTTCACAGCAGCGATAAATACAGAAGAGAAATTAAAGACTGAGGAAACGTAGGAGTTAAAAACGTGAAAAAAAAATAATTATATACTTTACAGACCCCGATATATCATCCTTTATTTTCAGCTAACTTAAAGCTCCTGTAAGGAACTTTTAGTTTGTGTCAATCAGCAGAAAAAACAGCCTTTGTTAAGTTTGTCATCTAAATATTTCAGTGGTGTTCAGACAAAAATCTCATCCTGAAGACTTTTGACAGTAAATGTGTCATTTATGGTAAAACTTAAGAAAAAAGTAAGGGCATAGTTGTCTTTTTAGCTGTTTGGCTGACACCTACCTCCTCACACCAGTTTCAGGCCTTTAAAATTGTAAAACAAAAACAGTCATCCCTGTCACTGATGATCTTGTTTGCTTTTAAATATCATAAAAAGGTATCAACATGAATTTCAGTCCATTTCACTGATTCCAAAAAAAGCTCCTCACTGGTGCTTACTAATTTTTAATTTTCGACCCTTGTCCCTGGTTAGGCTTCCATAAGTGAAAACAGAAACAACATAATACTGAGTTTAAGATACTATGACCATTGAAAACATTCACAAAAATGCAATGGACTGGAAACCCACTCTCTTTTGGGTCTTAAAATTCCAATTTATTTTAAAAAATGGAATTAAATTCATAGGATATATATGCAGAGATTGAACATGCAGATTAGTAAACCTGAATGTCTGAATTGATTTTATTTGAATTAACTTATATTTGAGTAAAACTACTACATAATATTTGAAAATGGGCTGAACTGAGTCTTCACAGATCCGTCTACAAAAACTTCTGTTAGTCTCAAGGTCAGTGCAGCTCCACTGCTGCTCAAACTGACCGTTTTTACTGTAACGTGAAGGCCCTTTTCAGCCATCCTCACCTGCAGTTTTTATCTGAATGAATTTTAATCGTGCACTGATTAAACATGAAGGTTAATGTTTCTCCATTTTTACTAAACACGGGCCGTGAAAAGTCACGACTTTGCTGCTTTAAAATCAGGACCCCTGGGGTGCTCGCTGCTCAGCCCGTCTCCTCGTTGCAGTCGTTCTTCCTCCTCGCTCTGTGTACTACTATGTATGCCGCACTTTCTCAACCAATAACAGAGGACCCTGCAGCACTTCGGCACGGTCTCCATAGCAACCTGAATTTCCTCCCTCCCCACCTTTAGGAGAGTTTTCTACATGGCTGTACTCTTTCGCTCTGGCTCATACGCAGAGGAAAAGAAATCTAACAGGAGTGAAGGTTAAGACTTGACAGCGTGAGATTGTCCTTTCACACCTTCCTTCACCTCCATCAGTCTTCTTCCACTTTATACAGCCTGTCCTCTATGAAAAAGGTGGTTTTAGTTTCTCTCAAACTCCCATTAGGACACAAAAGAGTAAGTTTCACATGTTTGAGGTGTCTAGTTTACCTCCAAACAAGATCAGACCTCAGCTACAGAGGTTAAGACGCTCTGGCTCGATCAACATCTTCTTCATACTTGCCAATCGACTCCTTAACTCCTCTGTATTGTACCGTGAATTGTTTCTTGGATGTGGGAGGCACTGCTGTGTTTGATTGTTGTAACTGAACAATAACACTGAGTAGGTTTTGACGAGGAAACAAATGAGCTGACAACCCCACGCAGTCACATGACCAGCAGAGTAAAAAGATGCAGATTTTACTCTCTGACAGTTTCAGGAAAATCATGTCTTTCCGATTTAGACCAGGCCTGGCTCTTGTACGTTCATGACTGATAACGACCCACAAGCACGTCAAAAAGCTCACCTTTCTTGGGCTGTGGGCTGCTGCCGCTCCCCGGGGTGGAGGGCCTGACTTCTGTCTTGGAGGAGGAGGCTTCTGTCTTGGTGGGGGTCTCTGTTTGTGGGCTGGAATCTGTTTTAGGAGAGAGGTCAGTGATGGCCGAGTCATCTGAAGTCAGGGGGTCCTTTTCTGAAGTTTTGTCCCCATGCTGGATGGACTGTGAGTCTGTCTGCAGGGGCAGAGCTGGAAGACACAGAAAAGACAATATTCATCTTTGCATGTTTGGTGTTGATGTTTTAATCCAATTATCTGATATTTAACAACATTAATGATCTCTTCTTTTTGTCATGTCAGTCCACATTAGTCTTCACTCTCTTCAATAAACACTAATTACTTTGTTTACACATTTACCGCTGACACCTTCTCAGTGTAAACCTTGAAAACACTTTATTAACACAACACTCCCGCCTCATTAGAAATCACTTTATTACACATCAGGTGTTAAACTCTCCTCCTCCTGTCTTTAAGGGTTTCAGCTCCTCGGAGGAAAAACACCTCCTGACAACAGCGTGAAACACACCAGCAGAGGGTGAGGCTGCAGTGTGGGAATAAATCTCGGTTATCTCTAGAGGAAGCAGCAGATTCGCAGTGAAAATACAGCAGAGAGCCTCGGAGACACGGGAGGCTGTGGTGTAAGTCTGTTTCAGCTCACTCCTCTGAAAAGAAACAACTCTTACTGGAAAACAGTGATTGTCATGAGGACGGTTAATGACAATGAGTTCAATCCCCCCTAGAGGGCCACCCTCCACTTTACTGTAAGACACAAAACGCTCATGGTTAAATCAACAAGGAACAGGTCTGTTTGAAAGTAGAAAGAAGATTTTAACAGTAATTTATTGTTTTTTGTTTTTCAGTTTAAATAGTTTTGCTTTTTCGTGTAACGCATCAGCAAGAGAGGACTGAGAGAAGGGTTAACTTAGGATGAATATTAAAGGGATATTCCGGCGTAAATTTAAGTTAGGGTCAAACACACCGTAACACAGAGTTAGACACCCTGTTGAAAGAATGAATGTTGCCGACCGCTTCCTTCTCTAGTTATACCAACTTTAGTAACGACCGCACGATAGCAATACACAGCGGTCTGAGGAGCCATAAACAAACCTCAACCAAAACGCCACTCTATAGCCACAAATAATGCTCAGAACAGCACCTAACTTCATCAACAGTACATATAGGGTCCCAGCCATAGTACTAGACACCAAACATCTTTTTAACTTTGCCTAATTTCTTTAGCAAAGAAACAAAACACAACTTACCTACTCTCTTCCAGCAGCCGCTTGTTTGTAGCAAGACCTCAGGCCAGTCCATTATGGACTACAGCGGGGTGTCGCAGCTCAAGGAAGAACATTTATGATCATTACTTCATGGAAATGCAATCAGACCGAGATGCTACAGCAGAGGAACTACCGTGTCTGCAGTACAAAATGATTAATATGGTGATTATTACTTTAAGGAAATGATCATAAATGTTCTTCCTTGAGCTGTGTTACCCTGCTGTAGTCCTGTAATGGACTGGCCCGAGGTCTCGCTACAAACAAGCGGCTGCTGGAAGAGAGTAGATGAGTTGTGTTTAGTCTCTTTGCTAAAGAAATCAGGCAAAGTTAAAAAGATATTTGATGGCTAGGACCCTGTATGTACTGTTGATGAAGTTAGGTGCTGTTCTGAGCATTATTTGTGGCTATAGAGTGGCGTTTTAGTCGAGTACGTGGCTCCTGAGACCCCTGTGTATTGCTATCGTGCTGTCGTTTCTAAAGTTGGTATAACTAGAGAAGCAAGGAGTTGGCAACACTCATCTCGCGAAGGGGTGTCTAACTTGGTGTTACTGTGTGTTTGACCTTTAAGTGACTGCTGGGTCTTTTTTTGACAGAATATCTCAAGAGGGGTGATAAATGTAGGGAGCAAAGGGTGGAGGCTGTGAGTAAAACCTGTAACAACTGCGGTGAGGACTGTAGCCTCTTTATATGGAGGACTGATTTAACTATGTAGCCTCCACAGGTGCCCCTTGACGGTTCATTTCCAAAGAGTCTATTTGTTGCAGCTCTACCTTTATCAAACTTGGATGTTTCCAGAAGCTGTGATGTATTTCTGCAACATCAAACCAAATTTCCTCCAGAAGACAGAAGACATCAAAACGACTCTTTCAGCAGCTGTTTGGCGTTTCCTACGTCTTCAGAATAGACTCTGACATGTAAAGCGAATAAAGTTCCCTTTGAATCTTTAGATCAATCAAGCCTTTCATTCATGTTTTATGCAACTCCAAGGCCTTTAAAAGTTTCCTAAAGTGAGCACCACTGAAGTCTCCACACAGATCCGGTCATGAGGCCTAACTTCCTGAACTCTGACCCTTAGTGAGGCAGAGGAAAAGCCTCAAAAAACATCCTGTTTTAATCCCTGCTTTGACTTTGTTTGCACACCCCGCTGCCCCGCTGATGCTGTCACTGAGTTTGTCTGCTCGGCTGCTGCTTCTCTCTCTCTACACTTTCTCTGGAAGTGGAGAGACTCAAGAGACTGCAGCAAGTGAAAGAGAAAGAAGAAGAGCGAGAACGAGAAAATGAAGAAGAAGAAGAAGAAGAAGAAGAAAGGGAACAAAATGTACACTTCTACAAGGACACGTGGAGAGTGAGGGGGTGATTTGTCGAGAACGGAGAGCTGGAGGACAATGAGAGAGAGCAGGGGAAATGGTGCAGCGGCCTGTTTTATAATGACAAAGGGGGGAAAGGGAGCGCAGGATTTAAAAAGACAAAAAGGAAGGAGATAAAGACAGTGACAGCCAGAGGAATAATGACGAGGGAGCCCAGAGACAGCCAGTTAGGAAGGTGAGAGGCAGCCAACAGTGGGCAGATGGAGCATGACGCTCTCCTCAGGCCCGTCCAAACGCTCACCGAACCGCATAAATCACAGATTAACACTTGGCTCGGGTCCATCTACCCCCACTGTACTTCAGCGTGGAGCTTAATGCACAGGCGGCTACTACAGAATCCTAATTGAGGAATAATAGGATATGGCCAGGAGCCCCATGCGTGTTCGGATAAGAGGGCAAAAAGATGCTGTTGAGTCGGGATGGTACTGCTTGTACCTGGTGTTGAAAAAAGGATTAGGATTTGGCAAAAAGAGGATTGCGATGTCCCTGCTTACTTGAGAAGATTATTTTGTTCTCTGAGAGAGGCTCACTTTTTGGATTCAACTCCTTCAGGAGCCTTAAATGGACGTGAGAGGCACTGAGGAAAGAGAGGGACGACAAAGATCGTTTGAGTTTCCAGAATTTTTTAACATAAGTCTAAAAGTCCTTCAATAATTATCTGACAGTGACACACACCACCAGGGAGAATGGCTTTGAGTTTCAGGACACAGCATCAAACAGATTTTTTGCTTGAAGTTGACTTTGTTTTATAAATCTAGAAAGGCTTGTTAGCTGCACTTGCTTCAAAATGTCTGTTAATAAAAAAATACTAATCAAAACACCCCATATGGGAGACGGAATTTCATTACAGTAGATTATGTCCTGCCTTATTTTGCTCTCCATACTAATTGTTTTTCCTAAATGCCTAGAATTGCACCGATCCGCTTTTTTCACCTCCGTTACTGATACTGAAATCTACAGCTTAGTATTGGCCGATACCAATCCAATGCCAATACAGAAAAGCTGCATGTATGAATTACCTTTTGATGTAACCTTAAGTTTTACCACTGCCCTTCAGAACGTTCACCGTGCAGGAATTGCAGGCGGCCGTCCAGCTTGTAGGCTGAGGTATTGTGATAAAGTTCAAGGTAGCAGACCCCTTTTGCTCGCTCCATTTTGAAAACAATGTGGGCATCCGCTCAGCGTGTTTACTTGTGGATGCCACTCATGGCGCATAGCACAGAGTTAGACTGAATAGATTGTCCCCTATGCATCTGGCCTATTGTCACAATACCTGATCTAGAATTTCTTCAATATAGGGACCAATACTGATATAAAATATTGGATCGATGCATCGCTACTTATGCCAAAGTCTTGACTTGAACTACAAGCTAAAAGCAAGACACTGCTCATGGCATGTGTCATCTTTATATACTTTAAATATACTCAATCAATGTCTTGATTATTGGTAATTTGATTCGAACGAATGTAACCTCTCTGTGTCCAACTTTAGCCTACTTTATGTATATAGTGTTGTTTATCTAGTATGCAATTAGGCAGATGCATGACTATGACGAACTGCACAAAAAGGCAACATAAAAGAAAGACAGAGAGAAGACATCCCTCATGTGACTCAGCAAAGTTCAGCAAACTTGACTTAAACCAGTTATTACAGTAAGCCCAGCACGGGTGTGGCTGTTGTGTGTGACTGTAAGAGGGGGAGTGATGACTGGAGTCATGTAACAGCAAGACCACAGAATAAACTTTAAGAGAGACACAGAAAATGTTCATTCGTGGGCGATAAAGTTTAGTTTTACTGGATTAAACTGACTGAAGTGTCTCACTGCTGGAGACGTGGCTGGTCTGGTGGTAGCAATAGCTTTTGATGGCTCATGGAAGATATTTGAAACAGATGCTGCTAATGAGGTAGCATCACCGAGCTTATGAGTCTTTACTAAGAGTAGCATCCTTGCTTGTGCAAATTATCAACACAAATGTGCAAATTAACACACTGAGAAAGCTGTAAATACTTAGCACTGAATAACTGCACCTCCTCTTATGATTGAGTCCAACATGGATGGAGAGACAGGAAACCATATTTTCAGGTACAGTAGTACTTCGACTTAATGGATATACCATTTTCTATTGCAGCTTGAATCCTTTGGGAAACATGCGCCTCACACCTACAGAACCTCATTTAAAAAACATGACGTTTTCAACTTTTCTCAAAATCAAAGAAATTCAGTGATAGTTGTCAATAATCATTACTACTTTTGCAAAGAGGAAGTGCTGATAGACAATTCGGCTTACTTGAAGTGGTCCAAAATGGTCCCAGACACAGCATAAGAAGTGTGCCAATGATTAGCAGATAGCAGCTAATATGATTTATTGTACTTTTCAAAAGTTTGAGATCAATTATCCCTTAAAAATAAGTAAAACAGTAAGAAGAATAAATTAGTCAAATTTCATAATTGCTTCAAATTTAACAACTTGCTTAATTTCTAACAATATGAGACGTGTTTTATTTATTATATGCAAGCTTGTTATGTGTTCCTTTGCAACCACAACAACAGTCCACGCAGCCCTGCATAAATACATGTCTAGTGCCATGTCAACAAGAATATCTCGTCTTGTGATCAGCCTCCCGTGTGACAGGCCCCATTTAACACAGAAACACAAATTCAGCATGATGTTCACCCGTCACTGCCCCCCCTCCCTCTGTTCTTCCTCCTCCTCCCTCCAGGTCCTCGTCTCTTCTCAGCCATCTCAGGTTTCTGTGCCACTGTGACAGACACCGGGTTTATAAATAGCGTTAAGCACCATACTGAGAATGTCGGCCATAAAAGGGGTTTGGCTTCTGTCGAGGCACCCTGCGACGGCACAGTGACCGCTAACTGCAGCATGTGTTTCACCAGATTTAACGGCAGGGGCGAGCCAGGAAACTGAACTTTGTTTGTGTTCGGGCCCACATTGGTTGATTAAATCCATCTGACATTAAAACTGCTTCAACCGATGACATAAAAACAACACAGACGAGTGTTCAATCGGGGGCTGGTAACCTGCCAAACTTGGAGCTAAATTTAGCCGCATTAAGTTCATTAATGAGGGTCAATGAAAATCTCCTGACCTACTAATACTAATCAAAACGATGGCTGTTGATGCTTTTATAACACTTCATTCACAAAAAGTCCTTTTGAGAGCACTTTTTCAAACGAGCACCTGAAAGTAGAGAAACTGGAATAAAACAGGGATGATAAAAACCTGAAATCAAAAATTCGAGGACTGAATTACATATTTGTGCTGATGCACTTGGGGGAATTTCCTTGCATGCGATTAAAAGTGGGTGCATTTTGACACAGCTAAAAAGTGCTTTTGCGGTCAAGATAAGCCTGTTAGCCCTCCGTTTGTAGGTCATGACCAAAGGTTATGGTTAGTAGAAAGCATATCATGCATCAGGACTTAACTGTCCCTAGTTTGTAACCCAAGCAAATGATATTTTTCCATCCTGCTCTGAGTCTTCTCCCTTCGTTTGTTTTTGCTTACGCTGGTCATGTTTCTACTATTTTTACTGGCATAACTTCTGAGTCTGCATTATCTGTTGTTATTTCTGCTGCAGCGTGTATTTCTCCCTCTCTCTCTCTCTCTCTGTTTGTTTATCTTTATCCATCTCAGTCTGTCTGTCTTGGATGCCCGTCTCCCAGTAAGTCTGGTATCTATCTGCTTGAGGTTTCTGCCAGTAAAAAGGACATTTTGTCTTTTAACTGTTGCCAGGTCCCTGCTCATTGGTGGGTAAGTATCAGGTCTCTGTGAATTGGATTACAATGAGAACGGTTAGAGCGAATTTAAACCAATAAAGAAAACCTCTGAATGAAGTAATCTTTTCCATGTTGGTTATTAGACAAGATTACCTACAGGGGTTATTGAGCTTCTTTCTCTCCTTCTCTATCCTCTTTCTGTCTGTGTCATTAACTTTAAATCATCATGTCCCATTAGAGTCACTAACAAACAGTCTTTTCGGGAGTCCCTGAGATCCATCTTGTTGTAGGTTCCTCTGGATCGCTGCTGAGGATCTGCCTGCGTTCCAACTACCTGCATCAATCTCACCTCTGTCCATCTCTCCCCTCTCTAAACCCTGTGCAGTCTCAACAGATGACCATCTAACATAAGTCTGGTTCTGCTCGAGGTTTCTGCCTGTTAAACGAAGTTTTTCCTCTCTGCTGTAACTTGCAAAATGCTGCGAAGAGCTGCTCTCATGTGGTTTAAGATGTGATGGGATCTTATAAGATGGGGCTCAGTCTTAGGCTGCGTTCCAGTTACCTCAGAAGTCAGAGCTGGGAATGACGCTACACCCAAGTTGACGACATTCCAGTAAACAAGTCGGAAAACCAAGATGGACGCCTACTGTTAGCCATTGTTAGCTGTTGTTTACAATTGTCAGCTGTCGTTAGCTGTTGTTAGCTGTTGTTAGCAGTTGTTAGCTATACTAGTTGTAAACAACACATAAGACAGTATTTTACTCTTACAAACGCCATAGCACCATGTTCACAGTTAGACATTGGGCGGTACAACACATACCACTTATTTAATTTCACAAAAACAAAACAGAAGTGCTAATAAATAATACTTTCACTGTTACTCTTTACTGTCATTGCACTGTGCTACCATCTTAGACTGTGACGTTGTCATCAAGTCGGGATTGTTGACGATCGTCCGACTTTCCGAGTTGGAAATCCGACTTCAGGGGGCCGTTCCAGATGGATTTCCAACTCGGAGCTCGGAAATTCCAACTTCCGAGTACAACTGGAACGCAGCATTGTTACATCAGGTTTTTTTTACATGGACCATGATCCAGACCAGCTGATGGTCTCGTTTGCTTTTGGATATCATAAACAGGAATTTCAATCTATATCATCAATGTAAAAAACTCCTCACAGGAGCTTTAAATATGTTTGTTTTCTAAATGTCTTCCTGTTTACGGGTTTGCAGGATTGTAGCTGCAGTAAAAAGAGAAAACCACCTCTCTAATTGGTCATTTTCAAAAGGAGGAAGGGTGTAGAGACCCATTTCGTGCAAAAGCAGGTCACACCCTATTGTTTAGAGTGATGCATGCTATACATATATATGTGAGTGTGCATGTGTGTGTCTTTGTGACGAGCGGGACATGCTGGATCTGGGTCAGGCCAACCTCAGGAATCCCTGGTATCCACATTTCCCCTGCACGTGTTTACACAGCGAATGTGTGTCTTTTGTATGTGTATGCACACGGCCTGCATGTGCCAAGGAATCAAAGGATTATACTCATCCTAAAAGAGCGGAGATTAATACTGTATGTGTAGTAAAAGCTGCATCACAATGTCTGCGAGATTTCACTTCCACTAACTGCATCAACGCAGATTAAGTCAGGCCAAGAATTTGTACGATTTCAATCAAAATGAGGCATTTTGCTCATTTTTATCTAATGTTGGAAGGCACATGTGTCCTTGTCGGACGCCTCCACCACCTCTTCCTCCATGGATAGCGAAACGGAAACACTCTTGGGCAACAAGTATCCACGCCCAAGGGAAAAGCAGAGGAAGAACATTCCTGGGATACTGGTGCTAAAAGCAACAACAGCCAAAACGCACGCCTCTGTAAAGGATTTTAGAGATCATGAGACAAAATAATCATCAAATTTAAGTCAAATTGAGGTTCGAAAAGATATATAAAAGAGTCTTCCTCAGCTATATCCTTATCCTAACAAGTCCTGACTAAACCAAAAGGTCAATGAGTCTAAATCCAAGCATGCATGAGGCAACAAAGCCCACAAACAAAATTTCAACCACACCACAGCAGCCTCTGAGGGTACAGATAACTTCAGGCCACATGCTTCTCGAACCTTTGAACCCTCTGATTCTCCTGTTAATGCCGCAAGGGGACAGCCGACCAGCAGCTGTGTTTGTAATGAGCTCCAGGTCACGACGACAAGTAACAACAACGTACAGACTGAGCTTCTAATCACTGTCACAGGAGGAGGAGAAGAAATGTGGCCGGTTACTGATGAAAGAAGAGAGACCTTTATTTTACAGTCAGGTTTCAATTACAGAGCTCTGCGTGTCAGCTGCTCTGGACGATACGGCTGTTTTCTCTCTAAATCACTGAAAGTACAAGTCTCGTTTACAGTGAACATGGCTGCTACAAGCTCATGTTGCTATTGTCTATTAACCTTACATCCATCGCAACTTGTCAACCCTTTAGGCGAATCACTTCCTCTCGATTAGTTTGGAGGACTTTTAAATCAGTTTTAGCCAGCAACGCCCTGCTAGCTATGTCAACACTTTTGCTCAAACGGCTACTTAGTTGGTTCAAAACCGTAGGAGCCAAATATCTTGCTGAGATACATTTTATGAGTTGCAGTTCACTTCGTGTGTCTTGGGTGTTGCTGTCCTGTTATCTGAGGGCTAAGGAATAAAGTGGTTATGTTCATCACAATAAATCTTTTGTTTGCTGAATCTGAGGAATAGCGTCTGGATTTTCAATGATCATCACAACTCACGGTAAAACTCAGTAGCGCAGCGCGTCAACCAGGTTACTCCAGGTCAAGCATCTCAGTGGCTTTAAGTATCGACTTAGCTCCTACAAAAACATTAAGTCAACATACTTAATGTAATCCCAAAGCTAGGTTGATGATAGCCAGCTGAAAAAAAAGGAGAAGTATTGGACAGTATATGAGGAGGAAAGCTAGTTATCCCTGTTCATTTTTATGTTGTAAATAATGAAAATAACATGTCATTCATGTATTAATTGTGTTTAATTTAAACAAAATCCTCTAAAAGTTCAAATATTTAGGAGCTGGACAAGTAGCTGACTGCCTGCAGTTGAGATTTGCAAGTGATGAACTCAATTTTTCAGCAAAATAGAAACTGTTTAAAGTAACTTCAGTGGTTTTTCTTCCTATAACAAACCGATAAGACTTATTTAGTAGGAGTGGGAGAAAAAATCGATTCATATAAGTATCACAGTTTTTTGTTTTAGAATTTCAAATTTAAGAATAAATCTTAAAAATTGACTTACATGTGATGTGTAGTTTTTGGGGGAAACATATGGTTCCTGGAATAGTCAGGAGACAATCATAATCATTCACCTGTTTCACTGGTGTTAAAAAAATGCAGACTAAAAGTCGAGAAAATCGACAATATTGTAGAATCGCAATTTAAATCAAATCGGCATGCAAAAACTCATAGAAGAATCGAATCAGGAGAAAAGCATATTGTCCCAGCCCTATTATTCACTCTCTCTAAGAAGCAAAAGCCAACTCTTCAGGGCACAAGATGATGGTGTATTAGAGTTCAAATTGTTGTGTTTGATACTCTCTCATTATCGCAGCCCTTCTGTTGACTCTGAATACTTGGAAAAAGCTGACAAAGCCGTTTACAGCAAAAACCACGAACAAAAGACAGCTCTTAAGTCTGAATGTTAAAGCTGAAAAGGTTCAGTCAGAACGACAAACAGGATGTGAGCCACTCGGCTTCAGTCAGGAGGGATCTCCAGATGCTTTTAGCCACAAAGAAGTGGGTTACCCAGTCACAAAGACATTAAATGGAGCCAAACATGAATCATAAATTGATAATCTATTATTCACTCTTTCCTTTTTGGTTATTCACAAGTGAAATGTGGATACTAAAAATAAGGTTAAAGGTGATGCGGTCAGAAAGGAGGAATATGGGGGAGAGTTTGGAAAGCTTTTTTTTAAATGGCTGCTGTGAAATAAAGGCTTTTCTAGGAGACAGAGAAAATAGCTCAGGCGTGGTTTGTTGTGACTGTGGCTGCAGTCAGGGGTATTTTTCACTTCCCCAGTCATGACTTCATCCTTAGGTAATCTTTAAGATGTAGCAATGAAGGAACGGCACTCAATGTGAATAGGCATCTTATCAGCAGGAGAAGGAATGAACATTTTCGCTCATTTGTACAAACTCTATACCTCTGGTTTTGCAATAGGAGGCGTACTAAATGTTATATAAACTTTTCCTGAGCTACTGGGCAACCGATCTATTCTGTTGTTTGTGTACGATGACGATGATCTCTTCAATACTCGCACAGATAACTCAGAAACAATGGTCAGCTCTGTAAAGCTAAAGAAACGGTTACATAACGAAGAGGCAACAAGGGGAACAAAAGGCAGGAACAAGAAGTAAACAAAGATCTGCAGCGACAGTGAGTCGCACTGCAGCTGATCTGAGTTCTGTTTATTTCTCACATTACTGCAGACCACCGGCCTCCTTCAGATCCTGACCGCTCACCGCAGCAATACTGTAGTTACAATACACAGTTTTCTTCTTCTTTTCCGCAATTTAAACTATTTATAAGGTCAAGAAAACAGAGTGTATTCCATATCCACAAGTCCCATAAAAGTTTGAAGTAACCTGGTGTCAATATTTACTAAAAACCAAGGTGTGGTCTTTTTTTTTGTGTCATCAAAAACGGATTAAAGTCACCACAAGCGCATGTAGTCCACAGCTGACCCTCCACTCTCATGTTTTGGACTGAGAAGTAGGGCATAACTCCGTCTGGCTGACTAATGTTGCCCTGGCAGCCTGTTGAGGTGTGATGATGGACTAAGTTTAATCTCAGCGGAGGTCTGGTTTCAGTGCTGTGAGGGGCTGTGCGGTGTTGGTCACAGAAGGTCAACAAATAACGCCATGACAACCAGGAAAGAGAAACACAAATAATTACGCATCAGAAAGTTAAAATTGTTTTCTGCCTCTATTAATAAGTACACTTCAAGTTAAAAGGCTAGCGAGGACACGAATGACAAGGCGAAAATCATGAAGGAAAGTTTGATTAAATTGCTTTTTGTGTTTTGGATAATGTGTTAGGGCTGAGCGATATTGACGAAAAGTAAAATCTCCCAGTTAAAGAAACTCAATTTATGACTCAAAGTACTGTGATTTGTTTGAGGTGTGATATCGCAAAACCAAAGCAGTTCCCATCGACTGATGAGACTGAGCTGTTTTGGGAGGAAACTCTACGTTTATGCTAACAGCCATGTTCTTATTGTGCGCGTTTGTCTCTGCAGGGGGGTGAACGAGGGGCGGGCATGAACGACAGGAGTGCTGGGAGAAGTAGAAGTTACAGAGAAATTTGAAATATTCATTTTTGTAAAACTTGCAAAACTACAATTGCAAATTAATTGATATATTGCCCAGCCCTATAATGTGTAAAACCCTTTTTTTAACAAGATTTCTGTTTTGACTTTTATGATTCAGTGTTTTTACTCACATAAACATAAGTGTGGTCATCTTTTTTAGTGTATTTGACACACAATATCACTCATAGTTATCATCATATCATGGGCCTTGATGCTTTTAGGGGACAGATGTAAGTTTTTAATGTCCTTTGTCATCCATTGTTGATGGTATAATGCTTAAAAGTCATGAGGCAAACAGAACATTTCAAACTTACAAATGTTTAACTGTGTAGAGCGCCCCCTGTGGACAAATTGATATGTCCTATCTGTTGTTGTCTACGTACAACAGAGGTGTAAAAATGAAGAGGCCTGTTCCTTCTGCATTCTGTCAATCATCCGGTTTAACACCCACCCCCTCGTAGCAGTTTAGGACATCTTAAATTAGATCAGAGAAGTTATCAGACTCATTGCCGATGTTCTTGTTTGGTGTAAGAGGTCATAAAGAGGCCTCTGTATCAGTTTCCGTCTGTGAGTCAACCACTTACAGTGCCTTTAATCGATTGGAAAAGGTTGCTAAAAAGCTGATGAAGTGTAGTTTTAGGGTGGAAACATTAGATGTGAGCTGTTTCAGCCAGAGGACACCAATTGACTTCACTGAGGTCAGGCTGCTTTTAAATGATTTACAGACACAACAAATTTGCCGAACCAAAAGTCCTCCAAACTAGAGAAAAACCAGACCAGCTGCAAGGTTAAAAATACACTGTGTTCTGCTGCAGTCTGGTCTTCATCTCGAGTTTTTCAGGGATGTTTTCAGACATAAAACAAAACCAGTGGGCTGCTAGATGGGTAACTGCATCCCTGCGTGGGTACTGGTGGAGGCAGAGCGGCGTCACTCTCGGAGACTGCAGAGGTAATCAATCGACTCCTGCAGCAGGAAAGGCTGCAGAGTAACAGGTTTCATTCCTGTTCTCAAAGAGCTCTCTGTGCCGAGCAGAAAAACACTTTCATAGGTTGAGAAGAAAAGACAAAGAGACAGAGGAGGAAACATCTGACTCTCAACACATGATGAAACATCGCTACACAAGAAAGACTGAAGCATTGTCAGATCTGATGTTTGTCAAGATGGCCGCCCTGCTCATTACAAGAATGTTTTTATCTTTATGAGTGTTGTTGTCCTCTCTTCAAGATAAATTAGGTCTCAGCAGAGCCGGCGGGTCTTATGACCAAGACTTTGAGTGGTGAGTGACAAGTGTATTTGTGTGTGTATGTGTTTAAGTGGGCACACATGTTAGATACCAGCTACATCAGGGCTGTTATTTGCACACACACAGAACAGCACACATGCACTTCAAAGCTGCAGAGGAGGAATGCATCTGTTTGTGGTTCCCTGGAGGTTGGATGATCACATCAACAAAAACATCCAGTACAAGCAGGACAGAACGGGCCAAGACCGAACAGAAACAGCTGACTGTCCGAGGAGCTGAAACAATGCGCTTTAAGAAAATCATGTTTTCGATCGTTAAATAGTAAACATATTTATGCATCGTGTTCCTGGAGGGCAGAAAATCAAGCCTATGGAGGTCTCTTTTTAAAGCAAGTACAGCAAATATGCAGCAATCAAAGCTGAATAAAGCCGCAGTCGTATTAGTTAATTAAATTTTAATAGACAGCCTACGCTCCAGAAAGTCAAATCTGATTGAGCAGCAGGATGAAGGCAGAGGAGAGGGCATGCCCTGAGGAAAAAATCAATACTGTAGACGTCTGATTCTTCAAAGTGAATCTTCAGTTTGATTTTCTAAGAGCAGAGCAGATCATGTTACCAGAACCCCCCCCAATAATAAACACACGACAGCCAGTGGTCAATTTGGCTGGATGCTGCCACCAAAACTAATCGGTTATACTGCAGAAAAAATCAGAGCTCGTCTGATTCTGATATGAATTAAACATGCTGTAATATATCAGTGGAATATCATATTTTGTCTCAGGCAAAAAGTCTCCTTGTGTTGTCTTTTCATAGTGAAATCTAAACCTCACTGAATATTTGCAATGGGAAAAATAACTAAAGCTGTTTCTTCAGTTGCAAGAGTTAAAAACTCCAATATAGAGATTGCCAGTCTTGTCAGAAATGCTCTCATTTGCCTTTGTAGATCACAGAGATTCATCACCGCTCATTTGAGTCTGTTTCATAACCGATCAGAAATTTCCTGACAGGAGATTTCACCTAATTTCAAACAACCCAGTCTCAAGAAAGTGATCTAAAACAGCTTAAAATGGGATCACAGAGTCTGCAGGTAAACAGTGTGGCCTATAGCAGAGCTAGCACCACCATGCATGATCAACTGAGCTGGTTACACATTGCACACACAGCCTACAAACAGCTGGATCTCCATTCTCTGCAATAAGAAAGTGCCATCTGTCCTCTGTGCTTGTTTACATCCAGGTAGTAGAGTCCTATAGCAGCTCCAGCTAGTAGTAGAAAGGTGCGGCCCCAACTTTCCTGAAGGTTTTAAGGCTTGGTCATGAAATATACTTCCAGTTGAAGTCCCTGAGGTAGAAAACCATGTGAACAATCATGAAGAAATCTTTAAAAATCTATAGAAATCACCCTTGTATGACAGTGTGCGACTATGTAATTGTATAACAATGATTTATTTCTGAATAAATCGCAGAGGCAGCAGCTATGTTTGCATTAGCGGCCCCTGAGAGCACTGAAAAACAAAATAAGATTGATGTTTTGAAGGCGCATGACTGAGATATTGTGGCTAAAAACTGGATGATTCTGGATTATTTGTGCTTATTGTTGAGTCAGGAAAAGATCAACCCTTCATCTGCTTCTGATTAATCTTATTATTCCTCAACACATGTTCCAAAATGGTCCCAGATGTGTAGGTGTTGACTCACTTCTATAGAATTTGATATGACGGCTCCTTTTATGACTAAACGTTGCCTCACAACGCTGCCTAACAGGATTATGCTGCAAACAGGATTATTAATATCAATGTCCCATTCATGACTTCTGCTTTTTTTTAAAGGTCAGATAGGAAGGAAAACATGACTAATCTGGGCATGAGCGCTCAGGAAGCAGCATCCTTCTTCGTACTGGGGCAGCAGAGAAGTGTTTCCTGTGGTGTCATGGCTGTGATTTAGCATCTGGTCACAGGGATCGCTGACGTGGAGGAGAGAGAAGAGCTCTTTGGTCTGCTCAGGCTCCTCCTACATCTGTCTTCTTGGAGGATCTGCTCAAACCGCAACAACCAACCGAGACCCCAACAGCGTGTTTAGTTTCGCAGAGTCATTCCAGCTGATCCTATCCACACCCCTAACCTCTCAGCAGAAATCGACCCTCTCCCACCCAACCATGCAGAGGCGTTTGAGCCCTTGAGCCCAGATTGAGACATAGTTGGCAGAGCTGTGAGAACTTGAGCTTATTCTGACCGCAGGAACCCAGAGAAGATTTCGTCTTTTGGGTTTCCAAACCCTCTTTAGAAAATGCCAAGAGGAAAAGTACAAAAATCATGACCAATTTGTACTTGAATTCAAGCACTGACTTACTAAGTGTGACATGTTAAAGGACTACAGTGTTTATAATGACTAATTTTAGGTTGGTTGAAGTTCCTCAAGTCCAAACTTAGCCAAACACCCAAAACAGTATGACAGTGCTGCTTATATTAGCTCTATATTTCCTATTCTGATACACTAGCAAGCAAAAACAACACCAGTGTGGGTGATTGGGTTTTTCTCTGGGCAACCAAAACGCTGGACTACAACTCTACTAAACATGCTAGTTAGTTTGAGTCCGTAAGTTGTTCACAAACAACAGGCTGTTCAAAACATTATTGCATTTACCAATAAAACAGTACCAACTAGAGCCAAAATGATGTTAAAATGACAATAAAGCAAAACTACCAGGAGAAAGTGAAATTACTTAAGAAGTGGTAGTGGAAGTGGTTTCCCTTGAATTCAAATCAGTCCTGTTGTTACATCATCACAGGAGCCAATCAAATTGCCTTATTGAAGCATTGTTTCCACAGTAGATAACTACAGAAACGTTACAGAGGCTTTTTTGCTTCGATATTCTTGAACTGCTGGGCTGGAAGACGACTGAGGTAGATATGTTGAGCCAAGGAAAAACATGTTTTATAGGACCTCAGAGCAGTTTGCACTTCTCCGAGTTATAAATCTTTTAATGGGAAATATTTGCAAACTGAAAATCAAGGTTTTTATTCACAGTGCATTGCTCTGTCTTGCTATAACTACAAGTTATTAGCCATGAAATTACAATCAAACACTGTCCCCTGGGCAGAGCTTCGTCAAGTGAACCAGTCATTATCAAACAAACGATATTGAGAGATCACTTTTGGTTAGAGAAAATTACATGTGGTATTTTTACTGACAAAAGTTTAGCAGTAAATTGAGATAAAGAAAATAATTGTTAGTTTGAGCCGTCCTCTTAAGTGATTCAGTTCCATGTATCTGTGTCTATCCACCATATCAAGGTTACTTCTGTTGTTGCAGTATAATAGTAGAGGACAAGTAATGATGGGGTGAAGTAAAAGCTGGAGCGCGGAGGTTTCTAGGCCAAAATCTACTTTTCCAGTCCGGCTGGGATGTTGTACGTGAGCCAAGAACATAACGTCAGCATGACTGGGAAGCTCACAGGGCCAAAGGGAGTCCACGTCTCATGATTACTTCCACAGAGGAGCATTGAACTCCTCGCTGAGACACTGCCCGCGGGGCATCAAGGCCGGAAAAGTTGATACGGTGACTTAGCGGATATCAAGGAAAAGGAGGTTTCCACACGGGAAGGAGTAGTATGTGTTCTCTTTGAACTCTCAGAGACACAAGTGGGGAGGCTTTACTCTCTGCTTGACACAAAAGGTGAATTGTTTCAGTGCAGGACGGTGGTGCCACTCCTATTGTGGGCTGCAAACAGAGAGTCTTTCAACATGTCATGTCTTGGAGAGGGTTGGTTTGAGTTGCTGAGGTAGTAAAACTAAACTTTTTGGTGTGTTTCTTCAGAGAAACCATTTTTATGTGGCATAAACCTGATTAAGTGGCATGATGTGGTTTGTTTGCTGATTTCAGTGAAGTGATATGAAAGGTGAGGTCAGCAGCGGCACTGTTAATACGCCGGTTTGTATCAGGGATTTGGATGGTCTACATGCATTAGGGCTAAACCCAAAGACGTGCCAGCCTCAGACCTGAATAAATCACTTTGATACGGGTTATGATCCCCTCTTCCACTGCTGCAGGCACACCAGGCTGCACAAAACTAACAAAGCCCTAGTCGGCTTTTCTCTCTGTCTTTTTTTTACAAGAATGAGACTCACAGCTCTCAGAAAGGAGTCAGCGGAGGGAGAATGTTTCTGTTTATCCAACGCCCCGGCCTTTTTCGGCATCCAGCATTCCTCCTCATAACGTCACATGTTGATCAAGCATGCTGAGAGCAGGAGCTCGCGTCGGACGGCTTGCAACCAAAACATCCTTTGTTTTTCATTTTAGATAACTATCTGATGGGTGATTTTGCACCAGAACAAGCACAAGTGCGTTGACAGTCACAATAAACGAAGGTCTAATGAGTGGGCTTCATTTCTAGCAACAAAAAGACAGAGACAGAGCAACCATGTCTCAAAAACACGAGATAATATCATCATTCCCCTGTTCCCTAAACAACCAGCATCAACATAACTCCTTACTCAAAACTGTCTGCCTGTACATGTAGCACACTGTCAGCCTTTTAAAGACCTAAATGTAATAATACCATGTTTGTGCTTCTTTAAACCTAAATTTGAACAAAAGCACTAAAGACTTTCCTTTCAGAAGAGACTAAAATAAAAATAGATAGTTGTCTAAAACTGAGCCATTTTAATTTGGTATCTTTAGTCATTTCCAGTCATATGTTTGTCAAATTATGGACACAAGAGCTAGGCTGAGTGGACAAAATAGCAGCCAACTTTACAGTTCAAAAGCTGATCTCTTATACCAACTATCCCAGCCTGATATATAAATGCTATTGAACAGCTGTAGCAAATGAAGCCTTTGCACTGCAAATGTCTTTGTTTTGGTGTGAGAACATTGCCAAATTGTTCATATTTCCAAATACAGACAAACACTGTTGTACCTCTAAGCACTGAGCTGTGGTTGCCAATCTGCCAAATTCCCTGAAATGGTCAAATCTTCTTTTCTAATAAGCAGCCGTTGACAGCCGTAACCAAAATAAATCAATGGCAGCAGTCATTTCATTAAGGCAAGTAGAATTGGTACTGGGTTGCTGAATTGGCTTGAGTTCCTGCTAATTCTCCTCAGCGTTTAGGGCGACAACGGAGGCATTTATAGAGATATTGGTATGGTAACAACTGCACATCTGCAGGCCAATACAGACTAGAAAACGCATTCACAATTGCCAATCTAGTCACACTCAAAAATCTGTTAAATAGCCTCAAGATTGATCATGCAAAATGTTTCAAAACATGGTCCCAATTTCAGCTTGTTAAAATTCTCATATCCATCTGCCTACATGTTCAGACTCACATACATGCAGTGAGCAAACAACATGACAGCCTGCCTTTGCAGTGATAGAGAGCTGCAGCAGAGGGGGTGGGAGGCTGTCAATGAAGATTCACCTTCTGTACCAGCACACAGGTCAAGGGAGATGTGTAATGGAGGTGAGCCTGTCCTCGCTCTCATACATAGATGCTTTGCTTTTTATAATCACATTACACACACACACACAATGAATGTAAACATAATCCAGATCCAGATCCAGAGGGGGTGGAAGGATTGGAGATGTACAATGATTACCACTGTCCCATTAAGACCTTCACAACTTAGATCACAAAACCATGAGAAATCTGAAAAACCGCAGTAATCAGTATCCAAACCACAAAGGTTGTGGAGTTATTTTCCATCATTACACAATAAAAGTGCGATATAGCTTACTGATATTTGCATGTTTATCCATATGATGGGGGTCTAACACACTGGATCAGAGACATCAGCTGGAGAACCTGATGTTGAACCTCTGCACCAACCAGCAGCCTCTCTCTTATCTAATTTGATCGGTTTATTCCACTCTGGTATTAGTGTTTGTGTTTGCATAGGTCTCCACCAGCAGCTCTCCACTGTCAGGTCTGCCTGGTTGTGCATGAGGGCCATTTTTCACTGTGTGTGCACCACTGACGTGTTTAGTAATGGAGACCACAGCGCGGTGCAGCATTTCCAGGATCTGTGCTGGGTTAGGACCCGCCTGTTAGAGAGGCAGCCTGCTGTTCGGAGTGCAGGAATTACAGCGGGGTTGCCAGGGCGGAAAAAAACATCCAATCTTAGAGGATTCAGTGGGAGAGGAATCATGTGTTGCATTGCTGCAGCTGTTGAGTCGAGAATTTCGGCTGAAAACACTGACACGGTTTGATAATGAATAGAGAGATAAAGAGAATATCAACGAGGTAACATCATTTATAACCAATCCCCCCACCTTATTTCTACCCCATGGTTTTCCTGACCTATTTTCATGTGACTGTTTCATACTCACTTTTGTCTGTTATTGTCAGCTTCTCCTCAAAATGATGTCCGAGCTCCGTATAATCCATTGTTTCCATTCAAGCGGATCGTAGTCCTGTTCCAGTCGCTGTCATTCCTCAGAGTCCTCCCCGAGTACAGGAGATGAACTCCCGGTACAGATCGCCCCAAACACGCCCTTGGTGTATCCAACCGGAATAGAAGCAAAAAAGTGACAAAAAATACTCAATGAAAAAGTGACCGGATCCGGTTAAAAAAGGCAAACAGGAATGTTTGAAATGTTAAGTCATAAAAGTTTGTTAAAATATTTCGTTAAAATTTTGGACTCGGTTGAGTCCGGAGGGTCGTTAGAGGAAAATCTACAGTGTGGGAATAAAAAGCCTCGGTGAATGCCGCGAGCCGCAGGTAAGCTACAATGCACAAGTGTTTCCGGTTTAAAACTTCAAAATAAAACAACTCCTATTTTTTTTCTTTTTTTAACAATACAATTTTTACTTGTGCCCCAAAGTTACCTTAGCAAAAAAGTCCTCCCTGCCTACTAAATAGTTAGAACTTTCCCCATGAAAAGTTTTACAAAACATCGACCAATACGGAGATATATGTGATTGCTAAAGGAGAAATCTGCTCTAGTTTTGGTCGTACCCAAACAAGTATCTCTGAGGTTGACTTTTTCTGTTCCATGCTCACCAAGTAAAACTTCCATGCTTAATGTAATCTATTATCCTTCATTTTTTAACCCTCAGCCTATTATTCCAACATAACAGAAATAAAGCAGAATTATCATATACACAATGAAACAAATCCAAGAGGAAAGTTAGAAGGGTACTCACAGTTCTCCAAAGAAAAGTTTCTTCTTGCAGTAGTTCAGACGACAAAGCATTCTTGAAATTAATGTTTATTCTACTTCTAATTTAGTTTTAATTATTACATTTTTAGTGATTTGATATCAAAGATAGCTTAGACAGGAAATGACATAAAAGAGAAATGCAGATTAAGCTTTAAAATAGTAAAAATTTTGTGTTTTATTATCTCTTTTTTAATTTACTTTTTTTTTACTGTTTGATTTTAAGACTGTTTTGTTTATTAAACGTCAATATGTTATCCCGCTTTATATTTTATCATGGTTTTATCATTTAAGTCCTTGATCCAGTGTTTCCTCATTTCTTTTAACTCAAGATAGCGTTTCCTCAGTCATCTGTGGCAAGTTGAAGGGTCCTCACCTGGTATTTTGTGTGTGCATCTGTGTGTGTGAGCGTGTGAGTGCTGTATGTATTGAATGGGGGTTAGGAGGGTAGGTGGGCTTTGGTATTTGTATTTTTATTTATTTTATTTCATTGTTTTTAATATCCTGCTTGAAATGGACAGCACTTTGTGCTACATTATATGTATGAAAAGTGCTTTAAAAATAAAGTTTGATTGATTGTTTGAAATATATTTTGGTCTATGTGATATGAGCTTAACCCATAAAAGTCAGCATAGAAAATATGGGTTATATTTTCAATTATTAGATATTAATATTTTGATAGGCAAATTATACTAACTGCAGAAAACTAAGGACAAAAAAAACTATCAATGAGGAACAACCTCAATTTAATTTCATTACATTACCACTACTGTAGCATTTATCCACATTGGTTGTTTATTTCATTTATATTTGTTAAATTTGTTTATTTTGTAGATTGAACCAAAAAAAAAAAAAAACGAGAACACTACCATGTTAAATAATCAACATTTTATTTTGAAGGCAAGAACTCTGAACTTCCGTTTGTACTCTTTTTTCCCCTTTTGTTAACTTGATGCAGCCAGCCTTAACGAAAAACCGCATGCTGGACAACTGGAGCAAACCAACTGTTCTGCCAAGGAGGAAACATATTAACCCCTCATTTACCAGGTTAATCAATCGATTTAAGACATGTTGTAAAACAGTAAAAGTTGGAGAATAGACTTTTCAATACAACTTTTCTCCCCTATGCTTAAATCGCAAAAGTAGGCGACAGAAACACTGTTTAAATTTGTACCCTAGGATAGGTGAATGGTTTGATCCATCAGATGACTTCCAGCAGCTGAAATCACCCTGCTGCCTGGAATGAGTTGGGTTGTCATAACAGTGAGAGAAACGGACTTTATGCGTGATTACATTATTGCATTATCCAGGGTGTGTTAATTAACTGGAAATTGTCCTGTTGGATTGAATACAACTGATATACAAAGAATATATAAACCAAAAATTACTTAAGACACCCCTCAAAAATGTATATGTATTATTAGATTAACAATGTCAATCAATGCAAAATTCTTACTTTAATAATTTATGATGAAACTACAATATTCTCACTTTATGGCGTTTTCACATACATGCAAAATGAAGGTGTATTATTCAGCTCATGGTATTGGGGATGACACGCTGCTTAACAACTGATATGACCTTCCTGTCACCGCAGGAGACAGAGGAGGGCAGTCTTCCTGTAGGAAATCTGCTGCCAAGACTTGTGTGATAACGAGAAGCAGCAAAAGCGCAAAATAATTTAAAGAACAAGAAGTCCGTGTTTATTTGTTTTAGTTTTTTCCCCATTTACTGCATATTTGCATCATATCAAATCATTTTAATATGTATCTGTGGGACATATAGAGAGGGGACTCGTTTGGAAATGTTAGCTCATTTAGAGATGAGAGGATGGACTGTAAAACATGATGGTAGAGCTGTGCTACTTGTTTAAAGGCCAAATGCATATGTGAGATAAAATATGCATGACCCACTTAGCTTGAAGGAAACATTAAAGACTTGGTAGACACTTTCTCATTCACTGGGGTAGAATCTTCTTTATATGACTTCTTCTCCTGTTATGTTGCCTTCTTATTATATTTTGTGAAAAACTCTATTTAAAAAGCTTACATTTTATTCTGTCAATGGTTTTTGAATGCCCTAACAGATGAATTAAGGCTACAAATGGCATGCAATGAGCTGCAACACCACCAATCAATCCTCAGGGGAGGAGAAGCAGCTCTGTCAGGGCTAGTGAAGTCAGATCTGACCAATAGGTGCATGTGAGGGAGAGGCCGGCTCTGTTGTTGAGTCTGGAGTCTGTATAAAAGTGATTTGTTGCTGCTGTTAAAGGGTTTGGAAATGTAATGCAGCAACAGAGGAGAGGCAGGCAGCAGTCAATCTCCATCAGCACGACTCTTTTAGAGCACAAGTACATATAGGGGAAGTGGGTCCTGCATTTCTTGGTTTTCATCTTGATTTCTTTCTTTGGCATGATCCAATATCTGATATGTTGGAGTGAATATCAACATCAGGGCCTGTGTCCACAAACAGCTGTTTTGTGCTTGCAGCATTAACTTCTAAACAACATTTCAGGACTTGGCATCCTTAACACCTCAGAGCTTTCCACTTTTGGACAACACTTCACCCTCACTGACCAATCAAAATCAACTTTAGTTCAACTTTAAGCCTTTACATACACTAAAATAGCAGGTAAAAGGAGATTCCTTATTATTTCATGCTGTCATTCTTGATTTTGGCAAGAAACTAACTGTGCCCGTAATCCACTGATGTACTGCCAAGCAAAAGACAGGTTGACATGATTAACTCTTTCCTTCGCACTCTAACAAAACAAATGAGTTTAACAGGGTCCCCTTAAACTAAGCTACGATAATTCAGAGTCAAATCAACCCTCATGTACCTCGTTAGAGCACTTACATGTTTGGAAATCATGTTTTTCAAACCAGCATGTTTCCTTCAAGTTTTCTACACCAAAAAGCTCACTCAGAGAGACTTTCTCCAAGCAAGTGCATGTCCATACTCGCCTACACCTGACTAAGAAATTGGGAGGTACAGAGAGCCTCCCATAAACCCACAGAGGCATGCAGTTAATTGCCCCTCCTACACACTCTTCCACAAAAGCACTACAAAAAGACTCTATCCCAGTGCGAATGCCTGCAGTTGCACTTAAACCCCAGTGTGGACCCTCCCTTGAGCACATTTCTGTCTGCAAAAAAAGGAGTTATAAAACACTCTCTTTGTAAAACCCCGGAGTGTACAATGGTTTGTTTTTTACAGGGCGAGTACACATATTTGAAGAGCGCACCGCTGAAGTCAGAGTCTGAATATAACCACAGCTGCTGCAGTGTGGGAGTGCAGCATGTCTGCAGTTGGTGTGCCTATAGAGAGGGGAGCTGGAGAAATATTTCCAACTGATTTCCTTGCAAACAGATGACACTGTGGTCTGAACTGGATCGCATCCTTTGTCCGTGCATGTGGAAAAAAAAAAAAACCCTGAGATATAAATAACAAGTCTTTGGCATCATAAGCAGAGAGCAGATATCTCTCCCAGAGGCATTGGTTTCCATGTTAATAGTTTCATCTGGTGGACATGAAAATGCCACGTTGATGTTTTAAATTCAACTTTCCAGAGAGAAAACTCCACTTAGAGCTTGAGATGGCTTTTTAGAAAACATGCTTATCCACTTTTATCAGAGGTGGATGGAAAAATTTATACCATATTTCATATACCATACTCTTGTGTGTATGGATCACATGTGACGACACCAAGAAGACGGTCAGTGTATCTTAGGATTAAGTCTGGAAAAAAGGTGACTGGTGACTTATTGTGACTTGGAGACAACCCTTACTGCTAAATTCAACCAGACCTGTGTCCGATCTGTCTCTGCCCGTCCATGACAGCAGAAGTCTACTGGCTGCTGTGGGTTGCTGCTCCATTTCAGCCACAGACCTGGAGCCCCACGCAGCTGATAAATACGGCTTCTATTTTTGCTAAATGCTGGACACATCAATCAGCACAGAGCAAACCAAGAAGACGAGAAGTTGGACACTAAAACAACTTTAAAAAATCTGATTAATGTTCAATATGTAACACTGTGTTGATGCCGGATCGTGTTTAACACCAAGAAATCACCAAAGTAAGTGGAAGCAGGCCTGGAATCATCATGAATGTAGGAAACCAGTGACTCTGTATATAACATGGTAAATCTTTGGTTTCGTGACTCCACCTGTTTGGCAGTGCTGCTCCACGCTGTGCTTAAAATGCGGGCGCAGGCAGTAGGTGTTGACGGACAAGAGAGCAGCCAAACCAGATCAGAGCGGGGACAGATCATTATGAATCTGATAATAATAGGGCCTGTGTCCACTACTGCACTGGCAGCACCCACAACTTCAGTCTTGCCCTTTCTAGAATTTGATTGGTTATGAAGAAAAAGTGACAAAGACAAGTGTGTTAGTGATCCAAAAGTTGAACTATTAATGAAAGTGCTTTAAAGGCAGCGAGAACAATCAGCTGGCACATAAAACTCTGGACGCTACATTCTCAAAATGCACAGTTTCATTAGTTTTATTTAGAACATGGGCACTGCCCTTGCAAAAAAAGTGCGTAGTGTTTTTATAATGTAGTATGAAAACAGTGGGCTTAATTGGCAAATCTCTCTGAAGGCAAACAAAGCCACAAATTTAGGTGAAAGTCTATCCAGGTTCACAACCACTGACCCCTTTTACATCCTCATTGATACATTATTGTGATGAAAATATTGATTACAGTCTCTACATGTGAGACAATCAATCCAAACTCATAATATATCTACTAATTACCAACTGTTTTCTGGGTCAGAAAAGAGTTACACAAACTTTTGTATTAATCTAACATCTGATAAAGGGAGTAACCGATGTGTCCATTTGTCTCTCCACCCCTGCCTCATGCCCAGTCAGTCACATTGCTCACATACACAGTCACACTCCACCCCTCTGCCTGCCCTGCAGCAGTTGGCGCAGTGGTGTCATCTCAAGCTCTCAGCTGTTACTGTGGCGAACCACCGACTGCACCAGCAGCTGTTTGCTACTGCAGCAACACTCGCTGCTTTATCATAGACAGATTAGAGCATCGGGAAACTGGAGTGAGGTTAAAATGAATGGCTTTTTCAGTGTTTGGGCAATCCCACTGTGAATAATGCTGAATATGAATCATCTTCAGGGATATCCTAACAGCTTTACAACTTATTATCCTACAGAGGGATAGAGGCAGGAGCTAGATGCTCACAAACATTAAATTTTTATGCTTTTTCTTCACATAAACACAGAGGAGCATACCCTGCATTAAAGCATTTTAATATAGAGAATGACAGTTCCTATGAGTTTAGGTGGTACCTGTAGGGGAGTCTTTTTGGACAGCTTCATACAGGAATCCAGACTTTGGGGTCACTGTAAATGAAGGACTGCTTTGACAAAATCTGAGGATCATAGAAACCTGGAAAGAGAAAAGAAGACAGTTAACCTTGATAGTTTTTATTCTTTCAGTCATATAAGTTCCTAAATTATTTGAATAAGGACCAAAATGTGCATTTTCAACAGTAATTATTTTCTTTAGGTGTTACCTGGTCCTGGATTCACAGTGGCCTTTAAGTTCTGGAAGGTTCTTTCAGTTTTTGATGCAAATGCAGCCGAGGGCATGGGGTGCTTAGACAGGCCTCTGTAATCATTGATGTCATAGTGGCCTGGGCCTGGAATGGGAGGGTCTTTGGGAACTATCAGAGCAGGACCTGCTTTGGTTGAATACTGTCCTCTCCTTTAAAAACACGAAGCAGAATTCACATCTTTAGATCAGTGAAGAGAAATAATTCAAAACAAATAAAGCAAGCTATATATATATATCTTGTTTGCATACGGTATGAAGGTCTTCTTCACAGGTGTAGGGGCCTGATGGGGGCTGTAGGCTCCTGGGCCAGGTGTACACTTCTCCACTGGAGCAGGGATTCTCTGGGTTTTGGATCTGAAGGGAGATGAGATCACCTTGGAGCAGGTCTGGATGCTCACATCATATTGACCTTTCAGAAAAGTAATGATGGATTAAGACTGAGAAAAATGTGACAAAGAAGCAAAGATTGAAAATCCTAATTAAAAATCATGCACTTTTTTGAAATAAGAGTATTTATAGAAAGTCATGGTGAATTACATGGTGATGGTGCATCTTTGTTTGCGGTACAGATGCCACGTCTGGTTTTCGACAGGAAAGTTGATGTTCCGACCACAGAGGACGATCTCTCTCTGCTGCGATAACTGACCTGTCAAACCAACAGAAAGATTCACATCAGCCACAAAATGCACAACACGTCTCAGAAACCAGCCATCAAGAGCATACACCATACATCATACTGATTTGGTGCGGGTGTGAGGTTCTTGGTATTCTCCACTTTCACAGCCACAGGCAGCCTGAACACTCTGGACACTCCTAAATTGAAGTCATATTTGTCGATGAGGGAACTTTGCAGATTGTATGCGTTTGGTCCTGGGATGCCTCGCTGTAGGTAGCTGGAAGGTCTGGCAGTCTGAAGGAGAGGATTGAATGAAGAGCACTCTATTACCACTGCAGAATCTAAACTCCATTCAAGGAGCATAAACTACAGGTTTCATCCATTCATGACACAGGTTATTTGGGCAATTTAAGGGTTTTATCTGATATTGCAAAGTCTGCCACTGTATGATTTTAATTAAGCTGATCAATTCAGGTGTTTACTGTGGAGGGGTATGAGGCAAAACCATAACATAGCTGGGATAAAACAAGCACAAAGACTATTTTCAACCTGATAAAGTGCCATGAAAATGGCTGAATAGAGGGATAAGAAAAGGATCAATGTGATCACTTTGCATCAGCTATATTACATATACACATCAGATGAGTAGGGCATTAATATTTTCTGTTAAGCGAGAGTGAGATTAATGTGAGTGGTAGTTTTCAAAACAAGGAAGTTTTTATATTTTACAGTACAAGATCTAAATCTGCTTGTAGTACAGAGAAAGTGACATCCTTTGTTGTCAGTGCCAAATTAACTGTGCAAACATGACAGCCAAACAAACAAAAAAAAGGTTAAAGGAGCTCCAGGTAAATGAGATTCATCCTCAGGCTACAATAAAGCTTGATTTGAAACATGAAGACAAGAAATCTAAATTTTAGATATAAGCCTGTTCTTTGAATCAAAGTGAGGGACGAGAGGACAAATATTTGTTCAATGTGGCCTGTAGTCTTTCTGTCTCACTGGTCCTGCTTTGAAGAAACCTCAAATCAGTGCAGTGACTGGGGCCTGACCTTGGACACAACAAAGCCTGTGGTCCCTTTCTTTGAAAAGGAAGGACTTTGGATTTCAGCATTGAAGACACAGTCATAACTGGCTGGTCCTGGATTTTCCCTCTGTGCCAAAAACAAAACATTATGCATTAGATAGTCCATGTATTCATAAACATGTTATAGAGGAGTACATATTTTCAAGAGTTCAGGTCTCCTACCAGAGAGTCTTGTGAAGGAAACCTTTTGGCTTGAGTTAAAAACCCTTTCTTCCTCTCTTGGTTTACTATCACCACTCGTTGGTGTTTTGAGGGAATTGATGGGACGGAGTGAGTCGGGGTCTCATCTGCTGTAATTGAAAAAAAAAACATCTGTCATGTTAAGTTTTAAGGCTGAAAAAACACATTTTTGTGACTTACACTCACTCTCATTTCCTCGGTACACGTCCCCCATGGTTCTTTAACGTTACCGTTCACGTCTCGCAGATTGTGTTGCTATGGCGACGATAAAACTGTGATTTGGCTTATGGTGGACGTCCGAACGCAGTCCCATAGCGCCACCTACCGGCAAAAACCCACAACAACAGGCATTTTATACCCGCCCGCCTCTGTTTTGTTCCCAGATAGCTCGATCCATCATGGCGATGCATGCGAAGGCGACTCCGCCGCAGATCCCGGACACCCGCCGGGAGCTCGCCGAACTGGTGAAACGGAAACAAGAACTCGCAGTGAGTACATAATACTGCAGTTTTATAAATAACTCGAACGTCCTAGCATTTCCAATAAAAACCATCTGTAAAATTGGTTACATCGTTTGCAAGCGAAGGCCTCTCGTGATGCTAAGCTAACACTAGCGGTTGCTAACAGAGGCTAACCGTCGGTTCGCTTCTGCGCAGTTCGGTCCAACGATGCTAATGGCTAATGCTAACAAACCAGCGGCTACTGACAATAGCGTGAAAGGGGCTTGGTGTTTGTTTGCTGTCTCGTTTTCTGAGGCTAAATAACATGGCAGACTTTAAATAAAATGTTACACCTTAAACCAGTCGTCTTTTATTATTAGACGAAGTGTAAAGGCGGGCATGGCTACACTGTAGCTGCCGCCCGGTTTGGAGTTCTCGCGTTACTTCAAGCCTGAGCGCGAGTTGGATTTCTGGTTGCAGACAAAACACACCGACACCTACTGCACAGGAGAAGGTTACATGAGTTATGTAAATCAATTTTTATCAAAATTCTAAAAAATATAACCCCTTCTTGTTTCATTTTGCCCATTTCTCCTGTATATGCTCAAGGTTGTATTTGTATCTACCAATAACAATGCTTTATATAACCCTGTTTAGTCAAACCTAGTGATAATGAGTAGGGAAATATTTAAATGTAAATGTTCTTGTTTTATACAGGCCTTTACAGCAACAGCAAAACCAGTAAAAGCAATTATAAAATAGTCAAATTCAATGCAATAAAAAAAATAAAGTGTCTCCACGCTACTGGGTATTAAAAGCCAGCATAAATAAGTATGTTTTAAATAGAGATTTAAAAAGGCCCAGGTTGGAAATAAGTCTCATTTCGAAGCTTATTCCAGAGCCTGGGACCAGCATCTAAAAAAGGCCACTTCAGTGCTTGTGTTTTGACCTGGGCACCTACAGCAGAAGCTGATTTGACAAACCTCAGAGCTCTCTACTGGCTCCCAAACGGTTCAAAGATCAGATTTAAGATTGATTTGATTGCTTCTTAACATCCAGTTCCTTAATCTTTTGTTTTCTATACAACAGGAAACACTAGTAAACTTGGAACGGCAAATATATGCATTTGAAGGGAGCTACCTAGAAGACACCCAGATGTATGGCAACATCATCAGAGGATGGGACAGATACCTCACCAACCAAAAGTAAGTACAGCATGGGTTTCTCTGTCTACAGAGCTGCCAAGCGTCACGCTTTGACGCTCAAGTCTCACTCTTGTCACTTTCTGAAACTTGGCAGCCCTGGTCTATATGCAGCGTATTCCTCTTTAAGTGTACTAAACATGATCATATCTATCTCATTTCCAGGAACTCTAACAGTAAGACGGATAGGAGGAATAGAAAATTCAAGGAAGCTGAGCGTTTATTCAGCAAGTCATCAGTCACGTCCGTTGCAGTAAGCCAATTTTCAAATTTTTTAAACCTGTGTATCAGCTGCTTAATGAACCACTGATTCAACTGAGCTCTCTGTTTGATTGACAGGCCGTTTGTGCGCTTGGTGGAATTCCAGATCACATGAACGAAAAGCGTGAGTTGCTTTCATAACTCTTTTGAGCCCAACAGTACTGTGAAAGTTTTCTTCTTTATTTTATTTTGTGAAGTTCTGATGTTGAGTGTGTGCTGGTGTTGATCTCCCCCGTCAGGTGAGGCAGGCAGCGGCACAGAAAGCGACACCTCTCCTGATCTCCAGAACCAAGAGAACGAGCCCAGCCAGGAGGACACAGAGGACGTGGACTCGACGCTGCAGGACCTGAAGCCTCAGAAAGCCGCCTCCTCTTCATCCTCAGGCAGTCATCACGGGAGCCACAAGAAGAGGAAGAACAAAAACAGACACAGGTACAAAATCGAAATAAACAATGCTGTGTGTTAGCATGCAGTTAAAATGAGTTTTACTGTTGTTGTGTTGTTTTTTGACAGTTTTATGAGTTCTTGAGTAACTTTCTCAGTTTGTTTAAAGCTTACCAGTTATTTTTTAAACTTTCAGATACAGGGTCACTGTGAGAAAGTGTGTTACATTCGATAACCCATCAGTTTCTGTTGGGCATCTTCCTTGGCTCGGAGGTTGGCATGAAGCAACTGAAAGGCGTTAGTCGCTCTTTAAGGTCCTTACACACCGGGGCTGACACAAATATAGAACGTGAAATTACGAAATATTCTGAGGCGAATATTGACGCGCCCGCCTATACACATTAAGATCCAACGCTATAACTCTCCACAAGTTGTCCTTCAGGTCGTTATCTTTGTAATGTTTGTGTTTTTTTATGAAAGAGCACTCTGTTCTCTGACACGTAAACAATTAGCCAGTCAGCCATGTTGGATATACCGGTGACTCTGATGTCGCAACAACATGAAATTCTGATTGGTCAGAAGTGGACACACAGTATGCGAAACTTTAGAAAAATCGACCATGATACGAAAAAATAAATACCGCAATATCGCAGGACAGGAAAACGTCGCCGATGTGAACGCTTGTATTGACAGGATATTGGTTTGAAAAAAAAATATTGACGTCCAAAATAATCCCACGACAAAAACGGTCCCAGTGTGAATGGACCTTTAGTCTCTTTTCTCTTGGTTTCCATGGTTACAGGACAGCTCTGCCTGTCACTGAATTGCCCCAGACCCCCCAGTGTATCAAAATTAAAAATCAAATCACAAAGAAATAAAATTAAATGAAGTAAAAACATTATTTTTCAAGTGTCAGATTTAAAATAAAAGAGGCTGAGAAGAAAAAAGATGACAAACTGCTTTCACCACAAGGAGGCGCCAGAATCAACTCTCCTCCTCACAAGAACTTAAAGAGACTTTGTAACACATTAACACACTTACAGTCTGTTTTTGTTATTGTAAGAGTTAAAGTCACAGTTGTGAATGTTAAAATGGTCAATGCGCTTCTGTTTAATTTTCATTATTTACATTTTAAAGTATTCAGGATAAGTCGTTGAGCAGTGTGTGTATGTTCTCGTGTTCCCACATATTGAAAATGTCGTCCTGTTTTCTTCTGAAGTCTGAAGCTAACCTGACATTAACACAGCAGGTGCTCTCAGTGACAGAGTGGCTCTCCCGCTCTTTAAAGTCTGGACTGCAGTATGATGTAGACGTAGGGCTTTAGACTCAGGTTGGTGAACTAACAGCTGCTGCTTTCTTCCTCCTCCCCCTTAATGCTGCCCCCTCCCCTCCCTCAGTCCTTCTGCCATGTTTGATTATGACTTTGAGTAAGTCTGGATTTTACTTCCTGCTCCTACTGTGTGTACATCCTGCCTGCTTGTAAACCCCATCCTCGACTTTTCCACCTTTCTTCCTGCTTCCAGTTTGCTCTCGCTGAACTAGACTTTAAGTTAAAGCCTGCTAGTTACTCAGTCATACTGCATGTCCAACACTTGACTCTTCACATCTGAATGCATATCAGCAACCTGCACTCTGAGCTCCATTAGATAGTCTTGCTTGCTGCTGGGGTACTTCATGTCTTTCTTACTCCAGAGTCATTTTTGAGTGTGCCTCCCCGATTCCAGCAATCGAATCAGACATTGCTGATGTTTTCCAAACGCTGGGCCTGCTGCAGATCCGTGCACAAACAAGAACAAACACATGTTCATTTAGCGTTCTTGTTATGGGCTTGTTTTTTTTTAGGCTTTTTCATGACACAGTAGTGGTTTGGCTTTCACCATTCCTCCCATTAAAACCAGGACGTAATCTCCTCCTTTTTAACGTGGCCCTCTTTTGTTCTTGTTGCAGATTTGACATGAAAGTGAACAAGAAACCGAGAGCTGTAAGTTGAATTCTTGCTTTTTAAATTAAAAATACTCCTTTTTATCTGAACTACACTTTCAAATGACTTTTCCTTTGTTTACTGTCTGTTCCGCTGCAGGATTATTCGACCTAACGAACGACTGGAGGACCTGGACTGACAAAAGGATACATGTGGAGAAACACAAGATATCTGGACTTTGTGAACTTTTTATGTGTTTTTTTTTTCTTTTCGTTCTCGGTTGTCATATTTCAGCCTGTACTGTGTGCATTGCTTGAAACATTCCCCTCACAGCCCACCTTCGGTCATGTTTAACATTTTTGATCTACTTCCATTAAGTAGAAATATGGTGTTGCATGTTACTCGAGGCCTGATGAAGCCCATCTCCGGTAACACACCATCTTGTATAGTGTTTAAAAAAAACTGTATTTATTATGTAGTTGATCTCCGTGTCTCCATCAGCAAGAAAGTCACGTTTTTTTTTTCTTTTCGTTAAGCATCACATAGCTGTTTACCCCCAAATACCCTGGGATTCTTTTATTACATGGTTGTTTTTCAAGAAAATAAAAAATACCCGTAACGTGATCAAGTTTTGGTTGTTCATTCAAAGATCGAGGAAACAAAAACAGTCCGTCTTATTTATTTTAGACCGTAAGGGATTGTTTAATGTTTTGGATTGGCTGATAAGTTGTTGCTTGCTCCACTTTCATTCGCAGTGTTGATCACTTGCAGATGCAGGTCTGCGAAACCTTTAAATCGAACCCTATGCTGGCTGGAGTTCCCACACACACGGTCTATAAAATTTATGATATGGAATAGTTTACAATCCAGATATCAGTGTTTACTTGTATAGAGGAAAGCCAGTGCGTTCTCCCTCCTGACAGTGCTCAGCTTGTTTTATGAAAATAGTTACTTAAGTAAACAGGCCTCTTAAAACACCGGCTCATGACAGAACCATGCTATTTACACAGACTTCTCTGGCTTTTCTCAGTCATAAACTTTGGTATTACATGTTTTTATACCAAATAGATGATTGAAACACTTGGAGAGTTGCTTCTTTTTCTTCAATGTCTCAGTTTCTACTATTTTTACACTCGTGGTTTGAGTGGTTAGAACCATTTTTACTTAATTTTGTCAAGTGGATTGGGTATTTGTAGGGGAGACTGGGAACGGTTGCAACAGAGAGAGTTGTAACACCGCCATTTCAACCAATCAGGGATAACAAAGGAGTCTCATGATCATTTCAGCATCTTACTACTCCCTCTCCAATTTCCACATGGTTATTTTTGGAGCAGTAAACTGGTGAATCTTGTTTCTACAGAGTAAGGGTCCTTTCACACCGGGACCGAGGCGAATACAGAACACGAAATCACGAAATATTCGGAGGCGAATTTTGACGCGCCTGACTATACACATTAAGCCAAATGCGATTTTGCGACTTTCTGGGGGGGAAAAGCGTCCCGGGGAAGACTTTTGCCAAGGAAAGTCCCACCTCCTTCGCCTCTGATTGGCTAGAAAAGCTGGAAACGTCATCACACGCTCAAGCCAAACGGTTAGCACTTATAGCCAATCAGAGGCGGTAAAATAAGCACATGAAACAAAAAAAAATGCCGCAATATCGCAGGATGGGAAAACGTCGCTGATGTGAACGCTTGTATTGACAGGATACGGGTTCGAAAAGAAATATTGACGTCCGAAATAATTGCACGACAAAAACGGTCCCGGTTTGAAAGGACCTTTAGTAACCTGCCATGCAAGTGGGATGGGGTATAACTAAAGGGCGCCCTGTTTTTGACATAAATTCACAATGTTAATAATATTCTTGCAGAGTATTGAATTAGTTTCTTGTGTGGTAAACAAATGTGGGTACTTTGAATAAACATTTGATAACTTAAGCTCAAAAACTCTTGAGTTACAGGTGCAAAAGCAAAAATTGTTTAGACCAAGTAAGGCAAAAGCATCAGAAAAACACAACTATGCTTCTTTCTGCTTCACTATAGCTAAAGCTAACCAGTTCTTTTTTGTAGTTTCTTGATAGATGCTCCAAAAAGCGGTATCCATCTTTTAAATGTAGCTCTCAATAAAAAAGAAAACAGACAAATTTCCCACCATGTCCAATTTCCCCTAAGACTATTCCAGTAAACCGCCACATTATTCTCACGTATTTGGAACAAAAAACCATGAAGCTATCTCTAGTAAGATCAAAATCTGGAAGTACTTTTGCAATAACTAATGTACCAGTCAGAACCGGCCTGAGACAGCACCACAGGGGGGGAAGGAGACGGACGTCCTGAGGATCCAGAGCTGCTGACAAACACGGATGATGGAGAGAGTGCCTGGAAAAAAGTCCATCCCAGGAATGCAATCCTTGGTTTCATGCTGCTTCACCACCACATTCATCCCAGAGACACATTTCATCTGGTAGGAATGACACAATGACTGTTTTTTTTTTTACTGCTCTGACTGTTTTGGCCCACCACTTAAGCTCTGCTGAAATGTTGTAACATCTTAAGGATGTGTGCAATCACATTTTGATATTTTCAATGGTCCCCAGAGGATAAATGATGGCAATATCTGACTCTTTATGTAAGGTTTGCTGTTGCGTATTAGTTTGGGTTTTTGGTGAAGTAGCTTTTGTAAAACTTTCATCGCTCCATAAAAGGGAATTATTTCACCACCAGGTCATATCATCCAAAATTCAATCTCTAAACACTGTTTTGCCACACCCAAAGACAGCCGTACAAGGCCAACAACTATCCTAACATTTCGACCCATTCAATTAACAAAATAACCTCCAAAGTTTACCAAGTGATTTATTGTGACAAAAGAACAAAACTATGAACTAAACACACAAAAAAACCCACAACAAAAAATAAGAGGCAGCAGGGCAACAGTTCCACACCAAATGTATCTGCAGACTGCAGGCAGCTCTGGGCTTTTAAAGTCTCAGCACCAGGTGAGTCTGATTGTCACTCAGTGATTTCACCTGGGCAGCTAGAGGAGAGGCAAAAGTGGGGAAAACAACACAAACACACAGCCTTAACAACACCTACATGGACATTTTAAAGGGATATTTGGTGGCTAGTGATATACAGCACTAGCCACCGAACATCTTTTTAACTTTGACTAATTTCTTTAGCAAAGAAACTAAACACCTACTCTCTTCCAGCAGCCACTTGTTTGTAGCAAGACCTCAGGCCAGTCCATTACGGACTACTGCAGGGTGACACAGCTCAAGGAAGAACATTTATGATCATTTCTTTATCATTTCCTTGAAGTAATAATCATCATTTTTTACACTGCAGACACAGTAGTTCTTCTGCCTCAGCGTCTCGGTCTGATTGCATTTTCATGAAGAAATTATCCTAAATGTTCTTCCTTGAGCTGCGTCACCCTGCAGCAGTCCGTAATGGACTGGCCAAAGGTCTCGCTCAAAACAAGCGGCTGCTGGAAGAGAGTGGGTGAGTTGTGTTTATTCTTTTTGCGAAAGAAATCAGGCAAAGATAAAAGGATGTTTGGTGCCTAGTACTATGGCTGGGACCCTATATGTACTGCTGATGAAGTTAGGTGCTGTTCTGAGCATTATGTGTGGCTATAGAGTGGCGTTTTGGTTAAGGTTTGTTTATGGCTCCTCAGACCGCTGTGTATTGTTATCGTGCGGTCGTTACTAAAGTTGGTATAACTAGAGAAGCAAGCGGTCGGCAACATTCATCTCTCGTGGGAGTGTCTAACTCGGTGTTACGGTGTTTTTGACCCTAATGAATTTATGTAAACCAAGACTGAAACAAATCTTAAAATAAGTCTGTACTTAAAGTATATGGCTGAGGTTAATTCTAAGACTTGAGTAAACATTAGGTTCACACTTCTCGTCTATAAATTTTAGCAACCCATCTCCACAATCGTTGTGAACATTGGCAGAAAACAAGCGACTGAAATTCAAAACCAAGCTAAACAAAACTATCAAGCATGGGACTCTTAAAATCAGCTGAACATTAAATTTTATTAGAGTGTCTGCGCCAGAAACGGCTCAGGCCTCACAGAGCTACCAGCATCAAAGTCTTTCTCACATGTACAATCATCTTCTCCACCTTGTTCATCCAACAGACAGATTTTCTGAGGCGTAGTCATGAACTCTTGACTCTTATCATCCTCAGAAGGTTTCACCAGACTCTCCATACCTTCACCTGTGCTGCTGATTCACAGTTAATGACAGAGCACGGAGCTTTAACACAGGTTTGGAGGCATACTGCACATTTTTCTCTCAGCGGTACATCGTTTCCTCATCTCCTCCCATGTCTACCGACACAGATACTGCACAGGCTGTGAATGAGACCAGCTTACATGTCAGCCCATGACTCACTCACAAGTCACATTCAGACTGCTCAACATCACCTACGACGTAATGCGATCTGGCTGGAAAGTCACACTCTCTCGCACCAGAATACATTCCACACATTTAACTTCGGGGTGTGTGAGTAATGAAGCATGAATGTAGAGTGTGTGTTTCACCTCTTCACACCAAATCTTTGTTTCATTTCCTGTCACTTTGGGAATTAATCTGGAAAGACTTGACCAAGGCAAGGCTTTGACTGAGCTGATCGGAGCCACACAGGATCCTTGAGTTTAGTGTAAAAGACTCCTCTGTATGTTTCAGGGACTTTGTTGTCCATTTTAACAAATAGATGAAACAGAGATTTTAGTCCAGTGCTTTGAGAGGATCTGGTTTGCAGCCAGATGCTCTTGAGATTAACTCTTCACATTGAAATGTCAGATAAAGGATGTTCAGTGTCTAAGGGGTGAATCATCGTGGCTGTTCCAGGAAGCTCTTTGAATGTAATGGATGATCTTGTTGTGATGTTGATAACCAGCATGTGTTTTCAGTTAAGTCCTGAAATGAAAAAAGCAGCAGCTTTAAATTATTCCCCCCCTCCAGCACAAAGAAAAGTACTGAAAACAACTTAATTTTAGCCCCACTGACCTTTACTGGAAATTAAGCTTTTACGATCTGCTGTGCTGTTTGTCATTTCTTGTTATGTTGTTAGGACTCCTTGAGAAAAGCCAGTGAACGGTCCTGGTCACTGGAGTTAAGTTCAAATCATCTCACATAACAGCCTCAAAATCAGCTATAATGTAGTTTCTCAAGGTTTCCTGTTTTTCTCATTTATCATTTTCTATGTCTGAACTGCACTGGTTTCAGATAAGGTGATTATCAACAACAACATAAATTGAAAGATATCATTTATTAACATTTTCCACCTAAAGGATTCAGAGGAAATAGTGAATTAAATAGCCTAAAGGTGGCATACTCTGATTTTTTTTCCAGAAAATGTAACTTCCAAGTCTAAAACAGGATCAGCAAAGATGTAAGAGGCACTACTTAGTCCATAGGGGGCGCCAGAACCAATGACAAAAGCTCTTACTGGTAGATCTGAACATTAATTTTTCATACATGAAATAATAACCTGGCCAAGTACTTTCTTTTTTAAGTACTGCTTGGTGTCAGTATTGTCTATCAATCATAAGAACAGTTGAATGGCAATACTGTTTGACTCAATATTGTGTTTTATTCGCTGAATAGGCCAAAATGAGCCTACAGTCATAATGTTACTATCTTTCCTCAAAGTCAAATGAGCTGAAGTTCTGACACTTTTGATGGTTTAGCAGAAGCTTTTCAGCAGGTAGACTTTCCCAGTTGGAATCGTAAACATTTCCCGCTTCACTTCCTTAAACCTCTTTAAAGACACGTCGATACTAGACAAACACAATCTGCTGCAGGAGTTTACATGATACAATCCAGTAAAGTAATCATCAATGGACCATGAAGTGAGACTGTTCGATGTTGATAAATAGCTCATTAATAAAGTGACCAGAGATGCCGGTTTTTGGTTAATCCAGAGATCTAAATACTTTAAAATGATATTTTATGACTCTAGCCAAGGAATATTTTACAAGGTCTCAAAATATGATAAGATGTGATACAAAATGGAACCATACTGTCCAATGTGATACATAGTCCAAAAGGATACGATATGATACGACACGATATGATACAATACGATACAAAACAATACGATACAATATGATACAATACGATAGGAAACAATACGATAAAATACAATACGATACGATACAATACGATGCAGTCTGGTAAGATATGATATGACACGAGTCAATCAAATGTAGTACGATATATATACAGTATGACATGATATAGTCCAGTTTTATATCATATAATACTGTTCAATGTATTACAGAGAACATGTTAGATATTTCCATCCATATTATGCATCCTTTTCTCTTATTTCAAAGTTTGTTTTTTCCAGAGTTACCGGACATCTTATTAAGATATTTCACCCATTGCCGAAGTCGATCTAAAGCATTTTTTTTTTCTGTGTGTAGCTCCCAGTATTGGGCAAAACAAAGTATCCAAAAAGACAGATAATGAACGACAGTTGTCTTTGTTTATTGAACCATCCCAAAGCGAAATAATCCCCATTTAAACTGTAAAAAGTGAGATTAGCAGCTCTAACAAATTAGCATGGACAGACAGGCTGTTTCTGATAGAGATGTTAGCATTGATGGTTTTGTACTAAATAATTAGAGTTCAAGTCCATTTTGGTATTTGGTCAGTGTGAAAGCAGAAGGGGAGAATAGATATCTAAAAACCAGAAATTATAAAGCAGAAATCATTTGCCCTGCTGTAAACCTCACAGGGAAACCAGCAAATGTGTTTTAGTAATTAAAGGGATCCTCTTCAGAGAGGTTGTGTCGGAGTAAATCCCACTGAAACTGAGAGCTTATTTAGCTGGCTGAAACTCAAATGTAAAATGCGAGAGACCTTGGATGACTGTCGGATATCTGCATTAACAATACTGTAAAAGCTGCAGGGTCCTGTGCGAGGCGTAGCTCCCTCTCTTCTTCTGTGGTCCATCAGTCAGAGTAATGCTGTCTAATTACTTTTACAGCCTCCAGCAGCAGATCAATCTGAGTTCAGGCCCCTCAGCAGGCTGAGCCCTGATGACGTGAAATCTTAAATACTCACTGAGGAGCTTCGACCCTGTCCTCCTCCTCCTCCTGGGACCAAACAAGAGCATTCGCCTTTATCCCCACAAACAAGGTCAGAAATATTTCAGGAAGAGTCATGGGAAAAGCTTAAACACATAACAGCACGCCTCTGAGGTTTTATTTTTCATCTGGAGTTGATCTTGCGTAAAGATTTTTACAGTGTGTGTACTGTAAAGGACAGACTTGTTACAACAAGCCAACACTAAACGCTGGCTCATAAAAGATGATCAAAAGCAGAATGTTGCAGGAATGTAAATCACTTCTCGACAGCTACATTTCTCAGTTTATGAGGGAATACCAGGCGCCTGGAGTGCAAAGGGTGCCCATAATATAACGTTAGCACCTGTCTGGGCCAAATCCAGGTTTGATGTATGTATATTTTCCCTTTTAATATCCTTTCACTTAGAGTTGATAGTGGATGAGTCAACAAACATGGAAGAGAGAGTGCTGAGTGACATGTGGCAAGAGGTTGGGGGTGGGAGTTTGATCTGCAGCTGCTGCAGGGAGGACTGTAGCCTCAGTACATCAGGGCATGCATTTCTTATTTTTTTTCACCTATTGGAAGTATATTTTATTGTTTGACTGCGTAATTTTAACTTGGAGTCTTCTGAAAAGCTTGTTATAAACTTTAAGAAGTCAGATACTTGTTGAATGTTGTCAAAAAAAAGTCCTGAGTTACTTTTTTTCAATAGTTGTATATTTTGTTAAAATGCACTTTTTCTGACAGGAACACGTAATTATTTTTGTCTGATTATAAAACTTTAAAGACTAGAAAACTAAACTGTGGAAAAACTCACATGTTGTATTAGAAAATGAGAAAAAAAGTTTAAAAAACAGGAGGAATTGTAAATTATCTGAGACTTAAAAAGTTACAAAGAAGCTACATAAGAAGTATTTATAAGGTGAATGAATTAAAGATTTAAGTGTAGCTTCAGATGTAGCTAATATACATCACTGAAACAGACACACCACTAAAAACTAACAACAAAAGTCTGATTTAATAACATAAATACGTTTTGTACAAGCAGCAACCTCCGATTTTGAAAACTGCAGTACCTAAATTGTCCACTTGAGGCTGTCTGTCAAAGTCGACTTACATGTTGGTGCTTCGTAAACACTTTCTTGGAGTCTCTCATCCCACTTTGGCTCCTTTTCTTTAACGTTTCCCAACTGACCGACAGTTAGCATGAGTCAGCATTTCCAATATAGCAACCGCCATCTATCGGCCTTAAAGAGCTTCTCCAAAAACCAATGGGTGATGTCACTGAGACCATGTCCATGAGTTATACAGTCTATGCTGTGGTGTAGCCGTGTGCTAAAACAGTCCGCAATAAGTAGCCAAAGTCATCGTATCCAATATGGCGGCCACATAAACCACATCAGTCTTCTATACGGTTCATGATCTTGACCTCAGTCGCCAATGAGACCATAATGACCCAATTACTGTAGGCCGGACGCACTTTTATTAAATCTCTGACCATCATCTCATCAGCTGGTTCTCTGCCCTTCCTCCTGATGTGAACACCAGCCTGGCAGAGCCGCCATGTAAACACAGATCAGTACAGAGGTTCTGAACTGTAAATGTTTTTCTAGATTATGTAAGTAATACATCAGGACGGTTTGCATGGGACTATGACGAGAAACCCATCTTTGGGAAACTGGGTGGAGGTTAATCTGAAGACCTTTTCTCTGGAAGTAAAAGGTTTGTTCGGACAGTGCATTTCTAAGACAGAAAAGTTGTTCTCCTTTTTGTTTTATGACATTTTATTGCATTTACGCTTGTGAGAGTTGTATCTTTTTAACAAAACTCTCATTTTAAAGAAAGAGGTTTGGATACAGCAAGCAGAGAGAGAGAGAGGACGGCAGCTTTATACACGAGAATACTATAAATATGTAAGAAAAGCATGAGTCATAATGATCAAATTTCTATCTAGCATTCACAAATAAATGGTATTAAAAAGTGTAATGCATAAAGAAATGGTTTAACCTAAAAAGCTTACACGTATTTTTTATATCTTTAGGCTTAAATGTGCAAAAGAATAAAATAAAGGGAACATGAAGTCGTACATGTACAACACAGGCAGAATTAAAGCAAACATTTCAATGATGCTGACAGGAAGTTTGAGTTGCAAATACAAAGTTTAGTTTCATCTTTAAACTGTGACCAAACTGCTGCAGTGTTCATGTGTGAGACTGAGGTTTAGAAGTTTTTTCCCAGGTGTCACAGGTGCGGCGAGCCTCGATCACTCGTCGCTGTTGCAGTCCGTACACAGAATCTGATCGCGGTCGGGGAAGAAACCGGATCCCACCAGCGACACGGAGCAGCGCGAACACTTAAAGCACGGCTGGTGCCACTGCCGGTCCTCAAAAGAAACGTACTTCCCATCTCCGAACCCTGTTGCACACAAACGCAACACATGAGCAAATAAGGGAGGAATGTTTTACAAGGGGTGGAAAATAGAGTTAATGACGGGCTTGCTACATTGCACACATTACACAAATAAATCCAAGATAACATCAGCAGTTGGCAGTAACAATATAAAAAACCGCCAGTTATGTCAACCTGCTGGCATCCAGTTCATAGCTGTGGTCAAAACCACTCCAGTCAGTCAGCCTCTCATTTAACTCTGGTATGTGACGTTTCTCTGCCAATACTGAAATACTGGCAGATGAGACTGGCAAGATAGCCAAGATATTGGACATAGTCTTCACTTTGATTTGATTGTTTTTTTCTGTCTTCACTCAGAGCAACCACATGTTCAGTTTTTAATGTGTCAAACAGATCTGTTACAGTCCTCAGATGGTGAATTTGTTTTCATAGAAGCAAGTGTACTCTGGCTCGGTTTAAGGATACTTATTTTGTGATGCCAGATTAGAGCTATCAACACACAGGACTATTATTCAAAACTGTAAAATTACTTTATTATTCCAGCGTTTGTAGTATTTAAAGCTCCTGTGAGGAGTTTTGACATTTACGAAATAGACTGAAATTCATATTTTGACCTTTTTACGACATAGGAAGGCAAACAAGACCATCAGCAACAGGATTCATGTATTTTAATTTTTAATACCTGAAATAGGTATGAGGGGTAGGTATATACGGTGGCCAAGAACTGCCACTGCTGCAAACAAAAAAGAATGCAAAAAAGAAGCAACAACAGAAGTTACTGATGCAAAAAAGAAAAAAAAAAAACGAAACCGAAGCCCGCTGCAAATAAAAAAAGAAACAATACAGATAATTTTTTTTTTTTAAAAGCCACAATGGAAGTCAACAACACAAAAAAAATTGGCGATGCAAAAAAGTCCCCAGCAGCTCACTTCCACTGTGGCTTTTTTGAATTTGCATCCTTTTATTTTCACAGTAAGTAACTTCTTTTTTTTTTTTTTTTGTATCACCAGTTTTTGTGTGTGTGTGTGTGTGTGTGTGTGTGTGTGTGTGTGTGTGTGTGTGTGTGTCCATTGTGGCTTCTTTTTTTTTTTTGCATTCTTTTTTATTTGCAGCAGTGGCAGTTCTCGGCCACCGTAGATATAGGTGGAATTGCTAAAGAAACAGCCCTGTTTAACATTTTTCATTAAATATTTACAAAAAGGACACACTTGGCAGTAGAAGTAAGCAGGATGAGTTTTTTTGTTAAGAGACAGCTGAAGTGAATAGACAACAAAATTAGACTTTTTGTCCACAGGGGGCGCCAAAAGTTCCTCACCAAAATTTTCACCTCACTCCACAGCCTCTACCAGCTTTGTAAAACCAGATTCAGCTCCATATATGGTACCCAAAACTTTAAAGGGGTCAGTTAACTCCCTAGTGATTTGTGTCCCATGCACAGAGGACATGGACCTCCAAACAGGTGGTTTGAATCCAATCATGTGACCTTTGGAGTACATCGCCCCCCACTCTCTCCTTTCAGTTTCCACTCCACTGTCCTACCCTCCCAATAACATCCAGAACTGAGTGTTTCCTGCTTTCACTTGTGCATTCATGTAGTGCAGCAAAACACAGCTTGGCTTTTTATTGTGAAGGGATTTCTTTGGACAATAGGAAGAATTTTTACAACACAAAAGTGGGATATATTTAGACCCGCTCAGTTTGGCACACAAAGACAATATTTAAAGTGGAAGTCATCTGACTGGAAACTTTTCAGTCTTAATCAACTATCATCGAGGTCTGTCTGAGTCTTTGAGTTCTTCTCAGTCAGGCTAGAGAGCTTAATTGGACACACCTGGAGGCTCCAGGTGTGTCCAATTAAGCTCGTTAACATTTGCTGCTTGTTTGATCCTAGCAATAAAATAAAATCCAACTTTTTAAGACATTTGTCCTTTACGTCTTTCTGTGTGCAAAGCAAGAAAACTGGGACTGATGTTAAGCGTGCTGCTCTTTCCTTGTTAATCAAGTCACCTGACTGCCCACACTTGTTTTTCTCAGATTATTGTTTCGTGTTTTACTCGCTTTAAGTCTAAGTCTAGACAAAAAACAAACAAGTATTGAACCAGGAACTCTTTGCAACAACCTCACCTGTTAGCCAAACATTAGGTGATGACTGTGTGCGAACCACTGACCTGTGATGGCCGAGTTGCAGCCGGCACATTTTTTGGCGTACAGGCTGCTGAAACACTTGACGCAGTACGGACTCTCCCCCTGAGAGGTGAAAGGTTGTCCGGCTAGTGGAGCTTTGCAGCCCGTGCAGAGAAAACACTCCCTGTGCCACACCTCGTCCTTGTAGGTCACCCCGCCTTTAGTCAGAGCCTGCAGGACAAAAACACATCCGTGTAAACCTCAACATGGTAATTATGTCTGGTAGCATTTCTGTATCAGTGCAGGTTTTTTTTTTTTATCCTATTTTTGCCTTTTTTTCCAAACATCATAATTAATTTTCATAACTTGGAATTGACTAAATTAAACCACTGGAAACATGGGAGTGTGCGCCGTATTTCCTAACATTTGTGGTTCACACATTTATGGCTCGCCAACCAGAACATTATGACAGAGCAACCAAACCACAAAGTCAACAAGGATTAAGCAGGAAAGAGTCATTAAAATGACGAATTCAAGCCTTTTATGTCATGATGAAACTTTCCCATGTTGGTTTATCCTCCCACATAATTAATTTAAAAAGTGAAACCGTCATCGTTGTGAAGTTATATTTATTGAATTTGATTACAGTAATTCATGACTGTAATATACAGGAAGAAATAAGCTCTGTGGTCATTTTTATTGGCTAGTTCTCTCCGCTCTGTGGGATTACGACAGCGCAAACTTTGCAGTGAGGGCTCTTTGATTATTTTTGTGTGTACTTTTCTTATTACATGCAACTACATGCAAAAAATTAAAGACAATATATAGAGAAAGGAAGAAAAAGACAGAAAAGTTATCCAGCAAACAAAGGAATCACAAAAAGTGAGTGATTTTTGTACTACTTCTTGGTTTTAAATCAATCAAAATTGGGGTTTTAGATGTACAAAAAAAGAACAATTTTCCTGGGAAATTATAGCCATGAAACCATTCATCTGAATTATCAAGAAAATTACAGAAGCATCTTTATATTTATTATACATATTATTCAAGTAGAAATGGAGCTGCATCTTTAAGCAGACAAGACATAAAAGTGGAAGAAAATATAAGACGCTGTAAAAAAATTGGAGACATATAAAGCAGAAAGAAAGTTTTTGTTTAGCTGCATTTTCACACAGCGACAATTTTCCGAAATTTTCAGGGTGGGCTGTATGTGTGAACACAACTAACTTCAATTTTATGTCAATTTAAACTGGACTGAGTGAACAAATTTTTTCATTGAACTCACACAGCAGGTTATAAAAGTGGATGGTGTTATTTATGTAGAGCAACTGGTGCAAATTCGGGAGAACGACATGCAAGAGGATGAATAAAAACATCAATAGTTGAAGAAGGAGGTTCATTTTCAAAGACGTGAACAGTAGCGATGTCTGCACAACCATTCATTTACACAAAACAATGATCACCATTGAGGGTAAACTTAACCCTGGAAAGGACATGTGGAAAATATTTAGGTCAGGGCTCCGGAAAATGTCCAGAAAATTTCAGGAGTGCGCATGTAAAAGAGTCTGGGGTCTTACATAGAGAACAACATATAATCTAATCTTACAAGAAGAGAAGAGAGAGCTGTTCTGGTCTTTCTCCTTCACATTATCTTGACAGCACTGATAAGTATCCTGCAAACTAAGCCTGGTTTACCTTCTTGCAGTGACTGCATTGAGGGGCAAACCGGCCCTCGTAGCACGGCACGCAGTAGTAGTGATTCTGGTCCGGGATGAAGGCCTCGGCGCCGATCGGCTTCTCGCAGCCATGACACGTAAAACAGTCCTCGTGCCACGTGGAGCCGCCGTACTCCAACAGCTTTGAACCTGCAGCAACAACAAAAACAAAGAGAAGGAGCAGATTAGGAGCGAAGTGATTGTTTGTTGTTCTTCTCTCTGACTTTTCGAACCTGTGGTGCAAAACCGTAAACCGGAATGACATCTGATAGTGATCACACGAGCACAAAAGAAACCTAAAGACTGTTATTGAGTGTGACAGCTGAACCTGTTTTCACACAAATACTCAATTGCATCATCTTAACCTGCATTTAAACAATCTGACAAGCTGTAACAAAGCAGATTTCTAGCATTTCAACACAGCTGAAATACACGCTGATGCTGTTCTTCCTGTTATCATATCAAAAATAAGACCAGAATGTGCACTGAGCTTGGGCTGAACTTTTTAGCACTGTCATTGTTTAAGGGAATTTGTAGGTAGAAGATTCTTTGATGCAGAGTTTTAGGTAAATTTGGCCAAAAAATGGACGTCAGAATTTAATCCCTGGCTCTGTTTTGCGACTCCTGGGACCCGAAATGCGGCCCGGAGAGATGACAGCGTTTTTAAGCTTCAACTTGGCTGCACTTAGAAGAAACTGGGGGCGAGGTCAGCAGCATTTCAAGGCATTCCAGGCCGAGCAGAAACTCAAGAAAAAGACTGCTCATTTCAGAAAAGAAGCGGTGAGCGAAAAAATCCCACACAGCCCACAAGGCCTGGGTAATTTTCAGTCATCCGACACCGCCGCCGCTGCACCAAAGTGTCGTCACACAGCGCCCTGAGCTGAAAACCCTGCTGGGAGATATTTTCAGCCAAGCAAGGAAACAATCATTCTGTCACATCTAAGCTGTCACACCCCAGATAACAAAAACTCATTAGCCTCTTTATCCGTGCAAATACAGGGTGTGAACTTTCTGCCTGTCAGCGATTACACAAACGTCTGAGGAGGGGGGTGAGTGAACTTGGAGGAGGAAAAAAAGTTAAACAGTTGATCTTTGTTGTTACTACCTGGCTTGACTATCTTTTCACAGGCCACACACTTGGAGGAGTACTCGTTGCAGTAGCAGTCGCTGCACACCAGCGCTTCGGCCTGGCTGGTGAAGGGCTCGTCCGCCAGGGAGCGGTCGCAGCGGAAACAACGTAAACAGTGTGCATGGTAATACCTATCCTCGTAGAAGAGCTCCTAAGGAAAGGAAAGAGAAATCAATTCAGTTAAAAGGTTGGAAATGTCTGAAAAATGTCTGAAAATGTCAGGTTGGTCACTCAAACTTTCTACTTTTGACTGTATGATGATAAAAAAAGTCGATAGTGGATGTTATTGTTCCAAGCAGATATTTTTTACTCCCATCTGCTCTAAAGTCAGAGGTCACGGTCAACCACAGGATTCTGTTTTCTTCTCAGTCGCACGTCAACATTTCTCTTTCAGTGATTGTTGACGTGGAGCCCAGAGTTCCCAGCTTTCTAAGACATCCTGCTTTCCTCCAAAGAAGAGATTCGGAAATGAGAAAAAAATCGTCTGTATTTTCTTTAAAAATCAGAATAACCCACTTTGTGAATTCCGACTAACAGCTGCTCGTATTCTGGTTCAGCTACAGTTCAAGTGAGCCCTGTTATAAATGAACCCGTTGAACGGTGTGGGGTGAAAAGCTTATTTTTGAGGTGTTGGGAAAGCTACAGCAGAGAGACAGAGACGTATGAGGGATGGATGTTGTGTCTTGCGCAGAGGAGGGATGGCCAAAGCAAGCAGAGCCGTGATTTACAGGATGTCTGGTTGTTTCCTTTGAGACTGTGTTTTTAGTTTTCACAAAAATAAAGCTTCTGGGCACTTAAAGGGAACTACAGATAGTTTCACACTCAGTAACTAGAGCTCTGTTTTCCAAGAACTCCACCTGGACTCCCTAGAAAGCTGTCAGAGGCGTTAATAGTTGCGCTCGTACAAAACAAGCTCCTATTACTGACCTTTGCATTATGGCCGATTACTTCTTTACATTCCTGGCAGGTGTTGGCGTACTGGCGGTCGTAGCAGGGGATGCAGTGAGGCTTTCCCTCCACCTGGATGTATTTGCGCCCGCACAGGGACTCCTTGCAGTTTTCGCAGTCGAGTCGGTCACTCATGGTTTCTGTCTCTGGCTGAACTCCTGTAAATAAAAGGAGAAAAATCACAGGCGCAGTTTAGCTTTAGCCAAAAGACAACGCAGGAAGGAGGAGAAGTGAGATAAGTAAGACAAAGAGAGAGAGAAAGAGAGCAGGATGAAGAGAGGTTACAGTTTTTTGGATAGAGAGCTGGGAAATGAAGACCAAGAAGACAGGTAAAAAATAGGAGGGAGACACATTCAGCTCTACATCCAGTAGAGCTAAAATATAATCATAAGCAGGCAAACACTCCCAACAAAGATGGGAATGATAGTTTTGAGTTATATCCTGAACTAAGACAGATCCTTGAAATCACAACAGCTTCCCTAAAGAGAGGGAATGGGAGGTTAGAGTCAGGGGAACAGAAGAAGTGTGGCCTCAGGGCTTGGTTAAACCGCTCTGTAAATCGTCACTCTGGGTGCCAGTGCTCTAAGTTACAGGAAACTCTCCTCAGCAGGGGGCCTTTGTGCACGGTGAATTTGGGAGTGACGCATGAGTACCATCCATACTTGTCAAGTTTTGGTTGGGAAAGTAAGAGGAATTTTCCGAGCAAGAAGCGAGGAAAAAGTAAGATGAGAACGAGCCGAGCACGAGATGGCACAACTAATTTACATACAAGATAGGCGACACACACACCTCCCTTCTTGGGGGAAAATTAACAAATGTACAAAAGCTGATTTATTTATCATTGCTAAGTTTTATGATGTCCTTGTTACCTACAACATGGACATAATAAAACGGGGTCGTAATATTCCAGTGTTGTATATTATATTTGGTGTTTTTCTCTGGCCTAGCCGTGTCTGGTTCACGTCTAGTGTGTATCAACAGTCTTGTATGTAAATTAGGTGTGCCATTCATGATCCGTATTGGCTGCAACACAACGAGCATTCTCAGTATGACACTCGAAGCAGACACAACTAGGCCAGTGAAAAACATGAAATATAACATACAATACTGGAATATTACAAGGATATCATAAAAGGTAGCAATGATTTAGAAATTAGCTTTTGTACATTTGTTAATTTTCTCCTAAGAAAGGCTGGTCACAAACTCATCTATGGATGACTCCATGTAAGTTTAATGCTACCATCTGGTCCAGTCTTTCCATGAAGAAAACGAGAACTGAGTTGTAGTGTGAGATGTTTTTAGCTTGTGTCCATTAATAAAAAGGTGATTTAGCTGGTCTAGGTGCAAGAAAACCTTCATCTAGCATCATCTGTTGAATAGGAAGAAGACAAAGACGAAGAGGAACTCAGAGAGGACCAAGCGCTGAACCCTGTGGTACACCTTTGGGTAGGAGTACAGGAGTTGTTGATCCTGAGGAGCTTTTGTCAAGTTTTTGCCAAGGAGAGGGACATACCAGTGATTTAGAGGGGATTTCTGGGACAAATTGCCTCTGCGGAGAAGAAAAAAAACAAGATTCTGGGTAAAGAAAGATGTTGTGGGTGGCTTTGGAAAAGATTAACCTTCACTCTGCGAGAAATGGAGATGGTTTACATCACACTGCAATTAAGGGTTAAACATTGTTCCAACTGTTCCACATGCAGAAAAGCCACCACTGTGAGCAGAGAAAGGGCTGAGTGAACAATTTAAGTCTAAAGAGTTCTGCCTGATTGACCATAAATCAGTCCAGTATCGACATAACTGCTTCTCCTGTTACAGCATCACTCACTAATAAAGGAAAGCTCAGTGACGTCTGGCTCCCCCTCCCCTCTCATTCTTGTATGAAACCCCCTGTGGCGGTTTGGCATTGAGAAAGAACAACCAAACAATATTAATTGTTGGGAGCTGAACTGCGACAGCGTTCTTGATTTCAAAGACTCTGGAGGGTTTTTCATCTTTGTTTGGCCTGACTTTAAAGGGACATACCACTCTTTTATCTGCTTTATTTCTTTTGTCTACAGCTTTCTTTATCAAAAAAACATCATTTAAACTTGTCAGGTTTTCTTTCTGCAACTTTAGCTTACTCTTAATGATGTACTGTGATCCTCCACATCTGTGAATGGTTCACAGGGATGGTTTTATGGTTGCTCAGATAATTACAAGGCCTTCTACCAAATTGTTCTTTTCTTTTTTTTTCTACCACAACCTCTTAAAAATGGGCAGTTTGTCTTAGAAAAACTGCCTCTTAACTAAAGACAAACAAAAACATCCACCAAACCGCTTTGCAATTTCAGCAGGATTTCCCCCGAAAGCGCTTTTATTTTTGTCAAATTTGAATCGGCGAAAAGCTTCTCATAAAATTTTGTACACAGTTGCATGCACCTCGAATCTTAGATGACCTAAAACAGAGCCCAGGTCCAAGCATGTTGTTTTTATCAGATTGACATAAATATTTACGATGAAGAGTGACATTTGAGGCGGCAAGGTCTAGCGGTACAAGCGCCCAGTGTGTAGAGGCTCTACTCATTGTTGTAGTGGACGCTGGTTTGACTAACAGCCTTTGCTGCAAGTCACAAAAAATGTGACTCCAAAGAGATAGAGTCCAAATTTCTTATATCAGTCCAAAATTTTTTATCACTCACATTTTGATAATACTAAATTCTCTGACAGAAACAACAAATAAATACTGATTTCACTTACTTAGGTTTCAAGGGATATTCCAGCGTAAAATTAATTTAAGGTCAAACACACCTCATCACCGAGTTAGACACCGCCTCGAGAGATGAATGTTGCCGACCGCTTGCTTCTCTAGTTATATCAACTTTAGCAACGACCACATGATAGCAATACACAGCGGTTTAAGGAGCCATAAACAAACCTCAACCTAGACGCCACTTTATAGCCGCAAAAAATGCTCAGAACAGCACCTAACTTCATCAACAGTACGTGTAGGGTCCCAGCCATAGTACTAGCCACCAAACATCTTTTTAACTTTGCTTAATTTCTTCAGCAAAGAGAATAAACACAACTCACCTACTCTCTTCCAGCAGCCGCTTATTTGAAGCGAGACCTCGACCAGTCTATCACGGTCTACAGCCGGGTGACGCAGCTCAAGGAAGAACATTTATGATCATTTCCTCATGGAAATACAGGACCGAGTCGCTAAGGCAGAAGAACTACTGCGTCTGCAGAGCAAAATATGGTGATTATTACTTCAAGGAAATGATAAAGAAATGATCATAAATGTTCTTCCTTGAGCTGCGTCACCCCGCTGTAGTAATGGACTCACAAGAGGTCGCAAGAGAGAAAGTAAGTGAGTTGTGTTTAGTCTCTTTGCTGTTCTGAGCATTATTTGTGGCTACAGAGTGACGTTTTGGTTGAACCCGTGGCTCTCTGTATTGCTATCCTGCAGTTGTAACTAAAGTTGGTATAACTTGAGAAGCAAGCAGTCAGCAACATTCATCTCCTGACGCATGTCTAACTCTGTGTTATGGTGTGTTGGACCTGAACTTAAATTTACGCCCTGAATATCCCTTTAAGCTAAGTAGGTGCTGGGGTTTGTAAAGACTTGCACCGTAACCTTACTTCAACATTAATACTAATTACATGGAGGCATTAACAGAGTGTGTTGTGCGGCAGCAAAGGGAAATGAGTGAGGAAATGAACTGTGAGGGGTTAAAATACCCGACTGTATATCTGTGAAGATGCTATATCCTGTACAGTGTGGGTGAACATGATGGATAAGGCCTGTGGAGTTTAGTTTATACGTTCATGCTCACGATCAGAAAGCCAGACGTGAAAATATTTGACTTGGTAAAGGTCGCCGTTTATCATTTTCACCATCTATTTTGGGCACTGAATGACTTTGATGAGTTCCCTTAATGTCAAAAAAGTAGGTTGGTTCAACAAAGTGCAGCTTTTAAAAAAACAAAACAAAATGTGTGGCTTTGGATTTTCCCTGAGGGATGATTCAAGACCCCCCTCTGCATCCTCTCATCAGGAGTAGACGTCATCGGCCTGGTGGAAATGATGAGAGGACGAGGAGGTCAGTTGCTTTCTTGGAGAAACATTTCGGTAAGAGTTGACGCTCTGTCGTGATGAAGGTTTCCTCTAAATGTTAACAGGTAACTCTCCTCATGCTCTGTGACTTCAGAATGTTTGCATCTGGTCTTGTAAGGAGACGTCTTGAAAGCGTAGTTTACATTCCTCATGTCTGTCTGCCATCAAACATTTTCTTTCTAATAACCAATGATGCAGGAATTTCAGATAAACATAAAAAAGATAAACACAGTCTGCTCTCGGTCATTCTCAAACTCAATGTCAGAGGCAGAAACTCCCTCCTCCAACATCTAGGACCCCCATACGTCCCTCTGCACAGATAACAACACAACTTCCTCTTCAAGGGCATCCAGCTAGGTCAACAAAACAAGAAGGAAAACCACGCTGAGACGAAACATCACATCCTGTCTGTTTTCTGTCAGATTCAGTCCAACTTCCCTCCTAAATTGTCTGTAGTAGTTTGAGTTTCTATTCTCGTCCGCCCACGTCCACGCTGAACGCAGCGACAGAACAATGGTTTTCCTTCCACACATAGTCTTCACAGTTACTAGTTTTATGTTTCTCTTCCTGAACCTCAGCATCTGTGGACACATTCTGCGGTCTGCAGCTGTTGTCTGTCATCGAATTCTCCTCAGGGTAACAAAAAAGGAGTTCAGATGGGACCTCAGCCAAGCCACAGCAATGAGTAATTAAAAACCATCATCAGTGTTACAATCAACATTTTATAGCTCCCACAGGACCCCGTCCATTTGAACCTTGTAATAAGGACACAATAGGAGAAAGCAGAAAGAGTCATACAGAAGGAAAAGTTGGGTGGTGGCTAGCTTAGTTTAAAGGGATATTCCGTTGTGAAATTAAGTTAGGGTCAAACATACTGTAATGAGTTAGACACCCCGCAGAGAGATTTATGCCGACCGCTTGCTTCTCTAGTTTTACCAACTTTAGTAACGACCGCACAATAGCAATACACAGCAGTCCCAGGAACCCTGCGCTCAACCAAAACGCCACTCTATAGCCACAAATAATGCTCAGAACAGCACCTAACTTCATCATCAAAACATATAGGGTACTAGCCATAGTACAAGCCACCAAACATCTTTTTAGCTTTGCCTACTTTCTTTACCAAAGAGACTAAACACAACTCACCTACTTTCTTCCAGCAGCCACTTGTTTGTAGTGAGACCTCGGGGCCGTTTCATTACGGACTACAGCGGGGTGACGCAGCTCAAGGAAGAATATTTATGACCATTACTTTATCATTTCCTTGAACAAATGAACTTAAATGTTCTTCCTTGAGCTGCGTTACCCTGCTGTTGTCCGTAATGAACTGGCCTGAGGTCTCGCTACAAACAAGCGGCTGCTGGAAGAGAGTTGGTGAATTGTGTTTAGTCTCTTTGCTAAAGAAATCAGGCAAAGTTAAAAAGATGTTTGGTGGCTGGGACCCTATATGTACTGTGTTGAAGTTAGGTGCTGTTCTGAGCATTATTTGTGGCTATAGAGTGGCGTTTTGGTTGAGGTTTGTTTATGGCTCCTCAGACCGCTGTGTATTGCTATCATGTGATCATTACTAAAGTTGGTATAACTAGAGAAGCAAGCGGTCGTCAACATTCATCTCTCGAGGGGGTGTCTAACTCGTTGTTACCTTGTGTTTGACCCTGAATTAATTTTACACTGGAATATCCCTTTAATAAAGTGTGAATTATCAAGAAATTTTGGTCCTGCCGAAGTTGAAAACTCACAATTCGCTTCTCTATTAACATGCTTTATATCCTGTATTTAATCTATTTATTGTAAGAAATAAAAAAACAGCTTTTTCTCCTCACTATTTTACCAAACAGAAGGGAAAGCAGCTTTATTAAAAGAATAAACCAACATCACAGACCGTCAGAAACTCAATGGCTACAACAAAGATTATCCCAAATATGAGATTTTTGTATGAGAGGACCTAAACGATAGCTCGGTTTTGGTCTGTGAACAAGTGGTTACGTTATAGAAACAGTAAAGTTTGCCCTTTTCTTTATTTCTTCCCCCCTGCCAGAGTCCGCCTCTTTATTATTGTTCTTTCTTTAAGGTCACAACTGACAGCAAAGACACATCTGTCAAGCATCTATTCATTCTCTCACACGGCGCAGACTGACGTTTATAGTCTGTAAAACTGACTCACAGTCCGTCACACCTTGTTCAGGAGGCGTTCACTACAGGTGTCCTTTTGGTTTGCAGCCAGGAATACATGTCACCCTCTTTCTCCTCCTCATTTAGAGACAATAAACCGAACAGTCGTCCATCCTGTCTGAGTACTGCGTCTCTCTGCTGAAACTATTAAAACCCACTCTTCACCTTGATGAGTGGACATGTTGAATTCTTCGCTGAGACTCTCAACGTCCTGCTGAGAGATTTACAGGAGTCACCCCGCACTGAGCGCTCGGTAATGGCGGCCAAATGGCGACAGTCTCCCAGATTTAGCTACCAGTCCTCCTGTTTTTGTCCCTTCATGGTTAGCTGCTGTCATTTTTACTCCCCAACCCTGAAAGCTGCTGCTGCTGCTGGGGGGTTTGTGTTTATTTTCCCCCCATGCTGGAATTTAGACGGTGTCTGTGGACGACAAACCAGATTATTCACTGTCACACATAATAAAATCCAGTGTAAATACGTAGGAAAGTGCTAAATCTGTCACACCAAACCAAATATGAGGGGAGAGTCTCAGCGCCTTTTAGGGGGTGAAGGTTTTACACCTGGAACTGAGCTGAACACCTTCTGCTCTGTTTCAAGAAGGACTTTCTTTTTTTTTTACTGCAATCATATTTATGGCTCAGTGGTCGAGTGGGTAATCTTTTAATCACAAGGTTGGCAGTTCAATCCGATGGCCACTCACCGGTGATGGGCATCCCATCATGCATTGCGTCTTGCCATGTAGCGCACAAAACCTCCGGTAATTGAGTTCACTACATAGTCAACTAAATAGTAAAATCCCATATGGGGGTTAGGGGTTGAGTGATTCATTTTAGACACAGCCTGAGACTATATTCCCACTGGGAAACGAGCAACAGGTGAGGCAGACGAGACACAGGTGAAACTCATGGGTGATTAACGAAGGAGAGACAATTAGGGAAGTGAAACCAGACTAGAAACACAAGGAATCAACTACTACAAAATAAAACAGGAAACACTGAAAACTGATCTACAGAATAAAACACTGAGAACAGGAGGAGGGTAAGACACTAACTGACAAAACACAAAGCACTCAAATAAACAACATGAGGAGAAAACTAAGTTAACAAAACATATCATGACATACTGTTTAATTTTGATATGATTTTTTTCTTCTTATATTTGATTTACAACCTCTATCTTGATGAAAAAGTGTGTTTCATTGTTTTCATACGAACAGAGTTTGTAACTAGCATGTTGTTTTTAGCTTTAGCATTAAGGAGATCACATGTTTAAAGCAGCTATAAGGAGCATTCAGTGAGGAGCATTCGGGTTAGTTGGATTGAGGTGAAATCAGATATTAAATGATTAAATGTTCATGTTAGTTTTGTCTCTATTTGCTGAAAACTTCACAGGTCCGCCTGCCTGGCTGTAGGTCATTGTTTTCAAGTCATCTAAAATTCAATCGCTCCTTTCTCTTTCACCTTTTCACACCATTACAACCCAAACTATGAGTTCATTCACTCCGAAACAGGAAACTGTGTGACCGAGTTGTATTTTTAATTATCACTCCTCTGAAATGGATTACTGCACTTTTAACAGCCTCTGAAACTCTAAACAGTCCCCGTATTGTGTGTCTCCTGAGTTGCATAACCTCGGTTTACAAAGATGAATGAGAATATTGATGGCAGAACAATGCTGCTCAGAACATGTTAACAACAAGAGCAGCAGCAGTGGAGGAGCCCCGCAGCGCCGGAGGAAAAGTGACACTCTTTTATTGCTGCACCTATAAACTCTTACAAAAAAGAAAGAAGAAGAAGAAGAAGGCCGGTCCCTCAACGCCTTTCTTTCATCCTGCAAGGACAAAGACACTCAATGTGCCGCCGCTTCCTGCAGATCACAAGGCCGGCTTCAGCTGCACGCACACAAATCCAAATGAACACACTTTTGTTTGTTTGCGTTGGCTGATTAAAGATCTCGTCAGGGCGAGCTGCTGCTTCAAACAATGACGATCCTCTGGAGTGGGACTGAGTGGGCTGATCTTTCGTAGGCGGATCTGTAAATGATTAAGCCCACTGAATTTAAAAAAAGATGATTTCAGTTGATTTAATTTTACTTTTGAAGACTTAAGCCACAAAATATTCTGTATAACTGGATATTAATGCGACTCAACTTCAACATTACATCAACGACACGAGGGAATAAAACCTCTTTAGAGACTTGAGAGCATGTCTGGTTTTGTTTTATGAGTCTCCAGCTGGCTGTTTGTTTATCCGCTGAGACAATGTGAGCTAACAGCTGCAGTTTCACCTCTGAGGCGGTCCTCTAAACTCGCTAACAGATCGCAGTCAGACAACAAATAAACAAGCCAACGCCACGCCGAGACTTCGACACAAGGTGACCTGAAACAGAAGCTCTCAACCTGCAGGTTAGGACCCTGAGAGGTCGTTGAAAGGAGAACTTTTCTAGTTTTGATTTGATGGCTCTAAAACTTCATCATTCGGGATCAAACTGTGATTCCTTTCTGACAGGAAAACGTCGATCTTCATCCAAAAGTAAGAAGCAAACCAGAAAGAGTCTGAAACATTCGGCCAATTTGGTCACTGGCTCCAAACCTTTGACAAAGTCTCTCAGTGGTTGTTTAGTTTCGTCACATGATTTCCATTAAATCTGGGAATCTAGCCATGTCAGCAAACTTGATCTATTGGGGGAAATCTGTCTTATATGATTAAAAGTTCTAGGAGAAGATCCAGAAAGTGGACTTTCTTGGTCAAAATATTCTCTTTACACTCCAAAAAGGGAATTTCAGGCAATATTTGTTTTCCAATACTTTTTTAATCGTCATCCCAAATCCTAATTTTCCGCATATTTGTCATTGTAGACTGACACTGTCTCCATTTCCACTGAATTGCACCAGTTCACGTCATTCTCCCCAGAAAAAGCCCAGAAAGATGTCCCCAATAACCTGGGTTAAAGGTCAAAAGTTTAAGAAACCACTATTTTTTTTAAGACAGTCAGCACAACTAAGGACAATTTGACTCAGTCCACAAGGGGGCGCTCTGATGTTGTGAAAGCATGACAATACTTTAAGCTCGCATGAGAAGTTTTTGGATGTTTATGAAATTCATAATGATGCTTTTTGATGACATACAAAAGCAAATAAGATGATTAGCAACAAAACTGATGGTCATTTTTGAAGGGGGGAGGGTGTTAGCAAAGCAGCGACAAAAACCGCCAAATTTTTATATAATTTCTGTACAAAAAATTCACAGTCCATCAAACATTTGACTGGCAAAGGTCGGCAGGATGAGGATTTTCTTCCAGATGTCACTACTTAGGCATGTGAAGGACAAGATAAGCAATGACTGCTTTGACCACAGGGGGCGCCAAAGTTAAAGCGAACCTACAGTTACTTACAGAAGCTTTAAATTTTAAATATATAAGTTTAAGAGTAGCTGTCACAAAAATGGGGTAAATTCTTGTCTGTAAATGTAGTCGTTACACCTCACCCCCAATTTCCACCGCATCTGGAACAGCTACGAAAAGGCCGTATCCACCGATCGCAGCTGATCGTAACCATTCAAGTTAATGTGTCAATTTCCACCGGCTTCTTTCCGTTCTGCTGCAGAATGGATCGCAAGAGTTGTATGTGTTCTGTAAGACTGTATTGGGATCTGGCATATTATGTTATTATGCCAACAGTTGCTAACTGGAACAAACACAACAGTCTAGGAGTCTAGGATGCTAACATTCACACTGAATTTTCAGGTGTTAAGTTGACTATATTTTTCAGCAAATCCAATTTTTACTTGTTGGTGATTTTCAAGGAAAATTCAAGGATCATAACAGTGGAGGCACCGTCAAAAAATAAAATCAATGTATCTCACTGTTTTTTGCTAAAACTAAGAGTAAGAAATATAGATGGTTTTTGCGGATGACAGTAAAAACAATGAAAGTACAGGGATAGATCAAAGAGATCATAATCAAGTGTGTCTCTGGAGTCCTCTTAAAATGAAGTAGGCCTTTCTCCAGTGAAGTTACTTTTGGCCCTGTGGTTGTTGCACTTGGATTATACTTGCAGGGGAACACTGACCGATGCAAACAAACAGAGGACTTGATCAGCCACTATTATCCAAAAAAAACACACGGGTAAACATAGTTTCCCATCAGCTCCAGCTGGCATTGGCCCGTTTCGAGACCTGAGTGTTAATGATAACAACAGTTTGTTTTCTAAGAGACTGGGCCCGCTGTCTTTACTTCATGTTAGCTGCCGAATTTATTTAACTTTGAGATGGTTAGATAAAGAATCAGACTGTGTTTTATCAGGTTGAGGACAAAAAAGGCCAAAAACACTGGTCGGCATCAGCGTTTAAACCTTAAGAAAATACAGAAAGATGACGTAAGAGAATAAGAAAGTATAACAAACCTATAGTGAAGGCATTTACTTTAAAATAGACACATTGAAAAGAGAAGACTGTCTTTTACTGCTTAAGAAAGAAATAGAATTTAATTTTCGTTGTACTAGAGCTAGTTTCAGTGAGTTAGCTAGCATAGCCTGCTAGTTGCCTCTAGTTTCATACTTACAGGGATATTCCGGCATAAAATTAATTTAGGGTCAAACACACAGAAACAACCCTGCAGAGAGATGAATGTTGCCAACTGCTTGCTTCTCTAGTTATACCAACTTTAGTAACGACCGCACGATAGCAATACACAGCAGTCTGAGGAGCCATAAACCTCAACAGCCTCTATAGCCACAAATAATGCTCAGAACAGCACCTAACTATAGCAACAGTATAGGGTCCTAGCCACAGTACTAGCCACCAAACATCTTTTTAACTTTGCCTAATTTCTTTAGCAAAGAGACTAAACACAACTCACCTACTCTCTTCCAGCAGCCGCTTGTTTGTAGCGAGACCTCGGGCCAGTCCATCATTGACTGCTGCAGGGTGACGCAGCTCAAGGAAGAACATTTATGATCATTTCTAATCACCATATTTATCATTTTGCTCTGCAGACGTGGTAGTTTTTCTGCCTTAGCGTCTCGGTGTGATTGCATTTCCATGAAGAAATGATCATAAATGTTCTTCCTTGAGCTGCGTCACCCCGCTGAAGTCCGTAATGGACCGGCCCGAGGTCTCGCTACAAACAAGCGACTGCTGGAAGAGAGTAGGTGAGTTGTGTTTTGTCTCTTTGCTAAAGAAATCCGGCTAAGCTAAAGAGATGTTTGGTGACTAGTGCTGTGGCTGAGAACCTATATGTTCTGTTGATGAAGTTAGGTGCTGTTCTGAGCATTATTTGTGGCATTAGAGTGGCGTTTTGGTTAAGGCTCCTCAGACCGCTGTATAGTGCTATCGTGCGGTTGTTACTAAAGTTGGTATAACTAGAGAAGAAAGTGGTTGGCAACAATCATCTCTTGAGGGGGTGTCTAACTCGGTGTTATGGTGTAAATTATTTTTACGCTGGAATATCATTTTAACTCACAGGAATAGCAAACCGTCACATCTTTGCACCCTAAAAAAATTTGCTTGACTTTTTTTGTTTTCACTTTGTTTAATAAAACAAAATGACAGCTGACTACTTTAAAAGGCCTCTCAATTTATATCTAGTTCAGTCAATTCAAAATGATTTGTCTCACTTAGCGGGAAACAAACATGAATGAGTATCCCACAGTGTCAAACTGCTTCTTTGCAACTCTTCCCAGGCTTTACAGCGGAAATAGGAAATGGAAAAGACAGCGGTGTGAGTGAGACTGATTCATCTGTTTTTTTAAGACCGTCAGTCCCTCGACAATCAAGCATCATCTCCACTTAACTCTCCCTTTTTTTCTGGCTCGCCTCCAGTGATTGTACACTTGGCCAACCTTCGCCCAACACAAAAATTTCAGAAGAATGCGACTGTGGTCAAAACGTGGCAAAATTGTGTGGTTCAAGCTCTGAGAGAAAAAAAAAGAAGAGGAGAAGTATTTTTCTTCCGCCCTCTGTTTTCTAAGAAAAGAAAAGTGAGGAACTGTTTTTTTTTTTATGTGTGCCACACACACAAACAGTCCCATTTCTGTAGGGGGTGACTTCAGTCAGAGCTGGATTGTTTCAAATGAATCTATTAATTTCACCCAAATGGATTGGAGCGTGATGATGGGGAGGGGATGGTGTGCGGTGATGGAAACTATGAGCGGTGCTAGAGGAGGTTGGGGGTTGGTGGTGGTTGGGGGAGAGTTTGCTGAGTCTCGAGAATAAAGTTTGTAATCTGAAAGGAGACATGACATCACTCTCACTGAACAAGACTTAATTGACTCTTAACACGCCTTCAAATGCACAACCGATAATGCTTTCATTCTCGAGATATGAGGTCTCATTCTGTCACACTGGAGCCAATTCAATAAACACTAAAGAAGGAGATTGTTTCCTCAAAGGTCTCCTTGTTCTTCTTCTCATAAACCCTACTTGAAAAAAGAGGCTGCAGCACTTATTCACGGTATCAGTTACTCACTTTGGACCCCACACAAGCCCCCAACCCCAATAAAACACACTATATCCCCTCCCTCAAAACAGAACATCCTTTTTGGTACATCCTGGGTGTGGGGGGTCAATATCAAGTGACTTTAGTTAGTGTCTTGATACTTTTACTGTTAAATTACACCTAAGGTTGCAAAATTGGGGAGAAAACACCAGCAGGTGCTTGTCTGGTAAAACCAATGTCTGAAATGGTCCGAGCTGGAACGTGGCTCTGCTGAAGGAAATCAGCAACCAAGGAAATCTCACAGTCATTATACCAAACTTACAGCTTGAATTAGCACTAAATGAAGATGTTATCTTGGCCTTTTCAATCATTTAGCAGTGAACTCTTGATTAATAATAGTACTGTTCACTTAATCTCTTCACGGATTGATCAAAACATGTTTAAAAGCTGTTAAAATGTACTTAATGCGTAAATTACGCAGCGTTTTGTAGCAGGTTATGACAGGTGAGGAACCATACAAGCCACACACATAACAGCTTGAAGATTTTTAAGTGATGCAAACTCACGTTAACTTAATTTTAATAAAACTTTTAACTATTTTTTCACATTACGACGCTGACTGTTGAGTCTCTTGATCGTATAAACACGGTGTGAACTCACCTCTCCTTGCGCACCAGCAGCCTCTGGAGATGCTCTCGTGAGACTCCCTCTCTGCACGATCGGAGCAGTGCGTGCGCTCGTGCAGCTCTGGTGTATAATATAACAGATAGTTAAAATCCTCCGTGGACTCCTGCGAGCTCAAACTGATGACTTTCCACTGACTGGAGCATGTATGTGTGTCTGGTGCGTAAAACCAAACTATTCCTCCAAACTCCGCCTCCTTTCTCCCCCCCGGTCCTTGTCTTTCCACTCCCTCTGATCTCTCCAGACTTTCACCTTGAGGAGAGTTCAAGCCGAAAGAAGGTAGAGTCAGTGTGTTTTTTGGATGTAACTGAATATTTTAAATATATAGAAGGCTTTGAGTTTCCAGCTGCTGTTGCAGACACTGTATTATCTCTCAAAATGGAAAATTCCAGTGATAATATCAAAATAGGAGCTATGGTACTTAAATGGGCTTTACTGGCCAATTATATAGAATTAAAGTTAATTGGGGAGTATCTTTTTATAACCACCATAACAATAACGTTTTGCTGAATCGATTTCAACTCCTATGCAGAAAGTGTTTATGACATACAAGTCATAAGCCACCTGTGCATGAACAGTTGATAACTTGGTATGATGTTGCTGTTTAGAAAGGAGAGTTTCTAGTTATTTTTTTTAACTTATGAAAGATTTATGAATTAATTGTAAGATGACTTACTGAAGTGTCAGCTGAAGCCAAAACTAATTTTGTCCATCCCTAAGCAACTCTTTCAGCACTTGTCTATTATTAAAAGTTTATCAAAAAATCAAATTCTAATTTCGTAAAGCCAAATTGACTTTTTTTTACTTGATATTTTATTCACTAAGCTTATTTCTTTGACATATTATAGTCCTTAAGTCTTCATACATTTTAAAGCTCCTGTGAGGAATGTTTGTGTGATACTGGCGCCCCCTGTGGACAAACTGATACCTCCTAACTCTGGTCCTGCTCATATGAAGGCAGTGTTTTCAAACCAAATCTTTTCCCTTGTCACCGAATAAAAAAAAAATACAGATTTTTCGGTCTGCAGGGCAGTTTTAAAGATTAAAAACTACTACAGCCTTGTTGCTGATGGTCTGCTTTTATTTTGAAGGTCCTAAAGAGGCATCAGTATCGGTTCCAGACTGTTCTTTGACCGGTTAAAAACTCCTCATGGTGCCTTTAAGTCCCTGTGAGGGGCTTCTGACAATACATAGCAATACACAGCTGTCTACATCTCCACGCGCAAGCCTCAACCAAAATGCCACTCTATAGCCACAAATAATGCTTAGAACAGCTAATAGCTTCATCAACAGTATAGGGTCCTACCCATAGCAAAAGCCATCAAACATCTTTTTAACTTTGCCTAATTTCTTTAGAAAGAGACTAAACACAACTCACCTACTCTCTTCCAGCAGCCGTTTGTTTGTAGCGAGACCTCGACCAGTCCATCATCAACTGAGGCGGGGAGACGCAGCTCAAGGAAGAACATTTATGATCATTTCTTCATGGAGATGCAATCAGACTCAGTCGATGATGGACTGGCCTGAGGTCTGTAAATGCATGTATTTATACCCCATTATACAAACACCATTCATAGGCAAGATTGAAAATTGTTATAAAAATCTGTGAAGAGAAATTTAGAGCTCGACAGGTTTGTTCTTACAGCTCCTGTGGGGAACTTTCTCTCTGTGTTGACTTTGGTAACCTTTACATCATTGGTGATTTCACCTCATCCTTGGTGTTAATTGACAAAAAAATCATTGTTGAGGTACAAAGGGATGAAACCACATACCTTCATCTCTCTGCACAGTTTTAATCCATCACACAGTCACTCTCTCCTTGTATTGTCTTTCACCTTCGGTTCTTGTGTTTGTTCTGCGTTTTCTGAGCTACAGGAACTTTTCTGCGGTAAGGAGTAAACTGCAGGGTCTCGCAGAGCCAGATATCATTTTCCCTCTCATTGACCTCTGTTTTCCACAGCGGTGAGCAGGAGGTCTGCAGGCGATTAGAGGCTTCAGCTGTGGCTCCATCCTGCCAACACCCATTAAGTCAGGATGAAAACTACATGAGGACATGACGTGATGAGGGATTTAAAAACATGTGTGTGAACTCTGCGGTCCATTTTACTTTTACAGTTGATGGGGTGCATTTGTTAAGAAATACAAACTTATTTTAATCGTTAAGCGAGCATCAGATCAGGAGCATTGCAAGGGTGAGAAAGGTTCAGATGAGTTTATGATCACTGAAGAGGGTCGAAAAACATACAAGCATGTTTGATGTGGTCAAGTGGTTGTAGCCAATGAGATGACTTTTCTTAGGGAGCCAAATTCCTCTCTACATCCCTGCAGAAAATAATAAAGACATGAGCTTCTACCACAGTACCCTGAAATGTCAAAGATTTCTATAGACATCTGCCGCCATCTAGTGCTGAAACAAAATGATGGCATATCAGTGATATTGAATGCATTTAGTGCGTTTCCCTGAGTGTTCCTGCGTCTTGAGAGTTTTCTGTGTTTTATTCTTTAGATCGGTTTTCTGTGTGTCCCATTTTATTTTGTAGTAGTTGATTTCTTGTGTTTCTAGTCTGGTTTTACTTCCCTAGTTTTCCCTCCTTTGTTAATCACCCATGAGTTTCACTTGTTGCTCGTTTCCCTCCGTGTGTCCCCAGTTGTTCCCTGTGTTTTTTTCCCCAGTGCCTTTTTTTTGTTGATTTTTTTAGTTGGACATTTTGAAGAAAGTTTTTGTTGTTTTTCGTTCTTTTTAATTAATCATTTTTCGTTCTGCATTTGGTTCCTTTTCCCCCTTTTGTGAAGCCCTGGCCCGTGACACATAAGGGTCTTTTTGCCTTTTTATATTTCTCTTATTGCAAATATTCATTTTCAAAGTTCTTAATGTTTGTTTTATGTCATTTCGTTAATTATCTCTGCTCTTAGTCTTTTTCTTAACTCCTGCCTTAAAGGTTTTTACTTCTTTTTATATGGTAAAGAGCTCTTACTCATCTGTTCATTTAAGATTATTTTCTTGTTTTAGTCCATCAGGTTTTAGTCTTTTAACCATTTTAATCTTTTTATCTTTTATCTTCACTGTTTCCCAAAGGTAGCTCTTTCCTCACATAGTGTCTCGGTGTCAGGCCATGTCTCTTTAATAATATATCTTAAATTCTCACACTGTGTGCGCTTGTATGTGTGGGTGGGAGGGTTGGGTTTTATTGTTGTAAATTGTTGTTTTTGGCCTCTGTGGGGCACTTTTGAACTGCATCTTTAGTCTGAAAAGTGCCATAAATATAAAGTTGAATTTGAATTTTAAGGGTTGTTATAAAGCCTTATAGATGCATTTATAGGGCTTAATGAATGTGCGCGTGATACATTATAGGAGGTAGGTTCATATAAAGAGTTACTGAGGGTTTGTGTTAAATTTGATAGCCTTTTTGGTCTTATGTCTTTACTTATTGTGTGCTATAAACTGCTTCTTAATCTTAATTCCTCCTGCTAAAGCAAATATAGGGATTAAAAACTACCATAGATTAAATGAATATCAAAGCTGACGGTCTTGGTTGCTTTTGTAGGTCATTATTTGAACTTTGTTTCATATCCAGCTAAAAATCTCCTCACAGGAATTTTACATCAGATAAATATTTAAAGAACAAAAATGTTAAATAAGTGACTATAATTCATTACGAAAAACTCGATTTTGTTGCATAAGCTAAATTCCATCTGAAAGACTTGACTAAGCATGACTAAGCAAATATGAAACATATTTTATTAAAGAGTTATGTACAATAATAACAAATCATCATGGTCTCTGAATAATGACTCAGGTCCCGCTTACACACAAACCCCAGGAAGCAAAACACACCTGCTACAAACTGAATCTGTGGGAGGGGCTTTTGGTGAGCGCATTCATCACATACAGGAAGTCGACTGAAAGACTGATTTGTTGATACGTTAGTCTCCTGTGGTGTGTCTGTGGAGAGCACAAAAACTATTACTGACAAAAGAATACTGTCCTTTTTAACACCGAGGATTTAATCTACTCACAGCAGTCCACATTTTACGGGAAAAGAAGCAGGATCGAGGATTAAATTTGCTCTTTTTCAGAGTGTGAAGTGAAGTTCGTAGTGATCTAGTTCCAGCTTGAGTCAAAGGAGTCGTTATTCTTTGTTCAGTTCGACATCAAGCACTTAAAATGCATTAAAACTCTTTGTATTTTGCAGAGTTCACAGAACAAACTGGCCAAAAGGTAAACACAGCTGACAGAGTTAAAGGAAACTTAATGACAGATACATGGTCAGTTTTTTTTTTTTTGGCTTATATCACTTGGACAGAAATGAATCTGAAACGTGACTTTACCTTTTATTCCTCCTCTGCTCAAACCCCGAGGAGGAGAAGCAGGTCATTCAGATTTATTCCAGCATCCAGAGCTACAGTTTCATCATTCAGAGTTCAGCTGCAGCTCCGCTTCTCTAACATTCAGCCGCACAAAGTAAGGCATCAGAAGTTTGACAGGATACTTGTGTGCCAAAACAGACCGGAGTCCTTATTCTCGAAGCCTTCAGATGGCACTTCCATTCACTGCGGCGTACTTCAAGCTTGTTAGGTTGTTGCGGGACGTGCTTACACATTGCGACGAGGCACCGACTTCGAACACTTCGTGGATGGCTTTCCGGAAACAGTGGAAATTATACTCTATCAGACCTGCAGAGAAAACAAAGTTAACATTTCCAGGTCTGAGTAGTCTGGATAGAAAGCTGGCATTCAAAAATGAAAACATCTCACCTTTCCTCTCAAAGCTCTCCTCTCTAAGGATACAGACCAGAGCGAGGAACTTGGTCACTTCTTTCAGATAAAGCACTGTCGTATTGTTGAGCTTTATAATGGCCAAGGACTCTTTGTCGTAAGCGCAGCCGCTGCCGTCCTCCATCAGCCTGCAGAGAAAAAGACCGCAGAGAAGCTTCGGTAAACTCTGCATAAAAGCTAAAGATGTTTGCCAGCACTTACGGTGTTCACAGTTCTTCTCACCCGTATATGCAAGAGACATCGATGACCACGTCGATCATGTCGCAGCAGATTTCATAGGATTGCATGTCCACGGGGGAGCTGTCTGTGGCGATGTAGATCTTGCTGACGACGTCAAACAGGAAGGCTTTCTCAATCCCAGAATGCTGCAAAACAGGAAGGATGGTAATGTGAGAAAATATGGAAAAGTTTGAGCCAACATATCAGCTGACAAGAGTACAAACAGTCAAAAGATTGAAAAAAGACTGTGCAGCCCTGCAGGTAGAGGCTTGTTGAACAAAGCAACCAAAACAACTCACAGATATGAAAATGTTCAAGAGGTTCTCCAGTGTTGGTAGCTGAGGGATGAGCTTCTGGACAACTTTACTGAAGGCTTCAAATATGGAGTGATCGTAGATACTGGTCAGGTAGAAGCTGAGGAGGGAAATAAGGAGAGGAAAGGAGGGTTAGGACATTACATAAATACAGTAGAAGGATATCAATAACTTTATTCTTGATGGTTTTTTTAGGGAGGACAAAAACTTCAAAAGATGATTGCATTTAAGAGTTCAGTAACTTTTTTCTCCCTTTCTGTGCGGTGATTTTATTTGTGCGACACATTAAAATCCCTTGAACTGGCTCCGAAACTACACTTGTCTGGTATTAATTTATCAAACATTAATTCCGTCTTTTCAGGCTAAAACTACAAGAAATACACCGTCTACTGGATGATCTGCAATGAAATTCTTTGAATAACTCAGAAAGACCTGACTCGACCTGTACAGACGTGTCAGCGCTCACCTGAGGTGAAGCTTCTCCAGCGCAGCATCAGCCAGATCATCGTTGGCTCTCTGATGAATGTCTCTTTGTGTTTCTATTTTGTGATCGTCCGACAGACCGTCGACTTTGTGTATAAACACCTCAAAGTTGATGTCTGGATTTACTTTGTAGGCTCTAGAAACGGTGAGGTGTAACCGCCCGAGTGCTTCCACATAGTCGTCCTGAAACAAGAGACAGATTCAGCAAAAAAAGTGACATACTAATCTATTTACATACAAAGCCATTCAAACCTGCGATATAAGCTTGAGTTTGAGTAATCACCCCACCTGAGCATCGATGACAAATATCAGAGCGCCGGTTCCCTTGAAGATCATCTCGCTGTCAAACGTCGGGTCGAAGAAGTCCACCTGGCCAGGAAAGTCCCAGATCTGGAAGTTGACGAAGGAGCTGCTGGAGATGTCGTCTTTGTAGATTTTGTTGGTGCTCTCGAGGAAAAGTGTCTCATTAGGCGACATTTTGTGGAAAACAACCTGGTAGGAAACACAGAAAGAGGGTTACTGAGTCAGTCTTCTACTCTTTCATTGTCTACATCCAGGAATTAAGAATTACAACATCTACTTTACATTTTTGCCACGGCTTGTTTTGTGCTGTGTTCAATTTGCATTTATTTTCTGTTTCTGTATATTTTAGTTTTAGCATGTAGATATGGAAACAAGCAAAACTGAAACTGAACAAGATACTAATTTTTCAGAGCTCCCAACTGACACTTACTTTGAAAGAAACCTTTGTAGAACAGTTTTTTTTTTTTAGTTTTTGTTAATCAGCCAAAACATGTACTGACAGGAGAATATGCATATTTATACAAGCATTTGAGAGATAACTCAATATTGGCTAATGTGCCAGCATGCCAACTTTATTCTTATAACCTTGTAAAATCATGATAGATAAAGATCTTTAACACAGAATCACATAAAATTAATTAAGTACAAGTGGTCGGCAACATTTATCTCTCGAAGGGGTGTCTAACTCTGTTACTGCGTGTTTGACCCTAGATTAATTTTACGCCGGAATATCCCTTTAAATCATGATAGATAAGGATCTTTAAAACAGAATCACATATAATTTATTAAGTGCTTGAGAGAAACACAACAAACCCATTTAGAAGTACAAGGTAGAGGAGGAAGAGGAGGAGGTGTGTGTTAGTAAAACAGAGGGACAGTGGGAGCATGTGGCAAAAACGACTATAAGAAGCTATTAAAAGTAATATTAAGTATGATATTTGCCATTATTCATGAACCCTGGCTATTATATCTGCCATAAAGCACCACTGCTGTAACTTCTTGAACATAATAACTTCCATAGTTGTGGGATTAATTACAGGATTTGAGAATTAGCCCTATAGTGTGTTCAGTTTGTACTCATATATTAACAGTCTCACGACTCAGCAAGTGTGTTTGGGGTCTATTTATAAGTGATTTACCTTCTGGATGGATGACTTTCCACTCCGCCTCAGTCCCATCAGCAGGATCCTGGGTTTGTCAGCTGATGAGGAGACCTCCTCCATGTCAGGCACATCCACCCCATAACCAAAACTTTTGGGGAAAGAGCCCACAACCCCGTAACTCCCCGTTAATGTAGGGTCGTCATACTGGATCGACATCCTCTTTTACTCTACCTGACCCTCTTTCTCCTCGTTACACTCTCCTTAAAGCATTAACCCCTCAGATTACAGCCTTTATAATCCGGACAGGAATGTTGTTGTCGAGGAGTTTCGCAACGAGCTAGCATGGCACGCTAATGAGCTAGCAGCTGGAGGCTGGCGGCGGCTACATGCGCAAAATGCTGCGTCACTTCCCGACGTTTCCTCTCGCTTTTACAATAAAAGTTACGGAAAGGTTGAATAAAAACGATATCGGTGTAGAAATCAATCAGACTGGCATAACGAGAGAGATTTAAAGAGTAAAAAGCCTTGTCACAAGTTAGACATTTCCGCCCCCTTTGTTGCTAACCCCGCCCCCTTTGGTCTGATTGGCTGTTAGCCCAAAACATAGTCACATGACGAACGTCCAACGAACACAAGCAGGAAGGACACAGAAACGGTGAGTAATGTTTTTAAAAACTTATCATATTCAGGTCATAAATAAGCTATATTAACCAAACACGATGTGCTTATTCTAAAGTTTTTGCGTGGTTTCAACTGTCCCCGTAGCCTGTATGTTAAACAGCTTGTTAAAAACATATTTAATCAGTTATTTATTGTATAAACTTCCTTAGTTTGATTGGTTAGCTTGGTCAGGCTAACTTCCTAGTGATTTTCAGGAAGAAGAGACAGCTTCACTTTCAGATAAACGACACAGAAACGATACAGAGTACACAAAATACAGCTCTTTTGTGTGTTTAAATACATGTTACAGACGTTTCTGTGTCAGTTGCATTGATTAAGTTAGTCTGCAAATCATCCTGGTACACAGGTATGCTTCAGTTTTGCATTAAGTCTTGATTAAATCAACCAAACAGAGTAAAATTGAGGTAGATATTAGTGGTAAACTGATTAATTTCGCCCTTTAGTCTCATTTAGAAATGCCTGCTTAGTAGGCTGGATAAAAACAAACAAATAATGTCTGCAGACACAGAAAAACACACTCTGACCCTGATAAATCTTATATTTTTCAGGGTTCAGAATGTCATCAGCCCTCCTGTGTTTCCTCCTGGCTGCTCCAGTGTTGCTGGTTGCCGGCAGCCCAGTCAACACACCCAACAATGGGACCGTACCGCTGGTGTTGTGGCATGGGATGGGTAAGGGACTGCACCACACAAACATCTTACATCTTATCTTATCGTATCTTAAACACTTTTTCTCCTCCAAAAGTGATGCCTCTGAAGCCCTAAGAGCCTTTGCTGATGCTACACTGCAGTTAAAATGATAATAAAGCAAATATTTATGCCTTGTTCAGGGGACAGCTGCTGTAACCCGCTCAGCATGGGGTCCATTAAGAAGATGGTCGAGCAGGAGATCTATGGCATTTACGTGCTCTCTCTGATGATTGGAGGAAACGTTGTTGAGGTACTTTAATGCAGAAAAACAATTCAAGGTGAAAGAAATCCCAATCTCTGAAGATAACACTTATTTTGTCTAAATTTGGAAAATACAGACGCTGTAAGATTTGTTTCTGTGTGTGTGTATGTAAACATATATTTATTTATTTAGATTTATTTATTTATATTTATATAAATGTGAACCAACCAGTCATGTAACTGCCGCAGGAAGTGAAGATAAAAAGTTGAACTAAAATCAGGAGTAATTAAAAGTGCATAAATGAGACAGAGTTAAAAACAGGCTGAAGTCAGAATGACGACTCCAATGGAAAGCCTGCATCACTCTGACAAAGTGGAGGCGATGATGTGGTTTGCAGCAGCAGTCCTGCCTCTTTGATTGATACATCCACATGACTTGTAAGGATTCCTATTCTGTGACATTTGCAGTCCTGGTAGCAGAGGTTACATCAGAAAAATGGCTCCTTTACTACTCCTCTGTGTCAATTCTCAGCGTTAATATTCATAACAAGCCGGCGTGGACTCTGCCGCTTTCTGCTTTGATGTGTCGCAACACCGCGGCGCCACACGGTGCTGGTTTTCTTCTTTTTAATCCGCCTGTCATGCTCTGAACTTTTCATGTCTCTCCTCTCTCAGGACACAGAAAATGGGTTTTTCATGGACGTGAATAAGCAGGTGTCCATGGTGTGCAGCCAGCTGGCCCAAGACCCAAAGTTGAAGGGAGGATATAATGCTATGGGCTTCTCCCAGGGGGCTCAGTTTCTGTAGGTGACCACTGTTCTGGACACTGTACGGCTTTGTTAAGTCAGTTTAAAAGAAATTGGGGATATTCTGTGTTTGTATAGTTTCCATTCTTGCCAGATTCTCCTTCACAGTGAATGAAAATATAAAGAAATACCAATATCCCCTCTGTTTGAGAGAGTCAGGGTTTTTTTTTTTTGTTGAAGTCGTGAACCTGCTGCCTCTGTTGGAGCATGTTTTATGTTCAAAGTTATTCTCCCGACAAAAATGAGGAAGCTCACTTTGATTCTTTTGGTTCCTCTCCTTACAGACGAGCTGTGGCTCAGCGCTGTCCCTCTCCGCCAATGAAAACCCTCATCTCTGTTGGTGGTCAGCATCAAGGTAACATTATGAAGGAAAAAGAGGACACTAATGCAGCCGACTTCCCTTTGTAGAGTTTTTTTGTTTTGTTTTGCAGAAGCAGCATCTGAATTTTCAGCTGATTTCCCCTAACAGTCTTATTCTTTCGATTTTAGCTGCTTTTAAAATGACATTATGAGTTCTTAATTCTGTATAATTAAAAAAAAAACATGTACAACAACACTAAATTTACCAAAAAAAGAAAAATTATAGCTTTAAAAATTGTTCTGCTTCTTTTATTCATCTTTAAACAATAAGAGATGGCCGTTGCTTTCCTCTAGATTGAGTTTTGGTGTCAAATATGGTGCTGAAATCCTCGATCTATAGCTATAATACTGCGCAAAAGTGGAATTTAACTATTTTAATATTAACATATTTCATGGTAATAAAAAGGCTTAGTTTTTAACACTGAAGTTAGACTAGATGTTCCCACAGAGAGAAAAAAATCCTGTTTTTAATGTTTGTTGGATCATCATTTGCAGATGATCTTAATCATATTTTAAAGGTCAATACTTCCAAATACTATTCATATATACTATAAAGCCTACTTTACTTGTCGGTCAAAGCACTTTGTAAACCACTGTTTCTAAAGGTGTTTTTATGACTATTATTAATGTTATTAACAGACTTCTCTCTGTGTTGTTTTCTCTAATCCCTCAGGTGTGTACGGACTGCCCAGGTGTCCCGGTGAGAGCTCCCACATCTGTGACATGATCCGCAAAGCTCTAAATAACGGAGCGTACACTGACCTGGTCCAGAAACAGTGAGATGTCTTTGATTTCTCCTCTTTCATTAATAGTTAATGTTTTTTAATACCTGTATAGACTCGTTTTTCCTAAAGCTCTGACTCTGTGTGTTGTTTGTGTGTCTCAGTCTGGTTCAGGCGCAGTACTGGCACGACCCTCTAAATGACGACCTCTATAAGAAGTACAGTCTGTTTCTGGCCGACATCAACCAGGAGAGGGTCAGTATGAGAGCAGAGCTCACTGTCTTGCTGTAAATGTTGGAATAATTCAATATAAATGTGAAAAAGTAGGTCAGACGTCAGGGGAACTGGGATTTTAGTTTATAATTAACTGTAAAGTAAGTGTTCATCAACTTGAAGTGAAAAAGACTGTCAGGTTTCACTTTCACTTTCAAGAAATATGAGGAGTTTTATTCACCTCCTTTGAATCATAACTCCCACAGTCTGAATAAACTCCGTCATCAGTCAGACGTTTAATGATTTGATGTTGTCTTCTCTCTAAAGGGCGTAAATGAGACGTATAAGAAGAACCTCCAGCTGCTGGAGAAGTTCGTCATGGTCAAGTTCCTGCAGGACACTGTGGTGGATCCTGTTGATACCGAGGTGAAACACACGACTCATCTTATCAGTTTGAAACACGAGGAAAATCTGTCTTTTGAGAAACTCTTCTTTTATATATATATATATGTTAACACTGAAGCAGCATCAAACACTATTTAATCTCATTTCACCCTGTAGTGGTTCGGCTTCCTGAAGACCGGTCAGGCCAAAGAGATGGAAACACTGCAGGAAAGCGTTCTCTACAAAGAGGTAAACGTTATGAATCTTTTATGAGGAATTATTAAATATTTTTAATGGTTTTTTTTGGCTTTTCATGCTCTTTAATACAACAGAATATCACGGCCACATTAAAGGAAAAACATTTTTATTCAGTAACTTTATTCTAATTGGAGCGGAATTATGAAGTACTATTGAAACAAGGTACTCAAGGTTCCTCAGTTTGGCTCAGACAGGTGGACGCTCACAGTTAACAAAAACTACAATTTTATCATGACTTTATTAAAACTTCTAAATGAAGGATTATGATTTGATTTTTTGATTTTATTCTCATGAGAAAATGATTTACAACCTTTAACCTTTAACCTTTTAATGCCTGAAACCGAAAAATATGGCCAGAAAATTCAAGTTTTTTGGAACTGAAATGTTGATTTCACTTACTACTGAAAACCAAAAAATTCAAAATGTCCTTAAAATTTAAAAAATATATTTATTTATCTTATTTGATAGATTAGATGTTTTTGGAAACTGATAAAGTACATGAAGACATTTTTATCCTATATCCGACTGTATTCAGGTGGTTTTTTTTAGTAATTTGTTGATCATATCGATTTGATGGTAGTATATAAAAGTATGTATCAAATATGATAGAAAAGGCAATAAAGGGTTAGGGGAGACGAGCATGACATGCCTCTTTCAAACCAAAATATGTCCTTAAGCGTTTTCTGGCCCACATTAGTGAACAAGTAGACTGTGACTGTCTCGTAATTTGACTTCAATAAATTGTAAATATTGGTGATGCTTTAGAGATCTGCCTAAAGTGTAAATTTGCTGTGATGCTGTTTTTCCTTGCTTTACCTCTTTGTGCTATTTTTAATCAAATATAGAAAGTATTTAGTCATTTTCGTACTTCATCTGATGCTCTAGAAAAGTAAAAAAAAAAAGCTTTATTCACTTCTTCAAACTCTTGGAGTATCTTCCTCTGATAGTTTCTAACCAAGCTGCGTCTCTATTCCACTCGCAGGATCGTCTGGGTCTTGCAGCGATGGATAAAGCAGGAAAACTAGTCTTCCTAGCAAGCGAGGGAGACCACCTGCAGTTCACCAGGGAGTGGTTCACCGCGAACCTGCTGCCTTATCTTCGCTGAAACAATTCACTTATATCATGTCGCAGAAAATATCAAATCAGACTAAAACTGTTGTAACAAATAAAACAAGCTTCAGATGTGGAGCTGGGCTGCTGGCAGGAATCACATAACTCATTCCTTTTGCACTGATCACTGGTCGCATGTTGATATTGTTGGTTAAATGTTAATTTTAGCGGTTTATCTTTGTCTTAAACACTCCTGATGAAGCTGCTCTGATGAGGTTAAATTGTTTTCTCACTTTGACTTGTTTTAGAAGGTTTAACTCTTCTTTTTCTGTACATGTTCGACTTTTAATCCAATAAAGACAAACAAACCAAAGACGTTTTATTGCAACATTTTTAATGATGTCTCCAGTACTAATGAGCAGAACTCTGATTTTGGACCCGAAACTAAAGAAAAAGGAGGTCAAAGAAAAAAAAGAGATGATATAAAAGAGAAGTCGAGAGCTGAGGGAAACCAAAGAGTGCAGACGTGGCTTCGATTATTAAGACTATTCAGTAATAGTTCATGTCTATACAGATGATTACAGCAGATATTTCCACAATAGAGACTGAGGTGGAGGTGAAGTTTGAATGAGTACACCCTTGAGCCTCTTCTTTACCTCTCATACCTTTATCTCATCATCTCTTAGCCTCTTTCTTTCTCGCACACTTCCTCTTACATGTCTCCTTAAATGGAATGTTTGGTGTTTTCTTTATTTCGCTTGAATATTCAGGAATGTCCGATGTGTGAGTTTGAGGGCAAACACGTGAAATGATCGTTCTCCCACAGCTTTAAGATGTTCAATCATGAGTTTCCTGGTTTGTTACACATGGTTTTACTCTTTTCTACATGCTCTGACACTTATTTGTTTACATTATTATCATCCACTATGAATATTATTGATACAGTCAACATCAGCAGAGGTGATATGGATGCCGTTATCTTCCATAAAAGGGCTTTTGTTGGACAAGTGCTTCACCAGTAAATTGCATATAATGAAACAGAAACCGTTTAGGCCAGGACTTAAAAAAAAAAGATAATCATCACACAGCAGCCCCCCCACCCTAAACAGGAAGGAGGAGGGGGAAAATGGAATAACAGCCTGAAGCATCCTGATTGGCTGCAATGCTTGTGTCCCATTTTGGCTATTCTACGTGTTAAATTTAGCTTAGCATTATCCAGGCAGGTACAAAATATCACACGGAGCGTCGCAACTATTGGCAAAACTCAGGAATGTTTTCAGAAAGTGCTCACAGGGGGGGAGAAAAAAGCCAATTGAACGACAAGCTGCTCCCTGCTGATTGGCTGGAGGATTTTGCTCCAGGGGGAATAAAAAGCGAGCAGTCCTCTCATTGGCTGTTGGAAGGGACAGCTTAAGCTGTGATTGGCTGATAAAATGTAAGGGGAGGAGTGGGGGATATAAACGCATGAGGTCCAAATCTCAAGTCTACAGTGTGAGAGTTAGCTGGTGGGGTGGTGGATCAGTCAGGAAGGCATTTTGCAAAAAAAGGGGATGGGGATGGTGTGGAGGAGGGGCGGCTGTTTCGCACACACTGTCCCGTCTATCCGGCGATCTCTGTTGCTGTGGTGACGAGCTTCTTGCCATCCCAGACGGTCTTGAACTGCTCGGGAACAGGGTGCTCCGACTGTAAGAGAAAGTCAGACAGAAAGTGTTTAATGAGACGCACTTAAATGCATCATAGAAAGACGAGGCAGACGGAGGAGATACAGACATTTAATCAGTTTATGATTTCATCTCCTCATGAGTGGACTCCTGTAAAACTCTCTTAAATTTGAAATATTGAAACACCACATGCCCAAACTTTAGATTTCCACTTCCTTTTCTCTTTTTCGTTGCATAATAAAGTATAATAATACTCCCCAACCCTCCTCCGATCAGAACATAAAGGCATAATTATCCAGGAAGTAAAGGAAATATCACACTGAGCTACACCCACTGACTCCGCTCTAACAGTCTTCAAACGGATATAAATTATAGCCGAGTAATTATAGTGCAAATTGCTGCAGCCAGACTCTGAATAAGAAAAACTAAAGGAACACATTACACCTGTTTTCATGACTCAGCATCAGCTGCCCTTTCTTTCAGGTCTGAGTTAAAGGTTTGACATCGTCTTTTATAAGACTTAATGGCCCCAGAATAAACTCTTATTGCTGTCCCTGAACTACGGAAGCAAAACAATTACACTAAAAAGAAAAGAAAAGAAATAAAAACTGCTGATTCTCTTTAATCTGCTAACGCGCACACTTGTTCCGTGAGTGTCCGCTCTTTTCTCAGAGCCTGGCCTGCATAGCGAGGCTCTGGGGGCGGAGCTTGGATTTGTGATGTCGGAAATCTCACTGTGTCTGCACCTGCCATTTGGGTCTGCCAGAGATTCACAGTGATTCGAATAAGGAAATACTCAGAAAAGCAATTTTGCATTTAGTTTTCTCATGATATGTCCTCTAGCATCAGAAAAATGCCATATGAACATGTAGACAACAAGAAAAACATGATTTTTATCGGAGTGGGTATTCAAGAATTAAGGCATAGGCTGTAGAAAACCTAACAATCAGCAGTAATCCTGATGAGCATTACATCTGGACTCATTTTATATCTTAATGTGCACTATGTAAGCAAACTCGCACTAATATGACCTGTGTCACTGAGAGGTGGTTTGTTAAAATTTTGATCATAATCTTGGCTTTAACAGTCAAATTCATCCTCTAATGTGAATATTTAAAATAAAATAAAAAAAGGATTAAATATTTAAAATAATAAAAAAATATATTTAAAATAATAAAAAATAAATATTTAAAATAAATAAATATTTAAAATGAAAAATAAATATTTAAAATAAAAATAAATATTTAAAATAAAAATTAAAAATATTTTTTTAAAACAAAAATGAAAAATAAATATTTAAAATAACAATAAAAAAATAAATAATAAAAACAAACAAACCAAACAATTTTTTTTTTAAGTATTTCAACAGCTGAGACCGTCCTGATTGACTCTTATGAATGAACTCTCCTCTCCCAACTCAAAAAAAACTGCAGCTGATGGAACTGAGAAACTAAACCAACAGTAAAACCGAACCCCTTTAAAAAGTTACTCACAAAGTCTCCTTCGTCTCCTTTGGGTACCAGGATGTTCATCTCCGAGCTCTTGGCGCTGACGATCTCACAGTCCAGAGAGGCTCCGCTCAGGTATACGTGGCAGCCGTCTGTCTTGTTGATGGAGATGGTGGGGACCTTGCCCATGACCTGGTGGGGGGAAAAGCCAAAACCTGATCAGACTCATGCTGTTACTTTACTGTGGGACTCTGATTCTGGTTCTGTATGGAACCTTAAAACAGAGCTGATTTCCTGCACCCCTTAGTTCCCATATTAGGTTGTATTTGTTCTCACCTGGACCTTGACGTCCCTGCAGTTGATAATCTCTACAATGCCGACAACATCATCGAACACCAGGCCCATTTTCTTACAGTTGTCTGATAGGAAGAAGAAAATAAACAATCAGGAGGACTGAGGCATGATAAAAATACTTCACTTTTATACTTATGAACGACATAAACAGATGAAGATGACAGAAAGATCCTCTGACCCATCACTTCTCTACATACCTACAGTGATGGAGTTGATTTTGCCCTTGACCTGCAGGGTGCTGTTGTTACACTTGAAAGCATAAACCACTTGTTTGAGTTCAGTATGTTCGATTACCAGTCCCTGAGCTCCCTCTTGGTTCTCCTGCAGAAGGAACCAGAAAATACACATTAACTCCTGCAGATGATTTCAAAGTAGGATGGAGTTTTCTGTTATGAGACCGATTATTTTTCATCAACGTACAACTTTCCACTTCTTCCCGTCCAGCTCCAACACTGGGGGCAGCGAGCGGGCTGGGCAAGCAGACGCAGCAGGTTTGGCCGAGGCAAAAGGTTTGGGTCCGCTGCGTACCGGAGCATTCTGAGTCCTCAGGTTGGGGTTCTTGTGGGTCTTCTGGTCATCACCCACATGCTTCAGGCCTAGAGGAGTAAAAAAAAAAAAAGATAAGAAGAGAAACTAAGACTCCAATTTTTTGCGTTTAAATGATCTTTGTTAATAAATGTTAGTATTCAGACATCTTTAGGTCCAGTCTTGGTCCACCTACCTTTAGTGATGTCAGAGCCTTTGTTGATGGAGGCGAACAGAGCGTTGCGACAGTCGGGTCCGGAGTCTCCGCCGCCGCCACTGGAGCTGATGTCCATGGGGGGAGGAGGAGGTCCGGGGGGAGGTGGGGGAGGACAACCGCCAGGAGCAGGGGGAGCTGCGGAGGCCGAAGCCATGGGTCCCTGAGAGGGAGAGATAAAATTCAATGAACACCACTTAAGTATTCTTTGAAGCAGATCAGGCAGTCAGAAAAAGAACATCTGGATCAGAACCTCAGGGATGTTTTTTGGATGATATTCAGAAATCTCGTCATGTTTCACTCAAACCTTGAAGTCTTTACAGCCGCTCCCTTTCTACCAGAGTACAGAAGTTAAACCAGTGCTGCTGGTTTACGAGTGATCTTCTCATACAGTATAAACTTTTTTTCCTCTTTAAGTCAGAATCAAACATGGAGAAGCAGCGATCACACTCCTAATGATCTCTCTGCACAGCTCCACTACTTCCTGAATCTAAGGCAGCTCCTTTATTTCCTGTCTTGAAACTAATTAATCCAGGTGTGTCTGTTCATTGTGACAAGTCAGACACACCTGGATTAACCAGTTTATCCAATAATATAAGACAGGAAATAAAGGAGCTGCCTTAAGTTCAGGAAGTAGTGGATCGATGCACAGAGCCCATTCTTGTCAACATGTGTCGAGCTCTTCGGAGGTTTGTTAAAATTCGTCTTGTTTTTGCAGACTCACACTCTTGCTCCAGGACAGCCCAGTGGTGTGGTGCTGTTTGATGTAGCTCTGCAGCTCGGTCCAGATGCTGAGATAAGCCTTCACCCAGTCCACATGTGTCTTATCCCTGTGAAAGAGAGAGAGAGAGAGGAGAACAGAGCGGCCTGTTAAAACAAATCCTGGCTGTAAATGTTGTTTTTGTGGTTAAAGTCTTGATCCTTTCCTTCTGCTCTCTGATTCTAATGTAACGTCAGTTTTCTTCGACTTGAACTTCTACTTTTTGAGTGAACTGAAAACTGCGGTTTCAGGCCTAAAAAATACAGGAAGTCTATCTCCAGCCCGCGTCACAGTGTTGTGCGGCTGTGCTGACTCAGCAAAAAAGCTGCGTTTAAAAAGAGCCCAGAGGAAGGAAAGATGGAGGACAGATGGGCTGAGCGAACTGTTGGCTGCGTATGAAAAGTTCCTCTGCCTGTTTTGAGTGATCAGACGGCCCCACAGAGGATCAGAGTTTGGAGCTGGACTTACTTCTCCTTGTAGTCCTTGAGCACACGGTTGGTGTAGAACATGGCGGCGTCCTGCATCTCTTTGACATAGGGGCCTGGTTTAGGAGCCTGAAACACACAAAAAACACGCATCTTTAATGAGTTGGCTCAGATGGAAAGCACGCTGTTTTAATTTCAGCGTTCAGTCGTTTCCATCTGGATCTGACATGAAACACCAGGGAGCTAAATGAACGAATTCATAATCAAATATTAAGATTTTTCTGTGACTGTGCGTGACCAAGTGAAGGAAAAAATGTGTTTAAATGTCACGAATCCAGCTGACTTGGCTGAGTCAAAAAACTTGAGTGGGAGCGCAAATACTGAGTGTATGCATTATTCATAGAGGAGTCAAACAAAGAGTTAATTCTCTCAAAGTGTAACAGAGAGGCTCTGTTGTTGGTGGTCGTGTGTCGGCCAAGAAACTGTCCATCAGCGGACAGCGATGACAGAACCAAAGAGGCTTGTTTCCGGCTATTACACACTCATTTATCCGTCCACACAAACAAACAAACAAAAACAGAAACACTCATGCGCGGACATTCGCTCTCCCATCCTCGGACTCACCACGGCGACCCATCCGAGCCCCGACACGCTCTCGCTCACGGCGGAGAGGTGGTTGAAGTGCGTGGAGGTGCGGTTATCCTCGCGGAACTTCTGCACCTGCATGATGACTTGGGACACTGGCTTCAGGATGTTCTGCAAAACGCTCTGGATAAAAAAAAACACAAAAGGAAATCATATTTTTGAGAAAGATCGAGAAAACAGAGCCAGAAATCTGTTTTTCTATTTCAAAAATTCAGCATGAACATATCTTAAATGCATTTTAAGATAAAATTTCTGTGGTGTAAGCTGGAAATAAATAAACGTAAGTGTGTTGAACTCACATCAGAGGGCTTCTGGGAGGAGGAGGCGGTCACGAGGACCGCTCTCTCACTGGTGAACCCCTGCTGTACCATATCTGCCTGAAAGAGGAAAAAAGAAACAAAAGAAACTCAAGTCGGTTTAAAACTAAAACTTCAACACAAATTAAAATGAAAAATAACACGAAACAGCTTTTCTTCACCCAGACTTTTAAGATCTGTTGAAAAAGAGAAGAGAGGAAAACCAACTCACGTGTTTCTTGATGTCGCCCCCTAACTTCTGACTGAGGCTCAGGTACTGCGCCAAGGGACCTTTAATGATCTCATCGAATGCATCCACGTAGGCAGATACAGCTACAGACAAGATACAGAAAAAAAGTTTAAAAAAAAATCCATATCGGTCGGGCCCTATATTCTACCCTCATTTGCAATAAAAAGAAAATAGCTGATAAAAAAAAAAGGTTTATTCAATGTTAAATAAATGCTTCAAAACCGGTGACATCTGAGTCATCCTTACCTCCCCCTGAACCTCCACCCGAGCTGCCTCCAGGGCCTGACATGGACTCCAATCGGCCAACCGCCACCTCCAGCCGCTGCACCAGACTCGCCAACTCAGCCATACCTGTGAGGGGGCGGAGCAAAAAAGAAGATCCAGGTCAATGTTAAAGCAACTACACGTCATTCAAATCCTGAGAAACATTAAAATTTCTGCCCGTTAAGAAGTCCTCACACTTTACAACCTCAAATTTAGTCAACACTTAGACAAACTCTCAAACACAAACCCTCAATTTGAAGTCATAACTCCTGTAACATGTCATGATGATGATGATGATGATGATGATGATGATGATGATGATGATGATGATGATGATTCCTGCAGAGTGACTAAGTGATGCTCTCTCTCTCTCTCTGCAGGTGTTAACGCCCCACTTTAGTTTCCCTCAGGGCCAAATAACTAAACAAAAGCAGCAGCAGACTCAAATCTGTTTTTCCATCTCTTGTTTGTCTTTGTCATGTTTGTATGCTGCTCTTAATCACCACCGACACACAGAGACTCACTGTTCTGGTCTTCTAATTGGAGAGTGAATTACAGCAGGTGAAGGAAATCATTATAATTACAACTGAGCAGCTTCAGCGGAGAAACAAACAGCAGAGCTCTGATTTAAGGGTCAAACTGTCCTGATGTATTCGTCTCTTATTAGAGGTTAACCGTGTAAACTTATTTCAGTACAAGTCTGACTTTTTTTTTTCATATCGAATCAAATTTTAAGCGATTCCAAGTATGAGTTTTACTTTTATCTACAAAAAGGTTAGAGCCTTGAGAGTTTTTTATGGTCTTAAAAAGTTTTGAATGTCCCCGTCCTCCATCTCCTGCATCGATCCAGTCCTCCACGTTTTCAATAAGAGGTCCTGTTATAACAGGCCTTAAATTCTACCTTTGGAGAGGTGCTATGGGTCAAAAGAGAAGAAGAGTGCACGGAAAACTATGAAGAAAAAGAAGAGGATGAAGCTGAAAAACAAGAAGATAAAGAAAACTGACAAGAGAAAGATCTAAAGACAGAAGAAGATGAAGAAATGGTGATAAATTCCAACAAAAAAAAGACAAAAATATGAGGGAAAGAGTAAGAAAAAGAAGAACAAGATCTGAGAAAAAGTAGACAGAAGAAGAGGGAGGAGGAGAGGAAAAGAGGAGGAAAAAAGAACAGGAAAGGAGGATGAAAGGAGTGGAAATGTGGAGGAATAGAAAGAGAAGAAGACTCAAAAGAGGAGGACAAAAAGATGAGGAAGAAAAGGAGGAAAAAAGGAAAAAGAATAGGAAAGAGAAGATGACAAAGAGGAAAAAGAGGAAAAGAAGAGGAAAAGAACATGTAAATGACAGAGTCAATAAATTAAGATGAAGAAAAAGACAAAGAAGAAAAATGAAGACACAACAAAATAGCAGCAGATTTAAAAAAAAAATACAGAGCAAGACGAGAAAAAAGAGGAACTCAAAGATGTTAAAGGCAAAAAGCAAGATGAAGAAGAAGAGGAGGAGGGGGAGAAGGATTGGGTCTGTGGAGCAGGTCAGGACTTGTGGAGTAAGAGTGTTTCTGCTGAGTCTGTGGAGAGTGCAGACCTGCCTGTTATTCCAAATATGCTGTTGTCAGACCCTAACATTTCTAAACAAATCCACCTCAGACCCTCTTAGACCTCCCTAGACCATCTCAGACGACCTCAGACCCCCTTAGACGTCGGAGAACAGGAGCTCCAGCTGTCAGTAAATACCGTCTCTTCAGTCTGTGGGCCAACATGTAAATTGACTCTCCTGATTTACTCCTTTAAGTATCAGATTAACTTCCATAATCCACGTCTGGAATAATCTTACACACAAACACACGCTTAATAAAAGGAGAGGCTGCAGTTACATAAGACGTGTGTAACCTGACACCGACTTCACCTGAGCGCCTGCAGTCTCAGGTACTTACACCTGGCTCACAGTGAAAGGAGGCGAGCGGACCACTCTCGCTGATGAAGTACATGCAAGATAAAACCTGCAGCCGCCGTCTCACTTTCACCGGAGAGCGACGACTCCGCTAAATCTGAAGAGATCTGATGACTGAGAGAGTTTCTGGCCGTGAAGATTAAAGACACTTAAAAGACACTTAAAAGGCTTTCTCCTGGTTAAAATAAGAGACGTTTACACGATTTCGCTGCATGGTTTGGTTACTCTGGGTCGGATGTTCTCTGTGCTCACCCATCCTGCTGGTCGACCAACGATGAGGTTGAGAGGCTCCTGTGTTGTATAACAAATCTGATTTTTCCATTTCTGAAGTTATTACCATCAAAAATATCTATCAGTAAAGTTTCTTTAGCGCTTTGTCCCTCATCTTCCAAACTGTACATTCAGGGCAGTCACTTCTATTCAACCTTTACTGACTGGATTTGTGCTGCTGTAGAGACTAGGGGTGTCCTGATACGACATTGATATCGGATATTGGTCTGATATCAGCAAAAAAACAAATATCGGATTATATCGGCCTACATCTAAAATCTCAGCACTCCAAACAAAGTACCAAGGAGTAGGAGTGATGTCAGCTGTGTGGCAATATTTTTTGTTTAAGTCTGAAAAAGACATTGCAGCTGAGTGCAAAACTTGTCATGTACAAGTTTGTGCCAATATTGGATCGATATCGGTATCGGACAATAGTGACGGCTACATTATCGGTATCGTATCGGAAGTCAAAAAGTTGTATCGGGACACCCCTAGTAGAGACATGGCAATGCATGATGACCTACTGTTGTGAAAGACTGATCACAACACATTGAAGACAGTCTACATCCACTCTTCCCACAATGAACTCTTTACTCTGTTAAAATCAAAAACTCCAATTTAAGACAGGTTTTTAAAAAAAGGTATTGTGTTGTGATCCAGGGCTTGACTGGCCCCTTAAAACCCGGACTTGTGTCTGAATTGACAAAAGTTACATAAAAGTTGCTAAAGGGAACACACTGCTATCATACCATGACTCAAACTTTGTACTGAAGCCAGTTTAAATCTTGTTGTCAACAGCATAGCGGTGCGTTAAGATAGGGTGCGACTGTTTGTGTATGATGTAAACCCTCAGGCTGTTGGGTGAAGTCATGCATAGGGAAGTGTGTCACTGGTTTTACATAACCAAGAGTAAGCAGTATGATGTGCCTGTTTAAAACATTTAAGACTTATAATAACAAACCAATAAGGTAAGCATTTCCCCCTGCAGCATTTACTTAAATAAAGTCATCTTATTCCACTTCATGGGGTTTTAACAAGCTAACTTAAGTCCATTACACCGTGCAGATACTACAGGGTCATTTTTTCACGAGACACAAAGATAAAATTAGATAAAAGCAGGACACACAACTCTTCTACCCTTGACCTAAAAGCCTACTTGTTCAGGGCTGCAGCAGCACTTTATGGTTTACCTGCAGGTACCAGAGTTCACTTCCTGCTCTCAGCTGAGATGACTCACCAGCAACTCAGGAAGGGAGTGGTCCCCTAAGGTGTTTTGAGGGAGTAAAATAAAGAAGCAAGCACTGAAGCGTTGGAGGTGGGAAGATGAGAGGCCTCTGCTCCTTCTTCATGAACATCAACACGTTTATTATGTTTAAGAAGACGCATTAGAACTGAAGGGAACCTCTGCTAAGTCAGATCAGATGCTTTTCTCAAAGTAACCACGACATATGTTCAACCCAAATGCTGAGCTTAAGGGAAACTCCTCTGACGGGGAGTAGAAAAAACAAGTTTCCAGAGACATGAGTGCAGATATAGCCGTGACTCACCAGGGAATTGTGCCTTTCATAACATTTTCCTTAGATTATCCTTGAAGGCCTAAAAAAAGGGCATGGCAGAATTGGGTGGAGGAACCCGAGTCGAGTCTAGAGAACTTGATTTCTGTGCTTTGACTGTAATCTTGGTCAAAAGGGAAGTACGAATTAATATTTTATTTTCCCCTGAGACAGAAAATCTCAGTCATTATTAATGCAACTACTATTATACCACACCAGTGTTATGAGAAAATGTGCAAAAGCGGACGCATTTACAGAAAGAATTACGCCATTAGATGCAATAAATACTCCCTTTTCCTGTGTGTTTACCGCAGATGTCTGCACTACAATAATGACATTTGCATATTATTGTGTAGTCTTACTAACAATGTTAAAAAGCCCCATCCTATTCAATCTCAAAAGCTTAAGAAAGATCCTAAATGTGCCAGAGTTGGAGTAAATCTCTCCCCAAAAATGTAAACAATGTTCCCACAGGCACACTCTCTTTAAGTGCATTTTTGCTTTAATTACATTAATTCCCCCTCTAACTCCATCTGACTGTGTTTACAGGCCAACTTTTACAGTCAAACAGCAGAAATGCACCACTTTAGCTCGCAGGAAAGTGAAGAGGGTTAGGCCTTCTGCCTCCCAGCCCCGGGACACATAAAGAAGGAGGAACTCGCCTTTCTTTTGACTCTTTTAGCATGAATTAGAGTAAAAACACCATTTTCACACAGGGAGAAGTAGGCCACAGCAATGGCGGTGAGCTCGAACCGTCCAGACAGTCCTATTTCAGTGGGCTCAGGGCTCAAACAAATCAAGTTCAAGCCGCTAGGGTTAATGCGATCATTGGGTTTCAATCAGATGGCAGCTAGCTAACGATGCTAAAGCTACAGGAGCTAGCGGAGCCGGCTGGTGTTGTGACAAATCCTGCGACCGTGTCAGTTTGTCCCCCCGCCAGGTAGTCAATTAGCTAAGAAATATACATCGACTCAAAAACAGCTGTCAAATATATAATATGCCACGATAGCCTTTACTGATTTTATTGTTTTTTCCTGCTCATTTTTATTATTCCATTTTATCATCACTATTACTACCATTATGATGTTATCATCATTATTAATATCCTCTTTTATTCTTACTATCCTGTTTCCTGCTTTCTGCCCCCCTTTTCTATTTCATTTCTTCTTATTACCTATTTTATGTTTTTATTTTGGTCCTCATGGTCTCATTTTATGTTGTAGGGTGCATGTAATGTCTGGGTTTCTTTTGAAAAATGAAATTGGCCTTCAATTCGGAGGCCTTGTTTTTATTTTCATCTGCTGATGTTCTGTGCTTTGCAACTGTTTGTCAATGCACTTCGTAAAGTTCTGTTTTTAAAAGTGATATAGAAATAAAGTTATCATTATTACTAGTGTGTTTCACTGGTGCTGCCTCTGTTTTTTTATTTCCCTCTGGGTTTAATAAAGTATCTATCTATCCTTATTATATTTCTATATCACAAACACACGTATCGACATTTTTTATACAAACAAAAGCCCACGTAGGGCTTCTGTAATGACTATTTCAATAGATGTATTTACGACAGCTACTGCCGTATTCAGCTGAAAATCACCACATAACTGGGTAGCGCAATGAGCCGGAACACCAGTGGGTGTTGTGACCATTCTGCCCCGGCTACTTCACTCCTCACCTATCTGTTAACCCCCTAACCTTAAAGCCAAATACTGGCTAATCGTATGCTTTAAAGAGCACTTTTTACCGTTTGAGTTAAAGCATTTATTTAAAGACATTCTGCTAAAACGTATCAGATCTAGTTCGCCTGGTGTGTAGTCTTTCTTTCTGCTGAGTGTGTTTCGGCATTTCCTGGATTTTTTTTCTCTCTCCCTCTCACACACCCCTCCCTGTGTTAGCTCATGTTGTCTGGGGTTTGCAGCAAAAGAATAAGTTTCCACATTCAAGTGAAGGGAGGGAGAAGTCTAAAATAATCGCGTAACTAAAACATCTCCTGACCTGTGGGAATGAAGCGTCAGATTTTGCAGCTTTGTGAATGATTCGACGCCGCGGCAGCAGCTGCAGCAGGAAGCGGCGCCGCGCCGTTGACGCTCTCACTAACCGTTTTTAACGCTTCGACTTTAACCTCAAACGTGCTGAATACGCGCAACCAGCTATCACCGCGAGTAGCTTACCTGCTAAACGGGTCAAGCAGTGATTTGGTGTTTCAATCCGATGTCAGTCTCCTCTTCGTTGGAGTGTGTGCACCCTGCAGGTTCGCAGCGCAGACTGGGCTTCTTCTTTTTCTTCCTGTATGTCGGTGAATTTTCCCAGCTGTCACCGCGCCGCGTTTCCGCCCTTGTTCGCGCAACTAATTCCTTTCCCATATAAGGAGTGTGAGAGGCAGAGGGCAGCAGTACGAGAGGAGAAATGAAGAAACAAGTGTTTTCCTTCCGTATTTATATATATCTGTATATGCAGTGAAGTACATGTGTCACTAAGCCATTGAAAGGAAATGTTGGAGAAACAGACAAAATTCATCAACTGTGATTATCTGTGTGAGGGCAAATGTTGCATAATAGCTGGAGGATGCAACTCTAGGCTGAATGTTTCTACTTCTCTGTCATGCTTCAACATGTTTTCTTGGTTTTCCTGGCCTGTGGAGTAAGAAAGATTACGACTACACTCACTAAAGTGGAGCATGTGTCTGGGCAGGATATATATGTGCCAATAGGAAATAAATTCTGATGATGAAAAAAGGAGAAAAAAAAAACCCTCTGGTAAACAAGCAGCAAAAAGATGAGAGTTGCTTCAATCACCAACAGAAAGTTACTAAGAAAGTTTACAGCCTTTTACAAAAATAGTTATAATCTCCAAAGCCACAATGGAAGTTATTGATGCAAAAAAAATAAAAAATACTACAAAAAAAAAAAAAAAGAATGCAAAAAAAAGAAGCTTCAACGGAAGTTACTGATGAAAAAAAAAACAGAGCCCACTGTAAATAAAGAAAGAAACAGTGCAGTTTAAAAAAAAATGTTGCAGCGGTAGTTAATGACAAAAAAAGTGGGGATGCAAAAAAAAAAAAAGAAATGGTGCAGATTAAAAAAAAAGCCACAACAGTGAAGGATGAGCAAAGAAGTTAGTGAAAAGGTTATTGTTTAATTTCCCTTTGTGCGCTTTTAAATGTGGTTAGGCCATGTAGCGCCTGAGTTGATATGAAGTTGAACTTAAGCTAACACTACACCGGCATCCTCCACCCACTGTGCAATGCGACGTTGAAATGATATCTATTTAACATATTTTTTCGATGATGACGTACAAATGGGGACGTCATTTCAACATCTAAAAGAAGTCCAATAATGACGTCTAAATCTTGGATCCATTTTGCACATCATGCCGACGTCTAGATTTGGTCTTCAGATGATGTCCAAATTCAAAAAAGGTCCAATTTGGACATTAAAAATTCTAACCTCTTTTGCACGTTGCACTGACGTCTAGATGTGGTCTTTGACCAATCGACCCAATACTGACTTGATCCGCACGTCTCTTTGTTATGGCTTCCTTTTTTTGCATTCTTTTTTTTATATGCAGCAGTGGCAGTTCTTGGCCACCATAGTTCATCAGCACATACTGAACATCATCTGTTTTTATGTTACTCATTAGTTACGAGGATAATAAGGTTACAAATTTGACATATAAGAAGCACAACTGGCTTGACAGATGGATGGGGGTCACTGTAGCTGTTAGCGAGAAGGTTAAATGGCGCCTCAACTCTGTCTCTTTGCCTGAAATCTTTACATTTCTTTGTCTCTAACTTTTATCACCTCCTGTAAAATATTCACTAATCGAAATGAAATGACTCAGCTCACGACCGTCATCCCCTGCAGTTAATGGAGCGGAAAAAGGACAACTGTTAAATCAGACCAGCCTTAAAAGCCAATGAGGGGTCAAGCTTTGATGGAGATGTGTGAATGCGGCAGAAGCTTGTATCAGGGTCAGTGCAGCAGTGCTATAGTGGTGAACCAGCAGCTGCACTATGGAAGGAGGCTGTGTTAAACATTGGCATTGGTGCACATCTAGTGGGGAAATAATAGAGAAAGACAAATTTAAAGAGCAAGGAGAGGAAAGTGTAAAGTAAAAGTACACACATCTTTCTCTTTCTGTCTTGAAACTCAAGAACAGACTGTAACATTTTATTTTAATTTACAGATTATCCAGTTGCTCCAGGTGTGCTCACACAGAAAGAAAAGGGAAGGGGACACTCCTTCACTAACACCTCATCTAAAACATCATGAATTTAAACTCCCTTCATTTTCAACACGTCTCATCAGTTTCTGTGTCAGCCTTCACAGTGGACTCCTCAGAGTCAGGGTCAATTCACATCTTAAAATCCCCCCAAAAATGAGCCTCAAAATGTTGCATGTGTAACAGAGAAACACTGAATCATGTGTTGGCAATCAGGTACAGAATACGGTGTAAAAATAACAACGACAGAGTGATCAACATGGGTTTTTTTTTAACCCCAAAATGTGCAAAAGCATGGGAAGAATCTAGGATTATTATGAAGAGTTCAAAGGATGAGATTTCTCAGATTTGGCACTTGGGTGCACTTTGTTTTAATTCTTTATAATAAAAGGAAACGGCCAGATAAGTTCAGTAAATAAAATTAAAACATATTTTAGAGATTTCTGCCTCTGTTGGATGTGCACTGGTTGCTTTAACTGACATCAGCATGAGATGACTTAACGGTGAGAAAGCGAGTTTTTTTCTCCCCCCTCTTTCTGGACAAATGTTTCAAATGATTTCTCATTTCACACAAGGTACAAGCGGAGATGTGTCGTCGGCGTACCTGTTTAAACATTCAGCATCCAAAGGAAAAAAGTGGCTTACAGGTCAGTTTCACAGAAAAAGCAATCACACTGAAATGTTGCGGGGTAGAAATTTTCCCTCGGTGCAGACAAGTCAGGAAACATTCATCACAGCTGCTGATACAGAAGAAAAAGAAGCACAACCGCAGCTTTTTCTGCCTTTTCCTTTAACGTATTCATTTCTTCATTTAAAGCTTGTGTTGGTCCATCTCTTGTATAGGTTTTTCAGTATATTAATCTAGTTTTCCCTAATGTGCTCGGAGTCAATTAGAGCACAGAAGGACGCTGAAAATGCACGGATAAGCTCGCATTAGCCTTTACATTCAAGCCTTCAGGTTTGCTTCAGTTACTGAGGTATTCTTAGACTTCAGCTGCATCAGTGTTTCCTAAATATGTCATTTCTTTTCATGGACATGGTTTTGAACTGTGAGATTACTCTGGATAAGAATAATTGGGATTTGGAAGTTTTTTAATCCATCAAATTAAGTCTCGGTTTCCAAAGAAAACTAGTAACTAACTGATTCAACCTGCAAAATTCCTGGTTGTTTTTTAAAGCTCCTATCAGGAGTTTTTATGCTAATGAAATAGACTGAGTCTGATACCTGTGTGAGGGGGTAGCCAAGCAGCTGAAGAGGCAGCCCTGTTTTTACAATTTTTATGATTTCACATTAAATTATGCATTTTCTTTTGTTGAAAAAAGTTCTGCTTTGTCCACAGGGGGGCGCCAAATGGACACAAATACAAGTTCCTTACAGGAGCTTTAAATTTAGATGTTGGGACTGTATTAACCGCTTTTGGTTGATAATCTTGAGGGGACTAAATCTTGAATTTTTTGAAACAATGAAGTCTAAATGAGCAGCTGAAAAGCAAAATATGAGAAGTGTCTGAAGTATAAGCATCATAATAAAACTGTCATTTTTGTTTGTTGAACTTTAAAGGTTTTTTTTAAATATTTTGTTGTTAGTTCTTCTTGTTATAAGATCGCAGGTAGTCACTGGACGAGCATTTGAAGAGGTATATTGATGCTCAGGGCTGTCCACATGTGAGTGGATCACCCAGGAGAGATGTTAATGACAGTAATGAACAAGGCCGGAGTTATTCCAATCAAAAGAAAACTTCAGAGAAAAATAAAAAGCTGAGATTTGATCACCTGTTCTTTTCTAATCTCATGATTTTCTTTGAAACAGCTTCAGTCCGATCAGATTACTTTGAAAACGGGGTAAAAGGTTTTTGAATGCCGTAGAAACGTCATGTGTTTGTGGCTGAAACCATCCAACTTAAACCATCGCAGATCTCCATTCGCAACCAACGTGAGAAACTGAGCCTGAGACATTAAATCAAAGTGCATCTAATCACAGCTAAAGTGTTTGTGGAAACAAAAACAAAACATACAGTGGTCTTCATGTTTCAAGCAATTAATGAACATCCAGGTGAGTAAACAGAGTCTGGTCTGTTATGGCGTCTCCATCGAGACCAAACTCATTAACCTTGTTGATTCCAGTGTGTAAATCCAGCGACTTCATCTGCAGTGAAGCCTCCAGAATAAAAACATGGTGTTTTTCCTCAAATAACATTCGACCTGTTTCTCTTCGATGGGTTTATAACAGACATAAAAACATAGAAACTGCTCTGGAGAAACCTAAATCCACACATACACTCATCATACAAACATGCAGGCGGTCATTCCAGTGCCAAATTGCACCCAAACTGCAATCTGTCACTCCGCATGCTCTTATTTTGTTGTTTTTGGAGAAAAGTTCGATGATGTTTGCAGCTCTGTTTTGGTTCAAGTCACCATGTTTAGTAGATCTGTTGCAGGGCAAACCGTCGGTTTGGACATGGCAGTGTTTGGTAGCATCCCGTTGACCTGAAACAGTGGAAACGACGTCTTTGTGTGCGTTCATGCGTGTGTACAAAGAGGCAAAGGTGTGAGCGTGTCGAGTGGCTGGTTTTTTTTCGTGTCACCGAAGCTGAGGAGGGGTTAAGTACATTCTTCATGTCTCTGTGTTAAATAAAAAGGGGTTTTCATTTTTTTTCCATTCAAAGCACAGTGCTCACCCCTTTGTTTTCAGCATATTGTGTTTTTTTTTCCTCCATATTGGCTCAGTGTGGGAGCAGGGACGTGTCAGTACGGTGCTGTATATCTCTGTGAAGGTGGCATGTTTTTCCTCTTCTTCTTCTCCTCTTAAATCTAAGCACACAGAGTTCGTCCTCGTGAAGGAGAAGTGCGAGGTTTCCATGCTGAACAACCAAAGAGAAAACAGGAAGAGTGAGGGGCAGTGAGGAGGCGAGCGGGCGAGTGAGTGTGTGCGAGGGCAGAGGCGAGCTCCCCTCCTCCTCCCTTGCTATAGCAGCTCCTCTCGCTGCTTCTTGCCTCTTACGGGACCCTGGCCGTTCCTCAGGGAGCCGTTCTGGGGCCTCAGGAGATGGCCGCGCTCCTGCTCCGTCCACGGGACCCCGCCGTGCCCCTCATCACTGTCCAGGTCGGAGTCCGAGTGCATGAGGGCGGAGGAGGTGGGAGCGGGCACGGGTTTCAAGCGGACTAGAAAGAAGGCGGTTCACTGTTTTATTATCAAATATTGAGTTCCATTTGATTTTGATTAGTTTCATTTGTAATTAATGTGACATTTTAACAGCTTAACTCAAACAGGTACCTCCTATTGTTAAAAAAATGTTAAAATTTTAGCCATGAGGAGTCAATTTCAGTCAATCGATCGTGTGTCTCTCACCAGGTCGAGGTGGTTGCAGCTCCAGACTGTCTTGCTCATCAGCTTCTAGGATTTTATACCTGCTTTTACTTCTGCGCACTTTGCTTTTACGCCTGAAGGGGAAAAAAGAAGACAAACAAGATTTATATCAATAAGCCCACAGGGAGTTCAGAGAGTATGTGAAAAATGTAAATGACACTAATGATTGTCAGAGAAAGAACAGTTAGGACTGATAAACTTTCACTTAAATTTTCACTTCGCTTACCGTATTTTTCATTATAAGGCGCACTTAAAATCCTTTAATTTTCTCAAAAATCCTCAGTGCACCTTATGTATGAATTCTGGTTGCGCTAACTGACCTCGAACTGATTTTATGTGGTACACAGCGCTCAAAAATCTGTAGCTTACCAAAGTCGTAATAAAACATTTTGACAAAGCCGCACAGTCTGATGGCTTGTCGGATGAGTGTAAAAAAGTTTGACTTATCTGACTCTTTTGTTTGTCTTAATGTGCTTTATAATCCGGTGCGCCTCATGTATGAAAATAGATGCGAATAAACGCATTCATTGATGGTGCGCCTTATAATCAGGTGCGCCTTATAGTGCAAAAAACACAGTAAAAGGAAAAATTAGAACAATTTTTGCTATTTTGCAAATTTTACCCACCTGTTGCAGCAACACACCATCCCCCAGACAACTGTTGCTATAGCGACCACTATCATAAATGATGCTATCGTCACATAGAGTACGCTCCATTCTGTAAAAAACAAAAATGAGACACACAAAGGAGGTTATTACTGTGAAACAGAACTTCTTAAGTTGGTATGTTACGGCTGCAGCCGCATCCCTTCTCTCAGGGCGGCAGGACCAATTGGAGGGGAGTGGACCGTTGAAGAGGCTGCCGATTGGAGTGCTCGCAGACACTCGCGTTCAACCATTTCGACACTTTGTTAGGAAGATCTGTGTGTGTGTGAACTGCTGTGGAGGCGACATTGTATATTTCTTTTTTTATTGTCTTATAGAGGATTAGGGTGCTGCTCACCATTCGACCGTTTAAAAGTTGAGTTAGTTTAATTAAGTGACTTTGGTTTCTTCCCTCTAGTTTAGAGTCACCTTTTGTTGCACTTGTTTGTTTCTTTGAGCGGTATCCCATATCCCTGTTTTTTCTTCGCCTCAAACTTTGTTGGAACAGCACTTCCTTATTTATTTAGGCGATTAAACAACCACTTTTACAACAAAACCAGGGTTTTTGTTACGTCCTTTCCCTTCCCGAGCTGGGTTGTAACATGGTATAATCATGAGATCCACTAAAGAGGAAACAGAGATTCTTCTCGTCTCACCGCAGTTGCTCTCTGCGTCTCCGAGCTGCGCTCTGATGAAGTTCTCCATCCAGAACGGGTGGCAGACGCAGCGTCGGGTGAAGGAGTCGCACTCGCCATGACTGGAGCAGTTTAGCTGGCAGACTGGTGAGGAGACAGGAAGTAGCAGGTTAAATATCAGAGCTGTGAAATATCTTAAAGAGAGCAGACTGAGGAAACCAAGAAGCAACAACACACACAAAGAAGAAGTGATACGGCATCAGTCTGTAATATAAGCATCGGTTTCGGAAATAGAGAGAGAGAGAGGTCAGAGAGAACCTGTAAAAACAGCTCAATAATCTCAGACATTTGACCTTTGACTCCTGAGATTACCTGAGTCTTATCCTTGGGACTCCAGGTTAAGAGGTGAGAGCAGCTCTGAATTGACTGCTGGCTACAAACTGACTGCCAGATTTATTCATAGGTTGGCTGATATCCATCAACAAGGTGGGTGGCAGCTGATAGACAAACCCGGAACATATGCAGCTCTTGTAATCCAGCCTTGAATTTATTCCCACTCTTGGAGCATCTAATCCTATTTCAAAACGACATTTTCTGTCTTTTCGCTTCTTTTCTGCTGCCGTGTGTCTCTCGCAAACAGTATTAATCTGATACTCACTGACTGTATCCACCCGTCGGGCTTTGTAGATAAGAAAATCATTCTTCTGTTTGCGCAGTTTGTTTCTCAGCCCGAGTGCAACGCTGCGACCGGACAGAGGGGGGCGCCCTGGACCTCCTGACACCAGGAAGACCAAACGAGCACTGAGGAGAGAGAAAGAAGTCAAAAATAGTGTTCGAGAAGTCAAATTGAGGTGATGACAAAAAAGGTCTTTAGAAGAAAATCTAAATGTTTCACTCACCTGAGCTCATTATACGCACTGATCTCCCTCACAATGATGTCACTGTCTAACACGCCGAGTAAGACCCCGACCTGCCGCAGCAGCATGTCACGCTGACGGTGGGAGACCTGGGCTACTGGGACTTCTAAGACCAACTCCACCAGGTCATGCTCCCATATGTCTAAAAAACAGAGAGAGAGAGAGAGAGAGAGAGAGAGAGGGGTGAGAAAAGAGCAGGAGTGTAGAGCGGAGAGAGAGACCGATTGTTGAATCCATTTGACTCTCTACAGTCTGGGAAAGAAGCCAGAGCAGCGAGTGAAGGATTAGTTTCTAGCTGGGGTCGTGTCTGTTCACCTTATACTGCAAACTGACCTGCTGCTGTTAACTCTTTCTTTCCTGCTGGCTAAAAACTCATTTGTTTGGTTTGTATGTTTGCTTGTATTAAAGGGATATTCCAGCGTAAAATTAATTTAAGGTCAAACACACCGTAACACTGAGTTAGACACCCCCTCGAGAGGTGAATGTTGCCGACCTCTCGTTTCTCTAGTTAAACCAACTTTAGTAACGTCCGCACGATAGCAATACACAGGGGTCTCAGGAGCCACATGCTCGACCAAAACGCCACTCTATAGCCACAAATAATGCTCAGAAGAGCACCTAACTTCATCAACAGGACATATAGGGTCCCAGCCATAGTACTAGCAACCAAACATCTTTTTAACTTTGTCTAATTTCTTCAGCAAAGAGACTAAACACAACTCACCTACTCTCTTCCAGCAGCAGCTTGTTTGTAGCGTGACCTCAGGCCAGTCCATTATGGACTACAGCGGGGTTACACAGCTCAAAGAAGAACATTTATGATCATTTCTTTATAATTTCCTTGAAATAATAATCATCATAATAATCATTTTGCACTGCAGACGCAACAGTTCTTCTGCCTTAGCGTCTCGGTCTGATTGCATTTCCATAAAGACATGATCGTAAATGTTCTTCCTTGAGCTGCGTCACCCCGCAGCAGTCCATAATGGACTGGCCTGAGGTCTCAAACAAGAGGCTGCTGGAAGAGAGTCGGCAAGTTGTGTTTAGTCTCTTTGCTGAAGAAATCAGACAAAGTTAAAAAGATGTTTGGTGGCTAGTACTATGGCTGGGACCCTATATGTACTGTTGATGAAGTTAGGTGCTGTTCTGAGCATTATTTGTGGCTATAGAGTGGCGTTTTGTTTGAGCGCGTGGCTCTCTGTATTGATATCTGCAGTGGTTACTAAAGTTGGTATAACTAGAGAAGCACGCAGTCAGCAATGTTCACCTCTCGATGGGCTGTCTAACTCTGTCTAACCGTATGTTTGACCCTAACTTAATTTTACGCCGGAATATCCCTTTAAAGAAGCCAAATTTTTATAATAATTGCACAAGAAGGTTGAGTCCCTGTATGTGTTTGCAGGTCTGTCCACTCTACCTGGTTTGACCTCCACTGTGCCACTGTCCGTGCTGGTCTGTCCTTTACTGTCAGTCACAGTCAGGGTGAAGCTGTACTTCCCCTCCACCAGGTTACCCAGGAACAGCACCGCCTGGTGGTCGGAGTTGTTCAGTACATCCTGTTGACACAAAAACGCAGTTATCAATCTTTTGATAAGGTTGGGTTTTATTCTATCAGCACAGACATCTGATCATTAGCAGCTCTAGCGTCTAAAACCATCAGTCAGGCTTCATCAGAAGAGCCGGTCTCACCCCAGCGGCAGGACTGTTGTCATCTCTGGTCCACAGGTAGCTGACTCCACCTTTGTCGTCAGTGGAGTGAGATCCATCCAGAGATGCGGTCCTGACAGGCAGAGCGATGGCTGGACTCGACACAACGTGAGCCACAGGAGGCTGGTCCAGTTCTGATGGGGAAACAGACGTATTTTGAGAGGACTCTGATCATGAGAAACTGGATTTTTCCTTCTTAGCTGTGAAAGATTTATCATGCTTCGGGTGTCCTCAACACTTTGGATTGCTTTGTTGCTTCAGTCTGCTTAAATAAACCTGCTTTCACTGCACATACAGAAAAAAAAATCTGGCTTATAAAGTATGCATGCAAAGTCAACATACCGAAACAAAACGCTTCATTAAGTGTGACTCCTGCTGGAGAAACTGTTCACGCTTCCTTGAGTCTAAATTTAGTTAAAAATCATCCATAATCCTCACCTGCCGGGATTTAATCCACGTCAGCTCTTTCTGATGACCAGAGTAGGATCAGTCTGCACGCACAATCACACAATTACACAATTACACACAGACGCACACACACTTCTCTCACCTTCTCTGACAATGACCGTGACAGTGTCGCTACTCTGCAGCTTTCTCTCATCCGTTACGGTCAGGGTGAACTCGTACGAGCCAACCTCGAGACCTGTAACCGTGGCAACAGCGCTGTCTGCATTCTCAATCTTCACACCGTCTGGACCCCTGGTGGAGGAACAGACGGTCAGAAACAGAAACACAAACACTTGAGTATGAAAGAGAAGATACCATAGAGGGGAAGAACGAATCATAATATCTAAGACTGTGTGAGAGATTTCTTTTAAATAACTATTTTACTGTATAAGAAATGAAACTTTTAACCACTTTTCAACATTTGTGTTGATAAAAAGACTCTACAAACTTGAATACAACTGACTTGGTTTGTTTCCAGTGGTAGGTGGCAATCTTCTGGTCGTCGCTGCTCTTGCTGCCGTCCAGCGTGGTCCGATCTACGGGCAGAGTCAGCTCTTTCTCTGGTCCTGCATCTGCTGTTGGCGGCTTATTGTTTTCTAGAGGACAAAGAGTGTGGGAGACAACCAGGATGAGGAAAATGTAAAAACATCTCTACTGTTAGATAAACTCAAACATAGATAGATAAAAACCTCATGTGGCGTTTCTCTCATAAGAAAAGAAATTACAGTAATAATTAGTTTGGTAAATTAATGTGTCAAAAAAAAGAAGCTATATCGGTAGGGCTGGGCGATAAACCGAAAATTTACTGATACCGAAATTTATGACAATAACCAACGTCATTTTGCCCATATCGGTGTATTCGGTGTATATGGATGAATTTATCATGTGTCAGAACAGATGATCATTTTTTTCTGCAATGAAAATTTAAAAAAAATGTATGTGCAGTAATGGATGGACAATATTATCAAGAGTAAATGAACCCTAGAAAATATTTATTTGGCACCAAAGATGTGGAAAATGTTCATGTCTGAAAAAAAAAAAAGTGCAAATCTTCATGTGCAATGATGTAAAGTAATAGATGTGGAAAGGTTCTATCTGGTGGTTTGCAGAAATGCTTTTCATAGCTTTTGTAGTGTGCATTTTTTACATGCAGAAATTTTGCATATGACACTCTGCTTGTGCTAATTTGTTTTTATTTAAATCAGATCATTTTTGGGAACAATTCCATCCCAAAACAACTGTAAAAGTGGATTAAAACTAACTTCATCATAGAAAATACTTGGATAATAAACAGGCTGATTGTTCCACCGACGACACACCATAAAGGTCAAAATGAATCATCTCCTGACATCCGTCCTTTTCTTAACTGTCTTTAAGTCCAGCCTCCATTTATTCTCACTTTGGCACTTCCTTTAGAAGTTATGACTCAAACACTTGACATTCTCTGACCTCGCAGCCTGGTGTGTGTGCGTGTGTGTGTGTGAGTGTGTGTGTGTGTGTGTGTGTGTGTGTGTGTGTGTGTGTGTGTTCAAATGACAGGTCCTGTTTAATCACTCTTAGATCATCATACCAGTGTGTGTGTGTTTGCACGTCTGCAGTGCACACAAGAAGCTTATCAGGTGGAATGCACACGTGCACCTGCATTCACCTCCATTCACTGGGTCATAACGGTGTGACTCAGGTTATGTTAAAGCAAATACAACTTCAATATCAGCTTCAAAAACGCTGAAGTGGTCAAATTTAAACAGAGATAAACTATTTAAAAGTTTCTCATGAGTTCTAAAAACTTCATGTATCCAGACTGATGGAGTTATTAAAGGCAAACAGGAAGTGCACACAGCTGAATAAACAGACTTCAAAAAGAAAATGAGTTGGTTATTAAATCATGAAGACAGAGTGATTGCTGTAATTTATGCCTCCAGCAGCTGACAACGACAAATAGTCCTCCAAAAATTTCAGAAATGTGCAAAACCGGCACAAACAAACTCTTTTCCTCTTAGGGCGTATACCTGGTTGCACAATGACGGTGACCTGGGCGGTGTCCTGCTGTCCAGAGGAGTCCGTCACAGTCAGCTGGAAGGTGTAGTCTCCCTCCTGCATAGCCGACAGCTGCAAGATTGGTGTCCTGACGCCCTGAACGGCACAGAGAGACTCAGATGTGAGTCAGGCGAAATATGCATTTAAATTGAAACATGCAGATTTAGAGTAAGCACGAGTGTCTCACCTGCATCTCCACCACCTTGTCTTTGCTCTCAGGGCTCAGGGACCACTCATACGACAGCGAATCGTGGTCGTCGGTGCTTTGGTTGCCGTACAGAGAGATGGAGTTGCGTGGCAGCTGGATGACCTGAATGAAGCGAAGAGGAAAGATCAGATTTTTGTTTTCAGGTTTGAACTAGTTTGGGGAGAAAATGTATTTTCTATAGAGAAACAGAGAAAGAAAACCTGGTTCGGGCCGGCGTTGGCTACAGGCCGGTAGTCCTTGGCTTTGTTGACTGAGAGGGTGGCCTGTGTTGAGCTTTTGGCTCCATCTGAGTCTGTCACTGTCAAACTGAGAGAGGACATTCACTATGAACAAACACAGACTGTCTGTCAGGCAGAAATTTATACAGTTTATCTCCGACCTCCATAAAAACACAGTCCACAAGATCAGAAGTTTAAATGATATTTTTGACGGTTAAGAGCTGCACCTTTCACAAGGTCAAAATGGTGCTTTAAAAGTTCCTCTAAGAAGTTTGATAAAAAATATTTCATTAAAGGGATATTCCGGCGTAAAATTAATTTCGGGTTGCCGACCACTTGCTTCTCTAATGCCTGGTCATTAATAGCTTCTTATAGTCGTTTTGCAACAGCCTCTCTCTTCATGCTCACCCTGTCCCTCTGTTTTACTAACACACAACTCCTCCTCTTCCTTCTCAACCTTGTACTTCTAAATGGGTTTGTTGTGTTTCTCTTAAGTACTTTAAGGGATATTTATCATTAATGTTCTTCATTGAGCTGCGTCACCCCGCAGTAGTCTGTAATGGATTGGCCTGAGGTCTCGCTACAAACAAGCGGCTGCTGGAAGAGAGTAGGTGAGTTGTGTTTAGTGTCTTTGCTAAAGAAATTAGGCAAAGTTAAAAAGATGTTTGGTGGCTAGTACTATGGCTGGGATCCTATATGTCCTGTTGATGAAGTTAGGTGCTGTTCTGAGCATTATTTGTGGCTATAGAGTGGCGTTTCGGTTGAGGTTTGTTTGTGACTACTCAGACTGCTGTGTATTTCTATCCTGCGGTCATTACTAAAGTTGGTATAACTAGAGAAGCAAGCGGTCGGCAACATTCATCTCTCGAGGGGGTGTCTAACTCGGTGTTACGGTGTGTTTGACCCTAATTTAATTTTACTCCGGAATATCCCTTTAATGTCCTTTTTTAGTACATCATTGCCAGTTTTTGCTTGTCTAGAAACTTGGCCACTCAAACGATTTGAACAGGAAGTCTGCGGTCCACCTGTACCTGAAAGTGTAGTTCCCAGGCACCAGGCTGGTGAGTGTCAGCACAGGGGTGTCTGCAGAGACCTTTTCCTCCCTCAGGGGACCTTTCACCTCCTCCCAGTGCCACGCCACCACCTTGTCATCATCCGTGCTCTCTGTAGGAAGTGAAGCAGAAGGTCACAGTGAACGATGACACATTTATCTGCGAGGCCTTTCTCTTAAACCCGTGAGTCACGTATGTTTGCACATCTTGTATGTTTGTTATGTGGAGACTCACGGCTGCCGTCTATCACCGTCGAGCTGGTTGGCAGGGAGATCTCCTGGAACTTCGGGGAAACCACGGCAACAGGAGGCTTGTTTACCCGAGGCTCTGTCAGGTGGAAAACAAGAAATTAACTCGCTTGCTGAGCTGTAAACGAGCCGAGGGTTCAGGCACAGTTTGCTCGAGTCAGCAGCTTCCTCCTCGGCAAAAGTCACAAAGAAGACCGTGTGTGGGAGGAAAGCAGCCGTGTCTTCCAGCAATAAGATCTGCAGAGTTTATTCTGTCAAAGTGAGACAAACTGTGGACTCAATCCTGGTAAATTCATATTATTCACTCTACTGTGGCAGTGTAGTTGGTCAGTACAAAACCTTACATACATACAGTATATAAAACCTGATGCACACTGTCAGGACTTGATGATTTTGAGTCTGGAGATTGTTCCTCATGACAAAAGTCTCTAATTCAACTTCATATTTCTCACAGTTTGCTGTATGCCATCAGATTTTCAAGGCCTGTACTTACTGGCTTAAAAAAATCAATAACATCACACCGTATTAAACACATGTCTGTAGCTTTGGCCTTGTACTGCACATCAGCTCAAAGATGCACAAAAGTTCATTGAGACACTAAAACCCTCAAGTCATGGGAGTAAGATAAAGAAAAGTAAGCTCATGTCGCAGTTGCTTCAGGAACTGTTGCTACAGTGGTTGCAATATCACAAATGTCACCATAACTTGATGGAGTATGAGTAAGTAAGTAAGTATGTGACAACATCTTTGAACTGAGGCAGACTTAAACTCCTGGTTTTAAGGTTTTAACTCATGACTTTTAAATGCAGTCTCAGGAAACTTCACTTAAAAACCAAAGTAGACTGAGAGTTTGCTGTCTGGGTTCCTGCCTGGGTGTGTTTTTTTGTTCTTCTATCAGTAACCCAGTCAGTTTAAAGGCAAGCTGTATGAAATTTTGGCACTATTTTTTTTTTCATTTTTATTTTCTTAATTCCAAAAGCCTGTCTATTAGAAGTGTTTAGAATGGGAGATTTGCATCAAACAGACACTTGTTACCCTCGTGACCAAATTTGTCCCATTGACTCCCATTATAACCACATATTTGTCATAAGCTATAATCCTAACATATTATAATGCTTTTTCTATTTATACCTAATAGATCTAAGCTTTTACCTTCAAAGTTTAGGGAAAATATGTTTTAGGTGCAATGACCCCCTTTAACAACATGCAGGGGTAGAGGCCATTACATAGAGTTTTAGGGAAATTTCAGTGAAGGCCTGGGTTTCTTACCTCACAAAATGCATAGAAATAACAAAGCTCAACACCATAAAACGGTCTTGGTATATTAGCACTGATGTAAAATAGTGGTTTAAATATAAATGAGGACAAAAAAAACATCAACAGAGCCTTTTTGACCTGGGATTCTTTGATTTTCACACAGAAACACACATAGACAGATATCTAAAGGGTCCTTCTGTGAGAGAATAATCAGCCCTCCTGACTCTCAGATGAATCCTCAAAATTCACTTTAGAAACATGCTCCTCATTCTCCTCCTTCTTGCCTCTGAGGACATGCTCATGTCTACACTTTCTTCCTCATACTTCATTTGATTGTTTTTTATTTCATGGTTTCTCCCTTTTGTCTCTTCATTTTAGCGTCCATGTTTCTATTCCTGTATCATGGCAGATTATTATTACCAGGCACTTTGTGACATCTGTCTTAAACATCTGTTTTGATAGATTCCCTTCTTCTCTTTCTCTCCTTCTGCCCCCCCTCTTACTCCTCTCTCTCTCTCCCCCTCCCTATCTCTCTGTATTTCTCCGCGATTCAGCAGCGGCGAGGTGGCTGTGTAACATGAGTCTGGTCCTCCCCAAGGTTTCTGCCTGTTAAAAGGAAGTTTTTCCTCACCACTGTCAATGTTAGATGAGATGGGTTAAATCTGTCCAATCTTAAAGTTGGGTCTTGGTAATTCATCAAACAATGGGTGTGGTCTAGACCTGCTCTTATTACTTACTGTTGTGATTTGGCGCTGTATAAATAAAATTTGATTGATCGTTTTAAACCATGGAAGATATTTAAGAGGATGTTTTTATGTTTCTTTTATTGCAGCTTTTTCAGAGGCTTTTAAACTCAAACTTTAGGCAAATAAATGATGCACTCCCCTGAATTCGAATGAAAATTTCTCCTCTGCTGAATGTTTGACCTCACCTGGTTTGACTGTGACGTTGACGTAACCTTCTCCATGAGCACCGTCCCCGTCCACAGTCACCTCAAACTCATACAGACCCACAGTCAGCTGACGGAAACACAGAGAGAGAGCAAATCAGGTGTGCAGAATGAGGAAGTGATCTTTTGTGTGAAACTATTTGGCTCTTCAGCTGCATGTCTTCATGCCTGGCACAGAGTAATTGTGATAGCTCTGATTCATACCTGGCTTAGTTTAAGTGTTTTGCTGTGCTTCCCCTCCATCTCCCCGCTGTAATCTTTGGGATGAGTTTTCAGACGCCAGTCAAATGCATAGTTCGTCCCTGTAAAAGAAAAGCAGCAACATTCAATCAAGCACATTTATCAAATCTGATCATGAATTTAGTCAAGATCTATCCGATCATTCCTGTTTGGCTGGTTTCTGTTTTATTGTAATTCTACCTTGAGGGGGCGGCGGGACAACAAAGGCGTTGAGTTCGACTGTGTTGCGGGGCAGCGTGACCTCCACACTCTCTCCTGCAGACACCACCAGCTCCTTCACTGTAACCCAAACATGACAGGAGCAGAGATTCAACCCAAACAAAGTGGAATTGTGGATGTATTACGGTGCAGTTCAGTTGTAATGTACAGATGAATGGATGAGATTGTTGAATTGATATGTGAATGAACACGTGAACCATGAAAATCACAATAAAAACAGAATTAAAAAAGAAATCTGCCTAACTTCTATTAAACACAAACACACAGTTTTTATATTGTTTCTGTGACTAATGCAGGTACGCATCTAAACAGGTGTGGCACCATATGGTTCTTGTGTTTCTCTTGATTAGTTTGTGAGAGAAGAAATCTGTCGATATGAAGAAATCATTCATGCCAGATGGATTTTCTTAATCTTAATTGAAGCTCTCCGTGCAGCGAGGCTTTTCTCATTTCAGCAAAGCTTCATTTTCACATCACTGTATTACATCTCCCTGCTAATAAGCCGATGAAACATGTTGGAATAGATCAAATATATCATCCTTTGTATGGGCCAAGCTCTAAAGTCATCCCAGATCCTACTGCTTCTATTCATGACAGACTCCCACTCCCCCGGCTCTTTATTTACTGCGTCCCCAAACCTTTTCTGGGATTAATTAATCGCCAGGGTTATTTTCTCAGACTCAGCTGCATCCCACCTCAAAACCACAAGATGTTGCGCAACTGTTCTTTCACAGTTTGAATTCTCGCTAGGTGTAAAATGGGTTTCGCTTTAAATCACACCTCGGATTGCGTAACGTGTCCGAGGACTTGTCAGCCGTTCTCTGTCAGAATGACTGCGTCTTGTTTCTGCACGTCTGGGCCGCTCAGAAAATGCAGCTGACCTTCATACACTTACAGCCTGTTTTACCTTTACTACCGGCTCAGCTTGTTACTGTTTACTCCTGTAAATCTGTTGTTAGTCTAAACAGCTAAAAAAAGATTTGATCTAAATAGAGACACGCATTGTTTAGTGATGTCCTGGAGGGAGGAAAAGTGACCGTACAGGCTAGTCCTGTTTGCAGAAGTCCTGTACGTCTCAGTCAGCACATTCCTGCAGATTACAATTAGACTCATTTGACTTCACACCCACGGCACATGGTGCTTCCATCTGGAAAAATAACACTGGAGCAGCCTGCCATCAAATTTGGGGGCATTTTAATTTCGTCAGGGATAAACTGAAGCAGAAGTAAAGATGAGACAGTAAAGGATCTTCTGTGAGATTTTAGGACATGCTGAGCAAATTAAAAAGCTCTTAACAAACACCAAACAGTTAACCTCCCTGGCAAGAAACCCGGGTACTGACTCGGATTTGGACCTAAAGGGGCAAAAATGTATTTCAGGCAGCTCGAGCGAAGAGAGAGGACGAGTAAAATCTCCCCGCGGGGCTGAAAACCAAAATCCTGCTCCATTATGGATTAGTTCATGATTAATAAATGACCGCATATTACTGTACGAGCCAGAAATAGATGATCTCCGTATGAGCGTGAGACGCCATCCTCACCAGCCTGTGTCGGAGTTGTGGTGATGGCGGCTGGAGTGGCGGTGGGTGTGCCGACGTCACTGCTGTTGGAAGACGCAGCAGTCTTAGCGGCGTGGTCCGCCGTCGAGTCCTGCTGTGATGGAGCCGAGGCGGCCGAGTCTGCGCTTCCATTGGCCGACCTGCTGTGGTTCTTCTGGGCTGTTTGGTGGAGCGCGAGGGTGGTGGGTGCTGATGGAGACGTGTGGGGGGTTTCAGGTTTGGGGCTTTCCTGCAAAGAGGGTTAAAGAATTGGCGATTTATAAAGATTTGGAAAGTGAAACAAGGAAGGAGCAGATTTGAGGCTGACTTTGAAGCTGGTTTCAGATCTGTCTTTTGACGAACTTCATTTGTAAACTCCAAAAACTGCCCTGATGTAAATGGTATGATCGGGAAAACAAGAGGAGGGAGAATAGATAAATAAATTTAGAAAGAAATGGAAACAGAAAAGAGGATATTCAACTTTCAGTCATGTTGGTACACAAAGAAAAACAGTATAGAGAATTTGCTTTGTGACCTCAGGAACTCAGGTCTAAATTTAGTTCTATGCTTCGAGAAGACCCTGCTCAGGGGGTAGTACCTTTTACTGGCCCAGGGACTTTTGGAGGTAGGGTCTGATGGTTTCATTTCCATAAAACAAACCTGTTTTATTTACATATAAATGCTAGTAGCACAGACACAGGCTCAGAGAAAGAATGAGAGACTCATCCTACTCAACCTAATGTTGTCCGTTCTGTAAAAACTACATGAGTTTTGACTCCTTTAATGCACTTTTTGTCATCTCAGGGGGTGATTTTATGTGAAAAAAGACTTCAGCAGAAACTCCACTAAAGAACTGCACAGATAACTTCATTTTCCCTGGTTGTTACCGTGTGGATGGGTTGGTCCGTGTGCGGTCCTTTGCTTCCTGCAGTCTGTGCCTGGAGAGCTCTTCTGCGTCGTGTGATAACGGGACCCTTAAAGTTAAGATACAGCAAACAAAGACGATAAGAAGAATGGATCATAAACGACAACATGTGTTTGTATTTCAGCGAAGTTTAGGGCCTTTTTTTATGACCAGCAGCTCTGTGGATCAGTCCAAAAACATCTCCCTCCCTTTGTCGACCAAATCAAACAGATTTTCTTATAGGGCTGGACGATATGGCCTCAAATCAATATCATGATATATCGCGCAGTTCCCCTCGATAACGATAAATAGACGATAACTACTCAACAAGCTGCTCATTCCCTCCCACATTAACTTCGTCTACTTCAGCCGCTACATCTTTTGAACTGTCCTCCATCTCCTCACCTGTCTTTCCCTCTTCGTTACAGACTGGATGGGGTGGAGTCACGTCTCTGATGTAGGACAGTGTCTTAAAAGGGATATGAGACCATAGCCTATCTACACACATCCAAAACCAACTTCTATTTATTATTTTTTTCACACCGAATTTACCGATATGGGCAAAATGACGTTGGTTATGATCATAAATTTCCGTATCGGTAAATTTTCAGTTTATAGCCCAGCCCTATTTTCTTACACGTTCACATCGGCCAAAATGCTGTATATCCCAAATAAAAAGGTGCAGTGGTCTTTCTGAAGATGATGAGTCAGGATGTTCTCTCAGGTTTTATTTATACCTTGGAAAGCAGCTGGAGGAGCCCGAGGGAGTCGTGGTGAGGCTGAGGCAAAGAGGAAATGGGGCAGCCCCTGTCCAGTATGCAGCGGAGAAGCACACATCGCCCTCCGAGGCTCCACACGGCGCTGCAGCTCGGCTCCAAGCAGCAGGTCTCCCAACATGTTGCCCCTGCTTTCCCCGTGGAAAGCGGGTACCAACCCAGGGTGATGGCGCTGCTCCAGTGGATCCCCAGCACCCCGCCGGTCACACGGCAGAGGTTTGCTGACACACCTGGGTGGAGACAGAATTGATGCAATTTGTCTAAATAAGAAATGAATCATGTTTAAAAGTCATCGTTTACTTTCTTTTTAATCAGTCATGATGTTGTTGGGGGCGAAGAGAAACAAGCTGCTAATTCTGGTCACAACCCGAGAGACTTTTCACCGGTTCGTTTTTCAGCAAAAGCCGACATGCAGCCACAGTCACAGCAGTCAGCCAAGTCAGCAGCAGAGAGAGGAAGTGAGGCTTTTCCCTGACAAAACAAGACGCTGATTAAAACCCAAAGCACAGTATGCAGCGCAGACAAAAACTCATCCTCTGAGCCAGACCTTATCAGACTTATATCAGCAGAGCAGTGAGCCGGTGCAGTTAACAAGACGCACCGCCCTGGGTGGTAAATTTATTCTTATACGAGCTGTTCTCGGTTTCAAATGGGCTCCATTCAACGCGCGCATTATTCCTGATGAGAAGTTATTTGTGTAACCAGCCCAGTGAGTAAATGACTCCATACTTTAAATGTAAAAGAAATGGACTGTTTTATTCCACCGCTCAGTAATGAACATTCACTCATAAACAGAAGCTAAACTAGTCCTGATTAAGAGAGACGAAACGCAGCAGCTGAGTCAGTGACAGATGAAGACTGCAGATCTGGTGAGAATTTCAAACAAACACGAGAAACAAGTCCTCGACTGAAAAGGATGAGGATTTAGTGATTTGGTTAGGCTTTTACTCCATTATTTATGCTCCACTGGTGAGTTACATGATGTGCCACATGTCCCTCAAAACTGAAGCATGCTGCAGGAAGTCTTTTACCTCTGCAGCCTCAACTATCCCACTCCACGCTGGCTCTCAGCACCCACCACCCTCGCACCGCCCGAAATAGAAAAGAGAAGAAACAAAGAGAGGAGTCTGCAGAGAGGAGGAGTAGAGTAAAGTGAGACAGCTGTTTGGGTTCGTCTTTACCGGGTTAGACTGTACGCTCTACCTCCCTTTAATGGAGGGAAGAAAGGAGAGAAACATGAGACGGCAAAGAGGAGTCTGTCAGGTAAAAGGGAGGACAGAAAAAGCAGGGTCATGAAGCCTGTACATGTGAGAGAGCAAACCACTGACAGGTTAGGTGTACTCTCTACAGCGATAATATATTGATATCGGAATGTCGATATCAGCAAAAAAACAAATATCGGATTATATCGGCCTGCATCTAAAATCTCCGATATTAGCATTACAATACAAGCAAGCTGAGCCCACAAAATCCCAACAACAGTGTGTACTAAGGTACTAACAAAGTAGCAAGGAGTGAGGATCCTTTCACACCGGGAGCGTTTTTTTCGTGCGATTATTTCGGACGTCAACATTTTTTTTCGAACTCGTATCCTGTCAATGCAAGCGTTTGCATCAGCTACGTTTTCCCGTCCTGCGATATTGCGGCATTTATTTTTTCGGATCACGGTCAATTTTTCTAAAGTTTCGCATACTGTGTGTCCACTTCTGACCAATCAGATCTCGTGATGTTGCAACGTCAGATTCACCGGTATATCCAACATGGCCGACCGGCTGATTGTTTACGAGAACGTCTTTGTTTTAACTTTCATCTGTGCTAAGTAACTTTAGCTCATAAGCTAACCTGTTCAGATACAACATACCATATGTATTTTCACTGTCTCAAACTTAGTCGCGTTGCTGTCACAGCACCATTAGGTCTCGGTTGTTACCTTACGTTTATGGATTATAGTTTAATGTTCTTATCTGGTACTGGCCCCGACTCAGTACATGCTATCATGACAGACAGACATCTCAACACATGTGTCTAATCTGAACTGAAAAACAGTCAGTCTGCTGTTGTGTCAGTCTTCTCACTTCCACCCGGGACGCGTCTTTTTTCCCTCCATACAGTCGCAAAATCGCATCACGCTTGATGCGTATAGTCAGGCGTGTCAAAATTCACCTCTGAAATATTTCGTAATTTCGTGTCATATATTTGCGTCGTTCCCAGTGTGTAAGGACCTTAAGTCTGAAAAAGACGTTGCAGCTGAAAGCAAAACTTGTCTTGCACAATTTTGCGCCAATATAGGATCAATATCGGTATAGGTCAATATTGAAGGCTACAATATCACTATCGTATCAGAAAGTTGTATCGGAACACCCCAAAACGCTACCTCCCCATACTCCCCCACTTTAATGGAGAAAAGAGGAGAGAAGAAAAAACTGAGAGAGAGAGAGAACATAGGAAAGGAAGAGAACAGACAGGAAGTAGAAGAAAGGGATTACCTATTTTTACTTTAATCTTTCACTTTTCAAAATGTAACCCATAAAATAGATTAAAGCTACAGTATGTGAGCCATGGACTGAGTCAAGAGCAAAAGACACTGAGGATGGCTGCAGCACCCACCAGAACAACCTCAATATCAGGAATTTTATATGAGGATGTGCAGAACTTAAGTTGAACTGAAATGTCTGGGGTTCACTCTGCCAACACATTTCTGTTCAATTACTGCTGCTGAAAAAAGGCAGACTTGAAATAGTTTGAGTTAATCTGAATATTCATAGCTGTACATCTGAACAGAGCAGTTCATGACTCTGGTGTCTGCACGCTTGCCAAGTTTAAAGGCAGTCAGTGGAGAAATTATCCTTGGCGTTAGCGATCGAGGCTTCAAAAACAAAATTAATTAATATAAAAGATGGCAGCTCCTCTTAGAAAGTACGCTATGCAAGAGAAGAGGCCAAATGTTGGCAGCTGAGTGGATTTCAGGACACCTATCAAGGCATATTTTCGCGGATCACAAGGATCCTGTAATGTGATCCTTCTGGGTAAAGTTTCATTAAGGAAGAAAAAGCCTCCTCATCACTGCAGTCGACCACATCTGTCTTTAGGGGTGTCAAGTTTTGGGCAAGCTGACAAATACCTTTTGTCATTTCTAGACGCTGGTTACTTCCTGATACAGACAATCCTATCTATGTTAGGGAGAGAATTAAAGTCGTTTACATCTTGAAAAAAAAAGATGTGTTCGTTAACCTCTGAAGTGGACGAAGTGGGCTGAAAATCAAAGACCCCTGCTGACGGAGTCTGTGTGGGTGACGGACCAAAGACCTTGTCTCAGCAAACCTCATTAATTTTTGTTTCTTGTTTAGTTTGTCTCCGGCACGTTTTAAACGACTCCTCTAGTAAACACTTCCTGTCTCTATAACTCTACAGCACTTTATGATTCAGAATGTGGTCCCCCCGATTATTAGGGGGGAAATAAATCAGATTACTGATTAATCGGCCGATTTTTTAATTTTTTTTATGAAGTTATCAAATACATATATACTGTAGATATCTACTGTATACTGTAGATATACTGTAGGCTAGTGCTCTTCACGCCTACAGGAAGACCGACTGATCAAACTCGGACCAGAAAAGCTTTTTCAACTACCATCTACAGGATAAGTCGGGGAACTTTTCAAATGGCGGAACATTTTCAAAGTGAAACCGAATCTTATTCTCTGCAATTTATTTCTGAAAATTTCTGCGATAATCTGATCTAATCTGATACAGATACCTGAGCTGAGCGTATCGGCCGATATCCAATACCAATCTAATACTACTGTTGAATGAATCAACTGTATACCTTGCCCTGTGAGGCATCAAGCTTGACATTAGCCTTGTCAAAAAAAAAAAGGTAACAAATAAACAAAGATATAAATTTACTTACTGTATTTTTCGCACTATAAGGCGCACCTGATTATACGGCGCACCATCAATGAACGCGTCTATTTGTGTTTACTTTCATACATAAGGCGCACCGGATTATAAAACGCATTAAGCCAAACAAAACCGTTAGATAAGTCAAACTTTATTTAACTCCTTCAATAACTCCGCAAGGCTTCGTTAGCTGCAGTGCTCCGACAAGCCAAAACGATTTTAAGTGCGCCTTGTAGTGCGAAAAATACAGTAATATTATTTATTAACAAATAACTAATTCCACATTCCCACACAGCAAAAAGAAGTGAGACTTCCATGTATTAAAAGAAAAAATAATTAAAAGAAAAAAAAGACTGGATCGAAATGCTGGATTGGCATCACTCATCCGATATCCGATCCAATTAATTTGTCAATATCGGAGCCGATATCTGATTCAAAGTAAGAAATAAATAAAAAATGTCCTAAATCCTAAAAATATACCCACAAAACCGCGGAGAAAATCAGCCTCCGTCAGCTCCGTGAGAGCTCAGGTTGAATTTCGGGGATTTTAATGTGACTCAAGTCTGGGAAAACGCAGATCTCTCCACATGCAAAAACACACAAAAGCTGTACAGTTTGTTTGAGAAAGCACCCTCTGGCCCTTGTTTGGCCATCCCACCCCTTGTCCGCTCTGTCCCTGTATCCACAACCCCCACATACACACCCATAACATCTACACACAGAGCCCCTATTGTCTCTTTTCAGACTGTAACCCACTGAGCAGAGAGGCATCAGAGAGAAGGCGCTCACACACACACACACATATACACACACACACACACAGTAGGGGTGCCATTAGTCCTCTGTCTCTGTGCCTCGGAGTAGAAGGACAGTAAACAACAATTACCAAACCCAAAACCGGCTGAGTGTCATAATAAGATTCCGAGAAGGCTGAAGAAGACCCACCCTGAGTAACCAAAGGCGTGTGAGTCTACTGTGCAGATGACTGCTGGTATTGTTAAACAGACACACATGTGGATTACCTTATCAGTTCTCAGAGAACCAACGGTGGTTTTAACACTTTAGCAGTTCAGGGAAGTTTGTTTTACCTGTGGGAGGGGCCAACAGGAAGAAGAGGTAGGTCAGCGGAAGGAGGAGGACTTGAGGTAAGCTCCAGGTAAGCAGCTTGTGGTGTGCATAGGACATTTTACACGGGGACCAAAGACCTGAAGAAAGGGAACGAAATTTCTGTTAATGTGCTGCAATAACTCAAGATAAAGAACCCAAAAAGCAATAATCAGATACTTTGGGGGATGTGGTCATTTGGTTTACCGGTTAGAAAAAAGCCGCACCAACTTTTCCGTTTCCTCTACTTCTGCTTCCTTTGGTCGATTAAACGCAGGAGGTACAAATTTCACACTCATAATAGCTACAGCTGCAAATAACATTAGACTGCAGTCGAATTTGCACAAAATATTCCTGCAGCACATTCACAAAATATTTCAAACTGCTGCAAAGCCTTTTACACGTCCACACAAAATTCAACAAGCCCTAAATCTTTATGACCCTCATTTGCCCCCGTACTGGCCTGACTTACTTTTGGTACCAGGCGTTTTGCCCAATTTGTTTTGGACTGCAGATAATACTCCCCTCACGGGCCAATCGCTCTCAGACATCAAATTCAGTGAGGACTGTCTGTAACTTGTCACACAACCATGATTTGGTTTTGCTGGCCGCCGTTAATCAAATATTGATCGAGCGAATTAAAAAAAAAGAGGCACTCCTCATAGATTATTACTTGGCTGTCTGAAAATGACAAGTTTGAGCAGGATGTTCTGTCAGTGAAATCAAGCAGCCAGTTGGTAAAAGCCAAAAATTTACGATTCATGAGCGGAGAAACGATGGATTGATAAAAAACGGATACAACCTTCATGCTTGTGTTATTATCTGAACAGAGACAGTGGCTAATTCACTTATCTTAGCGCACCAGAATAAACGGTCTCTGCAAGATGCATTTCAGAGTACATCTAGCACCTTGTAAAACCCACCAGAAAATGTGCTTTCTATTGATTTATTGTGACTTTCTCTAACCACTTCTTGGCTTTTTCATTCATGGATCTTCACAGTGCTTTCAACTAGTCCAAAATAGAGCTGCCAGACAACCTTGAACCATCAGTCCCGTATCTTTCCTGTTCTTCTGTCTCTCCACCTGCTTCCTGTGATACTCTGCTGTCATTTTAAGATTAACAGCATAAGAAGCGTCACATATTGTCATATTTCTAACCTCCTCTTCCCATATTCCACTCCTCTTCCATTCTGATCATCTAACCTAAGCCGTCTTTCCATCCCCCGCTCGAAATGTGAAACAAAAGGCGATCTGTTTGTCTGCTGTCGATTTCCCCCTGCCTCTGGAATCAACTCCCTCGATCCATCAGAAACTCTAAACTCATTTGTTCAGACATGCCCTCACGTGACCCTCGATTCCAGTTTTATGGTTGCTTGTAACTTCTGTGTTTGTTTGACTTACTGGTGTTTGAGTTTGAGTTGTTTGTTTTTATTTCCTATCACACGAGGAACTTTGCAACCGGATGTTTTAAAAAATACAGTGTATAGAAATGGGAATATTCAGGGGTATAAGGGGGTTAAATCGTAGATTGACATTGATGGTTGCACAGGTAAATGTATTTTTAAGATAAAACAGGAAAATGGATACGTGTGCAGAACTTTACTTTTGGACAAATGTTTATTTTCTTCAGCTAAATCTGCAGACAGTTATCTAAAACACCTCCTGAAAAAGTAATTAAAAACACACCTAACCATCAAAAACTGCTCAGTCCGTGTTTACCTTTCTCCCGGCCGGGCGGAAGATGAAAGAGAAGAGGGAAGAGAAGAGGGAGCGAGGAGTTAGGTTGGCAGCAAAGTGCTGGGAAGTGACGGGTGAAGACAGGTCAACACCAGCTCTCTAGGAAACAGATCCAACATGGCTGCCCCGGGGGCCTTCACAGGCTCAGCTACTCAAACAGTCAACTGTGAAGTTAAAGAGAAAAGGATAAAGAGATTTAGTATGCAGTTCATTCATGACAAGGGTGGATACATGTGCGGTCAAACACGGCTAGACAACAGTTCAATTGATGAGTCTACTGAAAATGTAGTTCAAGAGATGCAAACATAATATTGTTTTAGCAGTTTCAGCAACATTCACACTTTTTTAAAACGGAATATTTCTCCTTCTCTTCTCTGCTGAGCACTCATCAGAATTTAAACAACCTCGAAAACGTCAAACTTGATAAGAAAAGTTTATGCAAATGATATTCAAACGCTTCGGCTGGAGAGAGCAGAGAAACGGAGAGCAGCACAAATTCGTTCTACGATCACTAAAAACGTGTAACGCTCTGAAGACGGTGAAAACACAATCTTCCTCTTGCATTAAAATTCGAGCTTTCTGTCTAAGAACTATCACTAAGACAAACACATCCTCTGATGGCGTGTACAGGGACAAATCTAACAAGCCTCTCTTATTATTCAACTATTCAGGCAATATCCTGTTGACAGTGAAATGACTCATAATCCTGTGAGCTCGCTTCCTTTGTAGCGTCGGATAAAGCAAAGAAATTCAAACAAGTATGTCAACATATTTATGACAGGTATCTAGTCCGTCTTGTCCTTCTGTCGCAGACAAAGGCATAACTTGAGACAATATGCAAAACATATGACCTTAACTTTTTTCCTCATCCATCATTCATGACTAGTCTTGAAGAGATGCATGACACAGCCTGTATGTGATACTGGATGTGAAAATGAAACGTACCACACTTTGAATTTGGTATTTCCTCCTCATTCTCTAACTATTACTCGCCTTTTCTTGCATTGCTCTCAGGAATTGCTCACTTCACAGCAGTTTTATCACAAGACTGAGTCCCACCATTGACTTCTTTGTGACACTAATGCTAATTTCCTCTGGACTAACACTATCAAGCATGAGTAAAACCCCTTCCTGGGTACAAAGTTATGTTATCTTTCAATCATGCTCCAGACACAGTCACAGCCCTCTCCACTTCTCCATGCTTCATATCTTTTCTTTCAGGAAGTGTCATGAGGAAGTTTCTTGTTTTATGCTAATTGAGTGTGATACTAAAATCGTACTCACATGACTGCATCATGGGAAAAGCTTTTCAATGTGTCTGCTTGTAAGAATCTATTGCCTTGAGGTGCAAAGTCAAACGCTGACTGAGTGTTTTGATAAGAAACGCGTGGAGTTAGCCTGAGTGCGAGAGCCACACTGCACTTTTTCCCCCCCTCTTAAATTCTTATGCAAGTTCTTACAGTAGAAGGAGGATAAAAAGAAAAAAAACAGTGGTTGGGGGGCGTGAACAGGACTGGTCCTGGGACACTGTGTTCAAAGCGATAGCAGACCTCTACATCTCACCATGAGGCTACTATGGGGCAGAATGGTCATAAATCAGGAGGTTTTCGCAAGCATGTGCTGAGCAGACAGTCTGTAAACGTCAGCCAGATGTTATGAATCCATATGGTTTGACAGAAAGGATACATTTTGAGTAGAGGGTGGCAATAAAAGAGATGAAGATGGTGGAAAAAAACAGAAATATTCACCTGAAACCATGGCTAAAAAGTAAAACTCTTTGGATGGTGTGAATTCGGACTGAAGACCAAAATATTTTAACACACAAGTTTACTCAGAGAGTAAGAACTGCCGTCACAAACCTGCAGGATCTTCCTCCATATGGATGCTTGAGCCCCTGCAATCTCCACCTGTGCTATAATCAGCAGCTCAGGATGAACCAAATCCACAAACAGTCATTTGTCCTCCTGCTCTTGTATCTCTGTCCCAGATGAGCTCAAAAACCCAAATAAAAAAAAACTCTCCTGGTAAAAGCTTCACAGACAAACAGCTAGAGGATTGCAGTTTGCTTTATTCCTCTTTGATGGAGTCGCAGCGTTGTAGGTTTTGCCTTTTTTCCTGAGCAGCGAGTTCCCACAGTCTGGAGGCGAGTCGGAAAAGTGTGGAGCAGCAATAACTCTCAGGTGCACTCAGTCACCTGGGCTGATGACAGCGAGGCCATTATGGACTTTTCAATGGCTACTTCTCCCTTGAGATGCTTTTGCAAAACAATGAACTCTGTCACCAAAAAGCCCTTTTAAATCCCAAATCGGACAACCTCTTCCTCTCTCTCTCTCCTTTCTCTCTCTCTCTCGCCCGTTTGTTTTCTTCCTCCTCTTCCTCTCTCATACAGTTTGCTGCAGTCAATAGCCCACTTGTCAGCTCTGTATTGGCTTCCAGGCAGACAGGTTGGTGGAGCTTTCTCTAATGACACCAAGTCCCACGCACAGTGTCTTCTGGCTGCAACATGGAAAGAAAGTTAGGGTGGTTTTAAAGGCGACAGAGTCCTTAAAATAAACAACAACGCATTGATATTAACCTCTCTCAATGTAACAGAAACTGATACGCTTATTTGGCAACTGCTGCTCAAATCTGAGAACCACATTTAACACATGAAACACAAGCATAACAGCAGCACCAATACAGCTCTGTGTTGAGACATGTTCTGGGAGGTTGTATTTTTTTAAGCGCTCCTGGATGTTACCTTATGTAATCAATGGTTTTCATTGTGGTTATTCTGTTTAGACATTTGTTGTGCTGCATTTGAAATATTAGCTTACATTTGATCGACGGATATTGACAAATATGAAATCTAAACTAGCCAATCACTGACACCAAGCAAAACCCAATCGCAGCATCAGAAAGTGCCATTAGACATCAAGATCCTGAATAAAAAACATTATTTTCAGATTAAGGGGACAAAAACTCCTGTGTTTGTTGATACAAATATTCAATCTTAATGGAAAAGTACTTTTTTATGTTCCAGTTTTGCTCTGATATCAATGCAAATAAAGTCAGAAGGATGCTTCTTTATGAGGAATGATATCTCTTTTGTGTCAAAATCCCTTACTGACATCTGTTTGTGTGGACTGTGGCTCTGTGCTGTGAGAATACTAAAATAAGGAGTCAGAGCACAACTGTCTCCAGGATGAACAATGAGATTATATAATTTCAAGTCAACTCAAGCATTGCTTTCTGCAATGCACCATAGGTTTTCCATGACGTGTGGGCCTATGTATCTGCTAACTTCATACAGTATGTGCTGATACTGACATTATCGGTAGCCCTATATGGCCCAATGTACAATCAACTGACAGATATATATATATAAGTCTAATCAAATATAGGATTTAAGGTCTTGGTCAAGCATTACACTGACATAACTTTAAATCTTCCACTATGTTCTTATTAATTATTCCAGTAAATTATTATAAGAGAAATCAAACATTATAATTGTTAGATAAGCCCTCCTTGTTTATGATTGATTCATGCAAAGATGTAATTCTCTAACTGATTAAAGTACATGATGGATGAATGAATGAATTAAAATGAGGGCATTAGTTAATATCACTGAGATATTTCATCAAAATGGTGGGCTTGTGCAGTGTGTATCCTACCAGGCTTCAAACTCCAGTGCAGGTTTGGTCAAGAAGGGTGTTTAAAGCTATCAATAAATCTAATAAAGGCCGATAGTTACCGCCTGCGTATAGTCCCTGAGCACTATAACAAAATTAAAACGAGAGCAGGTTAAATCAGTCAAACACCTATGATGTAGTCTCGTCCTCGTTTCGCTTTCACCATCCATAAAACGACGTTGCCATGATCAGAACAGACTGGTTTCATGCAGAAATCATGCAGTTTGTTACCTGTATAATCCAGGATCACCCCAGTTTGAGGCACCTTGAGGCTAACAGCTGCTGGCACTCGCTTTCACTACACACACTGTGCAGGGACACCGCGCGTTTAAACGGCAACTGTCACGACATTAATTCAGGTCAGAATAAAGTATTAACACTTACAGTTGGAAAACAAGGGCGCAGGTTTCTTCGTCAGGTCGCTGCGTTGTGTTAAATCGTCGTTTGTTATGTTTCCTGTGCAGTTAATTAGGTCAGTATTCCTCTCGCTCGTACAGCTGATGTGCATCTATGTGACCAATATCAACACACTCTGGGTGATAAATACCATTTCCGGTTTGGATTTTCAGATTAAAGTTTACAGCGACACGACCGTTGGTCCTATTAGTGGCCGTTATGGGCAAATGTGTTGCAATGAACACGTTTTGTATGAATAAATACGTTTTATATGATTATACACAGTATGTTAAATTAAAAAAAGACGAAGGCTTTGGTCTTTAATTAAATTAAATTAAAGAAATTAATTATTCATCCAACTACTTCCGCCAAGCGCCACCTGCCGCTCATACAGCGAACAAGTTAAACCTACCATATACAGTTGGCCTTCTTATTTTCTTCATTTTTAATATATAAATGGCACTGGAAATGAAATTAGTTTGATATGAATGTCTCGTTTGACCGCAAAAAACCGCAGCAGCGTTTCTCTGACGTTTCAACACGGTTCAAAATGGCGCCTCCGCCTTCCAAGTATCCCTATTGTGATTGGCCCCTTGGTGATACAGGACTGTTTTCATTGGTTACTTTCAGATCTGTGTTGACGGTTTACTTCCGGATGGCATCCATGAGCGAGCGTGTGTGAGAGCCGACTGAAAGAACGGTATGTTACAAATATTTACAAAGTCACTTTTTAAGACCACCGTAAGTTTAAATTCACCTAAAAAGGACTGAAAATTTGTTTAACTTTAACACCGCAGTTGTGTTTAAATGTCAATTGTCAGGGTTACAAATGTAATGTTCTGTACCTTGTTTTTCTTTCTTTACATCGCTCCTTTTTTAAATTTCGACGCAGTTCACAATGGCTGAAAACCGTAAAATCGTCGAGGTCAACCATAGAGATGTAGGGAGCAGCCAGCCTCCTGGTGGAGAGGAGCAGGGTGAAGGAGGAGAAGGTGGAGGAGGCTCTGAGACAGATGCAGGAGGTGGTCTGACTGACTCCAAGAGAGAGGTGTTGGAGAAGTGTCTGAATACTCTGAAGCATGCTCAAAATGATAGTCACACATTGGCTGCTCTGCTGCTGGTAAGTGTTTTTCATATTTATAAGAGTATAGACATAGTAAGGGAGAGTGGGGTAAGTTGAGCCACCCCCTGTTGCTTGGAAATGGTAAAAGAAATTGATCATGTGACCAAATATTTAGGAGATGGGCATCAATTCACGGAGTCTGTGAAGGTTGGAAGCACATGAGTGAAGAGGTTAGACATTTATTTACTACAAAAAAAAATGTTCACTCTTGAAAGTGAATTTAGTCTGTCATAAGTTTTATCAGAATTGTGTTCAGACCAAAAAAAAATAGTTTAAATTCGTTTAATACAGCAATTGTGGTATCTATGAGCTACAACATGAGGTTAAAAGCCAAGCATAAAAGTCCACCATTTTAGCTTAGAGGACTAATAAAGTCATAATAGTAGTTCTGGGGTAACTGAGAAAGTAAAGGAGTCTGATGAGAGGATCAGAGTTTCAGTTCAGATTGTTGAAATGTGTTACTTTTATTTTTCAAAAATACAGCTGTGAATGTTCTGAATCACTTAAAGACATTCTCATGTTAAAATGACTTTTTACTAAACAGCTTTTTAGCAGTTATATGCAATAATAATAAAAATAATTATTGTTGTTGTATTGTTTCCACTCATTCTGGTGGTTTGCAGGGATGAACAACATCTTGAAATATATGTAGATACACGAGTTAGAGACAAAACTAAGATTGACTTGATGTAGTGATCTGAAATATGAAAAATGGCTCACCTTACCCCACTCTCCCCTACTTTTATGATTTATCAGTTGGGAAAAAATAAATACGACCAAGAATTGAAGGACTGCCCTATGGTGCTATTTTCAAATTCAAATTCAACTTTATTTTTATGGCACTTTTCAGACAAAAAAATGTAGTTGAAAGTGCCCCACAGAGGCTAAAAACAACAATTAAACAACAATAAAAACCAACCCTCCCACCCACCCATGGACCCAGACACACAGACACGCACCCACCCTCACTCACTCACCCACACATACACACACACTCTCTCCCTAAATAACAGGAGCCAGTGCAGCGATGCTAAAACATTTTCCTATTTTTCTCTGTAGATTACCCACCTGTGTCCTGCAAACCAGCTTGACAAACCCACCTTGAGCCGCATCTTTGAGGCAGTGGGCCTGAACCTTCCAGCTCGCCTCTTAGTGACAGCAATAAGCGGGGATAATACCTCCGGCTTACCTGCACATGAACTCCTCTCTCTGGGCACAGCTCTGTTGGCTGCGCTGAGCACAGACCCAGACTTGGTCTCCCATCCCCAGCTCCTCACAACCATCCCTCTTCTGCTGGGCATCTTAGCGAACGGACCCGTGAACCAGCAGAAACCGGGAGCTCAGGAGCAGAGCAAAGATGACGAGATGGGGTCAAGGATGAATGTGAATCAGTCGACAGGTGGGACTAGTGATGGAGACAGTGAAGCAAACAAAGAATCATCATCCCAGGAAAGCGACTCCTCTCCTAAACTCGACAAAGCCATGGCTTCTGACTGTTACCAGGTCCTCACAGCTGTGTGCGCTTTACCAAGAGGTCCAGACCAGGTCCTAAGCAGGGGAGCCATTCCTGCTCTGTGGCGAGCAGTGCAACAAAACCAGACTTTAAGCCATGAGAGGGGACTTGCCTTGTTAGGCTGCCTTCTCTCAGGTAAAACCAAAGATAAAGCATGGAGTAAACACCCTTCAGAACTCCTCTCTCTGCTGGTTCGGCTCTCTAAAGACTTCTCCCAAGCCAAAGACCAGACTAAGCTGGACATGTGTGCCAAGTTGGTGCAGTTTCTGCCTCCAGTAGGAGTGGCAGTAGAAAATGAGGAGCTGAAGGGAGTCGTAGCTCAGGTATGGGGGACATTAAGACCCATGATGCAGGCGAAGTTGACACCAAGACAGATTGGGCCGATACTTGTCCTCAGCGCTTGTCTGCTGGATTTGTACGGCTGGGAGCTGGTGGGACCGCCTAAGTTCTGCTGCTTACTGGTGAACCGGGCCTGCGTGGAGGTCAGAATGGGTTTGGAGGAGCCACCTGGTAATGACCTGAGCCCGGAGCTGCAGCACACACTCACAGGTACGGTGTTTATTTATAATATAAATTAGTTCTTGAATTATTAAGAAAGGTGGAGCCACAGTGACAGTTTTTTTAAGTTCCTGATTTGATTGATTTATTTACAGCAATACAGTTATAAGCAAAAAAATCAGAATTTCACACTGACCATCCAGATTTGATTTTAAACCTCTTTCATTACTTATTTTGTCCCAGGCTGTTACCGTATCATGGAGGCGGCCATCGAGCAGGCCTGCTGCCTGGGAGTTTCACAGACTCCTGCATCTCCTCTTCCAACCTCCACCACATCTCTCAGTCTGCAGCAGAGCAGGCAGGTCCTCGGGGTGCTGGAAGAGGCCTTCTCAGCCTTAATGTACCACCTGCAGCAGGTGAGATGATTTAGGAAGAGCTTTTGTTGTACCTTAACCCATTTAAACCGGGACAGCGTGTACACATTTCAACCTTCCAAGCCGGGAACACGACTGAGCATTTCTACTCGGATTCAGAGGCGCAGCTCAGACAGGGTTCAGGTCTTAATGGGTTAAAAACTACTTGTTGCTGATTTTGGGGCTATAGTCGCTCTTGTGGACCAGAACACCTTTTTTTAATAGAGATAACAACAAATAAGAAGTCATACTGAGATATTCAGCTGAACTGAAGTCATCCGTTTAGAGAAAATAATGACTACATGTCAAAAAGTCTGCTGAAAAAAGTCATCATTAACAGAGCAACAGCCTTGAAAGTGTAAAGATATGCTGCCTTTATTTGTTCTGTTTGTTGTTTTCTGGTTTTATAATTCCGCTGGTATCCCGTTGCTCAAAAGACTCAAAATAATTAATGAAGAAAATAACTAACAGATCAAGTTATTATCAAAACAGTTGTAAGTTTGCAGCCTTACTGACAAACAAGACAGATTTGTTCTCATTAGAAGGAAGCGTCAGGGTGCATTTCCATTGTGTTTTTTTTTTTTGCTGCAAAATAAGAAGCATTGCCAGAGGGGAAAAATGTATGAGTATAATCTTGAGGCTGACTAGGAAGGTTCTAAGCTACAGCAGCTACAGTGAAGCGCTCAATAAACTTGGAAATATGCGACAATACCTCTTTATAATATCAGTCAACATGAAAAGTGAAAAGTTTTATGCAGAAATGTTTACATGGAAATTTTTCCTCCAATTTTTGAGGTGCGTCAGTGAGGGTTCACGGTAAAAAAAACAAATGTCTCCTTTTTAAACCCTCCCCTCCTTCATGTCTATTTTTGCTCTCATAGGTGGATCCGAGTCGCTACGGTGACCCTTTTATTTTCGCCACATTTCGCTCGCTGTGCTCCTGGCTGGCCGAGGAGACCTCCTGTCTGAAAGAGGAAGTGACCAGACTGTTGCCATTTCTGATCAGCTACTCCCGGAGCCACATGCAGGGCGAGGGCGCAGAGCAGAGCCTCTCTGATTGGATGGCGGAGATGTCCGTGAGAGAGGAGAGAGAAGAAGCGTGGACGGGCAAAGAGGCTCTGAGGTAAAAATGACCGAACATGTCAAAGAGAATGAAAGTCTCGAACATTTGATACGTTTTTCTGCAATAGCTTCTGGTCGTCCTTTTTTCCTCCTTCTCTTCAGGTATCTCCTTCCTGCTCTGTGTCATCTGTCAGCAGAAGAAGGTCCCAGGAAGGTGCTGCTCACACTCGACACCCCTGCTCTGCTGGTGGACTTCCTGACTCAGTGCTGGACCTCTCTTAAAGGGAAAAGTGGGGTGGTTTCAACCAGAGATCCCAGCATGGAGACCGCCTGCTCAGCCCTCCTGAACTTCACTGTTACAGAACCAGAGAGAGTCAGGTAGCTTAAATGTGAAATCAAGCACATTATAATCGTAAAAGTGCTTATTTTCTGTATGTAGATTGAGACATGGTTGTTTTTGTCTAGGAAGGACCCGTGTTTCAGATCCCTGGAGACTCTTCTAGGTGAAGCACTACCTGTTTTGGTGTACAAACCACGCCTTCTTGTCCTCGCAGCAAATTACTGCACATTGGGTCTTATGATTGGCCGACTCAAGCCAGCTTCTCCAGGTGAAAATACGTCCTTTTGTCTCAGTGTATCACAGAATTTAGGGCCTTTTTTCCACTTGTAGTCTGCTGATTATGATGATTGAATCCACTGCTCAATACACCAAAACTCCAGATTAGATTTTTTTTAATGAATGCATCTGTTATGTAGCGTTGAAAGTCACAACTTTAGGAGGAAAATGACGCCATGTTACCCGTAGCATCAAAGACGACTCCTCCAAGTTAAAATTCCTCCCCGAGGCAGAAACAGAAACAGCAGCTAATAGGAATCAAACCATTATTTCTTAAAATATGAATATCAGTATACTTCCACTTCCCAAGGCTGATAAACTGGCAAACTATGAATTACATGGAGCACAACCATTACGAATGTATTAGTCACTGCCTCTTATTTCTCTCTGTGACTGCTTTGTAAAAGGGGTGTAAGAGGCGGGTCATGTGAGCGATCAGCAGGGCAGGAAAGCTGCTGTGAATGAGAGGCTCATTAAGGGTTGTAAACATTAATCATGCTCCTATAACTGTACTTCATGTTAACTGAGTTTCTCTCTTAAATCCTAAAATAATCATTAAAATGTCTAATGGTACCCACACATAGATTTTATAAGCCTTTGAGTGTTGCCAACGCCACTGCAATCGATAAAACACTGTACAATCAGTGGTCTCTGTCTAACCTAATTCAGTCCTAATGCTGAACATTTCTGGATAATGTACAAACAACATTAAGCGACTGTTGCTGGGTAGTGTTGTGTCGTTCACGAACGATTCGTTCAAAAGAACCGAATCTTTTAAGTGAATGTACCGAACCGAATCACTTCCTCAAGTGATTCGTTGCCAGCATTACCAGGCTAGCAGCCGGCGAACGAGGGACCACATGCACCAACGCCTGAATCACTTGGTGAAGGAATCACACATTGAACTACGCACTCTGGAGTCATTTCTGTCGGACTAAACTACCTTTTTTTTCCACTAAATTGCCACCACAACAACTTTCAAACAATAGGATACAGCATGTAACAAGTAGTGCATTAAACCTGCAGCATCTGGTTTGTGAGGGAACGGTGCATGTTCAGTGTGAATTCTTCTAAATGTTCAGTGAACGAATCACTCACTGATCCCAATTTACCTAGAAGGTAAATAGCATACCATAGGACACTTAAAACATCATGACTTATGAACAAGTTCATTTTTACAAACCTGTTTGCCAAAGCTACACAGACAAACACTCTCATCTCCCGGTCCCAGAAACTATGAATTGAACTGAATCCTGAAACGTTCAGATGTGTATCAGTTCAGGAGGTCGGAGTCGCAGGCTTCTCCCACTAAATGATTCTGTGATTTGGTGAACGAATCTTTTTAGTGAACTGATTCTAGTGATTCAGTACATCTAAAAGAACTGCTGTGCCCATCACTACTGCTGGGTCTGCAGGATGAGAAAATTGAGCCCTTATTTATACAAGATAGAAAAATGTTGACTGTGTGTATATTATGTTGTTTTGATGTTTTTTTCCCCTAAAATGGTCAAAATCAAATGAAATCAAATCAAACTTTATTTATTGAGCATTTTTCATGCATGGATGTGCAACACAAAGTGCTTTACACTCATAGAAAAGTATAAACATAGAAACAACAGTTACAAATAAAGCCCCTCCCTCCCACCCTCAAAAATTAAAGCAGCTCTGACTCTAAAATATTTCCACGACACTCTTCAAAATGTTCTTTCTGTGTGTCTTTAATGTGTTAAATTTAGATGAGAATACAAGAACAATGTGTCTATTACTGGCAGCTTTAGAGATCTATTTTTTAAGCAACTCCATATTTTATTTTCCAGGCTCCGCTGAAGCTTGCCAGAGGCGGTTCTTCTCCTCAGCTCTCCGGTTCCTCCGCGGCGCCCTGGATTCCAGCTCCAGTCCCGGCCCGGTGAAAGTGAGCCAGAGCTGGGAGGAGAGTTGGGATGAGGTGGAGGAGCTCTGGAGGCTGAGTCTGCAGGCTCTGGGGGGCTGCGTCCGCGCTCAGCCCTGGATCGCCGCTCTGGTCAGACAGGAAGGTTGGCTCAATCGCACACTCGCCATGCTGAGTCAGTGTAGCGCTCTACCTGACCAGCACACACAGGGGGCGCTAGAGGAGGCACTGTGTGCCCTGGCGGACATGTGCCCGGCCTGTCAACGAGAAATCAGAGACGTGATGACGACGATGAAGAGTGACAAGTGCGCTTTGAGCTCTATGAGGAACCTGAGGAAGTCTGTGGATGTCAAGTGAAACCTTGAGTTCCTCTCAAAGTCAGTATTTTTTAACTTTAAAGGAGGACGGTCGCTTTAACCAAACCTGTGTGCTGTTCGCTTGGAGCAAACCACGATAAATGATGTATAAACTATCATCTAAGAGCCTCTATGTAGAAATAATGAACCACCACTCATTGGTCAATCTTTAAAAATGACCTGACAGGACAGATAATTATGAATTTGTTTACCAATGTGGTGTAATGTAGATGTTTGACAAGGTGTCAAAACCATAGAAATGGGGCACTGAAGGAAAAAAACTATAGTATTATGAGAGTAAGGTAATTAATTTTCAAGAATAAAGTTGTAATCTTCAAAATTGGAATCATAATTTATTAGGAGAAGCACTTTGGTAACCCAACACTGTTTATTAAACTGCCATTCCCTGGAGAGGACACAGTTGATCCTTCAATATTAACAGAATTCAGGTTTCAGTGAAATCTTTCTACCAAAGTGTGACCCAACAAGTTTCCATATGTACATTGTTTGAGCACAGGTGACTGGCTCTGCTCTTTTTTTAGGATAAATGTACTATTTTCTAACTTTATTCACAAACTCTGAACTTTTGTCTTTACAGTGCCCTGAATGCTTTGTTGTACGGAAGAGAGAAAACTTGTTAAATGTTGATTGTGACTTCCCACTGCCTTTAATAAAGAGCTATTTTGTTAGAAAACCAACCAGAGTCTCGGTTTTACTCATTTCTTCTTTATAACCTTGTTCAAAGCTCAGTGACAGACACATTGGTGATTACTCACGGTTGTTCTTCCTCCAAAACTTAACAGGATCAGCTTACTGACTTGATGCTGATAACGGGAGCGGCTCCTGAAGATGTAAGGAATCTTACTCCTCTTGGATTCTGCCTCTTCAGGAAATAAACACTCGGCCAAAAAGCTGCTTCAGCCTTTAAAAGATGTAATAAAATCTCTTTATCTTCGTGTTTTCTCTTCCAAACCTTTTCATCAGTTTCAGATGGAGCTGTCAGGAAGGTAAGTTATTGTTTTTAAGAATCATATATTCCTTAAATTACCACTAGATGGCGCACTGGGACCTGATTGGCTCTCATGTGCTTTAAAGTTCATGATAACTGAGGAAACTGTGTTTAAGCGTTTAAATGATCCGGATATAAAACTTTACTGAGTGTACCATTGAGGCCCAAGTTTTAATTTGTGATTTTAAACAACAAAAACATTTTCTTGAATTTTAATTAATAGGAAGCCTGTGTTTCCAGTTAAAAATACAGTAATTTCGTTTAAAAGCAGTTAGAAGTCTTGGAGAATTAGACTAAAATATGAAATGTAAGTTTTGTTTGCAGATAATTGATTATTTCCTCGCTTTGGATTATGTTTATGCTGATTTATGATCATGCTTTGTGTTCTTGTAAAGGTAGAAAATCACGTTTCTGCTTCATCAGTCTTTATGCACTATCCTTAGAAAGTTTGTAGCCACCCCATCCCAGACTCCTGTCACCTCCCGCCCTCTTTTTCCCTCCACCACCCAACCCCCACCTCCACACTACCCATCCATACAAACTCCTGCATCGTCTCTCAAACTAACTCACTCCTCTCTGTACCTTCAGCCTTTCTCCTCTCCATCCAGCGTGTCACATTAACCCCCTCAGCTGCGTCCTGACACCCCAGCGTGAGAGCCACCATCAGCACCAGCACCATGCTCTGGAAATCCCGAACCAAGACTGACGGAGTGCAGGTAAACCACCTCAGATGTGTGTTTATTTATCTATTTTTAATCTTATTTTATTTTGTTTCCCAGAAGTCTTGGTGAGTCCAGAATTTTTGGGTAATAGTCAACTTCAAAGTTGTTTTACGCGTGGGGCAAATGTTTGGAAAAACTTGCCAAATTTGGAGTTTCTAGCCAAAATTGATCTGGATACCCGTGCGTAAAAACGACTGTGTGGTGTTACGATTCAAAATATTGGATTTCTAGACAAAATCTGATTTTTAAAAGTTGTTTCTGATGCAAACTTTGTCAAAGAAAGATATTTTAAAAGTCTTAAATCGTGCGTAAAATCCAGGAAACCACCCTGTGCCATTCTCCAAACAAAACGAGTCATAAATGTCAAAGTACGGTGAGAGTCTGAGTTAACCGTCTGTAATTGAATGAATATATCTCTTTAAGAGAAGTGGACCCCGTCGACCCCTCCCCTCCTCATTCTGCCGGGCGCGCGCCAAACCTATAAGTAGTGCGCTCATGGAGAGACAGGAGGACTCTGTGTATGTTGTGCGCGCCTGTGTGTATCTTGCTGCTGCAGCTTTTTCATCCTGTGTGCGTAAAAGAGAGCTCCAGTCAAAGAGAGATAAAAGGGAAAGTTAATGACACATTTGAGTTTCATGGAGCGGTGAAACAGTCTGGATTACACCTCGGAGTATTTGGTGACATCTTGATAGTGGTTGGAAGCCTGCGCGTGCTGCTGAGTTTTAAATTTGGGGGAATCCAGAGAGGTCCAGATGTTAATCCACACCTATTCGGCAATGGTGAGTTGGAGAGGATTGATTTCTAGATTTTTAAGGATTGTTTGTGTTTGTTTAATACTTATTTAACTATTTTTGGGGGGAAATTTTTTATTTTTGTGGTGTGTTGCCTGTGGATAGCACTTAAAAAACATGCGCAAAATGTGATTTTTACCCCTCAAAATGGCTCATTTCCGAGATAAATCCAGTCTAGATCTCATCAGTTGCATTTTTAAAACTATATTTATCAATTTGTAGATCTTTTTTGTTTTGTTTGCGCTGACAAAAACATTTAAAATAAATTGCTGTTTGAACGACACTCTCCATTTGATTTAATCGTGATGAGTCCGTGCTGTTTTGACCCTGAGTTAAAAGCTGCGGCGCGCTGCATCTGTCCGGGGAGATGCTCTTTGTCTGCGCAGTGTCACAGCGCATGAGACCGGCTGACAGTAAAGTGTCCACACTGTGCAAACACTGTGACACGCCGTGACACAAGATGGGGAAGTGTCTCTGCGTTTTTAATCTCTTGAATTAAACTTTGTCAGAGTGAAATGAGGAATTAAAAAATCCGCAGAGTGGGGTGGATGTATGACTGATGCATGTGTGCGCTTTTGGCCTCTCTGGATGGCACATAATGGACATTGTTCCACCACAACAGCATTGATCCGGATGACCCAGCTTTTGGGAAAATCCAATTTCACCAGGATGTGTGTGAGCAGAAATGTAGGCTAGTGGAGTATACAGGATCACTTTTCCACGAGGGCTGGAACTTGCAAAGTCCATATCAAATTTCCTTTGTAATTTTCACTTGCGCTTCTGTTGACACCTTGACAGATTATTTACAGGTGCAGCCCACTTCCCCACTTCTTCCTCTCCTGCAGCAGCAGCAGCAGCAGCAGCGTGTTGTTGTGTTGTGTTCTACCTGCCCCCGTGTCTTTGTGCAGCTTGTTGGTGGCCGTGACCTTTCTGACACTGTTCAGCAGCGATGCCAAAGGCGTCGTCTGCCAGTGCGCATCACTTCAAGCCATCCTGCTATTTCCAGACAATTCGTGAAACGGATATGCATTTATTTATGGAGTTTGTCCGTTTAGTGAGAAACGATTTTGTTCATTTTGGAATTCGTTGAATTTTTCTCATCCAGCCTTTGCGATTTTACGCGTCATTTTTGGAGTAGATTAATTCTCCGGATGTTAAAATTTATTGAATTTCTTTGACATTTATTTATTGTTTTTTCTTCTTTAGCAATAATTTGATATAAAACAAACTTTTCTAATTTTCCTCAGGACCGCGCAGACGGACTGAGTGGCTCTTCGCCGAGTGGGCGCCTCTCCCAGCTCTCCTCCCTGAACCAGGCCGCTTACTCCTCGGCTCCCCCGCTCTGCCACACTCCGGCCTCTGACTTCCAGCCTCCGTACTTCCCTCCCCCTTACCCCCAGTCCTCCCTGCCATACTCCCAGAGCCAGGACTCGGCCTATTCCCACCTGTCAGACCCCTACCCCTCCATCAACTCCATCCATCAGCATCAGCAGGCGGCATGGCACTCGCAGAGGTCGCGCTCCGAGGAGGGGGGGCTTCTGTCACAGTCGCACCGGGCTTTGAGCCTCGACCCTCGGCGGGAGTACGCAGCTGTCCCTCGGCTGCTTCACGGTCTCGGGGAAGGTGCAGCCGCGCTCGGGGACGGTCCTCTCGGGATGCACCTGGGACACCACGGCCTGGAGGATCTTCAGGTGACTACATGAGTTTCTTATCTTTGGCTTTAGACCGTGCGTAAAAGTAACTGATGTGCAAAATCTTTAATTATTCTCAATTTATTCGGATGCTTTTATGAGGGAAAAGTGTTTTAAATTGGTGTAAAAATATTTATAAAAAAAGGATACAGGCAACAAGGCCTTGAGGCAATTTATCACCTGATTCCTTCTTTCCTACAATTGCCGATTAAATGTCCTTTAATAATCCAAATATTCTGTAATAATCCAATTTTATTACAAAAGAGTGTATTTTTGCTTTCATTTTAAATCATAAAAAGCAGCGTTTTCCCCATTTTCTTTATTATTTCTGTATTATTTAGGTCAGAAGTTAATAGTTATCTGACGCCCATTTAATGTAGTTTCTCCAAAACAGGTGCAGCCAATTAATTGATTAATTAGTGTGCACCGACGTCATTTGGCTTTGCTGTACAGGTGTTATACTATTTAAACGGTATATGATAAATCAGCTTATTTAGTACAGTTGAGATGTCAGGACTGATATGGGAATTTCTGCATGAATATCAGCAAAAACTTTAATTTTTCTTTAAAATATAATCACAGATATTTTTACTTATTTGTCACTTATTTTCTTATTTATGTTTTTAGATTTTATTCCCATCATGTTAAGAAAATTAAAGGCTGAATCGTTAAAGCTCAATGACTGAAATTAAAGAAAACGTAAAAATTATTGATTAAATTTTTACAAAAGAGTCATTTTCTGTCCGGTTCATCCGCGTGTCACCCCTGCTGTGTCGTCTCGCGCGGACTCTAAAGTCTTGTCGCTCACTCTGCACTCGTGCACTTTTCATCTTTGTGTGAAGAGAAGGAGAAGAAGAATAGTTGTTGAGTTTTATTGAGCAGTCAGCCTCTCCCTCCTGCAGCAGGTGCAGCTGCTGCAGACGCTGTTTGTTGCCTCCTGCTGTATTAAAGAAAAGAAACACCGAGACTAATTGATGTTTACGGTCATTAATGGAGAAGAAACGTTTGAGAGGCGCGCGAGGCGAGGAGTCAGCGCGAGCGTGCTGCTGCTTAAACGCTCCCACACGCACGAGGACGACCTTCTTTTGATTAATGGATGATATCCTCGTTCAGCTGTGAAGGCTCGTTTAACTCTCAACACAAAAGAGACATCCGAGGATCAGACTGAGGGAGGAACAAAAAAAAAACATCAAATAAAAACACTAAAGATTAAAGTTATTCTGGTAAAGGGAGATAATCCGACTGTTTTTACATTTTAAAATTAATTTTAGCATTAAAGATTTTTCCTTAGTAACAGAAATACCAGCAGTTATTTTAACTAATTGTTTAGAATACCCAAATACACCATTTTGGGGGCAATGTTAAAGAGTCTAAACCCTGTTAATACAGCATTATTGTATTTTTTTAAAGGACAGATAACTCTCACAGTCACTAAAAATCATTTATGAATCAAAAGAATTCCCTATAATTCTCCCAATTCTTTTTTAAAAATCTCTATTAATGAAAAACAAAAATTATTTTCATCTATTGTGTGTAAAAATAAAAAAATAGCCATCAAAAAAACATCCAATAACCTGTTACAGTATTCCCACATTATCTGATTTCCTTTTAACATTGAGACATATTAATAGGTATCATTTTTTAATGTTGCAGCCAAAAATAGACCCTCAAATTTAGAGGAAAATGCTCATATATGTCAATGTGATGTGCATAAAACAGGATATCTGTTGAAAATAACCACCAAAAAACATCCAATAACCTGTTATAGTATTCCCTCCTTATCTACTTTCCTTTTTTACATTCACAAATTTTTATGGTTATAATTTTTTTTACTGTAACAGCTATGGTTGTCCAAAAATAGACCCCCAAATTTTGCCCCAAAATTAGAGGAAAATGCTCATTTTAACATCTCTATGAAATGTCAATGTGATGTGCATAAAACAGGACATCTGCTTTCCTTTTCGATAGACAGATAGAGAGATAGATAGAAATACTTTATTGATCCCAAACTGGAAAATTCCCATGTTACAGCAGCAATAAAAACACAAAATAAAATTAAATATAAGAAGTATGTACAATACAGACTGAATATACTGAATATATACAATAAATACAGACTAAATATACTAAACGTCCTAAGAGAAGAAGGCTATCTGGTAGTACTTTTAACATTGAGACATTGTAATGGTTATCATTTTTACTGTTGCAGCTACTGTTAGACCCCAAAATTTGCCCCAAAATGAGAGGAAAATGCTCATTTTTACACCCCTACAAAATATTTTAAAAATGCTTTACTATAATGTGCAAAAAAAAACAGGATTTTACCGTCGAAACATGTAAAATAATCTGCCACGGCGATGTAAATTCATCAACAGTTATTCCCATTTTACAATTACAAGAAATTTCAATCTGACTCAGATTAGAGCGACAGATTATGTGACTTTATCGCAGAGTTTTGAATTTTCATGTCATTCATCGTCTGTTTTTGTTTTGTTTTCATTCAGCGAAAAGACTCTTAATCAAATCAAAGCGACAAAAGCAGCTCTGCTACTCAGAGTGTTTTCATGTGCTGTGAGGGAAAGAGCTAACGTTAGACTTTCCATCTTGCTTTGGCCTGAGAGCGAAAATCTGTGTGTGTGTATAAGTGTGTATATAAGTGTGTGTGTGTGTGTGTGTGAGGCCAGTGGATAAATGATAGTGACTGTCTGTCTGTCTGACACAGGGAATGGAGGAAGGATCAGCCTTGGGCATCCTCGACCACTCTGTCATTAAAAAAGGTAAGAGGTGGAGGAGCTGTGTGTGTGTTCGTGTGTGTGTGTGCGCACAGGTATGAGTGTGTGTGACATGAGAAAGGAGAGAGAGAGAGAGAGAGAAAGAGAGAGGAGGAAGATTGAGTGTGTGTGTGTGCATTTGTGTCTAAGTGTGCACCTATATAATTGTGCTATACATGCTGAAGGGGGTTTTGTGTTTAGGGGCCCTCCAACATCACTCTCTCTCTCTCTTTCTCCCTCTCTCTCTCTCTCTCTCACACACACACACACACACACACACACACACACACACACACACACACACACACACACACACTATAAATAATTCTGTTTTGCTATTTCATTTGAAGTCAAGAAGTCCTCTAATACTCAGCTGCAGACTTCACCCCAAAGGCACACATTCTTAATGAACTGTTCATGGTCATATGAGAGTGTGTGCGTGTTTGCGTGACTGTGTGTGTGTGTGTGTGTGAGAGAGAGAGAGAGAGAGAGGAAGAAGGAGAGAGTAAGGATGGGTGGGGAGGGGGATTACAGCGAAGAAGAGGAGAGAGAAGTGGGGCAGAGAAGAAAAGGGAGGAGAACGCGATAAAAGAGGAGTTGTGGGGAAATTTTCGCAGAGTACGATCGCTCTAATATTACCGAGTCGGAGTCTGAGGGAGACACAGGGGCACGATTAGGAAATTCAAGTTGGATTTGTTGCTTCTGGACTGACAAAAGTGGTGTGAAAGAACCGTGTTCATGCAGGAGAATGAAAACCTGCGAGGCGGCTGGTTTTTGGGGGGTAGAAATACGAGAAAATACAAGAAAATACAAGAAAAGGTTTAGGAAGAAACAAGCTGAAAGTGACTCCTACTTTGGTCTAAAAATGACAAAAAAGTGAATGGACTTCTGCACAAAAAATATCACTTTTTATAGGGGAGGATTTATAGTTTAGAGGTTTTCCCTAATGATTGTTATAAGTAGAGTTATTTTAGAAAATGACAGAAAAATGAATGGACTTCTGCTGACAGAGAATCACTGAAACACAGACGATGCTTAAAACTCCTCTCCCTCTCTGATGCAAAGTCATTTTTACACAATAAAATGATGAAATAATGTGCAAAATGTGATAATTTCCTTTCTGCTCTTCATCAAACTACAGTTTAAACTAACACTCACATTTATTGAGTATTTTTGCATCCTTATCCCCATATTTCAGTGATCCACCTGAATCACTCCTTGCTTCAACATTTTAATCTGTTTTTCAGCAAATTAATGACCAAAAATGAACAGATTTATCAACAAGCTCAAGTTTTTATATAACAAGTGTGTTATTCTCCAAATCAGAGACCTAAAAAGGTGACAGGATAAGCTGAAACAATCCTCAACACCTCCTCCATCATTCGACGAAGTGACAGTGATTCCACTTGTTTGCCAAACGCTCCGAATTGATCCATTAACCGCAGCGAGACTCTCCCCGGCGAGCTCTTACAGCAGATAGCAGAGCGAACCTAAAGGCCTCATGAATAAGAAAATCCAACAGGGGAGAAGAGAACGAGACGGAGTGTAGAGGAGGAGGGGGAAAGAGACAAGGACAGAGGGGGAGATAAAGAGAGAGGGAGAGGCAGAAAAGAGAGAGTCGAGGAAGATGATAAGAGAAAGAGGGGAAGAGAGGGAGGGGCGGAGAGACGACAAAGGAGAGAGAGAGAGAGAGAGTTAGAGGGGCTCTGCTTGTTCTCTCTGTGGCCTCGCTGACTCGACACGCCGCTCGTGAATGAGGGGATTTGGAGAGATTTTTTCAGTATAGGGGATCTGTGTCGTACGGCAGGACACTGAAGATATCACAGATTACTCCAAGTGTGATCGGAGAGCCACGGTTCAAGTGTAGAGACAGAATATAACGCAATGGAAATAATAGAAAATGAAGAAAGCAAAGAAGAGGGGGTGTCACAGATCCGGGTATAACAAGAAGGGGAAGGACCCAAATTGCAGATCAAAAAAGGATTTATTTAAAAGGAAGTAAAAAGCAACAAAAACTTATTTTGAAAATGCAGACAGAGTCATAGACACACAATGAGCCGACAAAGAAACAGGGAAAGACAAGGACGATATATACAAACACACAGGGAAACGAGCAACGAGAGGCAGGTGAGACACAGGTGAAGACAGTTACCTGCCTTAATTATGCAACTTGTCAGCAGAAAACAAAAAACTGCACGACTCAAACAGGGCAAGAAACTGAAAGGATCGAACCTGAATGAACACTTAACAAAGAAAAACTTGGACATTGCCAGACAAGCACGCATCCTACGGAGAGAGAACTGAATTCAAGCAAATAAACGAAATAACTAATTACAGAGGAGGGAAAACTGAGGAAGTAAAACAAGACAAGAAACGTAGCGAATAAACTACTACAAAATAAAACAGAAACACTGACAACATGAGGGAAATAGGGTCAGACACAAGCTGAAAACTCAAGACAGGACTACAGGGAAACAGAAACACTAGGGAAAATCACAAAGAAAATACACTCTGATAACCAAAACCAGAGGAAAATACCAGAACATATCATGACAGAGGGAAAGTGAATAAACTGTTAGAAATGAAACATACATACCGACACTCTGGCCTTCTTGCACACGTCTCACATACATGTAAAAGAAGAGGAGCCACACATAAGAGAGACAGAATAGGATGTGTCTTGATTTAAAATGGTGTTAAAATTACCTACTATACCTTTAAAGGTGGATCCTCTCTAAATTAAATCACAATTATCTAATTTTTGAGGGTTTATTTTGTACACATTGGACCCGATCGCCACCTTTTTTATAAATTTTTTTCCCTAAATTTTTTTAATTTCTTCCTTTTCATAAAAATAAATGAGAATCTGTTTAGTCGACTATTAACCGAAACAAAAAAGAAAAGCTAAGGAGAATTTGCGTCTTTGCTGATACAAGAAAAAGCAGCCATCATGAGTATAAAGGATTAACTCACATAAAGAGGTTGACTCCTTTCAGTCCTCTCTGTTCAGAGGATTTCTGCCCACACAAACACAGATTTACAGGATTTAGGGTTTAAGACGCCAAAGCTCATTTTATTTATACCAATTACAACCCAGAGAGATGACTCAGCGGAGAGACAGAGAGCTGACAAGACCATAGAAACATTTTAGGATGAGAGTTTTTAGGTTTTTTACAATTAAAAACTAAATTCATACATGTAGACTCAAGAAAATACGTGAAAGAGGAGTAAAATATGCATCATTTTCTGTCCTGTTTCATTATTGGGAGTTTTTCTGTCTAAAATAAGACACCTCAGTTTGTCTGAGCTTCACCAGTCCCTGAAAATATCATTGTTTCCTCCCCAAAGTGTTTTCGGTTTCTCCCTCTCCAAAATAAGACCGAACTGATCAGAGTCTGAAAAGTTTACCGCCGTGCAGAAAAGTGAGTGCGAATCGAAGCTCCTCGAGGTGTGAAGCAAAGCTATTTGCGAATGCACAGCTAAAATGTAACCACCTGCAGTTTAAACAACAGAATCAACAAGCAGTGCTCCAGATTTAGAGCCGTGGACGCGGGGGAGAACATTACACTGAATAGATTAATCAGGAGGAGGAGGAGGAGTGCTGTCACACACTCATTCACACAACAATAATGTCACAGCTCAAGACATATGTTTGGATTGATGGGTTTTATTTTCCCCTAGCTTCCTGATTTTGCCACTCTTCATGTAGTTTTCTCCATCTGACTCTTTAAATATGCATCAAAAGTTTGTTCGCCAACTTTCTTAAACCTTTGAGATTAATTTTTCTTTCGTTTTCACCCCAGTTCCCATCCCGTCCAAGCTGAACGGCTCGTCCCTGTCGAGCCTATCCATCGGTAAGGAGGGCTACGGGGTGGGGAGCGTGTCAAACCCAGCTGAGGTCTTCTGTTCAGTCCCAGGTCGCCTCTCGCTGCTCAGCTCCACCTCCAAGTACAAGGTGACAGTTGGGGAAGTGCAGCGGCGCCTGTCCCCACCTGAGTGCCTCAACGCCTCCCTGCTGGGTGGAGTCCTCCGCAGGTGAGAAGAGAAAAAAAAACGTCAATTATTATTCGTCACAGAATGAGAGATATGGTGAAATTATGGATAAAGCAACACCCAGTATGTCAATCACATTTTGGGCTTTAACTCAAAAGTTAAAGCTCCTGTAAGGAATTTTTATGAAAACTGAAGTTAGTATTGATGCCTCTACGTTCCTCACAACAGCTGGAAGTCGAGAAACGACTCGAAGCGGTACCACTTTTTGTATTTTTGTAATGTAGAGGTGACGTTATCTAGTGTTTCCCACTTTTCGACACAACAGCAGACTGAGCAGCAGACAATCAGCTGGTCGGCCATGTTGGATATACCGGTGAATCAGACATTGCAACAACATGAAATCTGATTGGTCAGAAGTGGACACACAGTATGCGAAACTTTAGAAAAATCGACCGTGAAAGGAAAAAATAAATGCCACAATATCGCAGGACTGCTTGTATTGACAGGATACGGGTTCGAAAAAAAGTATTGACGTCCGAAATAATCGCACGAAAAAAAACACTCCCAGTTTGAAAGGACCTTTATTCTAGTTAAAGCTCCTGTTAGAAACTTTTCCTTGTGGTGAGTTTGGCGCCCCCTCTGGACAAAATGCCACCTTTAATCTCTTTGCTGATCTTGTCCTGTGCATGTAAAGACAAAACTCCACCTCCTTCTCGAACATTTTACTCACAGCTTGTCTATTCTTTTGGAAAAAAAATCTAATTTAAACCCAACTCAACATCTAGCGCCTCACAGTGGTTACGGGTATTAACAGTGACTTTTTGGAAATAGTCAATCTCGACGCGAATAAGCATAATTTTTCGTTTCAGTCTGTTCCATAAAAAGCTGAAAATGCTTTACAGGAGCTTCAAACTTTCCCAAAGCCTTTATAATAAATTGGATCTTTTCGAAGGTTTAAGTTCAATATAATAGATTAATATTTTATATTAACACATGGCAACATTTAGAATCCAACACTTAGTGTTTGTGCGTAGCGCTACCCGTCACTTAATTTACCGACATAACCACATTTGGATCAATCTACATCAGCAGCAGCAGCCATCTTTTTTGCCTGCGAAGGATCTGAACATCATTTTGACCGACCACCTCTAAGATATGATCTGTTCGAGGGAATTAAATGAGGTTATTCACTACTGTGGCTGTAGTTAAATGGAAAATGTGGTCTTCACTTATAAACAGCCAAACAAACTGCGATAAAGAAGAGTTATATTCCTAGTTAGGAGTTGTATAAATGTTAGAACAGCCGATAACCTGATGTCAAACGTAAATTCTCCCGTCAATGATGGCGTTTCAACAGCTTTCCAGTATTGCATTAGTAAGACAGCACTGCAGTTGTTTTATTTGTCTGAACCACACGACAAAAGCTTCTAGTGTACTCATCCTTAGCTATGAACCATGTCCTCTATTTTCCTAAAGCTTTTCAATAGAGTGCTTCAACTCGAATACGGGACCTCTGCTGAGGACCCAAAATGGGTCATGGGACTAAATCACAAGAGGAGCGATGTGTTTTAATGAACCGCAGCCCCGAGGCAAGAGAGCAACTTTATGATTGGGGTTTTCAGGCTGAGATATTTTAAAAGGACACCATCAAAAGATTTGAAGTGTAGTAAATATTACAAACCCTCATCAGCAGAGACAAACAGCTGCTCCACTGGTAATAATACATCGCTGTCAATCATTATAAGGGGGTTCATTTGAGTTTTCCTACTTTTACTCGACATTTCAGACAAAATAAAATTACTGCAGTGCAACTATTAGACAGCTAAAGCATGTTAGCAATTTTTGCACAAAATAAGTTGATAAAACACAGTATTATTTGCATCTCCTACAAGTTTTAAGACAACAGCAGCATGTTAATCAATGTTACTGACTTTTATCAGGTAACTTGGTTTTTATTGCCACAACACATTTCCTCTGAATACCTCTTTGCTTGTACCAAATTCTTAGGGCTTGGAATCACAGGGTAACCGCAATATGATACGATACAAAATGACACAAAACAAAACAATAGGACACAATGTGAGAAGATATGATACGCTATGATTTACTGAAGTATGCACAATATAATGTGGTGCAATATGATATAAAACAATGGAATGTTGGCAGTGTGATGCAATGCCGATGGGATGTAGTTGCGCTGTGATGTGATATGATGCATTATGATGTGTTATAATATGTTACATTACGATAAGATACGGTACGATACGATACAATTTGTTACAGTATGTTACATTATGTTACAATACATTATGTTACAAAATGATACGTTGTGATACAATACGTCACAATAAGATATAATATGTTACATTATGTTACGATATATTATGCTCCGATATGGTATGTTACGTTACAATACGATATGATACAATATGTTACATTACGTTACGATGAATTACGTTACGATACATTATGATCCGATATGGTATGTTGTGTTAGGGTACAATACAATACGTTACGATACAATACAATATGTTACGATACGTTACAAAACAATACAATACAATACAATATGTTACATTATGTTACGATACATTACAATACAATACATTATGATCTGATATGGTATGTTACGTTAAGATATGATACAATACATTATGATACACTACAATACAGTACGTTACGATCAGGGATATTTGGCACCATTGTCCTGACAGAGTTAGGATGACATATTTCTGTACTTTAGTTTGAATGCAGGGAGTTTTGGCAGCCATAGTTTTGTCAAAATCAGCCGTTTCTTGGCACCTTCCATATAAACACCTCACAATGTTTCTCTATAAATTATCCTTAAAATATCCTTAAATGTTGAGATTTTAGGAAAAAAGAAACTGGGGAGAAACAACAAGAAGAGCCGAGCAAAAAAAACAAGAAAGTCCAAATACCAAAAGATCCTATCAGTGCTGACAGGAAGCATACTGAAGGAAGATTTCAGCTTCACATTCACTTAGAAAAACACACAAACACAAATAAACACACACACCATGACAAATCTCTCAAAGACAAACACAGGGCCAGAATTTACGCACACACATAAACACACACACACACACACACACACACACACACACACTGAAGGAGCATCTCCTAAAACTGCTCTCTCTCTCTCTCTCTCTCTGTCTCTGTGTCCCCCCTCAGGGCGAAGTCAAAGAATGGTGGCCGCTGTCTGAGAGAGCGTCTGGAGAAGATTGGCCTCAACCTGCCCGCCGGGCGCCGCAAGGCCGCCAACGTCACTCTGCTAACATCTCTGGTGGAGGGTAGGGACTACACACACACAAACACACACAAACACACACACACACAGTGACCTGCTTACATACTGACAGAAAGAGACACATATTCACATAGAAACATCTTTGCATGAGCACACATGAATAAACAGTCAGAACACGGGTGGCTGCATGCGTGCGGGGCCACACACAAGCGCGGGGTGATGTTAGTAAAGCCAGCGTGCATCTGCCACACAGAGCCAAAGAGCAGTGAACTGTTTGAGCGGTGAAAGTGAGAAAAACGGCTGCAGAGTTTGTCTCGTGACCCGGCCTGACCCCCGCGCTCACAGAAGTCAATTGTGTGTCGTTGAAGAGCTTTTCAATGGATGATTATCTGATTTGAACCTAAACTGAAGCTTTATAAATGCACCACTGTCCTTTCTTCTGCTTGTGCGGGGCTTATTTTCTATTTCTCACTGGCTCCTCTTCCTCCTCCTCCTCCTGCAGGTGAGGCTGTCCATCTGGCGCGGGACTTTGGTTACGTGTGCGAGACAGAGTTTCCAGCCAGAGCCACAGCTGAGTATCTGTGCAGGCAGAGCGAGCCGGACCAGCTCCCAACACGGCGCAGCATGCTGCTCGCCACAAAGTGAGTGTGCTTCCTCCACCGACTCAGTACGATTGAAATCATGAACTGAAACACTAACTGGGGTTTAAAATGCTAGTCGTAGGAAAGTCCTAATTATACAAACAGATTAAAGTCTCTGTAAATGTAAAATGTGTATTTGTACTACAGAAGCGAAGCGAGGTACACTTTGTCCAGAGGGGGCGCCAAACTAAACGCAGATAGAAAGTTCCCCATGGGAGTTTTAACTGATTTAGTCGACACCTAGGAATAAAATCAGGATATTTTGTTTTCTAGTGCTTTAGTATTACCCTTTCCGTCTCTAGGATACGGTGGCCGAGAACCGCCACTGCTGCTAAAAAAGAATGCAAAAAAAAGAAGTTACAACAGAAGATACTGATGCAACAAGAAAAGAAACCAAAGCCTGCTTCAAATAAAAAAAGAAATGTGCAGATCAAAAAAAAGCCAAAATGGAAGTTTTTTTATTTGCATCCTTTTATTTTCGTAATATGAAACTTTTTATTTTTATTTTGCATTACCACTTTTTTTTAGCGTCGTTAACTTTTTTTTTAATCTGCAACATTTCTTTTTTATTTGCAGCAGGCTTGGGTTTTTTTTATCAGTAACTTCTGTCGTGACTTCTTTTTTTTTGCATTCTTTTATTTTCGCAGTGTGTAACTTTTTTATTTAATTTATTTATTTATTTTTTTGCACCACCACTTTGGTTTTCGGTTTCTTTCTTCTTCTTTTTTGCATCGGTAACTTCTGTTGTGACTTCTTTTTTTTGCATTCCTTTTTATTTGCAGCAGTGGCAGTTCTCGGCCACCGTACTAGGAACCTTATTTGTAACCTCAAAAGAAGTGCTATATTGATGAAGAGCCGCTTTGGGTTTTTTTGGGGGCAACTCAACTTTATTCGTAAAGCACTTTAAAACAACCACAGCTGAACAAAGTGCTGTGCATAAATAGACAAAAAAACGCCGACATAAAAAACAATCAAAAAACAAATAAAACAATGGATAAAATAAAAGCAGATATTAGAAAGTAAAATATAGTTTCAATGTTTTTCAAAACTGATTTAAAAGCAATAGAAACAAATAACTAAAAACAAACCATAAAACACTGAAACACGAGCCGAGTCTCATGCAGGGTCGAAAGCTAATGAATAAAAATGGGTTTTAAGGCGAGTTTTAAAAATGGACAGTGTGGGGCAAGGACAAAAGGATACAAGGTCTATCGGATCAATGCAATCCCTGACACAACTTATTGTATCGACGGTTGTTTCCACAAAAAGCTAATATTTTGTTTTTTTATCTTCTCAGGGAGATTTGTAAGGAGTTCGTGGACCTGATGTCTCAGGACCGCTCTCCTCTGGGCGGCAGTCGACCCACCCCCTGCCTGGAGCCCGGCGTTCAAGGCAGCCTCACCCACTTCAGCCTCCTCACCCACGGCTTCGGCACCCCCGCCATCTGCGCCGCGCTCTCCGCCTTCCAAAGCTACCTGATGGAGGCCATTAAAATGCTGGACAAAGGAGAGGGCGGAGGGAAGAGCCACCACGAGAAGGAGATGAAGCACCGCAAATAGACGGAGGACGAACTGCTGTGTCAGTGAAAGAGTGGCAGAAAGGAAGAGGAAAGAGGGAGAAAAGACTGACGGGTGTCCCTCTGATTCTTGACCTTTGCCCTCAGGATAAAAACTGTTACCTCCCAGAAACCCCTCGGGGCCCCTTTTCGTCGAGGAGGCGGGGTTCATGATGATATCTGTACTGTTATGTGTGTCTAAAACCACCTCACTCGACATGACGCATGGACCTCTCTTCTAAGTAGCTGGTTTGTGTCATGATGGCGTCTCCAGGATGAGTTCCTACATATGGCTGTAAAGTTTGATTTATTCCCACTTCTACTTTTAATTTTTGAATTTTGGTAAACATGTCACCTTGATCAGTGTTTTAAAAACCCTCTGGCTTCATCACGCGTACACTTATTTTTCGGACTGAACTCATCTGGAATTTGTCGTTAAGCCATATCCAAGACAACAGACCTGCTCTTTGCTCCTTTGGAACTTGTTGGAGACTTTTAAACTCCACCTGATTGGACGAGCACAGCTTCCATATGTAGTTCTTTTTCAAGTGGTGGTCATGGGAAATTGAGTTTTGAAGGAGTGGGGGGAAAAAGAGGAGTCAAAGGCAGCTACAGGAGATTTGTTTTCTTTTAATTTGAAGTGCTGCGTGTTGGTAACTTAAGAAAATAACACAAATCATTTTGTACTTTCTGTGTATGTTTATTATTAATGTTATTACTGTTGTTATTATTATTGTATTACGGCATAAATGTAATATATTATTAAACAATTAAGAGCGATCAGAGGAGTTTAATGGCTGTGTTGTTTTGATTAAAAATCGCTCGGTTTATTGATCGGCAGAAATTAGTTAAAAGTTCAGATAGCACAAAGTCTTGGGTCCAAGTGCGGTTTGAACAAAGTGCCTAAAATCCATTTGAACTTCGTATTATTCAACAGTAAATGAAGTAGTTAAAAAAGAAGCAGTGGATATTTGGCTGGTTATCTTAGTACACTTTTAAATTTAAGGTCAAAGTAAGGATGTTCATGGTCCCCAGAGGATAAATCCAACTTACTTAAGTAACTTTTACTCCACCACCATAAACAGGTTAATTCATATGTATATTTAACCTTTTAATGCCTGAAATTACAAATTATGGCCAGAAAATTCTAATTTTTTTTTTAGCTGAAATGTTTATTTCACTCACTACTGAAAACCAAAAAAATCAAAATGTCCTTAAAATTTAACAAATATATTTATTTATCTCGTTTGATACATTAGATGTTTTTGGAAACTAATAAACTACAAGAAGACAATGTTCTCACTTATCGGACTGTATTTATATTGATTTGATAGAAGTATATAAAACTATGTATCAAATATGACAGAAAAGTCAATAAAGGCTTAAATTAAATTTCAAAACCTTTTTTTTTTTGTGAGAGTAGGACAAACATTTTTGCAGACAATCATGTTTCCCTTTGAGATGGACCACTGTACCTTTAATATTTTCCTGACTTTTCATCTCAAAAACAACATTTTACCAACAAATGTAGTTAAAAGTATAATAATTTAACGACTATTCAGTGTTTCGGCAGTGTCGTATCTGGTGTGCTCATAAGATGTTTGTTTGTCTGTTTTATTTTGGATCCACCATTAGTTACAACCAAATATGCAGTAACTACTCTTCCTGGGGTCCTTTTATCTTCTTTTCCATTTTCATTTTGAACTTAGATATGTACTTACAGACATTCAACACTTCATTCACACAGTAGCTCTTATTCTCTCTTGCTTGTTGAAAAATAAACCAATACATAAATAAGATGAAGAAAGAAAACTGAAAAGACAATCCATCACAGAGAAGAGCTGAATTCAGTTTCATTCATGGTACTCCATATGTAAACAAACACACCTTTAATTGTTTTTTAAAGCAACTTCTGTTAATGTCTTAAATTAAAACTATGTGAGATTTAATTTGCTCAGTACTTTGGTTAATTGCCAGTTATCTGTAAAACTAGTTACTTTCCTATTTAATCAGTTATTGTAAATACAAAGTGAATGTTACACTGCTATCACTCTTTAGAAAAACTGTCCTAATTCAACCGTTAAAGTAAAGACTGATTTCAGACATATTTATAAGCATCTTAAGTACGGCTAAATTAGTGTCTGTGGTTTAGGAGTCTTCAATTATTGTAAGTTTTAACCCAGTGCTATGAATAGCTTGATTAAAATGTACAAACTAAAGGTGAGTAAGGATAAAAACATGCTCCTGGTATGTGATGGCGGTTGTGGAGTCACTGCTGCGGCCCTGAACTGAACGTTGTACCTGAGAGGAGAAGGAGGACAGCTGTGTGACTCCCAGCGCCCAACAATCCACACACCTCTGCTCCCCCATCTGTTCCTCATGTCCCCCAAGCACCCGCAACCCCTCACCTCTCCTGCGCCCTCCTCCTCTTTATTTAACCAGGACGAGATACTCAACACAATCAGAGCTTTCCAGGGACCGCGTACATACATGTGTCGCCTGCTCTCAAACATCACTCATCATCTCTACCTGCCTTATGTCCCTTCCTCTCCTCCTATCTCATTACCCTCCTGTGTCAGCCCCCCTCCCCCCCTCCTCACCTGCCTCTCCCCTGCTCTCTCCCTCTATCTGACACTCAGCGGGGCCGCTCTCCATCTCTCCCCGTGCCTGCAGGCAAACATATGCTGCTCTTCCCGTCAGATTCCGGTGTGTTTGAGAGAGGAGGGATTGTTTAATGTTTATTAATCACCTGTCTGTGCTGCGGAGAGGAGACAGTGATGATAGAGCCACACACACACACACAGGCTGTCTCACTTCACACACACACACACACACACACACACTCACCTACAGTCTTCAGCTGTGATGTTACCAGCTTGGCCTGGTTTCCCACTTTACAGCTGTGTATAAGTATGCTCATTTACTGTAACACTCTTTCTATGCAGTCAAAATATGTTGAATTCATCTGCAGGACAAATGAACCTTGTTTCAACTGAGCTTACATCCTTTAAAATGACTCTAAAGAGCACTTAAACAGAAACACACACTGATGAATATCTGATAATGTTCCCAACACAAGAAAATACTCAACTTTTCTACTTTTATCAACTTTTTTGGGAAGTTTTTTCTGCAGATCGTGGCTCAAAATCATTTAAATTCAGGGTGTGCTGCGTATCGCTTGGCAGTGAAATAAACAGAGGCTCTCAAAAATTGAACAGGGACAATATTTTTAAATAAATATATAGAGAGAGATTTCCTGAAGTGACGCATATTTGTTTAGAAATCTGTCCTATATCACAATCAGAACACCTGTACGACATCACCTGATTGATTCAATTAGAACACCTGTTTAACCTCACCTGACTGATTCAATCAGAACACCTGTATGACATCACCTAATTGACTCAATCAGAACACCTGTATGACATCACCTGATTGATTCAATCAGAACACCTGTATGACATCACCTGATTGGTTCGTTCAGCTGATGCAGGTCATGTTTATTCATTAAAAGTGTCAGAGGTGTTGATACTTCTTTATGGTAATTCTTCAGGGCTCAGTTTTATTATGTTTTAATTTAGCGTCAAGAGCATAATGCTTCTCTTATTAGTGTGAAAGTGAGGATAAAATTACCTGCTTTTGAGTCTATAGTTTTGAGAATATATTCACTTATATAATCCTAAAACTTTTAACTATATTCTGATTATTTAATGCAAAACAATACACCAAAAATAACACTCAAACTAGATGTTGTTTTCTTGACTCTGCAGCAGAGTTCAGTCTATAAAGTAAATTTTAATGTATTGTAATGTTTTATATGTTTTAATGTATTCTATTATATTTGGTTTTAATCTTATTTCCATTTAAATCTTTTACTTTTGTTCTGTATTTCATTTATATTGTAAGGCGACCTTCAGTGCCTTGAAAAGCGCGCTAACAAATAAAATGTATTTTTATCATTGTTATTATTATTAAGACAGGGTTCATACACAGTTGAAATATCAGTACTTTTCCATACCCTACTTGTTAAAATTATTTTTAGAAATACCTACTTTTCTATTTCAGAATTTTCCATTTCCCATCATTTCTTAGACCTAGAAATTGATCAAATTACTTACATACTTCTCCATACTTTCAATACTTGTGTAGAAACCCTGTAAAGAGAACAATAATCGACTAAATAACTACTTTCTTTTTTGTAACACCGCATGTGCATGCATGTTTTGTTACACGTGTACAAGCATGAGCGAGTGTATACATTATGCACACTCACTGAGTACAAGTGCAAAAGTACACAGCCAGGAGGCTGTTCTCTTTCCATGTGCAGATGAGCAGACTAGAGAGCAACCAGAAAAAGCACCACAGGGACAAAGAGCTCGTATCTCAACTGTGTGTCACTTTTTATTGGAACAGAAAGAGCAAGGAGGTCAACAGTACAAAAAAAAAAAAAAAGAAGAAGAAGAACCGAGGGCGTGAAGGGGTTGGTAGTCAAGCAGTGAGCGGTCACTTAGCGCCAGAGGTGAGCTTCTCCAGGTCATGGATGCCCTCCTTGTCAATCAAACGGACGTTGAAGGAGGGGAGGTTGAGGATGAAGCGTTTGTTCAGCTGCAGGAGGAAGAGACGAGACGGAGGAGGAGGAGAGGTATTAGGATTAATGAAAAAGAGAAATACAGACTCAAAAAGATAAAAAGCAAAAAACTGACCGTAGAGACTTAAGACGGCAAAACTTGTATTTATTTAAGAGGTTTTTGTCTGTATTTTTATTCCAAAACAACATAGAAATGGAGATTTTTATAAAAAGTCTTATTCTCCAGCTGCTAAAAATCACCAAAATGTCCCCGTCCTTTTATGTCACTATTTCCAGTTTCTAAAAGCAGATATTTTCAGTGTGCGTCTGAGCTTTCTGGTTCCACTGTGGGCTGAGTCCTATTACTTCAATAAATCAATAAAACAATGCTGATTTCTACCCGGGAAAACTTTTGTCTCGGTGACTTTCTTCTGTCGCTCCGTCCACTGAAGGCTGGAAGCGGTCTTTCTCTGCTTCTCTCTGAGGTCAGAGCGGTTGAGGACTGAACTGAGGAAACCTTTCTAAGTGTCACTTTCCAAAGTTCAAAAGTCAACTTTTTTGTCAATTTTGCCACTTGCTGGGGACACTCAATACACAGTAGATCGAAATGCCACTTCAGGAGACCCCTGTGCTGGTGGACGAGCACTTAGACGAGGAGGGTTTCAAACTCGAAGAATGTCTACTGTCACTGCACTTGTTCGATCGAGACCTACACAGATGAGTATAGTTAACAAACTCCTGACATTTGTGCTCTAAACTTTTATCAACAACAGTTGTTTTCCTTCTTGCTGTGTGTCACTTAAGAGGTACACGTTTAACTTCATTTTTCACACCTGTATTTGATTTGATTTTGGGAAACGACCGCTACATATTAGTATAGTCTGAGTCCCCGTGCCAGAGGTATGATGTTTATATTCTGTGTGCTATAACATCCTCTTTATTCGTCCTTTCCTTGATTTAAGAAACTGCTCCTGTGTTGTTGGACAGCAAGATCTCATTACACCTCCACTAAATGCACATTAAAGTTTTTGTGATCAAATAATGTAATAAAATGTGTCTAATTTGATTAAAAGTTTGAGTTCTATTCAAGAGGGAGCAGACTGGACAAGAACCAAAACAGTAAATGATAAACTAATAGTGTACAGTAAAAGTTTATCAAGTCCAGCAATTTTGGTAGTGGTTTAAAATAAACCTAAAGAAGTAAAATTTGACTTATTTGGTTTATTTAAAAGGATTCTTTGGCATGAAATTCTGATAAAGGATTTAATCCAATTCATCATTTTATGTCCAACGGAAACAAAAGATGCCATTCTTAAGGTTCTTTCACACCGGGAGAGTTTTTATTGTGCGATTATTTCGGACGTCAATTTTTTTTTTCGAACCAGTATCCTGTCAATACAAGTGTTCACAACAGCAATGTTTTCCTGTCCTGCGATATCGCGGCTTTTATTTTTTCAGATCACAGTCGAATTTTCTAAAGTTTCGCATACTGTGTGTCCACTTCTGACCAATGAGATTGCATGTTGTTGCGACGTCTGATTCACCGGTATATCCAACATGGCCGACCGGCTGATTGTTTGTTTTGGGGAACAGAGTGATTTTTGATAAAAGACACAAATATGACAAAGATAACGACATGAAGGACAACTTGTGGAGAGTCATAGCGTCGGATTTCTCATATGGCGATAGTTTGTGTGCTTTAACAGTTTGCTAAACGCTTTCATCTGTGCTAACTTAAGCTAACGATTGTTACCATAGTTTCATGTGCTTATCTTATCGCCTCTGATTGGCTATATGTGCTGACCATTTGGCTTGAGTGTGTGATGACGTTTCCAGCTTCTCTAGCCAATCAGAGGCGAAGGAGGAAAAGTCTTCCCCGGGATGCGTCTTTTCCCCCCCGGAAAGTCACATCACGCTTGATGTGTATAGTCAGGCGCGTCAAAATTCGCCTTCGAGTATTTCGTAATTTTTGCGTCGTATATATGCGTCGGTCCCGGTGTGTAAGGACCTTTAAAGCTACGCCAAAATCTAAAAAGACCGGATAACAAAATAAGAAATCAAATCAGTTATTTGTTACTCATATTTATGAATTCGGGATAAAATACTTAACCAACTTACTTCCTCGATGCACTTCTTCAGCAGATCAATAGCCTCTTCTCGGGTCAGATCTACAGCAGAAAAAAATGAAGAAATAAATTAACTTCTTTGTTTGGATAATTTCTCTACAAACTCCTAAAAATCAAACCCAAAAAAATAGATCCACACTCTCATCATTTGGTTTTTTTATTCACCAAGAGCAGGAAGGAATACATTTCTTTGTTTCACACTCTCAGCCGCTCAACAATAATAATAAGAAAACACACGTATGAAGCATTTCCCTGAGCTCACCTGGTCTGTAGTGCCGGTCGAGGATGGACAGAGTGAGGAAGGCTCCGTAGCCGTGGGCAGCAAAGGGGGCCTTGGCCAGGGAAGACAGGTAGTCCATGTAATAGAGACCAGGGCCGTCTGTGTCATCGTAGCCCGCCAGCAACAGGTTCACATGATAAGGAGTCTGCAGAGAAGAAGAGAGAGTGAGTGCGGGGGGAAGATTAACATTTAGATCTATAAGGGGGATTATAAAGTTTTAGTCTGTAAATAATTCATCGGAAAAGGTCAACGCATGAGTGAGGTGTGCGGCAGAGAGCATTTTAATTGTGTTTACTGAAGCCGTGTGGGTTTGTTTACAGAGGTGTAGAAGAAACACAATCATGAACATCACAGGGATTTATTAACACAACAGAGCAGACTTTACTCCATCAGACATGATTTTAAAACTTCGTAAGCTCTTTTAGAAACTCTCAGGAAATGAGTTTAAAGCTCCTGTAATGAACTTTTAAGTTTGTGTCAACTTTGGCGCCCCCTGTGGCCAATATTGTGTACTATACATAGTACTTTTGACAGATGATCTTATCCTGCTGACTCTCAACAATTATGGTGCGTTAAAGTTACCTCAGAAGATGTCGGAGCTGAAAATGACGTCACACCCGAGTTCCCAGCGTTTCAGTTACCAAGTCGGAAAAAAGCAAACTTGGAGGCGGAAACAAAATGGCTACATCTACGGAAGCTATGTAGCCATCGTGTTTCAGGCAAAATCGGAGGACTGAAACAAGATGGTTACATCTACGAAAGTCATTTAATAACTTTCGTAGATGTAGCCATCTTGTTTCAGGCTCGGACTGAGGTAGCTCGAACGCAGCATTAAATCGATCATTTACGTTGAAAATTCGATGTCACATCTGTAAAACAAGACTTCCGCTGCTTGGCTAAATCCAAATCCACAAAAAAATCTACACATCCCATACATCACAGAGGGTGGATGGGTAAAATTGAGTACACTCTGTGTGTTGTCAACCTTCACAGTGCATGATTTATGCATTTCCATACCATATCTCTCCAATTAGAGGTGACAATCAGCATATGTTTGGACCTGACGGTGTCACCAGAGGTCTCTCATGTCGTTAAATCAACAAGTTCTTGAGGTCTGTAATAATTTAGCACTCATTTTTAGATCAATATGGTTTGCAGCTAAATTATTTATTTAGTTTTTAATTATAAGTGACGCATTAAACGAGGAGAAGACAGAGGGAGGTGAGGAGAGAGGGAGAGGAAAGGTGAAATAGCGTAACAGGACAGAGAAGGTACATACTGTATATGTGTGTGTGTGTTACAGGGTGTCACTAGCAGTGTGACATCTGCTGGGAGTCAGCACCCCTGTTGCTCCCTCCCTTGCGCCCTCCCCCTCCCTCTTCATCCCTCCCCTAACTCCCTTCCTCCCTCTCTCCCTCCCCCTCCTCCTCACCCCGTGCCCTGGAGTCGCGCCAGGGCTCATTAAAAACTTCTAAAGTCGTTTTTCTTGCCCCTTCCTCCCCCCTCATCTTCTCTTTTTTAAATTACATCTTTTACGCTCGCAGCCTCTTCTCCCTGCTCTTCCTCCAAAACACTAATTTTCTCTTTTTCGCCACTGTTCCCCCGTTTCTAAAAAATCCCTTTAAAGCAAGAGGATTTTTAGGGGATTTCAAAACAACTTTTGGGCCTAATTTCTTGAAGAAATGCTGCAGTTTTTTGATTAAAAATGCAAGAAGAAAAGTGAAAAATTGTGTTTTTTTTAAAAAGGCAAATATGATTCATACAACAGCAGGCAGGTCGTAATCCTCACCTGGCCTCTCTTTTCAGTTTTTCACTCTGACGACCTGCTTATTTCTGTGACTTGTGTGTGTTAGCGCTGCGTTTGCCACGAGGGCAATGAGGATAGTTACGCTCCCTGTGGAGAAGGCTTTAGTGTGTGCGCTAACGACGCACACACACACGCACGCACACGTGAGAAAGAGAGAGTGTGTTTGTGAGGCGTGAATCTCAGGATGAATATGTTAGTGTATTTGTGTGTGAGTCTGCGAATGCCCCAGTGGCGTCACCCCCACCCACCGCACACCTGTCTCAGTGGTTACAATGTAACAGCGATATGGACTTGGCATCAAAATATCTCTCTTCCCATGTCACCTCAGAGGGAACCAGGCACCTTGTTAACCAGCCACCTGAACTCACACCCTGCTTCATATGCAAACAAAACGAGTTTTTTCTTCATATGTTTAACCCTTCACTCCCCGCTGTGACTCCTCGCTCTCAGCCAAACAAGACGACCGGAGCGCCTCGAAACAAAAGATTCACCTGTCGTCAACACCTTACGGCGCTCAGCAAGGGTTATTTGGCATTACTCTAGGGGTGCGAGAAGAAATAGATTCACATGAGTTTACAATTTCTGTTTTACAATTTCTAAATAGATTTTTAAGTTAAATTTTTTTTTTTTTCAAATTTAAGAATAAATCTTAAAAACCGGAATGACACAAATATATGACGCGAAATTACGAAATATTCTGAGGCGAATTTTGGTGCACCTGACTATACACATCAAGCGCGATGCAATTTTGCGACTTTCCGGGGGGGAAAAAAGACGCGTCCCGGGTGGAAGGAGACTTTAAGTTACTTAGCACAGATGAAAGTTAAAACAAAGACGTTTAGCAAACTGTTAACGCACACAAACCATCGTCATATGAGAAATCCGACGCTATGACTCTCCACAAGTTGTCGATATCTTTGTAATATTTGTGATTTTTATCAAAAAGTACTCTGTTTTCCGACACGTAAACAATCAGCCGGTCGGCCATGTTGGATATACCGGTGAATCAGACGTCGCGACAACATGCAATCTCATTGGTCAGAAGTAGACACACAGTATGTGAAATTTTAGAAAAAGAATCGAGAAAATCGACAATATCGTAGAATCGCAATTTAAATCAAATCGGCATCCAAAAAATCGTAGAAGAATCGAATCGGGAGAAAAACATATCGTACCAGCTCTACGTTATTCAAACATTTCTGTTGTTGTAAAGACTTAAAAGAAGAAAAAACATGAAAATTAAAAATAAGAGCCTCTGAGATTGTCTTAAATATGTGTCGTTAGCCGCCATCTAGTTAAAACTGACGGCAAAAGAATTAATGAATACGATGGGCTGTGAAGGTCGTGTTCTTCGTGACCCAGAAAAAGTGGAACGCATTCGCCCAAACTGAAGGAGACTTCGAATTAGGAGAGCTTTGTGTGACTAAATCCGTTTCCGAATGGGCCTCTTTGATTTTACGACATTTTCTATCGCGGGGTACAAAGTGAAACCTGTTTTAGCTGCGACTCAAATTAAGGTCAGGCTGCTACAAATCATCACAAACTCTTCCCAAAACTCCGCTCTTCCTCGTTCCAGCACTCTCCCCCCTCTTTTCCTCCCCCCTGATTCTGCACCCTGCCCCGGGGCGTGTTCTCTTTATTGGCATTTCTCCTCAATCTGCTGTATTAATTGTTCATCTGTGCAGGAGCAGGGGAGCCGCGTGTGCAATATGGCGCCAGTAATTATTTGTGCCCATTGTGTGCCCGTGCTACAAAGTATCTTACAAACCCATATGGGACCAGCTGTAAATCACCGCAGCGGCGCGGAGGCTAACTGTTGCTGCCGTTACTCACAGACAAACCCGACGTTTACTGCTCAAACTTCACAGAGTAACAATTTCAACTTTCTCGTGCAAAATTACACCTACAGACGAAAACCGTGAGGCCTTCAGGCTCCAACGTAGAGTCTGGAAAAGTCAAGTTTGGTATTTATACGCCATCTGCCTCCCCAGAGTTTAACTGGATCAATTGTACCTCATGTCTCGGCTTTGAGAAGCAGCAATCGGGCTAAACTTCCTCAAACTAACTTATTTAAACATCAATATCATCTGTGTTACTCTTCAGCTTTGGCTAACGTTTTCGTGTATCAGTCAGTCGGCTAAAACAAACAGAAGCTGAGCAGATGCTGACTTTTCATGCCCCTAAAACTTTGCAGTTGTTGTTCTGCTTTGTGGTGAATTTCATGTGTATCATTACTGATATGCATGCAGCACAGCCGAGGCCTCAGGTGATTTTTGTGTGTGTGCCAGCGTGTGTATGTGTGTGTGTGTGTGAACGCCGTACTCCAGAGGTTAGCCGAGTTGTTTTCGTGGACGGCGGGCTGGTAAGCAGTGCACAGCCGTATGTGAACGGGGGGTTTCGCTCGCTCTGCGCCGACATGCTCTGCTGGCTTTAGCTAACTACACCTCCCCGAGGTCTGCAGCCACTCGGGTATGACGTCTTTCAGACTAAAGGACTCATCTGTAATTTATCCTGCAGGAACAAGGCCATCAGAATTAACAATATACCACTGATTAATTTATCAGCCAGTGGTTTTTTAACCTAGGGGGTCTGAACATGCCAGTGGGATCATGTGATGATTTTTGGAGGGTAGGGGAGGAGGGGTTACAGACAAGGATTTAAGGATGGTAGGAAACAAGGAAAAAAAGAGATAGTGTACAAAAAGCAGATCATTATCGTTCCTCTCTGTCTGGGCTCAACTTTAATCTGCTCTGATTTAATCAGATTAATTAAAATAAACTCAAACATATGCAGCCACAAGAGCAGAGCGTGGTCTCTGGGTCTACAGGAGGTTTGTTTTTTCATTTTTTTTAGATACGTTAGTTTTAGTCGATAAATAAGCCTGATCTCTGGTTCAGAGACCAGCGCAGAGTGTCAAAGTTTATTTAAGCTGAAGACGCAGCATCGTTTTCTTTTCAAAGTTGTGTAGATGCAGACAGAATGAAGATACCGGTGTTTGTTTCCTTGAGTTGAAACAATACCACCCAAAAAGTTCTTTACAGGAGCTTTAAATAATGATTATTTCGATGGTATGTGACGTCAGATCAAAACACAAGTGATGATAAAAGACTAGAAAACAGATCTGCATTAGCATTTCATCAAGTTCAGGGTCAGGATGTAAGTTTTGTTCTGCTGATCAGGCTCATTCCTATCAGGTTTGATAGTTTCATTTAGTAAAGATACTAAGATGTAAAAATTAAGAATAGTGACTTTTGTGACATGAATGAGTGTCCAAGCTCTTTGCAAACAGTTTCCTGTGTCTAAACTGAAAATCAGACACTCTGTAGCAGAATAAAAGCTCTGTATTTAGTTTCATTAAAAAAATGATTTTTATGGCCTTAAGATCTCCAAATAAGACTGCAAATTTAAACTATGTTTGCAAATAACCCGGAGACTTATTCATTTATTCTCCAATTTGACTCCCTCATCCTTGAAGGGCGCCTCATTACTCAGTGCAGCTCTCACCCTGTTTCATCTCTGCAGCATCACTATTCTGTACCTGAAGAAGTCAGTTAAATAACCCTTATTATTCTTATTATATAGTAGGCCTGAGATGACAGTCAAATGTTGTATCCTAGATGTAGTGCTCAAAGCTAACCGCCATATCGCTCTAATGCTTGACTACCTGGATGTAAACAGGCATAGGTAAGCTAGCTCTGCGTTAGCTCGACTCAGTCCATCAATTTGATAGTTTGATTGAATAAACCATGATCAATTTTAACAGTAATTTGAGTGCTTTCTTGCCTTTAGTCTTGTCATTTGGTGGGAATTTATATCTTTAATACAAAGACTAATAAATTAGTATCATCAGAATATCCCTGCTAGGGCTGGGCGATATGGGAAAAAAGTTTATCACGATACATTTTTCTCATATCAGTCGATATCGACATATATCACGATATAAAAAATCACTTGTCAATCTTAAATGTTCCCTGAAATTAAACAGTGCATATTGGTAGTGTCTTTTGCATTGTAATAAGCTACTGCATCTGTGAGGTCTTTGTGTCTCCTTGACGTTTTGTCGTAAGGCGTTGCGCTAGAGAAAGCGCACTAAATGGTCGGCATAGTCTACCAAAACATGGCAGAATGTTGGCTATCAAAAAGCATATTGATCATGTTTCATATGGATATCGAGGAATATAAATTTCTTGATATATATCATTATTGTTTTCTCCGCGACCATCTTGATGTCAAGAAGTTGAACTTAAGTTGATAATAAACAATACGAGGCTTTAGCAGATGATTTCTCTCAGTTTCGTATTCAAGTGGACAGCACACATTACATATTCTACATACTCAAGATGTTCTGGGGGTAAAAAAAAAAAAAAAAAAACAGCATAAAAAAACCTGTTTATACAACATAATTTGCAAATGTCCATGTTCTCTGGAGGTTGATGAATGTGAGAGGAGCATAGCTGCAGGAAGGTGTGGGCTGCAAAGGAGAAAGTGCTATTGCTTCAGTTTTCTGAGCACTCCTGAGGACGCAGCGTTCGTAAATCCTGCACTCATAAAACCAAATTCATCACCGTGAGGCACGAAAAATAACGATACACTCGCAGCTTATGGCAAGACATGAATATAAATGTTATCCTCCACAACTCGTACAACCTTGACAGAATAAAAACGATCGTGATCCTATAGGTCCCTCTGAGCGCAGGCTGCTGATTGTGTTTGTGTGTGTATGTTGACTCCTACTCGTTCTCACACTCCGGTTTGTCTACTGGGCCTGCTTGCCTCCTCCCCCCCGGGACCCCTCTCCTCCCTCCCCCCTCCTCTATCCCTGTTCGATGTGTCCCACATTCCCTCCTCTGCCACACTAATTGTTTTTTGTAATTATTTTCACCACTCTGCTATTGTGACAGGCAGCGGCTGCACTATTCTTAACAAATTAGTGTGAGAGACACGAGCAGAAGAGGTGAGTCGAGCAGAGAGAAAATAAGAGAGCGCATGTGTGTGTGTGTGTGTGTCTGTGTGTGAAACTCCTGCTGGAACTTCTTTGAGGAATATTGAAGCTCAATTCTTTCATATTCTCATTTAATCACCATAACAACATCTTTTTAACGTCAGTTTTAAATCAATAATGATTATAGTTGATTTTTTGTTGTTCACTTCGAACTGTACAGCTCTAATTAAGCCTGATTGACTGATAGATTTAATAACGAACACGTCTCTTAGATTGGCCACGTCACTTAAACTTTTGTCTAAAACTTTAACGGTTGTGTAGATCAGTGGTTCTCAACTGGTGGGTCCCGACCCAAAAGTGGGTTGCGGATATGTTCTAGATGGGTCACGAACAGCTGGTCAAAAAAGTAAATATTCAATCTGATGTTTGACATGTCATGTCTTTTATTTTGAATAAAAAGTTTATTTCATGCAAATATTTTTTGTATATGCAACTTCAGTAGCTGTCGACCTCAGTTCATTTGCTCTGAAATGCACTTTACTCAATATTTGTGTATTTGTGTTAAAGATTTGAGTCTTTAAAAGTTTTCTGTTTTTTTTTTTAAAATAAAAAATCAATTTGCTTGGTTTGAATTCTATAAAAGTGGGTCGCGACTTAAGGACCATGGGAAAATGTGGGCCCCAGAGTGAGACCAGTTGCGACCAGACCACTGGTGTAGATGATACTTTGGAAAATCACTGGATTGTTCCTGTGATTTTTCAAGCAAATGTCAAACACCGAACAGAGTTAACGGATTTGTGTTTTTTGTCGTCATTTTTGAATGTAAATGAAAAGTTCTTGGCGGTTGTTGGCTAAACAAAGGATGCAGACACTTGTCGCTTTAAACTCTGGGTAAATTTGTAAACCATTTTTACTCCAACAGTATGTTATTGCTTGTAAATTCTATTTTAGTCTTAATAAATATATTTAGTTTTACAACTTTGTTATACACTACAGATATCAATACTGTAATAAAACTACATCACAGAATGATGATACTTACGATCTCTGACTGACAGTGTTTGTGACAGTACACATGACCTATCTTCTGAGTGTTATCTCCTCATTTATTTCCATGTATCTGTCACTATGTTGCTGCAGAACCTTTAGAGGCTGACTAATTTCACCCTGAGACTGTCTGCAAAACCCTGCTCTTTAATTTGATTTTAGTTTTAACCTTTTCCTCCTCTTCTTTCAGCGTGGTGTTGATGTTTATATTCGTCTATCTATCGCTCTATCTGGAGAATAATCAGCATTAACTCACACTCAACAACATCAATGTAAATGATCTTAAAAAACTATTTAACACCTTCATGTTTTCTTCCTATCTGTCTATGTTTGGAGTTTAAATGCGCTTGATTCTAGTTTTGCTTGTGAACTTTAGACTGCACTGCCAGGTCTAAAGTGTGTTTTGCTTCTGGAGCTATCTGAGGTCTGTTCAAGGCCTTCAGGACACACATAATAATTTTAAAAAGCAGTGCAGTTTCTTAGACGTGTTCTGCATAAATATACAAACACACACAGATATAAATGAGCTGCTTACGCTGTCTTGTTTGGTTCAGAGGTTTTGAAAACACTTCTGCTTGTTCGAGATTTGGAATCGAAGGTCAAAAATCTGTCTCGTAATCGTGAGCATTCAGGGTGGTGTGTGTGGAGGGAAAAAGGGGGGCAGCTGCAGGCTCAGGTGTTGCCATGAAGTCTCTGGAGAAACCTCTTCATCGCTGCTCAAAACAAGCTGACAAATGTACCTGACTCTGTCAAAATGCATCGACTGGTTCGGCTTTGACGTCTCAAGCTGATAAGAGACACAAACATGAGAACAATCACAGGTGAGGGTTAAATCCCACCTGAACTTCAGACAAACACCACGTCTCTAATACGTCATCAGGACCAGTGTGGTCTCTGTTGTGGTGGAGTGATTCAGCTGACAGCTTTAGCTTGAAATAAATAATTCCTCTCAGGAATTAAAACCCATTTTTGACACGGTGGAGTAAACCTCTCACATAAGAATACCAACCCCTCAATTTGAAGCCAGTATTACTTTAACTTATGGGAATTAATTTGTGATTCTATCATTGGTTCCCTAGAGCAAAATGAGATTGCGAGTGCCAACAGAGGAATGTAATTAAGTTAAAATAGAAATTAAAATTTTTATAAGTATGTGCGCTCATCACTCCATGATGGATTTGCTTAATTCAGAGGATGACCACTGGTACAGAGGATTAATTAGCTACTGAGAAAATTCACCAAGATAACTGCGACTGAAAGGTGGATGTGCAGGTAAAAATAAGACATGCACTCCAAGCGTAAAGCTGGAGCAGGTCAGACTCGGAGAAGACTTGATGAACACTCAAATTCAGCAGATGAAACATCTCAGGGGTGATACATTTACATATGTGCGGGCTAGAGGGTCCCAGCTTGTTTTCTGTGATGAGCAGCGTGCGGTCTTGACTTTCAAGGCCAAATTTAACATTTTCTCAGTGTCTGACGCTGCTGAAATTGTTAAGTATGAAGTTAATAAACACACCACTCGTTGCCTTTAGTTGGATTCAGCTTAGCTTGGAAAACTTTTAAGCCTCTGTATGAAGTTTCATCAGGTAATGAAACAGACTAAAAAAATATTGATGTTGTTAATGACCTAAAAAAGCAAATAAAATGTTTTCTTGTGAGGAAAATATGCTCAAAATAACAGTGATTGAATAATGAAAACAAGAAACGTGGACTGGTTTCTTTCACAAGCGAAGTTAAAGTTGCAATTTCACAGAGTAGAGAGAGAAAAAGTCTGAGGTGGAGATCTTGGTACTGGTGAAACTTGTTGATTGGCCCTCAAAAAGGTTCTGTATTCTTCAGTTTTGTGTAGCACCTATGAGGTTACAACCGGGAATCAACTCAAACTGTTATTTTTCGATGTTTTTTTGATTATTGGCACATCTCTCATCTGACTTTTCTCTTAAAACTAACAACTTAAACCCTGGGCTTCAAAAACGGTTCTCTCAAAGTAACGGCTATCACCGCTCTTATGTTGCGTAACAAGCTGAAAGTAAAAGACACACGCATTAAAGATCAGCGCCGACAGGCACACATGATTTCTAACAACGAGGCTTAAAGAAAGAGAGTATTTTTCTATGGATGTGTCAAGTTCAGCAAATTAAAATAAATGCATAAAATTCAGAACAAGCTTCCAGCGTTTTTAATGCTTCATCTGTATGGGCTTGATTGTTCCATCTTTATAAGGACACTTTTTTTAATGTTTTAAGTTTAAGTAGATCAGATCAATGTCGTGTATTCACATTACAAACAGCTTGTGAAAAATTTGAAGGTTTATGTAAACATGAATAACTTACTGCAGGCTGGATGTTAGAGGATCTAAAGTTTTAAGTGTGCTTTTATTGGTTTGTGATAGGATTTTTTCTCCTCAGTTTGAGCTGTTGTATCCCAACTTAATACGTTTTTATTGCTGGCATAAACTATTAATGGTCTTCACAGTGTCCACAAAGAGCTTTGCCACTATTATGACAGGAACACCCCAGGATGTTTGTCTCACACCAAAGAGAGCGGGGGCTTCTGTGGCTACTTAATGTAGATAGTTAAAAAAAGATAGATTCTTTCTGAGATTGTGTTGTAAAAGAGAATATGTATTTTGTGTGCGTCTTTTTATAGTTACCCTGCTCCGAAGGTAGTCTGCGAGGTTCTTTCTTGTGAAGTTTGCTGCTGCTGACGGACTGAGTTCATACCCTGATAAGAGAAATACAAATGACACAAACTTCATTTCATTCATTTGTGTCAGCTGTTGTAAAGTGAGTTCGATTGGCAGCAGAACACAAATGCATGAGTCACTTAGAATTAGCAAACCAGTGATTCAAATGTCATGAATGTGTAAATCTTTTAAACTAGACGGCAAAAAAGTCAAACAGCCACTCCCAATCCTTCAGTGAGGGGGTACAAATAGTGCTGCATTCAATACCATTAATTTGACAGGACTTCTGAAAATTAAGCAGGCTACAAATATGATAAATTCACTGAAGCAACAGAAGATAACCCCGAATTTCCACCGCATCCAGAACAGCTCCGATCTGGAATGGCTGCGATTTTTCGCCGTCCGACAATTCCCACTGGATCCATTTGTGAGGTGAACTTTGTGGCAAGAATCACGTCAACTCACAAGAACCCGCGGATTCACGTGCAATCACGCGATAATGAGTTGTCTCTATAGCCATATAACCATATAAGCAGTAGATTGTGTCCTTCCAGAGGAGGAAATCTACTTCTAGACTTCTAGAATCAACATCTCCTTATCCATGGTGTCATTGGGGTGAAATGCTGTCTTAAAACCTTTCATTTGTTTTCCCCGTCCGTTTGCATGGTGTGAAATATGATCCACTTGAAATACGAAGTGTTTTATTTTGAAAAGAAGCCTGATGTTTTATTTTGTGTTCATGCCTGACTTCCTTTCCAGCACAGGTTAATCTGTAAAAAATAGAACTCTTGTGATCAGCTGCGGAGTCCAGCGATCCACAGCAGAATGGAAAGAGACCAGTGGAAATTGACACATTGACACAACTTGAATGGTTACAATCAGCGAATATGGTCTTTCCATAGCCGTTGCGATGGAAATTGGGGGTTAGATTCACATTATGCCCTACTGCCTTGAAACTCAAGACACAGAATTACCAGAACTGTAATTGGATTACTGTAATTGTGGATTACCAGAAGGTTCTTGGCAGCATAAAAAATGACTGCTTTTAGTTTCCTGAAAGCATCTAGAGCTCTGGTGTTTGCCCCATATCAGTGCAGACCCCTACTTCTCAGGTTGATTCTTCCATATTCAAGTTAAAGCATGCCGCACTGGATGCACACTTGTATGAACCTGAGGGGAGGCTGATTAAGTGGCATTTTTGGACATGGTATCAGAAGGTACCCGGTATAATAATAATAGGGCCGGGATCAGTGGCAAAAAAGAGCTGATTATTGTCATCATGTTGCAAACAAAAAGTTTTGACTCCAGGTCTCTGAGAAGGAAAGGAGACTTAAGTGGACAGTGATTATCTCCTGGGTCCTTACCGTTCCTCATTTTGTAGAGCTGGACATTTTTCTGGATGTATTCTGCAAACTGGACTGTGTCTCCTGCCTCTCCAACACACAGCAACAGGATCTTCTCACTCAGTTTGAACATCTTGTCATAGTCTGAAAAAGAAAAAAACAGGTGTTGATGAATGATTAAAAAATGGCTTCTGCTGACTAACAGGGTGAGCGACATTTACTTTCACTTTCATAGACGAGACACCTCTTTAGCAAATTTAACTGACTTTGAAAAGTTCAATTAAGTCTTAAACTGGATTAAAATGTCCGATAGAGTCGTAAAGTTGATATCCTTACAGCATGAGCAGAATAAAGACATTTAAACACTTGCAGCTCAATGAAGCAGCCATAGCTACATTTAGCTTCACCGGCTTAAAGCTACATTTTAAGTTATACTACAACAGGAGAAGTCAGCCATACATTTTAATAAAGCGTATGAAAGGAGAAGCTTAATTATGGTTTCTAATTATAGTAAACACCGGTGTTAAAATGATAAACGATGAAAACATGCCTGTTAGCAAGTGTAGCCTGAACGGCTAACAGCTAAGCTAACGCATTGTCATACCGTGTTTCATCTGAATGATGCTGCTAGCTGCCACATTATCAGCGGCGACGAGGACGAAATCGGGTCCCTGAATCCCGATTAAATACTCCATTCTGTATGATAGCTGTGAAGTTGGAGGATTTTAAATAACTCTGGTGAAATGACAGTCGTCTCTGTGGTCTCCTGTGCGCAGATTACACAGCAAAAGTTTGAGAGGGCGTCGCAGGCTGTTGTCGTCACCGGAAAAACACTGTCGTTCTTGGGCGGGCAATTTGAGCGGACTGCTACTGTTTGTTGTGGCGCTTGTGCTTGGATACTACCTCCACAACTTGAGAGAAATCGAAGAAAGTCGTGTAAATCGCTCGGAGGGAGGTAATTATGAACGAAAAGGAGACTAACATCATAATGGCGGACGTTAACGGTCCCCAGAAGAGACGTTCGCAGCGGTTGAGCGCCTCTCCTCAGGTAGCCGTTAACAGTGACAACAAAATGGCGCTGGTCAAACGCTCCATCACCGTGAGGAAAATAGTGGCTAGAAAAACCGTTGCACCGTCAGAGAGCAACAAGGAGAACACACCGAGGCGCTCAGAAGTCATCCAGAAGAAGCAGAAGGTCTCAACCCCTGATGTTGTCCCCGCTCGTGTGCCTTCTTCCTCGGGTAAGAAGAAGGAGAAGAAGAAGGCCGCTATGCCATCCCCGATCCTCCCCTCATCTCCCCCGCCTGCCTCTCATCCTCCTCCTGTGGATAAAGAAGACCTGGTGTGGTCGCAGAAAGTTCGCCGTTCCTACAGCAGGCTCAGCGACAAGTCATTGAACAGCCCCGACTCCAGAGAGACCCTATTCGGCTTTGAGAAGCTCAACACCCCCGAAGTGGTCCAGAGGACACGGCGATCCAAGCCAAGGCTGGAGGTTTCTGGGTCTTTATCTGGACTGAACTCTTTTACATCCATGCTTGAAGCGGATGACTGTGTACCCGAGGTGGACCCGAACATCCCCGGGGTGGCTGTGGTGAAGGAGAAGAGGAGGAGGAAGAAGGTCCAGCAGATAGACACCGTGGAGCTGGACGCACTGGCTGCAAAGATGAACGCAGAGTTTGAGGAGGCAGAGGTCTTTGAGCTGGTCGTGGAGTGAATCCTGAGACTGTAATACTGACTGACTCTAAGGCATGTTGTGTTTTTTTCCCACTGACATGCTAAAAACACACTGACTCTGTAAGGTCTGCACTCACCTGCTGGTTTCATACTCCAAAAATCAAGTTTTTTTGTAAATTTACTGTTCCACATAATGTTCATTTTGATTCCTGGGAGTTCCTCACCTGTTGTCGCTTTTGTTGTGCTCTTATTGTGGCAGTTCCAGTCACTATCTGGTGGTATAGTGGCAAAGTATGATCACATGAGTGTTTTTATAATTCATTGTTGTAGTTAGACATGTGAAGCTTCATCTTGGATATGATTATTAAGGGAGCATTTATACAGAGATAAATACTTGTGATCAGATGTGCTTTATGTTTATTTTCAAAGCTGATGGAATACAGTGATTCATGATTCATGATTCATACACGCCTTTTTTGTTGTTGTTTTGACTGTTCAGACTCATTTATTCATGACCAAGCTGGTTGCTTTGTACCTGATTAGATAAAGGAATATTCTGGTGTAAAATTAAGTTAGGGTCAAACACACCATAACACTGAGATAGACACCCCGTTGAGAGATGAATGTTGCAGACCACTTGCTTCTCTAGTTATACCAACCTAAGTAACGACCGCAGACAGCAACACAGAGAGCCATGCGCTCAACCAAAAAGCCACTCTATAGCCTCAAATAATGCTCAGAGCAGCACCTAACTTCATCAACAGTACATATACAGTCCTAGCTATAGTAAACATCTTTTTAACTTTGCCTGTAGTCAGTTATCTAAGTTGACTGAAGATTGTTTTTTTCCCCATTGTTTGCGATACTGTTTTGAATGAAAGCCACATCAGGAGTTCAGAGGTCTGTAACCAGGATGCGGCTCAAGAAGGTTTTTGCATTAATCCTTTAGGATTTTGACAACCCATATTTTCAATGAAATACTATGCTAACTGCACTCTTTCTATTAAACATAATCAAATATCAATGGTGGATTTGTAAATGTTCAGTTTTACCAGAACTGTGATTGCCAGCACACCTCAGAGTTTCACCCACAAAATTTTGTTCATACGTAACAGAAATAGTTGAGTGTACCATAAAAATAAAGATTTGTTTTGAAGTTTCCATGGCGTTTAAAACTCAGCTAGGGTTCACCAACATTACCAACCAGGTCAAAGGTCAGCCTCATCAAAACATACTTTTAATTAGCTCTGATAAAGTTTACACTGTGACATTAGGTCAGGTAAGCAAACACTGCTATTTCAAATCCGCTCTCCTAACAGCTGATAGTAACCTGCAGAGTGAATCTGAGTGTTTGGTGCGTGCAGCTGAGATTTGGGGGTGTAATGAAACGTGTTGCTGATAACAACAACATGCGGGGGGCTTAATAGGGTCACAGCAAAACATGATGGCTAACAACACACTCCTGTAAACAGCATTGGTCTCTAGTGATAAAGCTGAGGCACACTCGCTGAATTACTGAGTGGGCGATATGTATTTGCTTTAATGAGATAGCTGGACAGGTAAAATGTTTTCCTCCAGAGCCTCTCAAAGGTGTAAGTGGATATGTTGCATAATTTGTACTAACAAGAAGAGGGATGTGATTAATCCTTGTGCCTGCTCAGAGATAAACTGTTAATGATCAAATAGGCTTCGGATGACAATAGATGTAAATGACAGCATATGTGAGAGTGTATGAAAACACAAATATTATAAAAAATATCTTTAGCATTATATTCAATTTATTTGAAACATGCCCGCAGACATGAGATCTCAGCCCAGCATCGATTGTGAAATACAGTCCAATTCAAGCCATCAGCACTGATAAGCCAATACCTTTTTATAAGAATAGTGTGTATTAATAGTTATCAATACAAACATCCATACATCCTTATTATGAAGCTAAAAAAAATTAACAAATTATGAACCTCCTGAGGCGTAAAGAGGCCGTCTACCTCACTGCTCTGTCTCTAAACCTGGAGGAAAAGTCTGCACTTCATTTATAATAATCTAAGCAAAGTAATATAAGGTGGAATCATGATAATAAATAAACCCTTCAGATCTTTATTATCAAGTTAAAGACCTGATGCTCAACATGCTGATGAGTACCTTCACCTGTTATGCCAACCTTGTCTTCTTCATCTCTGAAGTCTGTTATTTACATCTGCTGAGAGCACGTACGCATACTGATAGTATTTGTGTGTATGTGAGGAGGAGGAAAAGAGGAGAGATAATGAGTGTGAGTGTGTGTGTGTGTTTGAGTGTGTAGCAGCGAGCGAATAAATCCACAGTTTGCTCACGCATTTTAGGATGCGCAGAGCGCGCTGTTTTCCTCCTCAGGTGCCATTTCATGTTCATACCCTTCATTTGGCATTTCAGCTCCCTGGGATAGGAGACTTTTTTTTTAGCAGCAGCAACACATGACAGCGTGCCTTTTGTATATTTTTAACAAGGTATTCTTGTCTGGTTGTCACTTTGGGTGAAAGTTACAGACAGACTGGATTACTAGGATGCCTTTAAAGCGGCTGTCACTTTTTTTTTCTAGACTGATGCTATTATAATGCCGTTTAAGGCTACTGTATATGAGGCTGTATGACACAGAAAGGTGGGGTATCTGACAATCATTGTTTCAGCTTTCAAGGTTGGTGAGCGAATAATAAAACGGCTTTAAATGAAGATCTGAAAGGAAATCAGGTCAGATGTCAGACTTTGCATATTCTACAAGCAACAAATATCAAATATTTCTATTTGGAATTAGGACCTAGAAGATTTCTCATTAATCGTTCATCCTTCACTGCAGTAAAAAAACAACATTATGACTTTATAAAAACCAAGAACAAGCAACAGCAGCACTCTAGCTCACTCTGTCTACAACTTTCAGTCAAAGTGACAGACAAAAACACCTTGTTAAAACTTGATGAAAGCCTGTTTTATATTCTAACAAGGTATTTACGTCTGCTCGTCACTCTGACTGATACTTACAGACAGTATATGAAGTAGGAGGGATGTGTTTCCGAGCTGCGTTTGCTTCTTCTGCTCGCTTTGTGCTTTTTTGAGTCGGTTCATGCTGATTTTTTGGGTTAGGCTGGATATTTTACACTAATATTCATGTGTTTTTCTTTCCTCCCCTCTATCCTCTCTTCTTTTTCCTCCCCCCTCATCCCTCCTCACCCTCCCGCATTTCACTCACGGCAGTTGTCGCTGGTTCAGCTTGACTGCTTCGTTAGGGCTCATCATTTGCATTCAGATTAATTATCTAATTACCGACAAATGTCCGGCGGCCACCCCACACTCCGGCTCGTCAGCTCTCAGCCTGTAATTATTTTAATCATTTACTTTCATCTGGAGCGTTCCTGCCATACTCCTGTGTTTAGAGGCCATTCTTAATTACCCTGCCAAGACACTCTTTTCATGAGAGGGAGGGAGGGGAGGAAGAGGGGGGAGGAGAGGGGAGGGTTGGTTTGAGGGGAGAAGAGAGCAATTGGGTGAGGGAACATGTGTGTGTGAAAGAGAAAAAGACCAATGGGGACATGATCCAGAGGCTTTGACAGCACAGAGGAAGCTCCCTGCTCTGCTGGATGCTCTTTCCTCCCTTTTTTTTCCTCTTTCTCTCTACGTACACCCCCCCCCCCCCCAAAAAAAAAAAAAAAAACCTCCCCCCTCCCTCGCCTCCTCAACCAACTTCCTCATCTCTCCTCTCACCCCCACCTCCCTCCTCTTCTCTACACCCCCGTTATACTTCCTCCCTTTTTTCCCTTTATCGCAAGCACACACAGGAATCGCCTGTGGGCTTCAGTGCTCTGACTGCTAATACACTGACACACACTTACACACTTTAACACACACACACACACACACACAGAGAAACAGGCAGACAAGAGAGAAAGTCATGTGCCCTGTTTGTGGCACTCATCAGGATGCACACATCTCTCCACAATCTGCCTGGAAAATCTATACTCCTCTCTCTGAGCTTGTCTGTCTCCCTCTTTTTTTTGTCTCCCATCAACCCTCAGTCCTGGTCACGTTTTAGTGCCTCCTCTTCACCCCTCTTCATCCCTCTCTATTTGCAGGCCTGCTTCTCCCTGTCCTGTCTGTTGCCACATTCAAGAGTGGGACATTTTCTTCTGTTGTCCTGTTTTGGGTGGGACGCTAATCGATCATTATCTATCCACCACTTCTTAATGAGTACCTGAGACAATCAAAGTTAAAGCTCCTGTAAGGAACTTTCGGTTTATACACTTATGTTTTGGCAGTTGCAGATTCCTTTCCCACACAAGTGTTCCAGACACCAAATTGAGTTTTACAGAGACAGTCAGTGTTTGTTTTTGAAGCTCATCAAGAAACAACAATTTCAACCCCAGCTCGCCTAAAAACTCCTCCCAGTAGCTTTAAAACATTTGAACACCGTCTGATCAACAGCTAACGTTAGCATCCAGTCACTCATTGGACATGAGCTTTGTCCCAAATCAAGGGTTGCACGGTGTACCTGACGATGGTATCAAGTAGTGCCACCCCTGTTGCATAGCAACAAGTGGCTACCTGGATAACAGCATAGCATATGCTGCATTCGAGTTACCTCGGAAGTCAGATGTCGGGGCTAAAAATGACGTCTCACCCGAGTTACTAGCATTTCAGTTACCAAGTCGGAAAAAGCAAAATCGGAGGCCTGAAACAAGATGGCTACATCTACGAAAGTTATTTTAGCACTTGCCTTGTCCAAATATAAGGCAAGTACTAAAATAACTTTCGTAGATGTAGCTGTCTTGTTTCAGGCCTCCGATTTTGCTTTTTTCCGACTTGGTAACTGAAACACTGGTAACTCAGGTGTGACATCATTTTTTTAGTGCCGACATCTGACTTCCGAGGTCACTCAAACGCAGCATAAATCCCAGCTAGCTTAAAAACTCATCCCAGTAGCTTTAAAACATTTTTACACCGACTGTTCAACTGCTAACGTTAGCATCCAGTCACTCAATAGATATGAGCTGTGTCCCAAATCAAGGGTTGCGGCCTTTGGAGGATTGCGCACAATACCTGATGATGGTATCAAGTAGTGCCACTCCTGTCGCTTAGCAACAGGTGGCTACCTGGATAACAGCATAGCATAGTGTCACCAAACTTAAATAGGGTGACCATATGTCCTCTTTTACTTGGACATGTCCTCTTTTTGGAGGGCTTTCCGGCCTTGTCCGGCGAAGTTTATAAAATCCTTCAAATGTCTGCGGTTTTGTACGAGAGTTTTGATTTTGTGTCACGTGGACTTACTGAGTTAGAAGCGCGTAAAAGACACTCAATCCGACCTGAAAAACTCTCAAAATTAACTTCTGCGTAGTATGATCACCCTAACTTAAACACCAACAATTTGAAGATAATTTGATTTGCAACTGAGCTAAAACCAAAGACTTTCGTTATCTTGATTGTATTGCCGAAAGTAGGCTTAGCACATAGCCTAACTGGCCAATATAATCTAAATCGAAAGATACTAGCTTTAGCTTTTATCTCATGGTTTATCAAGGAAGTTTTGTAACTTAAGCTTATCATTCTAGCTATTTACAAGCACTAATAGTGGATATATTATCTTGTGAATCTAGAGGGATGTTCAGGATATGTTTCAAGCCAGACCAACATATTTAGTGCGATAAGATAACAGCAAAGCTAGCTACCTTTAACTCGGCTTGGGAGCTAAATTTGCACAACTTGTACCCTGTAACACGACATTATGACATGACAACAGTATCCGAGCCTCCCACCCTGAGCACGATATTACAGGAAAACAGCCTCTGTGTGAATGTGGTCATTGAGGGGAGACATCAGGTCATCTCTCTCTCTCCCCTCCAACCCCTGACCGCTCCATAATGATGCTCTCACTCAACCCCTAAGCCACTAACCCCCCTCTCTCCCCCTCTGTTCCTCCCCTCTCCTGACTGCTCTTGTTAAGAAAAGGGAGAATATAAGAGAGAGGGAGAGATACAAGCTCTGTAATTGGGCTCTTGAATATTTAAGTCACTTGGGATGAAAGTTTAATGAAAAGATGATTATCTACCAGTTTATCACACCACTGTTTCATATTTCATTTTCATATTTTCAGCCCCAGCTGCATTGTCCATTTTGGCAGCTGTGGGTACAGAGTTGGGGATTCAGTCAGAGTGTGTTGGATGGTATGGAGCAAAGAAGAGTGAAAAGATGTTAAAGCAACAATGATGCATAACATGGGCGACTTTTTAGAAAGATGCAGTATGTCGATGCACGGAAAGTTCTTAGTATATTTTCATTTTAGGAAGACTTTTATCACATTGACCATCAGTTATGTCCCTTCAATGCAAAGTTTTCAGCTCATGTGTTTTGTCTTTCTCTAATATACACTGTAGGGTCATTAAGTAAGTGAACTGACTCTGACACGGCATCTAAACATTACATTTGCTGACGTAATAGACAGTGTTCGGTTGTGATATCAAAACCTTTTTCTTAAACGTAGGCATAAAATGGATCTAATTCATCTCATCATATTACCAACAGCTCATTAAAATGTGTGGTAAGTTTATAAAATCACTGACTAAATGTCAACAGTAGTTAAGAGTGTTATATTCAAGTAGATGTACACTTTAAAGCGCCTGTGAGGAACTTTCATTTTGTGTTAACTTTGGCGCCCCCTGTGGACAAATCAGTCTTTGGTTACCTTGTCTTTTAAATGCTTAAAATGTGTCATTTAACAGAAAATATAATCCTGCGGACTTTTGACGGTCACATGTACAGTTAAATGTGAATAGTTTATGTTAAAATTGTAAAAAAAACAAGACTTTTTCTTCAGCTGCTGGGCTGACACCTACCCCCTCACACTGGTTTTAAAAATTATAATATTAGAAATTGTCAATTTTGTCTTAAATGGTCTTGTTTACTTTTAGATATCATAAAAAGGCATTAAAATATGAATTTTAGTCCATTTCATAAAAAAACTCATATAGGAGCTTTAATGCCATTTTATTTGAGTAGAGGAAAAAACTAACAATGTTTTAATGTACTCAAGCAAAGGTACTTTAAAATGTACTCAAAATACTAAGTACTGACTTTTAATACACGTCAATTGGAGGGAGGAATTTGCCACTGAAATTATGTTTTATGTGAAATTTATATATTTTCTGGGAAAATTTAAACATTTTAACCAACGGCTACAGTGACAGTATTGAGTGATATTGACCCTGCATCTACAGGGTGAAGTTACTTGATAGTTTTGAACAGTCTTTTGTCAGTTTTGCACTTTGTAGATTGATCCTTCACACTTGCGTCATGGCTGGCTGTGCAGAGAGGATCCTTATCAAAAGCCAAAAATAAGGACTTCACTGATCGTACAGAGTGTCAGTGTCAGTGCGGCTTAAATCAAGTGTAAAGATATTTCACTTGGCAAGATTTGAGCTTTTGCACTGTAGCCAGTCAGTTGACTGTGATGCAGTTGTTGGAAAGCTTGTATGTTTTTGGTGATTGTTTTACTCAGTATCTAATATTATGTAAATGTAGAAAAGAATAATACACAGAAAGAGTAAAATACCTGATATTAAAACTACTAAAAGTATACAGAAGGCTCCATATGTACAGTAATAGGAGTAAATGTAATTAATGACTTCCCAGCATTGAACATAAAATTAATGAGTCTATAATCTAGAAATTTGTAGTTGAGGCTTTAAAGGCAATCAAAATGCATTTGATCCTAACAGTCTTCAGACTGGTCTCAAGGCCATTTACATAGCCTTACACATAGAATATCTTAATGGTCTAATTTGATTTGGCTTATAAACCAGATTTCATAAAAAATAAATGTTAAAACTCCTGGAATTAAAATCAAAATCAGATTCATTGCTCGGGTACTGAGATTTCTGTAATTTACTTATACACAAGAGTGGACATGCACTTTAAATAAAGACAAATAGTTAATTTATGAATGGTCTCATAATCTGCAAAAATGTAATATAGAGGGGAGAGATGGACACAAACAGAGGAATTAGCATGAAAAGAGTCCAGTACTTTTCAGTTTGTTTAAATTCTGTCCGTAGACGACTCTAAACAGGCTGCATATCTCCAAATTTGTGAGAGATAATACAAGACAAATCTGAAGTTGTAAATTTTTAAACTTAGAAGTACACCATTAACCAATTCTGATGGTGTAAATCTGGGTTTTAATTGTCTACGACAGTCCCAGCTGATATATTAGTGAGGGTTTGATTTCAGCTCCAACAGCCCTGCTTTGAGCATCAGTTAGTAACCAAATCTACTGATTTCCCCTCAACAAACACGGTTCAATAAGAGGCAAAAGAACACTCTTTCCTTTATTTAATAGTGCAGGATAAACAGACGGCTGTTTGTTATTCATTCCCATTATTCATAATGGTGGGGACATTAATCCCTTTTTGCGAGAAGATGGTGTGAAAAAGCTGCGTTGACGTGGAGCACTTTCTCCAAACCCCAGTGGAATAACAGGGACTTTGGAGTTTGGAGGGGGGATTATGTCGCGGGCCCTCACATAGCCTGAGGCCACAAGTTTGGAAGCGGACACAGTTTGGACGGCGGAGATTAGACACCAAGGTATGGTGCCATTTCCAGGCGACATGGGGGATCTTCGCTGATGGATGCATTCTGGTGAGAGTTCACTCTGAATGCATGAAAATGAAGATAAGAGGTGGTGTTCTTACAGAGGCCACATGATGACAAAAGATATGTTTGTGAATTTAGGTGGCGTGCAATTTGCATTCTTTGTGTTATTTGATGGTTTTTTGGCAAAGTGGCAAAGATAAATTCATGAGCTGCATTATTAAACAGCTTTTTCTTCGTCTAAAGAGCGCCATATGTTGATGTGTGCGCTTCGAAAACCTGAAATCCAATAACCTGTATGAAAGCCGCCTCTAGGGACCGCAGAGACGGAATTAAAGAGTGTGTTAACCCCGCGTATGAGACACTCTGCATTCATTTGGTTGCGTTAAACTCCCTTGAAAAATGTGGGATCTGTATCGTTCTCACTTGCTTATCAGTTTAATCCACAATTTCACGGCGTTGAGGCGGGTGCGACCTGAGCTGCTTGCCGCTTTTGTGGACAGGGTGTCACCGTTTAGCCCCATATCTCTGCGGTATAGACGTGAGAGGGGAACCAAAAGAAGGGGAGGGGGACGGGCTCCATCTTTAGGTCAAGAGGGGAGGGAGGGGAGAGGAAAGAAGAAAAAGAGCAAGTTAAATGGAAGTGACAATCTGCAAACATTCCTGCCGGCAGCTGCATAGCATTCTGCATGGTCACCGCCGGGCCCCCTCTTCCCCCCTCCTTGCGACCCCCCATGCCTGGCACACGCACCTGCCGCTTTCACCGACAGCCAGATAATCTATGGGCGGGTCCCGGTCGGGGCTCCCACTCAATGCACTCTTGAGAAAACCCCTTATGCGTGAAAAAGCCCCCTTTCTCTGTCTTTTGTCCGACACAGTTTTATGGGACAACATCGGGCTTTATGAGGTTTGGGGGATTTTTCACGGGACTCCATAGAAGGCGATAATCCTTTCAGGCACGGGACGAATAAAAAAGTTTTAACCTGCTGTTTTCATATTTATTAGCTGGTTAGAGCAGACGAGGCAGCTGAACCGTCACACACACGCACACACAGACCCCTCCTCCTTCTCCTCAAACATACGCACAAGCTTCAAGTCCTGGAATCAAACACTGACACGATGCTGCGTCTTAAGAGGGGCCTCATAATGGATCTGATTACTTTAACTGAGAGTCAAGTGGACGGCTGACACTGAGGTCACCGCGGCCTTAATGCTCTCTGTTTCAGTCAACAGGTCATTCAAACACTTTAAGTTAATAAAATGTTCACAGAATTTGACCTGTTTTTGTCGTCGTTGTTGATTAAATTTTAGCCCGTCCATGCTTTTCAATTTAAACTTCAAGTTGAGTTAAATTACCCCAATTCAGAGCACAATGGCTGGCAAGAGCAATTTGACTAAATCCAATAATTGGGCTCTACAGGAGTGAGAAGAAGGCCCCAAATTAATCATTAATACTTTAAAATCAAATTAAAAACATTAGATGTCATTCATATGGGGGAATTCTCCTTGTTATTAGAAATTTATTGACTCTAGTGTTGCTTCATTAAAGCTCAAGTAAGTAATTTCTTTACAGTCCTAAAACAGATTAAAGTTAATGTCTATTTATGAGCTCCAAAAGCAAAAAAAAAGGCCAACCCCAGAAAGACAGACCATTTCTATACAGTTTGATTTTGTGTAAGTGAGTCATGCGTTAGGGTGTCAAAACAAAACAGGAAAAAACAGGTTGTAAAAAAACAAGAGGTACAACTTTGTCCACAGGGGGCGCCAGATTTAACATACGCTGAAAACTTCTCACAGGAGCTTTAAACCAGGATGTCTCATGCAATTGAAATATCTTTTTGAAGATTTGTTCAAATAAATAATACCAGCTCAGTTTTATTTAAAGTTCCTTTTGACCTTAGGGATAAAATTCCCATGACTACAAATTTGTTGAAAATGAATTTTGTCTCAAAGTGTTTTAATATTTGACAAAAAAAGATCTCTTTTTCCAGCTAAAAATGCACTTTTTCCTGCAAACATATGACACTAATACCAGTAGCTAAGCTAACATCTCAAAGGTTTAAGATTTTTCTTTTTATTTGAAATTTTTATTTATTCATTAAAGCTCAAGTAAGTAATTTCTTTACAGTCCCAAAACAGATTGAAGTTAATTTCTATTTATGAGCTCCAAAAGCAAAAAAAAGGCCAACCACAGAAAGACGGACCATTTCTATACAGTTTGATTGTGTGTCAGTGTAAACAAAGGCAGGAGAAGCCTTTGTTTACACTTAACATGGCAATTATTTTTGATGAGTCATACTTTAGGAACAAGAAACCACTATGTCCACAGGGGGCGCAAGATTTAACATAAGCTCAAAACTTCTCACAGGAGCTTTAAACAAGGATGTCTCATGAAATTGAAATGTCTCTTTGAGGATTTGTTCAAGCATATAACACTAGTTCAGTTATTCTATACGACAAACTCACACTGCAAAAAGTTTTTGTTAAAATGCCCAAAGAAAATAAATTTTAAAAAATAAATAAAAAGATAAAAAATAAGAATTTAATTAAAGCTCCTCTTGGCCTTAAAAAACATTAAAATTCCAGTGATTACAAATGTATTAAAAGTGAATTGTCTTTCAAAGTGTTTTACTAGTTGACAGGGAAAACTGAGCTCATTTTCCAGCTAAATAATGCACTTTGTCCTGCAAACATATGACAGTAATACCAGTTAAAAAAGTTAAGCTAACATATCAAATGTTTAAGATTTTTCTTTTTTTTTTAAATGTCAGATTTTTATTAGGAAAATTAATTAAATTAGCCAAAAAAATCCGGAGAAGTGATTTCTATCTATCTATCTATCTATCTATCTATCTATCTATCTATCTACATGTTGTGTTGTTTCTCTTCTGACGACAGGTCTTTCTATCCAGTTCATCATACTCAGGCCTCGGGCTCGCCAGCCTCCCCTCTCCTCCCCTTCCACCCGTCCTCACCCCTCTCCGACTCCCTTCATCCCTCCCGTCTCTTCTGCCTCCCCCTCTCTCCTCCCCTCCACCACCCCCTTTCTGTCAAAGCTGATTGTTTCCACGCCAGCAGAGTGCTGCGGGCGAGCACACTGTCACACTACATCAGGCAGAGGGAGGAAGGGGGAGAGAGGGAGGATGATAGGGTGGATATGTGTTCCTGTGTTAAAAAAAAAGACAAGCTGAAGCCCGGGCTGCAGCAGGGATTCCCAAACTTTTTCATGTCAAGGGCATCCAGATACAAGACCTCTGATTGTTTGTCCTGAGGAGTCTTATTGTGAAAGGACTTTTAGTCAAACACAGTGATGTAAGTGAACAACAGGGAGATCTCAAAACAGATTTAACTGTTTAAATAGAAAGACTGGATCTGTTAAAACGCAGAGATGGTGAATCTGGCGCAAGGACGTCTACTTTTGATTGTTTTTTAATCTGTTTTTTCTAAGTATAAAAGGAAAATTGAGAAAAGGGGCATTTATGGGGGTAATCTGAACTTTAATCCAATATGGTGTCAGAAAAAAACTTGATTGTTTTGAAGTTGTTATTGGGTTTACCCAGTCTATGTAAAGAATATACAGATTTTGAGGATATTTTAGACACAAGCGTGCACTGAATTGAACCAATTCCTGGTTTCACCTGTTGTTAAAAAAACTTTGAAATGCATATTTTTAACAGCCATAAATTAAAAATATTGCGGTTTTAAAGTTTGAAAGAGTAAGAGTTGATATTAACATGTTGAAAACATTAGTTTGAACCTATTAATCCAACATTAACAGCTATCAATGTCCAAAAACTGTGCCACTGACTTGTACAGTGGGTAAAATTGGCTCGGTATGGAGTCAAAGGATCAATACTGACCCAGTGATCTTTAAGCGTGTGATTAGCCCCGTCTCACATCTCTGACACTGTTGCAGTCCACAGCCCAGAGTTTTCAGAGATGTTTCTGTTAATAAATATCTACGTTTGCTCCCTTTGTTTTAAAAAAATAAAAAATAAAAATAGGCTGTCTAGGAGTGAGGGCCTGAAAATTGTTCAGTTTTCATTTATGGAAGTATCTTATTCAAGAGTGACAGTCTTATATCAAGTAAATGTAGCAGATAATTTTCTATTACAATCCAAATTTAAACTTGCTAAATATTTTTGGTCTTTGAAATAAATTCCTTCATTCATGGACATTAAAGCTCCTGTGATGAACCTCCTGTTTGTTTTGGTTTTGGCGCCCCCTGTGGACTAAAGGGGAATTCTTTAATCTTGTATGTGAATCGTGTTTTCTTAAAAAAGATACCTTTAACAGTGAAATGTATTACCCATCGTATGTAGGTCATAAAGAGCCATCACTTTTTATTTAAGTTTGTTTTATAACCAGTAAAAAAAACTCTTTATAGGAGCCTCAAAGATCATTAAGGGTGTGTTATTTTTATTTTCGATTTCATAAGAGTTGTGCACAGTCAATAGAAGAAAAGCGTTTTGAAAAATATCAAAATTAATGTAATTGTATCTGCATCTGAAACCTGTATAAATGTAGGCTGCTCAAATTTATATAACCATGACTATAGAGTTAAAACAAACTGCTATTATCCATCTCCTATATATTTTGGTGTTTGTCTCCTTCAAAACAGCCACTTACAGCTGTTTACATTTCACATTAACTTTGAGTTGCCATACTAGTCAAGAAAATTATCCTTGTTTGCTCAGAGTATATATTTTTTAATCCATATAAAACAAAGACAAGAGGGAAGAGAGAAGTTACAGTGAGAGAAATATGTTTTTTTTTGCCCTCAGTCTATGACCCCTCTGGTTTCTCTGCATTATATCATTCAACATGTTGAGAAAAACAATCCTCCCAATGGGAATCCTTTCATGGATCCCAGGTGGTCCCCACTCCCCAGTTGTGTGCAACACTGCCACACACACACGCACACACTCACACACACAATTCTCCACCATCCACCAACGTGCGCACTGCTGCCTCCTGGTGTTCACACAGAAAAACAACAGCAGCAGGTGGAGACTGACCCCTGTGTGTCTGTGATGGAGTGTCTCCCCCTAGTGGACGCCATTGACTGCTGTTATCATCACAAACAAGCCTCTCCGTGAATCAAAGTTAAAGATAACCATGTTTGAGTCCATAAATTGTCAAAAACATATATATTTTAGCTTTATTTTGTCCGGTCAGAGGTCAAACAAACAGGTACGTTTTCTTCTAACTAAATCAGCACATCACTATAACACATAAAGTCTATTTTTGTTCTTATTGCATGTCCATAATTTACTGTATTCACATTTTGCAGACTGTCATGCAGTCACAATGGAGTGTTTTATTGATTACTGGAACTTCTGCCCTCTGAGCCAGAAAAGGAGACATGATTAATTTAATGGTAATAAAGTTCAAAAACCCTTATCAGTGTGCGTAGAAGTCGTCTGTGCTTATATAATTCCAGCGAAGACACTTATGAGGCAATTAAACAAGATTTGTTTGATCACAGTGTTGTAAGGAGGAAAAAGAACAGAACAGTTTCCACCGCTGGCCCCAGAAGTCCCCACATGTGACACCGTAACTGTGATTTTTATGGCCTGTTTTATTACCACTAATAATTTTGTAGACTGATAGTTTTTGTTTTTTTAGGTTTGCCCCAAGCAGGAGATCCAACGTCACACCAAGAGGAAGAAGGAGAAAAGGATTGGCTGTATATGACAAAGTTTAGATCCAGTTTTTGCCTCAGGAAAAATTAATAATGTATATTTCTTGAAAGCTGATAATATTATTTAACAAGGCCTCAATTATAAGCTGATTTATAGATCAGTTAAACGCAGTTGTGAACGATATTGATTGGTGCGTTGTAAAAACTCTAGGCTGTAGCGGTGTTCATCAAACTCAAAGAGGATATTTTGGTTTTTCTTTTAATCTTATTAATCCGTTAGAGAAGATGAAGCTAATCATCATGGGGCTGTTTCTATTCTATTTCTATTTATTTATTAAGCACAGATTAAAAACAGTGCAAAAAGGGAACGAAGCCAATAGACTTATACAGAGTTCCACTTCTGTCAGGGCAGTGAAGGTATAGGGTGCAAAAAACAAAGTAATTAGGACATTGACTGGTTATAAATAGTTTAGTTTTAGTTTATTTATTTGGTTTATTCGAACAGGTTAAAAGAAAAACAAAATAAATATAATATACAATGTGCTTTGGCAGAAAAATAATTAAAGAGACAGCTCTGTAGTGACAGATAATCCTACTTTGTTCGAAAGGGTGCAGTATGAAGTTGATCAAACTTATCTAGTCCTACCCCTTTATTGTTGTGTTACTATAATTTAATCAGTCAGAGCATATGTAGGAATAAGAAAATATATCAGGAAAAGGCACGTTACCCATTGTTATAAATTCATGTTTTTTTTTTATATCCATTCAGAATTTGGTTTATAAAAATAAGTTTGAACTTGTTTAGTGATCTGCAGGTTTTCATTTCCTTCATTTTCCAAACCTGAGTGATCAATTCCAATGCCCCATATAGGCGACTCAAAATTTCCCATAGAGCATTGCAAAATGTAGTGACCATCTGATGGTGGTGGGCATCCCGTCATGCATTGCGTCTTGCCATGTAGTGTCTGAAAACTCTGGTGATTGAGTTCACTACATAGTCAGCTATATAGTGAAATCCCATATAGGGGTTAGGGGTTAGGGATTGAGTGATTCATTTCGGACACAGCGATTGTATATATCATATTGTTCACGAGGTCACCAGGTCACTTTAATTGCCATTAGGCCTAGAAACCACGTAGAGTCAAGCTAACCCAACGTTCTGACCCAATTATTGGGTTACTCTCAGAAAAATAACCCATAATTATTAACCCATTCAAATCACCCTCAAACTGGGTTGCAATAGAATCCGTATGACCCAAGAAATGGGGATGGATCTGAAAAATAACCCAGAAATTTAACGCAACACGTATAACCCAGGAATTGGGTTGAAGAAATAACCCAAGAGTTTTTAGCGTGTGCAAACGACAAAGTAATTAGGACATAGACAGGCTATTAATGAGTAGGTAAAGGTCAAAACATATACAAATTGTCATAAATAGAACATAGACTAATCATCAACCATCCCAACCAGAGATAGACAGTATAAGTTTACATAAAAAGGAAAGAAACATGAACATGACTGATAATGACGTGTTTAAGACATGATTAGATGAGATTTTTAAAGGATTTGAAGGATAATTTTGATTTTAGAGATACATCCAGATCATTCCATAATTTCGGTCCTCTCAAAGTGCTATTAAATCGATGACAGAGTTTGACCTCTGACTATAGGGGTCAAAAACATTCTATTTGTGTTAATTTTGTACATATAAAACCAATGACTCCAACAACCATTGGGCCAATTTGATCTGGCAACTTCACCTCTTCAGTACAAAGCCTTACATTCACTATTTTATGGGTTATATGCTTTCTTCTCTTGGCAGAAAATGGGGGAAATAGTTAAATTTTTTATCATGCTTTACTGAAATAGGCTTTCCTGCCCAAAATATCTAAAAATACTTGTTTTTTAGAGGCGGAACTGATGTTTTAGCACTGTGTATCTGAGTGAATGAAAGCAGCTTATTTAGCCTATCTCCGTGTTTCATGAGCTTTGTTTGGGTGCTTTTATAACCCCACTAACTAGCCTGAAATTACGTCTCGGTGGTTTACAAAGTCACCATCAAAGGCGCGTTTGTTCCTCTGTGTTGTCCCTTTTTTAGAGGGTTGCAAACAAGTCAGTTTCTCGGTGTAAACACGTTATCCGCACTTCTCAAAAACCCCACCTCCGGTCTGCGAACATGGGATCAATATGGAAATCATTTTCGGTGTGTTTCGTCCAGGAGACGCGATAAGCTCGACAAAATAAACGAGAAGGTAGTTGGGAGGCAGCTAAAGACGGGGATTATCCAAAAACTTGCCCCGGGGTTTGGCTCTTCGGCGGAGCAACAACCGGACCAACGTCTGTTCACCGCGGCCGGGTGGAACCTGCAGCCCGGGGCGCTGACTGACAGGCTCCCCCGGGGCCGCCAAGCGCGACTCAGGGTGGAGATTACAGGGGTGGCAACGCGGCTGGTATCTCCCCGAACACACGCACATAGAGAGGTGAGATGATCTTGAGTTGCCCGCGGCAGCAGCAGCAGCCATGCCCATAAAGATTGACGCCTCAGCCTCACACGGCTATCACACACACACTCCTCCAAACCCCGTGTGATGAGCAGATACAAGCCAACTTTGTTTAGCTGACAAAGAGGCAATTGTTAGCAGAAAGGTCATTCGCCTAAGGGTTCGAGTTCAGTCTCAAGTATAGATAAAAAACTGGCTTTTTTTTTAGAGTAGTATCTGCTCAGAGAGGGCTTTGATAAACCTGCTCCTTCAAACCAACACGCTTGTCTGGAAGTAGAGCCTCCAGGCCTCTTACAGTGGGGTTTATCAGCAAACCCACTGGACTTCCCCAAGATTAATCTATTTATAATTTCATTACAAAACCTCAAATTTCACAGGATTTAGTTTTTTTAATGAAAAATCAGGCACACAGATGCTTAAATATATAAGATAGTTTTATTTAGTCTTTTGTCATTTTATCATTATCTTTCTATATACAGTATTATCTCTGCGTATAAAGTATCTTTTTATAGCATTCATGATATTTCCCAACTCTTTTTTTTTTTTTGGTACAGCAGGTTTTTCTACACACAGATCAAGACAAAGAAGCACAGCATAAACACGCACAATAATCTCGACATAAATATCTTATTTATCGCACAACAGTGTACATCTTAGGTGATACATTTCGAGGTTTGTTGATGCTGGTGGGACACCGGTAACAGATCTGGAGTTTTTGTGATATTACAGTTAAAAACACGAGTATGAGGCTTTAAGAGGTGGTATTATACTTTTGTCATGTTTGCAAATATTAAGTTAAAATCATAGAACTGTATATAGAATGGACAGCGTCTGCCTCCTCGCTGGGTGAGAACAGCACCCTCTAGCGACGGGCTGCAGTATAGGTCATAAATCCCGCCTCCGCCAACAAAGCTTAAGGGGCTGTGGACAATTTTTAGAAATTTACTATGCAGATTATACATTTTTCTCCCCCCTGCTTGCGGTGTTGACATGTAGTTACTGTAAAGGTCCTTCCACACCAGAACAGTTTGCAGTCTTCTCGCTTCCACCCGATGCTTCCCCCCCACGGAGGGTCGCAAAATCGCATCGGGCTTGATGTGTATAGTCAGGCGCGTCAAAATTCACCTCCGAATATTTCGTAATTTCGCGTTGTATATTTGGGACGGTCCCGGTGTGTAAGGACCTTAAGACTGGTTTTTAAAAGTTATTAGGGGGTTCGTGTTTTCTACGATTGACACCTGATACAGCCTATGGGCATATATTGCGTAATTCACCCGGGGGATATGCTGTTTGAGCCGAGCGTCATCACAGCGACTCTCCCGCCGAATGCGTACAATGCTACTGGTTGGTTTCAGGGAATGAAGAAAAATCACAGAAATACCGAGAGCTTTTTGGCTTCAAATCCGTATACAGGCGGGAGGCGGAACCTTAGTATATACAGTCTATGGTTAAAATGTTGGCTGCCACTGAGTACAACAAATACAAACCTTACATAACTGTAACATCCTGCTCTGTGTTTTTTTTTTTTTTTGCCTTGTCCCACATGGAAATGTTTCATTATCTGTCATTTAGCATGGCAACAGTGGAGGAGGCTTCTGAATGAGCCTTATAGCAGCTTTAGCTGAAATGAAGCGATGCAGGCAGGAGTTCAAATTAGTGTTTTTAAAGATACAAGCCTGAGATAAGTAAGTCATGTACAGCTACACCAAAGCTATCAGAAGGACACTGTAAAGCTGAACATGAGCAGGATACCCACTCCTTAACCTGTCAGACAAAAAATTCTATGAAAAAGAAGTCTATTCCAGGATTGATGGAAATGCTGTTTTCGACCTCTTCTTGTTTCAGTCTCCTTTTTTTCCTTCTTCCGTCTTTACGATTGGCTGACAGCAGCAGGTGGCGCGGCGTTAGCTACAGCAGCGGCGGCCCCCATGCGTAAGAGTTCCTTCCTGTGCGTGAGGATGACGTCGAAGCTGGACTGCAGGCGGTTCTGCTGCTCCTGGATTCGGTTCTGCAGGGTGCGGACCCAGCGGATCAGAGCCAAGCGGCGGTACATGGTCAGCTGAACCTGGTGCTTCTCCATCTCCTGGGCTTTAAAGTGCTCGCGATCTCGCAGCGTCCACACTGCGTCCATCAGCTCTGGTAGCTCGCCGTCGGAGTCTGAAGAGCGGTCGTCGTCTTCTTCTTGATTTTCCATTCCTTCCTCGAGAAGGTTTCCTAGGTTGCTCCTGCTCTGAGATTTGCGCTGGACGCTTCTGGGTCTTCCTGATGGTTCTCTGTTGCTGAACTTGGTTTGGCCAATTTCACGGTGGGGTGATTTTGGTTCTCCAACTCCAATGCGGTCCCAGCCTCCCATGAGCATTCCTTCCCCTGCGCTGTCCATGTTGAGAGAAGACATGCTGCCGCCGGACTGGAGGCTGTTCTCAGATTCGGAGTCGCTGTCTCCCCATTCGTCACCATCCAGCTTCATCGCCTCTTCTTTGCTTTTCTTCTTCAGCTGATCCCTCCTCTCTCTCTGCTTCTCCCCATCCTGACTTATCATCACCCTCATCACCTCCTCCTCCACCCTGCCCTCCTCTGCTCCATCAGGTGGGACTCTTCCATAACCATCGTCGCCACATTCGATTTCTGGCAGGGGCTCCAATGGGTTCCAGCACGGCAGGCGGGAGCGCGGGGATGTAACACTCGAGTGATACCCAGAGGACTGAGTGGAGTTCGGAGGGTCACGACCGAGCGGGCCTAAGTTGCGAGGACGCACCTGGTTACGGTTCTCGTCGCCTCCTCCTTTGTTTCGGGTGATGACCTCTTCATCTTTGCTCGGCAGGAAGTTAAAGTTGCCATCTTTGTCGCCTTTCCTGTTTCGCAGGGAAGAGGAGCAGTTGTCGGCGCCTCCTTTCCCCCCGTAGGCCGAGTTCAGAGGTTGGTCCTGATGAAGCATCACTGACCTGGACTGAGACTCTCTGAAACAACAACAGACAAAAATAAAACGCTGTCAGACATTTCAATTATAGGAGTTATGGTTGCAAAAGTTCTGCCAAGAGTTCAACTTTATGTCAGTACATTGCAAAAATACAACACGACTCATTAAACCAGCGAGTTTCCTGGTTCAAGCCAGGAACCTTTGTCGGGTGTTGTTTTGCTCTCTCTCTCTTCTGCTTCACTTTCTGTATCTGAGCCGTCAAGAAAAAGTTCTCTAAGAATTGAAAAGTGTCTCAGCCTTGCTCAATACTAAACGTACCTTATTACACTCTAAATATAAGCCGTGTCTCGACTCTTGGAAATATTGTTTACAGAGAGACGACTTAAATTAAGGAGAGCAAGAAATTGGCAACATAAAACTACTTTTAACAGGCAGAAACCTCAACCTGAACCAGACCTAGACATCTGCTGTGACCACCTTGAGTCACCCAAAAGCAGGAGATATCTAGGGATCAAAAGAGGCCGCTTCTTTGTCCCAGAAGCTCTTGAATCTATTTTCTCCTATCCCCGTTCTCCTGTTGGCAGTCTCACCACTTTGACTTCGAGACAAAACAAAACAGATTAACACTTCCCGACAGTTCTCTTACTTCAGGCTCGAGACTGCTCCAAACAAAGATTTCAGCCAGCAGTAAAGTTATATCTATGCTGTGATTTTTGGTACGTAGATACGAAAGCGAACCTCAAATGTCGATGTTATTCTTTGGAATACGAGAAACGCAGAGTTAATATGATTTGTCGGCTTAAAGGGTGAGATTAAAACGGAAAGAATAGTAAGAGCTATGGAAAAGAGAGAAAAGGAATCTGATCTGGTTAGTTATCCAAACCACCCAAAACACACACACACACACACACACACACACACACACACACACACACACACACACACACACACTCGTCTCCTTGTTTATAACGTCTAGAACTACAGGCTGGTCCCCACACTCCATTTCTATTAGCATCAAATATTTACATGTCTCCTCAGAATGGAAATTTCTCTAATCCTGACTTCAGGCTGCTGTCAATCAACCCCCCCTCTCTTTCCTCTCCTTTGCACGCGCGTTCACGTAGTGCTGAAGGACAGCGACTGGCAGTGTCGGGAGCGCGCTCTCAGCAAGCATTCACCGATGCCTGACAGTCACGAGGCGAAAACACAGACTATTCTTGAGAAAAATCCACATTTTTATCACTTTAACAGTAGAAACACTCGGTTAAAATAACACACGATGGTTTTTAATCGTGTATTTCGTTCACAGGAGCAGATTCGTGACAAAATACTTGACTGTCTTACTTGAAAAACGTTAACACGCGATGAAAAAAGGAGAATTTAAGCGTGAAATCCGGCTTCTGCGTGGATGTTACGTGGCTGCTGAAAAAACGTCTCTCTCTGCACTGACGACGACAGAAAACGGTAAAAACACGAGTAATGGCGGCCAGTGAATGCATATTTACCGCCAAATTGTATCAAAATAGACGAAAAATTAACGCAAATCACGACTTAGCCGGTAAAAGACACCCGAGGTTTCCCCATAACAGCCTAAAATAAGCAAAAAATGCAGAAAAATAAGTATATTTCATGTCCGCTGGGCGTTATGTAACGCTCACCCCATATCAGTGCTGTCTCTTCTCTATCCCTCTTCAGTAAAAATACCCTCAGTCTCCTCCTTTCATCCCCCTTTTTAAGTCAAATGACTGATACTGAATGTCTTAACATGATGTTCTGGGTTGTTCTTACCTTTATGCCGGTTTTCTGCAAGCAGGAGAAGCTGGACGCTGCGCCCTCCCAATTTTTCCCCTCCTCCTCCGACCCTCCTATGTGATGTTTATCTTCCTCTTCCCCTCTCTTCCTCCTCCTCCCTCTCCTCCTCCTCCACCTCCCTTTCCCTCTCTGCTGTGGTGGTTCTGGGGAAAGAAAAAAAAATAGAAGGATCAAACAGAGAGGAATGGACCAGCCTGACTAACAGCTTCCTAAACTGGGCTGGGACTGCAGGGAAGAGGAAACTGTGGAGAATGGATATAGAAAATGTGAGGACAGAGTGTACTCTATGTTGGTGTGAATGTACACTGGGAGGGATTTAAATAGCTTATATCACAAGCCTACAGACACATGACAGCAAGGTGGAGGATTCACTAGTAGTTTGAGTACTCTCCTGGGCTGTTTTAGTCAATCAAGATTCACTATATGTCAAAATTTCTTATAATAAAAGCCTTTAAAGGAGGCCAAAATGTTTTTGAAAGCATTTCATTGGGGTCTTACATCTTCTTCTAGCCCCTGAGTCTTTTTCTCACTTTTTTGATCCTTTATTTCTCCATCTTAACCCTGTTTAGCCTTTAAACACCGAAGCCCACAAACATTCAATCACCAATTTGAAACTTTTTCAGCAAACGTAGGCATATAAAACTCAGCGAGACCATCAGGCGCAATTTTTCCATTACGATTATAAACCTCTGCTGTGGGTTCAGATTGAATAATCGACCACATGATGGAGAAAGTTCTTTTTTAAGCACTTAGCACACGGTGAAGATTGCAGAACATTTTTCCACTGCAGTTTAAATATGGTCCGAAAAATACAGGTGCAGCTCAAAAAGAGATCTTTATTATCATTATTAAATTCATTTTTCCCATAAAGTAAAACTTCAATATATTCCAGATTCACCCCCTGTTGCTTGGAAATGGTAAAAGAAATTGATCATGTGACCAAATATTTAGGAGATGGGCATCAATTCATGGAGTCTGTGATGGTCAGAAGCACATGGGTGAAGGGCTCAACTTACGGTCAACTTACCCCATACACGGGGTAAGTTGACCATAGGAGATCACTTTTTTTTTAGCATGTTATATTATCATGACAGTTATGTTTACACTCATTCTGTTGGTTTGCAGGGATGAACAACATCTTAAAATATATGCAGATACACTACTTAGAGACAAAACTATGATTGACTTGATGTAGTGATCTGAAATATGAAAAATGGCTCATCTTACCCCACCCCCCAAAAAGTAAGAAATTTTAAGACTTTTGAATCTTGATCATTTTGGCTCAACAATCCAGTATCCACCTGACAAGACAATACTGTGGAAAAGTCGAGTTACTTCAGAGCTCGAATCAGCTAAGGTCACCAGTTTTAGGGCACTTCATGCCTCTATCTGCCGAGAAGCCTCGTGGAGATACAGATTTCCTTTTGAAGTAGGACCTGACACCTGTCTATAGCGCCGATACTACCAAAAAAAAAAATGGCATAAATGGCCTGATCTGAACCAGTAGAGAATCTCCAGGGTTTGGCCAAGAGAAAGATGAGAGCCAACCAACAATACAGACCAGGTGACAGAGTTTTTAAGGCAACCTGGGAATCCATACCACCCCAGCAGAGCCACGGACTCAGCAGTCCAGTATTGACGAGACTGACATGTTTTGAGATAGTGGATTTTTGTGAGTTGTGAACTGTAATCATCAAGATTCAAACAAAAAAAAGGCTTGAAATATTTCACTTTGTGTAGGATGAATTTAGGAGATATGGGAGTTTCACCTTTAGGATAAAATTATGAGGAAAAATGAACTTTTTCCGGACTTTCTAATGTTTTTTATCAGCATCTGTAAATGTTAAAGTGTTGGCTGAAGTGCTGTTAGGCTCAACAGAACCTATAATGAGTGTTCAAATCTACAAATACTCTGCCAAATTTGCAGTTATGACAGGAAAATTCCAATAAAAATATCTGGATTATGTTTGTTCTGATTTTGTAAGATGCACTTGTTTTTCTGACGTTTTAACACTTACTGCGTTTAAAAGAAGTGATTCAATATTGAGATATTTCCAGTCCAGATAAAGTCAAAGAGGCTCAATTGTATTCTTTTTCTCCGAGCAACACAAGTACACATACCTTCAGAACAAGCTCCCGTAATCGTCTGTCTTCTGTTTCCAACATTATGTAAAAGTGAATTTCATAACAGCAGAAACAGTGAAAGGCTTTCAAGCTTCAGAGAACTCATGACATCCAGGAGGAACGAACCGCATTTTCCCTCCCTGGTTAAAAATAATCATCTGCTGCTTTTTACGCAATAGTGGTTGTTCTCCTGCCGGGTTTATCTTTGTGGATTCAACGAGCAAAGCAAGGTCATACTCATGATTTGGTGAATGGCATCCTGGGAAATTGAGGAAGTAACAGCAAAATTTGAAGACCGAAAATGCAACTATTTCTGTTTTTAAGGGATATTCTGGTGTAATAGTAATTTAGGGTCAAACACACCATAACTCCAGGTTAGACACCCCCTCGAGAGATGAATGTTGCCGACCGCTTACTTCTCTACTTCAGTGTTTTTCAACCTTTTTTGAGCCATGGTACATTTTTTCATTTAAAAACAATCACGAGGCACACCACCAACCAAAATTTTACCAAATGACACTTGGTAGCCCCAAATACAGTTTATACAATGACAATACAGTCTCTCAGTTTATTCATACGCACCATGTGTTAAACCTGGGGCTGTAGATTACAGCACAGACACTTGAGAATTGCATATTATTTGCAGATAATAAGTTATTTAAAAAATAGACCAATAAAGTGAAATTGGAAAATTTCTCAGGGTACGCCTGACTATCTGTCATGGCACACTGTTTGAAAAACACTGCTCTAGTTATACCAACTTTTGTAACAATCGCACAATAGCAATACACAGAGAGCCATGCGCTCAGTCAAAAAGTCACTCTATAGCCACAAATAATGCTCAGAACGACGGCTGCTGGAAGAGAGTGGGTGAGTTGTGTTTAGTCTCTTTGCTAAAGAAATCAGGCAAAGTTAAAAAAATGTTTGGTGGTTAGTGCTGTGGCTGGGACCCTATCAGTGTTGTTTTCGTTGACGTTGGTTTGTGATGTTGACGTTGACAAAAAAATATTTCGTCAATGTCATCGACAACGAAAACAGAATATAGCAGAATACATGTTTAGCATTTGACTGACGAAATGCTCATGAATTTTGCAACTATGTTCGTTGTCCACCATGAACGTTTTCGTCTAGTCTCGTCTCGTCAACGTAAACGCACATTCATGCCGTTGCATTTTAGTCATCTAAGACTTATGTTTAGCTTGTCAATGTCATGTCTTTGTCGTGCAAAAAAAGGGGTGTTGACAAAATATTTTCATCAACGAAAACAACACTGGACCTTTTATGTACTGTTGATGAAGTTAGGTGCTGTTCTGGACATTATTTGTGGCTATAGAGTGGTGTTTTGGTTGAGCACGTGGCTCTCTGTGTTGCTGTCATGCAGTCGTTACTAAAGTTGGTATAACTAGAGAAGCAAGCGGTCGGCAAAATTCATCTTTCAACTGGGTGTCTAACTCGGTGTGTTTGACCCTAAATTAATTTTACGCCGGAATATCCCTTTAAGTTCTTTTGAGTTGAAAAAAGTCTTATCGAATCATCAAAAGCATCTACAATTACAAGATGTACAGGAGTGAAACCTTTACCCACAATGCAACAGTGACATACAACATATTTTGTGTGGCCTTCCTCGCAGAGATGGTGGATTATTCGTTGCAGTGTGATATTTCTCCAGGATGGTGACTGGCTGCTTTTGTGATCCTCAGATCTAAGGGCATGGCACTTGAATGTGTGTGAGATAGTGAGTGTGTGTGCGTGTGTTTTTCTCAAAGTGTGTGTGTGTGTGTGTGTGTGTGGTAGCCTTTAGAGGGGCTACATCAGACAGACTTAACAAGTGTTCACCGTCTCTCTCCACCCTGCTCTCATCCCCCTGACATGTCGTCGCTGGCGGCACAAGAACCTCGTCCTCCCTCCTTCTTCTTATCCTCCACGCACACACACACACACATATGCACACACATACCCCCCCCTTTCTCCTTCAACAACACCCCCATTCAAGTGCATCAGCTCCAGGCATCCTTCCTCCCTCCCCTCTCCTCTCCCCTCGCTCCCTTTCCTCCCCATCGTTCACTAGTAGCCTAAGCACATAAAAAATACATCAAACACAGCCGTCCGCCCAAGGCCTCGTCACACGCAAAATCATCTCTCCCTCCATCTCTCTCTCTCTCTACCAAAAAAATACAAGTTACAAAAGACAACTACAGAGGACACTGATAAAGGAGAGATAGACTGAACCTAGGTCGTCTGTGTGTGAGGCCTCCTGAGGGAGGGAGAGCGATTATTGTAATGTTAACACTCACACGTTTAAAAAAAGGAGCATGACTTACCTTGTGCATAATAAGACCTTGTTTGAATTGTACACAGCCTGCAGCTGCGTGACCCACTTCCCTTCAGTTCAGCTCCACATCTGCTCCAACCACCAGTCTCGGCTGTGACAGGGGCCGTGGGCAGGACAGGGGTACCGGCACCCTTAGGCCCACGCTGTCAGATCACCCTGATGCTAAGACTGTAACGGAGAGAGAGAGAGAGAGAAAAAAAAAGCCTGCCGGACCTCAGAAAAACAAAACAAAAAAGGTTAGCCAAATTAGCCGAGACGTGCTAAATTGAACCACTAATCCAGCACGAGTGGGTAGCCTTGCACACTAATTCCACACTTTTATTTAAAGGCATAGATGTGAGCAGACATGCAGTCATGACACACAGGCTCGCACACTCCCTTGGGTGCAACAGCTCATGTTTCTCCTCAATTATTCCACCCTTTGCCCTCTCTCTCTCTCTCTTTCTCTCTTCCACTTCCTCATAATCTGAATAAAACCAGATCCGTGTCTTGTCCTCTAGATATTTAGAAGCCGTGCCAAAACATGTAACCTTCCTCCTCTTTCAAGTGTGGAGAGATTTTGGGAGTTCAGGGGCGGCTTTAGCGCGCTGACCTTGTAAAATTCCTCTCGGGGGGGGTTAAATAAAGTTGTGAAATTTAGTTTTTTTGGTGCGGATAAGAGAGGAAAGAGAAAGAAAGGAGGAGTGTAACACCGATGCCGAATTACTCTCTAACTTGCAAAGATTTTATTCCTATTAAATTCCAATTAGGATTGATTTCTTGACCCTGAAAACACCCCCCTCAGGATCTGGAGTCAAATCTTTTTCTCCATTAATTGCATTGTAATGGCTCAGAGATAATGATAAGTTTGAAATCATCTTATTTCTTTCGCCCGAAGCTTCTTTTCTCTTAAAACGTTCACAGGAATCCAGCGATGTTTTCAGACTTGAGAGTAAATTCTTGCGCACAGGTAAAGCAGGACGAAGAACTCGAACAATATCAGGGTTAAGGTGGCCCTCCTGCCTGCAGGTACAGCAGCTCTCTCTCTATATATGTGGGCCCCCTCCATGGGGTTCATTGCAGACCCTCCTGGCGTTGGCCCTTAATGATGTGTAATGGGGCCTCCTGCGCCGGCTCCTCACCCCGGGACCTCCTCCTAATCACCGCAGCTCCTAATGAGATGGAGAGACATGAAAGGGCTCGTTAGAAGACCCTCCATTTAACGCCGGCCTATTATTAGCCACTTAGCAAATCATTAGTCTCTAAACTGCAATTATGCTCTAAAGCTGGAGAGGAAGAGTCAGAGGAGACTCAAAGTCTGGACATGTACAGCAGAGGAAGACTCTGGAAATGGTCAGTGAACTTTACCTTATTGGAGAAGAGACAGTTTTGATCTCCACCTGCACTGAATTTGGAGTAAAACTGGAGTCCAAGAGTGTAACAGGAGACAGACTTGAATGTTACCGCAATGATAAAAAACTGAACAGAGATAATAAATACTGAAATTAAAAGAGATACGAGCTATAAAAGTACACCAGACCATTGAAATGACTATTTTCTAGTTATGCTTGGATTGCTGCCGTGGGATAAGTCAATCATAACTTAATGCTGTATTTATATTTTCCATGCTTGACAGCTGAGCTTAAAGGGATATTCCGGTGTAAAATTAATTAAGGGTCAAACACACCATAACACTGAGTTAGACACCCCCTTGAGGGATGAATGTTACCAACTGTCCACTTCTCTAGTTATTCCGGCTTTAGTAACGACCGCACGATAGCAATACACCACTCTATAGCCACAAATAATGCTCAGAACAGCACCTAACTTCATCAACAGTACATATAGGGTCCCAGCCACAGCACAAGCCACCAAACATCTTTTCAGCTTTGCCTGATTTCTTTAACAAAGAGACTAAACACAACTCACCTACTCTCTTCCAGCAGCCGCTTGGTTGTACGGAGACCTCAGGTGAGTCCATTACCACAGCGGGGTGACGCAGCTCAAGGAAGAACATTTATCTTTTCTAGGTGCTGCTCTGAGCATTATTTGTGGCTTTTTGGTTGAGGTTTGTTTTAAGGAGGAAAAAAAAAAGAATATTAGTCCTATGTACTACATTATATGAATTTCTTTAGGATGTGATTTTATCTCTTGTAGCCTTTGTATCGTTATCATTATTATTATTTGTATGATCTGAAAAAGTACATTACTACTGTTGAATATAAATTTTGAGCTGTACATTTGCTAATTGAGTTTTCCCTTATCAAATCAAACTAAAGTTACACAGCGCTTTTCATACAAAGGATGTAACACAAAGTGCTTTACAGTCCATTAAAATAAATAAAACAAAAAGTCACATACAGTCTCGCCTTAAGCCACATTTTAACGGACTGTAACGCACTTTGATTTGACATGACATGTTTTCTGAAAACTGCTCGAAAAAGGTTACAGGGTTATGACAGTCAAGAGGAAACACTTTGTTGAAGTTTGAGTAAAGAATGACTTGCAGAAAAGGATTGCAGGTGGGAGTCAAACTGGTGACCACAGCAACGATGAATGTCTGTAAACAGGGTGCAAGCCCTCTAAGTAACCTAGTTTCTGCGCGACTCTAATCTTCGAGGGTAACTTTTTTTAAATGTTTGAGGCTTTGTACAAACTCTTGGTCTGAATCCACGCAGCTCAGTTTGGCTGCATGTTTGTTGGTCAATCTGTGATTTGGTTTAATTTGCGAGAGCTAAATTCAGTAAGCTCATTAGCAGTGTTTGCTAGGTGAAGCTGAGGCGGATGTGGAAGTTTGGAGGGGTTTGGTTGTGAATTAGAGTGATAGATATTCTTGTTTTACAAAGACAGCAGAGACAAAATGTTTTAAAATACTTTTATTTACAGCGTAAAACAAATACATTTAAATCATCCCTAACCATTAAAAACAAATAAATCCTATTTACATGATAAAACATTTTAGTTAGATCTCTGTCAGTGAGTCCACATTGAGTGAAGAAATCTGGCCCCAAAAGCTCAGTGAGTGAACAGCTGATGGGTTTAATGGTAGATGAATTAGTGGTGCTCCTCAGTTTGCCATTTCAAGGCCGTGTAAACAAACAAACAAACACACAAACCAGCGTTTGTATTCGTGTGTCCAGAAGTGATTCAAAGAGGAAGACTTCGCCACCTTTCGCACATACCCACCTTTATATCCTGCGCTCTGATTGGCTTGTTCAAGAGCAAAAAAGGGGGATCAGAAGTTTCCCTTACTCAGCATGCTGATGATTATCATTGAGTTCGTGTGGTGCTGAGGCTTCACTGTCCCAGGAAGCTGAAGATGCTCCTCTGTGGGCCTTTAGTCTGTGCGGCAGGTTTGGTCTCCCTGCAGACTCTCTTCGCAGCTGGGGTCACGTTTTCCATCGGCCCCCTCTTCTTCATCGTCTGACGGTTAAAAATTTTCGAGGTTAAACATAAAAAATGAACACATACAGACCACTCAATGTGCTTTTTAATCCTCAGATTAAGTTGGTGTTTATTCTTTTGTGGGGAAAAACTGCAAAGCGACTCAGTTATTTTTTAAGAGTCTACCCAAAAAGGCTCGGACAGGTCTTTGGGGCTTTGGCTCCACCTAGTGACATAAATTAGGAACACGTCCAAAACAAACTCTCTGGTCAGAATCACATGACTGTCACAGTCCACAATCCACATCCTTCAGTTTCTATTTGTGTCTGTGTGTGAGGTTGTTTTTCTTTTAAAGAACAGACAGATTGTATCAAGAGACACAAGAAAAAAACAAAATACTGGAAAACAGATGAATTTTCTCCTTATTCAAAACAACTCCTGGCTTTTTTTTTTTTCAATCGAGTGTTTGATTTATTTTACTTTTTTTGTACTCTTTGTTGTTTATTTTACTTTATTTATTACTTCCCCCCCTCTCTATTTGCTTAATATGGTTATTTTATTTTACTGAATTTGCATTGTTTTGATATGATCTGATTTTGTATTATCTTTGCATTGTTTTTACTTTGATATTTACAGATTCATTCATCTAATCTAATCCATCTATTTATTCATTCATTATGATAATAAAAATAATCGTCATCATCATTATCATTTTCAGTATCATTATTTTTTTATTATTATTCTCATCATTTTTTATTATTATTATGAACATTCTCATTATTATTATTACTACCATCATTCTCATTATTCTTACAATTATTATTTATTTGTTTTATTTTATTTTATTTTTTTTCCTTTTAGGTGTTGAAGTGAATCCATTGTGCCCTAACATAAGTTTTTTAAGTTTTAAGGGAAAGAAACAAAAAAAGGAGCAGATGTTTTAACTTTCTTGTTATCATAAACTTCTGTTTTATGCGTTTTGTTATGTTTACAACTAAATTTAACAGCTACTCTACATGATCACCTCTCAATATCAAAGCTAATATCTAGTGACGATTGTGAATATCAGGGTTAATTATGACAGCACCGTTTTTTTAATTTGTATTTTTTTTACAGCATTTCTCTGTCTGTTTATTGAATGAGAGATGAGATCCGATGTTTTAATGCTGAAGGGGTAAACGCTTCCACATAGTGATCAGTTTTTCCAACAACAGGAGACCCTCTCCTCACCGATAAAAACCCTCTCCTCTGAATCAACACTTGGGTTGTATTGCATTAAAATGATGCAATTCCACAGATAAACATTGACATACTGACATTAGCTCGTGATTAATAGTTTGCTAATAGGCTCATGTCTGTCAACAGAGATAATATCAGCTGTTATTACAGCAGGTAGAAATTACACCCTGTGTTTTTTTAATTACATAAGTAGACACAAGGAGCTGTTTCCACTCACAGGTTACAGTTTCACCAGTGTGAGTCATGTTACTAAGTCAGCCATCCTTTTATTGTGTTGTATGAGTGATATGAAGCATCTCAAGGCTTTCTGTAAACTTTTCAACTGTAAACATTTTTATTCGGTATATTAGGTAATAACATTGAGTCAATCATGTCTCATTGTGCAGCTGATGTGGTGTGAACTGGATTCCTGACCTTACCTTGACACGACGAGCTAAGCCTTAACAATAAACAGGCGTTTTAACTTCCGCCGCTCACCTGCTTCGGAGGAGCGTCTGCGGTGGAGCTGTCCTTCTCAGGAGACAGAGTCTGGAACAGAAATCCTCGACTGTTTCTGGGCGCCAGAGGATTCCCCTCTGAGATAGAGGCCAGTTTCTGCAGGACGGACTGAGGCTGACTCAAGAGCGAGCCTCTCCTCACCTGGAAGAAATCAATAAAGCATAAATCTTACATTAGAGCGGCACAGGGAATGATTTGAGACCAACTCACACAATTGGATCCTTGATAGTGAGATTTTCTTCCTCTTTGCTGGCGCCCTATGAGCAACTTTTTACAATTTTCAAAGTACCTCAAAGTCATTCACACGGTTCAAATCCCTTTCTTCTATATCATGCCTTCATATTTAACATGACGAATGGAATTAATTCTTATTGAAAATTGAAAAAAAATGACTGATATTTTATCTGAAAACAGCTTTAAATGTTCTGCGCTAACAGCTTTAGGTTTTCAGTTACAAGGTAGGAAGGAGAGCCATTTTTTAGCCTGGTGTTTCTAAAAAAACTCAGATGTTTAACAAAGTTCAAAACTGTCTGTAGTGACAGCGATGTACCTGTAAGGGCTGTGACGGCCTCTGGAACGGATTGAGAGCTGCTGTCGTCGTCTTCTTCTTCTCTGGCTGAGGGGCCACCACAGGGGGCTCTGGTTTGAGATATTTGAGGAGTCAGATAGTGAGACAGTTTGTAGAAAACTCCAAATATTATGTTATGGTGAGTTTCAGGACCTTCTCCAGACCTGAAACACTTTCATTTTGATCCACTGATATAAGAGACGTCACATTTTCTCTGGTATTTAAACATTTTGTGACATTTTTGTTTGATTTAATTTCTTTTAATTTGTTTTTTTAATTACTCAGAGCGTTAGGAAGATAGTTAGAGAGTATTACTAAAAGCGGAGGGATTTTAGAGTCACATTTATGACTTTATTCCAACAAAACAGCAAATAAAGCAGCATAAATGCTCTTTAAATCTGACTAATGTGCAGTTCACTGTGTCATCTGGATCTGATGTTACGAAGCAGGCGGTAAAAGACTCATAAATAATAAATAGACGTGCTCAGTTTTAGTCAGACTTCTTTTTCCAGTAACACAAGAATGAGTCACCTGTAGTGATTAGAAGCGTTTGCTGTGTTTCGCTCTTTTCCTCTCACTACGCCATAAAACAATGAGCCGTAATCACTATGACAAAATAATTCACGATTCAGACTCATTGCGTGTTTCTTTGTGGCGTGTTTCAGTGTTTTCAAACTCGTGGGATTCTCCTCCTCATGAGTCGGCGTACCACACTGACCTTTCCTCTGCAGCGTCTTGGCAGTCAGCTTCTTGGCCAGCTTCATGAATTGACTGTCTTCCTCGCCGATCTTCTCATCATCCGCATCTAAATCTTCTCCTTTCTTGGCTTTTTGTTCCGACTGTACAGCAGGAGAAAACAGACAGAATAAATGAGTGAAATAAAACACCTGCCTGTGGAGGAGGAGATATTTAACCACAGGAGCCGTACACGCTAACATTCAGCTGTAAGTCCAGAAGGAAATCTTAGTTTTAAGTAAAAAGAAGGTAAAACTGACCTGTTCTCGGAGCCACTGCTCTCTCTCCAGTCTCTCTTTCCTCCTCTGGACCTCAGACTGCTCCACCTCTTCATCTTCATCCCCCTCCTCCTCACCCTCTGCTCCAGTTTGCTCCATGTTGAAACCATCATCTGGAGGTGGAATCAAAGAGAAACTTTGAAGTTAAGTTTGGAGAATCTAAATTTAAATGTACACTTTTTTGTGTATCTATCACCAACTCTTAACAGTCATAAAACTTACAGCCTTTGAGTGTTTTCTGATCTATCGTATTTTTCTTTCTTTTCTGAGTTTGTTTTGACTAAAATTGTCCTTTAAGGTGAAACTTATTGACATAAAAAGAATCAAAATATAAGACTTGAAAGAAAAGCTATGACCCAAAAAACCGATATTCACCGATATTTTTCCAACGGAAGCGCCGCGCTCTCCCCGGGCCGTCAGAGTGCAGGTCGCCGTCAGCGAGGTAACGCTCCTGGTAAAGCCTCAGACGCCGCTTGTCGTCGTCCATGATGTGCTTCCTGAGGGAACAAATTCAGTTCGATTTGGACTAAAGTATGAAAAAATGTTCCATAAGAGGTGTGGGAATAAAGAAAGGGTTTGAATCGATTCTTTTTAAAGGTAAATGATAAATACTCACATGTGGATCTTGTTGACCTGGTCCTGCAGCTCTTCATCAGAGGGAAGCTCTTCAAGAAGCTCCTCTTCCTCGTATTCGCTCCCCCCGTCATCGTCCTCGTCGTCACTGCCCAAATCACTCCCGGACAGCTCAGCCTCTGACTCTAAATAGTCGGCCAGACGCCTGTGCAGAGAAAGCAAGAGCGTGTTAACACCTGATCATCGAGGTCGCAGACGGATGCAGAGGAGTTTAAAAGCTTCAACACTCACATCTTCTTCTTCTTCTTTTTCGTCTTGACTCGATGTGGAGCAAACACACCCTCCATCTCCTCCTGCTCTACTTCGTGGTCCTCCTCTTCATCGGCATCTGCTTCATCCTCTTCTCCATCTTCATCCTCCTCCCCTTCATTTGCTTCGTCACCGTCCTCATCATCATTGTCCTCCTGAATAAATAAACAATTTACCGTAAAATTTGGTGTATAGGAGCCACCTTTGAGCTTGTCGGTAAAAATCAGACTTAAATCTGGAGTATGAATATTTGAGATTACCTGTTCGCTGTGGCTCTCTACATCCGACAGAAGCCTGAACTCACAGTCCTCCTCCTCTTCCTCCTGCTCTTCTTCTACTTCTTTCTCCTCCTCCTTCGTTTTACTAAATCAAGAGAAATCACTGTGAGTATTAAAAGTAATCTAAACAAAATGAAAAGCGCTGAAGAAAAGACAAAAACACAAAGAAAGAGGAACCCACAGAGAGCAGATTTGGATTATAAGTCTCTGTAAAGACAGATTTGTGTTTCTGTCAACAAATACAGGAATAAAAACACGGTGTACTGTACCTGTCTTGTGCTGGTGAAGCTGTGTGGGCTGAACCTAAAATTGGCAGGAAGGAAAACACAGGTAAACACCGTGTAACTGGAGGGAAAACATCCTCAAATAGACACACTGGAGACACTCAAACCTTTAAAAGCAGAATTTTCAGACAGTCATGGATCCTACAGTTTCCTCTGAGTTAAACAGGCTCTTTATCTGTTCATTATTTCAGTACTCTGCTTTTCCTCGTCTGTCTGTTGAGCCGATTTGTGACTTTAAACTGCAGCTACTTCAATAAGGAGACAGTTCACACTCTTTTACCTTGACTGGGAAACTTCCCCGAACACAGCCCCAGCAGCTGATCCATGGTATTCTCAGACTCCTCCTCCTCTTGTCCTTCTTTACTCTCCTCTTTCTTCTCCTCTTCTCCCTGCGTTGTTGGAAACCCTCCTGAGCACAACCCCAGCAGCTCCTCCTCCTGCGTCTCCCCGAGGCCTCCCGCTTGACTCGAGCCACCCTCCGCCGCCGTCCCGAACCCGCCTGAACACAACCCCAGCAGCTCCCCCATGTTGGCATCCATGGCGTTTTCATCCAGGCTGTCCAGGATCAGCTGTCTCTTGTGGGAGCGAGGCGCTCCGGGACGCGGCCCCACGTTTAGGAAGCCGTCTGAATCCAGTAACTGGGAGTGGGTGTCGTCCTCCAGGGAGAAACGACCCTGGGAGTCTCCTCCGAGGCCGGGGCCGGAGGCTGCTCCACCGAGGGGCCCGGAGTCTGCTCCTGGAGATGGAGGTGCATACAAGTCTTGGGAGTCCTCAACGGGGAGGCAGAGGGAAGGCTCAGAGAGTTTGCCTGAACTCTAATGAGGGAAAAGATGAAAAGATGATGGTTTCGAATGTGCCAAGAGAACAAGAGATAATTTGAGGAGCTGAACAAGTTCTGTTACCTTGGAGGCAGATCCTAGGAAGCTGGGTCTGAAGAGGCAGGGAGAAGGGGAGCGAAACATGGTGGAGCTGGAGATGCATCGTCCTGCAGAGCGCTGATGATTGACAGGCTGGTAGGAGGTGATCATCGACCCCGCCAGCTCGAAGCTGCTGTTGTGGCTGTTGTCCTTCACCAGTGACAGAGAGTCCTCCTCCTCTGCAGACCAGAAAGACCAAATTCAAAGAGAGGCGTTTAAAAATCAAACTAAAACAGATTTGAAGCATTCCTATTTTTCTACATGTCCATGAAGGACATTTTTCATTCGACTCACCCATCTTGTTGCTGCTGTCCTGTCCAGCGGGACCAGAGCGTCTAACACCGTCACTAGAAAGTAGAACAGAACATGTGAAACTTTTCCTTTTAAGACTTTTTCAGAACTTTTTTGTGAAGCAGAATGACGACAAATTACAGGAGATTCATGTGAACTTACTTATTATCAAAATATATATCCCAAAGCTATTTTCAAAGCTCTTTTACAAACTTAAAAAGACTTCCTGACTTTTCCAATGACTGAAGCAAGTCAAACTAAATCTGAGACACAGACAACCCGAGGTCCGACCCCTCTTACCCGGTGCGAGAGCAGGAGTTGCCCGGGAACAGCATGAGTGTGCCGTCTGTGTTAACTAGGTCGGGAGTCGGGGAGGGTCTGATCAGAGCCACAGGAGAAGTGCTCCTGATACTCTGAACCACGCTGCCTTCCTCTTCCTCCTCTTCTGCCTCGCCGTCATCGCCTCCCAGTAAGTCGTCCACGCCCTGATTCAAGAGAGGATCGCGCGTCAGTGAGGACAAACAGATGAGCGCCTCCATGTGTGATAATTCAGGGGGGAACAAAAACAGCCTCTCACTTCTTCTCCCTCAGACTCGGTCATGTCTTCCTCCTCCTCTTCTTCCTCCTCGTCGCAGTCTTCGTTGTCCAGGCGGTTCAGCTCAGCCTTGCGAACCCGCTCCTCCTGTCTGCGCTGAGCCATGGCGATTTGGAGGCGCTGCTTTAGAGTCAGAAGTTTCTCTCCTGTGAGACAAACGCAGAAAATCAAACTTAGTGATGTGAGAAAACACAGATAGACTTGAATTTTAGGATAGTGTGCTTATCTTATTTCTATAGATATTAAAATATTGGGGCGTGCAGACGGCCGGGTGGGTTAGCACGCCCTGTGTACAGGGACCACAGTCCCCACAGCGGTCGAGGGTTGGAGTCCAACCCCAACCATGTGCTGCATGTCCTCCCCCCTCTCTTTCCATCTCCCCATATGTCACCCTGCACTATCAATAAAAAGGCAAAAATCACCCCAAAATAATACTAAATAAAATTTTCTTAAGGATGAATATCTCAAATAAATAAATGAAATAAAATTTTAAAAATAATAAAAAAAGATGAATTATATCTAAAATAATAAAATAAAATAAAATTTAAAAATAAAATAAAACAAAATAAAAAAAGACGACTGATATCTAAAATGAATTAATGAAATAAATTTTTAAAAAATAATAAAATTAAAATTAAAAACAACAATGAAATAAAATAAAAAAATATATTAAAATTGCTCAGGACCTTTGATTAAAAGGGGACATCCTAAAACCACAACATTTGCTGGCAGGACCCATTATAATGTGTTCTTCATGGACCTCCAAGTCCTCCATGTGGATTTCTACCTGGTTTGGTGACCACCGGCTCTTCTGCTCCCTCTTTAACGGTGACAGCAACAGTCTCACTGCGCAGCTCCTCCTGGCCGGAGGCGTTGCTGTCTTTGCGGATGATGTTAAGCTGCATGGTACGCTCTCCTTTAGGGTGTGTGGGCGCCTTCACATGGCGAAGGTAACGCACCTTCAGGGCTTCCAAACCTGGATGATAGAAAATAAACAGGCCTGAGTACGAGCTCTTAGACTTTACACGTTTTTTCACTCTTGATTTTTTCTTCCTGTGTGTAAATTCTCACCAGGGTTCAGCTGTGGAGGCTCCAGCTGAACAAAAGCTCCATCATCTGGACACAGCTTAGCAACAGGTGGAGGGTCCAGTCCGAGCCTCTTCAGCATGGCGAGTTTGTCCTTCTTGGGCTTGGCTGGTTGTTCAGCAGGATTCTCATCTGCAGGCTCCACCACAGTCCTAGGTTCAGGCTCAGACACGGGTGCACTTTGGCTCTCGTCTAAAGCGGCGTTAGAGATCTCTTCTCCTGCTTCAGGCTTCACTGCTCCGTCTGCCGTCTCTGACTCCTGCAGGCTCTCAGAGAGGTAAAGCATCGGGCCTGATTCCTGGTTGGGATCGAGACTCTCTACGGCTTCTTCAGACTCGGTGGGGCTGTCCTTCTGCGGGGAGGAGGTGGCGGCAGGTTCAGGGATGGGCTGGATTTGAGTGGAAGACAGCACCGGAACGGGAGTGGAGTCCTGCTCTGAGGGTGGCTGCAGGGACTCTGTGGGAGCTTCAGTTGGAGGAGGAGGAGGAGGAGCTGAGGGTTTCTCCAACATGACGGCTGAATACTTTGTAGATCTGAGGAGAGGAAGATCACAGCTGATCCGTCAGCTCATGAAAGAAGCCATAAAACTTTTGAAAGTATTCAAAATTATAGAGACACTAATAAGGTTGTCAAAATGTACTTTTCAATACCACATGATAGTGTTTAAAAAGCACCAAAATGTGTGAAAAATACCCAAAATGAACTCATATGATGCTGTGTTTGTCCTTACTTCAATAACGCCATGGCAGGACCCTCCGGTCGGACTCTCTTCTTAAAGAACTGGTCGATGGTCTTTGGCTCTGGGATATGGTAAGGCAAGCCCAGGGTGGACTCTGAAAAGATAGGAGAAGGTGTCAAAGATGAAAAGAGGAAAAAAAAGGAGGAAGAGGCGCCTCTTTCTGGATGAATCAGAATCAGCTTTTACATCCCAGATATGTGCACACGTCTGAGGAAGTGGACTTAAATTATTCAACACAAGAGTAGACTTGAGGTAGCCAGAATATATCACACTCAACAGCTATTTATACACCCACAGATGCGTATATACAGCTACATCATGCACAGATTGGGGACAAATCAGCCAAGATCTGACAAGACACAGACTCTAGTAGACTTCTGAGAGTGTGCTGTGATATCTAAAACCAGATCTGCACTCCCTGGAGGTCTAGTAAGTTCTAAGGTGGGGTCCCCATGGATTGGACTTTGTCATCCAACAACCCCAGAGCTTGTCCCACAGCCCCTGTGCTCTGTAAGCTCTAGATCTGGGGAATCTGGACATTCAAAGGCAGCTCAGACCACCATGAATCACTACCCAATGGTCCAGTTCTGACTGTCACATGTCCACTGACACTTCACCTGCCAGTGATCATAATGTAAAGGCGGATTGGCGTATATGGTGGTATGATGAAGCGCAGAAAAGTGCAGTAAAGTGCAGTTATATGTCGCTTACAATATAAACAGGATGAAGGAGCTTTTCCAGCTTTGACAGTACAGACAAATTGAGCAGATTTATGTATCAGGTTAAAATTTAAAAAGCAAAAATAATAAGGATAGAAGGAGACAGGAGTGTTTCTTGTGTACTGACCTCTGATCAGCCTCTGAGACTCGCTGTGGAGCTGCTTCATCGCCTCTTTGCTGGCGCGCGCCGCCTTCCTCTCCTACAAACAGAACACGCCATGAGAAAAAAACAGCGGTTTGTCTGTATTTAGTTTCCACTTTTACAACAATCAGAACACATTCAAGGATTTTGGCACCGCTTACCACACGCTGGGGCTTCTCTGCTGCCTCTTCATCTTCCTCCTCCTCATCATCATCATTCAGAAGAGGATCCTGTAGGGACGATTATCACTGATTAGACAGAGGTCTTTCAGTACGTTTCTACGAACCTTTCTCAGTGTTTCATCTGATTTAACCGAATGCAACAGCTTCTGAGCAAAGATTTAAAAAGACGAAGAGTCTAAAATCTCCACCTGAGCATCCGACACAACTTCACACTCACAAGAAATAACAACAAAGCTCTAAACAGGTGACCCTGTTGCTCCTGTACCTTGTGTTTCTTCATCTTGTGCTTTACAGCGGCTCGGATGGCCTCCAGAGACTCTTCTTCCTCCTCGTCCTCATCATTCAGTCCGGTGTCGAACAGGTCCGGGTCGCCAAGAGGGCATCCGCTGTCGTTCAGAGCCGGAGGGAGAGGCGAGTCCTGGAGAAGAGATTAAAGAATTAAAACTAAGAATTTTTTATTCACAGTAAGATTTTTTTTATCAATAGCAACCACTTAATCTGGATTCAGTTTGATAAAACATTTCATTTCTGAGTGGTCTTGGGTGTCTTGTTAAAATGTAAACACACGTTTTTATATCTTGAGACATTTTGTTATGTACACAAACATTTAGATGTGCACAAATCTAAACATCTGTTTTAAACTACTTATTAAATAGAAAGGGCTTTTTTTAAGCTCTAGAAGAGGAACGTTTGGTTGACCTGACAAGATTTCAAAGGACTTCTGCACTGAAGACAAAACGCCCAGATTGCACTGACCTCAGACGTCTCAGCGAATCTGTCCCTCTTCTTGACTTTTTCCACCGCTCTGCTTCGCTTCTCCTTTTTCTCCCGATGTCTGTGGCTCTTCTCTCTCTTCTTCCTGTCCTTCGTCGCTTTCACATCCCCCTGTTGCTCCTCCGTTTCCCCGCCTCTCTCTCGTTCGGGCTCACTGTCGTCACTGTCGACGGGAGCGCGGCTGATTCTCTTGGTCTTCCTCTCATCTTTTTTTTCCTCTGACCCTCCAGTCTCCATCTCGTCTCCGCTTGAAGCAGATAAAGCCAGCGCCTCGGTCATGTGCACACTGGTCTCTGCTAAAGCCTCCTCCTCTTCCTCACTGTCGCTGTCTCTGATGGCGTTACGGTGGGGCTTTCGGTGAACTGTGATGTCTTCATCGTCATCGGAGTCTAAAAAACAAAAATATTTATGAGAGTTGATCCTCTTACTCAATCATTTAAAATTTAAGAAGATAGGAGATGAGAGGGGAGGAGATTCAGACACCAAAGTGCTTTGCTATCTTACTTAAGTATTTTGTTGTTCGGACCAAATTTTAATACTCTGACTTTTCCATATGGATGATCTGCTACTTCACCTTTAGCTTTTTCTCCTTTGTTCGCCGTCTCTGTGACCATCTCGTCCTCTGGAGAGCCCATCCCGCTGTCTGAGTCACTCTCTGCTGCTGTTTGGGCCACAGCCGGGAGCGCCTCAGCCTGAGTATCAAAACACAAAGCAGAATTTACTGATCATGAACAACATATTCTTACATTCATTCATTAGATGTGAAATGAAAAAACAAGGAATTCTACACAACAACTGTAAACTGTAAAATTACAATTCAAAGAGGTAGAGGTATGAATATGCATTATGGTGAGTCTGTCAGTTCATTAGCTCCATTTGAAGTGTATGTTAATCATAATGAGGGTCACATGAGGCCACGCAGCAACAATGGATGATATACGTAACAGCTGTGAAGGACAGTGACGCTCTTTGTAGTTTAATCAAGCCTAAACAAAACATAAATCATGTCTTAGTCGCCTTCAACTTGGCCAAAATGCTCCAGCTGTCTTTTAACTGACACTAACAGACGTGAGGACATCACTCCTGTCCTTAGCTCCCTTCATTGGCTTCCTGTCTCTTTAGGATTGAGGTCCTCAAATCAAGTGTATTTCAGTGTGTGAAATGTGTTTGCTTGTGCGTAAATGATCTTTACTGATCCCAAACTGTGACATTTTGTTACAGCAGCAGCCAATCAAGCTGAAATTACATTTACACTTTTACGTTTAGCTAAAAATAATATCCAAGATGGTATCATTGTGAAACAAAAATAAGTATATATTTTACAGAGAGGTAAAGGTGTAACTTTCCAACGGTGTAAAGGTGCAAAAAGTGTCTATGGGTTAAAATCATGTCCAGGAAAGGTTTGTTTGTACAAACAGTGAGTGCACAGATGTTACCTGCAACTATTGAGTACAAAGGTGTTAATATGCAAAACACAGATGAAGTGTTTTTGACTGTGCAAAGGTGTAGATGTGCAAGTTAAGGTGAGCTGTTGGGGTTAGAAACTGATTGTATTCTTTGACAAATAAACTTAAATGACATTAAAATGTGTTTGCAAAGCTCATTTACAACACAAGGGTCGACTGTGTGACTTAAGGGTCACAAAATGGGCGATAAATAACATGAATGGCGCCTTGCAGTAAACCTAACAATGAGCACTGAAGTTAGCGTATCATTTCAGCGCAACTTTAGCAGCTAAGTCTAACCTTCAATAAAAATGCAGACTCGTAGATGACTTAAACGAGTAATTCACTTAATGGTAAGTCAAAGAGTGAAAAGCTTAAGTCCTCTGTGTTTAATCGATGGGACAAGGCCTCGACGAGAACCAACGTCCCAGCGCCCCAGCCTGCTAACCGGCTAAGGCTAACAATACCAAGAGTGACAAATGTATTCGTTTTATGCTATTTTCAATCATGCAAACCTCTTTTTCTGTCTCAAAAACAACAAAAACTTGTATGTCAGGCTGATATTCTCTATAATAGATGTTAAAAGAGGATGAATATTCCCTCACCTGTTGTTGGGGGAGAACCAGGCTCATCGTTGTCCGCCGGTTAAGTTCGATTTTCTGCGAAACAAACCGTCGAGTAAAAGGTTTAATCGACTCTGCGCGGCCAAAACAGGCTTCGAAGCCTTAATGCCTGCGAGACAAACGCTATTGTTGATGTTTAAAGCGCATTTAGACCGAGTTTAGCCGGGCAGCTCTCGTCCTCCCGCCTGTTCCTCACACACCGAATAGACAATTTTGATCTTTCGCGCGCCGTGACAGCTGGCCCGCAGTTTTTCGTCATCGAGGTGTCAATCGGCCCCTTCTCGCGTTCCTATTGGCTGTTCAGGGAAATTCGATCCCGCCCACTGTGACGACAGGGTTTGGTGGGAACTGATTTTAAATGCCGGGAATTTTCGGGCGGGCGGGGTCGAGTGAGGTTTGTTGTAAAGGAGGGTTGATTCCAGGAAAGGAGAGAAAGGACAACACAGAAAGAAGAAAGAAAGGAAGATATATTTATATTCTTCTATACTTTTATAATAATAACAATAATAATAATAATAATAACAACAAAACAATAATAATTATTATTAATATTGTTATTAATTTATTTTATATATTTTTTAATTATATATTTTTTTCTTTTATTATACTATTCTTTTTATTTTTTATATATATATTTTTTCCAGTTTAAAATACAGCGTTGCATCTAGGTTCAATATCTTTTTTATTGATAATAATTGCTAACCACGTTTAGGAGTACTAGTCCGTCAACGTGGCCTAGTTAATTAAAATCCTAGTTAATTAATGAGTATTTTTTTATCATTATTTTTCTTTTTTTAGTTTAGAACACAGCATTTCATCTGAGCTTAATATCTTTTTTTTTATTGATAATCTTTAGAATCGATAACCATATAAATATTTTTAAGAGTACTAGTCAGTCAAAGTAGCCTAATTAATTATCACTAGCAATTAAACAAAGACATCCACACAACACACAATAAAAGCTCAGTTTACCTTCATTATGAGTACTTTGAGTATTTTCTTATATTCATTTTTCTTTTTTAGTTTAGAATACAGTGTTTCATCCAGACTTAATATCTTTTTTATTGATAATCTTTATAATCGATAACCATATAAACATGTCAAGGAGCACTAGTCGCTCAATGTAGCCAAATTAATTATAACTATATGAACCGTGTGTTTGGATCATAGACTGTATATAGAATAGTATATACAGTCTATGGTTTGGACTGTATGCTATATAATCAAGACAGTTATATTTACACTCATTCTGTTGGTTTGCAGGGATGAACAACATCTTGAAATATAGACAGATACACTAGTTAGAGACAAAACTATGATTGCCTTGATGTAGTGATCCCAAATATGAAAACTGACTCATCTTACCCTACTCTCCCCTACTTCACATCTGTGTACAAGGCAACAAAAACGGTTTATCTAAATACTTCTTTGCATTTTTATATCCCCAAACCACACTATTTGGAAAAATGTTATGTATTTTTTCACTTTATCATACTTTGTTATAGTTTTTTAAAGAATAGACCTCAACAAACTCTAATCATTTAAAGTCTGAACTCCTTGTGGGGGTTTCTGAAAAATTACGCATGCGCACAGAGGTGTCATCGGCTGCTAACTAGCGCATGCGCCCTTACAAATCCCCAGAACCAGCAGCAGCAGTGGTAGTTCAGGTCAGTCAGTCCAGTCAGCAGTCATCCACGCATCTATCTATATTCCCTTTTCTTAAATTAGCCACTTTAAGCTTCGCGATACCGCCCCCAATTTCAGCGTCGGTACGGAGCCGTCAGGCCGGGACAGAGACGGAGAGAGAGGCCTCGGCCATGGAAGCGCTCGGACCAGGTGAGAGACATTTGAAGAGAAAACAGAGAAGAAACGAAGCGAGGAGCGGGGAGCGCGAGCCGTGTGCGAGGCGCGTGTGCGCAAATGCGTCGCTTCACTGGGGGCCGCGGCTGCAGCGAGGCCTCGACGCGCTGACGGGGAAAACAAACCCGAGGAGGCCCTGCCCGTGTGTCTGTGTGTGTTACACGCGGGTATATCAACGTCTGGGTGTATTTTCAATCGAGGGGACACGGTGTTTCGCGCGAATACGAGGCGTGTTTGTGTTTTTATCGGCTCTCCTCGAATGTCTGCGCGGTTTTATTTACGCGAAGCTCGTCGTGTCGGGGCTGGCATTGTGTGTGTATGTGTGTGTGTGTGTGTGTGAGTGGGGATTTAACTAGGACCTTCCTTCCTCCTTCCTTCCTTCCGCGTCGTGGTGTGTTTACGTTGATGTTTGTTCACGATGTGCCCTCTTTTTTTTCGTCTACCAACCTCATTACGACTCATTTTTAACAAAGAGTCAACTGTATCATGTCGAAATTTCGCAATTTCTGCCTCAACCACGTACATTTGTACCATCGCCATCGGGAACAGTGCGTCTCTTCGGGGGCTGCCCTCGTCCAAAGATGACAGCGATGGGTGGAAAACACTACAAATACCGATAAAACACATGTTCGTGGCGGTAAATGAGCAGGCGTGCGTGTTTTAACGCCTGGTTTTTATGCGTCTATGAGAGCGCAGCGGGGATGGATGGCGCTTTTATCGATCACATCTGCAGGCCAGCTTCATATTACTCATCTCCTATATGATAACAAAGGCACTTATTTGCAGCGATGTAATGATACAGAAGGCGGGGAAACATCAGCCACACACCTTTAAAACACCCGTAGACACAATGCACTCGTACCGCCACCCTCTTTGTTTTTGCCCCAGTTTTCCCCTCATTGAGTCAAACAGTCCTAAGGTTTGTTTGTCAAATGCAGCTTGTGATGCATATTTAAAGGGGTTGAATTTACTCAGCATGTCTGAATGAGTGTTAAACAGATGCATGAGAGTCCAGAGGAATGTTTGGAGACTATCCACAGGTGCGTGTGAGCCTCTGTTAATGCACTTAATCACTGCAGGCCATCAAGTTTGAATGAAGTCTGCTACTTTCTGCAGGATGGGATAGGATTTTGATAGAGGTATGTATTGCAAAGTAGAGTTTTGCTTTTGCAGGACTGATTTATTCGCATCAATAATGATAATATGGAAATAGCAAAGTAATTTGTGTGTCCAGCGCTTAAAATCCAGAGAGATATTGTTTATTCGATCAAATATACAAGAAATTCACCCATTTTTGGAGATTGAAAAGGAATAGGTAGAAGCTATACCCTCATTCCTTCCTATTTCTTGACCGTTTACATGTCTCTAGAAGTTTAGGATTTCTTAAATCGCCGAAAAGTAACCAAAGCTCCAAAGTCTAACATGTATAAGTAAAAAATCATTAATACTGAGACAAAGACCACTAGGGCCTGACTGATTTATCCACAAGCCGATTTAATCAGCCAATTTTAGTCCGATTGAGACTAATCGTAATCGGCCGATATTTTCGGAAATAAAATGCGGAGAATAAGATGGTCCGTGTCAATGGTAAATAAACCAGTTTGTGAAATACACAATAAGTCAACAAGTTTTAGTTCAACCCACTTCACCATGTTCCCCGCTGTGCTGGTCTCGGTCACGCCGAGTTAACAGTGAAGCACCATGTAATATCCAAGCTAAAGTTAGAGTTAGCCATCTGCTATTAGCCTTGCTACACTGTTAGCCACGCCAGTAATGGTAGAATAAACAACTGTACACATTACGTGATCGAGCTACTTCTCTTACTGAGGCAGCGGCATGTCTCCAGATGAGGCCGGATCGGAAATGTGTAACGTGAGTTAAGACACGGAGGCACCGATCGGCGCGATTTTTTTCCCCCCTAACAATCGGCATCGACCCAAAAAAAATCATATCGGTTAGGCCCTAATACACGTATACACACACAAATATGCACTTCATATATGAAACTTCAAATCTCCCATTTGTATCAAACCCATATACAATAAGTGTGACAAAACAAAAATCACTTATACTCTGCTAACTCTAATTCTCATATAAGATTGAATATTTTCACCACGGTCAAGAGTTAAATCTGGAGCACCATTCAGCAAAGTGATGCAACAATCCTGCTGTGTTTCTTTTGTGAAGGTTGGTAGACAATCTGCCAATAATACAGAGTTGGACTGTGTGTATTATATACACCTCTGGGGGACATAGTGTTCAGATTGCACATATCAGCCTCCACAGGTTCAAATGTAGGTTATTTCCTTCTAAATGTGTCTCTTCTTCTTCTTCTTTTTTGCATTTATTTCAGTGTGGCTGGAGTTTTCTCCCTCTGGTTGTTGACTTAAAGTGTCTTACAGGCAGTTTTTTGGGGATTTTATTCCCTCGTAGTTGGGGGAAGTGCATCTGTTGGTTTCAGATGTACAGATCTCGCAGAAAAAAACAAACATATGCAGAGACAGACCTACAAAAGTTTACTCCTGAGTGAATTACTAACACTGCAAACTCTTTGTTTTTTTGCTGCTTTGACCATCCGAATCTGAAAATTGAGAAAAATGCAGATCATTACTTCCTGAAACCAAATGTTTTTACTCTGTAAGATATTCAGTTTGCTGTCTGCAGAGGCAAAGAAACTAAAAAGAGATTCATATTTTAGAAGTCTTCTTGTTTGAGACTCGGGTTATTTTACTTCAAAAACTGCTCAGAGCAGTCACTGCTTTGCACTAAATCTAATATTTGACAACTAAATTGATGCAGCCCCGTTTCAAATTTATCAAAAAAAAAAAAATCCCAGTTATTCCAAACATATGACTCAATTTTTCTGAAAGCTAGAGGCAAAAAAAGAGGCAAAAGCATTGATGAAACGTGAAAATAAATAAGAAATGTGTTGTGAATTTTGAGAGTTTTTGATGTTAATTTTTGTAAGAGTGATAACAGACGCACTGAGGTTGTTTAATTTGAGCAAACTACTACACTGACAGCTGGAAAGCATCCACAGGCATTTTGTTAGCGATGAAGATGGACTGCAGGGATCAATTAATAAATTCAACATAAATTGGCAATCCTTGAATCTTAGCCAAGAGTTTAAAAGCTGAAAAGAATAAATCTTCTCTACATTTGACGATGACAAAAGCCCAATCTGTATTTCTGCCTTTTCCTCAGTTAAGCGTAGTTTACCTTTTAATCCAGGTGTTTTGCAGGTGTGGGCGTCTGTGCTCCTCGCTCAGCGCAGCTCGTCTCTGACTCACCGCAGGGCCGAGCCTTCATCCTCATGCTTAGCTTAAGCCCAGCTGTCTCTCTCCCTGTGGTTTCCAGGGACACGCATGGCATTAGTCACCTACAGCGCTCGAGCAGCAAATGCAAGCATGCGACACATCATCCTATGGTTGTTTAGCCGAAGATAAACAAAGAGTAGTAGTAGTGGTACCACTCGGGTGTCGGTATTTGCTGCATGTTAGCCGTCAGAGATAAGTTAATCTCACTTCCTCTGTGATTCTTAGTCGATGTGGCTCTGTGTCTGAGCAGAAGCAGAAGTTCTTTGAATTAAAGCTTAAATTAAAAAAAGTGTAGAAGCTTTTTCTCAATATGTATGGCTCGAATGGATATTTTTATCGAGTTTAAACAACACGAACCAAGCGCAGTTTCTCATAAAATGCTCAAATGCAACAAAAGGCACCAGAGAAGATATTTTCGTGATCTTATAATCCAGATTTTTATCAAATTAGAAGCTTCTTTTAGGCTACACCGATACCCTTCAGTGGTTTCTGCCACATCTCTTAGTTTTGTTTATTTGTAGAAACTCTTGGAGCGTCAGGTGGACGGTCCTTGAATCTTTGAGTTGTGTTGCAAATACCAGTGTTGCTGTCTGTTTCCAACCCTCTCAAAACACCTAGACAGCAGACATGTTGAAGCTTGTTGTTGGCGCGTACAAGCTGACATGGTGTGCGCTTGGTGATATCATGGGTTTGTGATATCTAACGGTCAGATTCAGACTCGCTCACCCCTCCAAAGAGCCTCTTTAAGGCATGATAAGTGTGATTCTCCATCTGTTGAGGTTTTATCATCAGAATTTGTATTAGTATAAAATCTTCTGCTTGCTTAATTTTCAGTGGCAGCTCATGAAATGGAAAAAAAACTTTTACAGCTACATGCAGACATAAAAAGGTCATTTAATTTATACAAAACAAAAAAAGTTTCCATATTCAGGTGGTTAGAAACTGAATGAATGAAATACTCCATTTCTACCTGCAATGTTCCTTTAATCCGCTCAGACGAGTGTAAATTCTCATATCTGCAGACACTGATATCGTGCTGCTTCCCAAGAAAATCGACTGACTGATTTGTGACTGGCCAAAGACGTTTCACTTTGAAGCTAAAATAGAGAAAATATAATAATTCTGAGACAATTGCAGAGCACAAGCGCACACTTGTGGTCTGAAAAACTCTGCAAGCGATGTTCACTGTGGCAGATTAATTATAGAAATAATCATTCTTTGTTGGAACCTCATTCAGAGCTGAAACAAACGGAGTTGATTGGCAGAAAGTTAATCTGCAACTGTCGATTACAAGAACCCCAACCTTCCTGTTTTTTTTTAGCACAAACTCCTGAAGCAAAACAAGAAACGTAAAGAAGTCGACTTTTTATATTTCCTGACATCACAGATTTAGACGGATTAGTTAAAAAATAGTTGTTAACTTGAGCTTCTGAGCCGTCCAGCTGGGGTTGTTGTTAGTGTAGTTAACTTTTGATAAGTAGACGGCTTACAGAGGAAGGATGTGCTCAGGCGTTTCATGATGAGACACTCACATTTCTAAGTGTGGTGGTGTGGCAGCTGACGACGCTAAATATAGGCACAGCTCTCTTTTTGGTGAAAGTGGAAGAGGAAGAGCTCGAAGTCACTGTTGCCTCTCTCTATCACACACAGAGTGAAGCGGTTTTTGTTGTACCTGCTGTTGCACACGGCGAGCAGAGAGAAAATAGAAATCCATCTGTAAAGTCACACAGTTCAGTACGCAGTAGTTTCTTTCTGCAGAGTCTTGGAAAAATGTCTTCAGTATTTTCTCTCGTGTGTGGCTGGAGCAGTGATGGGTTATTAAAATAATTCTGTTATTGATTGAGGGCTGCTTGATAAATAATTCAGTACATCGAGTCCCCACTGACTTCCCATCATACCAGCAGGTTGAGGGACTCAGTGAAACAAGACATTTGATCGTCAGTCCAAGCTAAAGAAAGTGAAGACAAAAGATTTTTATGTTGAGGTGAAAATAAGTGAAACTTCCCTGTGATTTTACCTCTTGTGAGCAGATTTTTTCAGATGATTTGGTCTTTTTGAATCATTGCGTGATTTCCCTGTGATTGATTTTGGCACAAACTTATCTTAAAATGAAATAAAAAGATAAAAAATCAGAGGTTTTTCCCTGATTTCTGCCACAAACGGGTTTTTAAAGACTCAGATTGAACCCTGGTGTAACCCTGAGTCGCTGTAGTGCATGATTTCACCTCATTCAAGCGTTTTTCTTTTAGTCCCTTTTTGTCATTTGGATTTAACGTAAATTCCTGATCATTAATTTTTTTTGTTGTTATTTTGTGCAAAATTTCCAACCGCTCTGTGGCATTAAGAAGTGGCACCCTGCTGTGGTGCGTTTTTTTTCTAACGTTCCATCAACCTCATTTGTCTGCACCTTTACATCTCTACACTCCGCTTAGTTCAGTTTCATTTTTGGCCTTCAATCAAGACTAAAGTTATTAAAAATGCTTATACATGAGCTTCTATGAAAGTGAAAGTGCCTTTTCACACATTTGAAGCGCTCTACTTGTTTCAAAGCTGTGAATATATAGGGGATGGGTCTGCTAAAGTCCAAGATTGACCTCACTTAACCCCACAGAAACCCCAAGATGGTCGCTCTGCGGCTTGTTAACCCTGTAGAGCTTCAACATTCACTTTTGGATCACTTTCACAAGCTTATATCTCAGCTGTGAGGATGTGATCTAGGCTGAATACTTCTATATGATATAATCTGTCCAGTTTTTTTTTATTAACCAGATTTTCCCATATGATATAATCTGCACCCTTGATTTGGTTAATTTTTGTGAGGTTAAAACAGAAACATGTACCTAAAGGGTTAAAGATCGACCTCACCTAACCCTGTATGTTTCCCACATGTAGAGTCAAACCAGCATTCATAGTTTTAAAAAATATGGTTATAAAGTTATCAACCTACTGTACCTTTTGGGGTTGCACTGATTATTCTTGTTTTTTTAAATATTCATCAGCATGTAAACAAAATTAGAAGATTAATGCTTTTTAATCTCGTCATAAACACCATCAGAATAAAGGTATTAGATACAACAACCTGAACTCCATCTGAATCGCAGCGCTCTTGAAATGCTCCAGTGTGCTCGTGGAGATGTACACACAATGTTCAGCATCACTCAGGACACTTTGTACGCGTGTTGTTTCCATTGGTAACAAGGCCAGTAGGACAAAGTCGAGTGAATCATCAAATGATTTTTAGCGCAAGTCGTGACGGAGAAAAATCACACATCGCTTCAGAAATAGCTTCTTATTTCAGACTTTATCATAAACAGGTCGATTTAAAGAGAGATAGAGAGAGGATGGTGTTTTTAATGTGAGTAGTGATTTGTTTGTATGGCGATGGAAGAGGAGGAGAAGGAGGAGGAGGGAGAAGGGGAGATGATTTGGGGCCCAGGCTAGATGAGGGCATGTTAGGAAGCGATGGGGAGGGTCCCCGATTGTCCGTGCTCTCGCGCTTCACTTGCTAACTGGAGCGTGTGTGGGTGCATGGAGTTCAGGAGGACCCCCGCAGTCCCCTAGCTGTCAGTTGACAAAAGCATTACCCAGCCTCCTCCAAGCCTCAGTCAATACCACCAACACAATGTTATTTTAACTTTCTATATTTACATTTCTGCCTTTTTAATTGCGCTCCGACGTGGTTTTGTCTTTTGTCGTACTGTATTTTTCTTTCTCTTCGGGTGTTTTTCTTAATTGTCTCTCTGCTGCATGGCAGGACAGATCGAGCAGCAGAGATAAGCAGGCGGTAAACCACATCCTTCCTGAAAATATTAGTGTTAGTGTTTTTGTTTAGGATACTATCACCTGGTTACCTGCTGCAGGACGAGGCCTGCAGTCTCAAGCATGTTCAGAAAATGCCCGTCTCTGTGCATGAAGACTAAGAGGTCGCCCCTCTGCCTTTTTTTGGTACCTGTGCACGTGAACTTGAATGCACTGTATGTAATGTGTGTACGTGACGAGCGCGCGTAACGGTAATCCCAGACTGCGAGGGGCTTCCCTCCATATGGCCCTGCTGCTGTCTGTCTGAGAAGAGCTCGCTCTTTGTCTCCGCGTGAGGGGTGGGTGCCCTGTGTGTCTGGGGTGGAGCTGGGGGCGGGATGTAGGATAATTGGGGGTCATTGTTCCGCCAGCCCCTTGTTGACCCATACGGGTCAGGGGCCAGAGTTACGGATCAATCAAAGCATGTATGTGGGTCCGCCGGGCCATTTCAGTGCATTCAAGCAGGTGTCACTGATGAGATGGTTTGGAACAAGCTTGGCGTTGCGCCGCACGCATTCTTCTTTACGTTTGACGTTTAATGCAGAGATAAGCACGCAAGCGCTCCACCCCAGCCTTTGTTCGGGTTCAAATGAATGCCAAACATGTTTAATATGAAGCTTGATGGTTTTTGGGGTTCAGCTGTGTCAAATAAGGATATGCAAAGACATTACCGGAGAGAAATGTGTCAACAAACGTCCTTAATTGAATCTAGAAATGAATAGGGCTGAAATAGGGCTGGGCGATAAACCGAAAATATACCGATACTGAAATTTACAACAACAAACGATGTCATTTTGCCCATATTGGTATATTTGGTGTCAAAAAAATAAATAAAAGTTGTTTTTGGATGTGTGTAGGTAGGCTATGGTCTCATGTCCCTTTTTAAGACGCTGTCCTACATCTTAACAAAGAGGGAAAGACAGGTGAGGAGATGGAGGACGGTGCAAAAGTTCTAGCAGCTAGAGCGGCGGCTGAAGTAGACGAAGTTAATGTGGGAGGGGGTGAGCAGCTTGTGGAGAAGTTATCATCCATTTATCGTTATCGAGGTGAACTGCTTAATATATCGCGATAATGATTTGAGACCGTATCGCCCAGCCCTAGAGCCGCTATAATGACTCAGTCCTGTGCTGTCATCAGTGAAATTTTGCATCATCGCCATTTAAGTCAGTTCAGTCACCTGTTGTGACTCATACTCTTACTGGCATTTGGAGGATCATCATTTCTCTCTGTTGTCCTTCTTCGCAGGCCCGCCCGCACCAACCTCTCTGTTTCAGCCTCCCAGGCGTCCCGGCCTCGGCACGGTGGGGAAACCCATCCGGCTCCTTGCCAACCACTTCCAGGTGCAGATTCCCAAGATTGATGTCTATCACTATGATATCGACATCAAACCTGAGAAACGACCTCGAAGGGTCAACAGGTAAATATCCCGTTACACCTTTAGGACATGTGTAGATATGTTAATTTTGAATAGACTGTTTTTATCTGCAAGAGGATAAACACTGTAACCTGAATCTCAGAGGAAAAAAAAGTGTTAAATTCTAGAGATTAGGGAAATTGAATGATAAAAGAAAGAGGAGAAGCAGCTCTGTGTTTTTGATTCACCGTCCGTCCTGCTGTCTTACAGGGAGGTGGTGGATACCATGGTGCGGCACTTCAAGATGCAAATCTTTGGAGACCGACAACCTGGATATGACGGGAAGAGGAACATGTACACAGCACATCCACTGCCAATTGGACGAGACAGGGTTTGTATTTCAGAGAGTTGACTTTGTCTGTGCTTTCTTTACCCGACGAAAATCAGAAATTCAATATCTGAAATTATCAGATTATTTTCAAAGTCAATTATAAATTAAAAAAAACTTCTGAAGCTTTTGTATTTGATTGATTGGGGCTCCTTGACAACCAACTACAGCATAGCGATGGCATGGCAACCAGGTGATACGCCTTCAGCTGGCCTGTATTTTTGGGTCAGGTGCCTCTCCTCTCCCTCTTGGCGAGTTGGCCGGCCAATCAAGAGCAATAGTATCATGGTCAGCAAGCCATTAAGTAGTTTGGCACTGTGGACAGGTGCCAAGTCCACATCTTGACAAAGCTTGTCAGTAGATAGAAGCATTAGGTGATCTAAAAACTCTAGACTCTGGACTTTATAAAGCGCAGCGGACCCACATCAGACCCTTTTTTAAACATTTTATTTTATACCCAATGAGTGAGGGACTTCCTTTTAGTCAATGTCAGCGTCTTACTTAGCGTCTCTGTGACGGACTGGTCCTGATTATCCATTCAGAGAACAGCATTCGTACTCCTGTAGGAAGAGAAACTCCACTGTTTGAGCTTTGTGTGTCAGTGACCGCCACACACTGACCACACACTCTGTAAAGCCTCGCTCTCTTTCTGATGAGCTGATCCATGACCTCAGGTATTTAAAGTCATTGACCTCTCTCTGGGCAGTGCCTCCTGTTATTCTTAGAGATGGATGGTCCGGGATGATGTCCTCGGTTTTCTTGGCACGGAGCCTCAGACCAAGCTTGGCACGCTCTGGTCGCAGAGATTCCTGCGCTGGCTCCACCTGCTCAGATAGTCGGCTGGAGTCGTCCCAGTCTGTTCAAACTACAGCCAAAAAAGACTCAAAGAGGAAATCAATCACTGAGTGACTTTGATAGAGCGGTGCATAAATGTTTTTGGCATGTTAGATAAATAAAACCTCAGGAGGATTTATGAAGGGAGAAATGGTTTACATTTGTGTAATGAATTAGAAAGCGGCGATGTTAACGGTCAAGATCGCGGATCTGTTAGAGGAAGGATCAACCTGAAGTCTGTAGCAGGTATCAGAGAGCAGTCCTGAGCTCTCTTACGGTCTGATTTATGACAGAATCCCAAACAGCGTCTGTTTATTGCATTTCTGTGCAGAAATTATCTCGTGGTCAGGCTTTTACACCTTCTGTTTTCTGTGACTTATGTTGCATTACCGACTCTTGTAGTGAGTATTGACATTTGCCAGTTAATTTCACTTTCTCTTTCTCTCTCTGTGAGTGGTTGGCAATATATCAAACAGTGCGGTTGTTGCAGATTTCCCCCTCGTGTGTCTCAGGGGGAGCAGCCCTGCCGCAGCTGTAAAATCTGTCATTCCTCATTTCTTCTACTTATTTAGTAGAGCGGACAAACTAAAGACCGCCTCACTTTGATTTCTCTGCTTTTGCTGATACTGGAACATGTGGCTTTCTCAATGAATGGCTGCAGAGGACGTAAAGGATGAGAATGCATGTTTTTGTTTGACTTTGATATTTGGTCGCACTTATTTGAGCTGCATTTAAAAATACAGCTGAAGGAAGATCAAGGCTGGGACTGCTATTGTTCGGTGCATCCTGTTAGAGCTGCATGAGCAGGACGAGCTGTGCTCAGGTGGAAATAATCGCTGGGGTTGACTGAATTTAACTTCTTCTTTAGCATCAAAAAAGTCTATTACTGTTTTCTTTGATCACCTGTTTATTTACCTTGATTTGGTTCTGGGCGAAAATTTCAGTTCAATCACGGTGATCAGCTGTGAGCATGTTTACTCGATCAAACATAGTGGAAATATGCGTCACAACAGCCAATCAGAGTCGAGCTTTCCCTGCTCACTTCTGTAAGTTGCCAGAGAAGTAAACAGAATGACCAAATATGGAGCTTAGGGCAGCGAAATAGATGTCAGCCGTGACTTTGAGTCATTCTTCGGAGATGTCATTCGCAGTTTAGTCACAACTAGCGGTTCAGCCACCAGACCAAAGCAACAATCAATCGTCTCATCTACGTTTACATCATCTAATGTTTACATTTTAAGGCGTCTTCATTATCTATGAGGGGGCGATTTGTTTATTTTGGGTCTTACATACCTGCAGAAATACTCAGGACTGTAAACTAGTTCACTGTTTTTTATATTTTTTTTATCTTATTCAATTTTCTTTGTTATTTACTTTGTATGTAAATAAAATGTTGAACTAATTTCTACTTTCTTTAGTTTTTAGTACAGATGCTTTAAAACTGGCAGTTTAGAAATAAAGAAATGCTGATAATAATCAAGATTAGACAAAATAGGAAAATATATTGTTTTTATTTTTTTGCCAAATCGCCCAGTCCTACCTTGACTCATCTTCTGGTTTCTCCTTCCCTCTGTTTCTTCAACAGGTGGACCTGGAGGTGACTCTACCGGGTGAGGGGAAAGATCAGACGTTTAAGGTGTCCTTGCAGTGGGTGTCTGTGGTCAGTCTTCAGATGCTGCTTGAGGCCCTGTCCGGTCACCTGAACGAAGTCCCCGAGGACTCCGTTCAGGCTCTGGACGTCATCACGCGGCACCTTCCCTCCATGAGGTACAAACACACACAGACATCCACCCACATCCACTGACAGTTATTGCTTTTCAGCTTTTATTTGTCCGTATGATTTAATTTCCTGCTGTCTCTCGTCTTCCTGATCAAACCATACAAAATATAATTATTGTGCTGTGACTCACAGAGAGGCAGCAGCTTTTGTAGCACACGACCAAAAATCAGAACCATGGGGCGATGTAACCTGATGTGAGCGTTTCTATCTCTGTTGAGTCTGATTGGACAGTTTTCAAAAAGACCGCACACTGAAAAGAAATGTATTGACTGTATTTTGTGACACTTCACTTGATTGAAAACTTTCCAGTCACATTTCAAACCCTTTCAAGTCTTATTCTGAAATATTTTATATGTCAACTAATTTAGATCTCAATCTTGTGGCTTTAGATATCCTGTGGACACTCAGGTTGTGTTGATCTCCTATGTTGTTGTTTTTTTACACTCAGGTATACTCCAGTTGGCCGTTCATTTTTCTCCCCACCCGAAGGCTACTATCATCCTCTGGGTGGGGGCAGAGAGGTGTGGTTTGGTTTCCATCAGTCCGTCCGTCCCGCCATGTGGAACATGATGCTCAACATCGATGGTAAGACCCGGTTTGTTTTTAATCATCAAATTAATTAAGTTAATGAATGTCTGACTTTGCCTGTAGTACATTGCCCTGGTCATAAGCTCTTTTCACAAATGCATAAAACCTCTGCAAACTATCTTAATCTAAAACTCTAATTTGAATTTATTCCCAGGCTTTTTTCCGCCACCTCCCTGGTAACATTTCCAAATATATTAATCTCTATTTATGTGCAAATGCAGCAGGTAAAAGTCCAGAAAGGTCCCCACACTCCTTCATATGATTTATGACTGTTGTGTTTGTACTGTGGAAACATCTTTTTACACACGATGTTGTCAAATAAACACAGAAACACCAGAACTAAATAGTGAGAGACAATCTCCTGCTGAAAGGTGCAAACGTAAAAGACACTTCCTGAAATTATGGAGCCTCAAATTATCAGGAAAAAGTCAGGAGGTTATGGGTGAAAATGGAAGTTAACTATTGACTAATGAGGTCAATAAAGTACAAAGCAAATCTCCATAAGTATTAGTATTTCTGACTGATCCCAAAGATAAAACAAAAGTCCTTAAATAGTGAAGGTTTTATCCACACGTGCACATGCCAGGACTTTTTTTTAGTGTAAACATCTGTCAGCTGAAGTTGTAAAACTCAGTATTTCATAAGACCTTAAGCGAGTGAGGAGTGAGGAGGTTATGGAGACATCTAGACCGAAAACACAGACAGTATAATCCTATGAGACTGAGTTTTATAAACATGAGTTTTGACGTGTAATCTGTACTTATGACGCTGACTTGATAGTGTGTTTGTATGTATACACTGACTGTAAAGACCTGACACTGAAGCTGCCAAGAAGTTATGGACATTATAGACCCGGTTTCCTGTTTTGAAGCTCTCAGTGCAAACAAAGGGAAAGGCAGCAGGGAGGTAACATGATGCATAAAAGTATGAAGACAAAGAAGGTGGTAAAGAGTGGAGAGTAAGTCTGCACTTGACCACAAACTGAAGATGCCTTTTAACCTTTTTGAAAAGTCATTTATTCTGAACATTTTAAAGATGTTTTTTTTGGAGACCTCTCGTGTCTTTTAATGAGGACAGAGTGGGGAATGACATAATGACGTAAAGCAAAGGGCCAGCAGTGGTGCCCTGTTCCCTGAGTTTTCACAGGGTTCCTTCACAGTTTTCTATACCCTACCCTTTTAAAATTATTTTTGGAAATACCCACTTTTCTATTTTTAGAAAACAGTATTTTAGAACTTTGGTAATAATCTGGAAACAAATATTTTTCTACACTTAATTTTTCATTTTCCATACTTTTTAAGACCCACAAATTGATCAAGTTGCTTCCATACTCTTACATTAGTGCTGGGATGATACGCTTTTCTCCCGATTAGATTCTTCTACGATTTTTTTTTTTGAACTCTGATCCAATTTAAATTGTGATTCTACAATATTGTCGATTTTCTTGATTTTTAGTCTGCATTTCTAACACCAGTGAAACAGTTAAATAATTATGATTGTCTACTGACTATTCAAGGAACCATATTTTTTAAGATTTATTCTTAAATCTGAAGAAAAAGAAGCAATTTTTTGACATAAAAATCAATTTTAAAATTGTAAAACAAAAAATCGTGATACTTTTTTTTTTCATCTATACTTTCCACACTTGCGTAGGAACCCTGTTTTCAGGAAATTCTCAGGAAAGAGGAGAGTCGTCCACTCTGCCCATGATTCAACTCGCCTGATCTTAATGATTTTCTCTCTGTTCTCGCTCTGCAGTGTCAGCCACCGCTTTCTACCGCGCCCAGCCTGTGATTGAGTTCATGTGCGAAGTGCTGGACATCCAAAACATCAACGAACAGACCAAACCCCTGACCGATTCGCAGCGCGTCAAATTCACCAAGGAAATAAGAGGTGGGCTCTCACTACCAGCACGCTGGGGTAAACCATCATATATCAAAACACCTACATTTACAGACAGGCATGCACATATTATACACACACATACACATAATTCTGTGACTCACTGTGTGTCTACACCACCACAGAGATTACAGTGAGGTGTGGGCCTGCGAGGCACATACATGTTAGTTTTAAAGTAGCATGTAAGAACGGTGGAATCTACACCCACGGCTTAACCTACACAAATGCTGAGCACTCATTCTTTAACCCCAGGCTGACAAACGAGTGTCTCTGCAGTTAAAGTGTATAATACACCTCCTGAACACATCTATGCTTTTATGCAAATACAGTTTTTTAATGCTTTCAGAGCCGCTCCAGTCTATTTGTCCTCATTTCAGTCACTACAAAGAAACGCTTAATAATCCTGCAGGAGGCGTAGGCTCTTTTCAGATTTTCATACACTCATTTTGAACAGATTTTGTGTCATTTCTGCTGCTGTTTTTATTTTAGAGATACTTGAAAAAGCTTTTATAGTCTGTGTTTTGAGTAGAGATATGACCTGAAAACTGTAATAATGATTTAACCTGTCAAAGATTTGAAGATAACTCCTCCGCCGCTGCCTCTCGAGTGATCCTCTTTTTGTTCGTCTTTCAACAGGTTTAAAAGTCGAGGTCACACACTGTGGTCAAATGAAAAGGAAGTACCGTGTGTGTAATGTAACACGCCGACCCGCCAGCCACCAAACGTGAGTCAGATCCAAACGCACTCTTCAGCTTCCTCAGCCTTACACGGCAGCAAAGTCAATGTCGTATGTGTCGGCGCAATGCTCCATAAATCCCGAACACTGCGAGACCTTATAAATATGTAATTAATGTAACTTAAGTCATAGTTTCCTTTTGTGTTTTTTCTTCTATACCCCCGTGTGGACTTCTCTGTGCTTTGCCCACAATTTTCCATTTGTTCACAGGTTCCCCTTACAGCTCGAGAACGGCCAAGCCATGGAGTGCACAGTAGCTCAGTATTTCAAGCAGAAGTACAATCTGCAGCTCAAGTATCCGCATTTACCGTGCCTACAAGTAGGGCAGGAACAGAAGCACACCTACCTTCCCCTGGAGGTGAGAAGGAGACGATTTGAAGCTTTAAAAAAAACTTTTCTCAGCTCAAGCTTCAATACAAAACTTTTTATTTATCTATCTTTACCCATCTTTTTGAGATTAATGTCGCCTCTTTCTGCTCTCTAGGTCTGTAACATCGTAGCAGGCCAGCGCTGTATCAAGAAACTGACAGACAACCAGACGTCCACAATGATCAAAGCTACAGCTCGCTCTGCACCAGACAGACAGGAAGAGATCAGCAGACTGGTGAGTGTTGTTTCCCTCTGTGGGTCGGGGTGAGAAAAGCACCCAGCTCAGCTCTTTGTTTAACTCAGTATGAAATCAGAACTTCTCAACTCATTTAGTGCCCCCATTGACCGCAATAGAAATATCTGTATCTTTCAGGACCCACAGAATATCTTGTGCTTGGACTAGAATTAAGTGCAATTTCTCAAAAGAAAAGGGTGATTCTCTTCACCAGAAAACAAAAATTAGTCTTTAACCCGCTCCTGTGGTCGTATCATCTTTGCCGATCTGGAAAAAGAAACATGAAAAACACACTTTTACGAAGGAGAGACTTTTGGTATTTCATTTAACCGGTGGTATCAAGGTCCTCCCTCCTCAGACACCACTCCTCATCACTCTCAAGATCCGATTATGAAAGGTCTCTTTGTGATGGCTGGGAGACGTATTGGCTCTCTAGAACCTGATGCTGTGACGTAAACCGCACAGACTGCTAGCGTCCTTCTCGTTGAATTCCGGCTCAGTCTCGCTCACCGGCGGCACAATGACGCCGTAAAATTGTTTCTTCGATTGTCTGCTGACGATGGGAAAGTCCGATAATTGGATCTCCATGGATCCAGAGACAGTAGCACCGCGCCCACAGGAGCGGATGTGCCGCGACCGTTTGGTCTCGGCTAATAACTTTGGCATTTTCTGACTCTCCTCATAGAGAAAAAACATTCCACAACTAGGCTAATTAGCACACTTGATGGCACACTTCTCACTGGCGAGTACTTATTTTTGTTATTGTAACACGGTTATGACGTATTTGTCAGCTCAGAACGACCCCAAAGTTATTTGCATGTTTGGGAGGAGCGCCCTCTGGTGGAAAGCAAAAAAACTGAAAAATCTGTCAATGGCACTGAATGAGTTAAATGATAAATTAGAAAGAAACAAGATAATCCTGCTCTGTTTTATCAGATTGTTTTGTGTGATTTTCTTCTCTGAACTTCCTCATAAATGTTTTTTTTTTCCTGGTCCAAGGTGAAAAGTAACAGCATGGTTGGGGGTCCAGACCCTTACCTGAAAGAATTTGGCATTGTGGTTCACAATGACATGACCGAGGTGACGGGCCGTGTTCTCCCAGCACCCATGCTACAGTATGGGGGCCGAGTGAGTACAGACACAGGGCGTGACTGTGGCAGGGTGAGTACTGGGAAAGGGTTCGCACTCTGGGGGCGCACGCATGTTTGGGGAATCACAGGGGTGAGGGGGCATCACAGAGTGAGTGATGGGAAAAGAGGGTAGAGATCCTGGACTGGAGGGTTGAGTAAAACAGGAAGTTAACTACGACTCCCAAGATGCTTTTCTGCAGTAACAAAGTTTCTATTCAGTTATTTGTGCTGTGAGTGAAAGGAGAGATTTCTACGGAAGAGGATTAGGGCCACAAGAAGAGACAGAAATGATTACAGGAGGGAGATTTTGAGATTAAAGAAGAAGTTTCAACTTAGTTCAGGTCAACTTTTATCTTGAAATTTCGACTTTAATCTCAAAATTTTTATTTTTTTATCTTGAAATTTCAACATTATTCAGTACATTTGTAAACCATGAAATTTTGACTTTAATCTTGAAGTTACGATTTTTAACCTTAAAATTTCAACTTTATAGACATAATTTCTTGTTGACTTTATTGACATAATTATGTTTTTATCTTGAAATTCCAACTTTAATTCCAAAATTTCTATTTTACTGACGTAATTTCAATTTTTTAATTTAAATATTTCTACTTTAATCTCGAAATTTTGACCTAAATCTCGAAATTTCAATTTTTAATCTAGAAATTTTGACCTTATTGACATGATTTTTACTTTTTTTAGTCTCGAAATTTCAACTCTATTGATATAATTTCTTGTTTTATCTCGAAATTTTGACTTCAATCTCAAAATTTTGCTCTTAATCTTGAAATTTCAACTTTTAATCTTGAAATTTCTACTTTACTGACATAATTTCAGTTTTTTTATCTCAATATTTCTACTTTAATCTCAAAACTTTGACTTAAATCTCAAAATTTCGATTTTTAATCTCGAAATTTTGACCTTATCAGCATAATTTAAATTTTTCTAATCTTGAAAATCTAAATTTCATCTCTAATCCTGAAATTTCGACTTTAATCTCTATCCTGTAATTATTATTTTTCTCTTCATGTGGCCCTAATCCTCTTTCATAGATTTCTTTCTTGTTTTCAGTTGAGGAAGAATTCAGCAGCACATGTTTTTAGCTGAACCAGAGCAGCACATGAATTTTCTGCAGGGCTGATTTACGTCTCTGGTCTCGTTTTTGAACCGCAGCATTAGAGGACAAGGCAAGTTTTTTCATCCATCTGCAATGCAGACGTGCAAAAACTGAAGCTGATGTCGATGTTATTTTATTACTGAAGAGAGATAAAGTTTTTTATATGGAGTAAAAAAACTGAAGATGCCATTGATGAGGATGGGGAAGGGGTAAAACGAGGGAAATGTCTGCAGAATCATCAACTCCTGCGCCAGACCTCTTAACACTCCTGTAAGATTAACTGCATCTACTAAACCAGGTTTTGACTAAATTCATGATTCAACTTGATCATATGCTGACCTGTCAGACCCGGATCTCTCCCTCTTGTTGTAACCCTGAGGTGCATCTTTGCAGGCTTTGGTCGACTTTCTCTCCACAGACACAGCTGTTGTGTTTGTGTCAGTGGAGCAGAGAGAGAGGTTTTGCAGACTGCTGGGATTCACCCGCTGAATCTCAAATCAGCCGTGAGAAGTGTAAACTCTTTTATGCACAGGAAATGATTTGCATTTGAGGAGAAAATTCACAGTTTTTGACACAATGACTGAGGCTGATTTGGGATTCGAGGGTTTTGTGTGTACGGGGGGTACGAATGCAGGAGGACGATGAGACTCCTCGCCACCCAGCGTCAGAATAAAACCAGCCAAGAGAGTCACTTTAAAAGCCTCTGCTCTGCTGCGATGACTCCCATCTGTTATTACGGAGGTTAATATAAAAACTACAAGTCTCGGGATATCACTCCCCATTCAGATGGAGCCTTCAATGATTCTGCTGAGATAAGATGAAACTTTAATGAAGCCCGTGGGAATATCGCTTCTCTCTTCCTCTGCTTCATTTGCAGTTATCTCACGGTAGATTATCACATGAAAGGAAAAAAAATCCCACATTGGCTCTCTGAAGTTTAGGTCTGTTAATTTACACAAGATCCTATCACAGCGCTCTCTCTCCCTCTGAAAGGCTTTACCACTTTGCCTGCTGGGATATGGAGTCTAATCAGCTTCCAGTAAAACGCCCTTAAATATCGACTCTGAGCTTTCTCCCGTTCTCCATGATCTCTCAGTATGAATGAAATACACTCATCCCGCATGAAAACACTGCAGCGTTTGTGTTCATGCGGTTGCATCGTGCTAAACAGGAAGCTGTTCGCTCCCCGCTGATCACGCACGATTTGTTTTCGTGTCGCTAAATGAAATTAGCGATAGTTTTAAAGTTATGCGACTTTGATCGTGTCGAAGGAAGAGTTTTTACAGCAGGGTGTCCACAAACAAACTTTCCCTGGCGTCCCGCTCTGAGCGACTTCATTGTGTTCACCTGGTTGGAAGAAGAATAAAAGCTCCTAATGGTATTATGAGAATCTGATTAACTTAATTGAAAGCCTCGGCCCTTTTTGAATTTGTATTCACAACCGCATTGAGTGTAGGAGCTCTCATCTAATGATGCGTTCCTGATACAGGAGTCCATTAAACTAAGTAAAAACAGAGCGTTTCTCTGCCTCACAGTAGAGCTCTGTGGACGGTTAATAATTGATGCACACTTTAAATTCTTCTGCAGATTATAAGTAAAAGTTTTCCGAGTTTGAGAATCCATTTTCATGTTTTTTAGTGTGTTTAGAAACTTTAAACAGCTGTGTCAGAGAGTAAAAATGAAAGCATGCGTTTAAGTTGTTGTTTCTGTCATATCGGCTCATCAAACCGGGGGGTTCACTAAGAGGTTAGGGACTCTCTCCGCAGAATAAGACCGTGGCCACGCCCAACCAGGGCGTGTGGGACATGAGAGGGAAGCAGTTCTACGCCGGCATCGAGATCAAGGTCTGGGCCGTGGCCTGCTTCGCCCCGCAGAAACAGTGCCGGGAGGACCTGCTCAAGTGAGTCACAGCCTCCATTGTGTTGTTGTTGTTGTTGTTATGTCTGGCTTTATTGTGAGGCTTGTCCCAGAAACGGGGAGTAGAGAAAGTGACCGAGCAAGACAAAGGCTAAGGAGCTCAGAGGCGGAGCTATCAGAAGGAGGCCTCATGGTGGGCGAAGTATCTAGTTTGGTCCAGACCCAAATATTGCCAAGATGACAATAATGAAACTTTTACAAATGTTCAAATTTGCTGGTTTATGTGCAAATTAAGAAATGAAAACAAGAGACATCCTGAACTTCGTCCGCTGCCTGATCTGAGTGGATTATTTTAGTATTTTAGTAGTATTTCTTTTTCCTATGAGAAACTTTTAACTACATTTTAAAAAGTCTCTTGTCTCTGCTGATGTCTTCCCATCATCTGCAACAGCGATTGAGCCCATCTGTGTGAAGATAAACTATTTCTAAGTCGTGAAAATGGGGAACATAAACGAAAACAATTCACGGCACTCAGACCAAAGACGACAAACACGTTTTTTCTCTTTATTTTGCACTGAAAACGCTCATATTACTGTCACTACACAAATGGTGACAACAACGTCTTGCAGCAGGAAACTCCTGCAGACGCCGTGTGAGAAGTTCCTCCACACCGGAGATAGACACGCAGAGCTGCTCTGTGTCACTAACCTCCCACCTTGGACATTTTTTTGCCTTTTTTTAATCGTATCTTTTTATCTTCCTTCGTCGCCTTTTGTGTTTTCCTCTCGTTCTCCCCTCTCATCATTCATTTTTTCCGCTCCACAAAACCAAAACGACGCTTACCATATTTTTCGCACTATAAGGCGCACTTAAAATCCTTTCGGCTTGTCGGAGCACTGCAGTTACCGTAGCCCCACGGAGTTATTGACTGTTTTGTTTGGCTTAATGCACTTTATAATCTGGTGCGCCTTATGTATGAAAATAGACGCAATAGACACGTTCATTGATGGTGGTGATGGCCCTATAATCAGGTGTGCCTTTTAGAGTACGAAAAATACGGTACCCCTCCTTCTACCGTGATGTCGTAAGTACCTTGCGTCGCCTTAAAAAGAATATGTGCAAAACAGTGACGATTTGAGTTTATAAACGAGTACTTAAAGCAGAGAAAAACTCGATTGTTTTTTGTAATCGAGGTACTGGAGGAATCGTTTCAGCCCTCGTGCTTTTGCCAAACTAATTGGTTACACCGCCTCCTAACTGTGCCTGAGCGGCGACTGAAACCCAAACGTTATCGCCACTTTCAGCAGACCAAGGCTGCTTTTATGTCCGTGCCAGTTCTGCCCGCTCCATCTCATGGCCCCTACAGCTACAAGGTTGAAATGAGCGCTTCTTTCTACCAGCTCCAGCATCCTAAAATGACTCGATTGCATTATTTAGAGGTTGTCTGTCTCCCCCCTTATTCCGCTCGTTTTTTATGCTATCTCTTAAAGGAGCTTCACTGACCAGCTGCGAAAGATCTCAAAGGATGCTGGGATGCCCATACAAGGACAGCCGTGTTTTTGTAAATATGCCCAAGGAGCGGACAGCGTGGAGCCCATGTTCAAACACCTCAAGATGTCTTACGTAGGTCTGCAGCTGATTGTGGTCATCCTGCCGGGAAAAACACCCGTCTACGGTAAGAAATCTGGAAAAAGTTAAATCTATGGATGGAAACGATCAGAGATAAATTTAATCGACGAGTTATAATGGGGTAATTTGTGACGTTTATCTTCTTTTTGGTCTCCAGCTGAGGTAAAGCGCGTGGGTGACACTCTGCTCGGCATGGCCACCCAGTGTGTGCAGGTGAAGAACGTAGTGAAGACGTCCCCTCAGACCCTCTCCAACCTGTGCCTCAAGATCAACGCCAAGCTGGGAGGAATCAACAACGTCCTGGTGCCTCATCAGAGGTCAGCGTGCATCTGGTCCACAACTCGGACTCTGGGTCCAGATGAGAGTCTGGAAAGCTGTTTGGGTTTTTTGGGCGTTGTGTGGATATTTGTGTAATCATGTGGTACAGAGCAGTCCAAGTCGTAGCACAATTATCTTGAAAATTTCGCTGTTCCTGGAAATAATTTATTGAAATTCTGAGAATCGGGATAATCGTTGCTTGATGACACTTGGATCAGAACATAATCTCCTTCATAGTTTTGCAGATGGGTTGGAAATATGTGTAATTCTTTAATCCTTCCTCTCTCTGTTTGTCTTTTGTTTCGGTTCAGGCCGTCCGTTTTCCAGCAGCCTGTCATCTTCCTCGGTGCCGACGTCACCCATCCTCCAGCTGGCGATGGTAAAAAGCCGTCCATAGCAGCAGTGGTGGGGAGCATGGACGGCCATCCCAGCCGCTACTGCGCCACGGTGCGGGTCCAGACATCCAGACAAGACATGTCCCAGGTAACGGCGAGCAGCGAGGTCAAGCGAGTCACTTACAAACCTTTCCTTGAGTCAAACTGATTTGTTGTTCTTCTTCTTCTGTCTTTTTAGGAGCAGCTCTTCAGCCAGGAGGTGATCCAAGACCTGACCAACATGGTGCGGGAGCTTCTCATCCAGTTCTACAAGTCCACACGTTTCAAACCCACGAGGATCATCTATTATCGCGGCGGTGTGTCGGAGGGGCAAATGAAACAGGTTCGACATTCACAGACCTTCATTTTTCAGGAATAAACAGCAGCTTTAAAACGTTAAGAGAGATTGTGAAACATGTTGCTGAAGGGTGTGTTTGTCTTTTTGTGTGTTTCCAGGTAGCGTGGCCGGAGCTGATCGCCATCAGGAAGGCCTGCATCAGTCTGGAGGAGGATTACAGGCCGGGGATAACCTACATCGTGGTCCAGAAACGTCACCACACTCGTCTCTTCTGCTCGGACAAAGCTGAGAGGGTCGGTTCACTGTGTTTTGTTTTCACTTTGCTCTTTACTGTTATTGAGTCGCTTTATTAACGGTTATCAATCGCGGCCTGCAGGTCGGTAAGAGCGGTAACGTCCCCGCAGGCACCACGGTGGACAGCACCATCACACACCCGTCCGAGTTTGACTTCTACCTGTGCAGCCATGCTGGGATTCAGGTGAGGGAGATACACTTACTCTTAAAATAAATTATCACAAACTTTGAGATTATAATGCAAGTCCTCCTCTTCAATTCTGCTCTGTGGTTTCTGCTGAAATGAAGCTTAATGACCAGAAACGGCATGACTGGAATTCTCCTTCAACCCATGAATTAGTTTGGCTCTTAATTAAGATCGTAAACTTCCCATCAATCATGTTCACATCCTTTATTTTCTCTTCATCCCATGATGTTATTATCAGTGTATTAACATGTATCCCATGGCTCTCTTTTTCCTCAGGGGACCAGTCGTCCCTCCCACTACCACGTGTTGTGGGATGACAACTGTTTCACTGCCGACGAACTGCAGCTCCTCACCTACCAGCTGTGCCACACCTACGTCCGCTGCACACGCTCCGTCTCCATCCCAGCGCCGGCTTACTATGCCCGGCTGGTGGCTTTCAGAGCCCGCTATCACCTGGTGGACAAAGACCATGACAGGTAAGGCGCCCCGGGATTCCTTCGGTCTTATTTCGAATACATATCTTAGCATTAAAGGCATCGTTGACGATCGGAGAAGCAGTTGAAAAAAACTGAGTCAGAGCTCCGAGGAGGGCCGGGAGAGTGGGAGGGGACGAGTCGGAACTACGAGAGAGGGGTGTGTTGAATACAGCAAGGTGATTGGATGGAGAGGCGGAGCAGGAGATTGACCAATAGGAGCTGTCCGGGATGGATGGCTCCCATTGGTCATTGTTTTTGCAGCCCTGCACCTGCTCGGGTGAACGGATTTTTTCCTTTTTTTTTCTTCACTTTGTGGAGATCGCACTATAAAATCATGATCGCCATATAAACAAGGTTCATGATAATCACCAATCTCTCCAATCGTCAACCATGCCTTTTAAACCTTGAGGGAGAAAGAGAACGTTATCAGAACTTCTTCAGGTCACTCCAGGACCGTGTGTGTCCAGAGGCAAAAGACTGACCTCCAGATCCCGGCTCTTGTTTTTTTTCTCTCTTTTTCTCGAAATGAATCCTCCTCTCTGTGTCTTGCAGTGCTGAAGGCAGCCACGTGTCGGGCCAAAGTAACGGTCGGGACCCTCAGGCGTTGGCTAAGGCGGTCCAGATCCACTATGATACCCAGCACACCATGTACTTCGCCTGAGCTGGCGAGGACGTCAGCCAGTCCACCCTCAGATCCCTTTTTCTTTTGTCTCTCTTTCTTATTTGCCACTTTGTCTCTCTCTCTTTCTCTCTCCTTCTCCCACATCACTCTCTCTCTATCTCTCTCTTCTTGTAGTCTGTCTCTTTCTCTTCACACTCATTCTACATTTTTCTGAATCTGCACCAAAGCGGCTCGTGGACGGGGAGGGGAGAACCTGCCGCGTCTTTAACGTCCGGCGGGTTTTCGAGTTTTTTTGTGTTTCAAGGAACATTTTCCAACCAGCGTTCCCAAAAACCGAGCCGCCTTTCAAACCAGCAATCCAGCACTGTGAACCCCGCGGGGTTTCCAATGCACAAAAGAAGAAACCGAAACAAACCATACACACATACACATATATATTACAAGTTGAGCCATTACTTTGAGTTTGTTTTTCTATGTGAATGTCTGCACTCTTGTGTTTGTAAGATACACTGAGCAAGGGAGTGGATTGGCGCAATCTGTGTCAGCGCAGCTCTTTAGCTCTCCCAGCTAAGCAGGACTCTTATCTACTTTTACCTCAAAGCCCCTTTGGGCAAAATCTGTCACAAGGTCTTGGGTTTATTTGGGTGGCGGGGAGGGAACTCTACAGGAAAAGAGACGGAGGGGAGTCGACCTTTTAAGAATGATATATATATTTTTTTCCTTTTTATGAGCGTGTGTTTTAACTTTTTCTCCTTTTACCGTCTTTTACAAACGAGGTGACCTGGGTGTCATGCCCATTACTACTTTCCTCCCATCTTAGCGAAAAAACACCCAAGTCTTTTTTGTGCGAGTATGTGTGTGAATGTGTGTGTGAATGTGTGTGTGCATCTCTGTATATACATGTTCTGCTGTATGAGAGTGTGTTTGTGTGCGCACGTGTGTTTCATGGCAGGCCACTGAATTGTAAAGGGAAATCAAGGAGATAACTGCTGTAAATGCCTCAGATTTGTTTTTATATTCACACATACAGTACATATAAGCATATATTTACATCTATAGAGCAACTTTGAGACATATGACTAAAAAACAGGCCTCCCAGAGGCTGCTGTGGGTATTTGTAGCAGTCCTGAATCACTCGCTCACTGAGATGCTTTGAATTAGACGTGTTTTAGCTCGACGCTACTTCTCAGTCGGAGGGATTTGCACCAGTTTTTTGTGCCTGAAAACATCCAGAATTTCCCAGACTGAGTAATTCAAAGTATTTCAAGTGTTGTAAAGTGAGTTCAGGTCTGACGTGTAGCAGTAGTAACCGTGGTCTGGCCTGTGACTGGCTCAGCATTGGGACCTGTTAAACGGCTGAAGGCATCAAACGCAGAGTACGGTCTTATCAGCCCTTTTTTTCCTGCGTGAGGAGCAGGATCTTAATTTTCTTTGGACCTGATATTCTGAAAGATTTTATGACGACACTGCTGGACGTTGCTTTTTGTTTTTTTTTTGTTTTTTTGTTTTTTTTGTTTTGTTTTTTTCTCTCTTTTCATTGTAGTTACAAGGGCCGGAAACCAACCTAGTTTTGTTATTGTTTTTTGAGGTCTCCTTTGCTAACTGGCCAATTCATTGCACTGACCCGGGACGCTAGGCAAGCAACAGAGGGCACTCTCAATCTCTCTTACCTTTATGCATTTATACATACGAATCAACAAAGCAGATTTGTAAAAGTTTAATATAAGATGTTTTGTGGTTATCTAAAAAAAAAAAAAGAACTGTTGTTTAGAATTAGTAGTTTACCATTGATGTTGTTGTTGTTATCGTTGTTGTCAATGTTGTTACTATTGTGATGAAATTTTAAGGTCGGCGGCAAAGCCAGTTCTATAGTTACTAGTGCGATTCAGGAATAGAGTTGAGTTATCGAGCTGCAGGTTTGAGGGGTAGAGCTTTGGTTTGGAAAAGTTTTATTTTGTAGCATTTCTGGAAGAAGAAGAAGAAGTCAGGCCCCGAGACGAATGATGAGTTCATGCTTCCTCGGTAGGGTGGGAGAAGAATCTAGCGGCGGTTTTTCGAGGGATCGTGTAGCACTCCAGATCTGCCGCTGGTGCGTCGCTCGCTCAGCTGGCGTCTGTTGGACTGAGATCAGATAGATGGAGACAATCAGGGATTGTAATCAGAGTGAACCTAGATTAAGGGATTTGTCCTCAAGCGGTCTGCGATAGGCAATGAGTTGAATTTTTAGACTTTTTAAAAATGGTTTCTATTAATCTGTGTGTATTTGAAGTATACCCATCTTAAAGTCTCTTAAAGCTATTTGACGGTGTTTGTTTGATATTTTTATGCATTTTTAACACTGGATTAAATGAATTGACAATAAGCATAAGCACTGCCCTTGGACCCCCTGTACAAACGCTCATCAGCAACCGCTCTGTGGCGACAGTTGCATGCGTGGTGCCCCCTGGTGTCGGGATAAGAAAACCGCAGAGTGGGATTCGGCGAGGTGGTCGACGTGCACGCCTCATCAGGGAGGGCCAGCTCAGTAAAAACGCTTTTGTAATAAACCACCCGTAAAGCAGCAGGTTTACTATGAATGAGTTTGAGCACCCACCTGTTGGAGGCGTGGGCGTTGGCGTCGGCAGGGAACATAGAGGGGGGGGCGGTGAGGGGAAGGCGAGGGGGGGGGGGATCGGGAGGGTGTTGTCCAGGCATTGCATGCAATAAGTTATTTTTAAAAGGGCCGATCAGATTTTCAAACGTGCACTAGATTCAACAGGCTGAAGCGGCTGAGATTGAATTTTCATCTGGCATCTCTTACTGAAGAACGGCTTTTTTAACCTTCTCTAATATATATATATGATCCTTCAACTCCAGTCTGAGAAATGATCACTCCCCATTTATTACATTGCAAAGCAATATTAACCCACTTCTAAGTTTTCAAATGTGGAAAAACAAAGCTATAATTCTACTCATTGTGGTTGTTGGTCTACTTTCGCAATTGTGTCTCTGTACTTTTTTTATTTTTTTAACTTTTAGTTCATTTTATTTGCTTGTATCAATCAGTGGGAATGTGCATTTGGTGGAATAGTTACGTAGGCTTTAGACAATTTTCTTTTCAAGTAACAAAATGTAGACTTTGCTCGCCTGCATGCCAGAGTATTGTCCTTTTTGAAAAAAGAAAAAAACACTTTTTGAATCATATTTATTATGAGAAAGAAAAAATATAAACGCTTTTTTTTTTTTTTTTTTTTTTTCGGGTAAATGTTTCTGAATTTTAGTGGGACTGTTTTAGGCTAGCAATATTTGTCCAGTCTCTCCAAGACGCATTTTAAAGATTCCTACACAAATGTCAGTAATTTGGAGGTACACTCTGTCTCAGGAGGGGAGGGGGCTCGGATCTTTGTGCTGCGTTCAAATCCAAACGAGGTACTTTCTTCAAACGTGAACGGCATCAAAGACCGGACTCCTCTCCTCCTCCACCAGGTTACCGCGGGGAGCATCCACTCTTGTCTCCTTGCTCCTGGTTTGTACCTGCGGCCGCACCTCCGGGTGTAGGCTCTCCTTTCTCCACGGCAACTCTGCTGACCCTTCACAAATGCACTTCCTTTTTGTGTCGGGGTCCTCATGGCATCAGAGGAGCAGGATTACCTCTTTTTAACCTTTTTAAAAAAAGATCCATAATTCTTTCTGTGCCCCGATAGAAAGAGAGCATGAATTATTTTTCAATTCCTCTCACTTTGATATATTGTTATATCTTAACGGATTTGTAATTTGACATTGTGTATTGTGTATTTTAATTTTGTTTTCCCTTTTTCGGTTCCTGTTTTTTGGGGGGATTTGTTATAGCTCTGCTCTGTTTCTTTTTTTGTTTCTGCTAGTGGTCTCTGAGCTGTGTGTGGTTGTCTCATAGCAATAGAACCGCAGAGTTGGAACATTCCGGTTCCATGAATGGAACGTTCTGATTCTGTGAATGAACGGAACCCTTTCTAACCAGTTCTGAAAGGGCGGGGTTATGTTCTGGCTCCGCCCCCACCCCCAGCAGAGGGCCATTCACTCGCTGTTATTGCTATTATGTGACATGTTCAAATATATTTTTTTTAGCCTGCAGGGAATTCTTGTGTTAATGTGCAAAGTAATAAATTGGTATTTTATGCCCATGACAAAAGCGGTGTGTTCCTTTTTCCACTATTTCATCGGTTACATTAAAGCTCCTGTGGGGATTTTTTTTCTTGTTTGTGAGAAAGACTGATATTCATATAAATGCTTTTTTAAATGTATAAAAGCAAACTACATCAACAGCAACAAGATTTACAACTTTTAAACGGTCGGTTTCGAGGCCTAAATGTGGTGCAGGGGGGTGGGTGTTAGTTGAGCTGTGAAAGAAAAAAAGTGTTTCTTTGTTTTCCCCATTTTCACAAAATATACAAAAGTTAAAATACCACTATGAAGCTATTTTTTTAATAAAATTTGATTTAAAAAAAACAAACAAACATGAAAATAAAGGTAAAACCAAAAAAAACAAACAAACAGATTTTCAATGTCTGGACATAGGTCTATTTTGGGTTTCTTTTTAAACTAATAATTAGATACTAATTTACATGATATGATATAGACTAAGCTAGATAGATAGAATTAGACCAGAATTTGATTAAATAACATGAAAATGAAGATTAAACAAAACTAGTTATTTATGTCTGAATTTGAGCCAAATTTTAAAACATCAAAAAGCTCCTTACTGGGGCTTTAACATATTTTGAAGCACTCTAGAACCCTCCTCTGCTGTTGCAATGTTATATAAAGTTGTTACTAAGTTCACTGGTGTTCCTCTTTTTTTTTTTACATGAGAAATTATAAAATATGACAGTATGTTTTGGACCCTAAATCTGACCTGGAAAGTTTATTTAGAAAATATGTCACCTTTGTTATGCTCTTTTAGCTCGATTCACTGATCTCTGAGTCATGATTTCAGCTTATCTAATGTGGCTCTCACTTAGTTCATGTAAGACTTCATGAACAAGCTGTTTAGAGTCTAAACCTGGGATTATGCCAACGGAAAGTTACCTCACATTTTTCAAAACTTTCCTGAATTTTGTGCCAACATCCAATAATCGACTGTAAAATATGAGGAAAGCATAATACCACGTCTTTTAAGAGTCATTGTCCCAGTTAACACAGAGGCCTCTTTGCGTATTTTGTCACTAGATGGCATTCTTTGCCACACTAAATGGGATCACATGACTGTAAACAGTGAAACATTGATGATCTCTGTCCTGCTCCTGGCAGTCATCTGAGATCAGCTGTGCGAGGCATGAAAAGTGAACCTTTACAGCCCTTGTGAGGAGTTTTGAACCGTTTACCTAACAGACTGAAATTAGAAGGGAAGCCTCACCAAAGCAGACATAACCTCAAGCAACAAGACTTTGGAAATTAAATGGGGTTATTGACTTATTTCTGATGTAACAGCAACTGATTCGGTTGAAAAGGGTGCAAACTTGAATCTTGATGGATGCTGACTGAGTTATTTATTTAACGGTAATTTTGGATACATGGTGGATGAAGCTGTTGTGTTTGCAGTAGCTCATTCCCCGTCCTGGTGCCTCAGGTGAATGAGGTCATTTCATCCAGGACAGAGGGAACTCCACTGATTTTTGTCTTTTGAATGGAAAATGTTATTTAAAAGGGGAAGTATCACCAAAAGTCTAAAAATCAACATACATCACAGTCTATGTTGGGCTACAAGGCTTCAGTGTGCCACGTTTCAATGCCCACATCTGCCTGTTTCTCCATTCACTCTGGATTTACAGCCATCATTGGTATGTGTCACCTTCCCCTGCTTCCCTTTGTGTGTCATCCCCTCTCCTCTCCTGTTTCCTGTGTCCCGGCTGGTTGTCATGGCCACCGTTTCCAAGGGGAGCAGAGGCTACAGAAGAAAGGGAAACCCGAACCACAGATCTTGATGCGCTGATATTTTATTCATCAGCACAATGGCACGCCAAGGTTCAGAGTGATGCAGCCGGAGCGAGAGTGAGCTCGGCGGCTCGGAGGGGAAGTTTGTGAATATGATGACAAAGAGGTGCCGTCGGATCCTTCTGTTAGATTCATGTGGTCCCCTTTTAAAGTCTTGGGGTTTTTCCAACCTTTTAATGAAAATAAATCACCTGATATGGACAGGCCTGTTAACATATTGGCTCAGATGTTATACATTTAATGAAAAAAACATGAAAATAAAGATTAAAATGAAAAATAGAGGCACCATCAGTTGTTCTTAAATGAATAAATAAATAGGTAGTAAATAAAAGATAAAGACGGATGTTTATATTGAAGCCATTTTCAAATAAAAATTGCTTAAAAAAATAACATGAAAATAAAGATTAAGGATTTTCAATGTCTGGATATAGGTCTATTTTGTTCCACTCCAGTTTATTATTATTTTTTTAATAATTAGATACTAATTTATATGATATGATATGGACTTAGCTGTTTCCATTTGTGCCATTTTAAAAGAATTTGATTAAATAATGTGAAAATGTAGATTAAACAAAAACAGTGATTTATGTCTGAATTTGGGTCCATTTTTTAAACTGTTTTTTAAATCAATAAATACTGAATATACATCATATAGTCAGGGCTGTTTACATTTTAACAATTTTCAATAAAGTTTTACTGAAAATAATAGCTTTACTGAAAAGAAAAATTCATCATCAGTGTCTGAATTTTGGTCCATTTCCTTTCTTCTTTTAAATAACGATAAAAAAAGGAGGATAATGATGATGAACTGAAAAAAGCAGAATGTGTCTGAATCCTCTTTTTCTGTTCATCTTTTCCTTTTTCTATTTACAGTAGACAGAACATTTCATGATGTGCACATGTTCACATCTGTTATAATTTCCAAAACATTTACATGGAAATGAAGATAAACCTGAAAAATTGACCTCAGAGTTGAGGTTTGGGTCCTTTTTTTATTCATTGTCAAAGTTTGTATTGAAATACGTAAGTATAATAAAACAACTGAAACAGATAATCCATGTTTGCTAGAATTTTGTCAAGACTGTAGAACATGCTTAAAAAAAAATCACTTTTAAACAAAAAAGGGGGTTTTACATTTATTAAGGTCCCTTTTTTACCCACACGCTTAAAATAAATTACAGGTAATAAAGTATCTGACAATGACCAACCTAAGAATTATGACTAAACTGGATATAAAACTCATGAAAAAACATAAAAAATGAACACACATAATGTTGCGTTGTTCTCTGAATTTGGGCTCTTGTATTTGTGGTGTGCAGAAATTTTGCTTGAAATCATCTAACGGACCTCTTTTGTTGCTCCTTTGACCTGTATTTTTCACCTGTGGCTTTTCAGCTTTTCACAACCGAACAGAAACCCCCTAAACGCCTCTGTTGTGCGGCTGTTTCTCCCTTTATTAAAAGACAAAAACCAACAAAGTGAAAGCCTGTTTCAGTGAAAGCTCCTTTAAAACACAGGCCAGTTTGTGCGGTCGTGAAAGCGCCACAAAGTGTGTAATCCTCATCGCAGAGGCCCCCCCGCGTGTTGTCTTTGTGTCAACTGATCCACCTACGGACGGCGCTCCATCCTCATCCATCCATCCCTCCCTTCTTTTGTTGTCTCACCCTCTTCTGCCCCCTCTCCCTCCTGCATCACTGTTTTTTTCTCCTCCTCTTGCTGAGGTTCAGTTTGGTTACGCTGCTTTCTTTAACCCAGAAATCTGCTCTGATTCGGTTTCTACATCTTTATTGGAGCTAAACTGACCTGTTTGGGCTGCGGAGAAGCCACTAAAGGAGGCGGTTAGGGGGAGGAGGGTGAAGCCTGAAGTGGCCTCGGCTAGGCTTGGACCCTCGCTGCGCTTTATTGTCAACAAAGAGGTACTTGAGCCAGCAGCAGCAGCAGCAGCATCTGAAAGTGAATCCTGGCGACTGTTTTTCGTTGTAAACCTGTTTTTAAAAATCTGCTAAAACAACAACTGGGAAAAGAAGCTGGTTTTTTTTTACAGGATGTTTGCTTCACGGATCAAACAGGATTTTTGTCAACCATGAGGGAACAAGTGAGGATTTTTATTTAGTGTAATCAAGCTGTGACAGGATACACTCATAGCAGCATCAGTTGCATTGAAATCCTAGTATCAGGTTCTATCAGTCTGATCCATTTAGGTAAGGCTACACCTGTGAGCTGTGACACTGCAGCTCCAAAACTGGACTCCAGAGCTGGACACAAGGAGAACTCACTCACAGGAAAACAAAAACAAAGACCCGTGCTTTGGCCTGTTTCATCCACAAAGACCAGGACCTGGTGAAGCCTGATCAATCGGGCTCCTGTAGGCTGCCACAGGTGGCTGCACAGCTATCGGCTACTCAATAATGCATTGAGTCCAGCTCAGGAATGAAAGGGAGGAGAAAGTGCGCGAGAGGGTAATCCTTGGGCGATTGTGGAGCGAAAGCGAGTGGGATCGAAGGAGACACGTAGAGGTTACAACCAAAAAGCAGATGTTGAAAAGAAAAAGGAAAAGAGAAGAAAAATGGCTGCTGAGAAAGTGAGTTTGGGGTGAAGAAAGAAGAAAGTTTGACCCAAAGGAGAAGAAGAAGAGTGGAGTTAAAGATTGATTTTTTTCTCAGAGACTTCTTGGTTTTAAAGGAAAACTGAAAGAGTGGACTTTAGAGACATTTCTTTGAGGAAAAGGAGACACAAAACTGTGGCCATCATGGTGAACACCGGCATGCAGCTCATCAGCTTCACCTGCGCCGTGACAGGCTGGATCATGGCCATCGCAGTCACCGCTCTCCCTCAGTGGAAGGTTTCAGCCTTTATCGGCAGCAACATCCTCACCTCAGAGATCAAGTGGGAGGGCATCTGGATGAACTGTATCTACCAGACGACAGGCCACATGCAATGCAAAACATACGACTCCATGTTGGCCCTGCCTCCGGACATCCAGGCCGCCCGCGCCCTCATGTGCGTCGCCATCTTCATGGGCTGGCTCTCCTGTACCGTGTCCTGCTGCGGCATGAAATGCACCACCTGCGCCGGGGATGACCGCCGAGCCAAGGCTGGGATCGCACTCGCAGGGGGGGTTCTCTTTATCCTGACCGGCCTCTGCGTGCTTATTCCCGTTTCCTGGACCGCTAACACTGTCGTTCAGGATTTCTACAACCCAAACGTGCCCCTGATGCACAAACGGGAGCTGGGTCAGGCCATTTACCTGGGCTGGGCGGCTGCAGTCATTCTAATGATCAGTGGGGCCGTGCTGAGCAGCACCTGCCCTCTCATGGAGAGAGGGGGCAGGTACCGCAGGGGCTACATCGGCCGGAGCTTTGCAAATTCACCTGCACCAGATCCCCCAAAACCCATCACATCCAACAGTCTGCCACTGAAGGAGTACGTATGAAGAGGACGCAGGAGGAGAGGGAGAAAGTGGATGCTGTTAAACTTTATAACTTTGGTTCTTTTCTCAAAATACCCTCTTCTGTATGTACATTTTATGCTATGAAAGATAAACATACAGGATTTATTCACATATTCAACCTATTTTGCGTTTCTTTTTCATGCTAAACTTTTCCTCAGTAAATAAAAATGTTCAAATTTGTTTGATTTGAAAGTGGACGTAACTTCTTGATTTCAAAAGTGACGTCAATATGAATGAACCTTAAAGCTGCCTTCTCCCTGATGACCACTAGGGGGCGAGTCAAATGTTTGCGAAAGATGTTTTAAGATTCAAGCCTTCTTATTTAAAGCCTGGTGTTTATTTTACAGATTATTACAGTTCTGTTATTAAAAAGCAGAGTCTGCTTCAGGGTTTCACTGCAGGTGTCTGTGTTGGTGATACATTTACTAAAATTAAGACAAGTCTACCAATCATGGTGATGACCAAAACGCTCATTCTGGGGCATTACAGACACCAGCGAGTCACGTTAGGGTGGCTACATCCACTTCTTCTGTACAGTCCCTGCATTTACTGGCCTGTCGTTTTAAGAAGAGCCTGAAGAAAGCCTGTTCCCTATTATGTCCAATCACAAAAAAAGTACACGGCGTCCGTGATGATGGCTTCTATGATGGCTTGTGTTGTGATGATTGCAGTGGTTACATGAGCAGTTTTGTCGACGTTACCTTCAGATTTGTCACATTAAGCCTTCACTGAGTGTGCCTTACATTCAAAGTGTGAAATAAAACAGTGTGTTTGTAAAAGTGTGTCTCACTGACTTTGTCAAAAACGATCTTAATGATAACCGTGTCGATTCATCTCATAAAATACATGTCAATTTGGTTAATTTACAGATACCAGTTAGGTTTTGACTCAGCCATTTGTTTATCAATCTTCATCGCCAGATATATTTTCATAATAAAATAGATCCAGTCATCCTCCTCCTGGCATCCACAGTAATTGTGTCCATCTTATGTAACTGTGTCCCTGTTGGAGATTTTGCTTTTTCTTCAAGCCTCCTCAAAGATTCAGTCAGAACTCGGCAGGTCAGGGTTCCACTTGAGTGTCAGGCTTTCTCGTCATTAAGAATCAATAAAAAAGGACACTTTGCAGAGAGTATCTGGAAGCAGACGGAGATTGAATTAGTCCACCTACAGACCTTTAGTGCCTCATATCTACAGTAATACACAACTTACTACTTACATTTAAAACTAAAGACAATGGAACAATAAAGTTAAAGTGATGTAAGTGGAATAATACAGATTCTGAATCCTGACACAATATTTCAAATATAAGAACTGACATTTCTGTCATCTTTGCTTTACTATTAGCATTTATATCCTATAAGTATCAACCTTATATCTGTACATTAATGACTACAACACATCAAGACATGTTGCCGACCACTGCATTATTTGTGGCTATAGAGTGGCGTTTTGGTTGAGGTTTGTTTATGGCTCCTTAGACTGCTGTGTTTTGCTATCCTGCGATCGTTACTAAAGTTGGTATAACTAGAGAAGCAAGCGGTCGGCAACATTCATCTCTCAAGGGGGTGTCTAACTCGAAATTAATTGTACGCCGGAATATCCCTTTAAGAAATAGAGTTGTTCTAAAATGTCGTCATCTAAATTTTCATGATAAAAAATAAATCTGATGGTCAAAAATCAGTCAAAAGTTCCTTACAAGAGCTTGAGCATTAAGTTGTCGACAGTACTACAAATTTTTTTACCTGTGATTTGGTCTTCGGCACTTGGACACTCTATAGATTTCCATCTCTTGGGAGCAGCTTCTAATGCAGAAAGATCGTCTGCTCTTAGTGTCTGCAGCAGAGTCTTCCTCCTCACAAATCTGGACATTTACAGTTAAAGAAAAAACTGTAAAATACCCAGAACACAATGCAAACACACTTACGTGCAGAAAAGGATACTGCTGTCGATAGTGACGCTCTGCATCCTGCAGCCACTCCAGCATGTCAGAGACAGACGGGGTGGCGGCTGAGCGCTCTGTCAGAGTGAGAAGATCCACACTGTCTGAGTTCTGCTCATAAAGCTGGAAGACTGCAGAAACCTGGTTACAAATGGAGTCTCGGACAGACTGCAGAGAAGACCTGAAGGACAAGAGATAGATGTGAAAAAACAGCTGATCAAAAATAACAAAGAAAGGTTAAAAACTGTTTCAAGGTTTTCTTGGATTCTGATAGCAATCAAGTGCAAGCAATAACATTTATTTTTACCAGTCTTGCGTGGATTTTTTATTTTCAAATGGTTCATCAGTACAGTGGCCGAGAACTGCCACTGCTGCAAATTAAAAAAGAATGCAAAAAAAAAAAGAAGACGCCACAACGGAAGTTACCAATACAAAAAAAAAAGAAACTAAAGCACACTGCAAATAAAAAAAGAAACAGTGCAGATAGAATCTCTATTATATATTATATTTTCTGTTTTGAACTGAGAATACGAAAACAAACACTCATTTTTTATTTTTTGGTTACACAGAAATACAGAAAATATTGACTCGTTTTTTTCGATTTTCATTTACTAGATTGAATGGAATAATTAAATGGACGGATAATACACAGACCCTTCTTCTTTTCGCGTTCTTTTTTTATTTAGCGAAGTGGCGGTTCTCGGCCACCGTATATCAATGGTTGTCTAGTTCACTCACATCTTCTCGTTGAGTTTGAAGAGTACCGTGTCCGTGGATTTCAAGAGTTTAAACCGCAGCCGCTCCTCCAGCTCAGGAAAGTCTCGGAGGGGTGTGTTGGAGATCTGGACGTTTGAAAGCGCTCTCGACTGCTCTGCCAAGTTCTCTAGAGACACCATGAGAGGACCGCACTCGACCAAAACACTCTTCCAAATCCTCTGGTTGTTCTCAAGACTGTGGAAGCTTTTCTTCAGAGCTTGATGAAGAGAAGGAAGGGCAGGTTTAGACATGTTTAGAGCTGATTTTAGACATCGGTTGGCCCCAATTACATTCAAAGGTGCGAATTAGTCTGTAAACATTTGAAAAGTGTATAGTAGCAGCCAAAACATCACATTTCAACCATGTTGCCTGGACTCACTTCCTGGTAAACACTGACGTTCCGCGCTACGATTGGCCGAGAACCTGATTTCGATGACGCGAGCTTTGGACGGTTTTGATTGGTTTGTTGTAGTCGAGGCCCCGCCCCGCGCGGAGATTTGAAAACGTTTCCAACCGCCCCTACACAACCAACGAAGAAGAAGAAGATTTTAAAACGGCTCTGTGGAGGACGGAGAAAGTCGAGTGTAAGAGGGAGAAAATATAACCAGGTAAACAGTTATTTATATATCAGACATTAATATTGTAAAACTAATTAGTTAGAGAGTATTTATAAATGGGTTGGACTGTGAAACAAACGGACGTTACAGCGAATTTTGCAACTATCAGGACAAGCTCCTTCGATGGTGTTAGCTCGTTGCTAAGTTAGATGTCTTGCTCATGATAAGTACGTTGTGAATTCGTCAAAATCTGCTCTAATATTCAGCGTACCGGTGAAATATTTGATCATTTCAGCAGATATGAGTGTGACTATTTACACTGTACATTCGTTAACTGACTTGTTTGCGTCCACAGTCATGGCTCCCAGGAAAAGAACGACCAAACAGCGTAAAAACAACCCGAAGGCGGCCAAGCTCGAAGCGTTTCAGGAGGATTTCGACAGCGAGGGTGAGTAAAGCTGACATACATTTACCAAATACTGTTTAAAGCATTGTTCTAAAACTGTTAAAAGTTAAACCTACCAAGTAATAACACTCACAAAAGCCCTTATGCCTGCTATAGGTTACTGACTGTATTTATGCTGCAGGTCCGTTTCAATGATACAGCAATTTACTGTTAACTGTCAGCTGATTTTAGGTTCTTCCACAAATTCAGATGTTTTAGAATAACATAATTTTCTCATTGTTTTCAGATTTGTCCCCTGATATTGCAACTTAGTTTTGCAACAGTGGGTTAAGGTGAATAAATGCGTTTTAAACATTTCCGAAACCTAATGCATTGTTTTCGGTACTAAACATATGCTAAATGGACCTTGTGACTTAAATTTGATTATTGATACAACTATGATAGAGCAAGTGTCCAAGACTAAACTCCTGAGTGTTAAGTTCGACAATCAGCTCTCATGGTCTGATCAGATCAATCATATCTTGTCCAGGATGGGCAGAGGTGTCGCTTTGGCTCGAAGGTGTGCACCATACTGTCCACCCTCGGTCATGAAAACAGTGGTCCAGTCCCTGGTTTTGTCACATCTGGAGTACTGCTCAGTCATTTGGTCCAGTGCTGGACAGTGGCACTTGAAAAAACTGCAGCTTGCCCAGAGTAGAGCTGCCAGGGTAGCCCTTGGTTGTCCTTAGAACAAATGTGAATGAGATGCAGTAGGTATTATTTTAAAAGGACTTTAAAACAAAACTGTATATAAATGAACTATAAAAGCACAGATTTTGGAGAGATTTTAATGTTGTGAAGACTCATGATTTGAATCTGTAATTGTAATTGTTATTATTAATTAATTGTATTGTGATTTTAACTTTTTGGACCCAAGGATGACTAGTAACCACTTTGTGGAAGCCAATAGGGATCCAAACAAACAAATAAACAAACTTAGTTCTTGTAAAATGATAGCTTTATTCCTTTAATATAAACTTAATCCTACCAATACTACTTTGTTTTATTTTTCTTAAAATGTGAGGGTTTTTGTGTTGTTTTTTGTTTGTTTTCTAAGGTTGCCTTTAAACTCAGGTGTTAATACAGATACAGATACAAAATACAGATTTTGAAATGCATATAAGTCAAATTTTTCATTTTGCTGGTCTCCATTTTGTGCAATTTGATATTTTTTGTCTTTGCAACTTCAGTAGTTGTCGTCCTCAGTTCATGTGCTCTGAAATGCATTTTACTCAAAAAAAAACAGGCGTATTCATGTTAAAAAATATATATTTACTTCGTTTTTATCATAGCTACTTCAAGATTTTTTTAATAAAAAATAAATTTGTTTGGTTTGAATTCTATAAAAGTGGGTCTCGACTAAAGGACCACAGGAAAATGTGGGTCCCAGAGTGAGACCAGTTGAGAACCTCTGGAGTAAATGCTGCAATTTAAAGATGAAATCGATATTCCCTTCAGTGTTTGATGAGGCTCAGATGAGAGATGGTACTTGTTGTGTTTTCACAGTGAAGACCAGGGTGGGACAGATGAAAGAGAGGATGAACCAGCTGCTGAAGGATGTTGAAAACAGCTATAACATGGCGCTCATTAAGCTCCCCAAGGCTATCAGACAGACACTGTGGCTGGATCACTTCAGTAAGTGAACACAAACCCTCTCACTCATTATAGTTTAATGGAAAGACAAAACGCTGATTTGGGGAATATTAAGCCCTGAAGGCAGCGCCAGCACTCTTAATTCCATTCAGAGATGAATAGATAAACTAACTGTAGATTTTGTCACTTTTCTCTGCAGAGGCTGAGAAACCGAAGTCACCAGAAGTGGATAACGCAAAAGTGAGTTTATCGTCACATTGTTTATCATCATTTACCAGAGCTTAAAAGTTTCTAGATGTATTTGGATTGTCCAGAGTAAGTTTTAAATTTGCACGTGTGTTTTCCTTGACAGCGGGAAGAGGAGGCTGCTATTGTTGAGAGTGTTGTTGCTGAAGATCACGCTGTCCTTCTGAAATCGGTCAAGAAAAGTATGTTCAAAACGGATCAACTGCATTCATTCAAATTCTTTAATATCTCTATTATATAAATGCATGCAGCAGATTAAATCCTGTTTATATGATCTCCAACCAGCAGCTACAAAGAAAAAAACTGGATCCAAATCCAGTTCAGAGGATGAGAACATCCCGAGCACAACAAAGAAGGTAACAATGACTGATTTTCATTATATAAAGCTGATTTGGTGGGTTTCAGTGTAATTCCTGTGTATTCTGATTATGTTAATTTAATTATTTTAGGGGAGACCAACAAAGAAACCACCAACCACATCAAAGAGGGCGAAGGCTGTGGCGATCAGTAAGCAGAGCACTGCCATCAGACGGTAAGAACCTCCATCTTAATCTCCTATCTCTCTATGTCACCTGTTGTCAAGTAAAACAGTCATAGGAATATGTATTTGTCTGGATCCAGATCGAGCAGGAAGCCATTGGTCACCCCTGCCAGGAGTATGCTGGACTCTTCTCTGATGATGGGTCCGACTCCTCTGATCACGCCCCGCTTTGACCCAAGGTGAGTGGGCTTTACTCTCTTAGAATCTGTGTTCACCTCCCTGAACTACAGACTCAAGAGGAAAGGGGATGTGATTCTCTCTGTACATGTTTTATGTCCTCAGGCTGCCCAAGACCCCTGCTGTGAGAGTTCCCCGCCACAAAGAAAGGGTCTACAGCATCTCAGTCAATGGCTCTCCCATTGCAGCAGGAAACGAGGACATTGTCATCAACGTTCCCATCGGCAACGGAGAGGTGAGGTTTAGAGGTGTTTTGATTAGTGCGTGATTTCACATCAGTGACGTGTAAGATTAGACTGACAGAGTCTGCAAATGAATTAAACAAACATCTTCATCTTAATTCACCCAGAGTGTGCAGCTGTTGGCCAGTCAGATGGACTCTGTGGACCTTTCACTGCTGGATGAAACGGCTCTGAGGAGCATTCGACTGCTGCAGGTACGTTCAGTTCTGTGGGACAACATCTCTTTAAACCGGCTTTATAACATGATTCCTGAGGATTTTATTCTTAACACTGTGCTTTCTTTATCTCAACAGAATCGCCTCACAACCCTGTGTGGATCATCAGAGTGACCCAACCATCTGTTGCTGACCTGCTGTTGAGCACTGTTTTTTTTTTTTTTTAAATACATTTTTAGCCTTTATACTTCTTGTACAGACTTTGAACATTTCTTTGACCTGAAACTGATATACAGTTTGGAACAGTGATTTCCAGACCTTTACTGGAGTCCCTCCTTGTATTAGAGAAAAGGGGCCATTGATGCGTTACATTGTTGTAGAGCTCGTTCTTTCAGCTCCCAAATGGCTCCTAATTTTATCACTTTTCTTATTCAGCCAAATGTAGCATTGTTTGGCTTATGGTATGTATGTGTACATATACCTCTTTTTCTCAAGTAAAAATACATTTTCTAATATCAGTAAACTGCCGTAGCCAATTGTTTTCATTACATTTGCAGACCCTTGTAACTCTGAAACCCCCCAATGAATGCACTGACTTGCTTGTAGAACCATTCTAAGCAGATAATAAGCAGATAGCAGACAAAGCAGATAGAAATCACATCATTCTGACTTGTATTTTTTTCTACAGTCAGTGGGGCCTTAAAGGGATATTCCGGCATAAAATTAATTTAGGGTCAAACACAGAGTTAGACAACCCGTCGAGAGATTAATGTTGCCGACCGCTTGCTTGTTATACCAACTTAAGTAAGGGCCGCATGATAGCAATGCACAGCGGTCTGGGGAGCAACGCACAGCCACCAAACATCTTTTTACACAATGCACCTTTACACAATGACCACTAGATGGCAGCAGTTCACCATAAAAAAATTTGTGGCACTGTCAAGACAGCCTCTACTGCTGTTTTTATGCTTTCTTTCTCCTACTGTAGGTATGGTTCCTTACAGACCAGTTGACCTTAAATTCAATTTGGAAGTCGGTTAACCCTAAAAAGACTCATAATTTGCTGTTAGAATTTACAATATTAGAACTTAAAGCCAATTATGTTCGTGATATTTTGTTTTTCTCAACGTACTATCATGTTTCACCCATTTTCTACGCAAAGCAAAAACTCTGCTTTTGTGCAGAGCTTCATGTACATCATGATTCAAGCTGATGCATCCGTTAAAGTGGTTCTGAAGTGTTTGTGCAAAAGCTCTCCTCAGTCTATGTTTCCACTTGAGGTTAACAAACTCTTACTTTAGCTTATGCAAGAAGTTGCTCTTGTCCTTCCATAACTTTGTTTACACACAGGAACATTAGCAGGTCATGTGACTTTCTGTTGGCAGGAAGTTGCAGCCTGTCCCGCTGCTGGCACACAAACCTGCACTCTGACCTTCGGGGACATCATAACGCTGCCAATTAGAAGCTCGTTAAGCTTCGTTAGGCGTGATGAGCTCGTTAGAGTTTCCACCTGGGACGGGACGCAGGGTCAGGCCGGGCCTCACCTTGGGCCTCGACAGACAAGCACAACTCCCCACTTCTCCCGCCGGACTCCTCATGCATCATATGCTTCCAAACCACAGTGAGGGAACTCTGTGCCCCCAGCTTGAGTCGGGCCTGGTCCCTTCCATCTGTATCCATATTCAGCGCTTCATCATCTGCTGTCTCTTGCTGTGCAAACTGTGCTGCAGAGGTAAAAACCAAACTCTGCATCCCTGCGAACGACAGATGTTGTGGCCGACGGTGCGTGCAGTTCAGCTCCCTCGTTAGTGAAGCACTGAGCCCTTGTGCACCTGCTCTACATATCATAGAATTTTTGTCGTTTTGCCTCTGAATGAATTGGATCCTTTTTTTATTCTCTAGGTGGGTGGAAAATTGCCATTTTGCATGGATGGCTTGGTTTTCAGTAAGCGCGCAGGAAGCGGCGCAGTGACAGGTGCGGTATGGATGGGGCGGATTTTGAGGTCACAGTGCAACACTGCTACATAAATCATCCGCCAGGATGTTCAGGATGAAGGACTGGAACCTGAAACAGTGGGTGGGACACAGTGGAGAGTTGCTTCAAAACAAACAGAACTGTATTAGTGTCCAGACTGTGCAGTCCAGAGAGGAGGAGGGACTTAAAACTGCACATTTGGGGAGAGTATGTTCTAAAAGGCGCATTTGTAGCTGAACTGATCAATTATTGAGCAATGCATCAAACGTCCATCAACCAGTGACTCCAGGTGGTGCCCCAGAGGAGTGATGTATTCTGATTTTGTTGGTACCTGTAGCATCAGTTCATTGGCGCCCCTGTGGACAAAACAGCCTTAGCTTATCCCGTCCTCTAAAAAAATCTCATTCTATTGACTTTTGACGATCGATTGTTCGTTCGTTCATTTTCTTCCGCTTATCTGGGTCAAGGTTCAGGAAGGACAATTGGGTCATTACCCAAAGTTCATGACCATAGGTGAGAGTCGGCATGTAGATCAACTGGTAAATCAAGAGTCTCACCTAACGGCTCAGCTCTTTCTTCACCACAACAGATCGGTTAAGCTTCTGCATTACTGCTGACACTGCTCTGATCTGCCTGTCAATCTCCCATTCCATCCTACCCTCATTTGTGAACAAGATCCTGAGATACTTGAACTTCTCCGCTTGAGGCAGGACCAACACGGAGAAAGTGATCTACCTTTTTCCAACTGAGGACCATGGCCTCGGACTTGGAGGTGCTGATTGGCATCCCAGCCGCTTCACACTCGGCCGCGAACCGCTCCAGCAAGAGCTGAAGGTCACTGCTCAACGAAGCTAGAAGAACCACATCATCCGCAAAGAGCAGCGACGAGATCCTCTGCCTGCTGAATTGGACACCCTCCACCCTCTGGCTGTGCCTAGAAATTCTGTCCATAAAGGTTATGAACAGAACCGACAACAAAGGGCAGCCCAGGATGAGTCCAACTCTCACTGGAAACGAGTCCGACTTACAACCGGCTACACGGACTAAGCTTGTGCTCCTTTGGTAAAGGGACTGGACGGCCCTTTGTAAGGAACCATCCACCCCATACTCCCAGAGCACCGTCCACAGGATTCCCCTGGGGATCTGGTCGTAAGCCTTCTCCAAGTTGATGATCATTAATCGTGAGTATATTACATGAAAATGTGGAAATAGGGCTGTTATCTTAGCTTCTTGGTTGACACCGACCCCCTCGCACAGTTTTTAGGCATTTAAAATCAGGGCATAAAAATCATTGTTCCTATCACTGATGGTCTTGTTTGCTTTTCTGTGTCATAAAAAGGCATTAAAACGAATTTCAGTTAATTTCATAGACACCTAAAACTCCCTCACAGGAGCTTAAAATGCACCAAAACACTCTGCTGATTGGCATTTAGGCTTTCCATGAAACTTTATTTGTCCCTTTCCTTTTGTCCCCATGTCCCCAATAATCCCCAGCTCCAACCAATTTAATTCCCCAGCCTCTCACTCCACTCTTTCATAACTCAACCCCTTACAGTCAATCTCATCTAGTATTCCCCAGATCTGTGCTCATTAACACACATGTCTGACTCATGAATGCGGCGTATTCCTCTGAAACAAAGCTGTTCCCTCCCCAAACTGCTGGAGCCACCGGTTAATTGAGCCTCCAGACCTGGGAATCTGCCAAATTTGCTGCCAAGACGAATGAACCTGGCAAAGACATGTTCTCCCAGTAAAATTAATTCTCTGGTGCGTCAGGGCCTCCTATGAATCCCATCCGTCAACCGCTCTGCTAATCAATTTATTCACGTGCCTGCACCTCCGTCTGCCACTGTCTCCCTTTCGAGCCAGCCAGAGGTCGAGAGTCCTTTTTTGCTAAGTCAGTTTCCTACAAAAAATGTCACCAAATTCTGCTCTGGTGATGGAGAGCTAACAGGATTCAAGGTGGCGGTAAAAGTGAAGTGGCAGACGGGAGGAAGAGTGAAATGGGACTGAACGGCCCCCACATGATGCATTCAGGGCATGTGTTTGTCTGGTGGCCAGCAGGGTCCTGATGGTGTTTTGATGGGCGGCCCCTCTGTTGCTTAGGCACCTAAGACGATGGGCGGGGTGGAGTGGAGTGGAACAGCTGCTACCAAATTAAAAAAAAGGAAAAAAAAAAACGGAAATGAGGGCCTGAAAATCACAGGAGATATGAGAGGTTAACGCCACTCTTTCATTGTAAAGTGACAAACCTTTGCTTTAGAGAAGCCAAGCTGGCTCTCACACTCAGAGATTTGTGAAAGCAGTTCAACAATTAAAGTTCAAAAAAAGCAGTTTTCTCTACTTAGATTTTTCTTTTGTGCACTAACAGTAAGAAAAATCTGTTACTACAAGATACTAGCTACCATGTCAGATTTGTCTACTTGTTAAAATGCAAAAATCCAGCATTTAACTGGTAAACTAGCGCTATCACAAATGTAGCCAGTGCAAGATGATGAACCTCGAGGATTTCTAATAAATACTCAAATAGCTTTCTGCTCCCTGTGACCTGAATGGTGATGAAGCAACCCAAGGGTGTTTGGAATTAAACCCAGAAAGAAATCGACTTCAGTGCCAAGTAGGGGTGTCCCAATATCGGTCTGATATCAGCAAACAAAAAAAGAATATCGAATTATATCGGCCTGCATCTAAAATCTCTGATATCAGCGCTCCGATACAAGCAGATCCATTCCAGACTCTACTCCGGCACCTCTACCTAGCATCCAGAGAGCAGAGCCCACAAAATCACAACAACAGTGTGTACAAAGGTACAAACAAAGTACCAAGGAGTTATGCTGCGTTTGAGTTACCTTGGAAGTCAGAAGTCTGAGCTGGGAATGTCGTCACACTCGAGTTACCAGCGCAAGTCGGAAGAAAGCAAAATCAGAAACAAGATGGCTACAACTACAAAAGTTATTTTAGCGCTTGGCTTGTTGGAAGATAAGCAAGGCCAAGGCAAGCGCTGAAATAGATGTCGATGTAGCCATCTTGCTCCGCCTCCAATTTCGCTTTTTTCCGACTTGGGTGCGACGTCATTCCCAGCTCGGACATTTGACTTCCGAGGTAGCCTGAACGCACCATAAGAGTGATGTTAGTCTTGTGGAAGAATTTTTTATTTAAGTCCGAAAAACAATTTTGTGCTAATATCGGATCAATATCGGTATCAGTCAATATCGAAGGCTTCAATATCGGTATCGAATCAGAAGTCAAAAAGCTGTATCAGGACACCCCGAGTGCCGAGTGCAGCAACAGAGCTGGTTTTACTTTAGTTGACCCGTTTGCTGTCATGACGAAACTACAAGATTTGACACCTTGTTAGTGACGTGATTTCAATCACAATTTCAGTCTCTAAATTAACATAAACAATGGTTAATTTATGGCACATCATTTAACTCTACTGATAGTTTAGTAAACCTTCACTTTAAGCCTATCTTTGCCCTGATTTCTTAAAGTTAATTTGACATTAAGGTGCTACTTTTATGATTTGATTCTGCATCTAAGAAGAACCA